TGTAACTACCACCCCCACCTCCTTAGCACGATCTGTCTCCATTCCAGCCCCTACTCATCCAGCGCAACCTACCTCTGCCGAACCCAAGAAGGAACCAGCTTTTCGGTATGTCAGTCCCGACTTAAGGAAGGAAGCAGTTGAGCATTCCCGCACCCAGCGTGTGCCAGCACCTGCCCCAATCCCCACAGCAAAAACTCTTGTTGCAGCAACCACCACCCCTCCCTTGAACATCGAACATGCGACTCCGTTACGTGAAATTCGTGTAATGCTAAATGGCTCCCACTCCGAACTCGCGCTGCTGGACGAAGGATCTGAGATTGTCGTCATTCGTGAAGATGTTTGGCACAAGATCAACGCCCCCATCAATCAAGATGTGCGGATGCGCATGCAAACAGCAAACAGAGGATCGCAAGAGATGGCCAGATGCCTCGAAATGTTAGAAATCGACGTGGAAGGTATCAAGACCTGGGCTCATGCCTATGTCGTACCAGAAGCCCCTTACCGCCTGCTCTTAGGACGACCTTGGCAGCGCTTGGTTCGTCTCTCCAAAGCTGAGGATACCGATGATGTTCATGTTGTAGTTCACAACCCACAGGATCCCAGCAATACTCGCACCGTCAAAACTTCTCCTCGTCCTTGGCCCCATCCCTCCCTCGCCTTAACAGCCTCAGTACTCTCCTCTGTTCTCCCTTCTCTCTTGCTGTCCTTAGCTCTATCTACTCCGCAAATCCCAACCAGCTCCACTGACATATACCACACCATCAAACATCCTCACTCCTCAGCTCTATCTACTCCACAAATTCCCCCAACCAGCTCCACTGACACATACCACACCATCAAATATCCCCGCTCCACAGTTCTATCTACTCCGCAAATCCCTCCAACCGCTTTGGCAACTACTCCATCGTATGGTCATCGTTACCCTTCTCCACCAAATTCCGCATACCCTCCACCCAGCACGTACATTACCCCACCAACAACGCCAGACACGCCGTCTCCGAGTTATTCTACATCAATGTCCTCAGCCTCAACTGCATTGCCACCAACACCACCAGGTATGGAGGACTGTACTACCCATATAATACCAACATCTCCCAATATTCCAAAACACAAGCCCGTTCCAGTACCACTTCCATCAAGACCCTCCTTTATTCCCACCTCTAGCCTCTCCAATTCCTCTTTCGCGGAATTCCTCCTCCAAGCGCACCTCAATATTGACCTAATCCGCCGTACCTTTGCCTACAAGAAGGTTGCCAATAAGGTGAGGCCTGTAGCCACCACAATGCCAGCCCACGCACACATCATCCATCGATTCCCAGAAGACCCTCTCACATCCCTTCCACCCCTTTCAACTACCCCTCCTGCCTTCATACCCGGTGCCCGCATCACCCAAAAATGCATGGACGACCTTGGCATCTTCAAGAACGAGTTCCTCCTCCCAGAAGAACGAAAGCTCACTGTGCACGTTCTCATGAACAACGAGCTTGCGCTCGCCTGGGATGAAACGGAGAAAGGACGATTCTGCGACTACTACTTTCCCCCGTCATCATCCCTACCATCGAACATATTCCTTGGACTCACTGTCAACCCCCAATCCCGCCAGGTATCAAAGATGAGGTCATCAAGCTCATCCAATCCAAGATCGCGTCGGGCGTATATGAGCCCTCCAACTCGTCATACCAATCTCATTGGTTTTGCGTGGTGAAAAAGAGTGGCACCGTACGGATCGTTCACGACCTCCAGCAACTTAACTCCGTCATGGTCAAGGACGCGGCTACTATGCCCTACATCGAACTGTTCGCAGAACAGTGCACAGGACGCTCCATCTATTCGATGATGGACTTGTTCGTCGGATTCAACCATCGCGCACTCGCAGAAGAGTCTCATGACATCACCACATTACAAACCCCCCTCAGTACTTATCGCCTTACCATCCTCCCTCAGAGATGGACAGATTCTCCCGCCGTCTTTCAAAATGACGTTGCATTCATTCTTCAAGCCGAAATCGAGGTCGCGCCAAATTTTCAGGACGACGTTAACATTCTCGGACCTCACACACGCTACGAAATGCCCGATGGCTCACATGAACGCATTCCCCAGAATGCCGGTATCAGGAGGTTCGTTTGGGAGCATTGTGCAGACGCGAATCGCGTTCTGCATCGCTTGAAGCACGCAGGGGCTACAGTATCAGCTTCTAAGCTGTTTCTCTGTGTGCCCCAAGTTCTCGTTGTTGGCCAGTTATGTACTTACGATGGACACATCCCAGACTCGTCTAAGGTGTCCAAAATCCAACACTGGCCTGCCTGCACGCCTCGCACCGAGGTTCGCGGATTTTTGGGCATGGCAGGAACAGTCCGAAACTGGATCAAGGACTATGCAGCCATTAGCCGCCCTCTCACGAACTTAACTCGCAACAACACACCCTTCAGCTGGTCCCCTGAAGCGCAGCTAGCTATGGACACGCTCAAGACTGCCGTCATCAACTCACCCGCAATCACCCCAATCGACTACACGTCCTCAGACGAAGTCGTTTTAGAGGTCGATTCATCGCAGATCGCGTGCGGCTGGATCCTTCTTCAAATCAGAAACGGACAGTGCTACCCCTCAAGATTCGGCTCAATTACGTGGGATGAACGGGAATCCCGTCATTCCCAAGCTAAGATCGAGCTGTACGGTGTGTTTCGAGCTCTCAAGGCAGTCAAACTTTAGATTATCGGCATATGCAATCTCGTTCTCGAAGTCGACGCCAAATATATTAAGGGCATGTTGAATAATCCCGACATCCAACCTAATGCGGCCGTAAATAGATGGATAGCAGGAATTCTTATTTTCAGTTTCAGACTCAGACACGTACCAGCAGCCAAACACACAGGACCCGATGGATTATCTCATCGATGACAAGTCCCAGAAGACGACAATGAAGAACAGGAAACGACGGACAATGTAGAGCAGTGGATAGACGAGATGCTGGACTCAGGAGTATGGCTGGCTAAGGAGGTCGAAGAAGAACTGTTCACGAAAACGATGAGGAGCACTGTTGTTTTCACCACTTCAACTAATGTCTCAGATCTTGAAATCCCCTCCGATAACATCACATCCTGCCTCGACAACAACTTGCGCACCATCCAAACTTATCTCGACACTCTCTCTTTCCCTTCAGCCACCCCAAGCAAGGATCATGCTCGCCTCGTTAAACGCGCTCATCAGTTCTTCTCATGCAGAAACTGCCTGTGGTGAAAAGAGCCAGCAGGACGAAATCAGCTCATTATCTTCACGCCAGATCGTATTCGTATTCTCACTGAAGCCCACGACAAACTCGGTCATAAGGGATTCTACCCTACACGACGCACCATCGCAGACAGATTCTGGTGGCCCTCACTAGACAATACTTAGCATGGTACCTCAAGACTTGTCATCAATGCCAGTTGCGCTCTGTTGAACGTGTTATCATTCCCCCTACCATTGCTATTCCAGCTCCCTTGTTTAGGAAGGCATTCGCCGACTCAATGTATATGCCCACCGCTCGAGGATACACCTACATCATTCAAGCTCGCTGCTCATTGTCAAACTGGCCCGAATGGCGCATGTTGAAAACGGAGACTGGACGCACACTGGGATCCTTCATTTTCGAGGACATATTATGCAGATGGGGAGGTATAGAAGAGATCGTAACAGATAACAGTACACCGTTCATAGCAGCAGTTGAATGGCTCTCCAAGACTTACCACATCAACCACATCCAAATCTCACCGTATAACTCACGCGCTAACGGCCTCGTAGAACGCTCTCATCGAACAATACAAGATTCGCTCGTCAAAGCATGTGACAGCGACATCACTTGTTGGCCATCTGTTGCACCACATGTTTTCTGGGCGGACCACATTACCACGCGAAAAACCACGGGCCACACCCCCTTCTTCTTAGCTCATGGCATGGAACCTATTCTCCCCTTCGATATCACTGATGCAACCTTCCTACTCACTGACATCAGCGCTCTCATTTCCACAGACGAACTACTCGCTATCAGAGGCCACCAGCTGGCTAAGCGTGACCATGACTTAGAACTAGCACACGAATGTCTGCCCAAATCCCGCTTTGCATCTGCCAAAAACTTCGAACGACGCTTCACCAACACTATCCATGATTACACATTCCAGCCTGGAGACCTCGTGTTGGTTCTCAACAAGAAAATTGAAGCAGCGTACAATGCTAAATGCAAGCCACGCTATTTTGGACCAATGATCGTGATATCCCGCTCACAAGGAGGATCCTATCGACGGAGCCGTCTCAAAACTCAAATTTGCTGCATTCCGCATTATCCCTTATTATCTGCGTTCTCCGTCATCTATCGAAGTTACCCAATATATCAACCCTCAGACCATAGAAGAACTCCGAGTCAACAGCGAAGACTAGATGTGTTTCCCTCTCTTTTCATTCTATCTAATTTTTCTCTACTCTACAGTACAGTTCCTTTGTTTTTTAGTTTATTTTGTTATTAGATCGACCAGGGATGGTCGATATTCGAAGTGGGAGGGTGATGTAAGGATAATATATCCTTTACGCACCATCCCATCTTCAAAACAAGGTGTTCAAACTTGTTACAAAGTAGAACACAGCCACGTGACTCATTGATGCGAAGAGTTCAACTCTTCGCATCCGAGTTACGCGGATACATTCCTTCTTACTCTCCTCCCTTACTGTACCATGCGCTCTCATTCCATCGTCACCGTGTCTCACCGACTCCTTTTCTAGTTCCACATGCTACCTACTCGACTCTAGCTTTAATCGTTCGGATCCCAAACACTTATATACCGCAAAATGTACGCTCGTACTTTAGCAGAATCAATCCGTTGAACTCCCGCTCCAAGAACACACTCCATCCTATCAAAAAAAGCTCGTTATATTCTCAAGTCTTTCTATGTCCAAAGAAAGAGCGCCTCGATACTACTAATTCCCCATCGAACTCATAGCAGCCGTTACAGATCACTTGTCAAGTAAGCTTATGACTCACAGTTCAGCAGACCACGTCCATGAAAGAGTGGAAGGGTGAACCCAAACATGCTCTGGAATTTCTTCTGCAGAGCATATATCGTGGTGCCTTTCTCGTTCGGCATTTGATTCTATATCTGGCAAATAATCGCTATCGACGACGCACAGGAACGGAAGAGTGTGTCACTTACATCATTCTCGCCGAACGAGAACACAGGCACAAGGTCCGCTCTGAAATGTATCGATGACATGTTCTATCAAACCTTATATCAACTCACCCATGCTGGATCGCAACCTTGATAAAACCCAATCTATGATTCATTTATCATGCACCAGTTCGTAAGATTCCGGGATTGGAGCGTACCTGCGCTTCAATGTTAGATTGGCCGTACCGGGCCGTGCGCTCAAGCTCTCAGCAGCACCCACAACCACGATAGTGATTGCCTGAACTGGCCCGCTGGAGAGAATGTTAGAACAAGACTCTCTCGAGACGCTGCTGATCCCAAGAGCCAGAATAACTTCGCGGTATAAAGGAATGTGGAAATTATTGGTGAGCGTAAGTAAGTGCGGCTTAATGCCGGGAAAGGCTTGGGAGAAGCCGGTGGCTGATAGGAGATAGATTTGAGACATTGATGCTGAGGGAATAATGAAACACTCGCCTTCGGTGGCGAAGGTGGCGAGTGCACCCCTGGTGAAGTGGTCAGAAGTATGCTAGGACACAGATGAGAGAATACCGTCTTACATCCCAATTATGCCTGTTTCAATCATAAAATGAGTGATACTTGGCACTGATGGGAAACGAGACTACCATGAGGATGATACCCGAACACGTATGGACGGTCAGAAGGTAGGTCGCACTCCTGCATTAAGCAAATATTTGAGTATTCTAGGGCGCGAAGCAGTTCGTCTGCCTTACCTTCAGGAGCCTACATATTCGCGTAAACAGTTGATGATATATCCATAAAATATGAAGAACTACACTTACGACGCAGGGTAATATTCTGCAAAATACTGCCAGACCTTGAGAGACCGGAACCATGGAGTGAGTCGGTTTCCATATGACGGGCTCTTGTCTATACAAAAAATCCAGATGAGGTACATGGCCAAGAACGGCCATAGCACTGGTATGGAGCTTTGGTGCGTTCGTTTCAGTGAGTACATGGTGATATAAAGAATTGCAGCACATACCAGAGCATCAGGAACACGAAACAAGACATCACTAACAACATCGACCATACGGCAACAACCATCATCTGCAGTCTCCTCTTCCGCGGTATCTTGGTTGGCACAAAGCTGGGTTGCACAGAAAGCACGATTCAAGTCATTGAGTGCGGTGATATCTGATACGAACTTGATGCTGGCATGAAGGGCAGCTACAGGACGCAATGGTGCACCGGTTAACTTTGTCAATCGCCCTCTCCGTGAAGATGGAACCCTGTCACAGTCGACAGAGAACACTGGCGGGCAGTCAGGAAGCAGTAACGTGGAAGAGCGTGTGGGATTCGAGGTACGGTAAGAGATAAGAGATCAGTACATCAGTAGTACGATATATATATCAGATCCATGTTAATAGCCAAACACGTGTAATCATAACGCGGTGTCCAATCAACAACGGATCACGGATCACAAGTATGACGTGTTAATCACATGCACGTAAGCAGTATGCTTACATCCTTCCCCATCATCCTTCAGAATGTCCTTTCTCCCAAATGTCAAGTGCTTCGCAGTCCACCAAGTCCTTTCGGGGCAGCCATTCATCATCCTCTTCTCCAAATCCAACCCAGCGCACGAGATACCTTTTTCCTCTACCAACCTTCCTCTCATCTATGATCCGTTCGATGAAATTCTCTAGCTGACCGTCTTCTGTCACCACAGGTCCGGGCCGGGGATGTTCACGCGTGGGGAAGAGTTCGGGGTCGTTGGCCTGGTGGGGTCGCAACTGACTGATGTGGAATGTAGGAAAGATATTCGGGGAATTAGGAAGATCGAGGGTGTAGGTAGAGCTCTCGGGATGTGCGTCCAGTATCGTGTATGGCCCGTCGAATCTAGGCATGAACTTGGCCACCCTTTTATCACCTTTCTGCATGTATTCTCTCCGTCTGTGTTTGGTAGCGAGCATAACGCGATCTCCAACGTGCAACGTGAGCGAGGGAGCACAATTCTTGTTGACGTTCGATGCTTGAGCTGCTTTGGCGGCGAGTAAGTTGTCCTGGGCTTCCATTACATTGTGCGTAAGTTGCGAGATGAGTTGTCTAGCGCGTTCTTCTTCCGGGTCATTTGTGTGAGGAGCTGTGGTCAATGGTGGTATCATTCTTGGCGAGCGTCCAAGGTGGAGTTGGAATGGGGAGAAACCGGTGCTCGCGTTCACAGAGTTCATCAGGTGGAATCGTACGCGTGGCAGGGCACGAACCCAACCCTCATGGTTTCGATCCACGTAGTAGCATAGGCTTTGATTAACCGTTTTGTTGGTCCTTTTGCTTGCGCCATCCGTTTCAGGATGATATGCGGACGACATCTTCAATTTTACACCAGTTAGTTTATGCAATGCGCGCCAAAATCGAGATATGAAGAGCTTATCGCGATCAGATACAATCTCTTGAGGTAAGCCATTTTCACAAAACCAGTGGTCAAAAAATAGACCTGCGAACTGTTCCGCTGAGATAGTGTCCCTACAAGGAACAAGTCGAATGTCAGCGTTTAAACGGTCAGTCATCGAGACAATCATATTCAACCCGCTGTCTTCAGGTAATGGTCCAATGAAGTCTATGGTGACACAATCGCCACGACCGTCTGGGATTGGTAACGGGTGTAAGGGGCCAGCAGTAGCGGTGGTTTTCGATTTGTTTCGCAAGCATGCGCTGCACGAGGGGATGTAAGATTCTACGAGATCTCTCCTCATATTGGGCCAGTAATACGATCCGCGTAGGAGAGCGTAAGACTTGTCAGCTCCGAAGTGACCTGCGCTGTCGTGGGCGGCGTTAAATAATGTTTTGTGAAGGTTGTCCACGCGTGGCACCACTAATCAATCAGCATTATAAAACAAACCCTGGTCGTCGTGTGATAAACCTGGCAAGGAATCTAAGAGACCATCTAGTTTCTTACACCAAGGGTCGTTTGTATACCCTTCAATGATGCGTTTGATGAGAGACTCGTCTGATCGGAGAGTGAGTAGCGCAGCACAGATGTCTGAGGTAGTCTTTGTGTCTGTTCTTCGAGATAGCGCGTCAGCGGCCTCGTTCTCCTCACCCTTGATGTAATGAATGCTCATGTCGTATTGCGACATGTATTCGGACCAACGCGCTTGACGGCGCGAAAGGTCCCTTTGCGTAGTGAAATTCTGAAGGGTTCGATGGTCAGTAAACACATCAACATGCGCACCCAATAGATCTGAGTGCCATTTCTTTAATGCTCGTATGATAGCCAGCAACTCCTTTTCGTGTACGGGGTAATTGAGTTCCGCTGTCCGGAGTTGCATAGAGTCGAAAGCTACCGGTCTAGAAGTTTCACGTGTTGGTCCCCAGGAAAGTAGTGCTCCCGTAGCGTAGTCCGACGCATCGCAAGTCAGGAATATCTTGTTTATCCCGGGATTATCGTGGTCTATGGTCGTGAGGCATTCTGGACTGACGACTAAGTTCTTTATTGCTTGAAAGGCTTCTGCGTGCGTTGTCGTCCATTCGGGAAACTCTAATTCTGCGGATTTTGTTGTCAGAGCGGCAAGCACACGAGTGTACTTAGTGATGTTTGGCAGGTGGTCTGATAAGTAGCGCACGATGCCCAAGAAGGCTCGTACTTCTGTTGCCGTTCGTGGCTGGGGCCAGTCTAATATTCTGTCGACTTTTGAGCTGTCGACCTCGATACCTCTGGCGGAGATGTGATGTCCGAGGAAATCTAACTCTGTATTAAAAAGTGAGGTCTTTTTCGGTGAGCAATATAAGTGTGCGACGCGTAAGGCCAGCAGGACTTGTCGGACATTTGCCTCGTGCTCCTCGAGTGTTTGCGACCATATGATAATATCGTCGAGGTACACATGGCAGATCTTACCGATGAGGTGTCGTAGTGCAGTGGTCATGCGGCGTTGGTGAACGGAGGGGGCGTTGTGGACTCCCATAGGCATGACTGTCCACTCGTACTTACCGAACGGAGTGTGTATTGCAAGGTATTTTGTGTCGTCGGGGTGTACTCTCGTTTGAAAGAAGGCATTAGTCATATCAATTTTACCAAAGAACTTGCCTTTGGCGCAGTCCTTCAAAATCTCGTCGATGCGAGGTAAGGGATGGTTGTCTGGGACTGTATTGTCGTTTAACAGGCGGAAATCATTTACCCAGCGGGGTAACACCGTAGGGTCAGCCTTCGGGATAATAAAAGACGGGGATGACCACTCGCTTTCGGACTCCTTTAAACGACCAGATTCTAAGTGTGAGTTCAGTAAGGTCTTCCAGGCCGGTCGATATTTCTTGGGACAATCATATGAACGCTGTTGAACAATCTTGTTAGCCTCCTTCAAGTGTACGCGGAAGAGGACATCAGAGGGCATAGTATCGTTGTGAGGTATGTCCGCGGGGAAGCGATCACTAAACTCAATCTTTACTGCCGCGTCCATTGCGATTAATTTGTCTTGATATTCGAGTTCGGTGATACGTGTTCGAACTGCCGCTGTTATATCCCCACCTTGTACGGTTTCGCATTCCTTGTCCACAATCGATTTGAGTTCAGGCAGCACGCTTTTGAGTTCGTTAACAACGTCGCGCTTCATCCAGAATAATTGAGGACCGGAGGGAGAAATTCGAACAGGAGGGGGAGCTGGAACTATGGGCGGATGAAGGAGGTCGTAGTCAGTATCTTTAACTATGCAAGTACGCATCTCGTGATCAATAATGATTCGATTATGTTGCAGAAAGGGGCCTCCAAGTAGAAGCGGTGTACAAAGATTAGGGGCCACGACGGCGCGTACAGTTCGTGATTTGTAAACATGATCGAGGGAAGAACAAGAAATTTTGACATATTGCGAAAGAACGAGAGGTTTGTTGTCTTGAGACATTGCGAGCGATACTGGTAGGACTTTAGACAGTTGGTGTCGTCGAAGACCGAGTTTATTAACGAGATCCTCGTCAATCAGAACTAAAGACGATCCGTGGTCAATTAATGCAGAAACAACGATAGAAGAGGAAATAGCTGGCCCGTCCACATGACAATCCCAACGTAAATGGGGAGTTTGTAACGGGGCCACGCACTCTTCTTCTGAATCTGTTCCATCGCCGAGGGCTGCAGAGGGCATTACTACCGCAATAGTGTGATGATCCTCGACCTCGACCGCGGCTACCACCTTTGGTTTCTTCGACGCGATGTATGATGCGGTTATAGGTTTGTATGAAGCGCCATCCGGGAATCCTTTGGGACACGTGGCTGAAGTGTGGCCTGCGAAAGGCTCGCGACACTTGAAACATCCGTCATTGTCCCGAAGCAGCTGACGTTCAGTGTCGGTGAGAGAGGGCAAATGTGTGAAAGGCTTGGTTGAGGCAGTGGTCGCGGGGGTTGTGGACTGTCCCGCCTTGGCATTGAAGCGTGTCCCAGCTGTGAATTTCTTCTCTCCGCTGGAACGTGCACGCTCGTTGCATAGGGCGGTGTCGACGGCTTCACATTAACGAACGAGGTAGCGTAGGCGCCGTTCGTCGAGTAGTCGTACCTTCTCGATCCACTTGCGTAGTTCGGTTTCTGTTATATTTTCTGCGTGGTAATCTGCAGCGAGTTCCGCATTCATATGTGATTCTAGGTGATAGCGAATGTTGATCTCTTTCAGGTGGGATGTTGTTCCTCGTAACAAGGTGTTCTGGCTTTGTATATCCACCGCCCACTCGTTGAAGGGTCTCTGTCCTTGGGTGGAAGCCAGCATCTTGCGGCGTACAACATCCGACCAACCTGAAGGGAGCCAATAATCGCGTACTTCAGTCATATATTCTGTGAAGGTGAGCTTGTCAATACGCTCGCGATCATTGATATACCAGTCTTGAATGACTGCTTCTTGCATTCCCCAAGTGACTTTCTTTACCATCTCCTCTTCTTTCACTCCCTTGTGTAGGAAGAACTGAGTACAACCCATTTCCCATGAGCGCAGCGCCTCCGGAGTTAACTCGCCCGATGTGAGGAAGGGCGGTTTACTCGGGGAAGATTGTTCTACGCGTGCAAGTTTCGATGTGGTTGACATTGTGGGCGTGATTGAACTATGAGGGTCGGTTGAGTCGGAATCAGTGGATATATGCGTGCTGATCCGTGAGTGAGAACGAGAAGGTGGTATGATCGGATTGATCGGTTGAGTTACTGGGGGTGCGATCACGATCGTGGGTGTGTTATCAGCGGGCGGTGATCGGAGTCTATCACGACTGCGTGTCGTGACCGACAGGGGTATAGGTATCTGATTACGGTGCAGAGGCAGCTTGGTTATGTTCCGATGGGTTGACCTCGGTCAATACCCAACGATACTCTTCTAAGGTGTGGAGCGGGGGAGACGGTTACAGTTAATTGGATATGACGAGTTGTCGATATCCAACGGTGGTTCTGATACAGATAAGGTTCGGCGGTTTAACGGTTCGTTTTCATTCAACGCTCAGCTGAACATTAAAAAAAAGTGGAACCCTGTCACAGTCGACAGAGAACACTGGCGGGCAGTCAGGAAGCAGTAACGTGGAAGAGCGTGTGGGATTCGAGGTACGGTAAGAGATAAGAGATCAGTACATCAGTAGTACGATATATATATCGGATCCATGTTAATAGCCAAACACGTGTAATCATAACGCGGTGTCCAATCAACAACGGATCACGGATCACAAGTATGACGCGTTAATCACATGCACGTAAGCAGTATGCTTACAGAAGATGCGGAAATAGTTCTTGAGAAGGCTGTCAAATCATGGACTTTGTCCATCCCGGATAGTCCAGTGTTATTGGGCTCGGTGTTCAGCGGGCGACTGAATCTGCGTCTTGCGCTGCAGTGTTCGTTGAAATGAAATGAAGAAGTGGTAAATGCGCTCACTGGCAATTCCGTCACGCTTCTGAGTCCATTATCACGTGACTAGATGAGCTAATTTGCTTCTTTTCAACTCTACAGCCTGAGCTCTCTACCCTCCAACTCCGCGGTCCGGCCTGACCAGCAGGAGTGGCCAGATTACACTTTGTTCGTGAACGTGGTGGCCGGCGGCGTTCGTTCAGGCAGTTGTTTGAGCGTATCCGCCATGGCGCTACTGCACTAGGGTCTAGGCGCTGATGGTCGGACGCAGGGCGGCCTAGGTCTTCTCCAAGAGAATGGAGAACTTGTACGGTGAGCTTATACAGCGAATAAGTTCATTTTGTCAGGACTATATCGCACTGGTGCATTCGCTGCTAGTTATCACAGCTCCATTTGCGCTGTTCTCATCGTACTCTACACCATACGAGTTCAAATGCGTCAATTCGCTCGGGCGGGCGACTAGGATTTTGCTAGTCCCTCGTTGCTGCCAGTCGCTTGGACCCCGGGTCTCTCTGCAGATAGGATCTACATCCTAGTAGAAGGAAGATGTGATGGCTATCAAGCTACGATTAGCTCGTCTCCTCTGCTCGCATGAGTGGTATTCCACGGGTACCAGTCCGCGATGCTAATAAGGACACTCTAACCTGCCTGGTCTTTTCCAGTGGGACAAGTGATCCTCCCAAAGGCATGTATCTTTTGTATCGCAGTTGGACACAACATTCAAGCTGCATTTCTGACTCCATCATATAGACCTCATGGTATCCTAGGGGAATATCATCCATGCCACCGTATGTAGGAGTGATGTTAAACGGTTTGGAGATGACTAAAGTTCAAGAGGTATGTATTCATCCGACATCACTTTCCTGTTCTCCTAACCCTTCGCCAGCCACCGGTATGGGACATCCCTGATGGGCTTCCAGTATACTTCAATGTCCTTCCGATCTACCACACTTACAGCCTCCATGATCAGTTTTTTCAGCTTCCTCAAACCCTCTACGACAAGTTATACTACCGAGGTGGGACATCAATTTATTGCCAGCATCCCGAAGTCAGTGCATTTTATATCCCGTGGTACTGGTATTAATGCTTGTGTCACGAATAGATACCACATCACGATTTTAGGCCTCGTCCCATCGCTTGTACACCAGCTGGTTCACCATCCCCGCTTCAAAACTGCTGATTTGAGCTCGATTAAAGGCATAGTCAGTGGTGCTGCACACCTCCCGCCCCAGCTCGCTGCCTAGTTGCCCCCGCTTCCCAGACGTGAAAGGAATTTACGAAGGTGCAACCACAAATGTACAAGTCCGCGGCTTCATTATGTCATTGTATAAAAAGCCAGGTCAAACACAGGAACCTTCATATTCTCGGTCGCAGCCAATAGGACTGCTGAAGCCTCGGGCATTGGTGGTTAAGCATGCACCACAAGTCACTCTTCCCTGACCTGCCAGTGCCAAAGGTCCCCGAATCTAATATTCACCACCTACTTTTCAAGCAGCCTGACCAGCGGGAGTGGCCAGATTATACTTTGTTCGTGAACGTGGCTCCTGGCCAGTGGCATTTGTTCAGGGAGTTTATCGAGCGTGTTCACGACGGCGCTACTGCACTAGGTGCTGATGTGACGGATGGTGGCCTAGGTCTTCACCCAGAAAATGGAGATCTTGTAGGCGTGTTGAGCGAAAACTGTCCAGTACGTTGTATCCCATTTTTCGGTCGAGACTGTGATTCGACAAGGTAACTTTGTCAGGACTAGTATGCATAGCCTGATTCATTCGCTACTGGTTTTCTCAAAAATTCATATTCATTGTCCAGATCGTGATTAGTAAGCTTCTAGACAACTCCAAGACATGACATGACATCATCTCTAGAAGTATAAATATGGAAGTAATCCTAGAACTATACTCATTATCAACCGTCATCCAGCCGCGACAACCACAAATGCGAAAGTCAGTATTGCAATTGACGTTTGTGTTTGTGGTTGTCGCGGCTACAATGGCGCTGGTCACCTTCGCGCCTGCGCAAACTTTGTCAGGACTAGTATGCATAGCCCTGATACATTCGCTACTGGTTTTTTAAAGTTCAAATGTATTGTCCATTGGGGTCGCGGACCCTATGCTAGACATAGCCCTATTCAACGCTATTGGTTACCACAGTCCCGTTTGCGTTGTTCTCATCCTATTCAACACCGTATGAGTGATGTCGGTGCAAGAGGGCGCAAAGGTTCTTTTTGCAGGCATGCTAGTACCGAGAACGATGTAAATATCTGCTGGGGGAGCCGTCTTCCGCGGCGTCTACGATCGATAGATCACGAATGCATTACTTGGTCTATTTGAGTAATGAGTGAGCGGAAATCCACCCAAGATCCTGAAGAACGTACCTAGAACTCCTTGGCCAACCAAACTAGTACTAGTCCAACTCCGTCCTGACGAGGTCTGATTGTGTGCCCAAATAGCGAGCTATCACCACCAGCCATAGCAATGTTATCTGCAAAATCATTATAGAGAGTCCAATAGGATTCACGCACCTGCAGGTATCTTCAAAAATGTCTCATGTCGATCTTTGAACATCAACTTCGCGAACGTTGCGACACACAATGAGCAAAAATGCACCTGCCAAGCCTGTCAAGACTCAAGGTACCCGCCAACGAGAAAGCGAAAAAGATCCGGTTCTGCATGAGGCTGTACACAAGTTCAACGTTCAACGCCCATGGTGAGCGCCTCACCTCTCCAGGTTTCAGTGGTCGAATTTCTATGTACGTGCGCAATTCAAACATATCTACCTGGATCTTGTGTTCATGAAAGGCAGTGTCGCTCTTCGTCTTCATCCTCCCTGCGTTATTGACAATTATCGTGCAACTCGATTACGATGGCATGGCGGACAGGGTGGAAACGTGTCGAGCGGCCTTGCAGAGCTGCCCCCCCGGTCATTCTGATCGACCAACGATTCTCAACAATCTTGGCATCAGCCTTTATGACAGATTCAAGCAGCAGGGTGTCCTGTCTGACCTTGACGAGGCCATAGAGCTCTTTCGGGCTATGCTACTCATCTACCCTCCCGGTCATTCTCTTCGACCAACGTCTCTCAACAATCTTAGCACGTGCCTTTATGACAGATTCAAGCAGCGGGGCGTCCCGTCTGACCTTGACGAGGCCATCGAGCTCTTTCGGGCTACACTACTCATCTGCCCTCCCGGTCATTCTCTTCGACCAACGTCTGTCAGCAATCTCGGCGCGAGCCTTTATGACAGATTCCAGCACCGGGGCGTCCCGTCTGACCTCGACGAGGCCATCGAGCTCCAACGGGCCACACTACTCATCTGTCCTCCCGGTCATTCTTTTCGACCAAGGTTTCTCAACAATCTTGGCATGGGCCTTTATGACAGATTCCAGCACCGGGGCGTCCCGTCTGACCTTGACGAGGCCATCGAGCTCCAACGAGCCACACTACTCATCTGTCCTCCCGGTCATTCTCTTCGACCAACGTCTCTCAGCAATCTTGGCATCAGCCTTCGAAATAGATTCACGCAGCGGGGCGTCCCGTCTGACCTTGACGAGGCCATCGAGCTCCAAGAGGCTGCACTACTCATCTGCCCACCCGAGCATTCTTTTCGACCAACGTCTCTAAATAATCTTGGCACGAGCCTTTATAACAGATTCACGCACCGGGGCGTCCCGTCTGACCTCGACGAGGCCATCGAGCTCTTTCAGGCTACACTATTCATCTGCCCTCCCGGTCATTCTTTTCGACCAAGGTTTCTCAACAATCTTGGCCTCAGCCTTTATGACAGATTCGAGCAGCGGGGTGTCCCGTCTGACCTCGACGAGGCCATCGAGCTCTTTCGGGCTGCACTACTCATCTGTCCTCCCGGGCATTCTGATCGAACAACGTCTCTCAACAATCTTAGCCTCAGTCTTTATGACAGATTCAAGCAGCGGGGTGTCCCGTCTGACCTCGACGAGGCCATCGAGCTCCAACGGGCTACATTACTCATCTGCCCTCCCGGTCATTCTGATCGACCAACGTCTCTCAACCATCTTGGCCTCAGCCTTCATGACAGATTTACGCAGCGAGGTGTCCCTTCTGACCTTGACGAAGCCATCGAGCTCCATCAGGCTGCACTACTCATCTGCCCACCCGGTCATTTTCTTCGACAAACGTCACTCAACAATCTTGGCATGGGCCTTTATGACAGATTCCAGCACCGGGGCGTCCCGTCTGACCTTGACGAGGCCATCGAGCTCCAACGAGCCACGCTACTCATCAGCCCTCCCGGTCATTCTGATCGACCAACGTCTCTCAGCAGTCTTGGCATCAGCCTTCGAAACAGATTCACGCAGCAGGGCGTCCCGTCTGACCTTGACGAGGCTATCGAGCTCCAAGAGGCTGCACTACTCATCTGCCCACCCGGTCATTCTTTTCGACCAACGTCTCTACACAATCTTGGCACGAGCCTTTATAACAGATTCACGCAGCGAGGTGTCCCTTCTGACCTTGACGAAGCCATCGAGCTCCATCAGGCTGCACTACTCCTTTATCCCCATGGTCATTCTAATCGATCATTGTCACTCATCAGTCTTGCTTTCTGCCTTTATGAAAGATTCGAGCAGCGGGGTGCCGCGTCTGACCTTGATGAGGCATTTGGGCTGTATGCGCAACTCTCTCATATAGCTCATGCAGTCTCTCGTATGGATCTTACTGCTGCCAAGTTATGGGCCGCCTCGGCCGAGGAGACGAACCATGACTCTGTATTGGTTGCCTATCAAACTGCATTAAAATTCCTAAATCAGCATGTTACTATATTGTCATCTTCTCCACTCCATTTCGATATTGTCGGGATGGCCACTGCTTCCCTTGGAATGGACGCTTTCTCGTGCAGTGTTCGTCATGGCGCGCTCACAACTGCTGTGGAAATGATGGAGCAAGGCCGTGCAGTATTCTGGACTCATTTGGCACGCTTCCGCACACCCCTCGATGAACTCTCCATGTCTGGGGACACCGGCGCAGCCTTGGCAGAAGAGATCAAGCAGCTCAGTTTTCGCCTTCGTAACGCGTTCGACCGGTCTACGGAAGACCCGTCTCCGCAAATCCGGCAATTGACCATGCAATGGGAAGACGTCATCTCACGCATCCGCATGCTGCCTGACTTTCCTCGATTTCTCCTGCCCCCGCTGTTCTCTGACCTCCAGAAATCTGCTGAAGAAGGCCCGGTTGTCATCGTCAATGCTAGTCAGTACAGCTGCGATGCCTTGATTGTCCTAAGTGGCCAAGATCCTGTCCACGTTCCATTGCATATCGTGCAGACCGAAGTCTCCGAATTGTCTTCCGAGTTCCAGTCCCTTTCAGGACAATTTGGTTCTTCTAATCATCTATACAAGCTTGTCAACATCCTCCGGAAGCTTTGGCGTGATGTCGTTGACTCCGTGGTCCAAGCTCTCAAAGAGTCTAAAGTTCACCCTGGCTCACGTATTTGGTGGTGTCCCACTGCCGATTTTACGCTGCTTCCTCTACATGCAGCAGGACCCTACGAGGAGAAGAAAGACAATTTATCTGACATTTACATCTCCTCTTACACCCCCACTTTGGCGACACTTGTTCATGCAAGACAGCAGGTTTCTGGAGATGCGTCCCCACAGCGTTTTGTTGCCATTGGTCAAGGAAACCCACAAGGGGCGAAGGCACTCGAATATGTCGTTCCCGAGTTAGCCGTAGTCGCTCGGATTCTCGCGCCTGTTGTCTCGGTCACGTCACTCGCGGACGGCGATGCGACAGTTGAAGGTGCACTCGATGCACTAAATCATAATCAGTGGCTCCATCTAGCCTGCCACGGAATGCCGAATCGACAACAACCATTTGAGTCTTCCTTTGCCATGCGCGACGGACCTTTGATGATCAAGGATGTCATTCGATCTAACTGGCAGAACCCTCAGTTTGCATTCCTATCGGCCTGCCACACTACTGTGGGCGGTGAGATGAGTCCCGACGAGTCGATCCATCTCGCTGCGGCCATGCAATTCTCCGGATTTCGCAGTGTAATAGGTTCAATGTGGTCTGTCGACGACGAGGTTGCACGACAGGTTGTGTCCGCTTTTTACCGCAACCTGGTCGATGGGTCAGGGAGATTGGACTGCACACGGGCTGCGGTGGCGTTGCACAAGGCTGTGAAATCGTTGCGCAAGAAGATTCCGTTAGAACAGCAGATCGTGTTTGTTCACATAGGTGTCTAGTTTTTTTTATGTTATCCTGATTGCTTTCAATCCCCTGATGTCCCTAGTTTTCAGTTAGTCGAATCATGTCTGCACGATACTTGTTTTTTTTTATTGTGTACTAGTACTGCAAGCACCGTTCCAAATACATCGCGTTGTCGAACATACAAATGAGTTGGCTGTTTACACAAGCTTGACTTTGTGCGATGGACTGGTGCGTAACTCTTCCTTGCGGTGGGATTCTATGATTATTTGCACCCACTAATCAGTTATTCGCCATGTCAGGATCTATTGCAAGCAAGACATGACATCATCTCTAGAAGCCCCTGAGGGAGTAAAATATGGAAGTAATCCCTAAACCTATACTCATCCCCACATTTTCATCATATCAACCGTCATCCAAATATGATTTCAACCTGTCAGCGATACACTATTTTGACGTTTTCGTTTGTGGTTGTCGCGGCTACAACGGCGCTGGTCGCCTTCGAGCCTACCCACACCGGCTTTCTTTTCTCGGCAACGACATTTATCTCCTGTCTCTTCTCAATCTTCATGATATTTATGGACCCAGACCTTATGAGCAGCTGCGCTGCTCCACTCCTGATGTGTCTATGCGTGACTAGTATCTCCGTCGCTCTCGCCTTCGGGCGCGGATGGGAAGACGGTTAGTGAATTTAATGTTATTTTAGGAACCAACACATTAATTAATCTCTATATATCACAGGTCCGGTGTCCCGGGGATTGCTCATTCTCGCATCCTCCGTCTTTGTATTATTTTCTTTTGGTTTGGCGTCCGAGAAGAGTTCAGGTTCGGGGGTGGGCGTTTTAAGAAAGCTCGCTGTCGTCCTCAATGACCTCCGGGGCATAGCTGTAACCAACAAGTATTCCGTACTAGTGAGTCCTATCTCATCATCTACGTATACTTGTCCTAAATATTATTATTCCAAGCCACTACATGAGTCTTATCCATACTTTCAGACCCCCGCACAACCTGCCGCCGCCGCAGATTCGGGCATCACCATCGCTGACTCGGGCATCACCACCGCTGATTCGGACGTCACCAACGCCTTCCCTGAAACCCTTCCGAACGATGATGGTCGGGCTGAAACCCTCCTTGACGTCTCTACAGATTTCCCGGACAGCCAACCAAAGTAGCACACTAATACCACTGGTCCCACAACAGACGTTTGTCATTAATTCATTGTGGTGATTGCTTAAATGCAGGATCAGTTATGTATGACTAAATGCGTGCGTACAAAGCCTCACCCGGCTAGCAAGTAAGTTTGTGTTGTCTAACTTGGCACCCGTCTATGTAGGTCAAACATTTCCTCAAGAGACGAGTCAGAGTAAGCATAGCATAAGTCAGATATCGATCGCTTCTTGGTCACGTACCAAGTGGCACCCCAAACTAGGACCCCGGAGAACCTCCAAAAGCCTAGTACACGCCCAACGGCGCAGTCGGCATCAAAGCCGCAAAAAGCTTCCAGTCCTCTGATCATCGATCTGCTTCTCTCGAATCTAGATACATAATAGACCCTCTACCATAAAAACTACCACAAAAACAACAACAAAAAGAACAAAAATCACAAAAAGACACAATGACGTTAACTAATAATACCAAAGGACCCCAGAAAACAACAACCCCAACGATGAAGGCACCACACCCTCCAACGAGAGCATCATCAAGACTGGCAGTGAATGAAATAATAGAAGCGAATAGCGAAGTCAAAGATACGATAAGTGCACAATCCTATCTGATCCGTACGGCCATGGCCATTAGTGGCAAGCCCTTTTCTACTGACAACCTGTCAGATATCCTTTTCCACATCACACAGCTACCAGGAGTCACCTTACCGGCCCAAAACGCAATAAGAGCAGTAGCTTTCCTCCTGGAAGATGCTGCTGTAATTGAAAACGCCGACAAAATCGCCAAACTGGTTATTACTGCCATCTCACCACACATAGCGCAAATCCACGATGCAACAGAAAACATGAAAGAAACAGCAACACAAATCAAAGAAACTCAAAACAAAATATCAGACATATCCACCAACATAAACGGTAACAACGCAGATACACTAATTGGATCAATAGATATCGGAAACAGACTAGAAAGAGTCCAAGAGGCAGTCACCACTCTCACGACCCAGGTTCAGGAGGCCTCACAACAAAACGGATACAAGAAAGCACTTATGACCGGATTGGACAACAACCCAAGTGACACCGCCAACCCTCAGGACACCCAAAGAGCAGCACGAAATGCGATCAAAGCATGCCAGATACTTATCAACATTCCAGCAGATAGCCAACTGGCTCCAGGCAAGATATCGCACGCACAACTAGTCGAGAAGATCAAAGAAGCCCTAAAAACGATCACAAAAGACGACTCACCAGAACTGATAGTTCGTGCGGTATCCCAGTTTCGCAATGGGGGAACGGTGATAGAAATGACCACCCCACAAGCAACAGACTACCTACGGAATCAAAACACCAAAGACGATTTTATCAACGCCCTCGAACCAAGAGCAACCCTGAAAGAACGATCATACCCGGTAATTATTCAATTTGTCCCACTGACCTTCGACCCAAGCAGCCCGGAACAAATCCAAGAATTAGAAACGGAAAACGGATGGACACCAGAATCAGTAACTATGGCCAGATGGATCAAGCCGCCAGCAAAACGTGCAACAACCCAAAGAGTCGCTCACCTTCTCATCACACTCAAAGACCCAAAGATCGCTAACGAAGGTATACGCGACGGCATTACACTAAACAAAAACAGATTACAGATGAAGAAAAACAAGAAAGAACCAGTCCGCTGTGCAAAATGCCAACATTTCGGCCACATCGCCAGAGAATGTCTATCCCACCGCGACACATGCGCTAACTGCGCTGAAGATCACCGCACGAACGAATGCACTAACAAGAATCGCACCTGCTGCATTTCATGTGAATCCGACGACCACGCCAGTTGGAACAGGAATTGCCCAGAATTCGAACGGAGGTGCTCCGACCTCGACACCAGGGACCACGACAACACCATGCCCTACTTCCCGACAAATGAAAACTGGACGCTAGTCCAGGCACCAACAAGACCAAAATCCTACGTAAGACCGCAAGATAACCATCAACAAGAACCAACGCAACGTACGCAAAACACATTAGAACGTCATCTTGCCCCACGAGGCACAAATGCCACAAGAGGCGCAAGACCAACACGAGGATATTACCCACCATCGAACTCAAGACTTTCACCACGAATCCCTTCCCAATACACTAACCCCCAAAACAGATCCCGCTCTCAAACGCCAGCCACCTCAACTTCAAGATTTTCTAATGTCTAATACAACCAATAACGACGCAGTCCGCCTTAAAATATGGCAGGAAAACCTTAATAAGTCCAGCACCGCTCAACATTGCATACTAAGTGGTCCGTTTACAGCGAAAGAATACGACATAGTAGTCATCCAAGAACCGCATATCGACCTCCTAGGCAACACGAGGGCCACATCCGATTGGAATGTAATCTACCCGTCCCATAGATACACCCACCAAAGCCGCTCCCGAGCAGTCACCCTCATCCACAAACGAGTCAATACCAACAACTGGCGACAACTTCCATTCCCATCGGCAGACGTAGTGGTAACGCAACTTAACGGCACATTCGGTAAAGTGACGATCTTCAACATCTACGACGACATCAAGAAACGCGAGGTCCTTCCAGCGCTAGCCGCATATTTAGACAAGGAAATCCGAACAATACGCCCTACCTCAAATGATCATATCATCCTCATGGGCGACTTCAATGCCCACCACCACTTGTGGGAAGAAGCAAGAAACTCCCATCTTTGCACACCTCCGGAAGCACAAGAAGCGGCCCAACGAATCATTGAACTACTCGCGGATCGCGACATGCGAATGGCATTACCACGCGACAAGCCAACCCTTCAAGCTTCAAACAGCGGAAACTGGACGAGGCCCGATAATATATTCTGCACAGCGCACACCTTAGACGCCTTCACACTATGCGACACGGCTCCTAGACGACGCCCTCCCTGTACTGATCATGTCCCCATTCTATGCACTCTAGACTTCAACATCCCTCGAACCTCAACAACGACCACTCGTAACTTCCGCGATGATGACTGGGACGAATTCTGCGGTCACCTCAATCGCCAGCTCGAAGACTACCCCCCGCCGAAAATCATTACCACGGAACTCCAATTCCAAACCGCCGCAACTAACCTCAATGACGCCTTAAAACGCACCATAGAAAACAAAGTCCCAGCAGCGAAACCATGCCCGCATGCTAGAAGATGGTGGACGAAGGAGTTAACGATACTAACGAAGAAGAAAAACAAGCTAAGTGGACAATCCTACATGATGAGAGGCTTACCAAATCACCCAGTACACGAAGAACATCGCAAGATACGAAACGAAGTCACGGAGACCATCCGGAAAACCAAACAAGACCATTGGATTGAGTTCCTGGAGGAACTCAATCAGCAGAGCGTTTACACCGCAAATAAGTATATCACCTCCCCGTCGGGAGACGGAGGCAGAACTAGTATCCCTGCGCTCAAATATATTAACGCTAACGGTTCACACGCAGAAGCTATCACGAACGCCGACAAAAGCAAGATACTAGCGGACTCCTTCTTCCCACCTCCGCCGGCGACAAGTACAGTCCCAGAAGACTTCGAGTATCCAGAGCCGATAACCCCATTCACCCCGATAACGCTAGACGACGTCGAACGAGCCATCGCCAACACGAGTTCCTACAAAGCCCCAGGACCCGACGGAATTTGCAACATTGTATTCAAGCGCGCATCAGCAATAATCAGCCCCTACCTACGACACTTATTCAATGCAGTATTCTCCCTCAAGACATACTATGACCCATGGCGGGAATTTACCACGGTAGTACTACGCAAACCAGGGAAAGCTAACTATTCTATTCCTAAGGCTTACAGACCAATAGCGCTCATCAATACAACATGCAAGATCCTAACAGCAATCATAGCAGGACAGGTAACCACAATCATAGAAACTCACGATCTTCTCCCAGACACCCATTTTGGAGGCCGCCCTGGCAGAACAACGACGGACTCTCTACACCTACTCGAAACTACGGTGAAGAACGCCTGGAGAAATGGCAAAGTCGCTTCCATACTTTTCCTTGACATCGAGGGAGCATTTCCGAACGCTGTAACAGATCGCCTGACCCACAACATGCGTAAGCGAAAACTCCCCCCGGAAATTGTGGACTTCACAGAATGAATGCTCACCGGCCGCCGCACGCAACTACGGTTCAACAACACCACCTCTGAATGGATCAACGTCAGAAACGGAATAGGACAAGGGGATCCGCTCTCGATGATCGCATACCTAATATATAATGCTGACTTAATAGATATCGCCAACCCGAGAAACGGAGAATCCGCTCTGGCTTTTGTCGACGACACGGCGTACATAGCCGTGGGCCCCACGTTCGAGGACACGCACTCGACACTCAAGAACATGATGGAACGACCAGACGGCGCCCTACAATGGTCACGCGAACACAACTCCAAGTTCGAGGTCAATAAATTTGCTCTCATCGATTTTACACGCAGCAAGACCAGAACACGACCCCCGCTAATCATCAAGGACACTACAATAAACCCATCTGAGCACCATCGTTTTCTCGGCCTCCTAGTTGATCAGGAACTAACTTGGAAATTTCACGTAGGTCACGCCATTGCAAAAGGAACAGAATACGTCCTTCAACTCAATCGACTCTCCAAGCCCGCCAACGGAGTATCAGCAAAGCTAATGCGTCAACTTTACGTTACGGTCGCCATCCCGAAGTTTACATACGGAGCAGATCTCTGGTTTAGACCTACATACGTGGAAGGATCACTGAAGGCGCAACGAGGATCTAAGGGAATAGCAGAAAGGCTAGCAAAAGTGCAGAGGATCGCGACGCTAAGTGTTACCGGCGCAATGAGATCAACAGCGACTGACACCCTTAACGCTCACGCCAACCTTCTTCCCATAGATCTTCTCCTTCAAAGGACATGTCATCGTGCAGCGCTTCGTTTAGCTACTCTCCCAGCCCGTCATCCCCTCAATACACACCTCAAGCATATCACCAAGCACTACAATATCAAACGCCATCGATCATCCCTTCATAACCTGCTCGCTACATTCAAAATATTTCCTGAAAACGTCGAAACGCTTGATCCAATCCGCAGATCAAACGCATCAATACCCAACGCGCACAAGACCCACATTGCCATCAAGAAAGACCAGGCCATTAAGGAGCAAAAGGAACTCAAAGACGACATACAAATCTTTACTGACGGTTCAGGCCATGATGGAGGCATAGGTGCAGCAGCGGTGCTCACCAGAGAAGGACAGGAACCCCGCATACTCAAATACTTCCTTGGCCCCGACAAAGCGCATACGGTATATGAAGCCGAAGTAGTTGGATTAACGCTAGCCGCCAAACTGCTAGCCACGGAATCAAACGTAACCTACCCCGCGACCATCTTTGTTGATAATCAAGCAGCCATCCAATCCGGTGAGAGCCATAGAACGAAACCGGGCAGCTATTTAGTAGAAAACTTTCGTAGGATGACCAGGCATCTAGCCAAGAAGAGACGCGAACGAGAGATGAACTTTGACCTAACGGTCCGCTGGGTTCCCGGACACACAGGAGTAATGGGGAACGAGTTAGCAGATGTGGCAGCGAAAGAAGCAGCAGAGGGAGAGCATCAGAACAGCGCAGTGAACCGCCTCCCCACCTACCTCCAAAACGAACCCCTGCCAGACAGCGTATCCGCTCTGAAGCAATGGCACGACAACGCACTGCAGAGAAGATGGACTAAAGGATGGGAAAGATCGCCCCGATACGCAAGGACCAAAAACATAGATCCATCCCTACCCTCAAACAAATTCATCAAGCTCGTAGCCAACCTACAGAAACGCCAAACAAGCATTTACACCCAACTCCGCACTCACCACCTCCCCCTTAATCGCCACCTGCATCGCCTCGGAAAAAGCAAGTCCCCACATTGCCCACTATGCCCCAACATAGACGAAACCGTTCATCATTACCTATTTGACTGCCCCCAATATGTCAGAGAACGCCACTTCCTCGCTAACTCACTCCGCCGTCAAGCAACCTCCATCTCGTACATCCTCACATCCGAAAAGCTACTCAACCGCTCATGCGCTACATCAACTCCACGGGAAGATTCAAGTCAACGTTTGGTGAGATTTCGGACAGCTAATATGTATTTCTACAAGTTCACGCACCTGCACAGTACACTACAACGCTACACTAACATCAACCTTAACCTTAATCACCTCCGAGACTGAAGGGAACCCTCGCTGGACGAGACGTCAAAAACGAAGGAAAGGAGAGAACCCCGGCAACCAGCCTCCCCTACCTCATCATTATTCCCCTCGTACGAACTCAGCGTCGGCCTTTGCCCGACAACAAGCTGGCGGAGTACTTGTTTTCCACTGATAACACGATAGACTATATACATACACACGATAGATAGGCGGGAGTAAGCCCCCCGCGAAAAGGGCTATGTCCAACATAGGGTCTACGACCCCAAAGGACAATAAACTTGATTTAAAAAAAAAAAAAAAAAAAAGTCAGATATCATCCGCGAAATATGTACATAACGACCGTCTGTATAACTTAAAAGTAAACTCTGTACGCATAGGATCCACTACTATTTTGAGGGAAGGGATAAGGGCAACGTATTCCGCGCGCTGCTCATCAGTTGTCACAACCCCATCGCCGAAAGTAAGGCTCTCCAGGAGACACTTTGACCGTGTTAAAAATTCCTTGAACTCTTCATGAGGCCACGGTTGTACATAGCGAGCTTCGAGCGCTCGTAGATTCGGGAGTGAGAGAGCATCGAAGAGGCCAAGATCTTCGACTGTGTCCCCAAACAAATCCCCGGAAATAATGCGTATGGATTGAAGTGTGGTGTGCGTCGATGGCTCCAAGGCCTCAATTTCGGTGATTACCGCAACAATTGTCAAAGAAGAGAGGTGGGGGCATAGATTTAGGAGGGAAGGGAGTGTGTTTAGTCCATGTGCATTGATCTCGATATTTGTGAGATGGGCCCATGTGGGATTGTACTCGAGGTCGAACACTGGCAACAAGTTCGTTGTTTTGAGACTGCGTAGAGTGAGCGGCAATTGCGAGATAGATTTGGCGACCGCTGGCATAAGATCGGAGCCGTCCGTGGATATGGTCAGCTTCTCAAGTGCGAAGAAGTCTGCTATCATGACTTCTGGTTGGTTCGCACCGGAGGAAAAATCCAGAGAGAGAGCCGATACTCGATTGATGTACGGCCCAAGCAGGCTTCGTAGCTGGGTCCAGTGGTCTGTGTGACAATCGAGTGCCAATGATAGCGGACGTCCCCGTGATCGCCTGAGCCAAGTTTCATAGCAGAAGGCTGTCTGCTGCCAGTCTTTGCCTACAGACAGTCTACACCACAAATTGGACATGCTCACGGAAACCTCCCTCCATCGTCGACATACTCTGGTCAACATAGCCACGTTTGATGCGCGCGACAAGTACTCCGAGTCGTCTTCCGGGAGACAGTGAACGAAAATGTTGCATAGAGTTTCAGTTGGCAGACGCGAAAGAGCCGATCTGCTGTGCGAATTTCCAAACCGGATTAGGACCGTAGATGAATGGACTTCGGAGTTGAATGTCTCCATATTTGTTGTCATGAACGTTTAAAAACGTGAAGGAGGTAGAGATGTTGGAGGTGGAGGTTAGAAATAAGCGTCACCAACCATCGCGTCCCTATATAAATTACAACGCGTTGACCTTCGCAAACTACAACAAACACATCAGCTTGCCATTATAGTGCATTAATAGGATATTCTTGTGGCTCATACCCATCTTCCACGCTTAGCTTGGATTGTTCCAAAGCGTGTCGATGGCTTCGACAAACTCGATGGGCGCGACTAGGCCAACTGAGGCCTCGTGTCCTTTTTATGTACGCGACGACTGAAGGTCACTTGTCGAGTGGACTTTTATTTTCTTCCCTATTGTAATGATAATATTGCTTTGATATCTGACAAGCGTGCAGCCTGCGAGGTCGCTGTCGCTTAGGTGGTGGTGTGAACGCATATCCGAAATGTTTGGAAGGGACCCCGGTTAGATGACCACGAGAAGAGTCGACTCATATGGCTGCACGGCGGGCGTCGGAAATTCTGCTGTCACGATCACTATGGGATGAGAGATCTGAAAGTGACAGAGCAAACGAATATCGAAAAGCGGCTCGCAGGAACATCGTCACGAGCACGCAGTCGGGATTACTATGAGTTTTAAACTCAGCTCGTTGCCAGCTTGATTCACCCCTATCGTATGTTGGTTCAGCATTCTTTCAACGGTCAACGCTACAATTAATCGCTTCTGACACAGTCACGACCAACATTGTGGTATGTCTGTTCTGATACATTCGATATCATAATATTGACGATAACTAGATGCCAGACCTTGAATCACCAGTACTGTACTCCGGTGATCCTGACCACTCTGTCATGCGCACCGGCCAGAGCGTTTCCGCCATCATCGCCGATGGCCAGCACCACTCCATGATCTTACACGAGGGACTTGGACCGGCTGTCTCTCGTTTACCAGCTGAACTCTTATCTGACATATTTATGTACACACTCCCGCCATTCGATGAGGTGTTGGCCCCTTCAAAGCTACGTTCTCCCATGCTGTTGACCAGATTATGCCGGAGATGGAGGGAGGTTGCTGTGGACATGCCACGTTTGTGGTGCAGCCTGTCCATTGGGTATATGAGCGACAACCAAGAGCGTTGGCAGCGGGAAGCCTTCCGCTACAACACGTGGCTCGAGCGATCGCAAGGGCTTCCACTGTCGTTGGCACTCATGTGGAGCTCAGATCGCTTGACCGACCTTCTTCATCCTTACACGAATCAAATCTCGTCTCTTCGTATCCACATTTACTGCACCGCCACACGCGACATATTGTTAAACGACCTCCCAGCACTTCAGGAGCTTACCATAAACTGGAATAACCACGACTTCGGCATTGAGAGGACGGCTACTGCGCAATCTATTTTGAGACGCTCATTCACCCTGCGCAGTCTCAAAATGACAGGGAGATGGTTCATGTTCCGCTGGGATGACTTCGACCAGTTTGCTTCTTTCAAACCCGGATGGCCCCACTTGACGCATATTGAGATCACTCTAACTCAACTGGATGTACTCCCCAAGTTGCTTCAGCAGGGTCCCAACCTTTCCTCGGCCAGGATTCTCTTAGCTGAATGTGATACTCGCATACCGATATCACCATACACGCACACGAAGCTTCAATCTTTACACATCAATAGTTCTGGCAGGCCAAAAATTCCACAACTCTGCGACCTACTAAACGCCCTCACACTCCCCTATTTGCATGAGCTTATGGTTAGCTGCTCATCGCTTGAATGGTGTCATGGGGTGTTCAAGGAATTTTTGGCACGATCAAATTGTCCCCTGGAGTCCCTGACTTTTGGTTATGCATACTCAACAGCCTCAGAATTAGACAGGATGAAGGCGGAATACATGATGCTCATTCCTTCCCTTGAAGTAGTAGTGACGCCTAGTGTTCGGCACAGATCATGATAACATGTACAGTCAGTTGTTTATCGTTCATGAATTTTGTTTGTTTGCACTTTGCAGAGACAAAAAACAAGGGTATACGGATCGATCTCTTGACTTCAATGCAAGTTCCAAAACGTATTTGCTCTCTCATATAGCGACAATATAATTCGCATGACAATCTGTCCATTGCAGTGATACAATTATAGTCTAATTTACTTATCTAAGTACGTTCTCGATATAAGATAGCTACCTATTTTGTGGTGGTTGTTGGCGCAGCCGTTGAACTAGCAGAAGCACTGCTTGTGTTAGTGTTGATCGTGGTAGAAGTGTTGGAATGAGAGTTGGCGATTTCTGAAGCGATTGCAGCCGCGTTCATCCGGCTGGGCGTTGTGGATGGCGACGAGGAGGTAGAGGAGGTAGAGGGGGCAGAGGAGGTAGAGGAAGAAGATGAGGACGACGGGGAAGATGATGTGATGGACGCAGAAGACGGGGAACCCGCAATCGGGACGAACTCGATTTCCAGTGAGCCGCTCACGGGCTGCGAGGTCGATGTCGCCTGGGTGGTAGTCGCCGAGCCCGTGGAGGTTGCTTGAGAAGATGACGACCCCGGGCTTGAAGCAACGATATCAGCGTGGACAGAAGGAGAGGGCGGGATAGATGAAGATGTCGGTTGGGCGGTAGTCGCTGGGACTGTGGAGGTTGCTTGAGAAGATAACGACCCTGGGATTGAAGCGGCGATAGCAGCGTGGACAGAAGGAGAGGGTGGTACCGATGATGATGAAGTTTGAGTGGTGGCGGAGCCCGTGGAGATTGCTTGAGAAGATGACGACCCTGGGCTTGATGCGACAATAGCAGCGTGGACAGAAGGAGAGGGTGGCATCAATGATGATGTAGGTTGAATGGGGGCGGGGCCTGTGGGAGTTGCTTTCGAAGAAAGCGAACCCGCGCTTGAAGGAGCAGCAGCAGCAGCGTGGATAGCAGGAGAGGGTGTCGATGTCGATGTCGAATTGCATGTTGTCGGCATTGACGAGCATGATGAAGATGTCATGGTAAGCGCAGCGATAGCGGCCACAGGACTTCCAGCAGCGGACGACGAAGATGAAGACGGGGTTGCGGTGGCAGTGTAGACAACCGTAGTGGTAATAGTCGTCGTCACCACATCGTCTGCGCTCGATTCAGCAGCATCAGTAGAAGGTGGAGGTGCAGAGACCGCATGATCCGAAGGCCGGAACACTAGAGTCACGTTCTGTGCTTCTGGTGCAGACGAGGAAGGAGTGGGCTGAGGCGCAGACGTGGAGCTGGTGTTCGTACTATCCCGCTCAACAAACATCGCATGGGAAGAAGTGCTGCCATCGCTGTTCGTCCACATCGGCTTGATGACACCAGTAGAGGGATTGTACTCGAAGATCTGGCTCTTGTGTGGATCCGTGGCCAAAATGGTGTAGTCGACGATAGGCGCCATGCCGTTGTTATATGAGTAATCCAGGTTTCTGACGTCGTTCTCCGATGGCGACGGATTGCACATCTCCATCATCATTGGCTCGGGCCCAGATGGGTTCGGGTCGAAAGTCGCACAGTAGAGGGAATTAAACATATTAGTTTGGACCATGACGTGCTTCGTCGCGTTTGCTATGGAGATATTTGAGTTCGGCGATGAAACAAATGTAAATGGATAAATACCAGGGTTGTCGAATGAGTTGTCATTAGCATCGACCAAGTAGAACTGTGTCCCATTTGTACTTGACGCATTGAGAGGGAAGGAGCCATTACTAGCGTGTCCGCTGGTCGAGTTGGTCGACGTAGTATTGGTGGAGTTATACGCCAAAGAATCGAGGGCGAGAGATGCGAGGTGCCGGCCTTGATCTCCGCTCTGGAAGTGCGATTATAAGAACACAGAAGCGCAAAAAATATGATCCATACCACAATGTCAATGATCCCGGAAATATTACTGGAAGCTGCTCCCCTGGAGACTAGATAGTTATTTCCGCCTGTACCGTGGACGAGAGCAGACGAGCGGCGAGAGAGAGGAGTAGGACGACGTGTGGAGGCATCGCGCGGCGAGAAAGGTGGATGAACATCATCACTGCGAACGTGAGCAAAGCTAAAATCCTGAACGCCGGCCAGCGGGTTCAATGGGTCGGAATCGGAAAACCTGAAGAACCTCTGTAATGTCGGTAAGTTTCAGAAGATGATGGTAATTAGAACAAGACGGCCTAACTTACCGAACTAGGAGTATTGACATTCGCCTTTCCTTTGCTCTCGGAGGATTTGTGGGGATCATGTCCAGCAGTCAGGCTCGGAAATGAAAAGATAGAGCGTGGCTTATCAGCCTGGTACGCAGTGGAAACACGGTTACCAATGGGATGGCTTGCAATATATGCAGCGTCGGCAGGGGGTGGAAGCACGAGAGCGATGATAACGCAGATGCCTGTGAAAGCAACAAACTGAGATGTGAAGCGCATGATAGAAACCGTGTACAAGGAAGGGATGCGGCCTGGCGCAGCGTTAAGAGGAACAAGAAGAGTAGTTGAATGTGAAGAAAACGATGCCTGTCGTGCAACAAATCACCAGGATCTGAGCGGTAGAAGAGTGAGATGGAAAACACTGATATTCCGAGAACATCGAGACTTTATACCCTGCATGAGAAGGATAGATGTGAAACACCAACGTCACCCTCCGCAGAGAAAGCGCGCATGCTAAACTGGTCTGGATTGAGATCGGCGGGCTTTGCGTGACGACTCGCAATGGAAACCGATAGTCGTGTTTACAATGACATGTCAAACATACGTCTGCAGCCGTTGCATGTGTTCTGTATGATCAGAGCTTTCATACACTGCATATGTCACTAATACTCAGCTTCGGATGAGTCGACGCAGTATGTGATTATGACCGAGCTGTACCGTACAAGTGCCATGGCCAGTGCGAGTCCGGAAGTCTGATCACTCCCATGAGAAATACTCCAGGATCGCACACGACCATGCAGCAGTACTAGTCACGTCTATGAATGCACACTTTTCTGTTGGAAAGTAGAAGTTCAAGTTAGCGCGCCGAATCGCTTCCAGTCAACACAACCAAGGACTTTCGGGGATTGCCATTTTGGGACACATCATCAGCTCCCGAGGTTTTCTCCTCGACTCAGGTAACTTTGGAAAAATATTATATATCCACAGAAATGGCCACAGTACCAACAAGCATCAAAAGGGCAAGACTTGCGAGTTCACCGAAAGCAAAGAAGAAAGTCAAGCCAGCCGTCCAAACCGATCACCATCTCGTATCCTCCACGAAGGGCAAGCAGAAAGCCAAATTATCCACGAAACCCGCTTCAGACCTCCCCACATCCTTCAAGGTAATCGCTGGATCCTACGAAAAACTGCTCTACGGCTTTGACGGGACTGTCGCGCTCAACGAGGCCCACGATAGCTACAAGTTCGAGCTGCGACCTATCTTTATATTCCCCGCACATGTATCGTGCATCAAGGCTGTTGCTGCATCTCCAAATGGTGGAAAATGGCTTGCTACAGGGAGCGCAGACGAGGTTATAAAGGTCTGGGATTTGCGTAGGAAAAAAGAGATCGGTGGGCTCATGCACCACGAAGGTGCGTTATAGTGTTCTATATACCTGCGTCATTTACAACTTGTTGCGACAGGGTCCATAACACAACTTCAATTCCCCTCCCGCTCGCATCTCCTCTCAGCGTCTGAAGATGGCTCATTATGCCTTTTCCATGCACGCGACTGGGTCGTGCTTCGTACCCTCAAGGGCCACAAGGGACGCGTCAATTCTACAGCGGTACATCCGTCCAACAAAGTCGCTTTAAGCGTAGGCAAAGATAACACGCTGCGCATGTGGGATCTCATGCGAGGGAAGGGATCTGCTAGCACCAAGCTAGGGAAAGGTGAGTATTTTCTCAGGCATCAAATCCATTTCTGAACTTTGGCGATGGTTTAGAGGGGGAAGTTGTGCGGTGGTCCACGACAGGCTCGTCGTTCGTTGTGCAATCGCAAAACACGATCGATGTATTCACAGTCGTAAGTCGATATCAGAACTTTATCTTACGTTTGTATAATCAGTTTGATCGCACCTAGGACATGGTTCTTCGCCACACTATCACGCATCCATCCCGAATACACACGATTAGGTTCAGTAAACGAGTCAATGGCGCTGGCGAATTATTACTTGTCGGCGCAGAAGACAAAAAATTGTCAATCTACGACATTCCAGATGACCCAGAAAAAATGCCCACCGTCATTGCCGTGATGACCGGGCACTCCAATCGGTACGTACGATGTACTGACCCCCACTTTGTTTTTTACACCGTCCTTCTTTAGCGTAAAAGCAGTTGAAATTCTTCAACTTGCACTGCCCCGATCAACGAAGGCAAACACACCCTCGTCGACTATCATTGTGTGCACCGTCTCATCTGACGGTAAAATCCACGTTTACGACCTGGCTTCGCTGCCCGCGGACGTAAAATCTGGAAGTGAAGTGCTACACATATCACCTGTAGCTGAATACGATACAAAAGGCACGCGGCTTACGTGCGTGACGATCGCAGATGGCGAAGCTCTCGAGCATGTAAGCAGTGCGAATGGGAAGCGGAAACGGGAAGATGAAGACAGCGAACAGGAAGCTGAGGATGAAGGATGGGGAGCTCATGAACCGGAAGCAGAGCATGAAGATAGTGGGTGAGGTCGAGGTTTGACAGATTTACTGTTCTTTGTGTACTTGGCTGCCATAAACTCATCTATGCTCGTCTTGTTTCGTGTTTATCTCTCCTTTTCTCTCTTTTTTTTCAGTCCGTGAGGGTGTTCTTAACTAGCACGAGCTCGAACCTCGTCTCACTACTCGTTCAGGCCACAGCACAGTATCCACTGCCTTCGCGCCGGAGTCGAGATAACAATGTCTAGGTCTCAGCCAGTCGATTCTTCCTCCGAATTTCTGGTAAGCATGGTCTCAAATGCGCCCTTGTAATCCGTCTCCGTATCTCCGCATCACGTCGTTGTTCTGCGCATCTCACGCCCCCTCACATGCACGCTAGGGATGCCAACCGAATAAAACATCCTAACGATCATTACATCCCAATCTGATTTTAATTTGATGCCTATGCATGACGTGTAGCACCTTTGAAAATAAGAAAGAAGCTCATGTAAAATTATCAAATCCTGCGGTGTCTGGCGGTGATGGCGGATGCGACACCGCCAAAACTGGACATTAATATTGGGCCTAGCCGTGTCGTGCCCGGTGTATCTGTAATCTTGACCTGTCAACTTGCCAACTTGGAACAGCTTGGCACCCTATCGTCATTGATCGAACTTGGAAGTCACCCTCATTTATGCTTCCTTCTGAATAAGTAATCACATAATGTATCCAGGTGGACGCGCAGGCCTGGAGCTGTCATTTTGGCGCTGGTAAGTTGGAGTTGGAAGCCGCGTCAAATGCAACCCAAACCGATTCTCAAGCGCCAGCGATGCACATGCCTCCGACGTTGATCATTTTGCTAGCATTTACGTGCCCCGTCGAATTGTAAATCCGTGTTCACATCATGTATCCAGGCGGTTGCGCACGCCTAAGGCTGTTGTTCTGGCGCTGGTGAGTTGGGACGTAATTATTTCATACAGGACATTCAACCCAACACGCCAGCACCAACGATGCACGTGCCACATCGATTCCGATTCCTACTGCTGTGTCGTGCTTTCGTAGTGCACGTACGACAAACACAACCCAACTCGCCAGCGCTAGCAAAGCGAATGCTAGTCAAGTTCCCCGCGCTTATTCACTCCAACAGCCCTGGCACACCTAGTGCGCCTAACACTAGGGACACCACCCACCGCACAAGTAATCCCAACTCGCTCAACTCGCCCGAGGCGCCCTCCACCAACTTACCCGAGTTGCCCAACTCTCCCGACTTGGCGTTCGAGCGTTCGAACGCGTTCATAAGGGTTCGGTCCAGCGTTCACCCTCCTTGCCTGAACATCAAAACATCTCACAGAAACACGCATGACTCATACCCTCTATTATAGATATTATATTGCGCACCGTATAGTAATACTGCTTGCATCATGTATTTTGGACCCAGACCGTAGCTGGAATCCACTGATTTACCACCATCCAATGAATTTTTAAGCCTGCCTACATTTACCGGAAATTCAGTGGATTTTATCCACTGATATTATATAACAGACGCACAGCGTAAAACAGCGCATTACTACTGAGGTGAAATTCGGTGAAATTTCACAATTTCCATAGATTTCCACGCATTCCCCCGAACCTAAATTACCCGTTGTGATAGTTTATCGGAGTGTCAAACTACGCTGTGCTACCCATCGTCAAAATCTATATGATATAAACGACTTTGCGCCTAGCACAGCACAATGATGCGATCGAAGTAATATTAACGCGCGGTGCACGCGACTTGCAATGACGTCGTCGACTGAGATTTTTGCTAAGTCCTACGTCCCATCTCCCAGCTAATTCGTCACCTCCAGCCCTGTCGACGAGCACGACGACCATCATGCCAGACGAACTGCGCTTTCCGTGTGCTTGTAGTCAATGCGCGCACCATCGAAACGGATTTGTATATCAGACTCGGCAGGTAATTGCCAAGCACATGAAGAAGTACAACCCAGCATCGAAAATCCAACGACACGCACCAAAGCCAGCTACTTTGACTCCGGGTCGCCAACCTCTCGTTTCGCAGACAAATGCCATACCAGGTCCTTCCGTGCAGCCGCTACAGTCAAACTCGCAGGATGTATCTATGCGAAGAACTCAGAGCAGAGACTTGCGCGAGCAAGCCAGAAATGCGCTTCCCCTAGCTCGAATGAACTCACAGCCTCAAGACAATGCTAACTTCGATTTTGATCATGAGTATCACGCTGAACAGGAGCTGCAGGACCCCCTACCGGATATTAACCAAGAATTACCCCTCCTTCGACGTCGACAACTTCAGCCGCATCGCCCTGATCAGAATTTTCAGCCGGCTGCACTACCTGATGTTCGCGAGCCCGGAGTCGATCAGGACGAGGCTGATGCACCATCCCTCGTGCCTGTTGCATTCAAGGAACATGGCGAAATTCGATATGCTTACCTTACAGCTGTCATGGCCAACGTTTATGGCCACCTCTCGTGGAATCAGGCGACAAATCAACTAAATCATAGTCTCAACATGCTCCTGATCGCGAACGTACTCCCCACATTTCCACGACCTGTTCGAGCATTGGCCAGCGCAAAACGGCACCTTGGAATTGACCCCGACCAATGGATCACTCAGTATGCGATATGCCCTGAATGCTGGAAACATCACTCGCCTTCACAACTCAAGCAGCTTCTTTCTGCGGAATGCTCCGTTCCGGCCTGTAATGGTGTCATCTACACCGAACGTCGAGATGCAAAAGGTAAGATGGTCCGCACCGCTACAAAAATCAATCCGCAGGTGTCCGTCATTGGCAGTTTACGGCGCATGTTCATGCGTCCAGGATTCGCACAGTCGATCCGCGACAGTCGGCAGGATCAACCTGGACAGAACACCGACGAAGATTTCGTTATGACGGATATCCATCATGGGACACAGTGGCATGACCTCGAGACTAACATCCTACGCGAGGTTGGTGAGTTTGGAGCTGTGCGAGACCGGGCAATGGAGGGAAGGATGGTGAAGAAACTTACGGAGCATCGTTATGGCTTACATCTGACTATGAATACGGACTGGTAGGCTTCAATTATGCGCATATATTTGGCTAATATGTTCATCATCAGGATGGGAATCCTCGAGAACCGACCGCATTCAACCGGAGCAATATACTTTGCGATCAATGATCTGCCTCGGGACCAGCGCTTCCTTCAGATAAACGTCATCTGTGCTGCTGTTTTACCAGGACCGAAAGAGCCTAACGTCCAGCAGATCAATCACTGCCTCGAACCATCAACAAAGGAGATGATGCTCCTTCAAAACGGTAACTTCGATAGATTTCGCTTATTGATTTATTTTTTATCAGCCATATAACTCCAGGCGTCAAAATGGACATTATCGACGAGGATGAACAAGCTAACGTCTACGCAGACAATCAGATCCTCGATTGTGACATGCCAGCTGCCCACAAGTTGTCGGGAACAGCAGGCCACTCGCACGACATGCACCCATGTCTCTATTGTGATACCGACATCACGAAAATCAACACACGGGAAGGCTATGACTACAGTAGTACCTTTTTCATGCAGGATTCACGGGTATTGAATGTCATTGCAGGCTGGACAGCAACAGATGATGATCATCTTCTCCGACAATCATTCTATTCACGACATGCCAATCCAATCCGGCAGAAGGCTATTCTCGATGATCACGGAGTTCGCTGGAGCACACTTAACCTCATCGCTGGCTGGTTTCCCTCAAAGAAGACCGCGCTCGACTTCATGCATTGCATATTTCTGGGTACGTGATCTTAACTTGTTGACGAGCAAAGCTAACGAAGATACAAGGCATCATTGCTCATCTATTCATGCGTGTTTTATTTGCAGGTTATATGTTCTCCGGTGCTGGAGGTAGAAACTCCCCGAAGCAGCGCTTCGAGAACCTTATCAACAGCGTTAAATGGCCGAGTCATATCACACGTCTTCCCAAGAATGTATATTGGTTTACGTTCCTCAAATTGGATTGGCACTAAGTACATTTTTTAACAGCTCAGCGAGAACCAATCACTAAAGAAAGCAGACGAGTGGAGAAGACTACTGACAATCACACCAGTACTACTATGGTGGTCCTGGAAGGACGAGAACGACGATATTCCGGACACGGAGCCCCCTCAGCCACCCAATACTCAAGCACCGGAATTTTCACGCAACTGCCGGCGTATCTATGATGCCGTGTTACTTCTATGCGCAGCTGTCCGTCTTCTCGCAACTCGATCAATATCGATGTCCCAAGCACGCATTGGACAGTCGTTTTTGTCCCAGTACTGCCTTCGTTGCCTCGAGCTCAACATCCATCTCACGATCAATCACCATGCATCGATGCATATCGCGGACATGATCAAGGCTTACGGACCTGTGTATTCATGGTGGTTGTTCGCGTTCGAGCGCTTCAATGGGATGCTGGAACGTGTCAATCACAATGGACATGACGGCGGCCGAATGGAGTTGACCCTGATGCGTCATTGGGTTCAGACCCACTTGATATACGAGTATACTCTCTCGCTTCCACCCGACACTCACGCGATAGAACGAGAGACACTCAACGAGATTCTCAAGAGTCAAGCCCAGCAACGAGGGAGTATGATGACAGATATTGCTGTGTATCAGAGTGAAGCTGCTCAAGGTATGTTCTATTCTATGCTTTGACTCCGAGTCTATTAATCAACTCCTCAGATAATGTCCGACTCCCACTTCGCCAAGCAAAGTTCATCAATCTTCGAACATTTGGACCTGAAGGTGTCCTTTATCCACTGCTTATATCTTACTGCCGAGCTCTCTGGCCCGATCTTAACATCGTCGACGACTTCTCGCTTGATGATGGCACAGTCTTCTTTGCATCGAAGGTTGCCCGTGCCCTCACATATATCCGAAAGGATGGTATTAGGTATGGTTGCATGACCAACAGACGAACACAGACAGACGCATATGGTTTCATTTCCTGTGATGGGTCCCGTCTTCCCGCTGAGATAACCACACTCCTCGCTGTTGGCATTCGAGACAAAGTACCTCATGTTTGTGCCCTTGTCCGACGTCTCAAGTCCGATGAAAATATTCCGTTGATGCCCTGGGCACTTTAGTGAGTCTGGACCTCGTTTCTCACCAGATTTAACATTAACTTGAATGGTACTAGTGAAAGTACTCTTGGCATCCATACCTCGTATGCGAACGACTACCACCCATATGAAATAATCCCGGTCTCCCGCATCACAAGCCCACTCGCACTTATTCCAGTACACTCTAACATTATCAAGAAACATCTTTGGATTTCAGTATCATTCGACCATGTACAAGATTCGATTAGTTACGCTATCGACTCGGAGACAACTGACATTTTTTGTCCTTTAGTCAGGAACGGAGCCCGAGGATTTCTTTGATGACGACGACGGTTGAGCTCAACGCCACGAGACTGGACATACAAGGTGCGCACCTTTTGATTAATCTTCAAAGTCGCTATCAAGACTGTCGTCAACCATCTGATTTGTGTTTGATGTGCTTGCGACAGGCTGCGCAGGCACTGTGTTCTTCGGCTGAGTTGGCTCCTCATCAACATCAATCGCTCTCGCTTTCCCCTTGTCCTTTTTCGATCCTGCTTTTTTCTTACCCTTCCCTGGCTTCGTATTCCCTTTGTCTACCAATTTCGCTCTCTTACGCGCGGCGACATCTTTCTTTTGGATCTTGACACGCTTCTGGGCAGATATGGTTTCTTCCGGGTCCTTCGGATCGCCCCATGCTTTCCCATTGTCGACAACAAACGCCGGCACATCATACTTTTGATTCTCTGGCTGTGCAAGCCACTCCTGCGATACCATCCACCTCCTCGCACGATGTTCAACCTTCTGAATCTGCGGAATAGTGACATCAAGTGTCTCGCCTCGCACCCGAATAGTGTAACGTTTCGGTGGATGAGGGTCCTGTTGAGCATCGACAGCAGCGATAAACTGGTTTCTCTGTTGTACAAGGTGGGTCAGCGCTTGGAATCCCACCACCCAATCATTGCTTACCTGCTCACTGGCCCAGACCCAAGGACGAGAGATGTATCTTCCGGTGAGACGTCCTTCTTCATTTGTCTCGTCGTCGTCTTCTGACATGAGCTGGGGGATGAGGGCAGTCTTGAAGGCATCAGTGTTGAACTCCGAATCATCGGATAACGCGGCAAATTTCCGTTCGCGAACCTCGCATTTCTGTGGACCGCTGTCATAGGTAACATTGTCACTGCTAGTAAGTACTTACACCTTGTTGTCGACTCTGACGCACGCCCTTTGACAGTTTCGCTTCCCGTAATGTGCCTTGGTTTTCGGAAGCCTCTGTTGTGGTGGTTACGCGAGACGACGACAGCAGCTTGGCTGCCCGTAACACTTTCTGCAAATCCTGGTATTTGGTCTGCACACGATCGAGCAAATCTTCGTCACTAATTGCACGCAATGCCTTTGCAGATGCAGGACTAAACTCGGCACCCTTCGTACGAATGTATCTGAAGATCGTCTGGAGACCTCGATAGTTATCTTCGTGAGTATGACTTTCCCCCCAGCGGAATCGAAGGAGCTTTTCACTAGTCGCAATATCCACAGGCCACTGTTCACCGTCTTTTGGCCACCAAGGCAGATCTTTGGCAGTCAATCTCACAGTACCGAGCATATGTGAAAACGCATGACGTATAACGGCCTGTGTTCAAACGCATGAGCATTATTTTTGAAATCATAGTTATATACTCACCAGCAGCCCAGGATCACCCTTCGCTTCCAGGCTCGCCTCTATCCTTGCTTCATCCTCGTCTTCTTCGTCGTCTTCGTCACTAGATTCCCCGTCCCCATGTCCTTTTTCGACCGTCCGCAACATGTTCGCCAACTTCATTTCAAAATCTTGTTGCATGTCATTGAGGCGCTTCTCGCACGAGTTGTGTATGGATTGGATCACAATGTTCTGGTGAGCAACTACCTCTGAAAGATCGCGTTGGCTCGGGCACTGAGCGAGTTGTTTCTCTAGCTCGGTCACTCGCTGTTTAACTGCTTCCAACGCTGAGACTACCGCGGTCTTCGATAGCTTTGCGCTCTCTCCCGACTTTTCTGCGGCTGACGGCAAGCCTCGGGGCTGATACAACGGCGGAATCGCTCCCATGTTTCCATCGTAAGGAGCTGCTGAGAAACTGCCTGGTTCCGGGAAACCAGAAGGAAACTGGAAATCGCCGTAGCTCAAATCCATGGTGCGGAGAACACGAACAACTGGAACGACAGCAGCTTCTGTCCCCCCTTCACGCTGTAGCACTTATATTATATTGTGCGCCATGTCTGGGCCATCCAATGTATCACCTTCTTGAACCCGGGAATGAGAAGAGACGGTCAGCGTTGAGCATTTATCGAGCTTGTCGTCGAGCAACAGCTTTCGAAGAAGATCCCAACATGTACCTCGAACAGGTATTTTAAGGGAAGTGTTCGTGAATTGCTCCGCATATTCCTATGAGAATCCGGGTAAAGTCTGTATTTCCCTATACAATTTCTAGACGTGTATTTTCACGGGTAATCCTGGTGTATTGTCGAGAAATCTCACATTTTCTTCACCTTTCCCTTGAGTAGTAATCTCGATCATTGTGCTGTGACGCGTGCCGGATCAGTGGATTTCTGGTATACAGAATATCGGTGCATAATCCACCGAATTTATCTAAGTCTAGTATCCACTGAAATTATATAACCCGTCCTTTCTACAGTGCATTCCCCTCGTACAAAGTTAGCATCGGCCTTTGAATATGAATATTTGAATCGTCAAGGTCGCGCACACACCTGCGACCCTTGAGAGATTCAATATCTCAGAGGATGAATCGATCGCGTGAGTGGGGTCCGTGAGGCTATCCGTCATGTGTACCGGCTAGTACAAGTAACAATACAGTACTTCTTACACTCACCGGTATGATAAACGGAACCTCCCTCTTCTACTACTGCAACTTCCAACCTTCATATTATCTCGTTGAGCATACTTTTCCTCTAAACGAGTTTGCCGCGCTCTCGTTGATAACAATATTAATCTTATCTGATAATAGGCCGATGGAAACTTCCTTGAAATCAGATCAGGCGAGATACATCCACTTGATGGGCGGCATTAAGTCTTGATCCATCTGTGCGAGATTAAGTTTAGACCCAAGAAGACGGAAACAAATTTGAAATCGCATCAGCGCGCGGGTTTTGCATAGCGCTCAAAGTTGTAGCGCTCTGAAACAATTACTCTGTGATAACTTACGTTTCCCCGATGGCTCGGTCACATTTAAGTTCAAACTTAACAAGCAATGATGTGGAACTCTTCCTAAGGAAGCTCGAGTGCCAGTAGTCGGTCGATGCTTTTGCTTCTAATATTTGCACTTACTTTGGCGGCTCGGCATCACAATCACACTTGCTCTGACAACTTCAAGACCGGCGGCCATGGGTATGCGGCTTATGCCGTTGATTGACGTTGATTGACACAAAGTGCTGTCAAGATGTAGCCTGCCAGAGCCTGCCGGCATGACTGCGGCCCCTGTTGGCTTCTACACCCTCACTCTATTGTAATTACGTACCCACCCTCTATGTCAATAAGTAAAATTATATTGCATTTTTATTCATTTTAAAAGTTACTAGTTAATACACGAGTCATCTGGCATGATGCAAGTGTCTCGGTGTATAAAAGTGAAACTTCACCTCATCAAAACACCCCCATCTAAACACCTCAGCAATGGGTGCTTCCACCCCATCTTGTGTGACGCCAAAATCATCATATGCAGGCCATTCTTCCACAACCCCGCCGAGTCTCAGACGGCCAATCCCGGGCAATAGCCCAAACTGTGTTGTAACCATGCACAGCAATCGAATCACAGAGGGAGTCACCATCAACGTACATTCAAGCGACTGCCATGGATCTAGTGAGTGTTGTAAAGAATCGGACATGTCTGACCTACTAAACACCTCTTTGTTTCTCCTTAACAAAAAAAGCCATTTCCAGGGTAGACGACATGGGTGTGGCCCCAGCCTCGGGGGCCGTACCCTCGATGCCTCCGTGGGTGCCGCAGCCAGAAGAGCCAATTGAGCATCACGGTCGTGATAGCATCACATTGATCGGCAATTCGTTGGGCGCGTGCGTGGTGATCAATGTAGGATCGTCAAGATGCACAGGAACTGGTAGGTCTTTAGTCCATCACACGAGAAAGTGCGTTCATGATTTTTTTACAGTCAAACAAACCGCTTTTCGACCCCAAATCACCCCCAGTGGGAAGTGACAGCAATGAACTGATTGTGGTCTGCACCGCCTGTATATCAAATCGCAATTACACAATTTTTAATACGGATCATTGGGATGAAATATACGCACGAGATCTTGGGAAATATTAGTGGCTCAAACTGTGTGCGCCTCGAGCTGGATGTAATGCGAGGTCGTTCGAGAACTGCCAGTGATACTGTTAGCGGATCTGCTGCGTCGGTCGTAGCAACGAAGTCTTGTATTTACCCACCGAGAGACGACGTGGTCCACTCAGCCTTACTGGCACGTCCCCTTCCTCAGCCCACCGTTCGAACCTCATGGGTGCAGGTGTGGCTGATTGAGGGGACATAACAGTCTCGACAGTACCGGTACGTCGGCGGAACACGGGAGAGGCATAAATGCATGGACTTTCTTGACTTTGGAGGAGTTTGATTGGAAAGATAAGCCCGCGAGTCGACTGATCAGGCGTCGGCGCTGATTCACTCCCAAGCAAAGTGCACACAGCCACTACAGAGCATTGCAACCTCTCCAAGTGTGAATCGAGATACATGTTTTGTTCAAAAGAAACCTCACCTAGGTAAAGTTGCCGTGGTGTGGTGCGGTTACGGTTGGGTTCGACTGATACGCACTAGGAGGGGTTCGCGGTTCGGGCGTTGGGCTTTTTGTGTAAACCGAAGCGCTCGAACCGTGACCGCACCATATGAACTACCAGTGTTGAATAATCATTTTGAGAATGAGGAAGCGCAATGTTTGTTTTGGTCATGCATAGGCCTAGGCCTAAAAGGACAAGGGAATCAATAAATAACGAGTGTTAGCATTATTAGGGTTAGAACTTAGCGCATTAGGGTTACTAATCAGGACACTAGATGACCCGGGCCCAACAACAGTGACCACGATGAGCACAGCGAGGCTGAAGCGCAAGCTCGGCGACCTAGGCATCGACACATCCAGCAGAAAGGCAAACGAGAACTTCTGCCTTGTGCGTAAACACTCTCCCATCCCAACAACAGCTTGCCAACTCTCTGACCACCACAGATCGGCACCCCGCTTCCCCCACTCGAAAAGTCGAAAGACACAGGCGAGTTCGTGCCGTTATGGAAGCAAGAGGTGAGCTCTTGTATGTGTGGTCTTGCTCCAGGCTCGATGTATCTTTCAGGTGAGGGATGAGAAGGGCAGGAGAAGATTGCATGGAGCCTTTACTGGCGGTTTTTCTGCTGGGTACTTCAATACAGTGGGTTCTAAGGAAGGTACGTTCTCTGCGAGGAAATCCTACGTAGCATGCCTCTTAGTACTCTCCTCCAGGATGGACACCGTCAACATTCGTATCCTCGCGGTCCGACAGGGCCAATAACAAGAACCGCCCTTCCCGCCCAGAAGACTTCATGGACGACGAAGACCTCACAGGAATGCGTGAAGACCAAAAGCTGGTCGATGAGCATGAGCAGATGGATTTACTCGGAGGCACGCAAGATGAAATGAGCAAACGTGGCGAGGGTGCCGACGACAAAGAGTGCGTATCCACATCCTCCCATATGATACATCGTTTACCGGACCCACCCCACCCCACCCAGCGCAATCACCCTCGCACTTGAACAGTCTCTCCTCCCAGCACCAAAAGATTCTGTAGGCGCCCGCATTCTCAAGAAGATGGGCTGGCGCATTGGGCAAGGTGTCGGCCCACGGATAACATGGCGTCAGCGTGAAATGGCATTCGGCCGTGACCCAGACGTGCCAACTGATGATATAGATGAGGAAGCGAAGAAACACTTGTACGCCCCTCGAGATACACCGTTGATCATCGTCGAGAGGAAGGATAACTTTCATGGCTTGGGCTATGACCCTGGGCTAGGACTGCATGCGAGTCTCGGCGTTACGCCTGAATCTTCCAAACAATCCAGTGACCCACGTTTAGCTGGCGCGTATTCTCGCTGTTGCTGTGTGCGATCTTTTGACTCTGACCCGTGGCGACAGGCGGTTTTGGCCTCGGCGCGCTGAATGATGCAGATGACGACGACTTAGATATTTATGATCACTCCCAGATGCACGGTAGGAATCGGCATGCTTACGATGCCAATGATGCGCACGATGAGGAGCGTGTTTCCATGAGTTCGCGATCACAAAGCGCACGGAATTTAGCAAAGGCGGCACAACCTCAAGTAGGTCCTCATACAAGAGAGCTGTGACATTACGGTTCAGCTTATGGACTCTAGAGACCTTCTACCGGGCAAATAACGTTTCGTGATGGGAGACAGCCTTTGAACGGGTTCGTCATATCTGATAAACCCGTGGCGGAGGACCTTTGGTCAGTGACTCTCTTTACGCGTACGCTGCTCATGGTGGGATATTCACAATTACCAGCTTCCCAATACCAGATATGCCAAAAGATTGGACGCCAAACCCCAAACGCGTTTGGGAGAGGGAGAAAGAAAATTCAAAAGATAAAGAGAACGTTGTTATCCCTCCTCCGTCACAAACCCAGACATACGCCCAGTGGAAAACAGGTATCTCTGCGAACCAGGTTTGACAAAATTCATCTCCTACAGATCTTACATGCTTACATCCTATGGACAGCGGGGAGCAGTACTCGGTGAGACTCCCCTCCCTTCTGCAACCAGGTCCGTCTTCGAGTACATCTCCAAGAAAGACCAAGAACGCATCAAGAACATCGCTGCAAGCCGTTTTGCACCTGAATCTACGTCCGACGCCCCCTCGCCAGGTCCACCACTCCCCACGCCCCCCACGATCACACACACCGAGCCTCACGTCGCCCAAGCTGCCCTCCTCGGTTTCCAGCCCTTCACGACCGATCCCTCCAAGCAGGCAAGGTATACAGCCTATCTCCGTGCGCACGCACAGCCCGGCTCAGGGGCAATTCCACCCACGCAGATGTCTGGGCAGTCACCCGAGGAGTTCGCAAAAGAGATAAGTGATTATGCCAAGTCAGCTGCCCTATTCCGCCCCGTCTCTGGAGCCATGGCCGGGCGGTTTACAAGTGCCGCTGTTCTGGATCTCGGGCCAAAGATCATCGAGGGACTGCACACGCCTGCTGCACAACCGGAAGAGGGAGCGGACAACATGGATGTGGCGGAGGAGAAACCGAAGGAGGAAGTGAAGGAAGAAGACCCGAAGGTGCACGCTGCTCGACTGGGCATGTATGGTGTTATGACGCGTGAGGTGCATCCGTGGCAGCCCGCAAAGCTGCTGTGCAAGCGGTTTGGTGTGAAGGATCCAGATCTGGAGGTCCCTGTCGATACCCCTGGGCCATCAGCGCAGGCTGCGGGACCTGAGTTCACAGGCACAGCGCCAGCAGACGAATTTGCGGGTGCTAGCGCGAAAGCGACGCAAGTGGAGAATGGGGGCTCTGGGAGTGGCAAGCGCGATGTTGCAAATATTGGCTTGGGGGAAGAGGATGGGCAGGGGGATGATGTGCTAACGTATGAGCGTCCTGGGATGGATATTTTCAAAGCAATTTTTGCGAGCGATGATGAGGAGAGTGATGAGGAGAAGGATCGCATGGATGATGTTGATGAGGCGGACGAACCCCCTGCTATCTCTGCGCCAGCTGGGCCTTCTGAACCGGTCCCCGAGGTCAAGCCAGCACCACCAGCCAACGGCGTCGTAGAAGATGTCGACCTTGCCACATTCAAGCCTACCTTCATACCTAGGGCATCCAAAACGAAAGACGCGGAGAAGAAGGAAAAGAAAACCAAGAAACAGAAGAGCTCCAAGGGCGGCGCGCTTGTTTCCTTTGATGTAGACGAGGATGGCGGGGAGTCGTTATCGCTCACTACTGCGTGTCAAAAACACCGCGATCGGGATAGCGAGCGGCCGAGGAAGAAGAAACGGAAGGAGCGAGACGGGGACGGAGGTGATGATATGTGGGTTGAGAAGCCTCCGCCGGATATCGTAAAGGTTTTGCCTATCGATCTGTCGCACGATGAGGGCGGTCAGGTTGGTGGACAGGAAAGTGGACCTCCTCGTGCTCGTAAGAGGGCAATTGATTTCATGTAACGCTAGTCTACACTGCTAGGTGTGCTATATACAGGTTTATGAAGGTTAGCATCCATTAGTTTTGGCGTGTAGCTGTGTCCCTTGAATAAATCCTTGACCGGCACATGTACTTGGCCACGATGACCATCAATGTGTAGGTGAGCCTGCACTACGACCCCCCTCTTATGCCCGGAACTATACAGGTGAAGAGCCCATGCAACAGAAACAGAGTTCTTACGATTATGTAATCTCCACGGCGTCACACATCCGAAGATCGCATGATGTGATGACTTTAATTGTTGTACTTCTCAATGAGAAGTACATACAAATTCTCTTCACACCTGGTAGGTTATAATTATGCACCTAGGCAGTGCAGTTTCTCACTCTGAGTCTCTGCCTTGAGGCCCTCGTTCGATGACTGAAACCCACTCCAATTTGAATCCACCACACTAACCCAGGCGATGCCACTATCCAAAAAGCCAAAGGCGGGAAGTTCCAAAATCTCGAAGGTGAGGAGGCACGTATCTAGGTATCACAATTGTGTATCTGATCTATCATAGGACTCAAAACAACTCGCTCCTGGAACTGAGGAGTTGCAGGACGACAACGTGAGCCAATTGTTGGGTGTCACTATAGTGGCAATCGGCGTTACAAGAGACCTCGTTCCTATCGACCTGGCGAGAGGTATCCTCGGAACGGTTGCCAACATCCTGATTATTGCGCAGGTGCGTTGGCGTAATCTTTGGGATTTTTTGTGAAGGATCCTCAGGTCTGTGTAGTCGGTGATCAAGAACAAGTTCGATTTTCTGGCGATAGTTGAGAAATGCGAAACTATCAGGAAACAACTCGAAAGAGCGACCAAGGATGCTACCGAAGATGATCTGCAAGGATCCTTGGGGGAGGCCTTGTCCGAGCTTAACATGTGAGTGCGAGCCACATTAATTTCGTTGTCACCGGAAAGTGATGGCACCATGCAGATCGGTAAACCGCATCAATACAGCAGTGGCCTCAAAGAAGGAGCAGGGATTTTGGAAGAGTCTCTTCTCTGTCACAATCGATCGCGACCAGATCGCTGGATGGGAGAAGGATCTAGATCGCGTCCTCGTACTCTTCAATGTATGTCCGTGTAACATCATGCCGACTTGCCTGCTGAATGCCGTCTCAAGTTTGAGCTGACCGCTGGTATTGCGGTTGGTGTGAAGAAGCTACTCAAGGGTAATTCTGCTAGTATCGCTGCTCCAAAGTGCGTTGTTATTTTTATTAGGTTATGAGTGTCCTCTAAACGCAATCAGGTATCGCCCACCTGAGCCTCCATCGCAGCCCGCTATGTTTTATGGCCGCGATGATCTTGTGGCAGAGTTGACAAACCTCGTCGTCAATGATGAGCATATTGCATTGATCGGTCCGGGGGGCATGGGAAAGAGTTCTCTTGCCAAAGCTATCCTCAATGAACCACTCGTCATGGAGAAATTCACTGATCGGCGCTTCTTCGTGACTTACGATGGCCTCAATCCTTTGACCATCACTTTCGAAACTTTTATGACTCGTTTCGCGGGAGCCCTGGGCATAGAAATTGCTGGTGCTGATCCCGTGCGCCAAATATCTTCCTTTCTTCGTTCTGCCAGCGCACTCGTTGTTCTCGACAATGCTGAGACCTTTGAAGAGGCTAGTGCATCGACGGCGCTGGGAGAGATACCGCCAGCTATTGCTGAGATTGCTAACATATCTGGCGTCATTCTGGTCCTCACGTCACGCAGCAGAAGGAATGCACCGAACGTACGATGGATAACGAAGGATATTCCGCCGCTGGACTTGAGCTCTGCTCAAGCAGTGTTCTTTCAGATTTATCACCACGCCAGTCGTAGCGATGCCGAAGAAGACATAAAAGGCCTGCTTACGGAATTGGATTTTCACCCCCTTTCCATCAATCTACTCGCAAATGCCGCACAGCAAAATAGTTGGTCTCCAGCCACGCTGCTCAAGAGATGGAAGGATCGGCACAGCAAGGTGCTCAACGCTGGCAAGGGGAGGCTGCAAAGCTTGTCAGACACCATGCAACTGTCGCTCAGCTCACCGTCGGTCCTTGATCTCGGAGTGGACGGCCGTCGTGCTTTATCCATCATCGCATTCTTGCCCCAGGGTCTCAACGAGGACCTGGCTAGTGATTTGTTGCCATCGCTCCCGCAAGTCGACGCTATATGCGATGTTCTATGCATGCAATCACTCGTTTATCGTCAAGACAAGTTCATCAAGATGCTCGCACCCGTTCGACATTATGTGCAAGATTCATTGTCCCTACCTGACTCCACGTGTTTGCAAGAGATATATACCTTCTACTGTCGCACTGTTGACCTCTATTCAGGAGATCGCGATCAGTATGCTGATATCATTATCTCGGATCATCTAAACATCGAGCACGTAGTTGCTTTCAAACTTGCCCACAACCAAGATGGCACGGGAGAGATCTATGACGTTTGCTGGCAGTTTTTGCTGTGCTTGGAGAAGCATCTGCCTCGTCCGACTACCCTTTCCCTCGCTATTTCTAACATCGTCGAGAATTCCTCTACGTTGTCGCTAAAAGCACACTGCTTGTCGGCTCTCGCGCGGCTGTACGACGCGCTTTCTCAGCTCGCTGAAGCAGTACGGGCCTATCAAGCTGCCGAGGCGCTCTACCTCGCCGCCGGCGACCTCGAGAGCATGGCGTATTGTCTTACAGGCCGTGCAGACATGCTGAGATGTCAAGGTCGCTTTATTCAATCCCGGAATCTCTCCGAGGATCTCCAGCACTCCGACTCTTGGGAGTTTCTCACCGAACCAATGAAAGCCCGAGCTCGGCATGTCTTGGATATGGCCCGGATGTACACATTCACATCATCTGCGGACGAATTATTTGTGGAGTCCGTGGAAGATTGCAACTGGGGCTTGCAATCCAAGATTTGGCACTGGCGGGCCAAATTGTATCATGGGGCAGACATTGTCGAGGTGCACACACATTTGGATGACCTGCTCCTGCAATGCACAAGTACCGGAGATGTCATCGACCGCAGGGACACACTTGTGGGGCTTGCAGACGCTGCATTTTGCGAGGATAAGTTATCTGACGCAATGGATAATCTACAGAAAATGATAGACATGTTTGAGGGACATGATTTGCACCTTGTCTCCTGGTTCACCGTGCAGAAGGCTGTGGTCGCGAGCAAGCAGGGGAATTATGACCTTGCGAGGGAGTTCATCCACAAAGCCTTGGAAACCTTCCAATTCTTTGCGCTGCGCAATGCACGCATGTTCCTCCACCGATCTTACGCCTTGGCATGCATCGAGCTCACCGCAGGCGAGTGCGACAGGGCGGAGGCTTATTTTACCGCCACGATTGAAGGCTGTGATATGCAAGGCAACCTGTGGTATAAGGCATTAAGCACACGTGGACTTGGGGAAGTTGCCTTTGCGCATGGTAACTTTGCTTTGGCCGCAGTGCGCTTCGCAGAGACACGGTTTTTGTGTGCTGAGATAGGAGTGTCCCCCTTGCATTTGTACAGTTGCGCGCCATTCAATAGCTTACCGGACAAATTCGAAGGATGGGCGATGTCCCTCAAGTTGGAGGGTCGGTCGCCATTTGCGAATATTTAAATATCGATCATGATCCATTGTACACCAAGTTGTATCTTTCTTGTATCTTGTAGGATTTACACGGAGCAGTTCAACCACACGCCGGTCCACATCAGGTCACAGGGAAGATACCATTCATTTACGATACCGAACTCACTTGTGCTTCAGGGCAGACTGAGAACACCCGCCAAAGTCCTGAATCCCCAATGCATCCATCTGCCAGTGTTATAGCTAACAGCTACAGCTGTCTACGCAAAGATGGCGAAGGCAGCTGCATCGTGTGTGACACGATCAGTGCATGGACAACTGGAAGTGTCCGGCTTAATTTGTTCTACGCTTTCTTTTGTCGGTTTCTCACTCCACACCTACGACCATAGCTTTATAGTGACGTCTACGAGTACTTGACATATAGTCGAGAGTTTTCTTGCGCCGCATTGCAGATTTGTTCCGATCCCAGCGTGCGCGGGTGACGTCCGATTATCCGTTGACGCAAAACACAACTCGAGGACTAGTGTATCAAAACCCAAGCAAGTCCTCGTACTAGCTACTACGATCTCCTTATATCCAATTCTGAATACCCGCCCAACTCATTCAATTTCACAATGGTTTCTATCATATACCCCTCCGCCGTGGACCCAGAAGATCGACGGCATCTTCCGCCGAAACTCCAACACAAGCTGCACTTGAAGAATTGACCGACGACATCAAAGCTGACAGGGCCTCGGCAGATACCGTAAGCCTGGCGTAAGTCCCAAATGCGGCTAGGTCTTACAGGCGTCGGTAGATCGTGATTAGTAAGCTTCTGATTCAAGTCCGAATTACTAGACAAGTCCGAATCGACTGGACACTCCAAGACATGGACAATAGTAAGACACAGTGTCATCATCTCTAGAAGCCCCTAAGGGAGTATAAAATATGGCAGTAATCCGAGAGCTATACTCATTCCCACATCAACAATTATCCAAATGATTTCAACCTGTGAACGACTCACCATCTTAATTTTCTTGTTCGTGGTTGTTGCGGCTACAACAGCGCTGGTCGCCTTCGAGCCTGCACACACTGTCTTTCTTTTGACGGCAACGACATTTATCTCCTGTTTCTTCTCAATCTTCATGGCAACTATGAACCCAGACCTTATGAGCAGCTGCGCTGCTCCACTGCTGATGTCGTTGTCCGTGACTATTTTCTCCGTCGATCTCGCCTTCGCGACCGGATGGAAAGACGGTTAGTGAATTTAATATTATTTTAGGAACCAACACATTAATTAATCTATATATCACACAGGTCCGGTGTCCCGGGGATTGCTCATTTTCGCATTCTCCATCATTTTGCTTTTCGCTGTTGGTTTGGCGTCCGAGAAGAGTTCAGGTTCGGGGGTGGGCATTCGAAATCTCGCGGGAAATCTTTCCGTGATCGTCAAGATTCTCAATGACCTCCGGGGCATAGCTGTTAGTCACAAGTATTCCGCTCTAGTAAGTCCTTCTATCTCATCAACTACGTATACTTGAGCTAAATATTATTATTCCCAGCCACAATACGAGTCTTATCCATACTTTCAGACCCTTGCGCAACCTGCTGCCGCCGACGATCCGGGTGTCACCGCCGCTGACTCGGACGCTTCCAACACGGCGCAATCACCATAGCACGCGCTTTAGTTCAGCTCGTAACCAGTCTGACTAGGATTCGTCAATTTGAGATGGTGAGAATTTTTTGACGTAGTCATCACTACCGCTGACTCGGGCGTCACCACCGCTATAGCATTCATTTATCGCTCACTACTGCGCGTCAAAAACACCGCGATCGGGATAGCGAGCGGCCGAGGAAGAAGAAACGGAAGGAGTGAGTCGGGGACGGAGGTGATGATATGTGGGTTGAGAAGCCTCCGCCGGATAATTAGTATGTAATCTCCAACTTGGCACTTCTACCCCTATATATATGTCATTCAGGCAATCAGGCCTCAGGCTTTTGCGTCGCAAACCACGAACTATCGACCTATTATCGTCTGTAGTTCGTCCGACTCGCACGAAATAAACTAGCTAGTATGCCACAGTGCTTTTCGTGTTGCATTTTTATCATGTTTTGACTCACGCAGAAGGATGATTCAGATCCTGGGCGGATATCATATATCTCTGCAGAGTGCTCGTGCGCTCAACAAACTCCTCAGCATCGACGACACCCACATTGAAATACAAACCGATGAACGACTGGCTGGTCGCTAATGGCAAACCTCAATTCCTCGTTGGATGCCATACTTGGCCCGACGTCCCAGGTAGCAGTTTGCGTGTCTTCTTGTTCACCCAATCCTATCATTCGCGTGAAAATATGCAATTGCCGCTAGCCGAGCATCATTTGGATCGCAAACTTAAGAAGTGGCTAAAAGGCAATATTCCTACCGCCGTAGAATGGGTGACGTTGGAGGATAGATATGGATTCACTGCTATGGGCAAACCCCAGCCGCGGATATTTTCTGGAAAATCATATACATTAGCCGAATACCTTGCCCTCCCAGATTTGCCCGACAACGAGACAATTTGTTTTATGAGATCGTTACATCTTCGGCAGGAGGCAGAACGCCAGCGGGAGTCCGAGTCTACATAGGAAGAAACTTCATTCTGTAAAGAGTCACTCCTGCAGGTCACTTCAGACGTAAGTACTTTGCTGTACTTCACGGCACAGCCATATTCAAGTTGATACAACTTTCCGCTAGCTATGCGTTCAAAGTATAAATCACATCATGCCAGAAATCATTGCAACATGGCCATCGTTCTTATCGGGCGTCCCAGGTGGCGCTGCGAAGTGTTATCGCTTAGTAAGTTAGTTGTACCTTTAGCCATCAGTAGGGGAAAAAATCATTGTAGCCTTCTGGGAGTCCACATAGACTTAGATCTCGCCTTTGAAGCAGTGGTATGGTCTGTACGATACAGGAAGGTAGGTAACAAAGCCCCGCTGCGATGTACTCCATGTATCTATCTCTGCGTCAAGGTCAAACATGGGTGCGGTAATACTCCTGATCTTCGGATGCTTTTTTTTTTCTCGCGCTGTATTGCACGCCGTTGGCCCAGCAGCGTCCGATGATGCGAGCGAGGTTCAGCAAAGTGGTGGAAGGCACCGGTAATACTACAATCATTTTGCAGGTAACAACTGAGCCCCTACGAAAAGTGTTGACTACTGTAATCCACTACGATGTTGAGAGAAGGAATAAGCGCAATATATTCCGCTTGCTGCACCTCTGTCACCGTCAGCTGACCGCTGAAGATCAGGCTCTCCAGTGAACACCTCGACCGTGCCAAAAATGCCTTCAAAACCTTGCGAGACCATAGGTTGCTTGCCCCGTAACACAATTCAAAAACGCGCAAATTGGGGAGTGACAAGGCATTGAACAGGCCAGTTAAACACCCTATATTACGAGAGTGGTTCACGATGGATAAGGATTGAATGTTGGCGTGCGTAAGTGGCTCCAAGATTTGCGCTTTGTAGAATGATGATGTGCGAACCGTTAACGAGGAGAGGTTTGGACATAGACGGAGCAAGTAGAGTAATGCACCCGGGTGACTTGTGGAGATCTTGACGTTCGTCAGGTGGACCCATACGGAATTGAACCAAGATAAGCGCGTGATGTCGAACACCGGCAAGTCCGAGACATCGAGGCTACGCATAGTGGACGGCAGTCGCGAGGTAGATATTGACGTCATAGGTGAAAAATTTGGAGCTTGTCGAGCTTGTACGACAAGCTCCTGAAGTGCGGGTAGCCGGGGTAGGTCGTTCAACAAATTTTCAGAAATTCCCGATCGGTGGTAAACACGGATGGCGAGGGACGAGATTTGTTTGACGTACGGCTGAAGAAGGCTGAGATGCTCAGGCGAGTTCCAGCATTTGAATGCTAATGAGAGCGGGTATCCTCGTGCTCGCTTGAGCCATGAGTGATAGAAGGCAACCGCCTTCTCCCAATCTCTGCCAGTGGGTTCTACATGTAACCTGCACCATAAACTGGGCGTACCCATAGCGACCTCCCTCCATGGTCGGCATATTGTGGTCAGCAGCATGGGGGCCTGTTTCGATGCGGGTGACAAGTACTTGTCTTCGGGGAGACAGAGGTGAAAAATTTGGGATAAGATTTCAGTTGGCAAGCGCCAGAGAGACGACACGAGTCCCTTGTAAAAAGTCATGGACTGGATGATCTTGTTCTTCTGTTCGACGAGTTGCTTGTGAAGATTTTCGATGTTGCCCATGACTGTTGCTAGCCCTGAGATGTCGAGCAAAACTGTATCCAGCTGCTGCTGGCGTTCTGCGACGATATTGCTGATGCATTCCCCTTTGAGTTCAATGGCGGGGTAGTTTGTGTTGGGGATATGATTGGCTCGGGAGTGCGGGGTTTTGAAGTCTGATATCTGCTAATAGTCAGTATTGCATCAGACAAATGATCGTGACATCTGCTAGACCTACAATTACTTGTGAATGTGCGAGCTGAAGTGTTTGATTAAGATCGGCAGACACAACAAGATTTCACTAACTGGGCACTTACGATGTTTTGCAGGGCACCAATTATATCCGAGGCCGAGGAGCAATTGACTTGTGAATTGGCTGTCTGCATGTTATTTGCTTGCGGTTGAAATGTTCAAGGAGGATGACAGTTTGAGGAAGGAAAGACCTAGGCTCATGATGTGGACCAGGCTAATTATGTGGACCAGACTGAGAGCGATGACAAAAGGTGAGAGTAGGTTAACCCCTGGTCAGCGACGAGACTGAATATTCGCTTGTGATTTTATACTACTCAGGCGGTCACGTGACACTGTCACACGGCATCTTAACTTGCACTAGTATTAGTAACACTAAGTTACAGTTGGAAAAGATCAACGTTTGCATGTCTAACTGCGTACAGGCCCTGGAGTCGTGAATTTTACTTCTCGCCACATTTACAACGCTTGTCCTCATCCAACTCCTCCTGCTCAACTCCAATCTCGCAATCCGACCCGCTCATTCTGGATCGATTCCTCTTCGGATGCAAATCCACTCGCTGGCCCGGGTGAAGGCAGCCAAGATCATCTGCCAAGTGAGACAGACGTCTGCATTATTGGGGCTAGTATCTGATTCGCTGGCGTCGGCGTCCCGTACCACCTTATCGAACTCTTGAATAACGCCTCGCTTTCTCTCGAACACCCGCTTAGCATCGTGATACTCAAAGCAAGAGATTTCTGTCAGTCAGCCTCATGCTGATCGTGAGTTTTTATAGTACTGACACGTTTCATGCTCAGGAGCGACCGGTGCGTCAAGCATGACTTATTTCCTTACTTCATCTTGCGGAGAATATCGTTTGTAGGAAGGAATGGTGGACATATCGCGTCAGCTGTTTTCCTTGAGTCGGGGTTTTCTCAATGTCAGGCCTTGTTCAATACGGTTGAGCCAATAAAGTCCTATGAACTTGAACAACGCACTGCGTCTTTGACTCCCAAACGCACACTCTCGTTGGGAACACTCTTTGCGAGTTCTTGCATCTGTGTTCGAAGGTAGGTGTGACCCGGATTCAGAGCCTGAGATGGAATGGGTAGGCAGTCCTTGTTCGTACGTGAGGATCTTTCTGACGAGGATTTAGACTAGTTTGATGGGCTACATAAAGATGGGAGACCCATTTGTATGTGCATGTAAGTCTTATAACCACTGCCGTTGATGTCTCTCTCGCTAGGTTGGTCCCTTAGCGGACTTACACCTCAGATAGAGACTTGTACAAAAATATTACATCGCCGCAGGACTTGGATATGCTGGTCATGGAATGCCGCGCGCCTTCGGGTGGTGAGTTTTTTTTATTGTGATGATGCGCCATGTCGGCTCAGTTCGTAGTGTTGAAGTCATCGCGCAAATGGATGAAATTTCTGATACTGATAAAAAGTGGAAGGGCGTTATCCGGCATGGAATAAACGAGCCGAGTAAGATCTTACCGAGCATGGCATTTGTGGGGCGGGCATCGAGATACCTGCTACCCAGGTTGGATCCCAACGTAGCCACCACAACATCATTGATGTCTGTTTATATGCATGTCCTGTCGCGATGCTACTAGCTAGACTTCTGAGTCAGGGTCCACTGGCTCAGGGAGCGCTCACACCCTCAGCGTCAATATTGTCGTGCACGTGTTCGTGATGATTGCAGGCGGCTAACCAGCTTGCTGTGCACTATTGCTTATCTCTGACCGCTCAGGCTCTTTCCAATTCCACTGGTTTTTGCTTTGGATCCACATACCTATAGCTACAATCTCCTCATGTCAAAACGATCAAGCAACGACGGTACCAAGGATCAGCGCGCCCACAACGACGAGCAGCATCCCCCGGGAAATGATACGGTAGTATCCATGGAGGATTCAGGGTAAGTTGTGGTTTCATGGAATCTGTCATTCATATGACACCAATATAGGGAGAAGGAAAATGGTGGCCCTTCGCCGGTCAAGCCGCAATCAGTGATGTAAGCGTTTCTGTCCTGATGCTTCCGTGTCACTCCTCACCAGAACTGCAGCTCGAACACTGGGCCTTCCCAGCCATCAGATTCTCACATACAGGAAAATGGTCCTAATGATTCACCCGGCGATGGCTTAGCTCCGTAAGTTCCTATCAATGATGATGTCAAACAATTCCTGAATTTGTCTCAGTGAGGCGGAAAAGGTCGTGGCCCAAAACGACCAGCCAAATCTAAGTGAATTGTGAGCGAAAAAACAATGACCCGAGCGATAGCAGCTGACCACATCTTATGCGCAGAACAATTGTCATGAAGCAAGTATTGGATGTTCTTCAGGACTCGACAATTGCATCGAAGAACGGCAAGGACAATCGCTCTCGTTTCTGGGGGGTGTATAAAAGAGTCGCGGAGGAACATGACGGCGAATTCCTTGAGCGATACAGCAGCGACATGGACATTGTGTTGGTCTTTGTAAGTTTCGCAAGTTTATCGATGACTTGTTCTAAGACTCATGTTTGATCAGTCTGGTCTTTTTTCCGCTGTCAGCACGAGTTTCATTGTCGCGATGGAGTCCAATCTCAGTCCCAACCCCAGCGACACTACGAATAAGCTTCTCGCCCAGCTCGTACAAATCGGACTCGGTAACCTCGCTGCAGCGGGCTCTACGCCCGCAGTACTAGCATCTACGTGGTCGCCGTCAAGGGCGACTATATGGATCCAAATGACCGCGTACGCAAGCTTGTCCATGAGCTTGCTCGCTGCTTTCGGGGCCGTACTAGGCAAGCAGTGGCTTGGGTACTTCAAGTCGAACAGATATGGCCGCGGCTCGCAAGAGGAACGAGGAAAGCGCAGGCAAGAGAAGTTCGACGGCCTCGTCGCATGGTATTTTGATGCTGTCGTGCAATCCTTTCCTGTCTTACTTCAGATCTCCCTCCTTCTCTTTGGGATCGCCCTCAGCGCCAACATGTGGTATGAACAGCCCAGCATCGCCTGCGTCATCATCGCCACCACGGTCTTCGGATTTTTGTTCTATTCGCTGACTGTCATGGCATGTTTGATATCTCCCTCCTGTCCATTTCAGACTCCTGTATCGACGATCTTGCGCATGTTGCGCGTCGACAGTAAGATCATTTTGTGAACTCAGGTAGTCTTTTCCAGTCTGAATCATTCCTCAGGCCTTGTACGTGCGGTCGGCGCACTCACACGGCGATCTCTTCAGCAGTTATTCACTATGCTTCTTAACGGGCTGTGTTTCTTTGTTCCACACTCCTCAACAGAGGTTGTAGACTCTGAAACAAGATCGCTCGACCAGATGATATATTTTTTGGCGGAGAACGAGTGCACCCTTCCCCTCAACCTCCCTGACATATCCACAAGCGATCTGGAAGCACCTAGCATCAAATGGCTGCTAGAGACATCTACGGATCCTGAAGTATTTCTCGCCGCTGTCAGCCTCGTTCCGCAAGTCGAATGGCCCCTGGATCTTGACATCTCAGACTTGCTGCCTCAGTTGTATCATAATTTCACAAGCTGTGTCGGCTTTCACGGGCAGGTCGTACCGGCGTTGGGGGAGAAGGCCTCTACTTGTATGATGGCTCTGATTCATCTATACCACAGACATATTCTTCAGGCATATCCTGACTGTGGTAAATTTGAATTTCTTAGCTGTTTGGGGGACCATTTCGCATTTATGCAGATTCGGGACATTTGTACCGCGGACCGTATGGTGCTTTCCACGACTATGAATCTTTGTCCTCCGAAACATAATCATTTTCCAGAGGAATTGGACCTATTCTACCCCCCGTCGGAGGCTTGTTCCGATTCTGTCCTGGGGTGGCTGTCGCATTCTCTTCCTTTCCATTTTATTACTAGGCCAGTGAATGCACACTGGGTGGTAGAAAAATTCGCTATACAAGTGATGTCGAAATTGCTACATTCTCCATCCTCTCCGTCGCCTCAAATCGTAGCCAATTGTATTCTTCTTGCTTGCGTCATGGTCGGGGTTCCGGTTGACAAGAAGGACGTAGTTCGGATTGATAAAAGGTGCTATTGATTCATTTGGTGGTTTTCTTGCCATTACTAACAGAGAGATTGTGTAGTTCTGGTCTGCCGAGACTCAGTGACTTCCTTTTGGCGCAGTTCCAAAAGGTGCTCTGTGCATGGGATGGAGGCGATCTCAACAAAGACAGCACAGGAGTCACACGCCGGGCATGGATCCTACTCAACGTTATTTGTAGCATGGTCAGGCGTCATTGTAGTCCTTCATCAAACATGCGGAACCTGGACTTGTGCAGGAAGATTTATTCACGAGCGAGGTCACCTGAACAAGAATGTCCCTGGTTTTCGTTAGCAGCTCTACGGAAGATGCTGGACTTAACGTTGATTGTTGCTGGCGTATCTCCGGACCCTGGCGAGGTGTGGATTGACCAGCGTTGGTGGGGGGGTGGTTCCGACCTGCCAGAAGACCTCGACTGGATGGTGGACTACCTCGACTACATTCAATCAGATCCAGATTACGATGACCACAAGACGGTGTATGACATACTTTTGCTACTGAGGACCATAGGAGCGAGCTGCATCCCCACCAAACAGCATGTGTTCGTCGAGAGGCTCATCGCCTGCATGGGTAGTACCATGCCTGACCATTTACGCTATGCCGCTCTTCGTGCTGCTCACAGTGCCCGAGAAAAAATCGCCTCGATTGATGTTATTGGTGATGCGGGCTTACGTGACATGGTTTTAACCAAGCTTTCCCCCGCTATCTTATCCGTGGTTTGTCCGCGACCAAGTGCTACTCCCGTCGATGATAGTTCTCACCGCTTTGATCATTATTCCCGCGACTTGTGCTATCTCCGTCTGGTCTTAGCCCTCGCGAGGAATCCCAACTGGCACCCTCATTTGTCTGGGGATCGCCATATAGATCGGTGCATTAGCATGATTGCAGAGCACTGCGAATCATCCGATGCCGACAGCGTGCTTCAGTCGGACCATCCCTATTACATAGCTGCTTTCCTCCTCCGAATCGCAGCTGAACAGACGTCTGTCACATCGCTCGATTCTGTCACAGAGCAGCAGTGGTGGGATGTAATGAGAAGTGCATGGTTCTGTGATTACGCGATTGAGGACATACACCCTTCCGAATTCCTCCCCATCCTCGCGGAAGGCACAAAGAAGCATATGCAAATTGCTTCGAAATCTAATCTTGAGTATCTCATCAAAAACATAGATCGTGTTCTCCAAAGTCGACAAGAGAATATGTATTCTCTTTTCAGAATTCCAGAAATGATAGATTCAGAGCAGGAAGAGGTTGCCACCGTTGCTGTGAAGGAGCTGAGGGGTGTAGCTAGCGATATGCTTGATAGGTTTAGTCAATAATGAGTAGTCCCCTAGTTATCACGGTGCTTGCGTGCAGTGCTAGGGGATGCAATGCGAGTGCGAGTGCAGGAGGGGATGAGTATCAAAACCTGTACGAATTCTATGTCGAATGTTTAGTTGATTCTGACTTGGGAGGCGTATATCAAGCGTGAAGAGCTGGCTTGAGATGCAAAGACTCCGGAAGACCAGCATGTAACTTTCGACCGGGGGAGAGGGCTTGTTCCATGCAGTTAAAACTCGGCACCGTCAGGGGCGAGCTTTTGCGCTCAGCTGCTCCAGTTACATCCCTTCATTGATATGCACATGAAGGCAAAGACGGGGCGACTGACCAAGCTTATGAAACAAGTACTGCGACTTCTTGATCGTCTTTACATCACGATCACCCTTCTTCATGATCAGCAGAGATGTAAGCACTGTATTTAAAACACCGAATTTGTCCGCCAGAAGCGAATCAGCGTCGTGCTCGTCTACCTCGTGCTCCACGCCATTCTACCCTTCGAGGATGATGCCATTTTTTATGAACCGTCTGCGTTTCTCTGGCGTAGGCTTCGCAGGCTCGGCCTCCGCTATCTGGGAATTATTGGCTCAACTTCGGCATCTGAGAGGCCGATTATGCTGTCGAAGCGTGTACACGAAGCTACAACATGTACGCATGAAGCTTGGAGGCGTTTCAGCAACTGCTGCAGAACGATGAGGGGAAACTTGTGGGATGCATATCGGGTCTGGAACCGCGACGAGGACTTCAGTAGTGAGTATGAGTGATACGTATCTCCATGACCGATTTCTCGAGGACGTCCTAGGACAGCAGCGTGACGAAATTTTCCGGGATTATTTCAGTCAACTTGTCGATGCTGCTTAGTGTGCGTTAGATAAGAATGATGATATACGGAGGCAAATGTTAGGCCCTGAGTTCTGTAAACACCACATTCATCAACTGTACCGCCAAAACAAACAAACGTTGAAACCTACACAACACTCAGGGGGGTCAAGACGCGCTTCGTCAGGCGCGACAGGGTCGGAGATAGATGTTTTCTAGACCGCCATCGTGACTCGCTTGCACTTCGTCTTGCGGTAGGGCTGTACGACGGGGAGGCATGGGAATGTAGTCCATATGACGGACCACATCTTTTCTTTCCTGAGACGGTTCCTTGAGAGCGAAGAAGCCTGTTGTTTGTCGGCTGGATGTCTAATGACAAGATCGCCCAAGAAGTGCTTGATAAATGTCAGGCCAATGTCATCCTTGCAAGTTGGATGACAATGAAGAACTCTGAAACTGTATGGGTGTGAGTGTATATTCTGCTACTCGCGTCCTCTCGCTTTTGCGTGGGATGTGAATCGTCTTTGGTAGTCGTGTCGAACGCGTTACGAAGGCGAAGGCTAAGACTGGCTGTAGTCTACACCCTAGTAGCGCGTGCGGCTCAATGGCCTCACTAGCTAGTGGAGGTCAGAAGGAACGTGATGACAACTTGAAGTGTTGAACCTGAGGATGACGGATTATGTAATCGTAGCGGCGCGAGCGCCAATCCCCGACTCTCGCAAGAAAACACAGACAAGATATGATTCACAGATATTTGTAACAACAATATAGTATAGGTCATTTATACAGTTTCGAGCGGCAGAATCGAGCCCAAGACAAAAAGACATCACCAGCGGAGTCAGTGAATATTAAGAACATCTATATGCTGATAAGGAGATCGAGCGACCCGTGGTATCCACTGCCGGTTGACTCGGCAATGTTTTCCGCTACGTTGTTCGAAAAACCGAACAGATATTCAGTAGACCAATTGTCTCGAAGCCACGCCCCCTCGACCCGCTGTCTCACTCAGTTGCGCTGGCAAAGTGGCAAGCTCCTTGCTCTTCTGCTCAGCACTCTTGCACGGCATCACATTCTCGAATCGATCATTGTGACGGTTCCGTCCGAGGTCACAACAATGTTGTGTTTGTTCGGGTCCCCATGGATGATGTCTAGCCTGCAGCATGGCATCGCGGCATCCCTGCAAGTCTTCAGGACCAGCCGATCGTCTGTGCAATTGTTCAACTAAGAACCCTATTACCCTGTCACCCTCGATGATATGCCCAAGGAATGCTGGGCCCACACCACACCCGATGATCGCTCGGTACGCTGCAGTTTCTTTGTCCATCTGTAGGATCTCAAAATCGAACGTAGAATTTTGGAGACCACCGGCCTCGAAGCGTACTGGACCACCCGAACGCGTGGGGGTCATGAATTTCACAAAGGGTAGTAAGAGGGCATCTACTCTGTTGGGATGCTGGCACGGCTCACGCACTTCTGGCAGTGTGGTGTTCATGAGCTTCATCACAAAAATCAAATCATCTTCCCTAACGTGTTATTTGTTTGTCTTTGGACTGCGGCCGTTCAGGAGGCATGGCAGAAACTGAATAAAATGGGTAGGTATAAGTGGGGTAGGCGACACAGCCAGTGATAGAACGATGGCGGAATAAGTACTCATCCAAATTGCTGAAAAAAAAATGCAAGAATGTCTGTCAGCTGAACGGCTCTCGCACTGAACATGCATACGCACTGGGATCTCTACCCACCATCCCGGCAAGCGCCCAATCTTCGACTCCAGGTAATGCACTTGACTGAGCGTGGGACAGGTAGCCTCGGGTTCTGTATCCCTCCACAATACTAACAACAGCACCTTTCCCGACGGCGTCAAACACTGTGGTAGGATATTATCCGAATCTCCAACCGCCTTGCCATCTGCGGTAGTGCAAACACGAAGACCGAGAGATAGCATGATGAAGGTAAGGGAATTCATGACGAAGAAGGTGTGGTCATCTGGTAGTATCTCGTCTGGCTGAACATGTTGGAAAGCAATGACACCCATGTCCCGAATTTCTTTCTTGGTAATAGGAAAACCAAATAGCTGACGATGGCTGCACGGGGCCCGGGAAGGCCTGACGAGAACGTACTGAGATATGTCCGAGCTGTATTTTGAGGGCACCCATTGCTCAGGGGTAGACGGTGCTTTTGAGTCAGTGATCTTTAGACAAAATGAGTGGCAGTACACGCTAAATAGATGTAAGTTGAAGAGACACTCACCTGAAGTTTTCTTAGACTTTCTTCCAGTTGGCCTGTAGTGGGGGGCATTTTCGAGGTGGGTTCAGAGAATCATTGAACGAATAATATGTTATACTTTGGTATACGCCCACGCCACGAATGTGGACCCTCGCAATTATTCTCGATGGGGTAAGAATCACGTGTGGGCGCTATTGGCGACGTCGAAAAGTGCGGCCGCGACGCTTGTCACAGTGGCCGACGCGACGCGTTCAAACTTTTTGAAATGATTGAACTGACTACAGGTCCTATCTTGTGCTCTTAGGCGGGTTCGAGCTGTTTATTTGTTCATTCGTATAACACTTATATAACAAACGAATTATACTCACATGTGCCTGCCATGCTTTCAGTGTATCTGCAAGTGTTTCGAGGAGAAAGCAAAAAGGCCACAGGTGGCACAGCGCCTACATCCACCACTGACTAAGCAAGCGCACATCTTCCCACACCCACATTTTCCCATACCCACGGGTCCGTTTGCAGAGAAATAGTCATTTCCTTACGACAAAACCCTCTTCCACTAAAGTGGAGTCGGGGATGGGATGCCGCCTACTCTTTCTCGCGCCCCATTCTACCATCTGAATGTTTCACTTACCGTTCCGTTCCTTGTCTGTTTCCAGTGATTCTGACATATGTCCTCGTCACCGTCGCTCCTTTGTATTCATGTGACACATTCTTTCCGAACCCTACAGTTATATCTGCCCCGAGTCTATACTATTCTCCCTATCCCTTGTTGCTTTGTCCCTAGTTCACCCGAAGGGCTCTAATGGCACCGAAACACGTACATTTAATACGAGCCAGACGGTCCAGACCCACGAATACCAGTTTTACTGTGTTATTGGACCGATAACACTCTTCCTAGCTGCACCGTTGCCTTCGAGCCGCATACGCTAAATTATCAACGCTACACCTTGTCACCATCGATGAGCTTGGCAGGCTTATCAGTAAACGGCGATCTACCCCAGCATTAAGTGCAGGAACGAGTCTACTCCTTCTAGTGTTTTACCGTCCCAATCTTTCCCTCGCGTTAACAACTCAGGTTCAAGATATCATGGAAGCAATTAGCGGTACAGCAGCTAATCGAAAAGTCAGTCTCTGCCAGTGCGCGACATCTGAATCATTATCGGATGTCATCGGTGCGCTGCGAAACATCGTCACGGTGAGTATCAAGTTTTTCAAGCACTAGTGTCTGAGAATAATGATAAACATTCGTTGCAGCTCACAGGTTCACGAGCCATCGTATGTCTATTCCGATTTACGGCATAACAGATGTGCCATGGTATTGACGATGATTAGATTCCAGATCTCGAAACCCCGTACTCCCGAAGTTTTCCGACTACGAACGGCCCTGTCATCGAGTTCAAAGACCTGAGTATCAGCGCCATCCTCAACGAACGTCAGCGGCAGTTGGATGCAGTATCGCATGACATTTCAGACCTGGAAACAGTCGTGGATAGTATCAAATATCTCACGCAGAAACTCGTCGAAAAGAAGGACAAGATCAACCAGTCCTTGAATTTGCACAAGCGACTGGTATCGGCTCTCTGGCGCTTGCCAACTGAAATCCTATCCCGAATATTTTCACAGTGTCTCTCGCAATTCCTCCAGGACATGCGGCCCGCAAAAAAAGATGATGCTCCCATTCTGATGACCAGAATATGCAAGCGGTGGAGGGAGGTTGCTGTGGGCGTGCCTGGTTTATGGCGCAGGATACAGTTCTGGGGCGGGGAAGTTCACAATGAAAGATGGCAGTCTGCAGCTTTCGGCTATGACTTATGGCTCAAGCGATCAAGAGGACTTCCGCTCTCGATGGGAGTCGCCTGCTATGACGCAGATGGCTCCTCCATCAAGCTACGAAGCTTTCTCCAGCCTTACATTAATCAAATCGTCTCTCTCTCTATCCTTGCTTTCCACCGCATCGACGCACCCGAACTTATGTTCAAAGACCTTCCAGCACTGCAGGAGCTGATCCTATCAGTGCACAAGCATTCTGAAATTCCACGCATTGCACAATCCATCTCGCCACTGTCGTCTACCATGCGCAGTCTCAGGGTTTCAACTCCGATGTTCAAACTCGAGGATTTTTCTCCTTTCACTCCGGTATTGACACACCTGACAAATATCGAGGTCGCTATAAACAGACTGGATATATTCCCCCACTTGCTCCGTCTGTGTCCCAACCTCTCCTCTGTAACGATTCGTTCAGGCTTCACCCAGCAAATGCAAATCATTGAACCCTTCACGCATACCAAACTGCGATCCTTGCGCATCGCTCTTAACCCTGGAGACAAGGTACTATACCGTGCTTCTCCCAAATTACCCCCTGTGGGCACAGCGCATTTTTCCGCCCTGTTCGACGCTCTATCATTCCCCAATTTACGCGTGCTTGAAGCTCGCTATATAGAAGCGCACGAATGCGAACTGTTCGAATGGCTCCCATCCCTCCATTCACAGCAGCTTGAAGGTTGCTATGCACAATCATGGCCTCACGCGGAGTTGAAGGCATTGCTGGAACGGTCAAATTGTACCCTGGAGAAACTGGTTCTCGGCCCTGGAGTGATGACGACAGATGAGCAGCGAGCGGAATATGTTGCGCTTATCCCTTCCCTCAAAGTAGTATCTCATGCGTCAAGATGACTTTGCTGCGTGGAGTTGTGCAAAGCTATACTTGCTATGTCGCTACTGTATGTTACTAGCCTCGTAGAGTGTTTCTCTTCGCAGGTTTACCCAAGCCATGAACTTATCCTTCGAGTGCGATGGACCAATCTTTGACCAATAACACCAGCCTGAGTATCTAGAAGGTGCGATTGTCTTTTTTCACAAGCCTGCAGCATCTCCGGTTATGGTCTTAAACACCTGCCATCCACACACATATAATTTACTGCCACGCGTGCGGACCGTAAGACAAACAATCTGACGCGCTGGGACTCGCCGCACTTGTTTCAGCACTGACCAGTGTCAGCGATCACAGCCTTGTCTTGTTGTCTTGTAAATCCTCTGGTAAAATACGAGTGCTCACCCTGAATGTATTCTTAGATCGAAACATACGATTTCACGTAAACTTGAAGCAGTGTGCATAGACTCTCAAATGAGTGCCTGGATGAAAGCATGATCATAGTGCCTTATGGCGCTGGATTCGTTCAACTATTCCACACAAAATATGCACACACATACACAAAGGATTTACACCCACAGAGTCGCGTACCGTTGCCGAGATGTATCAGGATGCTTTGGGATTAGCGTGACTTCCCGTTTTGGTAACACCGCACGACGACAAAATGCTCGAGCTCGCTGTCCTCAACAGCGAGCTCAAATAGTTGCCTAATCCTTCACCCTTTTCACTAGTTCTTTTGAGGGAAAAAAATCACCTGTAGCTTAACTATGCTTACTCTTGGACAACACAACCCTCCTTCCCCACCTCCTCCTCCCCCCACCCTGACCGCTTTTCTGGTATTTTCTGGACTCTAATTGCATACTTCTGGCTTTGTAGAAGTTCTAATATATTTATACAATAAATACATCATTAATTGAGCCCATAATAAGCCCCTCAGAGCGCCCAGTTTGAAATATGACAGGAATGGGTGAATATTGGAAGTATGGAAGATTTATGGTCAAAATAGCATTGTTACTTAGCTACAGTTGATTTTTTCCCTCAAAAGAACTAGTGAAAAGGGTGAAGGATTAGGCAACTATTTGAGCTCGCTGTTGAGGACAGCGAGCTCGAGCATTTTGTCGTCGTGCGGTGTTACCAAAACGGGAAGTCACACTAATCCCAAAGCATCCTGATACATCTCGGCAACGGTATGCGACTCTGTGGGTGTAAATCCTTTGTGTGTGTGTGTGCATATTTTGTGTGGAATAGTTGAACGGATCCAGCACCATAGTGCCTCCCTAAAAAGAAGAGGACATATATGTGGCCTTTTTCGTCAAGTGGATATGCAGAAGCTTGTCTTGTGCGCCACAGTGTGTGTGTCAGCGTTTTCAACTATCATTATCGCGCGTAGCTGCTCCCTGTTCTTGGATTCAGGCCCAAAAGCTCGCGCTCCAGCTACTGAACTCCCTACCGAGATTCTTTTGAGGATCTTTCGCTTGCAGCGCCCAGGATGACGAACTCATTATACCGCAGATCTCACGATCGTCACGCACCTAGGAGGAAGAAATGCTATATGGTGCCCAGGATGACGATCTTGTTATACCGCAGATTTTACGATCGTCACGCGTATTCAATATTCGATTACGCAAATACAAGGGTAGGATTTGCAGAACTTGTTTGATGTAACCCGTTGGATGAATACTTGAAGTGCATGTGTGAGTTTTCGCGCCCTGTCTGCACATTAGTCTATTCAAAATTAATCACTTTCCATTTCAAAAGCCGTGATGGGCCTGAGCCGAGCCGCGGCTTTGGCCTGGCTTTGGCTCACGGCTCGGCCTGAGGTTTTGCAAAGCCAAAGCCGCCCTAGGCCAGGCCAAAGCCGCGGCTTTCAGGCCAAGCCGGGCCGGCACATCACTATTGGGGAATGGGCATGTCCTAGGGACAAAATACCCGCGAGATGATGTGAACATGGTGAAACGAAGTATCTGGGGTAGGTGGTGGTGGTCTGCTGGCGAAGGTGACTCGCGATCAGAACCAGAGTCGATACTGGAGTCCAAGTCCTGCGAGTGTGAATCTTCGTTAGCAGAATTTTGTGAGGTGCGCCAATGCAGATAAGCATCTTGAAGGTAGATAGATTCTTGAAGGTAGATAGATTCTTGACGGCGTAGCCACGTAGTCATTTGAATAACATAGTCACGGCGATTGGACGCACGATATGCACGCTTGGCAAAATCTATGTGGAGGCGTTCTGGGAGCTCGGTGTTGAAACCGTCGGCACTCCCAAATAAACGGATAGAATTGGTGTAGTGTACCATGGAATGGATTTTTGGGATGTTGAAGTGCTCCCGCACACCGTGCTCGACAAAAATGTTCTTGTTGGCGTGGAACGACACCAGTGCAGCTTGCATGCGAGAGAGGGTTTCTTCGGTGTGGGACTGGTACTGGGCGTAGTAGGTAAAATCCAACACTCCACGCACAGCCGCTATAACTCTGTTGTCAACAGCACCTGCGATGACACACAGGAACACGTGCTCCAATTCTCGGTAGTCAGCTCCCGTCCATTGCTTGCGTTTCGAGATTCCTTTTTTGAAGTGCCGTAATCCTGCGTAGGAACTCATTGTCTTGAAACGTAAGTCGAGTTCGTCCTTGCCAATTATTTTCGTGCACCAGCTAACGAGATGGTCCTTGAACACACCTTTGTGCAGCTGGTGCAGGATGTCGGGTGTCATGCAGAGAAAGATGTCGTTGTGCGGGAGAGCGGCCCAAAAAGGTGAGTAAATTGCACGTAGCCCCAGCTCACTCTCGAACTGATCACTACTTATTTCACCCTCAGAGTGACGCCGTAAGTCTGTCATTGTCGTCTCTCGTCTCCGTGGCGCTGACTCTTTCAGATCTCCGCGGTTGTCACGCCCGACAGTGCATTTTGGGCACCTGTTCTCCATACAGCAGGCAACGAGGCATTGCTCCGGAAAGTCGGCAATGTATGCAGCTACAATGGGATGCATCCGCCTCACTTGATGGTCGGGGCAAGTCACTTCCACTCCGTTCTCACCCGCACTCACCAAAGGCTCTAGCACCTGAGCCATGCAGTAGTGGAATAACCGGTAATGTTCGACTGAACGAACATCTCACGTGAAGCACTCCAACTTGGATATCGGTAAGTACGCGATTAGGATGGCTGCGTGCTTCGACGGCTGACAGCGAATGTCTTTAGATATGTTGCCCAGTGTCAAGTACACGGGCCATACCTCCTGATCGCCACGGAACTGCGATAGGGAGGTCTTATCCGAGGCCAGGATCACTGGCGCTACCACCGCCCCTTTGGGTAATCTATGCTGTGAGAATGGACTTAGTGCGTTTTCCCCCTTGTTTAGACTGCACCTCAGCTTACCTGCATTTCCCACCACCAGTCCCCGGTCCACATGTCATCAAAAACGCGTGTCTTTCCCTCCTCGTCTGCAAAAACTTTCTCTGGTGCGTACGAGACGCAACAATCGAATTCTGGATTGCTCATCAACTCACGAATGCAGTCCACCGGGTCGCGTAACCACAATTCGAGGTCTTCTGTCTCCCGCTGCCCATCATTGGCAGTTCTATTCCCCACCACGCTGATCTTCTTCAGTTTCCATTTGGTCGCACAAGGGAGTTTGTCAATGGCTTTCAGCAGCGAATATTTGCTCGTAAATGATGTGTTCATGTGGCTAGTCTATGTCCCAGTCCATAATTTGTGAGTGTCTGATCAGTTTGAAGCGATAGCGTGAATCTGACTTACAATTGGCAGTTTCAGGAATTCATCTATCACTATGTGTCCAACACGCGAGACCAGCCATTTGACCAACCCCCACTCCTCATCATCTGCAAATGGTGCCCAAGGTTCTAGGCCCTGAGCCTCTTGCTGGGCCCGGATGTCCTGGAACATGGTTTCTGCTTGCCCAAGTGTTTGTGCGACTTGCCCAGGGTACGACTGGATGAAGCGCATCCATGTTCGTTCTTCATCTTCCACCTCTTCAAGCCCAACATACTGATCGCCTGGTCTTTGCAGGGGTCTTTCATCAGGTACTCCATCATCAATGTCCCAAACTCCATCAATGTCCATAGGATCTCCAGGTTCGTCCGAGTCACCTCCGGGGGTCGCCTCTTTTCTTATTTGCTCACACTCACGGAGCCGTTCCATCTGGTGCTTACAGGCTGCTGTTTTGCTGATATGGAGGCTAACGGCGCCTGCGCTCTTGAAGTTGCCTTTGAGGCAGAAGTTACAATGGTACATGATGGTTGGGCAATAGGCCTACAAGCTGAAAATTCCGACTCAACTAATCCCGACGTGAGTGACAGCAACAGCTCGATCAAGTCTAACCCAGCTGACTTAGCAAATCCAGGTGCACAATCGGGACATGAAAATTTTTGTCGATCACTCCTTATCGCGCTGGGGCCATCATCTATCAAGATGCGTACTCTGTTGATCAAGGTGCGTACACTCTGTTGATCAAGGCGTGTACTTTGTTGATTCAATGCAAGTGCGTTGTTGATGTCGCGTTTTCTGTTGATTTGTTTGTAGCATGACTTAGCGCGACACTATAAAGGGTCTCTCAACGACTCAAACTACTCATCCCTCCTACTAGTACCTTCAGAATGTCTTCGAAAGGCCCCACTCGTCAAGCCCTGACCCAACTGATTAACAATGGCCCTGATGTAGTAGCTACTTCACAGCGTCAACGTCGTGACCGCCGTCCCTCAGAGAGAGCGCTTTATCAAGGTCAGTTCTCATTGTGTATGTACTGCTAGACCGACTGCTCACTGTGACATATCTAGCTGAGGAAGACCAAGATCGTGATGTCCGTCGGCAAAACGTTCAAGGTAAAATCAAGCCAACACGTAAAAGTGTGTCGACAAAGGTGTGTTGTGTGCTTTCACATCATCGTTGATCTGCTAACTATATACGTTCAGGTCATGACGGCGCCCAGGTAAGAACCTATTGTTTCCCTTGTGCTAGCTAACATTAATCATTTGACAGTTTTCGTCTCAAAATGTCAGCCTGTCAAAAGGCAGTGTCCCGGCCGATGCCCTGCTGGATTTGAGGCCTCGTTTTAGCAGGGTCCCCCCGCAAGACAAGCACCAGCCAGTCCAAACCTCGACCACGCCCGTTCAAACCTCAAGACGAGACAAGCACACACCAGTGCAAACTACCCAGCCTGGTGGCTGGCAGGATGATGTCCTGACCAAGGTGAGTTGCATACTTAACTTAATCTCTAGCAGCGCACACTGATGCTTCATTTGTGAGGACTCTGGATTTGTCAATCACGGACACATGTCCAATAGCAGTGTATGTATCATCAGCCTTATGTCTGGTTTCATGCACTAATCAACGAGTTGAAGGCCCCGCCTGCACCTCGCAAGTTGACGGCTGCTCGTGCGAAGGAGCTTGTGCAGCTCCGCCAGCTGGAGTCTGCCCATCCGAACGACTTGGACAATGACTTGGACAAGTCTAATGATGGACATGAAAACTACAATGAAGATCGCTACAACGACCATGACGCAGGTGATAGTGACGTGTTCATGGATGGAGATGGGGAGGAGAGTGCTAACTGTGATGGTGAGTGATACTATGTAGCTCGAACACTGCAGCTGAATGATTTAAGGCTTGCACAAGCGTCCGCGATCACCCTCAGATAGCGAGGGCAACAGCAATCACAGTCGCTACAAACGGATGCGCGATTCTGAGGACTCACCTTCGCCCCAGCAACAGCGGCTGCCACAGAAAATCCAGAAGAGTAAAGGCCGAGTCGCAGCACGTGATTACGAGGTAGCTGTGCAGCAGCTAATCAAATTTTCCATTAGCTCGTTTTGCGCGCGGCTTGCTTCTGAGTATGCGTACCCAGACCGCATGACTCAAGTCTTGTGGGCGAAGGAGGCATGGAAGGAGGGATGTGCCGCTTATGAGATTGAGATGGGCTTCAATAGTGAGATCATTCAAATTGTAAGTGATTTATATATATTATTTCACCTGCTGATCTCTTTCTTTAGATTACTCGTCACACATCACATCTCACCAGTCAGGTGAAAGGGAAGGTCCGTTCTCTTGTCGAGAATATTTACGGCTTCGAGCACGGCAGTCGGGAGTCGGTCAAGTCCAGGAACCGCAGACTGGCCCGTCAGCTCAAGAACAAGTTCGGTTTATGTTATCGGGTGAGTGGTTAGTATGCTGGATCATATAGTCTACTTATACTTTGTTGGAAGAGCCTCGGAGATGAGAAAGCAAAGGTCCCTTGCAGCGGGCTTTTTCGCACGAAGTTGAACCAGAAAGCAGCAAATTTGCTCTGGTACAGCAACAAGAAGGACGAGGGGGTAATGTTCGACAAGCTATTTACTCTGTTTCCCGTTCCTGCCTTGGCATTAGTGTATGCAGCGGTGAGTGACTTTAAGTTGTTTTGTTCCGCTAATTAACAACCATGCCAGGCAGAATGTTGTGTCGACGAATGGGCCGACGGCGAGCGAATAGATATTAGTTTTTCGTGTGGCGAGTACAAGGAGGCTTATGACAAGCACCTTACTAACCTCAAGAAATTCCATGTGCAAACGAAGGACCACGGCATTCTCGATGGTATCCTGAAGGAGATCAACGATAATGGGAGGTAAGTGTTTTTTTATTATTGAATTCTCGCAGATTTGCTGACGACGGTACAGAATCCACGCAAAGGTAGATCCGGCTGATGTCGGAGATGCAGACTGTCTCTCGGATGATGAGATTCACAATGCCATTCGCGAATACCAGCAGGGGAGTGGTGTGAATGAGACTGATGATGAGGATGAGGATTATGGTAGTCAATCTGAGCACAACGGATGCGAAGACGAGTAGAATAATAATAATTTCATTAATGCATATCATTGTTCTCATTGGTTTGAGTGGTATGAACTAAGTTGGTGTACGATTGGAGGCTATGTGGCACTACATAGCAGGGCTACATAGCTGATGCTCGAGATACTGGATACTATGTAGCAAAATAATGATATAGCCTGAGGTATATAGCGCTATGTAGGGGGGGGGACCTGCAATGAGCCTACGAGCAGTATGTAGCCTATGTAGCGCTATGTAGCACTTCGATTTTTTCCTGATGGAAACTCGACTCCTCCGAGTCTATTTTATGATACCGACACATCTCCATTCCTCGATCTCGACGGGATGGAGGAGTAGGTGATCGATTGTGGCTATCATTGCTGTTCTCGTTGTCTAATACAGTAAATAATTCACGCTCTCTCATAAAATTAGAAAACCCTCATACATCGTGTTGACTACACTCTTTTTAATCACAATTAATTGTTTTCGTGTATACGAGCTGGACCTGAGGAACAGCTAACTCATATAAGGGACTGAAAATTTTCACAACACTAGCCATACACTGTGTATTTGAGAACAATATGCGAAAAGCTAGTTACAAATATGTCAAAGTTACAAACCAGTAAAAGAGTTCTTATAATCCGGCAAACTGTCATAATTTACAGAATTATCAGAAATTAGGCTAATTACATCTAGGCTATGGGGGGACGGTTTTCCTGATGGAAAAATAAAGGAAAGGAAGGCACCAGCGGACGTGGCAAAGAGGCTCGAGCACTCCGGATAGCAGGCAAGTACAAAGGAGGGAAACTGGCAGCAGATTTCAGCAAGCGCTATTATATAGCAGAAGTGCTTACCGGAATCGAAACGTTGGATCCGAACAAGTTAATGCATTAGGGTTTGCCACTGATAATGCACCACGGTAATGCATCATACTTAGAATGGTTAATGCACAACATATATCTTGTAACTACCACGTATTAATGCACTAATATGACAGTATGGCCTGGCCGTTGATGTGTCTCTCGCCAGGTTGGTCCCTTAGCGGACTTGAAACTCAGATAGAGACTTGCTTGTACAATATGTAATACATCGCCGCAGGACTTGGATATGCTGGTCATGGAATGCCAAGATGGAATTGCTGCAGCTGAACAATACAAGTGTCCCGTGGGGAGCCTGAATTTTCCACGGTCGAGTGACGATAACAAATGTGCAGCGAGCATAATACGTTACCCTTATTCCTTCACTGAAAGTAGTGGTAAATCCACTATGCCTTGTGTTAGACAGGAGAAGTCCATCTCATCCACGACCATATACATATAAATATCAAAGGTCAACATACTTGCAATGGAGCGTAATTCTCGACAACGTTGATAAATCTGCGTCCACTTCTACGGTCCTAGTTGCACATCATGATTCCAATAGTACTTTTATTTGAAAAAAGATTGGGTGGGGTCTTCACCGTTTTTATTACTTCAGAATCCTTGTTCCACCCTATGCAACGTGCTAATCATAAAGATCTGAGACGATCATGGGTTAGCCCAGTCAAATACCACACCATCTTCACGCGACCGCAACCTGCTGGGGTTGTTGGTCCGGTCCAGCCTTTGGAAAGCACACAGCGAGCACTCCATTCTCCATCTTGGCATTGCAGGGCGGGTGGCACGAGCGTGTTGGAAGAGGGAGAAGAACGAGACGAAGAGAGCATAACGAGCAGCCATGTAAGATACTAAGTGGTTAGTCGTATTTAGGTTTATTTCTGAGCAGTTGATAGTCTGGGGACTCTGGATTCCGGATCTTAATATATAGAGATGACAAGTTCATAAGCACAAATAAAATAAGCCTTGTTTCAGAAACGGGTAACAAGATCAAGCATACCGTCACAGAAAATCAATTTGTGACCATGCTTTGTCCGAATCCAATTCATTAACGTCGTAAATATTTCACAGTAGCGGCTGCGCTTGTACACCTTCATCTTCCCCACCAATCGCTCTTCACTGCCCTTCGAACGAAGGACATCTATAGCACCCAGCTAATATTTCTGTGACATATCATCAGCTTCCAAATCATTCAAGCAAAAGCATACAATACGAACCATTGATGTTCGTATTATTGACACAGACACCTTACAGTGGGTAGACTCCCTTATTGTGCTTAGGGGAAGCAGAAGTGGGGGAGAGGTCCCGCGATGACGGGAGGTTGGAGATGGCTTCAAGACATCGACGCTGGCGCTTACGTGGAGGTAAGTATTCCTCCGCCGATTCATTGTCGCAACTCTCGGAGTAACTGCTATCCTCCTCGTTCTCCTGTGCATTACCATCGTCGGAGTTGTCATCCGTCGCGATAACACTCTGGCGGGGCTGAAGTCTAATAAGCAGACGAGGCGCACCCGATTCAGCCCCACTTACTTCGGTAAGGCTTCGGGTCTCCTCCTTCTCGTTGTCCTGTGCATTACCATCGCCCGAGTTATGATCCGCTGCAACGGGAATCGGGTGTTGCAAGGGCCTAATTTTGATGGTCAGACGCGGCATGTCTGATTTATCCTGACTTTTGTCTGTCTGGCTTCGTGACTCTTCTACTGAGGGGAGTTCTGAGTCGGAGCGCTCAGAAGAGCTGGAGCGCCGCTGATGCTTGACGAGGCGTTTCATGCGCGCGGGAATAATGATTTTGAGCGAGGACGTGTCCTGACGTTTTGGTTTGTCAGTTATCTGACACGTATCAGAGTCAGAACAATCTGGAGAGGGCGGACCGAGTCTCAAGACAGCGTTAGGAGCAAGTCGTATGATGCGAGGCATAATGAGGATAAGGGAGAGAGTTGTTTTTTTTCGTTTTCTGTGAAGGAGCGCTCTGTGGGGCGAACGTGGTAGCTACCTTGTAGAACCGCGCCCTTTAAATAATTTAGTGCTGTGGACGCACCGTGTGGACGTTGTTTTCAAACACCCACAGCGAGGTCGCAGCGTTGGACTAAACAATGCCGTGGGTAGCATTAATCGCCATATCTGTGAGGGCCCGTGGCTTGACCATGGTGGTAAAAACCATGGAAGCGCTTGTGAAAGCGGACAATGACGACGAACTTGAGCGACCACTCGCGTTGACCACTATGACGGTCCAGTAAATGATCTGCCAATGCAGACAATACATAGAGGCTATTGCGAACAAAGTATCAGTACTGGTTGTATGCTACACGTCACCAGCCGCTGAGAAGCCTATGGTTGGACATAGAAATACACTGCGTACTGCATTTATCGACTCGGAGAAGTGAGCCATCTTTGAATTGAGAACTTTTCTAATTCATCGTTCGACGTGTGATGTATTGTTCCGCTGCCTGGCCATGACGCCCATGTGGTGATAATTGATCAAGGTGCTGCCAATGTATTCGATCCCGGGACCTCCCCGCGCAATTTGTATATAGAGCACCGGGCAGGACCTACATTATATTATCAACATCATTGTCAAAATAAAATTTCCACTTTGACCTCGAATTGTAAGTCGATGATATACTTTGAGTGACGGTTCTCTTGGCTGCAAATACAGGTCATAATTGACGTCAACAATGATTGGCACATACTAGTGGACTGTAGTACACCGCAGCTTGAGAAATGTATTGGCTATATAGGTTGAGGACGGCAAGGGTTCGAAAGAAAACGCACGTGCACTTACGGTTGGATTGTTGTGAGACGTGGGAATCTGCGTTATATATCTGGCGCGTGCGCATTGCGCAGGCGGAATTTTCCACTTTCTAATACTCCCCGCCGGCAGCATCAAGAGTACGATGCAGACCGAGGAAGACTCGAGTCCTCGTGGCAGTAATCCCCCCAAGCCAATCTTCCTTGACACCGCGAAAGCAATGTACAGGGCGCAGGGTGTGAAGGGGCCCTACGTTGGGTGCGGTATTACTGTTTCTCGATCAATACCCAGCAGCGCGATTGTATTTCTAATTTGCGGTGGCCCAAGTAGTCGTTTGGGTAGTAGACATGGTTTCCCGCAATCCCCATTGTAAGATAGTACTGGGCGCTAAAGATCATGCACATCGGTTACATCATCAGATCTCGTAATTTTGGAGTATAGCCTGAGCATATGTATGTCTTCCTAACCGTCTAGTCTCTAGTGGCTGACACAATAAATAGGACAGATGAGAGTCGACATATCCTTCTATAAAACGATCTGCATTCAAGCCAGAACCGTTCCTATGCCATCATAATATTCGTCCTCCACGCGAAAAGCTAAGTCTCCCTCGTCAAAAAGTACCAGATAATGAACAAGGACTGCGAATGAGAACCCAGCAAAAACGCCTTTTTCGGCGAGTGCTTGTCAAGCGCCCATACCAGAGCTGTGGCAAATAAGCAGCTTCCCATGATGTATGGATTTTCGATGAAGGCCAACATAACGAGCGCATGGCAAGCCGTCAATATGACCTTTGTCTTGCGGACGGATCCGAGAAGGACAGGTATGGTGGGGACGCCGGCCTTCAGATCGTCTTCAAAATCACGGACATCATTCATAGCCTATAGACATAATTCAAGGTCAAATCCTTTGATCATGTACTGTCTACTTACTGCGTGGCATGAACGATTAACCGTCGACCAGACTATCAGTTGAACAGTACTCCATGGAGATGGTAGTGTGTTAGTCAGACTTCCTGATCCTGACAATACGGTGAGGACAACAGTGTAGATTCCACATCTGAAAAGCGTTGATATATGCGTTCAATGTTCAAGGAATATATGCAGACATACGCTCGAATGATACCGCTAAATATGGCTTTCATCCCAGGAACGCGTTTGATAACCAGAATGGGCGTAGATGTCGAAGGTTTGTGGCTGTCTTTAACAAAACTCCCGAGAAGGCGCCTCGAAATCAACCCCAACTTTTTGAAGCTGATCGGAGTGTTCCAGAGCAAGGCAGGGGCTATGAAGGCTGCCGTAGTGAGGAGGGTCGAAAGTGGACATAGAGATAGTGCCAGTGCAAGGAGCATAGCGCTGGCGGTGAGGAAGGTTCGTGCATATCCAAACCAAGAGGCGAGGCGAGGGTCGTTTGCGTTATTGCGGTCAGATGAGAATTCCTCCTCTTTATCCCTAAGATGGTCAGCCCCCATCGCAAGGATGTCCGATGTCACGCAGATGGTTATCTGTGAAGACAATTGGATGAGTCATATTCTCTGGGATTACATTGGCGAGCATACCGATCTCCAATCGATAGTTCCATTGGCAGACATGATATAGGACATAAGGGAAGACAGGGCTAAGCTGTTCATTGATATTACGATGGGCCGGAAGAAGAGCTCATCTGCAAGTTTCGGGATTGTGAGGGTTGACATATTGGTGGAAATTGAACAGCAGACAAATTGAATACTACTCTCTGCCGCTTTTTATACTGAGCCATCGAGTTGAGTTTCGAATAAGGATAGGCGTGGATTGATCTCAACTTGTGCCGGAAAATGTGGGATACCCCTTGAAATCGTATCAGGATTGATAGGAAGTCGCACAAACGTTCTCGGATCCGATCGTGCACGGATGGAGTCCTAAAATAGCTGGTTTAATGACCGTCAATAGTAATGAGACACTGCAAAAATAATAAGATTCGGTGTACAGCTATTCCGGAGCTATGATGTTGATAGTTGACTATAGGGGTTTGGGATAACCGGGTGATGTCACGCATCAATATGACGAAAACGAAACCCTAGACTTGCACTTACTGGGTTGGCGTCAAAAAGCCGCAAGGAGACGGCCATTTCGAAATAAGAATCCGACATGCTGGCGAGTTAGGATGTCTATACTTGCAAGTTGCACTATATATAGTACTTTCGCAACCGAGTTGCTGCCAGATCAAGCTAGACTCGTGACCAGTCCGTCTATGAGGCAAACCGTACCTCAAGCATTATGGCGTGGAGAGCCAAGATGGCGACCCGATTATTGGGCCTGTAGCAAAACCGAGCAGGGGTAAAGGGGTGAACAGGAGGCTGCTCATTTGCATGGTTATGCTGAGATGTGGAAGCGGAGAGAGACGTGAGCTGAAATGAAGGTCAACTCTCATATGAAAATCAAGACAAACTAATAGGCAAAATGAGTTCAGGAAATCAGACGAACCGGTGAGAGAGTCATGAGAGTGCGTTGATTCGCTATATGCATGTGTGAAATTCTGGACTCGAACTCCCCTAGGCAGAGTTTAGACTCGGATGAAGACAGTCGTTTGATCCTGAGAGGTAAGGCTATGGCTAATGACCGGCACCGGAGTTAAAAGACCACAGCGCTTTCTAGTTCGCAGGCCTCTAGCCTGAGTTTGAACCAAATCACAATTATAAGATAAAGATGGAATGTGATGGGGTGGTCAAAAGAAATGCCCGTGACAGTGATGCGTGGCCTGTTAGCGTTCCGAAATTGCATCATGATACGACTCGAAGTATAGACTCGCAATCAATCTGACTACTGCGTCAATTTGAGATGGCGAGATATTTTGACGTAGTCAGACGGGTCGAACTCCTCGCTTCGCCCTGCGGCCACGCCATTCCGAGTTCAACCAGGCTGGCTACACCACTTGAGTATCCGTGGTAGTATCCGCCAGGCTAGTCACGAGCCTACTCGAAGTATGGATGGAGGCCGAAGTATAGAGGATAGAAGAGCCGATTATGATGTATCATTTCCGAGGAACGCTAACAGCCTGTAACAGGTAACACATTCAACTCTGTGACTCACTGTCACGCGCATTTTTTTGACCAACGTTCCCCATTGGCAGATGATAGATCCCATGAAGTTCGTCTCATCATTGTGATTTGGTTCAAACTGTATTTTATTCAGGCTTGAGGCCTGCGCACTAGAATGCACTTGGAAGGTATGTTTACTCCGGTCCCGATCCTTAGCCTTAGCCTTACCTCTCGGCCAGTCGGCGCACCATGCATGCTGTGGTGCAGCGCCGCAAGGTAGGTCGGAATTATGCTCGAGAGTGATGTACTGCCTCGCAGCGACTGGTGTTTATGCGGTCTATAGTTGTTCGCAAGCCAGTCGAAGTAACATACTCGCCGAGGCGCTTGCACAGCGGGTCACGGCGTTCCTTGCCTCAACTATTGCGACTAATTTGCCGAGTTCAGTTAAGCATGTTTTCGAAAACGCTATGTCCTGGCCCTGGATGTGTCCAAAATCATTGGCGTATCCCATCTAGATGATTAAAGGCGCTGTCTCTACAGTTCGTGCTCGGAAGAGCACTGTGATGCCAGTAATGCGCATGTTTGTGGATGCTGCTGTTTTATGCACTGTGATAAATGATTAAGACGGTATTTGCTCAGAGGTGGATGGCTTTACCGCATTCGCAGCTGGTCAGTGTGTCAGCTCGACGATGGAAGATCTTTCACCGTCAGACTGGCACATACACTGTACAACAGATGCGACGGAATGAATTTGCGATCTCCTGAGCAGAATATGCGTGGGATCTCCGACCTCCCAACAGCTTCCAACTTTCCTCGTGAGGAGCAAGAGCGCACCCAAAGCTCCACCCTGGGCAACTTCTTCTTCTTCCCTTCTCACCAGTTCACCAGCTTCAAGCTACTAACAGTCGGATCACGTTTCTCCAGCGGGTAAACCTGTAGACCTAGGCTTGTCATCCACCGAAATCATTACTTACACAACCATGCCTATGCATGTCTAGTCTCGCGACACCGACTGGTTGAATCGCTGGATCAGTTTGATGAGTCGTCTCATCTTATACTTACTCCGTTACAGTAAATAACAAGCGATATTTGTGGTTGTTGTGATTCAACTGAATTTCAGCGCTTCCAAGCTCCAGACCGCAGCCGCCCAATGGTCATGTTATCTTATCTTTGGGACTTGAGTTCATGGAAATGAGAAGCCGGACCTTTCTCGTTTTATACTTCCTTCTCAGTTGGTCAATAATGCCTGTTAACCCTCAGATACTCGGCAAGTTAGAACATTCTCAGAAGGTATTGGAGACGCCGCCATCGGAACATCCAACTCCTCCTGCTCAACTCCCATCGCGCAATCCAACCCGCTCATTCTGGATCGATTCCTCTCCGGACGCAAATCCGCTCGCTGGTGAAGGCAGCCAAGATCCTCTGCCAAGCGAGGCAGACGTCTGCATCATCGGGGCTGGTATCACTGGCGTCGGCGTCGCGTACCACCTTATCGAACTCTTGAATAAAGCCTCGATTTCCCTCGAACACCCACTCAGGATCGTGATACTCGAAGCAAGAGATTTTTGTCAGTCTGTCTCATGCTTATCATGGTGTTTTTCGTTCAACTGACGCGTTTTAGGCTCAGGAGCGACCGGTGCGTCGAGCATTACTTGTTTCCTTGCTTCATTGTGTGAGGATATTGTTTGTAGGAAGGAATGGTGGACATCTTACGCCAGCCGCTTTCCTCGAGTTTTCTCAACGTCAGGCTTTGTTCGATACTGTCGAGGCAATAAAGTCCTATGAACTCGAAGAACACACTGCATCTCTGCTCGTGAAAATCATAGAGGACAACGGCTGGACGAGCGATATCGACCTCATAGAAGGTGGACACATAAATATCCTGTTCACGGATAAGGAAGAAAAAGACGCGCACAAGGACTATGACATGGCTCGCCAAGCGCGGCTCAATCTAGATGGTGTAGAATGGCTTCCACAGGAGAAAGTCGAGGCGGTAATTACCCTCGTTGATCACTTTTCTGGACTATCTGATTCGAACGGGCTTGTAACCAGGAATATGGCGCCCCTTACCCAGGATTCCGCGAACCAGGCCACAATGTCTGGCCGCTGAAACTCGTCACTAGACTGTATCAGCATGCTCAAGCACACGCTGGGCAATACGCCTCCCTCAGCTTACACACTCGGACACCGGTGACTGCCGTCACGCATGAAACGGCCAACAACTCTTCCACTTATACAGTCGTGACGAACAGGAGTAGCATATCGTGCTCCCGTGTCATCCATGCCACGAATGCATATGCCTCCCATCTCCTTCCCTTTCTCGCAGGTCCAGCTGGAATCATACCCACTCGAGGACAAGTAATGGCCACCCGTGCTTCTGTCGGCGCAGATCAAATAAAGACAACCGGCTGGAGTGGAAACGAAGTAAGCGACTCCATCCTAGCCCGTATGTCGTGACCGATCTTCTCTCAGGGATTTGCATACTGGTTCCCCAGACCGGTAACACATGACACCGAGAAACCGCTAATCATCATAGGTGGTGGTCGGGAAGCCGCGGAACCTAGTTACGAGTTATACGTTGACAACGACTCCCAAACGCACCCTCTCGTTGGTCATGCGCTTCGCGAATTCTTGCCGTCTGTCTTCGAAGGTAAGTATGACCCGGATTCGGAGCCTGAGATGGAATGGGTAGGCAGTCCTTTGTTTGCGCGAGGATCTGTCTGACGAGGGTTTAGACTGGTATCATGGGCTATACGAAGATGGGAGACCCGTTTGTGCGTGCAAGAACTCTTACAAAACACTGTCGTTGATGTGTTCCTCGCTAGGTTGGTCCCGTGGCAGACTTACTCGTAACCAATTCAGAGAAAGACTTGTACAAGAAACAGTACATCGCCGCAGGATATTCCGGTCACGGAATGCCGCGCGCTTTTGGGTGGTAAGTTATTTTGCGATTGGCCGTGTCGGGTTCGCTTCATATGATTTTCCAGTGCTGAAGTCGTCGCGCAAATGATTCTGGCTGAGATAACTAATACAGAGTGGAAGGAGCCTGATTGGTTTCCACAGCGTTATCTGACATGGAACAGACGAGTTGAGTAAGATCTTACCAAGCACGACGTTAGGGTGGGGAATGTGGAAAGCTTGGATGTGCTTGTGGTCAGTAGACCACATCGAGATACCCGCTAACCAGGTCATGTAGTAAACTAACAAGAGTCTCGAGCGAAGGTACCACATAGTAGTCTCTCGTAAGGCAGACCCTAATAATAGATTCAAGGGGAAGGCAGTTTACCTTCTTCTGCATAATTTTCCGACCCGAACTCGACCCGAACTCCAAGATTATCGTTCGGATTCCCTCATGGAAGTGCCTCGAACGTCTTTGCTGGCGTATGTACGTTGGTGTACTTGGTGCTACAAAGTACTCTTTCTCCTAAGCACCTCACGCCATCCATCGACCGGGCTCAACGCCGTAGCTTTTATAGACGGTCACCACCTCAATATTGGTTATTGGAACGACTGCGATCGTCCTTCTCCTCAGATAGGTCTACCTAAGGGAGATTTGCGTTGTTCTACCGGTACCCTTCGCTCATCAGAGGTATGCAATACTATTCATATACCTCGTATACCGTATTAATACATCATCATTCTAGTGAGTTATTGATCAACAGTTAGCGTTGCTCACGATTCACCAAGTCTAATCATTCTACTCTTCTACAGTTTCAACCTTGCCCACGTGTTAGCTACCAAGGTCCAAGATGCAGCCACTTGACGGTACGGCCAATTCAGGAGTGAGTCTCTCTGCAGCCTTTGAATCGGACATCATTGGTACGCTGCGAAATACCGTAAGTGCCAAGTTTTACAAGCACCCGTGTCCGAGAATAACAACCATTCATTTCAGCTTGCACGTTCACGAGAAATTGTATGCACTATTCCGATATATCGAATGCCATGTTATTGACAGTGACCAGATTTCTGCAGACCTCGAAACCTCGTACTCCCGCAGAGTTGCCACTATTACCAACCACTCTGTCGTCGAGCTTGAAGACCAGAGTATTAGCGCTATCATTAACGAGCGCCAACAACAGTTCGATGCAACTTTGCATGAGATCTCAGAGCTGGAAACAGCCATGGACGACCTCAAAATTCTTCACTGGCAACTCGTCGAAAAGAAGGACAAGATCACCCAGTCCATGAATTTGCACAAACAACTTGTATCGGCTCTCTGGCGCTTGCCAACTGAAGTTCTATCCCACATTTTCGTTCACTGTCTCCCAGAAACTAGTCGCTTGCCGTACGCATCAAAAAGGCTAGCTCCTGTGTTGTTGACCAGAATATGTCGACGATGGAGGGAGGTTGCTGTGGGCACGTCCAATTTATGGTGCAGGCTGATGTTGCAAAGCAGCGAAGACGACAACAAACACTGGGAGTCAATGGCTTTTTGCTATGACTTATGGCTCAAGCGATCACGAGGACTTCCGCTCTCGTTGGAAGCCTGGTGCGACACAAATGACTCCATCACTAAGTTCCGAGGCCTTATTCAGCCATACATCAATCAAATCTCGTCTTTCTATATCCGTTTTGTCTTCCAGGCCGGCAAACCCGAACTTATGTTCAAAGACCTCCCAACACTTCAGGAACTGACCCTATATGCGGACGATAATTGTAAAATGCGGCGCATTGCACAATCAATGTCGCAATTGCTGTTCGCCATGCGCAGTCTCAAGGTAACATTTCCAATGTTCAACCTAGAGGACTTTTCTGCTGCCATTCCCCTATTGGCACGCCTGACAAATATCGAGGTCACCATAGATAAACTGAGTGTAGTCCCCCACTTGCTCCATCTATGCCCCAACCTCTCCTCGTTAACGATTCGTACAGGCGTCAGCCTGCGAATGCAACCCATCGAACTATTCATACACCCCAAACTTCGATCTTTACGCATCGCTCATCACCTCAGGAACGCGGAGCATTTATCAGGCCTGTTCGATGCTCTATCACTTCCCGATTTACGCTTGCTTGAAGCTCGCTATATAGAATCATCGCAGATACACACCCTGTTCGATGCCCTCCCACCCCCCAAGTTGTGCGACTCGGAGCTTGAAGCTCGCTTTGCACAACCATGGCCTCACGCGGAGCTGAAGGCATTGCTGGCACGGTCGAATTGTCCCCTGGAGGGCCTGAATCTAGGCGGTGGAGTGATGATGACAGATGAGCAGCGAGCGGAATACGTTGCCCTCATCCCTTCCCTCGATGTAGTAGTGGATCCCATGCGTCAAGATCACACTTTGCTCAAGCAGACTTAGTCGACGAAGAATGACATCGAGCTTCACGGACTTTTGCAAAGGGCTATACTCTGTGTTTTGTGTCACTAGTACTGTATGCTACCAGCTCTGTAGTATGTTTTGTTTTCGCAGTTCTACCTAAGTTATTTATTTGAGTGCGATAGGACCAACATCTGTAGATGATATCTATACAACCAACTGATCCAGATTTCAGAGTCGCCGTAGTACAGTATGGATATTGAGTGTACGGCCTTCGCAGTGATATTGTGATGTGCATCACTAGCAAGAGCACCATCATATGTAGTGTTACGCTTGATCTGGATCAAAACTTCGTCTCGTATATATGCGCACCAGTAATCTCCCTGAAGAACTGGTCTGTGGAAGCACGCAGTCGTTGCTCGTACCTTATTGAGTGGCTCGACTCCAGAATAAGGACTGGAAGGAGGTGTTCTCACTGAGCGCGCCTTGGCTTATCAGGACAAATGTGTCTTGTCTGGCTCGAGGGCTACTACGCGGAGGATGTCAATGTAAGTGTACCATCTAGAGTCCCGAAACATGAGTTCCCTTTGTTTGAATTTATCCCCGATGGGGGGCAAACAGTCATATATATCGTCGATTCCAGGATCACCCAAATCTACTTGAATATGTCTGGAACTCGCCCTTCACTGCTGTACAGAAATGCTCATGAGTCCAGTGCACATTCAATAATGGAGGTGTGAGCTCGCAGCGGGTAAACGTTCGTGATGCGGAGCCCGCAACCCTTCACAAGTTTCTCCCACTCGGGCTGTTCAATCTTCAGCAACACATAGTCAAACTTTGTTGCCCACGTACCAAAGACCTCTCGCAACCGTTCATCATGGTCAGCATGTGCATCGACAAAGTGTTAACTAGTTGGGACGCTGAACCGAAGTGCGATTGAATGCTATAGTCGGGGCGTTTAGCGTCGCCGTCCAGTAAGAACGAATTGGTGCTCGTTGTAGCAGTCGAATCTAAGTTCGGGACAGTTACCATGTCGACGATGAGTATCTTCGACTGTGAAACGATTCAGACGTTCAGACATAGCACATCGGTCTGCGAATTCGGCAATTTACCTTGGGACCCAGCGCGCTAACTACGTTTCCCAATATCACTGCCTGAGTCAAAGTCAGCCATGCCACTGAAGTACGATGCACCACACTGACCGCTTCTTCGTCTGGCCAATTATGCCTTTCGTAGGACTGGTGTAAGCAAAACAGCGTGAGGCGAACAATTACTCACATTATATGACGCATAATGAAGCTATACTCGTTTCCGATGCGTGGTTGAGGCTGGAAAAAGTTGTGGGCTTCCACCGTGAGTGTACCATTTTCAACATCACGAGGGCGGTGTTCTTTCATTTTTGTACTGGTCAGTGCAACAACATTCTCCGTGTCCTGAACTATGCCTCGAAGGGAAGGATGCCTGCCGTGATTGAGTGATTTCGCGAATAGGGACCTGATATTTGCCAACTTACGCATCTAGAATAGCCGAAACTAGACCACCCTTTCCCCCTCCACAATCAACGATGACGGGTGTTTCCAGCTGTTCCCATGGGTAGTCTGCTGCGATACTCGGAGTAGACATGTCACCGAAGAGCTAGAACGGCAAAGTCCAATGAGCGATTTTGTAACTCTCACACACAATGACTGACTTGAAGATGATCCGAGATTCGAACGAGGGCCTGTGGATTCTCCATAACCCAGGAGAATAACTTCAAGGGAGTCTTGTACGCGATCTGAAAAGCTGTCTGTGCTGGAGAACGTGATAGTTTCCAATCCGATTCCGTCACCCAACGTGGCATGACTGACACCAACGACATGAACCGAGGCGTTCTGCTCGACATTTAGCCTCTTATCGAGCGCTCATACAGCGAAAACGTACGAAAGGTTCAATCTCCGACCTGGGTGACCTTTGATGAAAGTGCGCGAGCATCTGTTCAGAGCAAATGAGGAATCACGGGTCTCCCTCACCCAACCGTTGGCTGCACAGCAGCGGAGAATGGGAACGAGTTTATGAGAATCAAGCTCGAATGCTGAGGCCAGCTCAGTGGCTGGGGCACCTTCGGAGGGATTCGGAACGCCAGACAAGTAGTCGATGATATCGGTCTTGATGAGGATATCGGTAGAGGCAACGACATAGGCTGTGTACTTCTCATCCAGGCGCTTATCCAAAGGCGGCTGAATAAGGTTCTTTAGCTCTCCCTAGAATAGGCGATCAGATGAATCAAAGGCAGGGCTCGGTTTGAACCGACCAGACATGCTAAAGGAATTAGGGTTATGCATTGGTGCGCGTGAAGCACGACGACTTACCTAGAGAGAGGCGCCGAGCTTCAAATAGCGCCGTGCTTGGAAGGTAGGTTGTTGGGTCGTCCAATGGGTGTTCTACTGAGCTGTGTTGGCTCAGGGGAGGAAGCTGAGACTTGTCCATCTCCTTGCGGAAGGTATCGAGTGCGAGGTTCAAACATGCTTGGAGTCGATCAAGTTCTGCATGGGCCATGATGTGATTTGCTGGCAAAAAAGAGAAAGTCTCTTGGCCTTAATATATGTTTTACCTACCTTCCCTCGTACTGATCTCCGGTGTCCGGCCCGTCGATACACGGAGCTGTACTGGTGGCATCCTCATTAATATTGTGAAAGTGATTCCTGTTATAACGATTGTTACAACGGGTGAGTCATCTACATCCTCTGCATAAGGCTTGTTTCTGGATGCATTACCGACTGTTCATTTGGGAATAGACATGGCGTATGAGACAATTTTTTGCAGGCTTTGATGATTTCCCCTTGCAATCACTGACGATCCAGATCATACGTGTTTGCCAGCTGGAACCTTTCGATCTCCGGTAGTGGAACATGACTGGCAGGCATCTGGGCATCGGAGTTCTGCTGTATCACCACACACCACCATCATCTTGTCATCGTCTGTAAATTCAAATCACCAACCATCCAAAACATAGACCACCTTGGGATGCAGGGCCCTCCTAAGCTATAGGACCATCCCGGTGTACTCATTGCTATAAAACCAATGCTCTATCCCCAGGCGTATACTTGAGTGATGACACGGCGCAGTGAATGTGGAACTAGACCGAATATGTTGTGGTCAGTGGACAACATCGTGATACCCAACGAAACATGTACATAGAATTGTCGTCATTTTCTCCTGCGACAGTAACGCTCACGTATCAAGTGTACATTCAATAATGGACATGTGAGCTCGTATATGGCCTTCACAGGGCCCTATCCCTTCACGTTGTTCAATCATCAGTGTGCAACACATAATCTAACTTTATCATCACGTTTACTCACCTTCTGTGTCACTTATCAGGAGATATCTTACTTGTCGGTGACTTATCTGTATTTGTTGATGGTAATGTTCGCCCCCCGTGCACACCGCACAACAAAAGCCCATTTTACGCGCATATCGTGGCGCACACTGTGTGCTTTGAAGAGTGAGCGAAGTGCGGAAACCCGTACCACGACGGGAAGTTCGAGGTACTAAAGGGTGTGGTATGAGGTGGTAGTAAATGTGGTTGGGCGCTGAGATGGTGCTAGAAAGCTCTAGCGTGCTGTGAGGACACGGTTGAAGAAACCCGTGATGATGAATGGGGCGAGAAGACTCTGGGACGATTCGAAGTCTGGGAGGTCGTCGGAGTTCTGACATAAGGATCTAAGCTGGTCCCGCACAGGATTACCTAAGAGCTGCCAAAAGCGGAGGCGTTTGAATTTAGTTTAAACTTTAACTTAAAACCACCTCCGAGTCTTGGCAAAACGTAGATCAACTTGCAACCAGACTGAAGGACGCACCTCTCACGCTGCTCGACATCATGCCCTCATGCTGGTTTGCTCATTGCTATAACACTAATGTTTGGTCTGTGTTATAACATAGGTTGACCAAAAGTAGTATCACAGTACATTTGCTCACCTTTCCAAAGTGCGTCCTGGCGGCGGTGCTGTCACGGTGCACCATATAGTGGTGGATCCTTCGCTTCTGCTCGAAGAGGTGTAACGCGTGCTGGTGAGTCTAACAGCGCTTCTCTTTGTCTTGCTGACGTGCTTAATTCAGCCTCTTCGTGGGGCATTATTCTAATGGAGAAAGGACGATGTCGGGAAATAAGAGACGATGGCAAGGAGTGATGGTGACCTGCTAGTCGCTCAGGATTACATGCTATGGTCGGAGGTGCCTTGCTGAGAAAATGTTAGCGGCAGTGCTTCGAATCTCGATGCACCTCGGTGTGTTCTGTCTTATGCATCACTCACATGTACCACACCGAATCCGTCCGCGAGCGCCAAGATATGGAGCCCCCAGTAGGTATTAAGATATAACTATCGACGTCACTCTCGTACGTACTCATCCTTTTCTTTTACATACAACATGCCCCGCTCACGTTCACCTTTGATTCTCCGTCTCGATCAACGAACTTGAATTAATGTCTCTCCCCATCGAAATCTCCCTCAGTCTTGGAAAAGACTGAGGTGAGCTCTCTGATTCATGGTTATACGTGCATTTTCCTGACTATTAACCTACCTGGTCTGTTCCCCGTTCCTAGGTAAGATCCATAGGTAATCGAATCTCTTGATTCAAGACTGCGTCTCTTTCCCTTTCCTACATAGTCCGAGCCAGAGTTTCTTAGTATGATATAGGTTTCGGTGAAAAATTCAACAATTTTTAACAGCGACTAATTAAACGTGTTATGAACAACTGTAAATAAGACAACGTCGGAACTTAAGGATATCGGTCAAGAACTGTCAATAATGTACCATGTCCCGGGGACAACTTCAGCATCTTAGGCATGCCAATGCCTTTTGTTCGGCAAGAATCAAGTCAAACTTTGAAACGCCATGTCTGGCTCTCTCAGTAGGGCTACACGGAGTAAAGTCATCATTCGGGGACTCAGAACATCACGATAGGTTGTCTTTGTACAATTGTGCGACCATCCTCCATGGGGGACAGGAAATCACAAATATCTCGTATCGATCTTTGTCTCGTCCAAGTATACATCGAATATCAAATTATATACGTCAATATGCCCGGAAATCGATATGACTCTGAGATCCAGTATTCTGTTCTTTTACGGTGATGCTCGTGTGTCAAGTGCACATTCAATAATGGAAGTGTGAGCTCGCAGCGGGTAAACGTTGGTGATACAGAGTCCGCACCCTTTCACAAGTGTCTCCCACTCAGGCTGTTCAATTTTCAGCAATGCATAAGTCAAACTTTTTTCTGCACGTACCAAAGACCTCTCGCAACCGTTCATCAAGGTCAGCATGTGCACCGAGAACGCGTTGACTATTTTAGACGCTGAACCAAAGTGCGATGGAACACTATAGTCGACGCGTTTAACATCGCTGTCCAGTAGGAACAATTCGGCGTTCGTTGTGGCAGTCGAATCTACGTTCGGGACAACTACCATGTCGACGATGAGTATCTTGGACTGTGAAACGTATCAGATATAGCACAGTGATATGGTAATTTTACTATTTACCTTGGGGCCCAACGCGCGAGCTACGTTTCCCAATATCGTCGCCTGAATGAAAGTCAGCTGTGCCACTGAAGTAGGACGTACAACACCGACCGCTTCGTCGTCCGGCCAATCATGTCTTTGGCAAGACTGGTAAAGCAACACCAGCGTGAGGTGAACGAGTACTCACATTATATGACGCAAGATAAAGCTATAATCGTTTCCGATCCGTGGTTGAGGCTGGAAAAAGTCGTGGGCTTCCACCTTGAGTCTACCATTTTCAACATCACGAGGGCGGCGTTCTTCCATAATCGAACTTGTCAATGCGACAACATTCTCCGTGTCCTGCACGATAGCTTGGAAGGAAGGATGCCTACCATAATTAAAAGCCTCCGGGATATTAGGAATATAACATGTGCCAACTTACGCGTCTAGGATGGCCGAAACTAGACCACCTTTTCCCCCTCCACAATCAACGATGATAGGTGTATCCAGCTGTTTCCATGGGTAGTCTGCCACGACACTCGGCGTAGACATATCACCATGGACCTAGAACATTCTGGTAATAGCTCGGTAATTCTAAAAGGATCACTGACTTGAAGATGATCCGCAATTGGAATGAGGGCATGTGGATGCTCCATAACCCAGGCGAATCGGTGCAAGGGAGTCTTGAATGCGATTTGGAAAGGAGTCTGCGCTGGAGAACGCGATAGTTTCCAATCCGATTCCATCACCCAACTTGGTATAGATTCTACCATCGACATAAACCCAGGCATACTGCTCGACATTTTAGCCTCCTGTCGGGCGCTCATACAGTAGAAACGTACAAAAGGTTCAGTCTCCGACCTGCGTGACCTTTGATGAAAGAGCGCGAGCATCTGTTCAAAGCAAATGAATAATCACAGGTCTCCCTAGCCCAACCGTTGGCTGCAAAGCAGCGGAGAATGGGAACGAGCTTTTGAGAATCAAGTTCAAATCTGGAGGCCAGTTCAGCGGCTGGGACACCTTGAGAGGAGTTTGGCACGTCAGACAGGTAATCGATGATACCGGTCTTGATGAGGGTATCAGTGCAGACAGCGGCATACGCGGTGTACCTCTCATCCATGCGCTTATCCAAAGGCGTCTGTACAAGGTCCTTTAGTTCACCCTAGAAGAGCCGCTCAGATAGCTACACAGAATGGTTCAGTGAGTAACCAACCAGGCATGCTGAAGGATGAATGAGTTGTGCAGTGGTGGTGTAAAGCAAATTGGCGTACCTAGAGAGAGGCGCCGAGCTTCAAACAACGCCGTGCTTGGTAGGTAGGTTGTTGGGTCGTCCAATGGGTGTTCTACTAAGCTGTGTTGGCTCAGGGGAGGAAGCTGAGACTTGTCCATCTCCTTGCGGAGGGTATCGAGTGCGAAATTCAAACATGCTTGGAGCCGATCAAGTTCTGCGTGGACCATGATGCAGTTTGCTGGCAAATGTCAATGACATCTCTTGACCTTTATAGGCTTTACTTACCTTCGCTTGTAAACCCGTACCCAACTAGTGTGTCCGGCCCGTCGGTATCTGGTCACCAGCGGCTCGTGTGAGGAGGCGGTCGTTCTCTGTCGTTGGATAGGCTGATGTGACATTCGCCTTGCAGTCACGGTGGTCGGATCAGAAACTAGGCTTGTACGTACTTTGCGGCTCCGTTTCGGGACACGGAATTGATAGCCGTCGACAGTTCAATTGGGAATAGCATGTCGAATGAGAAATCAAACTAGTTCTTCTTGTCACCACTGACAAACCAGACCGACGTGTTTGCCAGCTGGAACCTATTTATCTGCAGTGGTGGAACATGATTGGTGTTGCTGCCGTGTTGCCCCACACCATCATCATGAATCTTGTCATAATCTGATAATTCCAATCACTAAAAAGTCGAAAACGTAGATCATTTTGCAATTAATGTCCCCCTACATTTGGGGACCGGACTGCCCTGATATTCTCATTGCTGTAGGCCGATGTTCGGCCACCAGACGTGTACTTCATGTGACCCGACAAGAAGAAAGGAGCCTTTTCGTTTGCAAGTCATTAGTCAATACATACGCGGTCAACCACCCAAGCTCCGTCACTTTATTCATGCCACGTCTGCATCACTCAGCTTTACGAAATTTTCCTTGCATCCAGATGCGATACATTTTCAACTGGCGTTTCCGATTGACCAGGAGCCGGCGGTCGACACCAAGTTGTTCAATCGTAAAGAGAGGGTGTGGTGGACAGTGGGTCAGAGGATGAAGGAGATTGGGGTGTACGACAGAGGAAGGGAATAAGGATGGACCTGAAGAGGCCAGGTCGAGGGTATCGTCAGATCCTGGGATGGGGGTTTCCGCCGGCGTGTGTGACGCGGGACTGGCAATTTGCGATGGTACGGGTAGTGATGTTGCCTCGTTGTCTTCATCTTCGTCTACAACTTCTGTCATTGTTGATGTTTTCTGAGCAGGTGAGGTGCGGGATCCGGTGAAGATCAGCGCAAGCTCGTCTGAATACAGTAACAGAATTCGGAAACTCGGTTGATTGCGTATTGTTGGCAACGTACCAAGCTCGAAGAAATAAACTCGTGTCTTATCACCCCTGATGTAAAAATTATCCTCTAGGAGACGACCAGATTTGAATCTCAATTGAGTGAGATCATGTCTACCATAATCGCGGAACAACACAAGCCCGCCAGGCTTGAGAATCTAAGGGCAGGTAATGAAGTGATGGTCTCTGTGAAGCCAGACAAATACCTTATGAATGTTAGCGATCGCTTTACCCCATTCGTCCGGATGGAGTGCGCTGAGCACGAACACCAGGACGATAATGTCTACAGTCCCCGGCTCTACTCCTTGTGGTAGTTTTTCCAGTGAGGATAGGTCCCAGACAGCTGCCTCTATCTTGCCAACAGGCGGGGAGCTATAGAGGGCATTTGTCTATTCATGGGCTGAGCTTAAAACACGAGGAGAATAACCTGTGCATACCTGTACTAATTTGACTGCATGTGTTGAGTAATCGTAAGCACGGATCATAAGATTTGGGTTTTTGTTCGCTGTTAGAAGCGGAAATGCTGCGTTGCCGGCACCTAAACAAGGGTTAGGTGCGTTTCATCAAAGAAGATATTAAGACTTACCGCATCCTATTTCGCAAATGGTTATATCCCCTGCCTGACTACATAAGAGAAATCATTGATGAGGCACAATCTCTTACATTCGGTTCTGCTGCTGCCAGCAACTCCGGAAATTCAAGATGTAACCTTCAGCTACAAAGGTGAGAGTATTACAGAAAATGGAAGGAGTGATACCCACCATTTTCTATTTCGGAAGAAATTATCGGCGTTCGTTTTGTAAAAATTATCCCTGTCAATCGAAGGTGTTAGAGTGAATAAAGCGAAGTCAGACGAAAAGAAGAACCAGTGTTTTGCAGGCTTTTCATTGTAAATCTTCTTGTCATCATCTGGTATTGGAACAAGACGCTGCCTCGCTAATGATGCAGTTATCGTTTCAGTTTGATCTTCAGGTGGCGGAACATGGTCCCAAGCGTTCTGAGCCCAGACATCAGAGTCTTGCGTAAGAAATCTACACGTTTGATGATCAGGGATATTCTGTGCTCTTGATCTTTCTCATGGTTACCTAGATCCAAAGGGGGGTTTCTCAGCGTTGATGTCGTGCACCGATGAGCTTAGCTTCGGTATGCGCGCAGGTTTGGCCCCTTCCGGTGGAGAAGTCATGTGGAGCGCACAGATCAGGGTGAGATTCTGATTGCTAAAGAAAAGTTTTTATCCCGACACAGCAGAGCGCTCAGCGCAAGTTATACCTGGATGCGATCAGAGAAAAAAGATCAGTTAGTCACTGCAGCGGATGAGACTCTATTACTAGCTCCGGATGTAACCGAAATCCGATGCTCAATATTGGCTTGGCTTTCCCTGAGCGCCTGAGCTGTCTACCAAGCGACAGTCTTGTCTCGTTACTCGTCCAACGCTGGGACCCAAGTTTTCTGATAACATACGAAATCGTATCCCGTCATTGTTGCTGGCATTGACCACCGTCAAAATTTACATCTGGTTGGTCTTCAGGTAGTGTTGGACTGCTGCGCAGTCGTAGGTCCTGATCAACTTGGCCAACCAGTTCCCAATTCGATAATTGACCGGAAACATGTCTGCTCCCCAATCTAACGGTCGCCCTCCTCCGCCCGGTGATGAGGATCTCCAGCATCTTTATGATGAAGTTTGGCGGATCTTTGGTGAAGAAACAGCATCCCCAACCGAGCGCTCGCCAACAAGTGCAGTCTCTGCCCATGCACGCGAGCCCTACTCCAATAATTCATTCCACGATGTTAACGCGACTATATCTCCTTCATCCTCAATCCGAAACGCCCTTCCACGTCCTCCTGGTTCGTTCTCTATTCACTCGCGTTGTGAGAGAGTAATTTGACCATGATACACAGCAGCTGCACCCCAGCGGCCGCATTCTCCTGAAATCCGCCCTCAACCTGATACTGCGACCTCTCCTACACATAGGAGATTGAGACCACTTCCGTTGCCTCCAGGTCCTTCTGTAGGTCCTCAGCCTCATGAACAACAAACTCCAGTTGCAACTACTTCACGCCCTGGGACGGCTGGAGTCGATGTGTATGTCATCACCTATTTAATTCCATTCGGAAAGTTTTCATCACACATGCAGGCGTCGTCAGCTTCCTCAGGCACCTACTGTACAACCCAATGGCTATAATAGCAGTCGTCCATCCACAGGTTCTGCAACATCCCCAACCTCATCCACAAGTAAACCATTCCTCGCCGGCTCTCACGCTGACGGGCTGCCAAATATACATAAAGCCGTTCCTGCTGTCCCCTCGCAAACCAATGGAGCACCTGCTAACGGTATGGATGCGTACCGTTTGCAATCATCAGATAGCAGCATCGATGTGCGAGGCTACGGCGTCACCGTCGCACCAAAGCCATCCCCTCGACCTCCTGGTGCTTCACCCCCGAACATTCCGGGTCACAGCAATATGTATGATGACTTCGACCATGGTCCAGATGATCCGAGGAACCGCCCATCTCATCGCCCTCAACAACCTTCGGAACAATTTCGTCCTGCGGATGTCTACCCACAGCCTCATGCCCGATTGCATCCAAACGATGGCATCAATGGTCCTGCACCGTCTGCTCGGGTAAATGATTTGCGTCATCGCCCTTCATCATCATCCGACTATATCCCTAATTGTAAGTCGACACCAAAACGTGCAACTTTGATTGCTAATTTCATCTGCAGATCATCCAGATACTGACCCCAAACTCGATCGTGCAATTTCTACAGGCTCCACCACGTCTTCGTTGGCAGCAGACTCCCTGGGTCGCAATGGCTCAATGACGACGACAGCCACCAGCTACACTGATACATTGAACGACGGTTCAACTTCTACTTCTAAAGTCGGGCCAACAATGCTCAGCAGGGAAGGGTCCTACGGGTTCCCATCGGCAGGCCCTTCGACACTTAAATACAGCCACGGTCACTCGATTTCTGGCAGTGGCGGTTTCCAAGGTGGAAGCGTGGACTCGTTAGCGCGTGCCCGTCCGAGCGTGTACAGCGGTACACCTGGACCACCGCTTGGTGACCAGGAAGAAGAAGAAGACGACGATTACTTTGACTCTGAGAGCGATGATCCAGATCCAGATAGGTTTGTTAACTTCAGCTTGCTATCGCACTTGGCCGTCCGCTTGCGCGACAAGGTGCCTCGCGGTACCCACGTGAAAAGCAGCATTCCTTACCCTCGTGCATTCACGGGCAAGGACATCGTCGTAAGTCCCTCACTAGAATTCAAGATTTGGCGTGACGCCGCGCTTTCAGTCTACCATCCAAAGCCAAATCCAACGCGAGTTGCTGATCAACCATGGAGTTTCGACCACCGATCGTCGCGCTGCCCTCCAGGTCGCTCGGAGTTTACAGCAGCAATTATTTTTCTACGAAGTCGAGTGGGGTCAGAAGCTGCTGCAAGATGGTGTCGAGGACGTGTATATGTTCCTGGACGATCTCGAGGGCAATTCTGATGCTCACCGAGAGAGGGAAGAGCTGCCAACAGCCGTCATCACTTCACTCACTCGGTGCTATGCGTCGGGTTGCAGTGAGGATGACCCATGTTATTCGTTTGCTTGTCCACGTCGAGTGAGTACCTGTGATCGCGTAGCCATTCGTGAGTTTGACCTAATGTTTCTCTAGCAAGCAGGTCGAATTGTTGATTTGGGTCCCGTACCCGAGCCGGAAGTACATCACGTAAGTCATCTTTCACGCTCGATAGATTGAATTGAACATTGAATATTGTTTCCACAACAGCAAACCGAAGACTGGTTAAGTACGGTTGATCCCGGCATCCTTCACACTCTTCCAGAAAGTGAAATTCATCGTCAAACGTGAGCATCTTGGTTAACTTCATTGGGCACTGCACTCAGGATCGTGCTAGCATCATCTACAAAACTATCACTCAGGAAGAGCAATACGTCCAAGACCTGGACACTGTGGAGGCGGTGAGTGTATTGCACCACTCGATAGTTCTGACCCCCCTAACATCTTATTTTAGCTGTTCATTCGGCCGCTGCTAAAAGCAAGTCCTCCTGTCATGCCGCCCAACAAGCTAGATGAATTTGTTGAAGAGGTTTTCGGAAACATCTTGGATCTTCGGGAATGCAACAGGCGGCTGGTGGAAGCCATGTACGTTCGGCAGCGTGAGCAAGCACCGATTATCCAGAGGATCGGAGATGTGTTTTTGGAGGCCGCGAGAGAGTTCCGGTTTGCGTATCCGACATATGTCGGACATCTGCCCCTCGCAGAAAAGCGTTTCAAAGACGAGATCGAGTCCAACGCGGACCTTCGGCTGTTCCTCGAGGTATGATCGTTCGTTCTGAAGTATGAGTCATTACTAGACAGGTTTGCAGGAGTGCTCGCGGCAATCTAAGCAGCAGGAATCTCGTCGACTGGACTTGAAACACTTCCTATCGCGACCGTCTGAACATCTGCAAAAGTACCCCATTGCGTTGGAGGCGATCATGAAAGAGACAACTGAGGGCAACCCAGACGCATACTACCTTGCGGAAGCCATCGAAGCCATCAGAAATCTTCAGAACGTTGCACAACTCCGGACATTCCAGACTGCAATGGGCAAAGGCCCGACTGGGAAATGGGAGTGGCACGATATGGTGTCCAAGGACGTTCGAGAGGGCCTCAGCAAGGCCGAGGCCAAGCGCCAGTCGTACGTATCTTTGTTGTTCTCGTGGGTTTGATTGCTCAATCTTTTGCAGCATTATCTTTGAACTGATCAAAGGCGAGATGGCGTACGTTAGGGACCTCGAAAATATCGACTTGGTGTGTTGTCCTTCGCACGTACTCGATCTCACACCATAGCTCATTCTCGACACCACAGATTTACGTCCAGGCCCTGCGAGAACTCGATCCTCCCGTCATTGCTCGTGACAGACTGAATGGTTTTATCACCGACGTCTTCCACAACTTTGCTGAGCTTCACTCGCATCATCGGAAGTTGCTCGACCAACTGCATGATATACAGCGCGATGAGCATCCGGTGATCAAGAGCATTACAGCTCCTATGTTCGACGCTGCTCTGAACTTCAGGGATGCATACATGGAGTATATCCCCAACTACCCTATCGCTGCATATCGCATTGATGACGAGATGGCCAATAACCTCGATTTCAAAACGTTTGTTGATGTGAGGCTCATTTTTTTTTTCATTTCTTTACATCACTAACGATCCTGCAGCATTGTATACGGCATCCGGATGCCCACCGCCTGGACATGAAAAGCTTCATCAACCGCCCTATCCCTCGATTGTTGCGGTACGAACTGCTCTTGAAGGGCATAATGGACGAGACTCCTGCTATCCACGATGATCATGAAGCGATCCCTCAAGTCTTGGAGATCATAAAGTCTTTGGGTAAGGAGACCGAGCCCGGGGTCCAATCAGCAAAACAGAAGGTTCAGCTCTGGTGCTATAACTCGAATTTGCAATTCAAACCCAACGAGTCTGTTGTAAGCGTCCAAGATATTTTGTATTGTGTTGTACTGAATTATCCTCGCAGGACATGGACCTTTTGAATGAAAACCGCTCTCTTATTCACGCCGGCAAACTGCTGAGACAGCCCGACACCGGCTTCGAATGGAACGGATGGACTGAGCTTTTCGTGTTGCTGTTTGACAATTACCGTAAGTCTTCCCACGCTCCCATACCGTGTCACAAACGTCACGCAAAATTTCAGTGGTCATGACTAAGACCAAAGAAAAAGACGGCCTCACGAAATATAACGTTAACCGGAGAGTAAGTGATTGTAAAATGGTGTTGTATAAATATCTTACTTGTGGTTTAGCCCATACCGCTCGACCTTCTTACTTTGGCCAGCTTCACAGATCCCCCGACACAGCGCAGCACAAGCATTCTACGTCTCGGCCTCGGTGGAGGAAACAAACACGTAGAAGGCGGACCCTCTCCAGGTGGCGGTACTTCCGACACTGCTAACGATTCACGTCTTGTATATCCTTGCACCATTCACTATAACGGCAGGCTTGGTGGTTTGTATACCCTCTTTACGGAGTCTCAGCAAGCGCGAGCGGAGTGGAAACAGAAATTGGACGAGGCCATCGGTTTGCGCAAGGTTGTTCAAGAGTCAAACAAAGTCTTTGAGCTGGAGCCTCTCAGTACAGACACCTTCCTGGTGCCATCCATATCTTCAGCTGCTGTACCATCTTGGAACCACGAGAATTCCCTCACTGGCAAGGTTACTTGCTCTGTTCCGTTTAGTGAGCTTCTGACATCCTGTGTTTCCATTCGTTCGCTCATATATTTCCTAGCTACCGCTGATGGTCGAGCATTGGTGGCTATTGGTTGTGCCGAAGGTGTTTGGATAGGTTTTAGACATGATTCACGATGTTCGTGCAGTCAGTCGCATGTGCTCTCTTTGCATATTGACAAATGCTGCTTTAGCTATGCGCCGGGTATTACATTTAAAGATGGTGACACAGTGTGCAATGCTCGAAGATTTCGGAATGTTCCTCGTACTTGCAGACAAGGTATTTTCCATTTGTAATCACCTCCAGGAGATGCTAAATTGCATTCAGGCCCTCTTTGCATACCACATCGAGGCTCTCGTTCCATCGTCACCCCAGAGCGCTCATACATCTCAGACACCACAGAGGGTTAATGGGACCAGAGATGTTCACTTCTTTAGCGTCGGAAACCAAGGCGGACGAACACTAGTCATATACATGAAGAAGAAAGGGGTTAGTTCTGAGACATCACGCTCAAGACGGCCTACTGACAATATGAACAGCTCGACAGCGTCTTCCGTGTTTTGGAACCGGTGGTGGAAAAAATTAATGAAAGGAGCAAGGCACCTGCGTCGTTTACTTCTCGCTTTGGTATACGGCCTGCACGTTCAGAGTGGTTCCGACTGTACAGGGTATGCGGTTCTAGTGGATCACGTTTTCCATGTTGATATTTTTTTCGTAGGAGTTCTTCCTGCCCTCGGAATCTTTCGACCTGGTCTTCCTCAAGGCAAAGATCGCGATTCTTTGCACCAAGGGCTTCGAAATCATGGACCTAACTGAGTACGTCACCTTTACAACGTCACTTTCTGTTTCTCCGTTTAATCATTTTTTAGTTTTAAGAGTGTCACTATTCCTCTGCGTGACGAAGGCTACGAGAGACTTGCAAAACGTGGGGAATCTTGCCGGCCAATGGGGATGTTCCGTGTGGAAAATGAATTCCTTTTGTGCTATGATGGTCAGTTGTTTTGATGTGATCTTCAGCCAATGCTGATGATAAGACCCTAGAATTCGGTATCTACGTCAACAAGCATGGCGCACCTAGTCGGAGCATGGGCACCATTGAGTGGGAGGGCACGGCTGAGCGCGTGGCAATCCACTGGCCTTATATCCTTCTATTCGACTCCCGTTTCATCGAAGTCAGACACGTAGCAACAGGTCTACTCGCACAGATCATTCCTGGAAACGAGATACGCTGTATTTGGGATGGTCGTGGCACCTGTGCCCCTCCATCGACTGGTTCGGAAAGTTTCCAGCAGATCATGAGCCTTGACCCCCGGATACATTGTGTCATGGCCGCACCGGAGCCCGTTCAACACGGCGCCGTTGGGCGTCCTCGCTCAGTGGCTCAGCATGTATTTGAGCTGATACCTACCATGCCGCTCTATCCGCCTGGCGCACCAGGGTCACCCAACAACTCGACGTACTTCCAGCAGCAGCAACCCGCTTCTCCACCCCAGTCTCCCCACCCCCTCCCGACGACATCCCGGAGATGATTATGTCACACACATGCATTCTTGATGCTTGTGCACATTTATTTCTACAGATGTACATTCTTGTGGATTTCTTCGTCCTTGTTTTAGGAACTTACATAATTTGTATCAGTGCTCATTCGCAGTCTTCTCTAGAGCGTCCTGTAATCTGGTTTCTGGTAATCGATATCGATTTGATGACCGTCAGGAACAGACAGCAGGGTTGAATGAATGCCCTCTACCCAAGGGGACAGTCACATCTTGAGACCCTAGCTATAAATAGCAAGCACAAGCTGAGCGCTGAGCTCGCATTTGCATCCCAGCGTCTCAGCGACCTCCAGAAAGAACATCTGTCATGGTCGTAATTCAAATACGCAATTTCCTTAGTCAGCAGCTTCACAATTCAACAGAAGTAAACATTGTCACACAGCTCACGAATCATTGACGTCACGAAGCCATCCGTCCATCCGTCCTTCCGTCACATCCGAAAATGCTGCAACCACTATATAATGGCAGCTACCTCCCCCCCATGTTGATCAAACTCTACACAGGCTAACATGGCATCCACCACAACTGCAAGCCCCTTGGTATCCCACTTCAACATCTTGTCACTCTATAATGTTCTTTGGCAGCAGCAGGACTACTCTGTCCTGAGGCAGTTCAAATGTAACGTTCCAGATCTGGAGGAGCAAGAACAGTAAGCCTGTTTACTTTCTACCCGACTTGAAATGATACTAAAGGGGTCTGAAACAGGGTGCATCCGTTCAACTTCAACGCCATTGATCTATCTCAATGCCCTGGTGCCAAGCTACCTAATGGGGCGACCTCGATGATAATCCGCTCGGCGTATGAGACCTTCTTCTACAACGTCTTCATGAACGAGCGCAATATTGTCATTCATGGGTCGGCTGGTATCGGTAAGTCGGTGTCCCTCTACAATTATCGCTGCTTGATATAGCCAATCACCATTAGGGAAGACATATTTCCTGTTATACGCCCTCGTCAAGCGACTTCTTTCTCGCCAGCCAGTCACCTACCAGCTCAACCAATCAGACTCGAGGGTCTTGTGCTTCACTGCCGATGGCTTCTTCGTTCTCCCAGAGGAGAACAGCGAATATCACCCGCTGTTCCAACGTGAAGATGTGCTGCACCTAATCGACAGCACTCAAGAAGATACCATTACACATATAAACACCGAGCACACTCGTGCTTTGATGCGGGGCACGTGCGGCAAGGCTATCTTCACCACGTTCTGGCCAGACAACCTGGACCTTGATATCGAATGGTTGCCTGAGTATAATGTTGTACTTCGGAAGTGGATGAAGCCGTGTACCTTTGATGAGATCTTTGCGATGAGGTAAATGAATTCATCACATATCAGCTCTCGCTGACCGTCGCGGTTAGTACTCTGATTCTAGGCCAGCACGAAGCCAAAGCCAAGCCCTTGCGATGGTCGTACATCCATTTCGGCTCCAATGCACATGCTTGCTTGCAAGCATCGCAACATGCCAGCGATGCTGATTATTATCTCAAGGAGCTTGAGCGTGCCCACGATGATTTGTGGAAGGTGCAACCTGCGCTGCGCGAATCCGAAGCACGATATAGCCGTAACCTCTTCGCTGTCGAACCTGGCAAAACATGTTCAGAGCCGCTCTCCTTCCCCGTTTCACAAGTCGCTGCCAGGGTTTTCGCAGGCGAGATCACTTCCATAGACTCCGCCGGTGCCAAGGAGACTGCCGACACCCTCCTTAAGTCAGAAGACACGAAATTGGCTGGCGAGATCTTCTATCGTCAGGCCGTCGTGGCACTTATGTCCAGACTTGGAGGGATTTTCACGCTCGGACGTCCTGATGTGCAGGGCCATTACCATCCCACTCAAGAAGAGCTTGTGCTGCTGACCAAAATGGATGTGGAGCACGAGAAACAGCAGACCATGCCCTCGAACTCCATATACTCTTCCCAACGTGAACTTTCGTTGTTGGCCGCGAACCGCCCACAAATCCTCCACACACCCGAACATGCGCTCGTGCATCCAGGCATTGATGCAATCATGTTTGACGCCGACAAGTTGACAGTATGGCTCGTGCAGGTGATGCACGGTACTTCACGTCCAGTCTCCCCGGAGGGTCTTCTCTTCCTTCTGGATGTCGTACGTGGAAGTCCTTACGAGCCGTCCCCCACACACCCATGGCATTTTGTCTATGTCACACGAGGGCAGCCCACCAAACTCTTCTTCCACCTCAGTGGGCAGGAAAGAACACGGAGATTTCTAACGCAATTCTGGGAAGAACGCATCAAACCATACGTTATGCAGCTGCATGACACAGATCTGGACGTTCGGTCTTCGAGTAACGCATACGATCAGTGGGGTTTCCCTTATAAAATTCCGCAAAGGAGTTCTCCCAGCCTCCCGCGACGCCTTGCGAACTCGCTGGCACACCTCGTCCCAAGATCCCGGCGTACAACTGAATCTGACATTACGCATGACAAGATGATGTCGGAAATCGATGCCGCAATTATAAGGAACTCGGGCGTGCCGGGAGCTCAGTCACTTGCAGAGATGGTGAGAGAGCAATTTTCAGGTCCGGTCCGCCACCACTATGTGCGGGATGATAAACAGACTAGCAGCTGGAGGAAGAGATGGGCAGAGGTGTGTCGATGAGCGCTTTCTTATATCTGTGCAAGTACTCGTGGTTGAGACTTCAATATACATTTCTGATTTTCTAAATCCCTGTCATTATGAGTCTGGTTTCACCGGCCGCGTCAGTCAGATGACCCTCAAGTACAGCACGTTTACGGGCGTTCCTGAACTCATTGTTTTCCCGTGACTCCTTGAGTGGACACTAGAAAGTTTTTTCGGCATCACATCAAGCGCGGTGGCGAGTCGCATCTTCTTGCAAGGTTCTCACTCAGTCGTGTCTCTTCATCATGCTGCCGCGATTGTCATATTCGGTATCCAAGTCTTGCGCACTTTTGAGTCATCGAATGACTCAGGGAGAACCTAATGATGACAAGATTGACGCGGAGGCTTGTGATGGTTGAATACCAGCACCAGAAGAAACCGAGATATTTTGCGTATACACGACTTCTAGAAACTGGTCCTTATTGGAATTTCAATTCTAGGGGTAATGACTGACAATATAATATTGCTGCACTGCGGTAAGACGCACACTAGGTACTCGATGAAAACACCTGTGAACACCACAGAGTTTCCCTCGTCGGACAGCAGCTTATTAGAAACAACCGAGGATACTGGAGGAACGGGGCTGTGATCAGAACGAGTAGCAGAGGAGTGAGAAGCAACAGCATTTGAGCCAGACAACATGGCGATGCACTGACATGGAAGCAGTAGAGCAGCGTGTCAATGTATGCGTAAGACTTGGCCGCTTTATACTGTTTGGAGGGAAGGAATAAGGGCAACACATTCTGCTCGTTGCTCATCTGTCATCGTCACTCCTAAGCCGAAAATCCTCTCCAGGGGACAATTCGACCTCATCAAAAATGCCATGAACTCCTTGTGATGCCATGTTTGTGAATAGCTAACGTTAAGAATGCGTAAATCAGGGAGTGATAGAGCATTGAAAAGGTCAGGTAGACAGTTGGTGCCAGAATTGATGTGTAAGGCTTGAAGTTTGGCGTGCGTGAACGGCTCTAAGGCCTGTGTTCGGTTGTGTATGATGCAAATCTTTGAGGAGGAGAGTGCAAAACATAGATGGAGCAAGTGGAAGAATGCATTCAAATGACGCATAGCGAGATTGACATGTGTCAGGTGCGACCATACGGGATTAAAAGAAGATATGATTCCGAGGTCGAACAGTGGCCCTATCACCGTGAGACTGCGCAGGTTGGGCGAGAAAGAGTGACCAGTAGTTGGCACAGGAAGGCCGCAACCAACCGTGGATAAGGTCAGCTCCTGAAGTGCTGGGAGGTATGCTGCCATACGTTCAGGTTTGTCAATGAGGCGAACGGCAAAGACAGCGAGAGACACGATTTCGTTGATATAGGGCCGAAGAAGGTTTCGTACGAGCCAGGTCGAGTTATGTGCGTAGCAATGGAAAACCAGCGAGAGCGGGAGCCCTCGCGATCGCTTGAGCCATGAATCATAGCAGAGAACTTTCCGTTGCCAGTCTCCGCAGACTTTCAACAGTAGCCTGCACCATAAATTGGGCATGTCCATAGCAACCTCCCTCCATCGTCGGCATATTACAGTCAACAGCATGGGAGCTAGTGCTGATGTGGGGTGACTGGTTTCTGGGAGACAGTGAATAAAAATTTCCGATAGGACTTCAGTTGGCAAGCGCCACAAAGCCGACCCGAGTCTGTTGTGCAAATTAATGGACTCCGTAATCTTCTTCTTCTTTTCTATGAGTACTGTCTGACTCTGCATGTTATCACCGGTGACTGGATGGATGTAAATGTTGCATTTAGCTCAACGATGATCGATGATTCATGAATCAAACACTATTCGCACACGTGACTCTGTCATCCAACCATCCTGCACAACGACTGGAAGGGTTGATGCAACGTCGATGGCTTTGGTCAGAAAACTCATACCAATAGGGCAATTGTGAGGCCGCAACGATGGATTAAGAAGGTCACACAACTGGGATGAAAGTTGGATGAAAGGCGAGTTTCCTTTTTTCCCCTACTGCTGTAGTCATGTTTTGATAGCTATAGTACAAACGTGAACGTAGCTAATGCGACCGTGATGAAAGCCACCAAGCTCTATGTTGGAGGTCCAGTCTCCGGGAGACCTTGTGGTTCCCTCATGTTGGTCCTTGGAGACTCAAAGATTGATTTTCATGATCGATGCATTTCCGTCATGATCATACCCTCCCATATCCACTCCCTTCCCACTGACATGCTTGGAAAATCAATGGAATCGCTTTCTCAGCCTCCCTTTCGCATCATCTTCCCAACAAACGCCGGTTCACTGGCAATTCCTCAAGGGTAGGCTCACATGTCAGTACCGAAAGTAGCCTTCGGTAGTTACAGTCATGCCGTCTGACCCCGCCCTCTTTCTTGCGGGGAGAGGGCTGGTGACATGCAGATACCGAGCTCGAGTGTCAGTGTCTGTATCTCCGTGATAACTCGATCACCCGAGTTGGGCCTGGCGTTGGCGCGAAAGAGGGGAAAGGAAACACGAAACTGTTCGTGAAAATTATTCGTGTTGCTGGCTTCTCCTTGGCGTACGTACTCGCATTACAGAGTCAAATTCGTTCACAAGGCCTCAATTCAATGGACAAGATCCAGATATATGGCAAGTCCGACTGCACGTTCGTTTCACACGCGCCATCTTCTGATATTGCACTGCCTTGGGGACTAAAGAGACCGGCTGATCAGATTTTTCACGTTGACAGAGCCGAGCTGTGCGGAATAACAGGGGTGCTCGACACTCTGCGTCAATGCCGCATCACGGTCGCTGCAAGTGCGGCACGACCCTGAGCTTGACCAAGCCCGGATACCATTCATTTCACCCTGCACTCGGATATGACGGAGCATTGCACTATTTGCCGCCTGACATGTAATTTCCTCCTTTCCATTCCACTATGGTCATCACCAAGCTGGCACCGATGACAGGGCAGCTGGTTGTCATTCAGGCAGTATGAAGCGCGACGTTGTTCTCTCCTGTGTTCTAAGTATTTCCCCAGTTTTATAACGCTCTGCGCTTGGTTGTTTGTACGTCCTCTACCTAGTAATAGCAAGGCCACCCGCGCTGACTATTTGACGTATTCAATTCTACAAGTGCTGGGACTTCTGGCCGTGCGCATGAAGAGATTTACCCAGTGATGCTGCGACTAGAAGCCTATGCAGATGTCGCCCGCTTTCAGCACTAGATTCGGTCCGTTCATTTCCTGCATGGTGTTCGGCTCAAAAGCATGGGCACCTCTCCTTCATGCGAGCAGGCCTCCACAACTTGAATGAATTACAATCGGCGAGTTTGCAGCTTGGCATTGCAATTGAATGAAAGGAAGCTGATCTCCGGTGACGACAGATGGCGCAGAAATGTATAGTAATGGTCTCTTGCACGTTTAGTAATTTCCTGCTATTCAACAGCAATAATCATTCTGCCAACTCCGTTAGAACTCACAAGGTCTGCTCACTACTATGTCTATGATATAAAAGCAAGCCGTTTTCATACTGTGTCTCTTATTCGGGATCCCCATTTCATACCACCTCACACAAACAATGCGTTTTTTTCCTTCCTCGCCGTTATTGTTGCTTTGACAGCATCTATGGCTGTCAGTGCGTGCGGCAAACAGCACACAACTTGCACCAAGAATAGTGATTATTGCTTGGGCATGAAAATGCAATCCATATGAGTGAATGAAGAAGCGCTACTGTGTACTTTTCGGTCTCGACTGTCATGACCCTTCTCACATCAACTGCATCTTTAAGAAAGGAAGGCGGTAGAATTTCGCCCGGGAATGTGAAATGCAGCTGTCCCAGGTAGTCTTTCTTGTTCATCTGCGTCGTGGCTCAAGTGTCCACGCAGCATTTCATTTGAGCGCACCACCGGACGATCGGTTCGGTGCACTGGGGTTTTACGGGTATGTGGCTGGCCTTTCAGGTAGCATTGACGGTTGAAGCTGAGGCTGATGTTGCAGAACACCTCAGCAAGTATCTATACCACAAAGTTCAATATGTAGCACATCGATATTTGCGCGCAGGACGTGGGTTGCAGCTACTTGTCAATGAGTAGCGCAGTCCCTAGACATGCAACAAGGACATTCGCTGGACCCAATAGGAGTGTCAGATGGAGTAGGAGTCAAGGTCCCGTTGTCTGTCTTGTATGTTGGTCCCGATAGGTTTTGGACAGTGATTCTGGGCTATATAAAACGATCGATCCTATCCATGATTGTAGACAAAGGATCAAATACGGAGTTAATCAGAGCTGCGAAAGAGATCTGACACATTAACCAGTACTGCATATATAGCGAAGCGTAAGTGTATAGTCCAAGTCCATGAAATCCAATATCATCATGTTACGGTCGATACATGAGTAGCACCAAGTCTGTAACACTATACAAAGTGATCTTGACGCAGGGAATCCACTACGACTTCGAGAGAAGGGATGATAGCAATGTATTCCGCTCGCTGCTTATCTGTCATCGTCACTCCAAAGCCGAAAGTCAGGCTCTCTAGGGGACAATTTGACCGTACCAGGAATGCCTTCAATTCTTCATGAGGCCATCTCCGCACGTACCGAGCTTCAAACACGCGTAACTTGGGGAGTGATAGAGCATCGAATAGACCAGATAGAGTTTCTGTGAGTACAGAGTTACTTTGATCGATGCGTAGGGATCGAAGCTCCGTGTGCGTGAATGGCTCTAAAACCTCTCTGTGCCCAACGAAAGCTGCGCGGATCGTGAACGACGAGAGGTTGGGACATAGACGGAGCATATGGATGACTGCATTTGGCTGCGTAATCGCGATTTCGACATTTGTTAGGTGCGCCCATACGGAGTTGAGAGACGATAAACACTGAAGGTCGAACGCCAGACCTTTGACACTGAGACTGCGAAGAGTCAACCGCTGTCGTGAGATAGATTGTGCGACAGCTGGCAAAACATCAAGATAGAGGACACTTATGGTCAGCTCCTCGAGTGCTAGGAGGTCCGTAAACATAAGTTCAGGGACCTGTCGGGAGACATGGATAGAGAGAGAGGAGACTTGATTGATGTAAGGCCGAAGAAGGCTTTGAATGTTGGTCAGACGACCTTGGAAGCATCCTAGTGATAGCGAGAGCTGAAGTCCTTGTGATCGCTTGAGCCATAAATCATAGCAGAAAGCTGTTCGCTGCCAGTTTCTGCCTTCTGCTTCTTGCAATCGCAGCCTACACCATAATTTGGGCATGTTCGCAGCAACCTCCCTCCATCGCCGACATATGTTAGTCAAAAACATGGGAGCCGACACTGAGGCGGGCCACAGGTGATGGTGTGTCGGGAGACAATGGACAAAAATCTCGGATAAGATTTCGTTCGGCAAGCGCCAGAGAGGCGATACGAGTCCCTTGTGTAAATTCATGGACTGGGTGATCTCGCCCTTCTTTTTGACGAGTTGCTCGCGAAGATTTTGTATACCATGCATCACGGTTTCCAGGGCTGAAATCTCGTGCAAAGTTGCATCCGACTGCTCCTGACGTTCGGCGACGATGGCGCTGATGCAGCGGTCTTTGAGCTCGATGACAGAATGGTCAGTGTTGGGGAAACTAGAATACGGAGTGTCGAGGTTTGCAGAAATCTGCTCATCGTCAATAACGTGGCATCTGAGCTCATATATCAGACTAGACATACGATCGCTCGTGAACTTGCGAGCTGAAGCGAATAATATTATTTTCAGACACGAGTATTTATAAAACTGTTCACTTACGATGGTTTGCAGGGCACCGATGATATCTGGGACCGGGGATATCATGATGTTGTCGAATGTCTGCATGTTGTAGATCAACGTGGTGGTTGAAATGTTTGAGAAGAAGATCTGAAGAAGCAACCACTGTCCTCAAGTTAGTCGGATTATCCAGTACGTAAATTGTGGTGAATGTGAAATGATAGAGTAGTAGCGGTACATTCCCCGGCCACCATACGTAATGACCCCGCCCCCAGTTTCCACCGCTCAGCTAGCGATCAAGCCTCCTACGTCTGCGAAAGGCAAGCAGAAGTCCAAAGCGGGTTCGAAAGTACGCAGCAGACCATGGCCATGATGCGGAAGGGACCACGTCACAATCACATTGTAAGAAACAACCTGTTCCTCACAATATAACAATGCATAACGGGACATGGTAGAAAGGATATCTATGGTGGCCCGTTCAAGGTGGGGGTACCGGTATGGCACAAACATAGCAATTAGGAAGAGAAATGAAATGTTATGAAACATGCGTGCCGTGCAACGGCAGCAAATAGGAACAAATATTGCTCTCCTGGCCGAAGCTGCGGACCTCGCGCGAAGTTGGCCAACTTGCCTGTATCGAAACTTCGGCCTGCATCCTCCTGCATCTGGCCATTTTTCACTTTGTTGCTCCGCACGACCTTGCGCAAGCGACCATCAATAAAAGACCCTGCTGTCCACCGAAATTAGCCCACCTGTGCTTGTTCAACTTCGTGGCGGTGCTTCACCTGCTCGCCATTTCCAAATACCCTTTGCCATTCTGAACCCGGAGTAACGAGAGCGCAAATTGGGGTCTTTGCATAACTCTTCATTTCCAGGGAAAGATTTTTAAGGTATCTCACGAGTCTTTTAGAACCCATCGCATACGCAGAACTAATGAACCACAAATTCGCGATCCCTGCCAAATAATTCCCTTCCCATCCACCGCTCCACCGTGACCAGCCAATTCCCCTCCAGGCACTCACTTGAGAGTCTATGCACACTGCTTCAAGTTTAAGTGAAACCGTATATTTCGATCTAATGAATACATTCAGAGTGAGCACTCGTAGTTTACGAGAGGATTTACAAGACAAGGCTGTGATCGCTGACACTGGTCAGTGATCAGCAGTGCATTTTATATCTGAACCAAATTTGGCCCGGGGTACCACTCAAGCTTCAAGTACCAAAATATTAATGGTGTACCGATCAAACATGCGCCACCACAATCTGCACCAGGGCTTCATCCATGTATCTCAGTCTCTCAGATGACAGTTCCGATTTCAAAATTTTCCGGCTCCGAAAGAGGTCACACGAAGTAACTTGTTGGACGAATTGAGCCTCCGCCGTCAGGGCAGAGATCTGCCATTCTGCCCCGTGGCAAGGCAGAACTAGCACTCGTTCGAGATACTTGGCAAGGTCCGCGCTATCCTTCGCTATCATATATTCGCTTCAAGAACATCGCACTAATACTAGTGTTGTGGGCAGAGAACTGCCATTCTGCCCCGTGGCAAGGCGGAACTGGCATTCGTTCGAGATACTTGGCAAGGTCCGCGCGATCCTTCGCTATCATATATTCGCTTTAAGAACATCGCCAAACCCAGCACGCCGCGGCTCACATGCATAACACCAAACTTTTCGACATTATTGATGCAGAGGTCGCCAAGTGCAGCTCGAGACCGATTTCTCATTTGTTCCACAGTCTCCAGTGACACCAAGCTTTGGAAGGTGCGTTTTATATTACTATCTTTTGAACACGAATGCCTTCATGATGCGTCATACAATACTCGCCCGTAGAGTCCCGTGGAACCCTCATTAGTTCACAAACACCATTCAATAATAACGTGGAGAAGAAAACCCAGATCCTTGACTGAAGTTCTGAACCAGGTAACTGCTAGTTGCAAGACATCAATTGACGAAGGATCTGGGTCCCTCGCACAAGGACCAGGTAATAGAGAAACCGCAATGTCCTGCATCCGAACCTCATTCACCCGCATGTGATCGAGCACAGAGATTACCGCCGTTCTTTCTGGAGATTGATTCACCGACAATATAAATAGATGCCTCCAGTACTCGATGCAGGCGTGTATCTAAAAGCGTTCAACTTGAAGTGATCTGGTGCGCACACTAGACTTCTGCATATCCACTTGACGAAAAAGGCCACAGATATGTCCTCGGCTTTTTAGAAAGGCACTATGATAATGCTTTTAGTGCATACCACGATGTTGAATAAGTACACCTTGCTTCTTGATTTGTCGTCGGCACGCCAGCACCCGCCTTCGCAGTTCAGGAACTGATAGGAATTGATGGATTTCAGACTCGTACTGCAAGTGATTTGCGAATATCTGCTTGATTTCACGGCCTCACTTCATATCAGAAGTGGCGAATCTCTAGCCTCCTGTAGTCAGACCTTGATAGACTGAGGGATTGCCGAATTAACTCAACGGACATTCTCTTGATGCCTGGAGACGCCCAAAGTCAGTCAGCTTTAAAAGGATGTGAACACTGCGCAACCTGAGCACCAATTGTATCCCGTCATGATGGAGGACCCTACTATGCACGATAACTCTACAATGTCGTTGGCCGACGTAACATTCTTGTCGATCCCAAAAGCAGACACCAGCCTTTACAAACTGTCTTCCAAAGAAGCTGTATTCTTAAAGGCGCAAATCGGTATTGATGATGATGAAGACTTGAAGAAGCATATCCTGGAGATTCAGGCGAAAGCATACGAGGCGAGTCACTTGCAGAGGATCTCACTATAAGTTGTTTAACCCTCTTTCACTGGAAGATTGCACCTTATCCTTGTATCCAAAGATTTGCATTTCTTAGGTACGTGCACAGTGAAGCTATGCGTCGACGCATAACAAGGGGACAACAGCGTGAACATATCGAGTAACCCTTTGTATGAGAACATCCTCAAGCTTGGTCGCGAGCGCCCTGATGCCGTGCTGCTCGACATTGGATGTTGTTGTATGTTAAATGATCATCTACTTTCTTGGATGAACTTGACTCCATTGTAGTTGGTGTTGACGCCAGAAGGGCTGCGGCGGACGGTTTTCCTGCAAAAAACATCATTGCATCGGATATCCTCAACGATAAATAATCCGTTTCGTCTGTGAATTATTCTTGTTAACGATGATGTGCATGTGTATGCAGAATTTCTCGAGCTAAGCCACGAACTCTTCAGAACGACACCAGCTTCCTACCCCGGATGTCACCTTCCCGGAGATGTCTTCGATCCAGAATTTCTCTCCATTGCTTCACTGTCAGATGACGTCTCTCCAGCGCCAGCCATTGATCTGTCCTCGCTGAAATCCCTCAATCCCCTTCATGGCCGCATTAGCACAATACATGCTACTAGATTCTTCCATCTCTTCACTGAGGAAAAACAATTGCATCTTGCCAAAGCTCTCGCAGGTCTGTTATCTGCGCAGCCAGGCTCTGTCATTTGCGGTAATCACATCGGAAGTCTCGAAAAAGGCGTTGTAACCCCCCTTATATTGGGCTCCGAGTATCGGCTGTTTTCTCATTCTCCCCAGACATGGACGTCTTTGTGGGATGGAGAGGTGTTCGAGAAGGGCACTGTAAAGGTAGAAACGGAGCTGGTGGAGAGTGTGATACAAGAGGGGCAATTCCTCGTGATGAAGTGGTCGGTGATGAGATTGTAGATACAAACATAGCAGTCAATTTGAGGGAGTGCATGTACAACTCGATGCTAGAGAAAATTGTCGACAATCTAGCCATACCTCAGTAAGCTTCGTCTAACTGCCAAGGACAAGGGGAATCAACGCATCTTGGGACCTCGGCTCTCAATGTGACTCACTACCTCCTACCACCTCCCTCAGTTTCCGTGTAGTGAGCGCACTAGATTAATATTGTCCTGCTATTTCGCGTCCCATCGAAGATGAAATTAACCCTATCGTCCACTGATCCGGCTCCAGTTTGGGGACCTTGGTAATAATATCAACGACACTCGAAACCAGTCTGATTAATCTGGGTACCAAACATTGACTGCCTGCGATCTGCCAACATACTGTTCTTCGTTGGAGGGATTCACGACATTCGAGACCACAGCCTGGCAGGCGTGTATCCAAAAGTGTTCAAGTTGATCTGCTGCGCGCGCGAAGCACTTTGCTGACTTGTTCGATCCTTTATGTTAGTGTATCGTGCAAAACAACAAAATATGCTCACCATCCCTGCAAAAGTTGTTCAAAAGTGCGATTGCAAGAGCTGAATATTAATATTGGTTGAAGTACAGACCGACTTGTGTTGTTGGTCCTCGTTTGTTTGTTTCGAAGTTTGCCACCTCGGGTGACTCAGCGCTCAGCATGCGTTGTAACTTATTACCAACCAAATTATACACCAAAATTTGGTGTCAAAATGTTCATTGTCGTTGTCGATGGCAGAGGGTAGGAGCCGCGGCTCAGGCCGTCGGCTTTGGCTTTTCAGAATTCCAAGCCGGGCCAAAGCCCTGGTCAGGCCGTCAGTTTGGCCTGGCTTGGCCCGGCCTAATTTGGCCTGGCTCGGCTCGGCCCACGGCTTGAAGCCGGGCCATGCACATCACTATTCCCCAACACGACGTTTCAGCACTTAGTCAATCACCACAACGCTTCGCTCATCGTTCCTGCTCTTGAACAGTTTCTCCGCCACAACCTGCATACTCAACCCCGCCGCAAACTGACGCTGCAAGACCATGTTGACGTGTACAAGTACGTGAAGGTGGTCTCACCCGCACGACCACATTTCAACAGTGCCAAATGCATCTTCAAGGTCCGGGCGTCACCAGAGATCACACCCAAGGACACCAGGAAGTTACCGTCTCCTGCGCAATTCGACACGGTCCTCGTGACTGAGGATCGCGAGGAGTACACTGGCGAGGGTATCTTGGGTGAGTCGTTATGTTTTGCGTTTATCGGCCGTTTCTCATTATTCTTAATAGGGCTTCGCATCGGTGAAGTCAAGGTCGTGTTCAACCTCCCACCACGTCTGGCAGGCTATATTGTTAAAATTAAGCTTAACCATAGCTAATTAGAAATGTGATGGTTTTGTAAGTTTGTTTGTAGTCCACAGACCTACACAATTAAGCTTAATGGCTTCTGAGTCCCTTGGTGATTCTCAGGCTTCCAAGAAGTTCCAAGAATAGCACTACCACCGGAAAAATCACCAAATTGGGATATTCCAATAATCTCACTATTCCCACATACCTCCCTGGCTCTACTTGCTTCACCACAGCCTTTCCTCTTGCACACTCTTGTATTTAAGTTGTAGCTAAGCATGTATGTACATAAAATGATACAATAGACCGCTTTTTCATTGTCTAAGAGCTTGTACAGTAGTCTACAGTGCTGACTACAATATGTGAATCCCAGGACTAAAACATATTCGCTTTTTTGCCCCTTTAGCAGGGGAGCTATTCTGACTGTAAATATCATATATTAGAGTGTTAATGAATATATTGCACCGCTTGTTTGAGCCTCTAAAGTGTCCTACATCAGTAGATATGTTAAATTCATACAAACCTCTCAAAAAACATAAACCAGTTCGCATTTTTTAGTGTTTAGGTATATAGACTGGTGAATATTATTTCTAACATCTATTCACTAGTATATACAATATATCAAGAGTATAGGTCAGTAGGATCAGCCCCTGGGGTTGTATGTATTTACATCCTCCTGGTGGTTCACCCCCTGAGAAAGTTTTTCCTGCAGCTCCGGCCCTCCAGGATGGTATGTAGGCTGTTGCTATGAACATATAGAATATATTCATCATATAGATATACCAGAACAATTCCAGGATCCTTGTCTACAATCCAAAGTCACTTCCTGCCTACAATGTACCATATTTTCGCAATTTTGAGGTTTTTCACTACATTCTCACTACATAAACTATACAAGCTATTTATATATCCCTTATGGTACATATATGAAGCCCTCCCAAGGCCATGATCAGGTAGAAATGTGTCAGAGTAATGATATCAAGGACATATCTCCTATTCTCACTGATAAGAATGCCCTGACATGAATATAGTGAAATTTTATGATCAGACTATCAAGGGGTACACAATATATACCAGGTAATACAGTCCTCGACTACCAGAAGGATCTATGAATAATTGACAGCAGGGGAATGCAATAGATAAGAAAAAGGCCGTGGGAAAGTCAAAAAGTCCAAACATCGAAAAAGTACTGTGCACCAACAGTCTATGCATGGGTGGTCAGACCATAATAATGCAACAAATTGAGACCACAACACTTCCACATCACCTTTTCCTTCACAACATATATTAGTATAGCATATTTAAGTAGTCTACAATGTATTCTACATATTTTTAATGAAATCTTCGCCCTAGACAGGGTTGAAATGTGACATTTGTATGATTGTGGGGTTTGCCCCTATATCATTGATATCATTACTCTGACACATTTCTACCTGATCATGGCCTTGGGAGGGCTTCATATATGTACCATAAGGGATATATAAATAGCTTGTATAGTTTATGTAGTGAGAATGTAGTGAAAAACCTCAAAATTGCGAAAATATGGTACATTGTAGGCAGGAAGTGACTTTGGATTGTAGACAAGGATCCTGGAATTGTTCTGGTATATCTATATGATGAATATATTCTATATGTTCATAGCAACAGCCTACATACCATCCTGGAGGGCCGGAGCTGCAGGAAAAACTTTCTCAGGGGGTGAACCACCAGGAGGATGTAAATACATACAACCCCAGGGGCTGATCCTACTGACCTATACTCTTGATATATTGTATATACTAGTGAATAGATGTTAGAAATAATATTCACCAGTCTATATACCTAAACACTAAAAAATGCGAACTGGTTTATGTTTTTTGAGAGGTTTGTATGAATTTAACATATCTACTGATGTAGGACACTTTAGAGGCTCAAACAAGCGGTGCAATATATTCATTAACACTCTAATATATGATATTTACAGTCAGAATAGCTCCCCTGCTAAAGGGGCAAAAAAGCGAATATGTTTTAGTCCTGGGATTCACATATTGTAGTCAGCACTGTAGACTACTGTACAAGCTCTTAGACAATGAAAAAGCGGTCTATTGTATCATTTTATGTACATACATGCTTAGCTACAACTTAAATACAAGAGTGTGCAAGAGGAAAGGCTGTGGTGAAGCAAGTAGAGCCAGGGAGGTATGTGGGAATAGTGAGATTATTGGAATATCCCAATTTGGTGATTTTTCCGGTGGTAGTGCTGCTTTGGGGAGATCCAGATCTTTGGATCGTGCCTGTGTTGATAGTGCTGCTTTGGGGAGATCTAGATCTTTGGATCGTGCCTGTGTTGAGGACCTTAAGCTTCATGAAGCTTCACGTTGGTAGCTCAGAGACGAACTTACAAAAGGTACTGTGTGTTATTAGAAATGGTTAAGTATCACCCTGCCATGAACAGGTGCGTCTGGGTCATTTTGCGTGCCCCCTGGTGTATATTCACTGGTTCCGCCCACTTCAGACTTTCGACGAAAACCTACAGAGTTTTCGTCTCACCAAGTCCTCGCATCAACATCGACCCAATGCAGCCATTCTACCGGTTGATCAAGTGCTTCGTCCGGTTCACCTTGCGCCCCGGTTCAGTCGAGAGGCGGCAGAAGAGTTTTACCTCAACAGGTATATTGATTTAGAATTATTTGAGCGCTTGACGTAGTGGGGAGCTTGAGGAGCAATGATATTGGGTATATAGCACAACATTGGCTATCATGCGCGAGGTGGGATTACATAGCTTACATTGGCATTCAAGTGTGCTACAGGACTGTACATAGTGCTATGTATCATACGAGGGCGCTCTATTGCGCTATGTATCATATGAGGATGGTCTGTTGAGCTATGTGGCCTACATAGTGCTACATATTCTTGCTTAGTGCAACTGATGGCTGACATTTTTCCTGATGTCATTTCCCTGTCGCGATTGTCGACGGATGGCAGTTTATAGAACACTCCCAATTCATATCGTCATCTGGACTTACTCTATTCACAGATGAGTCAAGCAGATATGCACTGAATGAAAAGGCGACATTCTACCGTAAACCTTCATACCTTGAAGATAGAGTTGATGCGAGAGGGGGAATCAAAGTCGAGATTCGAGACCGAAAAGTACGCAGTCATGTAGCGCTTCTTCATTCACTTATGTGGATTGCATTCAAGTCAATATCATTTTCAGTTGTTCAAAGGTCTCCATGAAATGCATTGCTCAAGCAGCGCTAAAATGTGTGCAGAAGCGGCCATACTGATCGACTTCAAACTACGTATTGCACCATCAACTACGGCACCAAAGCGAAAGCGGAGGCATGACTCACTGTTCCAACGTGCCGCCACCTCATTGGTCGGGAAAATCGCATGTTCGAAGGCGACCCTATTAGTATTACAAGGTCAGTTATGTTGGTGAATTCTGGACGCACAGCAAACTACTCATACTACTCACATAAGTTGTGCATTTCATGCCCCAGCAGCAATCATTATCTTTGGTGCAAGTTGTGTGCTGTTCGCCACACGCATTGACCGTCAGAGATGCTGTCAAAGCAACAATAATGGCGAGAAAGGAAAAAACGCATTGTTTGTGCTAGGTGGTATGAAATCTGCTAGGGGGATCTCGAATAAGAACTCTGAGGATGAGGGGACACAGTAGAAAGACGGCTTGCTTTTATATCCTAGACATAGTAGTGGGCAGACTTCGTGAGTTCTAATGGAGTTGGCAGAATGGTTATCGCTGTTGGATAGCAGGAAATTAGGCTAAATGTGCAACATCTGCCGTTGCCAGAGATCAGCTTCTTTTCATTAAATTTCTATGCCAAGCTGCAAACTAACCAATTGTATTACATTCAAATTGCAGAGATCTATCTGCCAGCTCGTCAGGGAGACCTGCTGGTGCGTGCGCACACACATGAGACGAAGGCTTGATTCACATCAGGCGTAACACTACGCATGATGCTGTTGAAGTCTACTTGGATAATATCTACAAGGGTTGGTCCTGTCGCGCTCAGAGAATGGGCTTCTAACTTGGGTAGGACTGTGCAGAGTAACATATGGTACCAGGAGCGTAAAACACAGAGTATAGCCCCTCGCGGAAGTCCGTGAAGCCCAATATCATCCTTCGCGAAATGTGAAACGACTAAGCTTGATACAAGGGATCCACTACTACTTTGAGGGAAGGAATCAGGGCGGCGTATCCCACTCGCTGCTCATATGTTGTCGTCACTCCACCGTACAACACCAGGCTCTCCAGGGGACAATTTGACCATGCTAGCAATGTCATCAACTGATTGTGAGGCCACGGGTTTGCACAGCGAGCTTCAAGCTCGCATAACGTGGGGAGTGGGAGAACATCGAGCAGGGTGAATAGTTGCCATCGTTCTACATAGCGAACTTTAAGCGAGCGCAAATTGGGGAGTGTTAGAGCCTCGAACAGGCAAAATAAATGTTCCGTGGTCCCAAGGTCATGAGCGATTCATAAGGATCTAAGTTTTGTGTGCGTGATTGGTTCGGGTTGCATTCGCTGGGTGATGCATGTACAAATTGTCAATGAGGAGAGGCTTGGACATAGACGGAGCAAGTTGAGGACCATTCTTAGTTCATATGTGGCGAACTCGATATTTGTTAGGTGTGCCAATAGGGGAGTGACAGTAGGCAAATCCTCGAGGATGAACTCCAGACGTGCTACCTTGAGACTGCACACAGTGAACGGTAATTGCGACATAATTTGTGCAAACCACGGGGATTTAGGGCCTTCGTACTCGCATACGGTTAGCTCCTGAAGTGCTGGGAGGTCTTTGAACATATGTTGAGGTGCGGCTGCCCAGGTAAAACCACGGATAGAGAGAGACGATATTTGATTTATATATGGCTGAAGAACTTTTCGTAACCTGATGTCCGAGTCATCTTTGTGGCACAAGACTTCCAATGACAGCGGAAGTCCTTGTGAGCGCTTGAGCCATAAATCGTAGGCAGAAGCTATCGACTTCCAGCGTCTGTTATGGACTTCCCCGCTGTTCAACCTCAGCCTGTACCGTAAACTGGGCATGTGTACAGCAACCTCCCTCCATCGTCGGCATATTCTGGTCAACAACATGGGAGCTTTGTTTGATGCGGACCGCACATCTTGATGGTGTGTCGGGAGACAGTAACCAAAAATGTGGGCTAGGACTTCAGTTGGAAGGCGCCAGACAGCCGACACAAGTCGCTTGTGCAAATTCAAGGACTGGGTAATCCTATCCTTCGTTTTAATGAGTTGCTGGTGAAGACTTTTGATGTCGTCCATGATTGTCTCCAGGTCTGAGATGTTGTCCAAAGTTATATCCAACTGCTGCTGGCGTTCGTTGATGATAGCGCCAATACTCTTGTCTTTGATCTCGATGTCAGAGTGGTTGATAGTGGAGAATTTGCGGGAGCTCGGGGTTTCGAGGTCTGGAATCTGATCACTGTCAACACCATGGTATCCAATAAATTGAAAATTGATATAGACATACAATGACTTGTGAACGTGCGAGCTGAAATGAATGGTGATTTCAGACACCACTGGCGCTTGCCAAACCTTAGCACTTACGATGTTGCGCAGTGCCCCGATGATATCCGATTCAGATGTTGCAGAGAAACTGACTCCTGGATTGGCTGTTGAACCATCAACTGCCTGCATCTCGGACATCGGTTTCTAACACGAGTTGGAGGACAATGTTGAACTGTTGAATAGTAGGAGGATAAGACGCGGAGGATAAGTGACGCTACTGTCAACTAACTAGAACATTGGATTTATACTAGTAAATAGTCACTACTAGGATAGTAAGAGTCACATGGAGTCAGTGCGAGAAAAACTTGCTGGGATCGGGGCAGCGCTACATACCTCCGATTGGTAAATGGTACCGGTAGAACAATGCCAACATCCCTTAGCCAGACGTATAGAAGAAGAGAGATGGTGTTCCTTGAAATCAAAGAGCGACGTAACTGTCGACTTCAAGTTGATGGATGATTAGTAATGTGACAAATGTGAAGAGAAAGAGTAGTACTGCTGCTGGCATACGAGGGGAATTATAGATTTGAATTTTTGGCCTATACATATATGACTGTCTGAAAGAAGGCTATGTCCATTCAAAAACATCCCGTCTTAAGTTGGAGAAAATTAGAACAGTTAGTGTTAGTTTGACCTACTCTCTAGTGTAACAAAAAATTGCTCAAGGCTCGCTAGTCCGCACACCGTTGCCCCCAAAACATCCGCATGTGCCGAATGTGACATGTCCGACTCATGGAACCGCCGATCGCGATTTTGATTTTGCGACTGCTGACCACGGCGGTAGCTTGATCGGGCGGTGCTATAACACTTGACCTCGTCAACATTTTTGCAACTTGAAGAGAAAAAGTACATGAGTAACATTGACAATTATATAGATACGGCATACCAAGTGGGTTGGCAAGTGTTTGCACTTTGAGCATTATTCCGGGCGAACAGTGGAGTTCCAGCTGCAGGTTCTACCATTTAATCATGTCTTGAAGTTTCGGAATTCGAGCTGCTGTAAAGCCTATACTTCTGGGTTTGAGGCAACGTTGCACCATGTCTGATCTCATTTTGAAACCTCTGAATGCGGTTCGCCTGGGAGCTCCTCAATCTTCATGCCTTCTACATCCATCCTGTGACCCAGTGAGACACTCTCAAGACATGCATCTTGAACATCCAACAAGCTCTCTTGTTCGCCCCATGTCTCAATCTGCGTCCTTCAAGTTATCACTGGGAGTAAAGGAGCATGAGGGATAGGTTGTCTATAGTCACATCTGGTCAGTGGTGAGTGGACAAGTGGCGAGGAAGGGTGACATCGCGGGTGATTGTAGTTAACTTTGACGTTTTCTGCAAAGCCACTTCAAGCTCCCACTACATTATCTTAATGGTACTAACGCACCTGAACTTCAACAGAGTCAAACACCTTTTCAAGTTGAAAACAATCTGTCATCCTCAGTTTCTTGCTCAATGCAGTACGAGCTCATGGGAGTAATAAGAACGCAGACTGAACTTACGACTTGATGAGTGTCGAGGAATTTATTGCAGTGGGGGTTGACACATGTTGACCAGGTTCATGGTTGCACATAGGAAGCTTCGAGCGCATGTGGCTGAGTGAGTACGTACGCGCGTACGGTGCCTTGTGGTAACGTCACCTTTTCTTCTTCAAACCTTCATCTTCCTTGAACATTTCAACCACGAACGAATAACATGCATACACCCAAATCACAAGTCAATTTCTTACCGGCCTCAGATGTCATCAGTGCACTGCAAAATATTGTAAGTGCCGAGTCAGTGGCCTCTGCCAATAAATAATAATCAATCACTCTTGCAGCTAGCGCATTCACAAGTAATCGTAGGTTTACTTAGCAGCTGCCAATCAATTGTCTTTTCCCATATTGACGATTGGCAGATACCAGACCTCGAAACACCATACTCTCAACCCGAATTGCGCAGTACCAACTACTTTGCCGTGAAGTTCAAAGACCAGAGCATCAGCACCATCGTCACCGAACGCCACCAGCAGTTGAATGCGATTTTGGTCGAGATCTCAAACTTGAAAACAGTTAGCGGTAGTATCAAAAAGCTTCACCGGCAACTCATCAAGCAGAAGGACAACATCATCAAGTCCATTAATCTGCACAACCGACTCAGATCGGCACTCTGGCGCTTGCCAACTGAAATCCTGTCCCGAATTTTTCACCTTTGTCTCCCGGACGTTCCGAGACTTGATAAATTGCAGCCGCTATCACAACTAACAGCTCCCACACTTTTGACCAGAATATGCCGAGGATGGAGGGAGGTTGCTATGGGCATACCTAGTCTATGGTGCAGGTTGTCGGTGACAGTTCACAACAGGCACTATCACTGGGAGTGAGCAGCTTTCTATTATGACTCGTTCCTTAAGCGGTCACGAGGACTCCCGCTCTCGTTAGCATTCGATTGCTTCGAAAATAATTCGACCAAGCTACGAAGCCTTCTTCGACCTTACATGAATCAAATCTCGTCTCTTTATGTTTCCCAAGGCGCGGAACAACTCGAACTTTTGTTTAAAGACCTCCCAGCACTTCAAGAGCTGACCATTATATCTTCAAGGCATTGGTCACCTACTGAACGGTGCATCTCGCGGCTACCGTCTACTCTAAGTGGTGTGACATTCTTAGGAATGTGGTTTAACCTCGCATTCTTGTCTTCTTTCGCACCCATATGGGCCCACCTGATGAAACTCGAGATCTACGTAGATCAGCGGGATGCATTCAACCACCTGCTCCAACTATGTCCCAACCTTTCCTCATTAACGATTGCCGTGGGCACAGTATCCCCCCAAATCCAGGCATTGGAGCCATTCACGCACACCAAACTTCGATTCTTGCGCATCCCTACTGCCATTTGGCCCAGAAACAAGATATTTAACGTGCTTGATGGTCTCTCGCTCCCTAATTTACGGACACTTGACGTCCGCAGTGCACCAACGTGGCCTCATAAGGACATCAAGGCATTTCTGGGACGATCAAAGTGTCCCCTGGAGACCCTGGTTTTGGAAGCTCGAATGATGTTGACAGATTGGCAGCTAGCGGAATGTGTTGCCCTTATTCCTTCCTTTAATGTTGTAGTGTCATGATTCTAAGCATCGTAATTGTTCACACAAGACTTATAGGTGTCACATTTCGCTACATGATAATAAAGAATTTGGACTTCACGGACTTTTACTAGTACCGCCTCATACGATAGGCATCTATATCTAGGCTCTGAGTCGGAGCGTTGACAATGTCTTCCAACATAATATTCAGGTCGAAGATTAGGGATAATTAGTTGGTCCCCAGTCAAACCTTAGTCAGACATAACTGACGGTCCTGCTTGTTTGTTTGCATCTTTCCTTTTCGACCATCAACTAGCAATCTGACAACTCCATTCCAACTTCAAGTCACAGTAACTTAAAAACCTGCAGGGGACGCAGTATTTGTGGCCAATGTACCGTGAACTTCGGCTCACTCTCAGGCTGATACCTATGGAAAGCAGGACAGCCGTGCTCGTTTTTGCATGTCACAAATCCCTATTGGGCAATAGGACTCCGAACATCCTACATTATCGGTAACAGTGCAAGCACCCATCCCCGACTCGCGGATTTTCACACCTCGTTATATTCATAGAGGGCATCTGCGCTCAAGCTCGTGGGTCCGCTAAGCCCAAATATTACCATCAAAGCATTTGTCACTCCAGTGAGAGCATCAACAATATCTGATTCGATAACAAGATTGCGTTGTATACAAATCTCAACGGCCGACTGGTATCTGTCAAATCACCTGGTGTCTGTAAGTACAGCTCGTAAAACCGCGTATCTATAGAAGGTCTGTTCTCCACCATCACCAACTTCCCCGATTGTCGTTGTGCTGCACAACAGGACAAGTCAAGCATGCCAGAGAAAGGGAGAGAAGCAGACCGAGGGATGCTGTCAAACTCGTTAGTACCTGTGTCTCCCCTGAAGCGCTCGGAAAACCTTCCAGCTTATGGTGCACAGCACCGCCAGAATGCACTTTGGGAAGGTGAGCGAGCATGTTTTAAACCCATTGACCAACTCAACATCAAGCAGGAGGGAATGAGGCACTCCCTCCTATGTGGAGAGAGTTAAAGGTGGAGGGGGTTGACCCATCCTATCACAACAACACATTCGACATGTACACAATGCACCAACCTTTACCTGGAGTGCAACTAGGTGAGTGACGAAACTACGATGAGAGTGAGAAACTCAGGATCGAGCATAGATGACCCCGGGCAGCTCATTCCTGGATGCGAATGGCACATCGCACTGCACGGTCGGTCCTACTTTGTCAACCACAACACTCGGACCACATTGTGGACTCGATGAAACTATGATCATATGTCACGGTGCCAGTTAGACGTGAACGGGACGATGAAAACGGTCCCTGTGCCTCAAGGACTGGGTCTTACATTTAACGTGCCTGGGCTTCACTACAACCGTAAGATACTTGCTAAATGGAAATGAGACGCAATAACAACCTGACGCACAATTGCAGCTAAGCACTGGGAAGATCCATATGCATTCAAACCCGAGTGATTCTTGGGTGACTGGAACCGAGATGCATTCCCCCCCTTCAGTAGTGGTAAGTGTCTTGCCATCTTGTGTTCAGAAGCAACGTGAAGACAATTGTAGTACCAATGAAGGTTACAGAGGGTGTGTAGGAAGAAAGTGATCGTGTTGCAGTTATTATTGGGTCATTCATTTGAATGAAACGGAGGGAGCGGCTGTTCTCACCATTTTGTTTTCGCAATATACGGTTTCGATCAAGGACGAACCGCAATTTGCTATCGAAACATTTGAGCAGCGTAAAGCGAGAGTAGTGATGGTCAAGGCCCGGCTCGGCTCAAAAGCCGGGGCCACGGCTCGGCTTTGGAGGGCTGGGGCTTGCTTCAAACCAAGGCCAAGCCCTATGGTAGGGCTCAGGCTTGGCTGGGGCTCGGCTCGGCTTGGGCCTAGGGCCTCGTGATACAAAAAACATAGCAAGTAAATCAATTTTCATCTAACATTTGAATAAAAACATCTTCGTCATCTGATTCTAAAGGCTCCTCATTCTCACCTAAATCCTTGACAACATCATCCCACCCATCATCTTCGTTGAAAGCATCAGCGGGAGTCTTATCTTCGGACGATGCATCATCTACGGACTCGCTTGCAACAGATGGGTCCTTGCGGAACAGGAGATCGTGCTTGATCATGCATTTCAAGCACTGCAGTGCTTCGACGATGTCGTGTTTGAGACGATTTCGGCGCTTGGAGATAGTAATACCGGCAGATGAGAATGCACGTTCACTGGACACGGATGTGGCCATAATCGAAAGGAAGTCACGTGTGAGTGACGCCCAGACTGGGTATCGAGGTGCGTTGATGCCCCACCACTGCACGACAGTCATATCTCCAAGGTGGTCCTTGGAGTTGAGGTAAGCGTGAAAGTCTTGACGCCACGGCTCATTCACAGCTTCGGAGGGAGTAACAGAACTTGTTGAACTTGTGCAAGAGATTAGGGTGGGCTGCAGCATCGAGTCACTGTCGTCCTCGCCATCAGAGAGCTCTTGCAGCAGAGCATCGAGTTTGCAATTCCCTGTCTTCCTGACCTTGACTTCGGCACCATTCCTCGAGTCGGGATTGTTGCTGTACATTTCAAGATACCGTTCTTTGTACTGGATGTAACATTAGCGAGTGTGTTGTGACGAAAGCTTTGAAAATTGTACTTACCATCTCCTCTGCATGTCCGCGTGCTTCGACAAGCAATTCCTCGCCCCAATACTTGCGAATATGTGTCTCCTTTTGTTGCGGATCAAGAACTGTCATTGGAAAGTCAGCGGGAGTAGTATGTGAATGAAAAAAACAACGCACGCATCACCATGATATGGGCGTCAGAACTACTCGACTTCTCATAATACTTTGCGATCTTCTCGATACCAGCATCCAGGCCCTCCGCAAAATCGAGATACTTGATGCGTCCAGAACGTGACGACCATGCGCTATGCAACGACTCTAATGCAGGCAATGCTAAGTGAAGCATTGGTCCTTGTTCAGACGAGAAGGACTGCTGCGACAACTCGGCATACTGTAGTTTTGAGACCGTGAGCCACAATTCAAGTTGTAAGATAAAGGTACGTACACCAAGGATTGAGAGCAGACGTTGAACACGGGTCCACTCTTCAGATGATAGCTCGAGGTCCGTTATCTTTTTCCGTTTAGCTGAGTCCTTCTCTTGCAAACCGAGCCGGCCCACAAAATAGTCAACTTCCTAATAATATACATCAGCGGGCACACTATTGAGATCCTAAATTAAACTTACATCTCGCAGCTTGAATGCACATTGAAGCATAGTGTATGTTGAGGACCACCTTACTTTCATGTCGAGAAGCAATTGTCGTGGATGTTTGATTGGCGTGTGGCCATCTTCGTCTCGACGCTGGACACTCTGAAAAAGCTCCTTTCGTTGAGCAGAGGAGCGCTCCTTGACACAGATTGACCGGATTCATCCAACCTCGTCTTGTTCAAATGTGGAGTGAGTCGCGGGGCTAGCAAATTGTCGTTAGGTTGGGTGGCATCATAGTGTCTTGACTTGCTGTGTGTGGACAACAGTGCCTGAGTTGCGAGGTTGATAATGTGGGCCAAGCACCTGAATATACATGTGAGAATTGGTAGTAATGAAAAAGACATAGAAACTCTTACCGAAGGCGCCGTTTTTTATGATCAAATGTCTTGTTGGTATGTGCCTCGATGTGGACTGCGAAATGCTCCATCATGGTATCGTTGTTGGATGCGTTGTCGCACGTAATGTAGCCAATCTGAAACTTCATTAGCACAATACTGTTATGAAGCTAGAATTTTACTTACCTTATGTGAAATCCCAACACGTTTAACTAATTTGAACAGCGCTTGACCGAGACGGACACCATTGTGAGCATTGTTCAGTTGAGTGAAGCCAAGAAGGGCACTTTGGACAGTCCAAATGCCAACTGTTGTTTCTTCAATCCAGTGACCGGTGAGAGCAAAATAGCCATCGACATTTGACGCCTGCCAGGCGTCACATGTCAGATTGATCTTTCCTTTCACAGTGTCGCTCTTGTTGTGGTTTGCGTTAGAAATAACGATTAAAAAAATTAAAAACTGACTTACAAGTAACCGTCTGCGGAGGTTGGTGAGATTACGCTTGAAGAGGTCGATAATGGCTCGGCGCGTCTTTTGTCGACTAGGTAGTTTGACACCGTTTGTAGCTCGTGCTGCTACATCAATTATATATTTGAAGGACTTGTGGTTGAGTGCGTCAATAGGCTGTAGTGAACTGATAAGTATCCAATTGCCAGAATTAAAAAAAAGCATACCTGGTCCGTTTCAATCAACCATTCAATGGCGGCCTCACAAAAGATTGCATCCAAGAATGGGATGATCCATTGTCTTACTACTTGAGGGTCTTATATGTTTTTGTGTAAATGTAGTGACACCACAACTACACTTTGATAAGACAAGAGTTGCCAACTCCTCAAGTACACGGTCAACGGATTTTCTAGTTTTCTCGGTTGATAACGTGTCGTTCGTGGGAGGCTCGACTATACAGTCTGTCGTTGGTTCTTGGAATGGGGTTTGGTTTTGGATGGGATGATAGACCTAGATGATAGGCCTGATACGATGAACTGCGTAGAATAGATGGACTAGACTACATTGACGAATAGTTTGTCCGAATGGTCCTTGGACAAATATACGAGTGGATGCGCTACACAACACTTGGCTGAAGTGTGTGGATCCTTTGATGAACGAGGGACCTTTGGTATGGAGCAAAAGTCCTTGGTGGTGTGGAATTGGGAAGTTGACTAAGCTTTTCCCAGACAGATCCTTGCTGACGTAATCAGAGCAAGAATTTCTCCTGAAGAGTTCTTTGTCCAAACAGCTCTTGGACAAAAGATATGGGTTGTGTGGGATGCTGACTAAGCTTTTCCCAGACAAATCCTTGCTGACTTAATCAAAGCAAGGAAACAGCAGTTCTAGACCAACAAAGGACTAGAAAAGAAGGTTAGGGTGACTAAATGCCCCTAACAACAGTAAAGATAACACAAGACTAAGATTATATCAAATCTTAGTGTAGTAAGGCTGTCAGTATCAGCCTGCACTTCAGATGATAGATGTGAAGTGGGAAATCTCCAATATGGGGAGTGTCTCATTTCTCCTCAGAGAATTGAGCCTCCTTATATACATTTGGTGTGGGAAATATCCCAGGAACTGTATAGTACCAAGAAAATAGAAAGAGACACAAATCTCAGAAGAAATAAGGTAGTTGTAGCATAAAATGCAGAATTGAAGTGGAAAGAACACCAAAGGAGGAAAATTACTCATTCTGACTCATTTGACAGCAAATGACATCACTGTGGAGCAGTGTGGAGCATTTGTGGAGCAAAGTGGAGCTGAATGATATCATTGTGGAGCTATGACATCAAATGACATCGTTGTGGAGTTATGACATCGAGTGACATCGTCCAAGATCAAATGACTCAATTCTGGAGTCACATGACTTCTCCTAGGGTTAATTACATGTTATGTAAGCTCAGATTGTGGCTGAAGCTCACATAACGTGCACAAATAAAAAAGAACAAGAGAAACAGAAGCAAGAAAGTCAACAAAGATAAATGTAAACAAAAGTAAACGAAATGCGAGCTTTCTGCCACTTTTTACTTCTCTTGCCTCAACATAGAGTAATTAGTCTAAAGCGAAAGCTTTTGGACTAGTATACCCTTATCCTATTGAATGTCAATGTATGATCTTCATTTCATGCATGACACCGTTCCTTTGGTTGCGGCTCACGGAGGTGGGTGTCGAGTCGTGCTTGAGAGTCCGCAGCAGCATCTATCTTGCGATGTTTCGTGTCCCTCGGCAACATCGACGTAAATTGGTTCTGGTCGGCCCATTGGATATATTCGTGCTACAAATGAACAAAGTTAGTCCTACATGTCACTTGTAAACTCGTAAGCATCAGAAAAGCTTACCCGATGCAAAGTGTCCATGTGATGGCGCATGGTTGTTATTTCGTTGACAAAAGCAACAGGTTTCTTCGTTTTTTTGCTAATATGTAGTCAGTTATAGTACAACACGAGTGAGACCAACAAGAGCTTACCTGCATAGCACGCAATGACGATACTTCTTGCCTTTATCGCCAGAATAAGGTGCTGAAAAAATTTTATTGATGTCGCGGCTTCGCTGCTCTTGGCGCGACTTTTTGGGCTCATCGATGTCCATAACTTGCACATCCTTTAGAAATCCGTCGGCATCAAGTTCGTCGTCAACGATAGCGGGAGCCTGTGGTGGATTGACTCCACATGTACAGGTAAGATTGTCAGTATCAAATGCAGCAGGTCATGACTTACTAGTTGCGGATGGCAGTGCCTCATTCAGGAGGCTATCTGGCTCCAGTTCAGCCCCTTCACTGTTGCCGTCGGCAGCAGCACGAGCGCGTTTTTTGCCTATAAGGATTCAAAATGTCAGTACTAGAAAACAAAAGAACAACATACCTTTCATGAGCCGTCTTGTTTTGCTGTGAAGTGATTCAATGTCACTATCATCCTCATCAAAGTCAGTGACAGTGATGGGGGTTTGGATGTGCGAGGGTGCAGCATTAGCGGCAACATGAGCCTTTCTGTGAGAATGGAGTTCAAGGTCAGCAGTATTATCTGTGCTGATTACCTTGGCAGATGGCACAGCAACCCGTTTAGGACGTCGTGGAGGCGCGTCCTCGTCATCTGAATAGACACGCGGAGCCATTTGGAGATAAGACGACTCGAAGTATCGATTTTTAGGCTATGGTGCGCCAGTACAGAGGCACAGATAAACTATTTAGTTTTTCGGTGTTTGCCGTGTGAAGATCAAAACCTACCTTGAAAGCCACGGCTTGGCGGCCCAGCTCTGGCCTATACATACCTCAGGCCAAGCCTTGAGCCCTACTAGGCCGCCCTTAAGGCTCGGCTGGGCTTGGCCTAAGTAGGCCCGGTCAGGCTCGGCCCACGGCTTGAGGCCGGGCCTTGTACATCACTAAGTGAGAGTACTTGACGCACAAAGTGTACTCACTCTAGCGTACGTCGAACTTCTGCTCCAGTACGGTGACATGTTGATGGCTGTTTAGACCAACCCGCCTTCCCCTGGTGTTCAGACGGAGAACTTAAAGAGGAGACATGGGCATAATAGTATACACCAAAAAGGACATACATGCAAGAACAATATACGATTGGGATTGGTTTGACTGCACAAATGTCTTGCGGCTACGTATATTTATGCTCACTTTGGCCCATCTCCAAGACTATCCTTCCCGCTACTTTGCCTTGTCCGAGTGCGTCATAAGCCCTGTGAATCACGTCAGCTATAATATTATTTGCCATTGCAATCTACTCACTCCTTTAGCTCGGAGAGACCCTTGCACTCACACCTCACTGCTACCTTACCACTCAATGTGATCTACAGTGCCTCGACGGCATCCTGACAATTACCAACATATGAACCAATGATGTTGATGCTCTGCAACAATTCCTGAATCAACAAAACTATAATCCTGGTTCATCATATTGTTAGTTGTACGATATATTATTGAAGGAGGCTCATAGGGTACACGGAGTCCTCATGTTGCGCTTACCTGTTATGGATAATGTCACAGTGACAAAACGAGCACGGCTGTCCTGCTTTCCATAGATACCTACGTAATGCTGACGCCGATTGAAGTTCTGATACCCGCCAAGTACTACTTCGTGAAAGATGATGGCACAAATGATCTCGTGTGTTATTCAGTTTTTCTATGGGTGTGAATCTGAATCACGCGAATTGAACAGGCTCTATCCAATCACTAGAAACACAGCAAAACAAGAAGGTTCCGAAGGAGCTGCAACAGACTCGGTATCGAAAAAGGCTCGCAGGGACAAGGTCTGCCATTATTATCGTCCGCTGATGTATTGCTTTTCGAATTCTTGTCTTTCTAGCTGGACCCAGCAAATCAAAAGCCAGTGGTTTATTTGCAGAATGAAGCTGTTCTGGAGCAGGAAGCAGCCGACTCGGGAAAGCTACAGCGCTTGAGTCTGATTCCGACGACGCTATGCAAGTCGGCCTTAGCGATACTGTTGCATCTGCCGTACCCGACTCTGAACGGCTAGTGCCCATGGCTAAACCAGAAACTATTGCCGCTCTTCTGGCTACCTCCGATGGGAGACGCTGAAAGTATCGGTGATCCCAGCCGATAGAGAAAACGGGTCGGTCGTCATACTGAAAACTGAGATGTGCCAAGGTGGAAATCGGCTTAGAGCGACCGACCGGATTCTTCAGAGTGACTGCCCCCCTATCATTCTTCCGAACCTCAAACGTTTGCGTAACAAGCAAGTGTCATAACACTCCTTCGTCTGCGTTCCCAATGTCTTACCCTCAACCCACTGTAGCTGCTCCTTCGTTAGATCCTACCACTTCAACATTAATCACGCAACATTATATCAATCCACAGCTCAGCATTCATGCCCTCTCCAAGCTACGCAATCTACATTCACACCTCCAGTATAGCCGCATTAGAGAGATGCTTTCCGCCGCCGCCTATGAGGGCTCATGGAACTTTCCTCATCTTTCTGATCCTCGGTGAGCAAATATATAACACTATATAGTTCACCAGAGCGGCCTCAGACGGACAGTCATAATACATAAAGAAGATCGGCATTTGGAGTACTAAACCATTGATGAATGCAATACATTTGACTTCTGACGCCTACTGGCAAGACCCTTGGCATTCTCCTTCATCCAGGGCTGTCCTCTGTGGGAAAAATGTACGTTTGATCTTGACATATACAATTCACTCAGCGGCGAATCAGCACTAGACTGAGCAAGGCCATACAACGTCTAGATCCTAGGTTTCAAGTGCGTGTACATCTATCGCGTGATTCATTCATCCCAGATACGAGTCTAATGCCTCTTCCACCTGCAAGGCAAATGACTTAGTTCAAGTTATCTATACAGTATCTATGACACTGGCACCATGGGGGGCTACGTCTCCCAAGACGTCTTCCACATTCTGCGTTGGTGGCCTCTCTATTGTAGGCAGGACTTCGCAGGGCCACGAAAGAACCAGGTCTTACATTTACCCTCGGTGATATTCATATTTCAGCTGTGATGAACATGTACACTAACAATGTCAACAGTATACATTGGCGTTGCGTACAATACTATGCATCTCCGCCTCTGAATTCGCTCAAAAATGTGTGTTTGTGTATTCTGGATGGTTTATCCGTCGACCCTGGAGTTTTGCCAAGTCGTGCTAGAATCTCGTCGTGATGCCCTACCATCGGCCTGGCGCAACCATTCTGCCAACCCGATCAGCAGACTGCCAAGGTCTGCATACTACTATGCTCAGGATATAAAAGCAAGCCGCCTTTTTCACTAATCCTCAGAATCCTCAGACTTATCATTCCAAATCAGATCTCATATCACAAATGCGTATCTCCATCGTCGCCGTTATTGTTGCTTTGACAGCATCTATGTCTGTCAGTGCGTGCAGTGGCCTAAACGGGCGTTGCGCGACTACCAAGGATTGTTGCGGTAACTTTTTGGTTTGCAAGCAGCCTCTTGTGAGTATAGATCGTTTACTTTATCCAACTCCATAGCTTACCCTTGGTGACACTCACAGGGATCCTGCCAACGTATTGCTGAAGAGTAGCTGAAAGTCGGAGTCACTGGCACGTCGTGACAGTGAGTCATATTCGTGTCTTCGCATTTATGCTGTAGTTGATGGCACAATGCATATTTAACAAAGAAAAAGATATATCATTTTGGCGAGGAATGGCTTGCGGTCGGGACGTTGGAGTGACGGTGAAGGAAGTGGTTTGTTGAAAGTGTGGTAGCTAAGTATTTAACGGAGCGATTCATTAAATATGACGTTGACACATTTTTTATTTTCGTGTGAGGACACGGATAAGAGAACGTCTCCCCGACTCTCTGCCGTCGATAAAGTAGTAGGACAGCCGTCCGTTAGTGAAACTTGGGCCTGTGTCGAGAATGGTGTGTGCACAAGGTGCTTACCGACTTAGTGAGAGCTGCGAAAGAGAGACACGCTACGAGGCTGACAGTAACACATGCCTGATATCCCAATGATCGGCACTGTAGCTGTATGGCACAGAGGGTGACTCTGATCCACTACTAATATTATACTAATTAGAAAATGTGTGTGGACCAAGCTACTAGTCGTCTTCGTAAGCAGACTTGCTGAAGTCCCAAGGATCCACTACTACATCGAGGGAAGAAATAAGGGCAACATATTCCGCTCGCTGCTCGTCTGTCGTCATCACTCCAGCGCATAAAATAAGCCTCTCCAGGGGACGATTTGACCGTGCCAAGAATGTCTTCACCTCCTCGTGAGGCCATGCTGGTCCATATATAGTTCCAACTTGAAGTACGCGTAAGTTGGGAAGTGATAGGACATTGAATAGACCATCTAAATAGTTTCCCCTAGACTGATAAGATAAGCGTAAGGATTGAAGATTTGTGTGCGGCAATGGCTCGATGGCTCGTATTTGCTGGTTGGCGCATGTGTAAAGCAGTAACGAGGAGAGGTTTGGACAGAGTTGAAGTAATTCGAAGACTTCATTCAGGCGAAATAAGGAGAGCTCGAGATGTGTCAGTCGGGCCAATACGGGGCTGAAAATAGAGAAGTCTGAGGCGGAGAACGACAGCCGTAGTACCTTCAGGCTGCGCACAGTGATCGGCAGTCGAGAGATAGATTTTGCAAGAGTTGGTGGATGACTACCGGCACCAGCTGTTCTATGTAAAATCAACTCCTGAAGTGTTGGGAGGTTTTCTAACAGTTTGTCGATGCCGACCAAAAAAGGGATGTTGAGAGACGAGACTTGATTGCCGTAAGGCTGAAGAAGATTTCGTATCTTGGCCATATCGCCTGCATAGCACTGGACTACCAACAAGAGCGGACGTGCTTGTGATTGCCTGAGCCACGTGTCATAATAGAATGCTTGCTGCTGCCATTTTCGGCGGCTGTTGCGGTCGAGGTCCAACCGCAGCTTGCACCATAAACTGGGCATGTTTATAGCAACCTCCCTCCATCGTTGGCATACTCTGGTCAACAGCATAGGAGATACTAGCTTTGATGCGGGCCCGGGAAAAACCTTATGAATTTCCGGGAGACAGAAGATAAAAATTTGAGATAGTATTTCATTTGGCAAGCGCCAGAGAGCCGATACAAGCCGCTTGTGCGAATCCATGGACTGGGTGATCTTCTCCTTCTTTTCGACGAGTTGCCGGTGAAGATCGGTGATACAATCGATGACTGTTTCCAGACTCGAAATTTCATGCAAAGCTGCATCCAACTGCTGCTGGCGTTGAGCGATGATGGCATTGATGCTTTGGTTGTTGATCTCGAAGGCCATATTGCTATCGGGATACGGAGTTTCGAGGTCGGGTATCTGATCATCATATCAGTAAACGACATTCAATAATTATATCATACGGAGTTTCCATACGATCACATGTGAACGAGCGATCTAAAGTGGGTGTTGATCATTACATTTGGACGCGAGTGGTAATACAACTGAGCACTTACAATTTCATGCAGTTTACCAATGCTGCCTGCTTGCATGTTAGAGTTTCTATATGACACGAGGGCTGAAGTTGAAAGTTCGAGGAAGATGGAGATTTGGGAGTGACAAACTAATCTACTTAAGTACTGTAAGGTAGGGTGTATCTAGGGGACGAGAGAATAAAGGTGTTGCTGCCAAAAATGAAGTAGGCAAAATGACTAGGACAATAGACAAAGGAAATAAATCAACGAGTATGATTGTGTAAAGTAGCCTCAGGCCTTTTTACAGGCGCTGACGCATGCGTCTATTGTCAACGTTGATAGTTGTGACAAAGGGTGTCGTGAGACCGGCTCCGACCCGTGTGCAGGCGTTCATTGTCGATTGAAGTTTCCAAAGATCAGCGAGGATCGACATTATATCACAATCGGTTGTTTGTCTGGTCACGTTTATAAGTTACAGTCAGTCCAATCGCCACTATCGGAACATCTCACCAACCTGGAAAACACCCCCGGAATCACTGAATCACGTGACGTTGCTGTCATGTGGTTCAAATCCAGTAATGGAGACAGCCTGCTTACCACTTCCATTAAACGGCGATACAGCCGTTGATCCATCTTCCAAAACTCAAACAATAACGCTTCTCGGAATGGCCATCTCACCCGTTAACCTTGAATCAGTGGTGACAAGGACCTCTGCCAGGGTTCGATCCCTTTGATGAACTCGATGCGTTAGTAGGCCTTCAAGTTCCAACCGAGGCCTTTCGTGTCATATAGTGCACGACGTCAATTAAAGGATAGACTTGTCGAGCTGTGCCAACTTGGCGCACCCGAACTTAAAAAGAGTCGGAAACTCGACCCAACATTCCCCTTCGTCCCTCTCTCAGGTGATCCCACCCAGACAGTCATGACACAGGAAGAAGATCGGGAACTGGAGTGTTGAACCAATGAGTGCAAGACATTTGTCTTATGTTTCTTCTTGGCAGGACCCGACCCTGAACCTGAGTTATGGCTCGTTTGGATGACACTAACAAATTGAATCTTATCCCATCTCATCCATGACTGGTTCACTGTTCCTCCGCAACTCTGATTCGCATCAATCAATGTCCCCATCACCCATCCGTACGCTCGCCGCCTTTGCTAACAGATTCACATTTTACAGACTCCACAAACGCGAAGCATTATACTAGGACGCCAACGAGCTTCGCCCTCCCGCTCATTAATTCAGGGCTGTCCTCGGTGAGAAAGTCTGTGTTTGATTTTGATATACACGATTCACTCAGTGGTGAGTCAGCGCTAGGCCGAGCGATGTTCTGCCAACTCTGGGTCCGTTCATACCTACAGCTTGCATCCTTTATTCCAAATACGAGTCTAGTACTTCGTTTACCCGCAAGGCAAACGACTCCGGGTTGTCCACCTGTATTACGTACGCGCAACACTGGCTCCACGTCTCCCAAGGCTTCTTCCGCATTCCCATTGGTGGCCTGTCTATTGTAGGCAAGACTTCGCAGGTCTTACATTCTCCCTCGGTAACATACATATTCCAGCTGTGATGAACACGTGCGCCAACAATGCTACCCGTACCCATAGGCCTTCCGTATAATGCTATGCACATCTGCCTCAGGATATGGATCGTTTATCCGTCGGCCCAGGGGATCTGCCAGGTTATGTATAGACTCTCGTCGTGATGCCCTACCATCCGCCAGCCATAACCTTTCTGCCAAAGCAACTGGCAGACTGTCAAGGTCTACATATTACTATGGTCAAGATATAAAGCAAGCCGTCTTCTTACCGTGGCCCCCCATCCCCAGAGTTATTATTCGAGATCAGATCCCATATCACCTCGCTCGAACAATGCGTTTCTCCTTCCTCGCCGTTATTGTTGCTTTGACAGCATCTATGTCCGTCAGGGCACAATGCAGTGCCGCATACGGGTCTTGCACCCTCGACGGGGATTGCTGCAGTGACTTTTACTTTTGTAGTGAAGTGAGTATAGATCGTTAGCTTGATTCAACTCAATGGCTCATCCTCTGTAACACTCGTAGGGAATATGCGTACCTAACGCTAAAGAGTAGCTGGAAGCCACTGGTATATTGGGACAGTGTGTCATTCCTGATTTCGCATTTATACTGTTCTGGGTAGTGGTTGAGCAATACCGTCTTCGATGCAAATAACTGAGGGAGCTCCACCCCAGGTGCAATGGTAAGACATGTTCTACTTACATTCCTCATCAATCGCTCGTGAGGCGCTATTTCATCCTCGTGTCGTACCACCCGCAGTCATTAGACTTATGGATCTCCCTCCGACTTGCAATTTTTGAAACCTGCTGCTACACTCCTTCCTTCGTTTCTTTTGCAGGAGTTAATGAATCTTAACATACCAGAAAAACGCTTATGTATACTTCTCTTTTCGCATCTGACATTTCCTTGTGAAACGCAGGCCTGCTCTCCCCTCCACTCGAGTCTCACGAGCGAAATCTCCCTCGACATACACGAAGCCTTCCTCCCATCTGACCATCACTCAGATGGTCAATAACTATCCAGCACGACAATATAAACTTGCTATCATCAACTCTTATTTGCGTCCTCTTCATGTCAGAGTGATTATGTTTCGCTCAACTATTCTATTCCAGCACTTTTACCTCCAGCTTCTAATCGGGCTCAACCAAAAATTCCCTTCGTGCCTCTCCTAGGCGGCCCCACACATCCAGTCATGATACAGAAAGAAGATCTACAACTGGAGTGCTGAACCAATGGTGCAAGATATTTGGCTCCTGATTTTTCCTGGCAGGACCCTGTATTAATAATGGTTTGTCTGATCACCGACAAGTCGAATCGAATCACGTTGTATCGTAACCTGTAACCTGTTGTTCCTCCGCACCTATACCCGCATCAATGAATTGTCACTGTCACCCGTCCGTATCACCGTCTTTGCTGCCGCTTTACATCCCGCAGGCGCCAGAAGTGTTTGAGCGCTTTACTGCTGGCACTCTAATTTTCGATGGTACCCGATGTGAGATCCTCGGTTGATTTTGACTTCCAAAATCACTCAGCGGAGAGTCGGCACTAGACCAAGCAACGTCTGGGCCCCCAGTTCCAAGTGCGCGTATATCTGCTAGTATCGCGTGATTCCTTCATCCCGAATGCTCCTTCCACCTGCAACTTTCATGGTAAATGGCTCCGAGTTGTCCGTATAGCGTGGTGCTACGACACTGGATCCATGGGGTTTCCTCTCCCAAGATGCCCTCCGCATTGCCACAATATTGCAACCAGGATTTCGCACCTCGACAATATGTTCATATTGCGGCTGTGAATGCGTGCGCTAACAGCAATATGCATATATAGGCCTTGCGTACAACAAGCACTATGTATCTCCGCCTCAGATGCGTTCAATGTCTTATCTTCACATATTGCTTATTCGTCAGCCCTAGGGATCGGCCAGGTCATGCATAGACTCTCGTCATGATGCCCTGCCATCTCCCAGGCATAACACTTTTTCCAACGCCATTGGCAGACTGACAAATTTTGCTGGAACGCTGCTTTGCTCAGGATATAAAAACAAGCTGTCTTCCTACTATATAGCGCCATCATCAGAGTTGTTATTCAAGATCATATACCATACCACCTCGCACAGATCATGCGTTTCTCCTTCCTCGCCGTTATTGTTGCTTTGACAACATCTAGTATGTCTGCGGCGCAGTCAATAGGATGTGCTGGCCTAGACCAACATTGTGAAACCACCCTCGATTGCTGCAACATTTATGTTTGTGCTGGTTTTGTGAGTATAGATCGTGTGCTTGATTCAATATGACTCAGACTCACCCTTTGTAATACTCATACAGGACCCAGATCGAACCTGTCACTGAAGAGTAGCTGAACGCCACGGTCACTGGCACGTTGCTACAGTGAGCTATATTACTACTTTCTCATTTATGCTGTGGTTGATGGCACAACACCCATATAGCTTCGAAAATGAATGACTTCTGAAAATGATCTGGATTTCGCGGTCGGGACGTTTGAGCGGCGGTTAAGAGAGTGATGTTGAAAATGTATAATTTTTTTTAATTTTATAGAGATTGGTGTTGGCACGTCTTCAAAGATTGTGGATAAGTAGTTTTGGCGCCTTGAACCGCTCAGCCATCTGTCCTTGTTTTGCTCCTTTCCCTGAGCATGAGTTCGTAAGGGTTCTTTGGAGACGTTTATTTCTGAAGGTGTAGGACAACAAACACAAACCCATGGTGTTGCGAAGCGTTATCGCTTAGTTGTACCTTTAACCACAAGTAGGGAAAAAATCTTTATAGCCTTCTGGGAGTCCACGTAGAGTTAGATCTCGCCTTTGAAGCAGTGGTATGGTCTGTGTACGATACAGGAAGGTAGGTAACAAAACCCCGCTGCGATGTACTCCATGTATCTATCTCTGCGTCAAGGTCAAACATGGGTGCGGTAATACTCTTGATCTTCGGATGCTCCTCGCGCTGTATTGCACGTCGTTGGTCCAGCAGTGTCCGATGATACGAGCGAGGTTCAGAAAAGTGGTGGAAGGCATCGGTGGTACTACAATCATTTTGCAGGTAACAGCTGAGCCCTTATGAAAAGTGTTGACTCCTGGGACCCACTATGACGTTGAGAGAAGGAATAAGCGCAATATATTCCGCTCGCTGCACCTCTGTCACCGTCAGCTGACCGCTGAAGATCAGGCTCTCCAGGGAACACCTCGACCGTGCCAAAAATGCCTTCAAAACCTCGTGAGACCATAGGTTGCTTCCCCTGTGCCACAATTCAAAAACGCGCAAATTGGGGAGTGACAAGGCATTGAACAGGCCAGTTAAACACCCTATGTTACCAGAGAGGTTCACGACGGATAAGGATTGAATGTTGGCGTGCGTAAGTGGCTCCAAGATTTGCGCTTCGTAGAATGATGTGCGAGCCGTTAATGAGGAAAGGTTTGGACATAGACGGAGCAAGTGGAGTAATGCATCCGGGTGACTTATGGAGATCTTGACGTTCGTCAGGTGGACCCATACACGATTGAGCCAAGATAAGCGACTGATGTCGAACGCCGGCATGTCCGAGACATCGAGGCTATGCATAGTGGACGGCAGTCGCGAGATAGATTTTGACATCCTAGGTGAAAGTGTTGAACCTTGTAAGACAAGCTCCTGAAGTGCGGGTAGCCGGGGTAGGTCTTTCAACAAAGTTTCATAATTTCCCGGTTCGTGGTAAACACGGACGGCGAGGGACGAGATTCGTTTGACGTATGGCTCAAGAAGGCTGAATTGCTCAGACGAGTTCCAGCATTTGAATGCTAATGAGAGCGGGTGTCTTCGTGCTCGCCTGAGCCATGAGTGATAGAAGGCAACCGCCTTCTCCCAATCTCTGCCAGTGGGTTCTACATGTAACCTGCACCATAAACTGGGCGTACCCACAGCGACCTCCCTCCATGGTCGGCATATTGTGGTCAGCAGCATGGGGGCCTGTTTCGATGCGGGTGACAAGTACTTGTCTTCGGGGAGACAGAGGTGAAAAATTTGGGATAAGATTTCAGTTGGCAAGCGCCAGAGAGACGACACGAGTCCCTTGTAGAAAGTCATGGACTGGATGATCTTGTTCTTCTGTTCGACGAGTTGCTTGTAAAGATTTTCGATGTTGCCCATGACTGTTTCTAGCCCTGAGATGTCGAGCGAAACTGTATCCAGCTGCTGCTGGCGTTCTGCGACGATATTGCTGATGCATTCCCCTTTGAGCTCAATGGCGGGGTAATTTGTGTTGGGGATATGATTGGCTCGGGAGTGCGGGGTTTTGAAGTCTGACATCTGCTGATAGTCAGTATTGCATCAGACAAATGATCGTGACATCTGCTAGACCTACGATTACTTGTGAATGTGCGAGCTGAAGTGTTTGATTAAGATCGGCAGACACAACTAGGTTTCACTAACTGGGCACTTACGATGTTTTGCAGGGCACCAATTATATCCGAGGCCGAGGAGTAATTGACTTGTGAATTGGCTGTCTGCATGTTATTTGCTTGCGGTTGAAATGTTCAAGGAGGATGATGGTTTGAAGAAGGAAAGACTGAGGCTGATGATGTGGAACAGGCTAATGATGTGGACCAGACTGAGAGCGATGACAAAAGGTGAGAGTAGGTTAACCCCTGGTCAGCGACGAGACGGAAAATTCGCTTGTGATTTTATACTGCTCGGGCGGTCACGTGACACTGTCACACGGCATCTTGCATTTTCTAACTTGCATATAACACTTACAGTTGAAAAGATCAACGTTTGCATGTCTAACTGCGTACAGGCCCTGGAGTCGTGAATTTTACTTCTCGCCACATTTACAACACTGTTGGAATTCAGAGGCTGTGCAAGCCCGCACTGAGTCTTTTCGACAGAACAAAGTACGCGTTTCATTTCTATTGTATTCCACTCGTTATACTCGCACCATTGTGCGCTCTTGTTACACTTTTTACTTTTGTTCCCGACTCACGCATTGATTCGTTCGTACAAGAGCACTTAGTCTATATAGTTAGCTACAGTTGCAGACTACCACCTCAGACGTTTGCCTTCGCGCGCACGACTGAGAGTGTCCGTTATTCACAGACCCGCGCGAATATATTAATCTTTCAAACACTTGTCCTCATCCAACTCCTCCTGCTCAACTCCCATCTCGCAATCTGACCCGCTCATTCTGGATCGATTCCGCTTCGGATGCAAATCCACTCGCTGGTGAAGGCAGCCAATATCCTCTATCAAGTGAGACAGACGTCTGCATTATTGGGGTTAGTATCGGATTCGCTGGCGTCGGCGTCCCGTACCACCTTATCGAACTCTTGAATAACGCCTCGCTTTCTCTCGAACACCCGCTTAGCATCGTGATACTCGAAGCAAGAGATTTCTGTCAGTCAGCCTCATGCTGATCGTGAATTTTTCTAGTACTGACGTGTTTCATGCTCGGGAGCGACCGGTGCGTCAAGCATGACTTATTTCCTTACTTCATCTTGCGGAGAATATCGTTTGTAGGAAGGAATGGTGGACATACTATCACGTCAGCTGTTTTCCTTGAGTCAGGGTTTTCTCAACGTCAGGCCTTGTTCAATACGGTTGAGCCCATAAAGTCCTATGAACTCGAACAACACACTGTCTGTGATCGTCACAATCATAGGGGAAAATGGCTGGGCGAGCGACATCAATCTCATAAGAAGTGTATACTCAAATTTCCTGTCCACGGACAAGGAAGAAAAAGATGCGCACGAGGATTATGGCATGGCCCGCCAGGCGCGGCTTGATCTAGATGGTATAGAATGACTGAGAAAGTCAAGGAGGCGATTACTCTCGCTAGTCGCCTTTCTGGACCGTCTGATTCGAACGGGCTCGTAACCAGGACATATGGCGCCCCTTAACCAGGATTCTGTGAACTAGGCCACAATGTCTGGCTGCTGAAACTCGTCACGAAGCTGTACCAGAATGCTCAAGCACACACTGGACAATATGCCCTCCTCAGCTTGCACACTCGGACACCGGTGACTGCCGTCACGCATGAAACGGCCAACAACTCTTCCACTTCTACAGTCGTGACGAACAGGGGTAGTATATCATGCTCCTGCGTCGTCCATGCCACGAATGCATACACGTGCCATCTCCTTCCATTTCTCGCAGGTCCAGGTGGAATCATACCCACTCGAGGACAAGTAATGGCCACCCGAGCTCCCGTTGGTACAGATCAAATCAAGCTAGCCAGCTGGAGCGGAAACGAAGTAAGCGACTCCATCCTAGCTCGTGCGTCGTGACCGATCTTCTCTCAGGGATTTGCATACTGGTTCTCCAGACCCGTAACATACGACACCGAGAAACCGCTGATCATCAATGGTGGTGGTCGGGAAGCTGCGGCACCCAGTTACGAGTTACACATGGATAACGACTCCAAAACGCACACTCTCGTTGGGAACACTCTTCGCGAGTTCTTGCATCTGTGTTCGAAGGTAGGTGTGACCCGGATTGAGAGCCTGAGATGGAATGGGTAGGCAGTCCTTGTTCGTGCGCGAGGATCTTTCTGACGAGGGTTTAGACTAGTGTGATGGGCTACATAAAGATGGGAGACCCATTTGTATGTGCATGTAAGTCTTACAACCACTGCCGTTGATGTGTCTCTCGACAGGTTGGTCCCTTAGCGGTGGGCGAGCGGAAAAGTTGGCCTAGAGCATCGAGTTTGCCAACGGGGCCGAGCCCTTCCACAGGGGTGCGATCAAGTCCGGGAAGCGCCCGTCATCGAAGTTTTCGCTGATCAAGGCTGTATCGATTCGCGGTCAATGGAAGTGAAAAGTAGTGCCCCACGTAGTCCGACTCCGAGTCGGACCACTGGCGCCGACTTAACTTCGACAAAGAGCCCTCACGTGATCGAGCGCCCTCCGTGGGTGGTGGACACTCATATGACCTACTATGAGCGTGTCACCCACCCCCCGTTCTTCCTCGCAACCTGCCTGGAGGACTGAGGCCTGAGGTGTCATATAAAAAACAACGTGCAAACATCCGACTCACAAATCAAATTTTCCTCGTTCTTGGACACAATTAACGCACCGCAAGACATTGTAAGTGCCCAATTTTGCAAGCGCTCACATGTTCACGCTATAGTGTTCTCCGCTTCAGCTCGCACGTCCACAAGCGACCGTATGTCTGCTGATGATTACTGGATTCCAGACCTCAATACTCTGTACTCCCAAGCAAGTCTCCCCAAAACGAACTACTCTGTTCGAGCTCAAATACCGGACCTTTGGCGCCATCATCGCTGAATATCGGCAACAGCTAGTAGATTCAGTTTTGCACGAGCTCTCAGGTCTTGAAACGGTCATGGACAGCTTGAAACGATATTCACCAGCAACTCATTGAAAAGAGAACAAGATCACCCAGTCCTTGGAGACTATGAAAAGGGTGCGCGGCATGACGGAAAATCGCGTCATCAAAGATCCCATCATTCAAATTAGGGACACTAATTTTGACCGAATTTTCCATAATTAGCCGCATAACTTGGGATCTGTGCTGCTGATGTCACAGGGTGGTTTCGGATTCTGGTTCGCAATAACCGGCCTAAAGACTACTGTCTAGAACTTACAATTAGTTGCCTCATCATCTCTGCAATTTCACTGATGTGACTCATGAGGATTCTCCTCGTCATAGCGCTCCACCCGGAGGTCACTCATTGGACAGAGATTTAAATATGTGCTAGACGAAGAGACGTGGAACAGAAGTGCGGAGACGACGGTATCCACTGGCCCTGGTCCTACGATTTATTACAGTTTGCCACAAGTGACGCCCCAAGATGGTACTTGCTCATCTTCTTCGGAGATATGGTTGTGACGAGGTCAAAGTGTAAGTACATGCATGAAAGGAGTGGGCGGCGCCGAGACAGCAAGCGTAGGCATAGATGGTAGAAGATTAGGACATGAAGTAATGAGAAACGTAAATAAAAGATGGAAGGAGGAGTATGCAGTATTGCTATCGTTAAGATCGCAAGCGTCGAGCAACAGAGGCTCTGGCAGCATCTACAACTGCATCTTCACAACATAGTCGGCCATAGCTCCCGCCCAAACCCAGAAACCAAACCAAGTGGTGTTGATGAGACAATCATCGCAACTCTCCATATTTTCGAAGTCGATCCTGCCGAAGAGTCGGACAAGGTGAAATGCCCCAAGAGTTACGCCAATGACAAAAGGGAAGCCATGTCCGTTGAGGAACCCGGCGTACGATATCAAAGAACAAGCAACGAAAGAGAAAGTTAAAAGAATAGGCCGAATCTGGTCTCCGAAAACAACTGCGGTCGAGTGAATGCCATTTATGATGTCTTCTTCTCTGTCCTAAGTTCTGTGGGTTCAGCTGACGAGAATGAAGCGCAAAATGATTGATTCACTTGACGGGCGTAGCAAGTATCGTACACGATTGTCCAACACAAGCCCCCCATGTATAGGGGGATATATATATGCCAGTCGACCGTTCCGGCAACAGAAGCTGTCCCCAAAAGTGATCCCCAGCTGAAGCACATGCCTATTCAATAATGCCGTTAGTGACCGGTGGAGATTGGCAGCAACTCACCAAGCACAGCTTGTGGCCATGCTATCACACGCTTCATGATAGGATATAACACGATTAAAACCAGGGAGGAAAGTCCAAGAACCGAGCTGAAGAGGGGTGCAAGGAATGATGCAGGTAGTGAAATAATTCAAACATGTGAGATGAAATACCTGTATTTATTTAACTGCATGAAAAGCCAGACGCCAATGGCTAACTGCAAAATAAGGAAGATGGATGCCTGGAACATCGAGAGATCGCCTGCAGCCAAGGGTCTCGTGCGTGTCCGTGCTTCGTGGGGTCACCAGGTGTCACTGAATAACTTAACGATGGGAAACTCACAAGTAGCAGCGTCAATGTCTTTGTCCCACATGTCGTCGATCACACACCCGGCAGCACAGAATACTTGAGAGGCCACAAGAAAAAATCCAAGATAGGTCCACACTGTCGCGATCGGCGCACTGAGCGCGTAGCAGGTCATGGTAACCGACCATGCTAAGTCATTCCACTCGATAACCGAACAAAAAAACTTCATCACAAAGACATGCTCACCGCATGGATAAAACAGTAAAAGTATTCCAGAGGGCCTGTGAACTCGTGCGAGATAAAAGTAAGGACGTATGTTGGAAGGAAGGTGATCCACCCATGTGGGGGCCAGAGTTGGGCACTCCTGAAGGTGCTGTTTGATTATAAGTGATTTGTCGGCCATGGAAAAAGCGGGCAGATTTGAACGATAGGCCGGTGAAGACGGGACGACGAAGGGTTATATACACGATCATTAATTGCGCTTGCAGATAAATCATTTGGATATACGTTGTACCTAGAGTCTTAGAACTAGACTCTCCAGCCTAACAGAAGGTTATGAAATGACAAGAGAGATGGTCGAAGCAACATAGCTGCTTCGTCCTCCGAACCTTTCCGAACCTTTCCGAGCTGGAGAGCCGCATCTCTACTCCGGGTTATCCTCGGATCTGGTAATTGATTCCATCACGAGGAGTGGGACCGAGTATGGGTTTGAACTCACTTCTTTGTAGGGTATATTGGCAAAGACACCACCATCTTCTCACACTCCCTGCTCCACCGCATTCAAGTCGCAGTCGCAGTCGCAAGCCCCACCTTTCCCTCGAAGGACAAGTCTTGGCTCGTGTCTATGCCAGCGCGAATGCACCCACTATATTTGGGGACCTCTCGGCACATACAGTGCGCCGGCCAGACGTGAACGCAATGTATCAGGGTCTGCTGGCATGACCTGCCCCAGTCAACTTTTTCCAAAGGGTGATGGCGAATCGCGATGATCATATTGTTTGCTGGAAATGACGGATCCGGATTCCGGGCTGCCCCGCCAAGCCTAGCTAAGGCCATAGATATTAAATCATGACGGTAACTCACAAGCAACGGAAACTTCGTTATCTCCAGTTCAGGTTGGGTTGTACTTGATCTGTGGGCACTGCAAGGGCACCTCCCAGGGCACTATGTGGCCCAATAGTAAATAAGGACTTCATCGTGACCTCAAATATTATTCCCGCACGGCGCACACCAACCACCAACATAAGTTGACGCTTGAAGACCATCACCCAGGTCTCTTTGATCTACCTGCAGGCATGGGAACTAACGGGTGCTACGTGATCCGCTATCGGAACATGTATTTTAAATCACACCGGACAAGGTAAAGGACCACGTCAATGAAAAATAGGAAGCCGTGTCTGTTGAGGATCCCGGCGTACGTCACCAAAGAACAGGCGACGACCGAGAACATAAAGAGAATAGGTCGGACCTGGTCTCCGAAAATAACGCGATAGACACAGCGAGGAATTTGTCAAATGGTGTTGAACGTTAACGTTGAGCTCTTGCAAATGGAAAGCGATGGTAGTTGAGGATGCATAGACATCGAAGTCATCTGCGCTTGTAGTGGAACTCGAGTGAAATCGAACGACTTTCGAAGTGCGTGAAGGACCTGAAGGTAATCGCAAAATGCAGCGGCGGATGCGAGTTTTGAAGTTTAACATGAAAATTCTCGGCCCAGGTTAAGCGTTGGGCTAGCTATTATGTCGGTCGATCACCGTAAAAGCCCGGAGTCGGGTGTGTGGGACATATGGCAAGCTTTACAGCCTACATGACCGTCTAGAATCTAGATCATCTACATATGTCCAAACAGGTAGTCGCGGAAGATGCCGTGTCACTTCTTCAATCGCACCTTGCAACGACCAGCTTGACTTCAAACTGGCAATGAACAGTCTCAACGGGATCCTTAGATAAAACGATGGCCGTACACTTATTTGGAACGTGTCGAGGGAAGCTTCCAAGTGCAAATGCAGGTTTGCGTGCTCTCATACATCCCCGACTCGTATCCACCGTGTCCCAGTACCCGTTCCCTCACCACCCACGACCAACTCCGCACCAAATATTCCACCTCTCCCATGGTGCGTCTCAGGCTGACATCAAGTCAAGATGTTTGTATACTCGCTCATACCTACACCAACTTCTGATCGACGCCCCCAGACTATGAACTCGTCCGAGAACACCATCCCGATTCTGCACAAGCGCAACATATCCCTGCTTCAGAACGACACTCGCGCTTTCAAGCCATAACAGCTGCATACGAGGCTCTGACTGGGAAATCTCGCTTACAGCTTGGTTCGGGGTTTCGGTCTGATTCCGATATGTATGAAGAGCTGAGGCGGCGGAGACGTTCGCATCATAGGAGTGCAGGGATGGACTTTGACCACAACCACCCGTTTGGATTCGCGAGTGGAACTTCTGGGAGGGAATGGACTGCGAGGCCCGATGAGAGATGGAAGGACTGGTCAATAATATTCGTGGGGACTGCGGTACGTCTTTTTCTTTATTCAGTCGTGCATGGCTCCTTTATTTATTAATCATTCCGCGTGAAGTGTTTCATCATTGGCATTGCTCCCATATTTTTCAGTCATACTTCCGATAAGCGCCACATGAGTGCGGTCCAAAACCTTGCTCAAGCCCGCAGCGAAGCTCAGGAGTACGGGATGGAGCGGCGAAGGGAAATTAGACGGCGCGTGCGGGAATACCAGTTGGAACAAGAGGAGCGCAATGCGCGTTGTAGCTGTGACCACAAGAATGAGAGAAGATAAATCAGTCACTGACGTTGCTGTCGCGAGCATTGAAACATGGACGGTGTTTGACTGAATTTCTATTGCCTATTCTTCATTATCATTCACATCGATTCCTGGCTGACTACCAGCCAGGCGACGTCCCACCTCGTTCGCCGGGATGGAGAAAGCAGGTCATGGTAATTGAATAGCTGATGACTTGACGCCGGCAGGAAAATTAGAGGGTGTGGGACACCGTAGTAGAATTATGGAGGAACTCCATCGGGCCAAGCGGCGAACCTCGAACGTGGAGCATGAGACATAACTGAGGGCGACACAGTGCTTGTCGAACATTGGCGAGCTACAACCTCCTCCGGAAGTGAGATATACTTGAGGACATGGGGTGCTCTGCTACCACCCGCGGAGATCGAGAAGTATATCAAAGTAGAAACAATCCAGTAGTGTAAGATAGCAGGCACTCATACGGACATATACGGAGCCATCCTGTGCGAGTAAACTCGTTAATCCACTACTGATGTTATAAGTGACTTACTTAGAATCTCCATTCTTCGCTAGCCGTTGCTCGAGCTTGGCAAACTCATCTAATGCAATAACCTCCTCTTCATCCAAGATCTGGTTCATCGTCAATTAGAGGCAAACACCGCAGGGAAGTATAGACATACCTGCTCTACACCCTTCACCTCCGGAATATAATGCATCAACATTCTCTCAATTCCTGACTTCAATGTCACCGCGCTAGACGAACACCCTCTGCAACTTCCCTTCAATTTGACTTTCACAAAGCCTTCGTCACTAAACCCTCGGTATTCTATATCGCCACCGTCCTCCATAATCGCTGGTCGGACACGAGTTTCAAGTAGCTCTTTGATCATTGCTACCGTCTCAGAGTCCGTGTCAAGAATCTGAGTGTCCTGAGGGCCGGCGGCTTCTCTGTCCTCTTGTGAACGGAAAAGAGGTAAACCAGCAGAAAAGTGTTCCATAATTATTGAGTAGATCTCTGGCTTGAGGACTGCCCATGAGTTTTCGCTATCCTTCGACACCGTGACGAAATCCGGTCCATAAAAAACGGCTTTCACACCCTCAATGCCCATAAGACGGATTGCAAGTGGAGATTTTAACGCTGATCGTGTGTCAAGGAACTCTGCGGTTCCTTCGTCCATGACACCTACGCCAGGTATGAATTTGAGAGAATCGTCGTTAGGCGTGGTCTCCGTCTGAATGAACATGGATCGACCTGGACGTACATTAACAGTTCAGAGACACAATTCAGGGACAAAAAAGTGTAGGACATACGTTGTGAGGGTGCTACACTAAACGATGGCGCAACTTTTGGGGCATGAATGCCCGAGGCAGTTGCGAGAGTAGTTCCGCGATGTACTGCTGCACGCGCGGGCGTGGAAGAGATTGATCTTGTCCAGGACCGAACAGCAGAGTCAATGGTGCGGTTAGAGGCAGAGCGTGCACTGGACAGGGTTCTGAGAGATCTGGAGGCAAGCCTGGCGGACATGATGGTCATAAGTCAAGTTGATGTGTCAGGCTCACTGTCGGCAGTATTAGGTTAGCAATAGTCGCAGTGGCTGTGTCGTTTGTGCCCTTTTCTGCCAACTTCCAAGTGTTCCAATGCAATGATAGCAGACCAGAGTCGTGACTTTCACGACTTCTTTAACTTCGCAGCCTTATCTTTATTTGCGCTCCTGGTGTTTCTTGTCGTTAATGTCTTCGAGAAAGTGCGACAGACACCGAAATCCGGTTCAGTTGCCATTCTCGTATTGGGCGATGTAGGACGCAGCCCGCGAATGATGTACCATGCAGAGAGCTTTGCGAAGCTGGGATTTGACACCTATCTCATTGGATACAAAGGTGAGAACTGCTGGTGTCGCGTTTGTTCAGACTGACGTTCGACACGTCCGAGTCAGGCTCCAAGCCGATACCTTCGCTAACCTCCGAGTCCCTCCCGCATATCAGGTTTTCCTACCTCTCAGAACCACTGCCATTTGTTGCCTGGATCCCTTTTATTTTAGCTTCTCTAATCAAAATCGTGTACCAGATAGCCACCATCTTATACACGCTAGTCTTTGACATACCCCATCCGCCCGAGTTTATCATGGTGCAGGTATGGATATAAACGTGGCTATAACCTTCAGCGCTCGAATATTCTTGCAGAATCCCCCAAGTATTCCAACTCTCGCCCTAGTATGGCTTGTCGGAGGAATGACCGGAAGTAAAGTCATCATTGACTGGCATAACCTTGGGTATAGCATTCTCGCATTGAGGTTGGGAGAGACACATCTGCTTGTCAAAATTGCGAAACGGTATGCTCACCATCATTTGTGCCAATGTTTTTTTACCATCCTCTTTCAGATTTGAGATCATGTTTGGCAGTTCTGCGTACGCTCACCTTTTCGTCACAAACGCTATGCGAGACCATCTGGTGCAGGAATGGTGCTTAATGTTTGTCCGATCGTCTACAGTATTGACTTACGATTGATGACTGCTTCCAGAGGACATAAAGCAGTCTTGCGTGATCGTCCGCCCAGCCATTTTCATAAATGTCTACCTCAAGAAGTCCATGAGGTACGACAGTGACTCTCATGTATTCAACAGTACCTGACACTTTTTATATAGCTCTTCCGGCGGCTGGGACCCTCGATATCGCCATCACTTGCAGCATTTCTCCCCAGCGCTTCACCGCCTTACTCAACCCATCTCACTGAACATAGACTTTTGAGTATGCCCAGTCTTCGACAAGATCGGCCAGCGCTGCTAGTGAGTAGTACGTCGTGGACACCAGACGAAGACTTTGGCATTCTCTTGGAGGCGTTGAAACTCTACGAATCTCGCGCTCGTGAAGTCAACCTTACAGATTGTGAAAACGTGCGACCAGAACGCGATTCGAAGGAACGACGAGTCTTGCCTCGCATATGGATGGTCATCACGGGCAAGGGGCCGCTTAAAGAACGATATATGGCAGATGTGGAGCTCTTGCAAAAGAACTGGCAGTATGTCAGGTGCACAAGTTTATGGCTCGAAGCTGAAGACTATCCGCTGTTGCTGGGTAAGCCGTTTATGCATGGTCACATGTTCGTTAATTAATCTTGTCTAGGCTCTGCTGTCTTGGGCGTCTCCTTACACTCAAGTTCATCCGCACTCGACTTACCAATGAAAATCGTTGATATGTTTGGATGCGGACTCCCTGTTTGTGCCCTCGATTTTGCATGGTGAGAGCCTGCGTGCATAGACCTATGTCATATTGATAATCGTAATCGTAGCCTACCAGAGCTGGTCAAAGACGGTATCAATGGCCTGGTTTTCATAAATGCGTCTCAGCTTGCAGAGCATCTGGAGGTGGGATTCATCCTCCCTATTATATTGATGGATATTGACCACACATCATAGGCCCTCCTCACTTCATTCCCTTTGTCTCCTGCACTCGATTCCTTACGGACATCTTTGGAGCGCGCATCACAGGCACCGTTCAATATTGAGCGTCGTGTACATAACCATGAACACCAAGAAGTTGCTGATTGGGAGTGGAGTTCTTGGTCAGAGAACTGGAACCGTATCATGAAACCCCTAGTGCTGAGGGATGCAGAACGATCTGGTTGAACCGTAGGTCTACCTTCGGAGCGAACGATGACGGGTTTTGCATGGGATTGTGGTTATATCTGCCATTTTCCATGCCATACCAGTCTTACGCTACATACATGACCTCTGACAATTGACGGTCATGCGGGGGAGGCCATAGACCGCTCCCATATGAGTATATTTGTGTCTCTGGCTTCTCCGTGGCGTACGTACTCGCATTATAGAGTCAAGTTCGTTCACAATGCTTCAATTCAATAGAAAAGGTCCATATATATGGCAAGGTTCGGGTGTACATTCGTTTCACATGCGAAATCTTCTGATATTGGCACACTGCCTTGTGTGCATTCTTGTTTAGATCAAATGCCAGCTTCTATGAATACAGCGGGCTGTACGGCGTGTTTGACTGGGACCCGGCACAGACATTACCCTGAGGCCCACCCGCGAGCACAATCACATTGGTTAGCGCTGAGCATTTGCTCCCCAAAGCTAACACGCTTGTGTAGAGCTTGAGCTATGACAATTGCGAGGGACTAAAGAGACAGGCTGATCGGGGTTTTCACGTTGAGGAAACCGAGCTCGGAGTCATAACAGGGTGCTCGACACTCCGCGTCAATGCCGTATCACGGTCACAGCAGGTGCGGCACGACCCTGTAATTTTAAAAAAGCCCAGATACCATTCATTTCACCCTGCACTCAGATATGACGGAACATTGCGCTATTTGCTGCTGGCATGTAATTTCCCCCACTCCATTCCAGTATGGCCATCACAGCCATCACTTGCACCGATGACAGGGCAGCTGGTCATAACCCTTGCAGCGTGGACCTCGACATTGTTCTTTCCTGTGTTCTAACTATTTCCCCAGTTTTATCCGCGCTCAGTTGTTTGTACGTTCTCTACCTAGTAATAGCAAGGCCACCCGAACCGAAGACTTGACGAAATTTAATTCCACCAGTGCTGGGACTTCTGGGCGTGCGGATGAAGAGATTTACAAAGTGATGCTGCGACTGGCTTACGCAGATGTCGCGCGCTTCCAGCACCAGATTCGCTTCGTTCATTTCCTGCATGTTCGGCTCATAGACATGAGCACGTCTTTATCACGCGAGCAGATCTCCACAACTTGAATGGAATACAATCGGTGTGCAGCTTGGCATGGAAATTGAATGAAAAGAAGCTGATCTCCGACGACGGCAGATGACGCAGAAATCTATAGTAATGGTCTCTTGCATGTTTAGCCTGATATCCTGCTATTCAACAGCGATAACTATTCTGCCAACTTCATGAGAACTACTGAGGACTGCCCACCACTATGCCTAGGATATAAAGGCAGGCCGTCTTCCTACTGTGTCCCCCCATCCCTCAGAGTTCTTATTCGAGATCCCTAGCAGATTTCATACCACAAACACACAATGCGTTTTTGATTCCTCGCCGTTATTGTTGCTTTGACAGCATCTATGGCTGTCAGTGCGTGTGGCGAACAGCACACAACTTGCACCAAGAATAGTGATTGCTGCTTGGGCATGAAATGTATTACTGCTGTGAGTATGAGCGGTTTGCTGCGCATCCAGAATTCAGCAACATAACTGACCTTCGCGCCTTGTAATGGGCTCGTCGTAAAACATGCGATTTTCCCGACCAATGAGGTAGCGGCGCGCCGCGATAGTGAGTCATGCCTCCGCTTTCGCTTTGGTGTCGTGGCTGATTGTGCAATACGTAGTTCAAAGTCGATCAGCATGGTCGCTTCTGGAAAAATTCCAGTGGTACTTGAGCAATGTATTTTTTGGGGGACCTGTGTACATCTGAAAATTATATTGACTTGAATGCAATCCCATATGAGTGAACGAAGAAGCGCTATGTGACTGCGTACTTTTCGGTCTCGAGTCTCGACTGTGATTCCCTCTTCCACATCAATCCCATCTTCAAGACGGTAGAGTGCCGCTTTTCATTCAGTGCATATCTGCTTCACTCATCCATGAATAGTTCACGGCCAGATGATTTTTTACGACAATACGAATCGGGAGTTCTATAGACTGCACCCGTCTTCGTAGCTGGGACAATTGCGACAGGGAAATGAAACTTGACTCCTCCGAGTCTGTTCTAAGATATCGACATGCCATCTCTGCGGTGTTCGACAGACTACCTACGCACATAACTAACCATGTGCCATTTTGGCGGTGCGCTATATACGTGCTGACTCGGAGAGTGACAATGAAATGCATCATTTGTCGAGTTGGCGTCGTTGGCCTCGCTAGAGGCTTCGAGCAGGACTCGTCGAAGATTTTTTTTACAAGATCTCGCCCAAGCCACTGCCCGTCTTCACGACGACCGGCCGTCCATCGGAACCTACATCCTATCCCTCCCTCGTTCGCAGTGACAGAGGCCAGGGTGGAAAAATCGACAAGGCGGAATGAAGAGCCTGGGTTGGGTTGATTGAAAAACATATAGCAGGTGCTGCGAAAGGGTGGACCCGGTAGAAAAAATTATATATCCCACACCTAGATAGTCTTGTCGCAAACATGGTCTGCGAGATCTATTCCTCGAAGGCGGGAGAGAGCGTGGCTGTAATCATTAGGAACAATGTATAGTTGTAAAGATGAAAGTCCATACATAACTGACTGCTCTCCTGCCTCGCTCCTTTGCCAAATGAGGGTCTGAACGACTTGGATTCAAGTTGTCTTGATTTATCGAGTAAGTTGGAAGGAGGGGAGTATGAGTCTTAAGTTGGTCTTAAGTGGTTTTTTGTGCAAAGAAACGAGAAAAGTGGTGGATGGTATGCAGGGTGGACTCACAGGTGGCTGCGGTACCGTGCTTGCCTGTGTCATGATCGTGAGACAAATGTGGGGACCCTGTTGTGGTCACTCGTTTCAATTAGTCACGAGTATTCCTCCTTCCTCGAAGTCGAACCTTTCCTGCGGTAGCAATCACCATGCAGACAGTTAACTCAAAAGTCAATCTCTTGCCGGCCTCGGATATCATTGATGCACTGCAGAACATTGTAAGTGTCGAGGTTTAAAACATTTCTCTGTAAATAATAACTACTCGCTTCAGCTGCATTCACATGGAATTGTATGTCTATTCATGTGGATGTATCCGATGCAATATTGACCATTATCAGATTGGACCAGACCTCGAAACCCCGTACTACCGAGCCATTTTACCAAATACTCACGTCCCTGCCATCGAGCTCAACGGCGAGAGAATAGGCACAATCGTCGCCGCACGCCAGGAGCAGCTGGATGCAGTTTTGCGCGACATCTCAGGTCTAGAAGCGATCACGGACGGCATAAAAAATCTTCACCAGCAACTCGTCGAACAGAAAGACCAAATCACGCAGTCCATGACTTTCCACAAGGGACTCGTATCGTCTCTCTGCCGCTTGCCCACTGAAGTCTTATCCCAAAATTTCCACCACTGTCTCCCAGGAGACAAGTACATGTCACCTGTATCAAAGTTTTCCCCCATGCTGCTGACTAGAATATGCCGACAATGGAGGGAAATTGCTGTGGATATGCCCAGTTTATGGTGCATGTTGTATGTGACAATCGACATCGGCAGAGTTAGGGAAGAGGAATATTTGGACGACGACAGTTATTCGGATGAGTCAGATGTGGAAGTCGACAACGGAGACTGGCAGCGAGCAGCTGTCTTCTATAACTCCTGGCTCAAGAGATCACGAGGACGCCCGCTCTCGTTGGTGGTCGAGCGCTGCCACACAGCCAAGCTACGACGAAGCCTTCTTCAGCCTTACATCGATCAAATCTCATGTCTCTCTATACGTTTTTCATGAGGAGAGGGTGGAACTCGATTTCTGTTAAAAGACATACCAGCACTTCAAGAGCTGGTCATAGTAGGGACGAGAGATACTGATATTGATGATGTGGTGCCATTGATCTCGCAACTCCCGTCCACAATGCGCGTTCTCGATGCTATGCATTCGGCATTCTACCACAATCACATATCCTCTCTCGATCCCGTATGGGCCCACCTGACACACGTCAAGATCAAGCTACATGGTCCGAGTGCGTTTCAACACTTGCTCCGTCTATGTCCCAACCTCTCCTCGTTAACGGCTCAAACATTTTCCTGGGAAGAACAGACCTTAGAGCCATTCACGCATACCAACATTCAATCCCTACACTTGATTGTTGGCCCGGGGCGCAGAAACCCTATACCTGGTCACTTCGATGGTTTGACACTTCCCAATTTGCGCATGCTTCGCATTGACCCTTTTTACGGTGCATCATGTTCTCAATTGAAGGAATTTTTGGTACGGTCAAAGTGTCCCCTCGAGCACCTGATTTTAGGTGGTTGGATGCCGGTGTCGGATGTGCGGCGAGCGGAATACGTTACCATTATTCCTTCGCTGAACGTAATGTGAATAGCTAATTACGACGACTTATGTTGGACAGGAAATTTTATTCTCCTCATCCACGACTATACACATATAAATATCTCAACAACTTGGAGCGTAATTCTCGACAACGTTGATAAATCTGCGTCCACTTATACGGTCCTATTTGCACGTCATGATTCCGACAATAATTTGATTCGAAAAAAGATCGGGTGGCATATTCATTATTGTTATTACTTCAGAATCCTTGTTCCACCTTATGCAACGTGCTTATCATACAGATTTGATAGGATCATGGGTTGGACCAGTCAAACACCCCTCCATCTTCACGCGATCGCAACCCGCTGGGGTTGCTGGTCCGGTCCAGCCTTCGGAAAGCACACAGTGAGCACTCCATTCTCCATCTTCGCGTGAATATCCTCAGCCTGGACGTTCCGATAACCGTAAGCACCACTTTGCCACACGGAATTCAGACAAATATCGATAGCGTACTCACCTGGATTCCCTGAGGAATCTGAAGGGTCCTGGAGAACTTGCCATACGAGCGCTCCTGCACTGCGTAGCCGCCCTTTTCATAGTTCTCCGAGCGCTTCGACTCACCGGATACGGTCAGCCGGTTTCCATGGACTTCGATGTTGACATCCTGTTGTTTGATACCAGGAAGTTCGAATGACGCAGTCACTGTCTTGGTCTCGGTGTTCTCGTGTAGGTCCATTCTACGTTAGTGCGAGTCAGCGCTATTAAGTGTTGAATGTAATATTATACTTACCTGGGAAACGCCCGATCACGGCGTTGAGTCAAGGTAGTATTGCCCTCGATTGCAGGAGAGGGACGAAAACGAGCATTGAAAGCATCGTCAAATAGTTTGTCGAACTCGGTGAAGGAATCATAGAACGTGCGCACTAGAGACATGATTAAGCGAAGAAGTGATAGATGAGTTGAGAGAAGATGCTTTGGCGGTTATTGCTGGAGTCTGAGCAACTCTGGCCAGCAGTTATATATGCATATTCGTGTATGACGACCATGATGATACAAGTTACTTCTAGAAATCACCCGGTGTTTGGTTGAATGGTGGACAATGACATTCTCTAATGTTCGAGATTCGTTCGAGTCTTCGAGAAGCCGGTGGGGCGTTGAGTTCCTTATTCGAACTATTTACAGGTGTTTTGTTTCTTACAATAAAGGAAATTTGGATTCTTCGACTCCAGAGTCCAACTTGAACCAAGTCGGATGTAGCCTAAATACTCGGTCTACGCGAGACTAACAAGCTTGTTCTGATGTTCTTTGCATTAACCACATGCAGTCAAGCGACAGGATGGCAGCCAACTCACAAGCAAGTCTCTTCACTCTTAGTGCACTGCAAACAGTAACCGCAAAGTCACCATGCCATCAGGCCGAAAACATCAGAAACCCAACAAGAGTAGAATTGTCTCTAGTTTGTTGTCACGAACTACTGATAAGTGCCTTGCGATCTGCATTGTGCCCGTCAACTGAGGCTTTTCTCTGACAATTCTAAGGATAATACAGACAAGTTCAAGTTGAGTTGAGGTATAATCCGCTTGTTTGAACTTTGCACAGCGGGAACACGAGCGCAGGTGCCTATTTTCCGAGGTGTTCCACTGCTTACCTCAAACCCACAGCATCTTGGCTGGTTGTTGCATCCACTGGCTTTCAACAGTTGGTCGAGTCCATGAAACTCGACGTTGACACCCTGTTGTTTGACACCAGGAAGTTCGAATGTCCCGGTGGCTGTCTTTCATATATGTGATGTGACTCTGATGAATAGAATTATGCCGGGGAACAGATTGTCCATGATGACACGAAGTATTCGATGTCTTCTCAACGCCCTCTTGTTTGCTTTGCCTACTAAGTTGAAATAGTAGCAGTAGCATATGCTTCAATATACCAACGCTCCGAAGTGCGCTCAATACAAGGTTTCAAATTCTTTCGCAACTTGGTCTCATTCGTGTAGGAGGAGCTTGGAAAGTGCACGGTAAGCCAAGATATGCCGGGATAGTGGTAATGACCTTTTGGTCATTACCACTACCCCGACGTACCTCGTTTGCGTCCAGCATACATTAGCATATACTGCTCTGTGAGGTGATGGTGACCTGAGGTCTGAGGGATACCCCAGATCTAGAAACAAGGTGTATTGCTGATGTGACTGGAAAGGCTATGAAAAAATTATTAGCGTATAAACTCCAGAAATTGATATAAAGTATGAGGTAATCACCAACTGTCAGCACCAGAGCAGGCATCGATATTTAGCAAGAGCGTGACAAAGTGACTTTCCATGTTTGCGATATAGTCGGATCGAAGGAGGTTATACAATAGCATGGGTCTCTCTCGAGTCTTGAACAACCTGGGTTTAGCAAGCGAGACCCAACCAAAGATGAGCTTACCGCTTCAGCTGCTTTGCCTGCACAAAATGCAACAAATAAATTCGATTGTCGACGACAAGAACTCGATAGGAAGAAAGTCCAACTATATCCTGATAATTGCTGAAAGTGCTCCTTGCATTTGACGAAAATCGGTCGTGCTCGTGCCTTCAAAGCCAATGACCTCGCGTATCGGTGGTGAAACATGATCGAGCTGAACAGACAGTGTTTTAGTCTGAATCGAAATTGAAATCGGGGGTCGCGGCTAGCGAAGTTCAGATCGACCGTAGTAGGATTGGCAATTTCAGAGTTAAGGTCGGTGAATAAACTCAGTGGTAGATGTAGACGCAGGCCGGATTTCTAAGAAACCCCGGGTGAACAAGATCATCAGATAGGGTCTCGAGAAGTGGAGATCGACTGGCAGATCGACACGGATTAGGTCTATGCGTAGGCAGCATCCTAAAGATTGGCCTCCTCGTGCCAAAGAGTCGTTCCATCGATTACCAGAAGGAAGTGCCACGGTGGGAAGTCGGAGATCAAAACGAGTGAAGCAAAAGACGAGACAGTGGAGTAAAACGACGGCCTTTCATACACAATGGTCTTCGGTTGGTGCCCCGAACAGAAATCGCAGTTGTGAGAAATCCGCGTTCTGTGTCCATTGGAGATTGTGCCTCGGGGACATAGATGTCCACAAAAGTTCGATGCTCGACCGGGTGATATCCAGAAAAGCAGGCAGATGGTAAGGACAGTCAACATCGAAGAGATATGGTAAAGGGTATGTCATGTGATGGGGCTGATCCATTCGCAACAGCATCTTGCCAAGGGGTGAATCAAAGATATCGTCGCATAGGGGTAAGGTGCGTCGAGGTAGTTGACAGTAGACGGTCGGCCAAATTAGTACTATCCAAAGCCAAAGCGATACTTGGGAGGAGAACGATCGGAAATCGAAGGAACCCCAAGCGCCTTTGGAGGTGGATGAAATACAATGAAACGCCAGGTAAACGAGATCGCCAAAATAGGGTCTCGAGAAGCGGAGATCGACAGCGAGATCGACATGGAAAATGACATCGGTTGTGCACGAGAATCCAGTCGATTGGAAGATGTAGCATCAGAGAAAAGAGAGTGAGGTGGCCCTCTCATTCGGATCCAGATAGTCTTGTTGTATCGCACCAAGTTCGTGGTTTGTCTTCGTCCCATCGACATTCGAACACCACAGAAGGTGCACAAAGTTCGAGGTCAAAACGAGTGGAACAAGTGGAAATGAGAGAAGAGAAGATTGTGTCAAACGACAACCTTATATACGCGACCTTGGTCGATGGCAATTGTGAGACATCCGAATTCAACATCAATCTCGTGGCGATGTAGAATGAGGTCATTTCAATCTTGACCGGTGACTCAAGTGAGACACATTTGGTGAGGTATAACGTCGACGTCGACGAGACTTGAGTACTTACATGTATAAGGATAATTGTTGTGATAGTATTAACACGCCGAGTACCGCAGACGACGTCGGAGCGGTGCAGACCAAGAGCAACCCTTGCACCCGGTATAGCGACACGATCTGACTCGGCATTCTCTTGTAGGTCCATTCTGTGTTGGTGCAGGTCAGCGTTGTTGAGTGTTGAATACATTGAAAGCGGGATTACACTGACCTGGGAAACGCCCAATCTCGGCGATGAATCAAGGTAGTATTTCCCTCGATGGTAGAGGAGGGACTGAAACGAGCATTGAGGTGTGGCGTTGAGTTTCTTACGAGAAAAGAAAGTGGACTAATACAGTTACCCTCAAACCCTCGCATAGTTCAATGAAGCAAATATCCGGACATCCGTGCGACTGGAGAGGTATGCACTTTCAGAAGAGCGCAGCTACCCGCATTCGGTCGTGCGGGGGTGTGCAGTTGATGAAGCAAGAGGTACACACGGTCCAATCAACACCTATCTTATTCCCATGCTCTCCGCCTGATACGCCTAGACCAAGTGCGCAGGGACTGTGGGCGTAGAATAGCATCTAGTGATGCACGTAGGAGCCATGTGCAGTGGAAGTATGCTGCAGATACAGGCTGGGTCTGGGCCTGCCATGCGAAATCGTCGGTTTTGGAGTCGCAGGGAATTGGACACCACACATGAATTCAAGAGTCCACATTACGTCCCATGGCCACAATGTCGATCGTACAATTGGATTCGCGCCTGTAGGTTGATGTCACTCACAACTTGTTCAGTAGCTGCGCAATGCCCACTGCATGCTTCGGGACTGCCAGCTACAAAATTGTGCATAACCCATATATATACAACAATAAATATCGGCAAAACGGAACATCCACAAATTTACATTTATAATGATTTATGTTCAACTTCGTTGTCTTCTCCATAATTCAAAAAGCACCATTGACTGTCTTCATCCTGTCTCTATTCTATCAGGGTCAGTCTACGGGAGACTAACGTGTTCTTCGCCTTAATTTTAACCTTAACCAACATGCAGACAATCGACAGGATGACAGCCAACTCAAAAGCAAATTCTTCTCCTCTCTTGGACATCATCGGTGCGCTGCAAACCATGGTAAGTGTCCACTTCTATATATAGGTACTCGCGTCTTCATACAATAATATTCATTTGTTTCAGCTCGCAAGCTCTGAAGCGACCGTATGTCTTTTGCGACATATTAAACATCATGTTATTGATGAAAACCAGATTCCAGACCTTGAAACTCCATGTTCCAGATTCCCGAACACCGATCAGTATGCCACGCACAAAGACCAGAGTGTCCGCGCCATAATCACTGAACGCCAACAGCAGCTGGATATAGTTTTGCGGGAGATCTCAGGCCTGGAAACCGTGATAGATAGTATCAAAAATCTTCAGCAGCAACTCGTCGTCAAGAAGGACAGGATTACGGAGTCGCTGAATCTGCACAAGGGACTCGTATCGTGTCTCTGGCGCTTGCCAACTGAAATCCTGTCGCAGATTTTCCACCACTGTCTCCCAGAATCTAGCCATTCATCAGAGCCAGACGCCCCCCTGTTGTTGACTGGAGTATGTCGACGATGGAGGGAGGTTGTTGTCTGCATACCTAGCTTATGGTGCAGGTTGGATATGGAAGTCTCCCTGCGAAACCAGTGGGAGCGGCAGGGCCCCATCTATGACTTATGGCTCAAGCGGTCACAAGGACGTCCGCTCTCATTAGCTTTCTTCTGCAAAAAAGATGATGCCGCCAAAATACAAAGCCTTATCCATCCCTACATCAGTCAAATCACATCTCTCTCTATCACATTTTACGGTGCCGCAGACCTACTTTTATTGGACGACCTCCCGGTACTTCAGGAGTTGGCTATACAAGTAGTCGTGGACGAGGATGAGTCGGATGGTTACATTCCATCCATTGAACAATCTTTCTGGCAACTACCGTCCACTTTGCGCAGTCTCAAGGTCGTTGATGAGGATTTCCACCAAGCGCCCTTATCTTCTCTCGGTCCCGTGGGGCCACACCTGACAAATCTCGATATCAGCACACTACAGCGCTCGAGTGCAGTCCTTGACTTGCTCCAGCTGTGTCCCAACCTCTCATCGTTAAAGATCTACATACTTACCCAAAACGGGGAAACCTTGAAGCCATTCACGCACACCAAAATCCAAACCTTTTACATCGCGCACAACTGTAACTTGAATGACAGACAACCTATTTCTGCCCTGTTCAATGCCTTGTCGCTCCCCAGTTTGCGGGTACTTGGAGTTTACCGTTATTTAGGTCCACCATGCTCTCATGCAGTGTTAAAGGCATTTTTGGTACGGTCAAAGTGTCCCCTGGAGAGCCTGGGGTTATCCTGTCTGAATATGGTGACAGATGTGGAGCGAGCGGAATACAGTACCCTTATACCTTCCCTCAACATACTACGAGGATGGTATGTCCCCAGTGATGGTTCCTGGCATTGATACTTGATCAATTGTTACGGATTTCCCAACACAATGACATCCAATCTGGCAGTAAATATAGTTCCTACGTTGCGTATAATATACTGACAATGCATTTGATCATGCATTTATGCACGCGTGCCTTCCGAGAAGTGCTGGCCTGAAGTCGGAGTGGGAATCAACAAAATAGAAATACTGCAGATGTAACGAAACATACCAGTGTAGAACTGTCTCTAGTTTGTCGTCACTAACTGCTGAAAAGCGCCTTGCAATCTGCCCACGTGGTGACCGCGAACCGACTCGGGCTTTGTTATGGCAATCCTAAGGATGATTCCGCCAGTACCGCAGCCAACCAATTGATTCGCTTGATTACCTATTAGTTGGTCAATGCGATAAGATATCTCTGTCGATTGAGGTGGCCGAGAGATTGTATCAGCCACGACAAGTTGACGCACGGTGAGTGCCTACTATTACAGAAAACGGCAGAAAGAAGCGCTGAACGTGGAACCTGTATGTGGGACACCACGTGTCTACAGCAATGCCGCCATATAGATTCAGTATCATTTATAAGATGCAACTTGGCGACCACTCACGATAGCGAATGTAAGCGACTACTCCCTCCTCCATGCTCTTGCTGACTGAGTCGTTGAACAAGATTCGATGGCGGCTACCACTCAAAAAGCATCGTCAACTCGAAAGGAACCATCTCACGTCGAAATGACGCTCAAGGGTCATGAAGAACGGGTGTACGACGTAGTTTTCATCCCTGGTACATGTCTCCTCGTCACTTGCTCTAGCGACAAAAGTCTTCGGGTATGGGATTTGGACACGGGGAAACAAGTGGGGGAGCCCTTGCTGGGTCACGATCATGGAGTCCGGGTGGTTGCAGCATCCTACGATGGGTGTTGGATTGTGAGTGGAGGAGTGGACGGAAGCATCCTAGTCTGGGAGGTTGAGACAAAAAAGAGAGTGCCCATCTCGTTCAAGGGCCATAAATCTTTTGTTTGGAGCGTCGTATTTGCACCGAACAACGAGACATTTGCAAGTGCGTCATCGGACAAAACAGTATGCGTGTGGAAGAGGAAAACGGGCGAAATAGTCCTCGGACCACTCCGAGTCGGCAACCAGACACTCTCGGTGGCATACTCTTCTGATGGGAGCAAACTAGCAGCAGGCACGGACGAACACATCATCATTTGGAATTCAGCAACTGCAGAAGAACTATTGAAAATAGAACAGCGGGCACACAAAGTCGCATTCACTCCAGATGGTCTCCGTCTCGTCAGTGGAAATTACAAAGACATCCGAATTTCAGATGCTGCCACTGGAGACATCATCAAACAGTTTGACGCGCACACCGATCCCTTTCTCTCGCTAGCCATTGCTCCCAATAGTTCCAAATTCGCCACCACATCCCATGACAAAACGACGCGATTCTTTGACCTGACCACATTCGAACCCATCGGCGAGCCACTTGAGCACCCTGATTCCGTCTATTGTGTGGCCTTTTCCGAGGACAGCCAGCTCATCGCGACTGGCTGTTGGGACAGCCTCGTTCGCACATGGACAGTTCCTCAGAGTGAATTAGAGAAGGAGCTCGAACAGGTAAGCAAATTCTTTCGTCATGTTATGCTTCATGCTGGCCTGTCATACAGTCCGCACAGAAAATTCTTAAAGTACGCTCCCCCGCTTGTCATTTTGTGCTCTTCTTTACTTCAATCTTGCAGAAGACCATCCCAGGCACAAAGCCTCGCCCACAACGCACTGGAATCCCGTCTGGGTTGTTCGATGGTGTAAGTCCGTATGATACAGTAGTCTCAATCCACATCTCACCATCCGTCTGCAGTTTGTTACGTACTCCCCACCTGGACGCAACAACCGCACTACTACAACCATGCGCCATGCCGAAGACTCGCCAATCAAAAACATGATGAACCGTCTCTTTTCTCGCTTCTCCGCTCCTCAGGGTGATACCCCCCTCCCCAGCGAAATCCCTGCTGTGGATGTCTTCGCAACTCGAGGTAAATACGTAAGTTTCCTGAGCTATGACAATCCATGATCCCGTTTTGATGACATCCCCGCAGCGCACTGCTAATGCCATCAGCGGGAAAAGGCATTTGGTGCAACGACCACGACCCCCTCCCCAGCAAGCCCACACTTCCAACACTGGTGTAGCGAACACTGGTGCTTCAAGCAGCACCGCACCCCCAGTGGGCACATCCGACGTGACCGATGGAACTACCCCAGCAACCTTGCAGACTGGAAGCACAAGTGCTTCTGCTGCAACGAACAGACCCCCTTCCCTGCTGGACGTTGAATATGGTCGAGACATTAGCTGCTTTGCGCTTCTAGCAAAGTACTTCCCGTGTCTTTCACGCACTCAACGAATAAGTACTGTTGCTTCCCGCACCCCTCAAGCGGCCACTCCCTTCAGAACCTTTCCGTTGGAATAGAATAGAGTTCACCACTGCATGTATAAGATACTTATGTTGCTCCCGATAGACGCCTGACATCATAAGCATTCATTGAAGTTCAGATTTGCCCAGTACTGGTACTGCATGCTATAGATCAACTTCAACTACGTTGGTTGTAATGTATCCTTCTATTTGACCCTCCCATATATTTTGATTCCAAGCAGCCAACAAGTGACCTATATTACAGCACAGACAGGACAATCTCAAGGAGTTCCCCCATTTTCTTAGCGCCGATCATATAGTCTAACTCCGCACCACTACATGACCAACATTAATTGCTTATGGAGTTGGCGCTGTTGGGGTCTCCATGATGCGACACTATATGGATGACATGCGATGATGGACGCCCGGATGATTTGAGTCATGACCGTCTTATAATTATCTGACTCGGACTGACTACATAGAGTCATGTGCATTGACAGGTACGCCGGCCTCCCGCATCGCGCTTATCTCTATAAAAGTCGTTGTATCATTCATTCGCCATATTTTGGGCACAAGCCCACTTTCGAGTTGCGCAACAGACCAATAGATACTCATCGCCCAGAGACAGCATGTCCACCTTTCCCTATGTTATCGTAAACGCATTCACGCGTACGCCCTTCGGGGGTAACCCAGCTATTGTCGTTGCTCTCCCACCAAACTCTCTTTCCCAATCCCAAACATTCAGCGAAGAGACTATGATAAGAATCTGTCTCTCATTCGCGCAGCCCGTCTGTGTCTTTCTTTCGTTATCCTCCGACGATTCCAGCATCCTTGACATCCGGTTCTATATCGGGACCTATGCACCGCTTATCTGTGGACATGGGGTGTTCGCTGCAGTCATGGCGTTATGTACGGACGCTCTGCCATCCCTTGGTCAATGGGGTCCAGAAGTGAAGTTCCGCACGAAGGCAGGCGCGATTATTTCTGCACGCAGCGTCGCAGAGAATGGGTCTGATGAAGAAAAGTACGAGATCGTGCTTCCCGCAACTCCAATCGTCGCCCTTCTAGACGCGGAGACTGCCAGGATTGCAAGTATAGTCAGCAAGGCCGCCGGCAGGGATTTACAGGTGGAGTATGTCGCCAAAGGCGAAGGCAAGATGGACAATTACTTGATGATCGTCGTCGGTCAAAATGAAAACTTGGGCGACATGAAACTAGACACCGATGTCCTGGTAGGCACGTGATTCCACATAAGTGGGCCATCATCTCAAACATGCATGAATAGCGCGAAACTTCTTACAGCATCAATATCATCACACACGCTACGCCTGATGCCGATCAAGTCTTCGTCTCGCGTATGTTTGCACCTGAAAAAGGTCTCCCTGAAGATCATGTCTGTGGAAGCGCGCACACGTTGCTCGTACCTTACTGGGCGACTCGGCTTGGGAAGAAGGATGAGGAGGAGATGTATGTTCGTCAGGTGAGCCCGCGTGGAGGAGAGTTGTGGGTGACTTGGGATCAGGACAAAGGTCTTGTCAGGCTCAAGGGCTGTGCGCAGGCTTTCGGAAAGGGTGAATTTACCATTTGATTTGACTCGTAACACGAGGTCGCCTTTTCCCGGAATACCTTGGCAAGGCCCACTTCGTTACCTGTGCATGGGAAATTTGATGTGTTAATTACACTTACTCATGTCGCATATGGTGCGACCTCGAACTTCATTGCAAAGCGGATATGTTAGTTCATATCCCGAATATCACCATTCCCCAGCGCCGGAGGTGAACAAGTCACGCCTGCTCAAGAAATGATGTGACTTGTTGAATTCAAAAGATGGACTTGAAGATGGAACTCGAATCCTCTCACCGTGGTCGTCTTGAAGGACGCCCTTCGAATGTGGACTATAGTACTACGAGCGACTTGTCGCTGGGAGTCCGACTCGGAGTCAATCTATATGGATTTCCTACGTAAGTCCATGCGCTTTCTCCTGCAACAGAAGACCTACTGCATTGATGATATCTCATATCTGCACGTGCCCATTCCGAGTCAAATACTTACCCCCGGTGACAGCCCACAATACATCATTCAGGCACGCACCTCATGTCCAGCAACCACCCAATTGCAATCCTAGGGCCTGCTACTTCCGCCATTCAGCATGACTCGTCCTGTTGCAAAACGTAGTATGGACCAGCCAAGTGTTGCCGGTATAGTCGGGAGGTGCAATTGGTTCATTCCAGCACTGACGGCGGCAAGGTGGGAACCGAATTTAATATATGCTCACATGCCGCTGACTTTCTGCAGCTAACTTGACAGGGTACATGATACTCGCCCGCGCGTTTAAGCCCTTCCATTCTTGCATGCGAGCGAGGTAATATGTACGACATTTAGTGACGAACCTCCGCAGACTATGGAAGGTCTCAACCAGACGCACTGGGATTAGGATCTTAGACCAGCAACTCGATTGGCTGTCTGGCTGGATCACTCACGTACGGATCATGGCTAGGTATGTACTCAGGTCACTGAGTTGGTCGAGAATCTTTATTCTGCTGCCAGGTCTGGTATAGATGATCAAGATGACCATGCTTGAATCAGGACACCCCTCACTTCTTCCAGAAGCCTCGTAACAATCCAGTGATATATTATCTGATCACGAGACCAAGTGCCGACACCTCATGGCCAAGCACGTCAAACGGCAATCTAAGATTCCGTACACTAGATTTCGTCGATGACGTCTTAGAACAGGGTCAGTACTCGCTCCCGGGGCGTAGTAGCAGATAAAAGGGACCTCAGTGGATGCAATAACCCATCGTCCACTCTCTCCCCGTCTTGTGAGTGAGATCCAATCCAGATGATGAACTCACTAACAGCACCACCATCCAAGGACATTTCAGTTCACACTCAGTCGTCTTCAACATTATGTGAGTCTTTTTCGCGAGACTCTAAACAAGTCACCAACTTTTAGCTCCGAGCCCACTTTCAAGTTCGGGTTGAACAAAAAACCACCAATACCTCTCACCTCACCCCAAGACAGCATGACCACTTTCCCCTATGTCATCGTAAATGCATGGGCACGTTCAGCCTTCGATGGTAATCCAGCTGTTATCATTGCTCTCCCACCAGGCTCTCTCTCTCAACCCGAAACAATCAGCGAAGAAACCATGATAAAAATCACTCGCACATTCGCGCAGCCCATCTGCGTCTTCCTGTCGCTATCTCCAGACGATTCTACCCTCCTCGACGTTCGGTACTATATCAATGCTTATGCACCAATTTTCTGTGGACACGGAATGTTCGCATCAACGAAAGCGCTATGTACGAACGCTCTGCCATCCCTTGGTCACTGGGGTCCCGAAGTGAAGTTCCGCACGAAGGCTGGAACAATTGTTTCTGCGCACATGGTCACAGAAAGCGAATCTGATGACGAAATGTACGAGATTGCGCTTCCCGCAGCTCCAGTTGCCACCTGTTTGGACGCAGAGACGGCCAGGATTGCAAGCATAGTCAGTGAAGCCGCCGGGAGGGATGTACAGATAGAGCATATCGTCAAAGGCGACGGCAATATGGACAAATACGTGATGATTGTCGTCGGTCCAAATGAAAACTTGGGCGACATGAAACTGGATATTGAAGTCCTGGTAAGAATACAATTTCACATAGGTAAAGACCCTGTTCTCAAACGTGCATCACTAGCGCAAGACTTCTTACTTTACCAATATTATCACACAAGCTACGCCTGACGCCGATCAAGTCTTCGTTTCGCGTGTGTTTGCGCCGGTAGCAGATCTCCCCGAAGATCCGGTCTGTGGAAGCGCGCACACGCTGATCGTACCTTACTGGGTGGCTCGACTCGGGAAGAAGAATCGGGAGGAGATGCATGTTCGTCAGGTGAGCCCGCGTGGAGGAGAGTTGTGGGTGGCTTGGGATCAGGATACTGGCCTTGTCCGGCTCAAGGGCTACGCGAAGGCTTTTGGAAAAGGTGAATTTACCATTTAAAATTGTCTGCCAAGGGGGAACAGAAGCAGCGTATCTCACCTGTACATACTTGGAATACCAAAATTTATGCTGTGTGGGAAATAATCTCGATATGAATATTACTCAGGTACACTTTTACAACTTCACTGCTCGTGTGTCCAGTGCACATTCAATAATGGAAGTGTGAGCTCGCAGGGGGTAAATATTCGTGATGCGGAGCCCGCATCTCTTCACAAGTTTCTCCCACTCACGCTGTTCAATCTTCAGTAACACATCGTCAAACTTTGTTTTGCACGCACCAAAGACCTCTCGCAACCGTTGATCATGGTCAGCATGTGCACCGAGGAACCGCTTACAATTTTAGATGCTGAGCCAAAGTGCGATGGAATCCTGTAGTCGGGACCTTTAGCACCGCTATTAAGTAAGGATTTGGCGCTCGTGGTGGTAGTGGCATCTGAGTTCGGGACAGCTACCATGTCGATGATGAGTATCTTGGACTGTAAAATGCATCAGACACAACACATTGATCTGTAAATTTGACTATTGACCTTGGGACCCAGTGCACTAGCTACGTTTCCCAGTATTGTCGCCTGAGTCAAAGTCAGATATGGATGCAATTGAAGTAGGATGCACAACACCGACCGCTTCTTTGTCCGGCCAATCATGCCTTTGACGTAGTGCTGGTATAAGCAAACACAAAATAAGAGAAACGAATACTTACATTATATGACGCAAGATAAAGCTATACTCGTTTCCGATCCGTGGCTGAGGCTGGAAAAAGTCGTGGGCTTCCACCTTAAGTACACCATTTTCAATATCACGAGGCCGGCGTTCTTCCATAATCGAACTTGTCAGTGCGACCACATTCTCCATATCCTGCACGATGGCCCGGAAGGAAGGGTGCCTGCTATGACTGAGACCTCCGGAATATGAATATCTGCCAGGGGCTCACGCATCCAGAATGGCCGAAATTAGGCCACCCTCGCCCCCACCACAATCAACGATGACGGGTGTTTCCAGCCGTTCCCATGGGTAGTCTGCCACGATGCTCGGCGTAGAGATGTCACCGAATACCTAAAACAGCAAAATTCCGATCAGCTCTCTGCAACTCTCTCACAGAATGACTGACCTGGAGATGATCCGCAATGGGAACGAGGACATCTGGATTCTCCATAACCCAGGAGAACGACAACAGGGGTGTGTTGAACGCAATCTGAAAAGCAGTTTGCTCTGGAGAACGCGATAGTTTCCAATCCGATTCCGCCACCCAGTGTGGTATGGTTTCTACCATCGACATAAACCCAGGCATACTACCAAAAATTTTAGCCCTGGCGGTCGCTTGTACAGTGAAAAGCTCACGAAAAGTTCAGTCTCCGACCCGCATGACCTTCAATGAAAGTGCGCGAGCATCTGTTTAAAGCAAATGCGGAATCACGGGTCTCCCTAACCCAACCACTGGCTGCGCAGCAGCGGAGAATGGGAACAAGTTTTTGAGAATCAAGTTCAAACTTTGATGCCAGTTCAGCGGCCGGGACGCCTTGGGAGGGGTTTGGCAAGTCAGACATGTAATCGATGATACCAGTCTTGATGAGGGTATCGGTGCAGGCGACGCCATATACCGTGAACCTCTCTTCCATGCACTTATCCAAAGGCGACTGGATAAGGTTCTTTATCTCTCCCTAGAAGGGTACTCAAATGAATGAAAAGCAGGGCTTAGTTAGTGACCAACCAGGCATGCTGGACGTTAATTAAGGTTATCCATACTTGTGCGTAAAACACAATGACGTACCTAGAGAGAGGCGGCGAGCTTCAAACAACCCCGTACTTGGTAGATAGGTTGTTGCGTCGTCCAATGGGTGATCCACTGTGCTTTCTTGACTGAGGGGAGGAAGCTGAGAGTTGTCCATCTCCTTCCGGAGTGTATCGAGTGCGAAAATCAAGCATGCTTGCAGACGGTCAAGTTCTACGTGGGCCATGGTGCGGTTTGCTGGAAAGAATCAACAAAGTCTCTCAGACTTTATGGGCTTTTATGCCTTGGCCCAGGCACACCCGTACCATACTGATCCACGGTGCCGGGTCCAAAACAGCCAACAAAATAAACAAGGAACGACTGTCTTCCAATCGCGTAATTAGACCGCCATCTCCCAGAAAAGTCACTTCCGTCAAAGAGGTGACGGTCTAACTATACGGTGTGGCAAGACCAACCCATCAATAGCACAATTGGCTGTATTTGATATCCGGAGAGTTCAGTAACGTTCGCCTTTCCGAGCTATCATACAATCGAAAACGTTAGAGAGGGTGAAGTCACGACAAATAAGACACTAAACCAGTGTTTTGCAGGATTTCATACTAATACATTCTCGTCACGGATTCCATCCAGAGCGTATTTGCCAGCTAGAACCTAGTGACCTGCAGTGGTGGAACATAACTAGAAGCATCCGGGGTTCGGAGTTCTAGCATAAGGACACGATTCTTTGCCACATCAAGATCGGCAAATTTGATAGGCTTGTTCACCAGGTGCCAGTTGCCAATTGACGGCCAGTCGAATGCAAGGCTTGGTTGGATTCTGCTCAGAATATGATTCAGCGCAACGTATGACTGAATGTTAAGATGGTATCGCCGTACGTTGATGGGGTTGTACATACAGGCTGGCTCAGAATCTTGAAGGTGCGGTGCAAGCCTTGCAAATCATCGCCTACCCGAGCCGCCGCGCATCTGGCCGAGTCTTCTCTTCAAGCCCAAAGGACCACACCGCAAGAACCTTCGGCCATTGTATTCTTGTGGAGAATTGAAGTGCTCCTTCCTCAGCTAGCACAACAATTGGCAACTATAGCTACTAGCTAGGTACTCTGAATCAGTTAAAGTTCAAAATTTCAACTTGAATATTCGCTGACATAAGCAACCTCTGGAGTATCAGGACTCCGAGTCTTCACGGTCGTTTCAACACTTCTTCCTGGAATCATTTCAATTTCAATAGAAGTTTCGTATAGTGACAACCCTTCCTCTCACCGTTTTTTTAGCCCTTGTTTCGAATGGAATATAGTTACGTTGGCGACTCACGTTATTCACCCCCGCCACAGTGTCGGCGCCTCCAACAAGCTGGCAACGGCATCCAACCTTCTCAAGAAAGGAGTCTTCTCCAACCCTGACAGCTGTATTACAAGGTGCCTTCACGTTAGACTGCGACCTGTGCAGTCCCGCACATCTGACTGCAATGGAATAAGTGTGCCGTACCACTTTTTCGCAAAGTCTGAAGTGAGGGTGGAGGCAAATTGTCTCGACCTTAAAACCCATCATCGTAATCAACTCTGGGTGGCACCACAAGTGTCCTTTCGGGGGTTGGTGACAGAGCTACGGACGGCCAGTCGTCGTGGCTGCCAAGTGGCAGCGACAACCATTATGGGCCAGAGTCTGAAACGGAGTTGTCATATCATCCCATTGAATGGTGGATCATGTGTCGTAAGGCTCAGTAATAGATTTTTCAGATTCTATTAGCCTCCCTATAGCTGTGAACTCTAGCAACTTCGATTGCACGATGACGAGGTTCAGTAATCAGCCTAATTTACATCACAATGCCCACATGACCCAAAGTCAAATTTGCGCATGGCTCATCTCGATGAACCGCTTGTTCAACACTTCTATCTCGACGTCATCGAGCATAGTGCCAAAGTGTCTCTCCAAGTGGTCGCGCCTCAGGGCGGCAGGCCACGACGCAACAAGTTCCAGCCTTTCCAAATTGAAAAGACCTGCTCGTCGGGTGACGAAAATACTAGTGAGATGCCCGAGATCAAAGTCACAGGATTGTAAAAATGTCTTGATGTTGTCGGGAGCAGCGTCCGGATGCATCTGCGCACCAGGAGTCTCGCTGCCCGTGGCTAGATCTTCGTGGTCGTAGGGCGGCGGCGGGTCGGCTGGTGACATCTCCGATTCACCTTTCTGTACATAATGAGCGTGGACAGAAGGAGGGAAGGTGTTGAATTGACTTACTGCCGAAGAAGAAGACCTCAATACCATCGTCCGTTTATACTTTGCCATCGCCTTTCGGAAATTGAAGCGCTCTTGTGCGATACGCTTACTGATGGTGATCCTGACGTATAACTCGACTGGCCAAGCATCTTCGTATTTCGACATCAGGGAGGGCATGGCATCATAAGACTTAAAATAAGTTGTTAGAATAATCAAAGCACTACAGCAGTGAAAAAAAATGACCCACCCATTGTATAAATCTTTGCCACGCTGAAGGATCTTGTTCGTCGAATTTCTTTGAGTAGTCGAGCGATACATTCATTTCTTGGCGCACTCGTCTCTGTTATCCGGATGCTCGATTCAGCAGGAAATATTTCAAGGGGATGAAAGTGTACCTTGAAGTCCAAGAAATCGTCAGGAGCCATGTCCAAAGCTTGGGCAATGTCCTCATGCCTTGCATTGTGAAGGCGGCGAAATTCGGCATCAGAGGGTCTTGCGATCGAAAAACCCGGTGTACCCGTGAAAGCTTGGGGTTTGGAAATCATGATGTCTATCGAAAGTGTGGGATGGAGCGTGAACGCTCGCACTAACTCTTCGTTCCCTTTTGACCCTACCCCAAGGCCCAACTAACCTTCTTTGTTTTTTTTTCCATCGACACAGCATCTACGGATCGATAATCAGCGACCTTCCTGAAGAAACATGCCTTCGATTTTATTCTCTCAGATTGGCATTCTCTGTACTCGTGCCAGGGAATGCCGTGGTCTCGTGTACCATTATATGATCTCAAGAGGAACATTAAGATCACACGTGTCGGCTCACCGCCCCTCAGTAGTCTCACGGCATGCCCGGAAGGGCTGCTCGAAGTAGTGGTCTGATAAACATGAAGACGGGCGTTAATCACTGTCCTAATTCAGCCAATTTGTTAGTCAGTGCGATATGATGGCCCTAGTACGCGCCATGATGTAACTCACAAGGAACGAGATGTGCTATGACTCACTGGTCACAGCACTGGATTGGCGGGCATGCGCGATGCGCGTGGCCATCGGAAGGATGCACGCAATCTGCACGCTGCAAATATTCCCACATTTGCAAGTGACTCTATCAATTGCACTCTGGAAGAACGCAGAAACACCTAGCAATGGACATAATCTAAAACAAAAATACCGCATTACAAATCTACATTTACTCCTCATCTTCTTCATCGTCCTTTGTGAGTCTACTGAGGATCGAGCCATTGAACGCATCTGATAAAATGATGAGAACGGAGCAAGGATGGAGGTACACATGATGACTCACGTCCTATGCTCGCTGAATGCTTGCCTCGGTATGCAGATAAAGGGGACGGTGTTTGTGGCATACCGGTCGAGGAGTTCAGTGAGGAAAAAGGCGGAGGCGTGGGTCCGGGAATGGAGTATTGGAGGGTGCGAGAAGGCGTTGACACAGGAGAGGAAACGTATGGAGAGAAAGTGCGCTGCGGTTGTGGGCTCGTCTATTTATCGTCAGTTAAGTACATTCGCTCGGAGATATCAGGACTTTACATGAGGTGACAACACGTGACGACGTTTTTGTAGTTGTGATTGTGGTGTCTTGATGCTCTTCGAAGGTGACGGCGTGAGCGGGAGTGGTTTGGGCGGATACATGAGCGCTATAGCTGCCTGAAGGACGTTCAGGGTGAAGAGACCTAGCATGGCCAACTCTAGAAACTGCTATCAGCGACTTCGTTGGCAAATTGGAGCAAGTAAATTCACTCACCAGCAGCGCACATTATCCAGAATGCGGATTTTCCTTCTCCTAAATCATTAAAAACGACATCTATAGCTGTCCATAGCGACGGTGCTGGAGTAAGATGCGTAAGGAAGAGTAGAGCGATGAGGGCGGCAGAACTGTTGCGAATCCGGAGTGCAGCCTCATTTCTATGTGGCTTGAGGCTGATGATAGATGCCTTGAGCGGCGTAAGCGACGACATTTATAAAGTTGAGTATAAGAGGCAAAGAGGTGAGAGCTGGAAGCAGTACTTGGTGTCTCTAACGGTGTTGGTCTAAATTTAATGGCATTGGGTCTTGTGTTTTTGACGCGTGTGTCACGGTCACGTGAGTGTAGACTTGGTACCGAACTTCAGAAACGATTGTGATTCATCTTCATCTACCTAACTTGTGGACCAATGGATTGTGCACGTAGAGCCACACTTCGCGCAAGACGCCTGCTACCTGCCATATCCTGGAAGCATGCTTAATATTTGTAAGTAAAAATCCTTATTCGAATCGGCACCTTTTCGTTCATGCTACTTTCTGTCAGGAGTTATGATTCAGGGAGTTTTTCGGTAGCAACAAGTTGAATGTAGTGTACCAATCATAGAGGCAGGATACTCCTGATGATGAAGAAACCCTGCAAACTCTCTGGGAGTTCGGCTTTGCCAACAACAGGGACTTTCACCTCTGTGCGTTCATAGTGCTTGACCTCAATTTGCTGAAGGAGCGAGACTATTCCGCAAATGTGTAAGGGATGTGAGTGATGATTTTTGGTATCAATTTTGCAGCACTGATCTATTATCCACATTCCCAACTATCAAAAAATACTCATCTGACACTTCACCGACGCGTCAGAGGCCAGAGCAATTTGGAACACCCAGCATTCGTGGATGAATTACAATTTCAGGCACCCAAGGGGGAAGGCGACGTGCCAGAGAAGGACGACGTGGATGGACGTAAATGGTCTCCGGAACGTCCTCGTGCTGGCGCGTAGTGAACAGAGTTGGGGAAGCGGGTCGGTTGGCTGCGGTCCGTAAACCTGCGTCCGAAGCCAGGCCTCATTAGGTCCCCTATTTGCATCCCGGGATTCTTCAATTCTTCAGCGTGACACCGTGGGTCATGTTCGCCGGGTGTGAACGGTGGAGGGCAAGTCAGAACGCAATACAGCAGAGTCCTTCGCCCATACATGGAATGAAGCATCCATTATTGCCCGTGCGGGCTTGAGTCGAATGTGCGTTTCGATGCCGTTCTCAGAACCATCAAAATGAGAACTCTGCCCAGTTTGGGAGGGTACCAACGCAAGTTGGGATGCGTGATAGGGGAAAACTACAGTACCCGGTAGTACCCGGTTCCTTCCGAGCACCACTATGAACAGCTCCTCCATGCGAAGAGACCGGGACTCCTCTAACCACGTATAACTTTTCATCATGGTAAGTTATATGATCCCACTCAGCAGAGATGGACTGAAGCTATCACCATCAGTCAAACCAGTCCTTCCGCACTGAACGTGACACCTTCGGTGAGCTCCAGGTCCCAGCCGATCGCTATTGGGGGGCACAAACACAGCGGTATGTATATTCGACCAGAGGTGCATACTTATAACTGAGCCTTTCCCTCAGGTCACTACAAAACTTCGACATCGGCGGTCCCTCACAACGACTACCACCTCCCCTAATCAAGGCCTTTGGCGTGGTGAAGAAGGCGGCATCCGTCATTAATGTCAGCTATGGCCTAGATCCTAAAATAGGCGAAGCCATCCAGAAAGCAGCTGATGATGTGAGACATTGCGACCCAAGCTTCGGATGTGTGTTTCGAACTGAGCTTTGGTTTAGGTCATTTCCGGAAAGCTCATGGACCACTTCCCCTTGGTTGTTTTTCAGACTGGGAGTGGAACTCAAACCAACATGAACGTGAACGAGGTGAGCATATCACATGCTTGAGTGCTCAATAGCCTTACCTAGTTGGTCGACAGGTGATCTCGAATCGTGCGATAGAACTTCTTGGCGGTGAACTCGGTTCCAAGAAACCGGTTCATCCCAATGACCACGTTAACATGAGCCAGAGTAGTAACGATACGTGAGTTGTTGCGCAAAGAATGCTTGATTAAACCAATTTACTGGTGACTGTAGCTTCCCGACAGCTATGCACGTTGCCGCCATGACTGAAATTTGCCATTCGCTGCTTCCGGCATTGACAGAACTTAGGGATGCGCTTAACGAAAAGGTTCAGTCATTCAGCCACATTATCAAAATTGGACGGACGCACTTGCAGGTATTGGCAGGGTCGGCTTTAAATTTTAACGCCGTCTTATCGTTATCAGGATGCTACTCCTCTGACTCTTGGTCAGGAATTCAGCGGATATGTTCAGCAAATCGATAATGGCATCGCTCGTGCTAAAGACGTCCTTCCTCGCTTAAGCCTTTTGGCTCAGGGTGGAACTGCTGTTGGTACGGTGAGCCTTATAACATCCAGCCGATTATTTAATATAGGTGCTCAAGTGGCGTGCAGGGTCTTAACACTAAAAAGGGTTTCGATGTGAAGATTGCAGCCGAGATATCCAAAATTACAGGCTTAGAATTCCAGACCGCGCCTAACAAGGTAAGACTCATCTCATAACTTGTGCTTCATCAGACTTCTGATCAAAACCCACAGTTTGAAGCGCTGGCTTGCCACGATGCCCTTGTTGAGGCACATGGTGCTCTGAATGTCATCGCATGTTCGCTGATGAAGATTGCCAATGATATTCGGTTCCTTGGCTCTGGTCCTCGCTGTGGTTTCGGTGAACTCATTCTTCCCGAGAACGAGCCCGGCAGCAGCATCATGCCCGGAAAGGTCAATCCTACACAGTGCGAGGCTGTGACTATGGTCGCTGCTCAAGTGATGGGCAGTCAGACCACTGTCAGCATTGCTGGTGCCAGCGGACACTTTGAGGTATTCATACCTCACGCAGCACGTCTGTTATCTAATGTTTATTTCCTCAAATTAGCTCAACGTCTTCAAACCCGTTATAATAATGAACGTGCTGCAGAACATTCGACTTCTTTCTGATGGTAAGTTTCCATACTACAATGACCCTTGCTGGCGTGTTGATCTTGTCTGTTCAGCCTCGCGCTCGTTTACAAAGAATTGCGTGGTTGGCATCCAGGCCAACGAGAAGCGCATCAACCACCTCCTAAACGAGAGTTTGATGCTGGCAACGGTCCTAAACAGCCACCTTGGCTATGATAGTGGGTGCTAATTATAAGTGTGCAAATCCACTAGAAGTCGATCATACTTTGCAGATGTGGCTAAGTGCGCCAAGAAAGCGCACAAGGAAGGAACGACGCTGAAGGAGGCGACGGTTACGCTCGGATTCCTGACACCTGAGGAATTTGATGAGAAAGTGCGCCCGGAGCTGATGTTGTACCCAGATGACGTATAGTCACAAATTGTTCATCATCACTGTCTACTGTGGAGTGATGATGATTTTGTTGCGTGCTGTTATGGAGCTGTGTCAAAAATTTCAAAAGAGCCTTTGTGCGGTGTGGACAGTCACCGTGTGGTACAAGATCAATGTAATACGCCTCTAAGTCGGCCGCGGCCTGACCGTCGTGCGGGTGTCCCCCTACCAAATACGTTTGATGATCTTCTACTGCGGTACTTTGGCTGTACAGACCTTCCCGCGAACGACCAAACTAGTAGATCATTCTCGTTCTGAATTGGAGCCTCATTAGGGCGAGATTCTGATTATCACATCCTTCTTAAACTTAACTGCATGACGTGTTGATACGGTGGCAGGATATGCGATCACAACACATTTGTAATACATGCCTTCAGCTTGATTGATAGAAGTACAGTTCCTGATGTCGGGAGTAGTAAGCCCTCTTGTTCTAAAGCGCGAAGGTACGGGTAATGTTGCCCATCAGAAAATGAAAATTGATTCGAAAACAAGTACAACGTGATGAATGTTACTAGTACATATGAAAGTGTGCCGCCCAGAAAACATTAACAACAGTGGTGAATAACATATCGTATCAATTTTGTAACCGTACCAATTTCCCTTTATATTAGTATCGCCTGTTCGAACATCCACGCACCTATCGCAAAATGCGTCCAATTCCGCCGCACACCGAGCACGGTCGCACGTCAATGATCAAGAGAGGTAACGTTCCTGTGCCTCCGCACTTCCAGCACAATTGACCCCCCAGGCGTGGGTCACCTGGGCGCACAGGAACGGCATGCGGGACGGGTGGGGATTGGCCCATGCCTATTATTGGATTATATACGTATAGGTGCTGCCCGTAAGGTGCGGGCGCCTGTGGTTGAGCGACATATGGCGGCTGGCCAGTATAATTCGAGGGCTGCATTGAGACCTGCGATGCCTGTGGTGGGGCAAAACTGGGTAGAGCACGCTGATACTTGGAGTTACGAGATGACGACTCGGTGTTCCAGGTTGTATATGTCAAGGCGCCGACATACGGTTTCCCGTATTTATCCCAGCACTTTCTGCAGGGGTGGGAGGGATCATAGTTTTTGTACCCGGTATTTTGGCCTAAAAAGGGAGTAGTGTGAGTTAGGGAACTCGGAGAGGATGTGAATACACGGACATTTGACACATATGTGGTCCTTATTGGGGTACACGAGGAGTTGTCCGTTATTCAGCAAAGGATGTCCAGGCGCGGGTGTTCTAGTCGGACTCCCGTCATCCGGAATGCTCCGCGGAGGGGTCTGCTGCGCAGAATGCACCCCAGGGACGGGTCCTTGACCCCCCTGGTAAGGCGGCGTATAAGGGCTCTGCGTCATACCAGAGGTAGAAGACTGTGGGTATGGAGCTGCATAGGTACCCGCTTGCGATTGCTGCATCGTCCGCATCTGCTGTTCATGTACACCCGAAACAGCATCCACTGCATCGCGTACTGTACCAAGGAGTGCCCCAACTACGCCGCCCCCTCGGCGCTGGTTTTGCTGACTAGGGTACGTAGACCACGAGTTTGAGCCAGAAGATGAGACAGGAGTTGGCCATGGCGGGCGCTGTGAATGCTGTTGGGACGGGGACAGCGGCTGAGAATGTGATGATGAGGACGTAGTATGCGATGAATGGGAATGCGAGGAGGAATGTGAATGTGATGGTCTGTGTGTATTACTGGGTCGTGGGGGTTGTTGGAAGGGTCTGCGAGGACCGACTTCTACTGTGGTCTCTCCATGGTGAGTGTCTGCAGATAGAGTGTACGCTGGGGGCATTTCCTCTTCAAGTCCTACTGGATCTGCCACACGTGGGGGTGCCGCAGACCCATACTGAAAAGCGCTCGAGCTCGAGGAGGACCCAGCTGGTTGGCTGGAATGGGTTGAGCGGTAAGGGTTTGTTGGCGACATCAGTTCTGAAATGAAAAGTATGAACGGAGGAGGAGGAGGTTTATATCGAAAGGTCCGGAATGTTATACGGGAGACACAGCCAGCTGCGGTCTCGTCGATAATTGGTTTCCGAGAGTCTTATATAGCCACATCAATTTAAATAGCACAGCCACTAATGCCGAGATAAGATAGGCCGACCGGTTCTCTTGGAATTTCTAGAAGTGTCTGATTCCCCCATGCAAAAATATTTCAATGTTAACATGCATAGAACTTCTAAGAGAAGAGTGTCCGATTCCCACTTGCAGAGTTATCACAGCGCTTGCCAGAGAATGGTAGATCTGTGGCGCTTGTGCGTTTGTGATTGCCAGGAGCACCATCGAAGAAATAAAAATCAAGTGCTGCAAGTCATTCGCACTCTCGTGTATTTGCATTCCTTCTCATAAAATTCGCGGGCGTTGATAACAAGCCTTGGTATGACCATGAATTACTGAATGTTGAGAAGGAATTGGCTGAGTAGCGAACAAGAAGTTCTCAGTGCATTGATCATAGGCAGGATGTTGAGGGTGGGAAGACAGTTAGACACAGTGGCTATCAGGCTTTTTATAAATCCCGTGCCAATTGTTCAAGCAGAGTACCCACAAGAACCACAGTGTATGATCTTTGAATCGAATTGTCAGACCGTCGTGTATCTTCAATTACGATCGTAGGCGCCGCATTCGAGCACATGTACGACGAAACGCGTGCAGCGAGGTCAAATGCGAAAACCTCCCGAAGAAAACTCGGCAGAATCACGTAAAAACGTCATTCGCGAATTCACATTCGACACGCGACTGTGGGTCTCTGATATCCATCTCCGTTATTCCCCACGAATGCTGGCTCATCTGAAGCAAGACACTCACCACTCGAGTCACTATTCGTACCGATAGCGAGGCCAGGCCAACCAAGATCCCATCAGACAAATTCACCATCAAAAAAGCGCAAAGAGCGCTACGATCACGATCTTTGATGCTGATACATTGCGGACGGACGGACGCATCAACATAACCGCTGTTAGAGTGATCGTCAACGAGCACAGGCTAGCGGGAAACACTCACCATCCACAGCAATAGAATCTGCACACTCGACTCACATCTGGGCTTCGTATTTGATAACACCTAGAAAACATCACGATAAAAGAAAGACACATCAAGGAAATGATCGTGAAAGTCACATCTATGGGCGAGGAACGGGCGTCACCTCGATCAGAATTCAACAGAATGTGCGGTGTGTTGCCCAGATGAACCCCTGAACGGAGGCAAGTCAGATTAGCAGGTAGATTGGAGGAGGCGAAACAGCTGCATGCTGTCTGCAGATTCCCTGGTACAATGATGAAACTATAAGATGAAAAACCGACACCAACCACCTACAGACTAGTGGACTATCAATATAACTACGGATTCCCGTATCCATTGAGATACCGGAACTTACATAGGCTGCGAACAGTCCGCCAACGTAGCGAAACTACATGCATGAGAAATAGCACAGTTGCAAGGATATGAGCAAGGCTCACAAGTATATATAGCATTGTCACTATAGACTTAGGTTTCACCTGAGCAAATGGATTAGATCGTCCATAATATCCGAGGGCTCTAAAAGATTCACCCATATAAATTCAGCCTGGATCAGCGATCAGCGACGCAACGAAATGAATTACAGCATAATCGTTGAACCACTATTGTCAGCACAGAAACGGCTGGCGAACATCAGTATGACATGTCACGAAGGTATGACATGCGGAAGGTGTATCGAATGCGAAAACCGGTGAGTCGGATATGAAGGGCATTGACCAACCGCCCAACGACGTGTAACCACTGGCAAAACTGCGGGTCGATTTAATGCTATGGCCATTGAACTTAACTTACCCGGCATCCGAATTTTCTCTACGTCACGCTAGAAGTCCAAAATTGGCATCAGCTCATCACGACTCACGAGATTACGGATAACTATGTACGCCGGATTGACGCCGGAACGCGCAAGACAGATCCGTGCACAGCGGCACAGCAACTGAATGACATATATGTCCTAGTGGACAGCGCTTGCTGCATTAATCACGGAGCCTCGTGTATCAAGTGAGGCTGCCCACGAAAGGGCACGCAGTATGCTTGGGTCCTACAAGATTCCCCAATTGCACATCATTGATTTCCCATATTAGTAAAACAAAGCGGGACCGCCCGAATATGAAATAATCGAGGGCCGTATAACCAACTTCGTTACGATCTCTCCTTACCACTGCTCAAACTTCTGAAGAATTCGGCATATGCATGTTCGATGTCAAATGAAAGCTATGAAAATATCAGCATGAAGCGCATGCGCGTCAACAAAGGTCGTAAACCTACCTGCCGCGACTGTTCTTCTGTGATTTCTTCGGATGCTTTCATGCTGTTCAAAGTAATGAGCCTGAAAATATCCAACGTAAGCCCGAGATACCGAAAGCAAGCAAGCAACAGAATGGGACGCACCAGCTGACCATTTTGCTTCGTCCCTCCCAATCCTTGCTCCCCTTGAACCTAGCATACCCTGTGACAAGTTCTTGCAAGATCGGGTGAAGTTGATCCTTAGCGCGCAGCCTAAGCTTCAACGCGTCCATGAATGTGATAAAGTTCTGCGTTATTGGTTAGAAAGAGAAAGACTTCAGCACAAAATTCCAACCTGTGTCGTCTCTGCGATCCACTTTCCAGTCTCAGGTCCTGCCTCACTGGAGTGCTCAACAGTAGCAGGTACGCCAACTCGTATGCGATGTAATGCCGCAGGATTGTCCATCCGATATCGCGTCATGAACTCCTCGATGGAAGGAACGGAGTCCTTGACAAGCTTGAGCATGGTCATGTATTGCGAAAGAAGACGCGTGCATGCAGGGGAGTATCTCTTGCAGCGTATGAATCCCTAAGTCTGACTTGCAATGAATTTAGAATGGGAACATACTGTGCTGCGGTAATTGCATCACGAACGTAGGCGCGCTCGAGGTAGTCAAGGGCGACGATGATCCCGTACAATGTACCAAGTAGATTGTACTTCTCTCGCTCGGCATTGTTCGTGAATAGTCGAACTTCTTCGTCCAGCGAAAGGGTTGCCATCTTCGAGAGATCTTTCTCCTGAACCAAGTTACAGCTCAGCGATTTGTCATGGGGTCAATTGTTTGCCGCTGTTTGTCACGCATCTAGAACACGGTGATACGGTAACGGTTGTTCATCCTCAACGAGGCCTCAACGCCTGTCAGTACAATGATGCATTCTGTTCTGGTCATGCGAACCTACCTCTCACACTCGCAGTTATGCATCAGCGCCTTCGTCTGCCTCTTTCGTGCATGCCGCACCCACCGTCACCGAGTACTTATACATCAGCGCCTTTTCTTGCTTTGACGCATCATAATCAATAACTGTAGTCCATCTCATCCATGCCGCATTCACTGTCTGTGGTTCAATCCAAGTACAGGCGCTACGCCTGACGTAATAATGAACCGGCTGACATGGATCTAGGCTAGACTCATGGCCAATTCGTCGTATGAGGCAAGCCGTCGATAGACGGGCTGGTCACGAGTCTAGACCCAGACTGGGACCCAGATACGCCCATAACACGCCCGAAACACGCCCTACAGACGCTCACAGAGTGTCCATCTCCATTTCCTGGACTTACTCTCGTCTTTTTATTACATCGTCCAATTCAACTTGAGGTTAAGCAGCTTCCAAGACACAGAAACTCATAGGTTTGGTCTTTCTTCCTCGAAATCTATTACAAGCTCAACTTGAATCAGTTCCCTGTATCAAACAATGCCACAAACCGAGAATTACAAAAGCCTCCTGCGCAATAGCATCCACTTCCCAACATTCAGCGACCTTCCGGATGAGAATGAAGTCCCTTCCACCTACTACGAAGAGGGTCCACCATCCACATTTTCACCCATACAGCACTGGTGCTTCCTCGGCGAGATTGTCGCCTCGATCGGTCTGACCCGCGTCCTATTGCGGGTAAAGGATAAAGATGGTCAGGTCATTACCATCGGGCTGCACACAGATGACCGCGGACGGCCGCTCGTTCCGCAAATCAAGGAAGGTCACACAGTTGCTGTACTGTATGGTCAACAACATGGCTTCCTAGACATGAGCGTCGGCATACGCGTCGAAGAAGACGGCCTTCTCAAAATCATACCATGCTCGCTCGACCAACTTCTGAAGGCAAGTGATGTGGTTGCACTGCGCAAGGATCAGTCAGGATGCTGTGGGTATTGTGGTAAAGAGGAGAACACCTCTGACAGTACGCCCTTGCTCTTGTGTTCCCGCTGCAAACAAGCATCATATTGCGGGGAGGTGAGCGTTGATGATGTTTTTTCCAATTCAAGATGCGTGTCTGACTCGAGCCCTTTACTAGGTTTGTCAGAAGAAAGCCTGGGTGGACGGTCACAAGGTTGACTGCAAGGCTCTTGCGGGGATACAGTGGTTTGCGGCAAGAAATTGGACAACATTCCACGGGTGGTTTAATTTCTGATACTTCGCCCTGATCTACTGTCGGCTTCGGGAATTATGATGCTCCCCAAGTCTCACTGCATCTCTGCCAGCCCTGATAATGTCATTTCACGAAATATGTAATGATAGAGTATTGTCAAAAGTATTTACTACTGTGATCCACTAATACTTCGTGGGAAGGAATGAGGGCAATGTATTGCACTTGCGACTACCGAAAATCAGGGGACACTTTGACCGTGCCAAGAATGTTTTTGGATCCTCATGAGGCCATAGTGCACTTCAAGCATGCACAAGTTGGGGAGTGAAAGAGTATCGAGCAGGCCAGATAAAGTGTGTGTGTGTCAGGTAGGCCCATACAGGACTGAAAAAAAGATAAGCCTATAAGGTCGAAGAATGGCCTCATATTGATGACCTTGAGATTATGCAAAGATACGGAACGAAGGAGGTCCTGCCCGGAAGATTACCGAGGTCGATTAAGGCATCAATACGCTCTCGTGTATTCCGAGAGAAGTCCTCTTCTTGTTCTGACACAGGAGGCACGCGCTTGAGCATGCCATTGCGAAACGCATCCATGAGTGATTCTGCTGTATCAAATATTTGATAATTTGTACACGATCTACGGACCCAGGTTAAGCACGCTGAAACAGAAAGGGGGCCTACCTTCAGCTGGTCCCGTTTCAAGGATCGGTACCACAGACGTCGATAAAGTCAGGGGTGCAGCCAAAATACGGGCGTCATTTTAGCCAGAAGCGTGGATCTTTCAGTTGTATTTTCTGCTGACGTTGGCCTAGTGTGAATGTAGAGTAGGCTCTGGTTTGAGCAGGGATACTGGCTGTGGCCGGCCCTGTCTCCTCAAGAAAGAGGAGGTGTGAGATGGCGTGATAATGAGGAAAGTGTTGAGTATCGCTCCTGGTCACAAGTAGTTAATGACAAGGGAATGTAAAGGTAGAACACCGTAGTACAACAGTGGGTAAAACCCATCGGAGCATGTGATGATAGGCGCGTAAAGCTTGAAATACGAGTAAGGAACGTTGTCTGCAAAATTTTCATTAGTTACAACTTCGACAGATAAGTATACTCAAAAATATGGTCCACGGAGGGAAAAGGCCTGGAGACAATTTTAGCTTTCTTTCCTTGTCAATAGATACATACTGAGTGTGCATCAAGTACAGACGTTGAGGAGACTAGTACTGCCAATGAAGCTGGCGAGGAATGCATCGCTTATTGAATTTGCATTATTATTGGAGGCAGGGGGCAGGATTCGTTTGAGTATGTAAGACAAGTGCCTCATGGGCGTTCAGTATACATTTCCTGCAGATGGTGAAGGGTGAACAAATTTGAGGATGTGAAAAGTGTCCCAAGTATTTACTGGGCCCAAGTTGCTACATTCATATCGCAATATTACGCCTGCGCAGTCACAAACATTGATCGTAAGATAGAAAAGGAAACTCACGCTTTGTCAGGTCAGCTCTGCGATCGTCCATTATCGGAGCCACAATTGGCATCGTATGTTGAGTTCCCCAGAGAGCCTCAAACACTTCCAAAGAACTCCGCCGCCGGCTCGGAGTCGCCCCTGTGGGAAATTTGTGGGTGGGCTTTAGAATTCAACAGAACCAAACAACGTCACATTGACTCTATCGCCTAGTGCTGACCTTGACCTCGCGCTAGCTACAAATAACATGCAGACAGTCAGTCCAAAAGGCAATCTCTTACCGACCTCGGAAATCATGACTGCACTGCAGAAAATCGTAAGTGTTGACATTCTAAACACTCTTTTGTGCGAATAATAACCAAACGCTTCAGCTAGGTTCACAAGCAACGGTATGTCTATGGCTATGTATCTGGTGCGTTATTGACCGTCAGCAGATGCTAGACCTCGAAACCACGTACTCCCGAGCAGCTATACCCAATCCTAATCACTGCGCAATCGAGCTCAAAGACCGGAGCTTCAATGCCATCATCACCGAACGGCAGCAGCAGTTGGATACCGTTTTGCACGAGATCTCAGACCTGCAAACAGTTATGGATAGTATTCAAAACCTTCACCAGCAACTCGTCGAAAAGAAGGTCAAGATCGTCGAGTCCATTAATTTGCATAAGAGACTCAGATCGGCTCTGTGGCGCTTGCCAACTGAAGTCCTCTCCCACATTTTCGTTTACTGTCTCCCGGGAGACAAGTATTTGTTGCCCACACCCGGGGTGGCTCCCATGCTGTTGACGAGAATATGCCGACGATGGAAGGAGGTTGCCGTGGCCATGCCCAGTTTATGGTGCAGGCTACAGTTGAAAACCGAATACGATGACTGGAAGTGGCAGGGAGCCTTCTGTTATGACTCATGGCTCAAGCGAACCCTAGGATGTCCGCTCTCGCTGGAACTCCAATGCAACGGTCACTGGACCCAAGTACAAAACCTCCTTCAACCTTACTTCACTCAAATATCGTCTCTCTCTATTGATTTTTGGGCATCAGACACACCTGAACTTATGGTGCTCACAGGCTGCCAAGCCCTTGAGGAGCTGTCCGTGACCTTTTCTGATGATATGGCTGGTGACGATATGCTAGCTCGTGTTGGACGCGCTATCTCGCAGCTGCCGTCCACTCTGTGCAATCTCAGTGTAGCAGGGTGGGCACTTAGCCTCGGGGACGTATCCACTTTCGATCCCGTATGGGCCCACCTGACAACAGTCGAGATCCTCGTACAGGAATCAGGCACTGCTCTCCACTTACTCCAGCTAGCTCCCAATCTCTCCTCGTTGACGATTCACGCAATATCTCACGGCATCCAAACGGCGTTCGAGTCATTCACACACACCAAACTTAAATCCTTCGAAATCATTTGTGAAAATAGCTCGCGCCGAGGGCCCAAATTATCTGCCCTGCTCGATGCACTCTCGCTACCAGCTTTACGAGTTCTTTATCTTCACAATATAGGAGCGTGGCCCCACATGGAGTTCAAGGCATTCCTGGCACGGTCAAAGTGTCCATTGAAGAGCCTGGGCTTCGGCGGTCGAATGACACCGGGAGATAAGCAGCGAGCGGAATATGACGAATACCTAGCCACAGGTAGGATTAGTCTATGGTAAGTCGGTGTGAGTGGAATTGCTATAAATGAACGCACGTACCCTCAGTCTCGGATAGTGAAAGGAAACGACAATGGGCGTCGCGCATTAAACGGGAGTGTCGGGAGTATCCAGAATACTACATATATACGATAGGTAAAGAAAGAACTACGGTATGATGTAGATTTCGATTCCAAGCAACTAACAAGCGATCTAGAACGAACGGCTTTGTCACTCTATCAGCACATACAGCGCAGACGGCACGATCTCAAATGTCATGACATCTTCTCCAGCAATGGTCAGTCTTACGCACGCACCACATTACTTTGCGAGAGAAGACGCGTGCATGCAGCAGAGTATTCTCTAGCGGCCTATATGCATTTTACTAAGTCTGGCAGGAATTGAATCTAGGACGTAAAAACACTGCTGCAATACTAATACTTGCATCTCCATGGATGAGCGCTGAGCACTTGCCCCGCTTGCCAGGAAAGGCTACCCGGTTGTAGTGTTGTATAGCAACGCAGTTTCCTAGGCATGAGCGGTAAGTATCACTATATAAAGACGCGAGTGTCCATACTAGTAGAAGTGAACATTTACGATGGTTTGCAGCGCACCGATGATCAAAGTGAGGAGAAATTTGCTTTTGAGTCGACTGTCATCCTGAGGCACGGCACGACCACATCAAAATAGCTACGCCCGTCGACTTGGTCATATGCCAGATGCTGCACAGTCCGGTCAAAGGCATGGAGAACATTGTTATTAGATATAGGGCTACACCACGTGGAGGGCCGTCCGAGGTGCCCGGCGGTGGAGGGTTACTACTTGCGCAACGCGAAGTCGAGATGGAGCAAGGTAATGCGGTAGGTGCGTTACTAGACTAACCGTCATTTTAACAAGATGAAACGACACTTGAGATCGTGCCGTCTGCGAGACACTAGCTGCAGCTGACGCGAGACGTTGATCACCTAAAAAAACAGGCGCGAAAAGATGAGTCTTTTATATGGCTGATAACTTAACATATGTACAGAGTAGACTGATTATTCCATTGCGAAATCTGTGACGACTAGTGCAAAGTATCAACACCGACATTACCAGGGTGATGGCCCTACATATTGGATCGAAGGGACAAGGGTAACATATTCCGCCCGCTGCTTGTCTGCCGTCGTCCCTTCACTGCCGACGAGCAGGGTCTCCAGTCGACACTCTGACCGTGTCAGGAATGCCTTGAACGCCTTATGGGGCCACCCTCCTGCGCTGCGAATATAAAGAACGCGTAGAGTGGGGAGGGATAGAGCATCGAGCAGGCCAGATAATTGGGGTGTGCGTGAATACTGTACACAAGTTATGTGTAAGAATTGAAGTTTGGTGTGTGTGAACGACTCCAACGCCGCTTGGATGCCGTGAGATTCTATGCGAATTGTCAACGAGGAGAGATTGGGAGCTAGCTGGAGTAAGTGGAGAGCAGAGACTGATCCCCGTGCGTGGATCTCGACTGTTGTCAGGTGCGCCCATACAGGATTGAAAGTGGATATGACCCTAGGGTCAAGTTCCCACCCTGTTACACTGAGATTGCACAGAGTGGACGGCAGCTGCGAGATAGCGCGTCCAATACTAGCTAGCAGAGCGCCACAGAACACTTCATCAGTGATGATCACGGACAGCTCCTCAAGGGCTTGGCAGCCTGCGAGCACCCTAACGCCAGGTGTATCACGCTCCCAAAAATCGATAGAGAGCGACGATATTTGAGCAGTGTAAGGTTGAACAAGCCTTTGTACTCGGGTCCAGTCATCGTCGCATCGTAGTGCCAGTGAGAGCGGACACTCTATAGTTCGCTTGAGCCATGATTCATAACAGAAAGCTCTCTTCTGCCAATCACCGCTCTCGACTTCCAACCGCAGCCTGCACCATAAACTGGGTGTGCCCACAGCAACCTCCCTCCATCGTCGGCATATTCTGGTCAACAGAATGGGAGCCAGATTTAACGCGGGCAACAGATACTTGTCTTCCGGGAGACAGTTAACGAAAATATGGGAGAGGACTTCAGCTGGCAAGCGCCACAGAGCCGATCTGAGTCTCTTGTGCAAATTAATGGACTCGACGATCTTGACCTTCTTTTCGACGAGTCTATCCATAAGCGTTTGCAGGTCTGAGATTTCGTGCAAAACGGTATCCAACTCCTGCTGCCGTTCGGTGATGATGGCGTTGAGGCTCTGTTCTTTGAGCTCGATCGCACAGTGATTAGGATTGAGGAAAGTGGCTTGGGAGTAAGGTGTTTCAAGGTTTGGCACCTGTTGGTGGTCAATAACGCACTGTATAGATACACACAGACATACTGTTGCTTGTGAACGTAGCTGAAGCGTTGGGTTATTATTCGCAGAAAAGGGTGTAAAGTTTCGGCACTTACGATTTTCTGCAGTGCCGCCATGATGTCCGATTTTGGATTGTCTGTCTGCATGTTTGTTTGCTAGGGAAATCCTGAGTTCATGAGACGTTCAAGGAAAACGAAGATTTAAGAGAACACTCAACGAGACAACAATGGGCGAAAATTTATTCGTACACCGCGGCACGACCGCGTCACCTGGCCCAGTGAAGAGTGTACCCACATCTCCGGTTCAACAACACCTCCCGAGTACTGACCCTTGCACAGCGACGTAATCGGTTTGATGACTTTGGCCAGAAACTTATTATATCAATCCTCAAGGTAGGAAGTCCGAGAACCACCATTAGAAATCACGCACTCCCAACATAAAATGACCACGATTATTGATATCAAGGTAGTCGTAGTTGGAGAGCTTGAACGCTGATCAAAGGCTGAACGCAATCACTTGCTGGCCACTGGAAGACAAATGCCCGCAGATCAGGGTACTATTACAAATGCTGAAGAATAGTGTAATACCTTGAACTGCGAAGAGAGATCTGCTAACAGTACATGATCATGTCTAATAACTAAAAGTATCAAGACTCTTATCAGAGTCCTCGCGCTACAATTTGGAACGAAGGAACAAGGGTAATATACTCCGCCCGCTGCTCATCTGTCGTCGCTCCACCACGGACGATCAGGCTCTCCAGAGGACACCTCGACCGCAGCAGGAATGCCTTGAACTCCTTGTGAGGCCATTCTAGTACGTCGCGAACATCGAGTACGCGTAGAGTGGGGAGTGAGAGAGCGTTAAGCAGGTCGGATAATTGGCGTTCAGATTCGCAAGTGATGTGTAAGGATTGCAGTTTGATATGCGTGAATGACTCTAATGCTTGGATGACATTGACCACCATGTGAATCGTCAACGAGGAGAGGTTGGGAGCTAGCTGGAGTAAGTGGAGAGCAGTTTCTGGTCCGTCTATATCGATCGTGGCATTTGTCAGGCAGGGCCATACGGGTTCGAAAAAGGACAAGTCCTCATGGTCAAACCACAACCCTGTTACGCTAAAACTTCGCAGAGTGGACAATTGCGAGATATAGTGTCCAATAGCTGGTAGAGGATTAGTAAGCATAACAGCACAAATTACCACGGATAGCTCCTCGAGCGCTAAGAAGTCTGGGAGGATAACTAGTCCAGGTGTGTCGGGGTAGTAAAAATCGACAGATAGGGATGTGATTTGACTGATGTAAGGCTGAAGAAGGTGCCGTAGCTTGGTCGAGTGGTCATATTCGTTGAACTGAAGTGTTAACGAGAGCGGATGTCCTCGTGTTCGCTTGAGCCATGTATCATAGCAGAAGGCTGCTCGTTGCCAATTCACGTCGACAACATCCACAGACAGCTCACACCACAAACTGGGCATGCCCAGAGCAACCTCCCTCCATCGTCGGCATATTCTCGTCAACAGCATGGGAACTTCTAGCTCTGATGGCGGCTGCAATCCCTCGAATTGCGGAATTTGCGGGAGACAATGGTGAAAAATTTGGGTTAGGATTTCAGTTGGAAAGCGCCAGAGAGCCGATCCGAGTCTCTTGTGCAATATCATGGATTCGATGATCTTGTTCTTCTGCTCGACGAGTTGCCGGTGAAGATGTTGGACACTATCCATGACTGTTTCCAAGCTTGAGATCTGGGGCAAAATCGCGTCCATCTGCTGCTGGCGTTCGGTGACGATGGCGCTGATGCTCTGGTCTTCGAGCTCGATTGCGCAGTGATTAGAATTGGGGGATGTGGTTCGGGAGTACGAGGTTTCGAGGTCTGGAATCTGCTCATGGTCAATAACGCATCAGACACATCCACATAGACTCGGACATATATACTTACAATTACTTGTGAACGTAGCTGAAACGAAGAGTTATTATTTGAGGACTGTTTAAAAGTTCAGCACTTACGATGATCTGCAGTGCAGCAATGATATCCGAGGCCGGCAAGAGATTTACTTCTGTTTGCATAATGTCGGTTGCTAGCGCGAGGTTCAATCACTGGTATTCGGAGGTGACGTTTGAGGAAGACGAAGGTTTGAAGAGGAGCCAAGAATTATTCACACATTATTGATCTCACGCTGCCATCCAACAGCCACTCATCCTACACAATATTGACCTTGGGAAGGGTAATCCTGCCTGATGCCGCTTTGTCCAGGAGACTCATTATACTAACAGGCCAACGGATGCCACGACGGTCTTAGAACTGACCCGGAGTCCTTGACGAACGGCGAGCTTCTTTTTTCTCCCACTGTGACATGGTACAGGCGTGAACATAGCTTGTGGGACCGTGATGGATGGCGCCAAGCTCTGTATTGGAATTCCAGCCTCTGTTGGACATCCACAGACATATTCTCATGAATGGTGCGTTTTCGTCATTCCATTGTCTTCCCAACAAACACCGCTCGACAGGCAATTCCTCCAGGGTAGACACATAAAGTGGCCTTCTGTATGTCACGGCGGTTCATGTAGCTGCACTGCATCTTGAAACTTGTTTGTCGTCATGCTACAGGCATCGGGTACTGACCGCCCGCCACTGGTCAAACCTCATGGAGGGATCTGTAAAGAACATTTGCCCTCAACAGCGACAACCCGATAGACGATACATTCCTTGTCAGTTTCACTGTCATGGTCTCCTCGGTGCCTTTCCCTGGCACACTCTGCACGTGTACGTTCATTCCTGAACTTTTTGCCTCCCTGGGTGAGGATTTCGAGAATTCTACCTTCCTTCGATATTTCAAGCTATACGTTCCAAGGTTCGTTGTTCGCTCTGGTGGAATTCACTCGCTCATTCATTATGGTGTCCTTCCATGACCAGGAGCAATAGTACTTGCCCATGTTCCTCACAGTCGTACTGTACCGTCCACACCCCGTCCTCTTTCTTGCTGAGAGAGGGCTGGTCACATTAGGATCACATCGATGATACACTGGGCGTGCCCGGCTAGACAGAAAATTGCTATGTCGACAGGCCAATGGGGCACGAACGATATTGACTCTCAGAGTCTCGATCGCAGATGTAGGGAATGATAACTTAGCGAAGAGAGATATCGATATACTATGTAACGACTTGGTAACGACCACAAGATATGACATTAAGACGCTCAGGATCTAACGAAATAAATACTTAAAAGCGATATCTTCACTCTGAATCAGAAAAAAATCAACTGTAGTACAAGCTTGCCACCTCTTACTAATCATCCATCAACGACTCTAGGCTATCCTCTCCTATCTTCCTTCTTCTATAGGTAGACTAGCAACTATCGTTCTACTGGCAGCATTTACTGATCTGAGGTGCGTAACGCCAGCTTTAAATGTCGCTTGCACTGACTCCGAGTCTTAGCCTGGAACAAATCATCATTCTAGTTAGTTATCAACAGCAGCGTTGCTTTCTAAACCGCCGAGCCCAATCCTTCTACTAGTACTCCTCTACAGTCTCAATGTTGCCCTTCGAGTGTCAGTATTAGCAACTAAGGATCTTGGACGGTCAAGATGCAAGGGGGTTCAACAGCCAATCCAGGAGCCAGTCTCTCTGCGATATCTGAATCGGATATCATCGATGCGTTTCGTAACATCGTAAGTGCCAAGTTCTATAGGCATCACATCTTAAGAACAATAACTATTCGTTTCAGCTCGCACGTTCACGAGTGATCGTAAGCCTGTCCCGCTTTATCGGATGGCATTGTTATTGACAATGACCAGATTTCTGCAGACCTCGAAACTCCGTACTCCTGCAGATCTTATACTGCCAACTGCTCTGTCACCGAGTCCGAAGATCAGAGTATCAGCGCCATCATCAATGAACGCCAGGAGCAGTTGGATGCAGTTTTGCACGAGATCTCAGACCTGGAAACAGTCATGGATGGGATGAAAAATCTTCACCGGCAACTCACCGAAAAGAAGGACGGGGTTACACAATCCATGAAGTTGCACAAGCGAATTGCATCGGGAGCTCGAGTCGGGCGCTTGCCACCTGAAGTCATATCCCACATTTTTATTCACTGTCTCCCGGAAACCAGTAACATATTACCCCCATCAAAAACGCTAGCTCCCATGTTATTGACGAGAATATGCCGACGATGGAGGGATATTGCAGTGGGGATGCCTAGTTTATGGTGCAGGCTGCGGTTGTACAGCGACGAAGTCAACAACAGACGCTGGGAGTTTATAGCTTTCTGCTATGACTTATGGCTAAAGCGATCAAGAGGACTTCCACTTTCGTTGGAAGTCTGGTGCTGCAATGATAACTCGAACACCAAGTTACGACGCTTTATTCAGCCTTACTTCTATCAAATAGCATCTCTCTCCATTCGTTGTTTCCCCCAGACCGACAAACCTGAACTCATGTTCATTTGCCTCCCAACACCCCAGGAGCTGATCGTATGCGCATACGATGGTTCTAAAATGACAGATATTGTACAATCTATGTCGCAATTGCCGCTCACTATGCGCAGTCTCAAGATAACCTTTCCGGCATTCAGATCCAACGATGTTCTTGTTTGCACTCCCCTATTGGCACACCTGACAAATATTGAGGTTGCCATTGATTATCTGGATGTAGTCACCGCCTTGCTCCCTCGATGTCCCAACCTCTCCTCGTTAGCCTTTCTCACAGGCGTCCACCATAAAATGCAGCCCAACTCACCAATCACACACACCAAACTTGGATCCTTACGCATCGCTCATGACCTTAGGAGCACGAAACATGTATCTCGCTTGCTCGCAAATTTATCACTCCCGAATTTACGCTTGTTTGAAGCCCGCTATATAGAGCCGTCGCAAATACACGTTCTGTTCGATGCTCTCGATGCACTACCATCCCCCGAGTTATGCGAGCTTAAAGCTCGCTATGCACGACAATGGCCTCACGAGCAGTTGATGGCATTGCTAGCACAATCGAATTGTCCACTGGAGAGTCTGGTGTTCAGTGGTGGAGTGATGATGACAGATGAGCAGCGAGCGAAATATGTTGCCCTGATTCCTTCACTCGAAGTAGTAGTATCCCGTGCGTCATGATGACTTTGCTTTACTCGTTACCCATAACACTGGGCTTCATGCTTCATGGAGTTATGCGAAGGTCTCTGTTTTGTGCTACTACTACTGTACGCTACCGGCTTCGTAGTATGTTTCTGTTCGCAGTTCTACCTAAGTTATTTCTTCGAGTGCGATAGGCCTTGATCAAGAGTCATGACGCAAAATCTATCAAATACTCGTTTCCCGCGATCCGCGGTGTGCCGCCTTGCGCGTCTTGGATGCCAAGAACTGGACCGCCCTTGCCCCACATCCACAATCAACGATGACGCGGACGGGTGGTTCCGTTGTGTGCCACGATACTCATTGAGAACTTAGAAGGATCAACAACCACATCATCATCACTTTCATCATCAACACCATGTCCAATACTGTTCAGTACCGCTCCCTTGGCAAGACTGGTCTCAAAGTCTCTGTGCCAATTGTGAGTTGCGAAATGCTTGTTGCCAGCGCACAGCACTAAATGTCACTGATTCTTGATAGCTTGGTGCGATGAGCTTTGGGACATCCAAATGGGCTGTACGTCATCATCTCATGTTCTATTCATCGCATCCTAAATTTATTACAGTCCTGGGTCCTTGACGAGGAACCCGCTATCGAAATCATGAAGGCTGCTTGGGACCTTGGCATCAACACCATCGACACCGCCAATGTTTACTCAAATGGCGAGTCAGAGATTCTCATCGCCAAGTTCATCAAAAAGGTGTGCCTTACAGATGTCCTTATTCATTGATGGTATCTTGAAATGATGCACGGACTTCATAGTACAATATTCCTCGCCACCAGATCATAATCGCCACCAAGTGCAACGGTCTTGTCGCTGATGATCCTTCAATCCAGTCGTTCTTCAGACCCGACCTCAAACAGCTTCCCGAGTACGTTAACCAATATGGCCTGTCTCGCGCGGCAATATTCAACGCTGTCGACGCGTCCCTCGTTCGTCTCGAGACCCCATACATCGATCTCTTTCAGATCCACCGTTTCGACGCTACAGTCACCCCTGAGGAGACCATGAAAGCTCTTCACGACCTCGTACAAAGCGGTAAAGTCCGTTACATTGGTGCTAGCTCCATGCGCTGCTGGCAGTTTGCAATGCTGAATGACGTGGCGGCTCGGAACGGCTGGACAAAGTTCGTCAGCATGCAGGATGAGTACTCGCTACTCTACCGCGAGGAGGTGTGTCTAATTTTCTTTTGTACAAATTCGTTCAGCCAGTTTAACGTTGCGTTTAGGAACGTGAGATGCTAGCTTATTGCAAGTACAATGGTATCGGTGTCATCCCGTGGGCTCCCCTAGCTTCTGGTGTCCTCGCACGTCCCGTTGGCACTGAGACGACACGTCTCAATTCTCTCAATGGAACCGCTTTCGAGAAAAAGCTGACCGGTGGAGACGAGACGATCATCAACCGCGTCGAAGAGCTTGCCAAGAAGAAAAATTGCAACATGAGCCAGATTGCATTGGCCTGGGTTGCATTAAAGGTGTCGAGCCCTATCGTAGGTATCAGCTCTCTAGAGAGGTTGCAGCAGAGTATTATCAAGGGAATCGAGCTCACCCCGGAGGAAATTTCGTACTTAGAGGAGCCGTGCGTATTCTGCTTCGTGGTTATTCGAGATGAGACTAACGACGCTTTTCAGGTATGAACCCAAAGCCGTCCATGGACATCTTTAAATGATTGCAGCCAACCTGGAGCGCCCAAGAAGAGACGTCAGACAAAAATCTGTAGCATTTTGTAATACCACTATCGCCGTAACGTACTGAGCAGAGAATGATCATCATGATGTCAATTTCAAAAACTTGTATTGCCGAGAGATCCTACCAATACAGTCGTAAGAAAACGAGGTATGATAGAAAAGCGAAGCGGGGTCATGCAACACCGCGAGAAGATATCTTTCATCTGTCAATGGATAGTTAGTATAGACATCATTAAACGAAGATTCCCACCGACCTGGTGAAATCATGAAATCGTGGAATTTTGTCCGTATTCTAATGATGCGAATCTGGTCCTAGAACGACCTGTGAAATAAATGAGATATCGCTTTGGGTCCCATAGTATGGCTCTGGACTGTCCCAAGACTGTGGCACCTTGTACACGGGACCGTACTCTCTGGCCCAATGTTCGTACATTTCAGCGATGATAGCGGTGGAATTTGCTGTCTTGGCGAAGCCAAACACCCAAATTGGACTCTGAGGTCCTCGTAAGCGTGTCGTTCGTTGTCTTTGGCGATACGCTTGTAGGAAATAGAGGGACACAATCACCAGTATCAGAACTGAGACGCATGTCGTTGAGCCTGGCAAGGACTCTCCAAAGGCAAACCAAACCGTGACATCCCTGCCACAGTGCGACAAACCCATGGTCGTGAGTAACTTGAAGGACTCATCAACTAGTAAACACTTTAGATTTGAAGCGGGTGGAAAGTCCGTTTGCAAGGTTATTTGATGCCATAAACCAAACGGGAAGACCGACTAGGCGCAAATCCAGCGCTTCCCTGAAAAACATTACTAGTCTAGCGATAGGCTGAGCGTCATCCATATCTTGGTCATTGCCCCGGTGTCCGAAGCGAGTCAAGATGATATTCAAGCAGCCAACAAGTGGTCCGGTGTTCAAAGTCGTCCTCTGCGCCTGTAGTACACTCTATTCCGGACGTGCCATCTTGAGATCCTCTTCATGCCTTTGGCAGGACTGGTGTGAGGAAAATTAAGGTGAGGCGAATAAGTACTCGCATTACATGAGATGAAATACTCGTTTCCGATCCGTGGTTCGACTGGGAAAATTCGTGAGGTTCCACCTTGAGTATACCACTCCCAGTTATCCTAACGATATGTCCCAACTTGCGCGTCTTCCATGCCCAGAACTAGACTGCCCTTGCCCCATCCACAATATACGATGACGGGTGAGTCCCGGGTCCGACTGTTCCCATGAGTAGTGTGCCACGATAATCGGCGCGGTAGATATGTCACCAAGAACCTAGAACAGCACCAAAGGTCCGATAAACACTGCCTGTAACTCTATGCCGCAATCACATTAGAATGAGGTGTGACACTTGAGATCATGAGCGGACCAGGCCAAATTTACCGTTTAGCCAAATTTCAAACTCCACGCTTCTCCCCGACGGTCACGGTAGAACGGACTCTCGGCGAAAACTTCGGTGTTTGGAATTGTGTGGTAGCCTGAGGTAACTTAGTCACTACAGTGCCAGGAAAATGATCTCACAGAGTCCAGACACAGGGCCGCGCTTCGATTCGGAAGATAACCAGGATCAGCTGCAGAATGACACTGTGACATCCCAAGGTGCAAATTTTGAAAACAACACCAGGCTACTGCATGTATTGCTCAAATTCAAACTTCAAGAGCATGCCGACGACCCGGTACGTCGCACCTCTAATTCTCACTGCCTACTTACTACACACATCTATCCGATTCTGTTTCCAGAGACGTTATTGTATGGTAGAGTCAGGAACCCGTCCAACACCGCGGTCCAAGCACTCACTTAGTATGCGTTCAATTGCTACTCAGGTGCTTTGTCCGGTTATTCTCTTGCAAAAATGTTGATGAGATCAAGTTACAGCACACGTGATTGGCGATTATAACGGCTGGCAGTTCCCCGAGCCTGTGAGATTCGACTTAACTTATGCGGATAAGTTTGTTGAGGAACAACGGTATGCGAGTGGTCAATCGTCGATCGATTTCCCTTTCTTTTCATCCACCTGACTACTAATAGCTGGTCTCTGCCACAGAAAAGCAAATCGCATTGAAGTACACATTTGTACGATCTGCGTACTCTGCGGTCTATTGCGGAATGTCAGGAATCATCAAAGAGGTTTTGTCCAAGTATTCCACAACCGATATCGATGGCATCCATGTAGCGTCTTCGGAAAACGCTCGCCGTCACAATGTACAACCGCAACCACTGGTCTGGCTAATAGTTTGCTCTAGGAGGGTGGCGAGGTCACGCGGGCACCGGACATCGCTCAGGTTTAACAATTCTAGTCACCTATGGTCAGTGCCTCTGCTGCGTCCCTGCAAATATGAAACTTGGGGTGAATAAATCATCATCACGAAGTGCGTCGGGCACATTATTTGAGGTTTTCACGAAAATTAGGTCGCGGAGTATGACATGGCATCCATTTCGTGATGCAAGTACACGCAAATTGTGTTGCTGCTCCCTAAGTATAAAAGCCAATGTACTAACTTCTGAAAGCACCACCAAGTTTCAGCCATGAAATTCACTTCACTCACCACTACGATCATATCTGTCGCAGCGATGGCTGGCGTAGCTATCGCATCCGACAACCTGGTGATAACACCGAAGAACTTGCCCTGCAACGGAGCTGGTGAGCACTTTTGCGACTTGCGTGCAGACCTTAGGCTACATGCTTGTCGTTATCAGATTCAGCGGGGTGTTCAACGGGCATCAAAGGTTTCAACAACGGCAACGATTTCGGGTATTACTGTTCACCTACCAACAAAATTACATACTATGAGGCATGTTCGTGCAAACATTGCTGTAAGGTTCTCTCCGGTGGAGCAGACTTCAGCTGTCCTGAAGCTTGAACCTGCTCAACTCCCGTGCCCGAGTGAGCCTGTCTTTCTCATTGTCCTTCAACTCCGAGTGCTGATTTGCGGTCTGTCGCCAGTGGATGGAACAATTAGCATGATACGTGGACGAGGGCGTGAAGGCGTGCTGTCAACGATATGTAATCAATTTAATCATTTTGGTCTATTGAAATAAAATGGTCCTGGATTGTCAATGAGTAGTTCGATGTCTTTTATTTTTTGAATGATTGTGTTGTGCAAGTGTGATGGTACAATATATACAATTTGGCACACTGATCAGCGTCAGGAAGGCAAACTCACACAAATTTTGACCTCGGAAGTGCTTGGAACATTAGTTCTGACAGATAACTAGCTAAAATGACAACATCTGAGGTTGATTTGCCAGACTACTGATGCACAAGTCAAGGATATGTTACCTGGCGTGACAATCTGCCACAAGACGTAACATCATTTTGAAATTCCGCCATGCTGCAACGGTATTTTCACGGCATCATGTCAAGCACTTAACATGAACTTGAACTTGTCTGTGTGCGGTGGACTTCTAAATAATGTGACACAGGAATTCAAACGTCAAGAGCATGATGCTGATGACCCGGTACGCCGCACCTCTAATTGTCACTGCCTACTAACTACACGCATCTATCCGACTTTGTCCTGTGTACGACATGATTCCAGATACTTTACTACATGGTGGAGTCAGGAACCCGTCCAACACGGCGGTCCATTTGGAATAGCGCTCAAAGCTCAAACGCCCGCCAACCCACTTGATATGCCATACCCAATTGCCAATGCTACTCACGTACTTTGTCCGGTTATTCCCTTGCAAAAATGTTGACGAGATCAAGTTACAGCACACCCACTCAAGCCACGGCCCACCACCGTGGTTGGCGGTTATAGCAGCTGGCAATTCCCCGAGCCTGTGAAATTCAACTGATGTAGACGTTTGTTGAGCAACGGTATGCGAGTGGTCAATCGTCGATCGATTTCCTCTTATTTTCATCCACCTGACTACTAATAGCTGTATCTGCCACAGAAAGCAAATCGCATCGAAGTACACATTTGTATGATCTGTTTACTCTGGGGTCCATTGCGGAGTGTCAGGAATAAACCTAATCATGTGTGAGTCGTGATATTGGAATCGTCAAAGAGTTTTTGTCCAGGTGTTACACAACTGATATCGTTAACATCTACGTAACGTCTTCGGAAAACGCTCGCCCTCACAACATACCACCGCAACCACTGGTCTGGCTAATAGTTTGCTCTAGTGGGGTGGTGAGGTCACGCGTGCACCGGGCATCGCTCAGGTTTACGAATTCTCGTCACCTATGGTCGGTGAGTGCCTCTATGTATCCCTGCAAATATGAAACTTGGGGTGAATAAATCATCATCACGAAGTGCGTCGGGATTATTTGAGGTCTTCACGAACATTAGGTCACTAAGTGTGAGATGGCATCTATTTCGTGATGCAAGTTGCAGATTGTTTTGCTCCCCCCTAAGTATAAAAGCTGATGTACCCACTTCTGAAAGCACCATCGAATTTCAGCCATGAAATTCACTTCACTCACCACTACGATCATATCTGTCGCAGCGATGGCTGGTGTAGCTATCGCATCCGACAACCTGGTGTTAACACCCATGAACTTTCCCTGCACCAAAGCTGGTGAGCACTTTTGCGACTTGCATGCAGACCTTAGACTACATGCTTATCGTTATCAGTGGGGTGTTCAAACCTCAAAGGTTTCAACAACGGCAACGATTTCGGGTATTACTGTTCACCTACTGAAAAAATTGATTACTATGAGGCATGTTCGTGCAAACATTGCTGTAAGGTTCTCTCCGATGGGAGTGACTTTACCTGTCCTGAAGCTTGAGCCTGCCCAACTCCAGTGCCCGGGTGAGCCTGTCTTTCTCATTGTCCTCCAACTCCGAGTGCTGATTTGCTTTCTGTCGTCAGTGGATGGAACAATTAGTATGATATGTGGACGAGGGCGTGAAGGAGTGTTGTCAACGACATGTAATGAATTTCTGGAGCCACTAAACCCATTCATGAATCGTGATCACGCTATCTTGTTTACCAAAGAATCAAGAGTATGCTTTGTAACGTCGAATAAACCAGGCAATTGACGAGGGCCACATCATGGTTTTCATGATAATTTCGATTTTGATAAGTAATCCACTTTGGAGCGCTCCATCAGTGTATAGCACGCTTACCAGGCAGCCTCCCGGATCGTAGTGGTGAGGATTACTCCGGTCATTGTTTGGGGGAAGTACGAGTAGATCGAGAACGGCTGCCAGTTCTTCATCTCAGGGTAGGAATTCAAGTTCAAGAGGAGTGCATCGCGCAGGAATGTCCAATGGGCCACCAGGTAGTATTTCATCTTTCTCTGGAAGCTGGGACGAAGAATCAGACCGATCGCGCCTTGTCAGATCGCCCACGGAACAACCTACGTTAAATGCTTGTTACGCATTCTGTTTCGAGAAGTCCTATCTAGATATGCGCATTCGATTTTCTGCTACGACTTACCTTATTTTCCTTCTCGTAAGTCCTGAAAATAAGTATGTATTTGATCTCTGTCCATAGTGGAGGAAGAACTTTCAGATCAATGCCCCCCATGTTGCTGTCAGGTAGAAATAGTAGGTGGACTCTTTGGCTTTCCGGCGTTATGCCACGGAGAAGCAGAACATCCAGAGACTCCACACTCGCACGTCGGAAAGGTTGCACAACATTCTTGTCGCTGTCAAAAAGCCAGTGTTGTTGTTGACTGCTGGATTATCACGTCCCGAAATACTTCCAGAAGTCGGGGTGTGAACAATATTCTTTTATTTCCTATGTACAACAGTTGGGAAGGAAATCCTAAATCCACGTTAGTTGGTGGTGGCATTAGTGTATTTTGTTGTGGCAAAACCGACGCGGCCGTTGGTGGCATCGTACACGGAGTAGAAGCGCTCAAGGAATGTGTAGCCAGTGAGGAAGTCAATACCTGAACCACTGGTCGAGCCAAGATCATGAATAACGAGATAGATGGCGCTGCTACTACCACCAAGATATGTGTTGAGGGAACGAGGCCAGATCTGGCCATTAGGGGTGAGAGAGAAGGTGTTCTGTGCTCAAGAACCGGTAAGCAAGGGACATTAGCACCTCGAAATAGAAATGGCGTACATTGTCATATGTGAAGTCCAGGTTCTTGAGGGCACTGTACTGGTCGGAGGTCACACTGAGAAGACCAGTCGCCGCATCTAGAGTAGCGCCGGTTGCAGACTGGTACTTGTCGAAGGCATCTATCGAACGCTAATTAGACTATGATCACTCGCTGTACTCTGAATACACACCGGTGGCAATGTAAATGAGAGCGGTACGAGAGTCAATGATACCAGACGTCGTAGACAAGATCGTCGTTGTACCGTAAGCGATGCTCTGGTTGATACCCCAGTAGTATAGTGCAGGGGGTGTGGTCGTGAGAGGACTGAAATAATTACTATCGGTCTGGATTGATCTAGGGGTTGAAGTAACTTACGTATACGCAATGGAGCCGGTGTACTTGGTGGCATCAGTTCCACCGAAGGTAAGTTCTCCACTGGTGCCCGTTAGCGAAGTGATGGGCTTGAAAGAGATACCGACGACGTCCTGAGAGATGGTGCCCTGGCTGTGCAGGTTATCAGTGACGGTCGGGACCCCCCCCACTGGTGAATTGTTCAGGGTACCCATTGTCAAGGAAATAGGCCCAAGACCAAGGATCCCATCAGCATCGCCGAAGCCGAACGCCGAAGTATTAGAAGCAACACCGATGGACTGGTTGGTAATGGTGAGCCCTTTACCGAGAGTGACAGTGTCTTTGTATATAGTTCCTATAGATAATGGTAAATATTTACAATTTATGATATATTTGTATGTCATACCAGCGAAAGCGCCAGAACCATAGCCGACCCCCACTTCCTGACCAGTATTGATGCTGGTGCTGGTCTGCACGTACGGCTTGACGGCGCCAACCCAAATATTTGAGCTTTCGGTGTCGATAATCAAGTTGTCTGTAACAATCCGTTAGCAGCCGAATTGTTTCTCAGTATTTAACTTACAGGTTGTGGCAGGGCTGCCAACGCCAACTTGTGCGACGTAGGCCCAGACAGTATCATCGACGGTCATAGGAACGCTATCACTGGCAGCACGGCGGTTGAGCGTGTCGAAAGAGCGGCCCTTAATGGCAGCCACACGAGCTTTATCACGCTGCAAGAGGTTGATGGTACCATTTGGGACGTTTAGCTTCCTGGCGATGGGGAGGGTGATGGGAGAATTGCGAACTTCAACGGGAGATGCCGCGATTGACAAAGCCAGGAGGAGAGTTGTCAACAAGGATGCAGCGGGGAACATGATTCCCGAAAGTGAGAATAATAATGTATTCAGTGGCCCATTTATATATGCGCTGGCCAACGCGAATGTTGGGTATCTTAGCCACGCACGTATGAATCCCCATTGTATGGATGAGTACAAGGAGCTTACGGTACTGATCAAAATTGAAATATCGAAGTATGATCTCGAGCAGCAGGAATTTACAATTCACGTGGTATTAGGGGATATTTATCCGCCTGTTTACCCATGCTCAGTCCTTACCTTGCGTTCATTTACATGGCCGCCAGTGCCAGGTTGCTCAGAATCTTCCCATGGCCACTGGCAGATATCAACATCTATAATAAAATTCTCATCTTGGCTTCATAATATATAATCTTCGGGTATTGCCCCATACTCCTGGGTCACTTCTCAACTTCCAGCTGTCCCATGTGCTGTCGAACGTTCCTGGGTCGTACGGGACGCGTATCCTCCTTCAATTTCTCCCTTGGAACTTACTACTCAGGACCGAAGCCCTGCCCCGTCACGAAGAGCAGCACTCGTTTCAGAAAATGCCGTGACCCGATCCTCTGGAATTCGTCGTCCCTACCCACTCAGGCTGATCTCGAAGTCCAAGCTTGAAATCTTGCTCACTTTGTTGCTGTCAGCCAACATGTCGGTCAAGTGCCTATCGTGGAGCCTGATATCGACTTCGCTGAAGACGCGGACCTCAAGAAGAGCATCGAGGTCTACGTGAAGATTACGCGAGATGTACTGCTGGAGAGTAAGGGCCATTTGGCCTTTAAGGAGTTTGGTTGCGAGTAACTAAGGTGTTCACGCAGCTTCTTTGATTAAACCTTCCCGCAATCTGCTTTCGCGTTCTTCCACGTCAATTAGGACATTGGCCTAGCCACAGCCAGTCCTTGCTTGTTCAGTCCCCGTCGCAGTTTCAGTTGTCGTATTCCTCTCAGGCAAAGCCTTCATGATTCTTTCCTGCACGACCTACCCTAAAGTGATATCGGGTGTCGTGCAGGTGGTCTCTCTGACTCTGATGCAGTGGAGTAACTCGACGCGTTCAATGTTGTCGCCAACAAGGCTCCCATTAACTTTCCCCGTGTCTTTCCCGTCTACCTCACCTCACGTTCTCGTTTGGACGTGGTCTAGAAATGCTGTAAAGTTAACCTGGAATCCTGGACCGGGAGGAACGATCTCAATAGCTTCGGTGCAGCTGTACAGCAAACCTGATAGGAAAATAGAGTGATTCACGAAGCCAAAAGGATGAAAAACGAAAAACTCAACTAGTCCTACCAGACATCGCGGAACTTTCTTCACTGTCTTGCTACGAATCACCGTGAACTCGCAAACACCTTACAATCCACTATGTGACTGTCAACCCAGGTTTTCTTCAAATCCTAAGAATGGGCTCAGATACACACGAGTTGGGACTTGTGCTAACTGGAGGAAAACATCGCTGAGAGTACGCACTTGTGTTTGTGTTTCCAGTATTAGCGTCTTGGCTGACCCTTGCGTGCTGCTACAGCATCCGATGTAATGCCTGGTGGGATGATACAGGTCGTTGTTTGTCAGAGTTCTCTTGACTGGTCTGAGTGCTTGTTCCAGGTGGCACTGGCGAACAACATCATACTCGTGAAACGTACGGTGTACAGGGATGGTCGACGATAGCGAGGTCTCCAGCTCTACGTTATGGGCTTGAACACGTCGAGAATATGTGATTTTAAGGTGACGCCGGCAGTTCCATCCTTGATGAAAGACAAGTAGCAAATTTCAATCAAAGTTTGCGTTTGGGATCCAAGTCTACAGATGACGGTCGTTTTTGATCCACATCTGATTATTCTGATGGGACAACATGCCCGCAGTGTGGCGCTGCACAGCATACCAGAGGTAGTATCATTCGAGAGGAGGGCGATGCAGCATGTACGGGTGATTTAAATGGCAGCCATTGATAGTAACTTGCAACTTGAAGGATGGATATTGGCAGGCCAGGGTCACCCGTGAGATCACAATTCATTTGGAAAACACGTGGAAGAGTCCCACGCCCGACACAGCAGGTTGACCCCGAGTCACCCCGCTATCCGCGGACTTCACTGGAATACCCTGGCAGGTTTCGACTCCAAGGCTTAGCACATCCACCCAAAACATTGGTTTGTTTCATTGCGTTCCAATCACGATGCTAGATAACCTGCCAGTGACTCCAATAGGTAATTCACTACTCTGATTGTTAGAAGGAATGGCTATCCTCCTTAGGCTGTGAAGGGGATCATCCAGTCATGAGACACTACTCATAGGTATGATTCTATCAGTTTAGCGCCAGAAGCCACCCCTCTCATTTGTACTCAGTTCGTTGTGCTACGTTCAGAGCTTGAAAGACATTCAGTTTTAACCAGCAACAGCTTGTTATCGTGTCCGAATTTCTTTGTGGAAGTGGTTATTGGACGATGAACCTTGCTAGACTTATACAAAATATAAGATGTGCTCTTGAAAAGGTGAGGCTCGGAGTCTAATTTGTACAATTCAGGCTGTGACCGAGACTACTACGACCGTTTTACTTCCTCGGCATTATGGCATCAGCGATACAGCAAGAGACCTTCCACCAAGGGCCGTCAGGCCTTGAGAAGGGACTGATTAATGGTACGACTACTGTACGACCGTCTAAGGTATTTGTATATAACGAGCGAGACATGGAATTGATGAAGTCACCCGCAACTTCGCACATCTCCCTTCGGCATGAATTCACCACAAGGTATCCCGTCTGACGGTGCTGCTGTACTGTCAGTATCGCTGGAAGGCATTCTATACGGTGAGTATTGCAAATGGCTTCGTCCCATGTCCACCAAGCTAGCGTTCTCTAGGCTTCTCGATCCTCATGTTTACGGGTACCATCTGGGCCTTAACATACAACCGTCGCATGCAGGACGTGAATCGCCCGATCACTGCGGTGGCCATCCTGCTGTTAATATTGAGTACTGCAGTCAGCCTCTCACTTCTCAATATCCGATGTCATATACTGACATCTTCCAAGCACATCGTCGTGAATATTATTCGTGTCCAAGATGGACTAGTGAAGTATCGCGACACGTTTCCAGGCGGGCCAGTAGCGTTCTTTGGAGACATTACCCAAGTAACGTATGTGATAAAGCATGCGTTATACATGATACAAACACTACTTGCTGATGGGGTAGTGGTGCGTTCACTTTTTTATCTATCGGATTAAGGCTCTCCGGACTTACCGTTGTCTGGCAATAGATTTATCGCTGCTATGTTGTTTGGAAGACTGTCTGGGTTATCATCGTACCAAGCGTGCTGTGGTGCGGCGGTGCAGGTGGGTTTTTCATCGTGCTCAAGAAGTTGTGCTCTGACACAGCCCTCGAAGTTACTGGTGTCGCTGCGGTTTATGACCTTTCGCAAGCCAGTAGAAACCCCACAGATATCTTCACCACGGTTGTCGCAGACTGGATCAAGGTATTCATTATTTCGACACTTGTGACTAATTTGTTGAGTTCGGGTAAGCACGTGTCAGCCTGGGCGTGTCGAGAGGTCCTGACTCAATGTATCCAGGATTACTCGCATATCGCATCTGGATGCTAGAACGCAGTATCTCCACAGTTCGCACTACGAAGAGCTCAATGATGCCAATAGTTCGCGTACTTGTGGATGCTGCTATTTTGTACACTGCGGCTCTCGTCACCAGACTAATATTTTTCATCTATAACAACAATGGGCAGGAGTTTTTGGTGGACATGGTAATTCGGTTATCAACACCTATTGTTGAAAAATATTGAGCTTCGATCAACTAGATCACGCAGATCATCTCAATTGCCTTTTACATGGTGCTTGTCCGCATCCCAATAAATGAAAAAACTCGCATGTACCACTCGATCATCACAAAACGGCCAAACACTGAACAAGGAAACTCGCGGCAACGTCCTACGGAACCTATGTCGATCAGAATATCCCAATCTACGCACGGTCACGGCACCTTAGAACAGGTAATTGAAATCGACCACCAACATGCGAGGGGGAGCATGTGAAAGGCGCACTTTGCATTTTGTGATGATTCAGATGAATATCTATATGCTGGGAGATGTGGAATATGTAGGATATTTCGGGGAGATCATTGGATGGCTATCCATACGCGGGGAAACACAGAATACGGGTGTTTATTGGAGATTGGATCGTTGTACGTATGTCGGGGAACGTAGAATACGACACCCTCCCTACAAAGAAGTGTATGAAGGACTTCCGTAACAGATATAATTCTCGAATCGTCGATAACACAATGCAGTTAAGAGGTGGCGAGGTCTGGAACATTTACTCTGAAGGAAATGTCGGGTTCGATTCCCTGTTCCACGTTCAGAACAAAATTTGTGGGAGGTCTGAATCAACAAACCATATAATTATGGAGGTGCTTGATGTGACATACGTGACAAAGGACTGTCAAATTGTTTGGCAGACACGAGCTCCCAGTCGATGAGTATCGAAAAGGTCTCACTCACTAACGAGATCAGACTCTGCGCTTCCCTTATCACACTCGGTACGATATCTTGAAGCTTAGTCTATATTGCTATATTGCAGACATGATCCTGCTCAGCATATCCTTGTCGTTGAAAAGAAATATGATTAGAATCCGCCATCTCGCAGACATATTTCAACGGGAGAGCACATAACCGAGCAATACAGCAACAAATGTGAGACAATCAATCAACGGTTTCTACCACAGAGTACTTATACTTATTGGCATATGACCGTAGAAAGCCCAGCAAACAAACATATTTCGTGACTTCTCCGGTGATCAAGAACTATTGCTGAAGGTCACGAGTCTCCGGCGAATGTCTAACAGTCGTTGTTTTCTTGTTGAGAGCATTACGCGTTTCTGAGCGATAGAATCATCTTCTCTGACCAACTCGTGCATACGCTCAGAGAAATTGGGCCCGGACGCAACGTCAGTCAGCAAGCTCGTGAGGAGGCTCTGCGAAAGTTGCCCCGCTAGAGCATGATGGAGCGCATGCTCAATCGTGAAAGGAATATGATCAACGATGCGCTGCTCGGGGCGATAAACGCGTTGAAACGGAGATGATGAGCGAGACTCACCTTGTAGGCAACGTGATAATAGGCTCGAACATCAGCCATCACAATTAGCTCGTCTTCAAATGAGTCGGGAGGTAACAACCGTGCAAGATCTGAAACCCGAATATTTGTGTACCCCGCTTCTGCAAGAGCCCTCAAAGCTTTGGCCTGGGCCGTCTCTGCAAGTGGAGGCGGGGTGATGCAGGGTTCACTCTGACTAGGCTTTGGCTCTAAGGCGACGGCACACGCACGTGGTCTCCATATCGAGGTCTGCGGAACGTTTGGTGAAGGACATTTCTGATTCGATTCCCTATAGCCATTATCGGGACTTGCGCAACCTTCAGGGGACTTGGGCGTCTGAGGTCGGGCTGGCGTAGGTTCTCCGACCACCTCTCGAACATGACGGATGTGAGCCTTATACTGAGAAGGTCTACTCCGAGCTGTCTTATAATGAGACAGCCATTTGTCGCGGAGTGTTTGAAGATAGTGCGTGTTCTGAGTATAGTGTGGAGTAGTTTCCAGATCCAAAGCTGTTTTGACAGCAACTTGAGCGCGAGTCTTGCAGATATCAACTTGGATTCTAATCAAATTCCTAATAACACAAACGCCTTGAGCCGAGACAATAGTCGCGAGGAGTCAGCGCTTACCCAAAATAATCCTCGAGAACTTTGAAACGTCCAAAATGGCTGCTTATGAGTGCATCAATGACTTGATCGAGCACATTGTTGATACCATCGAGACAGCGCTCAGACGGAGCAACCCAAAGTTTGGTAAATTCAGCGATGAGGTTGGCCTTCGCTAGATATGGCACATTGTTCGGAAGCTCCCATCCAATTGCCCTTGATGAATTTGAGCTGCCGTCCAACTGCCACAACAGAAGACGAAAACATACTCCTGGATGACCTTGCGGATGTCATATATCCCCATCGTTTTCACTCCCGGATCCCGCTCAGTAAGAGTCATATTTCCCTCAGTATCATCCAGTGGAACATAGGCTTCCGGTTGATTAAAAGGCCTGAAGTCGGGAGCAGTACCACGTATATCCCTCTTGAAGACAGCATAGAGAGCACGATTCTGCTGTGCTAGGCGTTTGTCTTCGTGACTGCCGCTCACAAAGCTCTTGAAGACATCGCAGAAGGCATTAACTCGCCCTAATACCTCAATCTGTGGGTCATTTGCAAGTGGCGGGGGCAGTTCGTCGAAGTCTTTGATACATTTGGCAAGGAGCTTGTCGACATCATCTCTAAGACATGGTAAACTGTAGACAGTGTAAGTACTTTATGACGAGCCAGTTGAAAGAAGGTTTACGCACGTTTTCTCGATCAATTGAATGAGCAGTCGGCTCACATCGGAGACAAAAGCTGGAATCCCAAATCGATGACGATCGGTCACGTCCTTCCAGGGCGACGTCGTGTCGAAATATTCAGCGGCACGCCTTTGCGATTCGGAACGAGACAGGCGTTGCGCGCGTTCGGCATCATCGGGAAGACGCACACAATAAAAACCGTGCCTCAGTGTGTGTTCCTCCGAACGACCCTCGATGATTTCTACCCATTTGCGGCGCTGGTTGATAGCTCCAGCACCGAGTGTGTCAGGCTTCGTGAGTACGCCTGAAAAAACGTTGAGTGATTTAATTATACTGATGTATAGGTGACTTGCCAATTGTTCGCTTTCCATCAGGGTCTGCGGCCCTGGCGAGACTCATGGATTGTTGATTTTCCATATCATCTAGTACGGGACCGATCAATTCAGTGGAAAGCATTATGCGGTTCATGCACGTACCACTCATGGGAATTGTGGTCAATATTATAGTGTTTTCTTTCTTGGTGTAATGTTCCACCAAATTCTTCACCAAGGCGACGGTTTCGGCGTCTTCATTTTGTATCAAGCCTTCATTGACCATCAGATATGTCATGTCAATCTAGATGAGCACATACGTACCCGGCAGATCATAAAATGATAGGTCAGTCGCATCGGGGTCTTGGATAGAGACGCACACCACGTTGCGGGAGAACTTCAATAAACTTTTCGCATTCCTGAGTTCCTCGATGGTTTTGGTGTGGAAAGTCGAAGAAGGAACGTTTGGGTTCAAAATGGCTGCCTGAGCACGACGCATCCAAACTTCAAATTCACCTTTGTCTGTGAGCGTTCCGCCAAAGCGCACATTAGTAGGTTTTCGCAGTTCTAGGCCGTTGCGATTGAAGCCGATACGTAGGGTGATAGTGCAGGCCCACGATGATGCATGACTGGACATTGTACATTCCATAGGGCATCTGCGTATAGTAGTATGAGCATGCCTGCAATAGCTGATGGTCATTAGGTTCACCTTGTACACGTTCCGCTATCTCTTGGGACGTTTATCTTTATCGTAATGAACAACGGTACAAAAGGTCAAACTTTCTGTCGACGTACCCCACTGACAGCCTCAACCAGTGAGCTTTTACCAGCTGAAATATCGGATTGAGTATAGCCGTGGTTGCAAGGGCAGGTGACTACAAACCGGATTGGCCACCAATTACGACCACAGATGGTAAGTCGATCAGCGCGTCGGCACTGTAAGAAGGAGCATGAGCCATCATTACAATCAGATCCAAAAATACCCACCCCATGGATCGGAGGTCAACCATCATCTGAATAAGTTCATTGCGCCTGCGGGCATAGTCGGTGGACGATATGTCCACTTCCTCCCATATCTCTGGAGAGCTGACAGAACCAGAGAGGGAGGGAAGGGACGTTCCATCAAGAGAGGGCTCGGTTGACGCTGCTTGTTTGCGTCTATTGCGCAGTAAATCCATGGTAGATTGGATGTTAAAAGCGTCTTAGACACAACATCCAAACGGCCTCTGTTTTTATGCGCCGGCGCTCGATCTAGAGGCTCCTCGGATACGTGTGAGATTAGCTACACCTTCTAGTTCGTAATACAGGGGATAATGGGAAGAGAGAGGGCCTTCAGATGTCGCAAACACAGCAATGGCATCCGCGCATGGACACAGTTATTTGGCGACTCATTGTTTGAGTGCATCGAGGGCGATCTCAACGCGAAGTAATATGACACATACCAATCATAGAAGATCTGCGTTGACCTTGTCGGCACAAAGCCATATAGTAAACAAAGTAGAAATGAAATACAGTGTGCCTTCCTCCTCGTCAACCATATTGTAAAGAAGTTCCAGTCACTTCGGCGAGTCGCATCCTCTGTACACGTGGCCCAACATGATCGGCGGGCATTGCTGCGTAACTTACAAGTTTTCTTCCCCGAGGCCTGTACGCTTTTCCTCAGGCTCGAACTTGTTGCCATGACGCTCGCCTTAAAGAATCATCTGACTCTTCTCTCCTACATCACCGCGATTCAGAGCTCACACCTCGCATCTTCTGATTCACCACAAACAAGTACTCACCAATGGGCATCTTGAGGGGATGGTGTCAGGAATTGAGGCTTGAAGCACCCCCACTAAATCCTGCTCCGTCAACTTGAATACGGTAGGAAGTGGTGACCCATCTGCGGTAAATCATGGATAGGTCACCACTCCCTACATCGTATATATCATCGACTCGAATCAAAACCAAAACTATCATGGTGCAACGGGACTGGTCGCTCCTGCAGGGAGTCCAGGTTAGACCATGAATATACGCATACCAATTTGAACCATAAGTTGCGTGCCGCAGGGGAAAGGGGGTCGCATAGCCAGCCTGCATCGGATTTCAATAATGCCACAGATACTAGCACACTGCTGGCAGAGAGTCGCATGATGGTGTAAGGATATAGAGTCTGGCCACTGCCAGTAAACTTGTGGGCGTGGGCGGTTGTACTTAGGTACAAAGAGTCGTGGGAATTACCTGCATCTCTTTCTTTCAACGTACTATTATTTTCTTCAGTCTCTAGTGGGCATGCCACCAGTGACCAGCGCCAACAACCCCACCCTCTGCCCCTGCTAGCAAGTGACACGATACTGGTTTGTCTCATGCCTTTGCTGAATAATGACTCTAGCATCGAAACTCGTGTCATTGTGGTTCTTCCTCCTTGGTGATGACTTTTAAATTTTCATGCTGGAAGTGACAATCTATGCTATATCTCACTATCTCTTGATCAGAATCATGCTTCTCAAATCCCAATACAACAAGCACACCTGAATACACTTTCGCTGCCAGCGGAGGCAGGCTGCCGAAGAACTGCTAGTGCATTCGACGCGGCTCACCCTCGCATCTCTTTCCTGTCTGATTATCGCCGTACTGCAGTCACAAAGTCTGATTCAGAATGTTCAGGCCCTCGTCAATCCGTAAGGAAAGATCATCTATGCCACTGACGAAACTATCAATGGCATTGAGGCCAGACTAGTCGCCACGCATGGCATGGAAGGGGAATTGGCAAAAGTGAGAGCGCAGACGGTGGTGGAGGGCATGCCTGTACGAATCTCCTTCCGCTGGCAAGTAGCTCATGAGATTATCAGTTTATCAGACTGATCTCATCTTGACTTTATACAGAATGTATTTTCGGATGCCATCTTGTACCATGAGACCCTTCTTGACTTCCAGCCGGGCCCTGTGCTGTCCAACAAGGGCATCATTCCTGGCATTCGTGCTGATGCTGACGTACATTCTCTTCCTATCCTTTGGAACCTGCTACTCAGGGTCCTGACGACCGAAGCCCTGCCTCATCTACAGGCAGCAGCACACGTTTCAGCAAATGGCGTGCCCCGATCCCCTGCAACTCGTCAATTAGGAGATTGGTCTAGCCACAGCCACAGTCCTTGCTCGTTCAGTCCCTGTCGCAGTAGCTGGTGTTGCCTTTCTCTTAGGCAAGACCTTCATTATTCTTTCCTGCCCGCCCCATCCAAAATTGATGTTGGGTGTCATGCAGGTGGTCTCTCTGACTCTAATGCTGTGAAGTACATCAACGCGGTCAATGTTGTCGCCAACAAGGCTCCCACTAACTCTCCTCTGTCTTTCTCGTTTACCTCATCTCACGTTCTCATTTCGCTGCGGTCTATAGCTCGCGAAATTCGGCTAGGAGGAGAAATTCTGTAAAGTTGACCTGGAGTTCTGGACTGGGTAGGAACGATCTACGTAACACTACTGCAGCTGTACAACGAAACTGATAGTAATAGGATGATCCACAAAGCCAAAAGGACGAATCATAAAATAAATCAGTCCTACTAGACGTCGTGGAATATTCTCCAGTTTCTTGCCACGAACTGCTGTATAGTCGCAAACACCTTACAATCCACTTTGTGACCGTCAAACCAGGCTTTCTTCTCAAAATGCTGAGAACTTGAATGTGCTCGGATACACGCGAGCAGGGACCTGTGGGTCTTGTGCTAACTGGAGGAGAGTATCGCTGAATTGCATTTGTTGTTCCAGGTGCCAAACAAGCGTCACACTTGAGGACGTAAGTGTTAGCGTCTTGGCTAGCGCAGCCATATCATCACGAACCCCGTCTAATCTTGGCTGTTGTAGGACTTCGCCGGACGCATTACCCCCGCCGCGAAGCCGAGGTGCACAAGTACAGCGGGTCTTTTCAAACCGCTTTATCGTCATAAAAACCTCACCGAATACACCTTCATTTAGCCCCCTGTTCAACAGGTGCCTTCGCCGCCCAGTTCACAAAGTCATCAGGGTGTTTCGAATGTGCGCCCTTTTCTCTCTCGGTTAAGTTTGTTTGATGTACCGGAAACACGGATACCGCAAGGACCCTTGCGTCTGTTCAGTCAGCCATGCAATCGAGCACTGCGCAGTGTGCCAGCGTCTAGGATGTATCTGAATCTGAATAGTTTTCATCTTTCTCGACCTCTGAAAGCAAGGTCCATGTTATGTTTTTGAATCAGTGGAGTCATCGGAATTGGCGGGGTGGGTCCCTTCTTCCCCGTAGCGTTACATAACGAGAATGGATAAATGTAGATAAATGTAACGCATTTTGGTTCATTTGTACCACGTACAAATTTGTAACTCCCGTATTTTTAGTAGTCCTCGTTCAGGTCTCTGATGTACAGTGACCGATATGATATGGGCCAGGTGAAATTGACGCGGTCCTGCCGCGACTGCCGCGGTCGTGACGCGCCTGTGACGCGGCAAATGTGACGCGGCACTGTGAGATAGAGATCATGTTCAAACCAACATCTTATGTCGCTCGAACTGAATTCTAAACACTTTGAATATCCTCGTTAATGATCAGCATGTGAGTGTCCGTCTGCGTGCAAGCCCTAGACTGCTGTATTTACTTCTCACTATATTTACAGTGCTTGTCTTCTGTGTCCATACTACTAGTGTCATGCGGTGCATCCATTCGTCTTGTATTGCCTGTGATTCATTGACCTAATGTTGGTTTTCAGACAGTGTCAAGTGTTGTCTCGCTAAGTGTCAAGCCTCGACCTCACATTGTCAAGTCTAATACTGTCTCTATACTCGCATACTACGCGGCCACCATGTTAAGCCCCCACCATGTCATCTCGAACCTCATTCTGGCTGGGTCAAGCGCTGCTCATACCACGACAGGTTTTCCCAAACATCTTCACAGTCTCTGTACTAATGTCAACGTTCACACTTACCTGTGCCGCGTCAAGGCCCACTTCATGCCGCGTCAGTGCCGCGTCAACCATTGCCCATGCCGCGTCAGTGCCGCGTTCAAATAAGTTGTGCCGCGTCACATGCGCGTCACGCCGCGTCAAACCTCGTCCATGCCGCGTCAGTGCCGCGGCACAGCCTCGTCACAGCCTCGTCACAGCTACCCTTCACACACGAGTTTGACTTGCGCACTCAATTATAGTGTTAACAAAAGCGCTTTGGCTCGTCTCGGGAAGTATTGGTATCCTGTGCAGCTAATTCAGTCCTATTTTAAGTGTTGACGTGCTCCACAGACTCGGAGGGTCCAGAGAGGGAGGAAAAAGAAAACAGTCATTGGTTGATGTAGCTAGCTTAGTACATGTCCCTATGACGAATAAAATAACAAAGGAATGGTCATGAACCCGTCCAACTTAAGCTTGATGTGGGGTCGAATGCAGAACATATAGGAACACCTGCACTGGCACGTCAGCAGTGGCCGCGTCAAGGTTCGTTAGTGCCGCGTCAATGCCGCGTCACGACCGCGGCAGGCGCGGCAGGACCGCGTCAAAATAGCCACGCCCATATGATATTGGCAACAGTCTTAAAGCAGCTTAAAACCGTTCATCGATGGATCATACATCTTCTAACTTTTCAACTTTGCTTCTCGCGTTAGCCAACAACATGCAGACAGCCGACTCAAAACTCAATGTCTCCGAGTCCGTCTCAGGTATCATCGGTGCACTGCAAAACATCGTAAGTGCCCAATTTCAAATCGGCATTCGTGTCTGAGCATAATCATCACCCACTCCAGCTCGCGCAATCACAAGTCATTGTACGTTTATCTCTTTGTCTATCCCGACACGCATGCTACGTTACTGATGATGACCAGATTCCAGACCTCGAAACCACATACTCCAAATTCCCAAATACAGACCACTCTGCCGTCGATCTCGGAGGCCAGAGCGTTATCGATATCATCGCCGAGCGCCAGCAGCAGTTGGATGGAGTTGTACACGACATCATGGGTCTGGAAAGCGTGGTCGATAGCATAAAAAATCTTCATCAGCAACTCGTTGAAAAGAAGGTCAAGATCACGCAATCGATGAATCTGCACAAGGGACTTGTATCGGCTCTCTGGCGCTTTCCAACTGAAGTCCTGTCCCAGATTTTTCACCAATGTCTCCCGGAAACCAAAATGTTGTTGCCATCAATGCTAAAAGCTCCCATACTGTTGACAGGAATATGCCGACGATGGAGGGAGGTCGCTGTGGGCATGCCCAGTTTATGGTGCAGCCTGAGGTTATATGTGGAAGTCGACGATAGACACTGGCACCGGGCAGCTTTCTGCTATGACATGTGGCTCAAGCGTTCACGAGGACATCCGCTCTCATTGGCAATCGGTTGCAACCACTCAACCAAACTACGAAGCCTTCTTCAGCCTTACGTCACTCACATAAAATCTCTCCAAGTCTCTATTCGTTCCTTCCAGGGCGGGTGCCCCGCGCTTTTTTCAACAGACCTCCCAGCGCTTCAGGAGCTGACAATACTAGGAATGCGTCATCCTGACACTCCAGCTATTGCACAATCTATCTCGCGACTGTCGTCCACTTTGCGCAGTCTCAAGGTCATCGATATGAAGCCATTTTTCGACCTCGAGGACTTATCGTATTTCAGTCCCGTATGGGCCCACCTGACGGATGTCCAAATCGCCCTTAGTCACCCGAATGCAGTCATCCACTTACTCCAGTTATGTCCCAACCTCTCCTCGTTAACTCTCCGCATAGCATGCGAGCAAATAGAACCCTTAAACTTAGAGTCATTCGCGCACGCCAAAATTCAATCCTTGCGCATCGTTTATGACTCTTTGCTCACACGCCATTTGTCTGGCCTGCTCAATGCTCTGTTGCTCCCAAATTTGCGCGTGCTTGAAGCTCGCCGCAGTGCACCATGGCCTCATGAGGATTTGAAGGCATTCTTGGCACGGTCAGAGTGTCCCTTGGAGACCCTGATTTTTGGTGGGCGGGTGACGATGACAGATGTGCAGCGAGCTGAATACGTTGCCCTCATTCCTTTCCTCAAAGTAGTAGTGGATCATGGTAGTAAATACATTTGAGATAAGACTCGGTCGTGACATGTTATACAAAATGACGTTATCGGGCTGGCAGTAGATGAGTATCATGAAAGTGTTGGAGAATGCCATAATTCGGGAAGCCAGCAGTTGATCGGGGGGAAGCATCAAAAATTAAAATATCTGTGGAACGTTTCCCAGTTTCTCGCCGTGAACCACTGTACCCCCGCAAGAACCTTGCAGTCCGTCTTGTGGCCATCCACCCAGGCTTTCTTCTGACAAACCTAAGAATGGGCTTGAGTCACGCACACGACTTGAATATCGCCAATGCTTACCTCTCCACAATATGACTCTTGTTTGCAGCGGGAGCACAAGCGCAAGTGCGTATTGTCAGAGTTCTCCCCCTTACCACAACACCCACAGCGCGCCGAACGACCCTTGCCCAGCGCAGCCACATCATCACTGGCCTTCAGCAGCTGGTCGAGCGAGCAAGGTATGATTTTGATAACGGAGGGTTCTTCGACACGTATACCGACGGTCATGTCCAGGAAATGATGTTGCTCGCCATACAGTACAGCAACTGTATGGCCTTCCTTGATTTGCGGGGCGAGCGCTCGTCCGCGGTCATCTGTGTACAGCCCGATGGTAACGACCTGGCCATCCTTATCCTTTGCGCGCAATAGGACTCGGAAAATGCCGTAGTCGGCGACAATCTCACCGAGGAAGCACCAGTGCCGTCTGGGTGCAAATCTATACGGGCCCTCGTCGTAGTAGGTGAAATCAATATCATTCTCGTGCGGAAGGTCGTCGAATGATGGGAAGGTGACACAATTGCGCAGGAGGCTTTTGGAAGTCTTGGTTTGTGGCATCGTTTAGTGCAGTGAGCTGATTTAAGTTGAGCTTGTTATATAACTCGGGGAAAACCGACCAAACCTGTGAGTTTCCGTGTATCGGAAGCTGCTTCAACTTCAAGTCGAACAGGACGATGGATGAGAGGACGAGAGATCCTCCGGGAAATGGACCTCTGGGGTCTTTGGGGCGTGTTATGGGCGTGCTGTGGGCGTGTTGTGGGCGTATCTAGGTCCCAGTCTGGTTCTAGACTCGTGACCAGTCCATCTATCGATGGCTTGCCTCATAGGACGGATTAGCCACGAGTCTGGGTCCATGTCAGCTGGTTCATTATAAAGTCAGGCATAGCGCCTGTGCTTGGATCTAACATGTAGACTCAGACAGTGGATGCCGCTCGGATGAGATGGACTACAGTTATTGATTGTGATGCATCACAACAGCCTGAGCAAAGGCGCCGACACACCAGTACTCAGGGATGGCAGGTGCGGCATACGCGAAAGAGGCAGGCCAAAGCGCTGATGAATTACGGAGAGTGCGAAAGGGGGGTTCCATGACCAGAACGGAATGCATCACCGTAGTACTGACGTGAAGGATGGGCGTCGGAAGTGATAACTGTAATACACCTGTGCTAGGCGCTTTGCAAACAGTAACAAACAATTGATTCCGTGATGACAAATCACTGAACGTCATGAAATGAATCTCTTGAAGTTGAAGATGGCCACCCTCAGTTCACTGGACGAAGAAGTTCGACTGTTCACGAAAAACACCGAGCGTCGAGCGAGAGAAGCAAAATATAATTTGTGTCTTGTACGAGATCATCGTCGCGCTTGACTACCTCGAGCACGCCTACGTTCATGATGCATTTACCTGAGCACCGAGCACTGAGCATAGTATGTTCCCATTCTAAATTCGCTACATATCAGACTTAGGAATACATATGCTGCCAGAGATACTCTCCTGTATCACGCACGCATCTTCTTTCGCAATACATGACAATGGTCAAGCGCTCAAGTTCATCAACTACTCCGTTCCCTCCATCGAGCATTTCATGACGCGATATCGGATGGATAATCCTGCGGCATTGCATTGCATACGAGTTGCTGTAACTGCTACTGTTGAGCACTCTAGTGAGGTGGGACCTGAGACTGGAAAGTGGATCGCAGAGACTACATAGGTTGGAGTTTGTGTTGCAGTCTCATTTTCTAACCAATAGCGCAGAATTTTATCATATTCATGGATGCGTTGAGGCTTAGACTGCGCGCTAAGGACCAGATTCATTTGATATTGCAAAAGTTTGTCACAGGGTGTGCTAGGTTTAAGGGGAGCAAGGACTGGGAGGGACGAAGCAGAATGGTCTGCTGGTGCGTCCCGTTCTGTGGCTTTCTTTCTTTCGGGCTCACGTTGAATATTTTCAGGCTTATTGCTTTGAACAGCATGAACATAAGAACAGTCCCGGCAGGTAAGTTCACGACCTTTGCTGGACTACATGCCCCTTCATGCAGCAGAATCATGCAGCATTTCCATAGCTTTTATTTGACGTCCATCATATATATGCCGAAGTCTGAGCAGCGGTAAGGAGAAATAATATACCGTCGCGGAGTCTTGCATGTCTTCTCGTTGGCAGCCTCTCTTGATGCATGTGGCTCGAGCGCTGTCCACTGCCAGGGACGTATATGAATAAACCACACAAGCTGCAAATAGGCTGCTGTGTAGACGTACACGGATTTACTCTTTCGTGTTTCAGCGTTATCCATGAACTCTAACTGATGCCAATTTTAATTTTCTAGCGTGACATAGAACTTTTAAAATTGGAACGGCCAGGTACATTAATTTCAATGGTCATAGCATCCAATCCGCAGCTTTACTAGTGGTTACACGCTATTGAGTGGTTAGTCCCTCCTTGGTTTCTGGCACACAAGCTCTCAATTTTCTGGCCAGTTATATGCGCACTTGGCGTGCGGTGTACCTTTTTCCGTATGTCTCACCTTCGTTCATCCTCCCCGGGGTGACATGACTAATGCTTTCCAGTCTCTTCTACAATAACGATCTTATACGTATGACTCTGGTAAAATGTCTATATATCCAGAACAACACCCCACGAAGTCTCATCATAGTTCGCTAGTCTGTAGGTGGTTGGTGTTGGGTTTTATCCGTAGTCTCATGATTGTACCAGGAAGTCTGCGGGCAGCGTACAAGGCGGACAGCGTGCGCTTGCTTATCCGCGTCTAATCTACCTGTCGACGTGAATTTCCTCTGTCCGGGGATTCGTCAGGGCATCACACCGCACATTCTGTTGAATCCTAATCAAGATAATACCTGATCCTTGCCCATAGATGTCAGTGTCACAATCATTTCCTTGATGCGCCTTTCGAGCTGGTGCAAAATCTGTGTTCGAGGACAGGACGAAGGTGGTCTGGCTCACAACGAAAGGTGAGACTTGAAGTTCGAAATATTGGAACTCAACCGTTTTCCCTCACCGTTTTCCCTCACCTTTCAAATAAGAGATGTCCATGACTCATATCCGTCGCCGTCGCCGTCGCCTCGGTATGAGACGGACATATCGGCAAAATCGCAACGAGAGAGCATACCAGAGGCACATGTGAATACGACCTTCTCCATTCCGCAGCTCATCGGTTTACCGCCAGATACTTTTGAGCGAGAACAAATGGACCAAATACGGCCTTAAAACACGCCACACGGTCCGACCAGCACGGCGCTATTTGTGCATGGCACAGTTGATTAGTGATGTCCATTCGCAGGCAAGCTCTGCTGCAGACTAGTACTTACAGTGCGGTCGGCTTATTGACAATATCCAAGGACTAAACAGTATGATATCAATGCAGACACGACAAACGTCCATCGTACGTAAGTTACATTTATAACCTGCTGACGACTTGAAATGTCCTGCATCGAGTTAGTTACACTCTCGGCGCGGAATAATGTGGTCATTATTTCTCCTCGTTTCTTGCCCGCATTCGTGAAACAGCACATGGAATCATACTGCCAAGACAAGAGACAGTGCTGTCGGTGGTCGAAAACGCATGCGCAACCAATAATGGAGCTATGTAACGCCCCAATAGCGAGTTCAGTACATACCACTATCTTCTCTAGCTCACGTCCCATCATATTTGAGTGTCAAGCGGTCTTCGTGTCCCGCTACGTGTCCCGCCTCATCCCACAGGTTTTCAGGCACAAGAATTGACAACTGTCATCGGGCACTTGTGCCCATCACCTGTCTTGCGCCCTTTGCGGTCTGGCTGTGTCTCATCCTGGTGAGCCGAATCAGAATTCTGGCTACGCGCGCTCCATTTCTCGATGGACATGGACTATAAAGCCTGGCCGACTTCCAAAGGTCAGTCATCAGCAATCCAGCCTCCAAACAATTCATCTGCACAATGAAGCTTTCCTCAGCTGTCGCTCTTCTCTCTGCGTTTGCTCTGCCCGCTTTTGCGACGCAGTTTAATGTGACCTACGACGCATTCTATGATAACTCGGGCACTTCCCTCTCCCAAGTAGCCTGCTCTAACGGTGTCAATGGCCTGTTGACAAAGGGCTACACCACTTTCGGCTCTCTTCCGTCTTACCCCAACATTGGAGGCATTCCTAACCTCACCTGGAATTCGACTCTGTGCGGTACCTGCTGGAACTTGCAGTATACCACTCCCACTGGGACACAAGAGAGCATATATATCACCGCTGTTGATGCAGCGTACACATTCAATCTGTCGGAGGAGGCATTTAATGAGTTGACCGACAACACTGGTGTCGCGTCGGGCAAGGTCGCTGCTACCGTCACCCAGGTAGCCGCAAGCTTCTGTGGCATGTAAAGACAGGCAAGTTGTTTTATAAAATGTGTGCCACGCAAATAAAAGGCTTACTTTCGATCAATCAGAAGCGTACCGCCAGAGTTTCTCGAAGTTCGAAGAATTATTAGCATTCACTATGGACCTTTCGTATTACCGTTTTGCTTCTTCTCCTTTTACGTGTACTTGGTACAGTCGTTCATTGTAGGAGTCGGTTAGCCGGACTTGCATTAACTTGAATGTCTATAGTTGGAAAATTTGTCTTGATTGTCGTGCATTCGATGGCATGAGGAAAGGTAGTCTCTGCCGTGTTGTCTCTCAGCAATGATCATAACGTGCCCGCTGGTGTCCGAAGTGAAACTGCAACGAAGAGCGAGCAACGAAGCTTAAAGGTGAATGCTATAGACTGAGTGGTATAGAATAGCGTAATGCTCTCCGAGATATGTCGTACGAGGTTGTAGTAAAAGTCCATGAAGTCTATTATATAGCGAAACGTGCGACGCCTAGTAATATAAGTCTTGGGCAAAGTATCAAGACGCTTGGGATCGTGACACTCTGGAGGAACGAACAATGGCAGCGCATTCTGCTCGTTGCTCAGCTGTCATGATACCCGAGCCAGTGGATACAAACAGCTTCTCCAGGGGACACTTTGGCCGTGTCAGGAATTCCTTGAACTCCTCATGAGGCCACGTTGATGAACTCCAACCATAAAATCTGCGTAAATTGGGGAGTGAGAGAGTACTGAACACGCCAGATAATGGGTTGTTGAACGCCACACTACCACGGAAGATCAAGAATTGAAGTTTGGTGTGCGTGAATGGCCTCAAGGCCTGTGATTCATGTGAGACCATGGCAGTGGTTAATGAGGAGAGGTTGGGACATAACCGGAGTAGGCGGAAGAGTGTATTCTGTTCATCTACGTAGAATTCAATGTTCGTCAGGTGGGCCCACTGAACGGAAGTGAGATAAGATGGTAGCATGGGCCCAAACCACGTCCCTGGGAAACTGAGACGTCTCACAGTGGACGGCAGTCGCGAGAAGAATCGTGAAATATCTTCGTTATTATGGCCAATTGTTAGCTCCTGCAGTGCTGGGAGGTCTTTTAACAACAGTTCAGGTTGGTCCACTCCTTGGACCCAGGGAAAGTTGATAGAGAGAGACGAGATTTGATTGATGTAAGGAAGAAGAAGGCTTTGTAGCTTGGTCGAATGATTTCTGGAACATTGGAGTGTCAATGAGAGCGGGAGCCCCTGCGACCGCTTAAGAAATGTGTCATAGCAGAACGCTGCCCGCTGCCAGTGATGGTCGTTGACTGTCACAGACAGCCTGCGCCACAGAGTAAGTACGCCTACAGCAACCTCCCTCCATCGTTGGCATATTTCAGTCAACAGCATGGGTGCTGTTAGCTGTGATGGCGGTTGCAAAATATGGGGTCTTGAAACGTCCGGGAGACAGAGCTGAAAAACGTTGGGGCTTGGAACGTCCGGGAGACAGAGCTGAAAAATGTGGGATATGATCTCGGTTGGCAAGCGCCAGAGAGCCGATCTGAGTCTATTGTGCAAATTAATGGACCTGATGATCCTATTCTTCTGCCTGACGAGTTGCCACTCAAGATTTTTGATACTACTTCTAACTGCTTGGATGCTTGAGATCTCGGCCGTAATCGCGGCCAACTGCTGCTGGCGTTCTGCGACGATATCGCTGATGCTCTGACCTTCGACCTCGATGGCAAAGTAGTTGGTACTAGGCAATTTGGGTTGAGAGTAGCAAGTTCCAAGGTCTGGCATCTGAGAATCCTCAATATGGCATCAGACATATGATCAGCTGCTGGACCTACGGTTATTTGTGAATGCGCGAGCTGAAGCGATTAGTGATTATTGGCAGACGATGTGAAGTACTCGGCACTTATATGGTGGATGTTTGGTTACACTTCGACTTTGCCGCTAAGCCGGACAAATTTTCAATGTCCGATCAGTGTTTGCTTCGAGTATTATCATTTATTTCATTTATTCGATTTTATTCGATTATACCTTGCATATATTCTGCGTCTGTGTTCGTCTTCCCTCAACTCAACTCACTGGCATCCTACATCACGCCTCTCTGGAGTCAGTATGTACAATGTCTAATTTCAATATACACCCACAGGTTTACCCTATACCTGTCTGTTTAAACCCGTTCGAGGACTCCTGGTGCTGAACAATAGACACCATTGCCTTCGGTCCACTCTCGCAGCAATGCTCTGCTCCCCATATCTCGCCTTCCAACCGAGATTCTCGCGATCGTCTTCGAATACTTTGAAGAAGAGAAGCGTTTCGATGAATCTGCGGACAATGATGTCCCTGCTTGTCTAGCAGTCACACATGTCTGCGGGTATTTGGCGCAACGTCGCCCTCGAGTGCCCCGCTCTTTGGAGATTCATCCGTTCTTCGTCTCCTTATTGGGCAGACATCATGCTTGAGAGGTCGAAAAATCTTTCTTTGGTTGTGACATACAAATACGAGGTCCCGCTACAGGGTTGCTTGGAGCCAGTCCTTTTACAATTGCCCCGAATTTAAGTTCTCTGATTTCCCTCGTTGTCACCGGATGTCGATCCCATTATCCGCTTGTTATCACAGCGAGCTTCAAACGCTATGTGTCAAAGCCTGCATTAGAGCAGCTCACGCTTGAGCATCTGTCCATAACTTCAGAGGAAACGAAGCTACTCGACAGAGTGCCACTCATTCGGTTGAAAAGTCTAGCGCTAGGTTCCGCCTCGATTCAAACTGCCGTGTCTCTCTTCGTGCAGCTGGCCATTCCTGTCAACACCAAGATCGCTCTACGGCTCACAGAAATTCAACCGCCAGGCACTTGGTTCGGTATGTTAATGTCATGGTTAACTATTGTTACCTACCAACGACTACGTTTCCCTGCCCCAGCGTCAGGAAGACTCGCTCGAAAAATTGCTCAGAAAATGCAGGCGGGGAATCATTCCCTGCACACACATGTTACTTGTTTCTTCGTGTATATCCCTAGTTATATTCTACTAGAGCGATTTTGTAAAGAATGGCAATCTCAATTCCAATCTAAATTCCTCAGCGGTCCAGAGGGGGTTGTAAGTTGTGAATCCGTTCAATATATCGTGAGTCATAGCTACTTAAACATACCTTCAAACACGATTTGTCTGCGAGACAGGTGAACATCGGATGGACTAGAGCATGTATTGCTGAGTCGAAGATGACATCCCCATGGATCTGTATCAGTGCTTCGTCATGGCGAAGTGCTCGAACCCCTCATAAAAACCTGTAACAGTCGGGTGAGTGACGAAGCCCAATAGTGATTCGTGGCGGACCTTCAACGCTGGCTTGCGTACAGCGTGCCTTGATCGCCTGGATGTCCACTGCCGGCAAGGTTGACCACTGAGAATCCAGAGATAGGTAGCCATCAGCACGCAGACAATCAAACTAAACCGTCGATGAGTCATACAGCGAAGAAGGGAACACTCGTTTCACGTACTTGAGGCGGTGCACCGAAAGCAGAGCGCACCGACCAACGAGGTCCTTCGATGCTAACATCGACTGGCACCGGTTGATCCCCAGATAGAGAGAGCATGAATGAGAAGTTGATGTCCCAAAATTGTCGTGCGCCAAATTCTAATGCCTGGAAAATACAGATTTAGTGTGCTACTCTGAGATTGCGTGAGTGAATGCCTGCCATTTCAATAAAACCTGTGGCATGCATGGATGGGCTCGCCTTGGATCACATGTTGAGCCAGGTAAGGGTGCGTCTGCGAGTTGATACGAAGCGGAGAACAATTCAACGGCCCGCTGCGAGGCTGATGAATTCTCAGCATGGAAGAAGAGTTTGGGTACAGGAAGAGCTTCTTGCGGGAAAAGGGGTAGGCGGGTAGTTTTGGGACGTCTGCTGCGGTGCATCCATTGAGAACATTGAAGTCAATGCAGAAACCACTTCCCCTTGATTGCCCTTGGGTCTCCGCAGAGGACAGATGACGGTGGCTGTCTCGCCCCCGAGAGTGACCAGATAACCAGCGAGAGCTGGGTGAGGTCCTATTTCCAAAAAGCTTGGAGTATTGATGTCGTGAATCATACGCTGGATTGCTCCTGTGAACTGCACTGGGCCACGCGTAGTGGACCAGTAGTATTCTGCGCTGAATCGGTCGTGTTTCAGCATGCCGCGCTCGGTGGAATATGTTGGGATGTTAGGAGCTGCGAGGGATAGCGATCGAATAAATGTCTGCCACTAGGCGCAGAAACTCGTCACGACAAGCGTCATTTAAGCGATGGTGGTATTTAAGCCATATGGTCGATCGGTGACTTGTACTAGCAGTATCTGCAAGTGCTGATGGGACGCGCGATCCCTTTAAGACATGAGCCGACTTATCTAACACGTGTCATGAATAACTGAGGGACGAACAGACTGGCAGAATATATGCAAGGTATACATCGAATAAAATGAAATAAATGATAATACTCGAAGCAAACACTGATCGGACATTGAACATTTGTCCGGCATCTCGGGAAGTCGAACTGTAACCAAACATCCACCATACACTTACGATGTTTTCCAGCGCACTGATGATATCCGATGCCACGGAGAAATTGACTTGGGATTTGACTGTCTCCATGTTATTCGCTAGCTATTGGTTGAAATGGAAATGCTCAAGGAAGATGAAGGTTTGAAGAAGAGAAAAAAAGGTGACGTTACCACACGATGCTCGATGGAGGGCCAACGACATCACAAATACGTAAAACAGCTTCCCGGTGTGTGTGCGCAGCCAGACGACCAACCCGCTGCGCTGGAACTCGGTTGCGCTTCCTATTTGGCGATAATGAGGTAGATCAAACATAGATGGACAATGTGTGGTGACTGTGATGCACAGGCTTGCGGATGTTGAAAATGCACATTTGGATGGCGCGATAATCAACACAACATACCGCTGCATTGAATCAATGAGCAGCGTCTAGACTCTGCTCGAACCAGCTGCCGAAGGCTGAAGCACCCCCAGAACTTGTCTACGTGCACATCAGTGAACCGGTGAGTTTTTGTTGGCGATTATGATGATTGCGGTGCTTTTACTAGAATTGCCATCCTATCACCTTGGGATGTCGTGCTCGACTCTATTCGGCCCACATCAATCATAATTGATGTCCGTCTATGTAAGTAGCGCGTCGACATGGCATGCATTCCATCACATGCATCCACAGTCATCGCAAGGAACCAACGAGTGACAATGGGCAAATATAGGCTCTACGAGGGTGGACAGCAGCATCAAGACGATCATACAGACATTCCTACGTGGAAAGTGCTTGTGATAGTATACTAATAGTCGCTGCGTAAACTTTGTTGTATTCTGAAAATGTATAATCAATGAAGGCACGATGAAATGAAGGGGTAGATCGTTCTGCACATGGATGTTGTTCGGGGATTGTCCTAAGGCAAGATAATCCTCGGACCATATCCACAGCAGCACAGATGGTAGATATGAACGAGATTCAGATGTCTAAGATCAGAGGGCTTGTCCAGTGTCGAGGCCTCAATCATAGAGCTTTAACGTCTCGGAGGTCTGAGGCTTTATACGACTGATAAGACTCAGATAAATGTTAAAACCCGATGATGATGAGTGCTACGGTTGCACAATGGTTCAACGTCGAGCGCTGAGCCTGGGAGTATTGGTCAGTACAATCTGACGGATAATCAGGATTATACCGCGTTCAGTGATTAGACTAGTAGTGACCAGCCGATCACCAGTCAATTCACTGGCCCGCCCTCTCATTCTACGTACCTGCAGGCTGTATCGTCGATCGTGTAAACATGGTCACTGTCAAGTCACTGTGGGACTCTATTTGCATGTGAACTTTGAAATTTGAGTGCTTACACATCGTGGTGATTTTTCAAACACGTGACTAGAGACGCGTCGCGATCGAGTTTGCCAAGCAGTTCAAACCTTGTTTTCTTGCGCCAATCAAGGTTTCGTCGCAGACATATATTCTATCTACAAAACAGTTCATCTCATTGACAATCTTTCCATATTTTGGACATGTACGGTGACGAGGATTAATAGTCCGTAGTATTTGAATCTAATTTTATTTTGTGCACTCTTTGGATGACACGCTTGAGATCGATAGCGAAACTGCAACAAAGAGCGAGCAATGTAAATGAAGCTTAAAGGTAAATACTAAAGGTTGAATGGTACAACATATATTGAGCGTTTCGGTCCAGTCAGATAAGTACGCCATGCATATTAAATCGCAAGCTGTCGGCTGCTGCGACAATCGTGTTCAGACTAACATAACACTCTGCTAGACATATTGTACGAGGTTGTAGTAAGAGTCCATGAAGCCAACTATACAACGAAACGTGTGATACCTAGCAGTATTATAAGTGCTGTACAAAGAATCAACATGCTTGGGGTCATGACACTTTGGAGGAACGAACAATGGCAGCGTATTCTGCTCGCCGCTCAGCTGTCACACCCAAACAATGACATGTAGACAGGATCTGCAAGGGACACTTTGACCGTGTCAAAAATGTCTTGAACTCCTCATGAGGCCACGTTGATGGACTGCAGACATAAAATCCGCGTAAATTGGGAAGTGAGAGAGTACTGAACACGCCCGATAATGGGGTTTTGTACGCCACACTACCACGGAAGATCAAGAATTGAAGTTTAGTGTGCGTGAATGGCCTTGAGGTCTGTGATTCAGGTGATACCATGGCAGTGGTTAATGAGGAGAGGTTGGGGCATAACCGGAGTAGGCGGAAGAGTGTATTCTGTCCATCTACGCAGAATTCAATGTTCGTCAGGTGGGCCCACTGAACGGAAGTGAGATAAGATGGTAGCATGGGCCCAAACCACGTCCCTGGGAAACTGAGACATCTCACAGTGGACGGCAGTCGCGACATGAGTCGTGGAAAAGCTTCGTTATTATGGCCAATTGTTAGCTCCTGCAGTGCTGGGAGGTCTTTTAACAAAAGTTCAGGTTGGTCCAGTCCTTGGACCTGAGGACAATTGATAGAGAGAGACAAGATTTGTTTGACGTAAGGATGAAGAAGGCTTTGTAGCTTGGTCGAATGATTTTTGGAACACTGGAGTGCCAGCGAGAGCGGGAGTCCCTGTGACCGCTTAAGAAATATGTCATAGCAGAACACTGCCCGCTGCCAGTGATGGTCATTGACTGTCACAGACAACATGCGCCATAGACCAGGTACGCCTACAGCAACTTCCCTCCATTGTTGGCATATTCCGGTCAACAGCATGGGAGCTGTTAGCGGTGATGGTGGCTGCAACATACTGAGTCTCGGAACGTCTGGAAGACAGAGGTAAAAGATGTGGGATAAGATTTCAGTTGGCAGGCGCCAGAGAGCCGATCTGAGTCTATTGTGCAAATGGATGGACTCGATGATCTTGGCCTTCTGCTCGACGAGTTGTCTGTGAATATTTTGGACACCATCTATGACAGTTTCCAGGCTTGAGATCTCGGGCAAAATCGCGTCCAACTGATGTTGGCGTTCTGTGATGATATCGCCGATGCTCTGGTCTTTGAGCTCGATCGCAAAGTAGTTGGTAGTGGGCAATCTGGATTGAGAGTAGGACGTTTCGAGGTCTGGCATCTGCTAATCATCAATATGGCATCAAACATATGATCAGCTGCTAGACCCACGATCATTTGTGAATGCGCAAGCTGAAGTGATTAGTGATTATTGGCAGATGATGAGATGTACTGACTCGGCACTTACGATGTTTTGCAGCGCACTAATGATATCCGAGGCCGTGGAGAAATCGACTTGGGATTTGACTGTATCCATGGTATTCGTTAGCTACTGGCTGAAATGCTCAAGGAAGATGAAGGTTTGAAGAAGAGAAAAAAAATGACGTTACTACACGAGGCGCTAGTCTACACATGTCTAGTGAAACCACCCGCCGTCACAAATACGTCAAATGGCTTCCGCATACGGTGTGCGCACAGGCACAACCAATCCGCTGCGCTGGGACTCGAACGCATCTGATAGGGTAGCGGCTGCGCGTGAGAGACTTGAGGCTGATGGCGCAGAGGAGCCCGAGAGCAACGAGTACGATGGTGGACACTGGGCAATGATGTGTGAAATTTGAAGCCACTGGAACCTGGAGGTCGAGATTTATGACCTCAAATTTGTATCAGTGCCCCAATTTTGCTGTTTTCAGGAATCAAACTGACACGCTCCAGGTCCTTCTTTTTCTGTACAAGATGTTGAGTCGTTGGAGGCTACAAGTACAATTCATTCTTCTATTTCGTTTGGTTCTGGGACTTGGGGGATGGCACGAGCGTGGGCTCTGGAGGATACGGAGGTTTGAGAGGGGATCCGAAGAGGGTTTTCCGCGAGGTGTGGATACTTGAGCACTCTGGATCATGCTCATTCGTATCCGCCTCCCGCATTTCAGGTTTGACTGGTGAATCGATGTTGTGGAGTGAAGAACAGAACTGCTTCGGTGGGTAGGAGAATACGAAATGTTTCTTGTGAATTTCGATCCCGCAATAGTTCAGAGATGGGGATTGTTGTGTAGAGGGAGGCGTTGGTAGATGATGGGAACAAAGGGCAGCCGTCGATAGTGAGGCCTGCATCGCCAAGAACGACGAGTAAAGCCTGCTAAGGAGTCCAAACAGAGTCAGGAAATCTAGATGAACATCGGACGCACCTTTCTTTCCTGAAATACAATTTTTGCGTACTATGATACTGCCTGTAATCCTGAGTATGGTTACAAAAGTATGAAAATAAGCAAACTACAAGTGTGGCACTAAACTAACCCACGACACCGTCATGTATGCGTCAAGAGGAAGATGGCGTAATGTCGTGAACATAAGTACCAAGAGCATACCACGAGATATAATGTACAACAGGGCAAATATGAACATGAAAACAGCTGTCATTATATCACCTATGCCATTCATTATAACATCCATGCACTGCGTGTTATCAAAAATTTCAGCCGTATGAAACGAGGGCAGAACCTGACCCTAGGGTTAGGTCTCAGCCACGTCAGCGCCTTCGTTGGACACCGGCATCGACATGGCGGTTTTATCGCATTCCCTCCATGTAGCAGTCAAGGTTTCGCCCTCTCGTCAACACTAGCTGAAACCATGGCCTGTCCTCGATAGGGCAACCTCGCGAGGTTTAATATTTGTATACCTTTAAATCAATATATATAATATTAATATATATATACCTCGATCGTGCACGCGCGGCCGCAATCGATATTCAGCTAGCCAGGTATCAATACTAGATAAATCAATGGTATATTATACTCGCGCCGTGCACTGCTCAGTGCTAGCTAGATACAGGCACAGCTATATAGATATATACAACAGACTCGTATATAACGTGTCCGAGTAATGGACAATGAAATCGGCGCGACCTTCGAGAGCAGACGGGAAACTGAGTGGGCGCTGCAATGCAGCATGAAGGGTAGCAAGAATGTCAAGACACGTCAGAGTTGCGGTGTTGAGAGCCAATGGGACCCATCGCGTCTGCAGATGCCAACAGAATATAGTAAGCTTGAATGAAGAACCAATATGAAGGTGACTACCTTGCGGTCCAAGGTGCAGGGATACTGGTGATGAACAAGATGGGTGCTGCCTCTCGGCGGACTGGAAAGGTATTCTATACGGCAGCGGCATATATCGGAAATAAATCATCTGCGAGAAATTAAGTTCACCATCGACGAACAGTTAAGCGTCCTTGGACTTACTTGTGCTACAGGCCAAACCTTCCAGTTGGTGAGAAGAGCGGGATAGCGACCACGGCGTCAGTCTGCAAACATATCAAATATTTGAAGGAAGGTCTCACATTATTAGCTGGTCGGCAGCCACACATTTTGAAAGAGCTCTGAAGCTGACGCGGGTTTGACTTCTCCGTGATCGAAGAGGGAATCGTCGTTCTAGAAAAAAAATCCATCTCCCGAGTAGAGGGCCTCGCAGGCAGATGGTTCAAGGTTTACTCCGATAATCAAGTGCATGGGACTCACTCATGCCACTTCCAAGATAAAAGAAACACAGAGTACGTGCGAGATCCCAACCAGGCCTGGTTTCACGAGCTAGGGGTCGAAAACGATGTCGCCGAGAGCAATTCAAGGTTCCGCCAAGAGTGTGGTATGCATGCTGATAGGCACGACGCGGATGTCGTTGTGGAAGTCGAGAGCAAGGGTAATTTCAAACTCCGCGAGTGTGGGGTCCTCAATTAACCTCTGAGTACTGAGTCACTATACGGTCTGCACGCGCACGTCGAATAAACCCTAGCGTTGGGTTAACATTATATTTACGTCTGCAACTAGGTATGCGTTGAAGCGTGTTGAAGGGTTGAGTCGATGCCGCATATACCGAGCGGAAATCAAGGTGAGGAGGCTTGAAAGTATCCGCCATCGTTGCGCGGAGCGTCGACTTGGAGTATCAAGTTTACGACTTAGTAATAGCTGGCTGATATTTGGTGGTGGTGACGTGGCTGAAACCTTGGGGACCCCCCAGAATTTCCGCCAACTCTCAGCCGTCGGAATTTTTGGACAACACGCCGTGATGTCAGTTGCAACTTTTATTAGAATTTCAATCCAGGGTGTGCAAGTTATAGCGACGGCACTCATGCGCCACAGGACCTGTTCCAGATTGGTAGGAAAGGTAAAAAACCAAGCCATACAATGGATGCCGCCAAAGATTGTCGCAATCAGAACTCCGGCAAATACAAGTATCAAAGTGTCCGATTCTTCTAGTTTGATGCTGCCATCAAATGTAGGAACTCGGAGCTTACGCGTGGGAACGTGTAAGCCGATCAGTTCTATAGATGGACCGAAGGTTGCCTTAATGATCGTGACAAGCACATTGTCTTCATAATTATTAGGGAGGCTGAGGTAGACAATAAATAACGGAATAATTGATCTAGACGCAGACATACACATCAATGTGATCCTCTGGCTTTGACTCTGTCGACTTCCAGTACACCCGATATGGACACTGAACATCGAGAGGCTTATTCCACCATAGCGCATAGGTCAGGAAATTCAGAACCGCAAAAGCGAGCGTCCCCGTTTCCAGCTGGGTGGTTTCGAGGCGATAAATGGCGCGAGAGATGAGCTGCAGAATGAACCAGGCCACCTGAAGTATGATCAATCCTTTCGATATCATATTGCCTTTGCTCCGGTCGCCGATCTCCTTTGCCGTTAAGGTAGGGGCATCAATACACCCTTTACGTATCAGCTCGAGAACCTTGTCAGGCAGTAGTGTACGGTAGGGCTCCCCATCTACATAAAGCATAAACCCACCCATCAGCACAAAGAAGCTGTGGGTCTGAGTCCACGCGTAATCTAGGGATCCACATCAGTCAAACGTTTGGAAGAGCGCGAACGCAGCTTACCTTCGGATTGATCTGAGATGTAAGCCTCAAACAACTTTTTGAATGGCTTCGCAAGAACATGAGTCCCCCCATATCTTGAAGTGGACACTGGAGTACTATGAACTGCCGAAGAAACACCAGTACAGATGGTTCACCTTCACCAGGCGCAACGAGAAGCCGGGCTCTATCATGATCTTCAGAAGCAGGTGAGTCGCGAGGAAACATATTCAGGATGTAAGATAAAATGTCGAGCTCACGTTGGAGTTGCTCTGCAGGCACTTCAGCCAACTCATAATCTAAGGACGTGCGTGGTGAGTTGTCCGAGGAACATATCCAATTTCAGAAAGCACAACTCACTTTCAGACTGCTCCTGCGGCCGAGGAACATTGAAATACCCTGACTGCTTGAACTGTTTCGTAACACGATGAGTGCTCATCCACTGGCGCATAGCCCATACGACGATCAGTTCAGGAGCGATTAGTGCCATGATCATGATCCCGAGTCGCCGCCATAGGATACGAAATAGGCTGTCCTTAGGACTCGGAATATTCGGATGGATGGCGCTGTATATACATGCGAAGAGAGTGAGAACGGAGCTGGAGATGATGTTCGACAGGGTTCTATTCGTGAATGACGGTGCTTCAAAATACTCGTTGGTAGTAGTTGCATTGGTAGTAGGTGCGGCTTGGATTACTGCAACGAAGTAGAGGATCATGCATAGAAGTAAGCGCATTATTGGATGTCACGTTGGGGTGGAGATATTGCGGTTTGTATATCCTGCTCACTATGGGTATTTAACCTGCTGGCGGGCGTCTTCTCGAGGCAGTACAATGAGACCCTGACGGCAGGCTTGGCTAGTGTTTACAGCATGGCGAGCGCAAGGGAATTTGCTGTGTAAATGAATGCCACATATCAGTCAAATCGACACGATCGATAATCCTCCGCCCAATTCGTCACCACCCGGGAAGCGCGCATAGAGTTGCATTGCACCCAAAGTCGATAACGCAGCATACAGCCTCTACCACATTCCTGACTCATCTTTGAGTGGCACGGTCGTTGAAGCTTCAAAAGTCATAGGTTGCTGGGCTTCTCATGTACCATATAGACGCTGACAATTACGTGACTCGTACGAGGGCAAGTCGCACGTTGTCCGATCATCAAGGAAGAGAAGCCGCACTTTTAATACCGATGATTGACATAGGAGTAGAGATAAGTAGGAATACAAACCCACGTTGAGCATGAATTCGCTGCTGCCGTACTGTTCGCGAGGTGTCTTACTCGTCTTCGTATTACCATGACATATCATGTAGATCGCCCGACAAAGAAGCCGAGCGCCAAAGTATCTCCTTGCCACACCAGGGTTCAGCTCCTGTCCAAAAATGGACCAAGAACACGCGAGAACTGATTGCAACACATACCTATGATGGAAACAGTCCAATGAAGCGCCCAGAATCGTTCTGCGGTAGTCGAAGCATAAGAAGCTCAAATCAATCCCAAAAGCCAGTAGTACATTCCAATATCACCCGCCATTTCTGAATCTTCAGCTCCAGAACAACAAAAGAATGAACTCACCATCTTCTCCTTCTGAATCTCACTCACTCAAGTCCTCCCAAAACCCTGCCCCTACTTCTACTTTCTCCGACTTCGCAGCCGTCGATGGTGAGGCGTGCTTCGTCAACAAAAACGAGGAAAGCAAACAGTTGAGGTATCGGTGCAGGTACCAGTAGGTCACGCACCTTTCTCTCTTTTTGCGTGCAGACCAGCGAATCCTCACCACTCTTGCGTGGGGGAGGGCTTGATACCTGATTATCAAATTGTACTTCCATTTCATCACGTTGAGAATTAGAGTACTTACAAAGCGTTTGCAGTGCACACCGGTGCGCTGGATGATCATTGTGGTCAGCGCGAGTACCAGTTCTCATTTTCGCCCTGCATCTGAGAGCCAGCGTGTAAGACAGAAGATGGGTGATTGCGTTGACGATTGTAGCGGTAATGGGCTCATCTAGCATGTCCAATCCGTGATATTTAAAGCACAAGAGTAGATGTATATATGCGAGACTTACTACCGAGTCTCGATTCGAATGCCACCACAGCTTGCTGGACGAGCTGTTGTATTTACCTTGATATGCTCCAATTTACGCTGTAACGTGCCACGGGTGCGCAACTTTGTACCAAGTGTTGGCCTCAATTGAAATTCTGGACATTGTTGGTGACTCGGTATCGATGAACAGGTGCAGCGTGGTTCACTGCCGTAGTTTTCAACAATAAAGAAGTCTGGAATGCGGGACGTGGTTCTGAGCACATCGAAAGAAATAACTGCCTGTCAAATTTGCTCGTGAGATGGGCCCTGAGAGTACGAACGACCCACCGTGCGGCAGTGATTGGATGAACATTGAGCACGTCCCCGACGACACAACGTCGAGCGAACATGAAATAAGATATTCTATATGGTGGATGTTTGGTTACAGTTCGACTTCCCGAGATGCCGCACGGATTTCCAATGTCCGATCGGTGTTTGGTTTCAGTAATATTGTTTCTTCGATTTTATTCAATGTATATCCCTCAAATATCCCTAGCGACTTTGTAAGGAAAGGCAATCTACATTCTTCAGCAGTCCAGAGGGGGTTGTAAGTCGTGAATCTGTGGTTCATTGTATCAATATATACTCATTGAACCACTGACGCTTCAAGCCCTGCTCTAATGCCCAACTCGCAAGGCAAAAATGGGAGAGGTGTTGTTGGTCGTAAGTACATTTGAAACTGGGTTTAGTCAACTCAAATTGTAGCGAACACACGAGATTCAGCACTCGGACTCAGGAGGCAAGAGGAAGAATACGGCTCACCCTAGGCTCCTCCATAATGTCTATTCAATAAGGGTTTCCGTTTTAAACACTCTGCACTTCAAGTGGTCTGTCACGAACCAAGATCCAGAAACCATCCGTTTTCATCTCTTGATCAAGGTAGGTTAAGTTCGTCTCACATGCTCTCTGCCCATTCCGTATTTCAGGCCATTGCCCTCTTCAATGCAAATAACATGACGAGGCAATGCTGCTCATCAAAGAGCTAGCTGCCGCTCGTCCGAATGCTGATACCCTCGGATGTCGCATCGTGTGAAGTAAGTATCATGCGGCTATGCTCGGTTATCAACACTGATGTTTGCAACTCGCACATTAGGCATATCTACGCGTTCAGCTCGGAACCAAGGCCTTGGATGGTTTATTCCAGGGCATGCATGGTGTGGGTGCATCAGCGTATCCTTCATTTCTCTTTGACACATCATTCATTACAGCATTCTCAAATTTCCAGACCACTACCTCAGCAGCGCCCGGGGCGCTTCAAGAAACTCAGGCTCGCTGTGACAAGGCGCTCTCTTCCTCCTCCTGCGCATGCACCCACATTAACATCGCCTACCGCGCTACCACCTGTCGCTGCTCCTGTTAATACGAAAAGAGTTGATCAACGGCCAATAACTAAGGTCGTCTGAGACTAGTGTCATACTGTTAGAGGATGGATGTGAGGGAGCGGGGAACTTGGTGGACATACGACGATGATATTTGTGCTGGATATACCACCACCATCCAGTGCTTGCATGACCAAAATGAGATCGAGGGATGATATTCGTTCCTGTCAATAGATATGATGTCACGTTCGAAGTGATGTAGCGGGCCTTGAATGAAATGCCGGTGATGCGAAAGTGATCTGAATGTTCGATGCCAGCGATCACCGCACCCCGCGCCAACGGCAGAATTGTTTAGTGTTGGTGCAGCAGTGTCTTCCCTTCTATAGAGGTCGTTCACTACAGGTACCAGTAGATCTCTTATATCGATCTTCATTCTAATAGCCAGTGTTGCCAGCCTGTACTTAATCAGCGAATAAATAGTTTCACCACTCCAGGGCCTGTGCGCAGCTGGACATTCAAATGTTGATCTATTTAAAGTGTTTAGAATAAGTTTCGAGGGATACAGCATAGTATTTGAACAAGCTATACGCCGTTAATAACGCAGGAAAGCGGGATTTACATTCAGCTGGGGCAATCTCCTCGAACGAAGTCGGAGATAAGTTCATCGAGCAGGCACTGAGATCGATAGTTTCGCCTCCGGCATCAACAACGATGACTCCCTGGCTGTCAGATTGATCTTCCTCCTCGTCCGAGTAATCTGACACATCTATAAGGTTTTTAGAGAACATATCCGACGCAATCATGCTGGTAAAACAGAAATGATTACTTCGCCATCGGTCAAGAGGTGCACGTAAGATTGCTCCTCCTTAGATGAGATGAGACCGGCGATCTCGACAGCGCGTCTAACCTGTTACCTGTTGTTGTTGTTGTTGTTGTTGTTGTTGACCTTCCCAACCGTTCGGACGCGTGATCACGAACTCGATAGAGTTCTCGACCGAACTCCAGAAATTCGAATGTGATTCCTGGATGTCAGTCCGAGCGCATTGGAAGAGGTAGCGGCACTTCACGTCACCCGCATTCCCAATTAGCCTGGGTCCGCTGCCTGTTCGAGAGGAGAGAAGATAGACTGTTGAAGGTCCACGAGTCCTTGACTGCTGGAGACAGAGATCTAGAGGGCTCAATTAGAATCTGGGACCGAGAGAGGCAAGATGGTTACTCTTGGAGGACACAGACAAAGTGCTGGTGCCTTCAGAATTTAAATGTTGAACATCTGGCTAAGACTTGCGTACCAACAGTTGGAATGGAGTGTCAATGAGGTACCGGCAAAAACAACACATGTAGCCCAACCAAGCAAGAGAGTAAGCGTAAATCGCATATCCAAAGATCACTCATCAAAATATTCGTCAGGTACTAAGTCCTCGTTCCCACGAGCATCCACTGCAGTATTGCGCTATAGATGTATATATGAGACAAGACATGGTGATGAAAATGGACCGGGCGCACCTCTTTGCCCTTCGCGAAAGGAACATCGACAACGGGTGGTGCTGCGGCATGATCGGGTCGCCAGGTGAATAAGTATCGTATCGTTTGTTGTGATATCTATGTTGACTTGAGGCAGTATTTTATCACTATATCCTTCAGGTTTCTCCTTGTTCCTATTCATAGCTAACAATCCCGAGCCTTACCTGAGTCTCCAAGCTGTCGGGAAACCTCCAAGATGATATCACTATCACTACGCTATGTATGAGTCCTCGAACGGGTTTAAACAGGTATAGGGTAAACCTGTGGGTGTATATTGAAATTAGACATTGTACATACTGACTCCAGAGAGGCATGATGTAGGATGCCAGTGAGTTGAGTTGAGGGAACTCAGGGAAGACGAACACAGACGCAGAATATATGCAAGGTATACATCGAATAAAATCGAATAAATGAAATAAATGATAATACTCGAAGCAAACACTAATCGGACATTGAAAATTTGTCCGGCTTAGCGGCAAAGTCGAAGTGTAACCAAACATCCACCATACTATCATTCCCTATAACATGCAAAATTTTCAGCAAAACTTTTGTAGCTCCTCAGCAACATCACATTTTCTTTCGCAAATTTGCTCCGTCATATATTTGTATCTCCTCTACATGGATCTGATTTTTACTGATTTTTAGGATGATGTGGTGTGATGTCGGAGCAAACCCGATAAAACTCAGGGTCTACTCTCTAATCTGCAACATTTTGTCACGTCCTGTCACACCTCGGCACAGTAGCCGCACAGTCGACTTTCGCTCTCCGCAGGATGCTGGCATCGGGTAATACGGGGGGCATACCTGTATGCCGAGGAGGAGTTTGAATTACTTACACATCTCCCCTGTCCTGTGTCACGCTATTGTACTTGTCGTTGATTCTACCACTGTAGCACCTCAGCGCAAGAGAGTAGCCTTTATCGAATTGGTTTTCTGACATCCCTAGAAGGTGTTCATTGTGCTCTAGGTAAAATTTTACAAATACCTTTGCAGGATCTTCGGGATCTGGATGATTTGTGTTGGGAGAAGGTTTCAAAACACCACTATTTCATCTCTCGCAGCTGCAATATTCCAAAATCTTTTATTCTACTTTTACAAAACATCACTTATAGGTACTCTGCGCATGCTTGAATTTTTTCAATGTCACTTAAGCACGATGTTGAAGTGCTATGAACTTTTTGCATATTAGTAACCGTGGACATATTACAGGGAATGATAGTAATTCTACATATGTAGTGTCACAAAATGTAGGTTCGTGGGAATTTAAAACGCATTATCAATCCGTTTTCCAAGCACGCAACCCAAAGCATCATGATTGAGATCATCTTCTAGTGACCAGCGGACCCGGCTGGAAGCTCTCTCGAAGAGTAGATGGTGTGCATGAAATTAGAACGTCAATGAAATTTACAGTCTCTTCTCCTAGTTCACAAAATCAATTTGAGTCATTATTGACAATGAAGCTATATCGCTCAACCCTTACGATGTTCCCTATGCGAAGCTCTGCGTGAGGCACTCACGCAAGCCTGTTTTTCACTATACTGTCGAAGCTGTCCTACGCAAGATAGCTGCTCCGCTTATTCACCATCCTCAAGATGCAAGACCTGCGAATCTTCGTCCAAAGACACTCCCCTATCTTTACGCATCGCGCGGTAGCCCATAGACACGTATTTAAAGGCGATGCCCAAAAACCCGAGCATGATCAATGGCACAGATGCCAGTGTGGCAAACACACCAGACCCTGACCCAGGCAAATCGTCGTCTTCAGGTAAACTAATTGACCTGTGCATCAACATTAAGCATAGAACGCGCACATATACAATAAATGCCACTCACCCTCTCGCCATTTTACTCTTGTTGTACCACCACCATGCGACGGCAAGCGCTGTGATCGCAAAGGGGAACAAAATCACCATCATCCAGAACATCACGCTGTGGCCAAAATTGTGGTTGGGAGTGTCGGGGTTGGGAATGTCAGGGTTGGGAATGTCAGGGTTTGGCATGTCAGGGTTTGGAATGTCAGGGTTTGGAATGTCAGGATTTGGAATGTCAGGGCACAGGTGTTGCGTGCCTTGGTCGATGCGGTCACCGCCCTCACAAGTAGAGTAGGAGACCTTGCGATAAGCTGTGCGCTCGTACCAATAGTCTTCTTGATTGCGACATGAATCATTGGGCGCGAGTGGACTCGCTCCCGGTATTAGAACACATTTACCATCCTCGTTACGGATATAGTTGAATTCACTTTTTCATTCCCGGATTTAAATTAGCTCTGAACGGGTGGTATCACACCCATGACTCACCACTCAAAGTCCTCCGACATACATATGCAGTTCCGTACGACAATGTCAAGTGCCTTGGGCGTGTTTCCAACAACACAATTCACGTCTCGTCTGCGACGATGGTACAGCGTCTATACATGATATGAGTGAAAAGGCAAATCTCGAATTTAGGGGACTCACCTGTTGTCCGAATAAGCAAAGAGAATCTATTTCCTCGCTTGGGCTCCACAGCTCAAAGTCATCGTATCCAGGATTTTCCACATCCACGAGGCCTAGAAGAACGGGTTCAATATCAATCATCAAGCACAAGAGCACCTTACTCACATTTTTTGTGCGTGAGAGACGAAAAGTCCAAATGCACGATCACCGAGCCAGTCGTCCCGGGATACTGACCCAGGAGCATGAATTTCCGGCTCGTATCCTCTGGAACCGTCATGATATCCCTCACTCTGATCTTTTCAGTCGTGAACTTAAATTCTTGCCATTTGAGTCCTTCGTCTGTGGTAAAGAGGACGTGGTCTGTCGGCTCTTTGTCGTTCACGATCATGATGACAGACCCTGAGTCGCCAAACTTCCACAAATGCGCGTCCTTGTGCACTTCTTCCCATGTGAAACCGCCATCCCGGGACAGGAAGGTATTGCTCTCGGTGTAGGAGGCAAGTAAATCACCTACATTCCCGACTGCCATTACGACACCGACGACGGATGGGCTGCTGTATGTTACGCGGGCATCAGAGCGTTCTGTATACCCGTGGACATGGAGCGCACAGCCCTAAACACGACAAAATCAGTCAACTGACAGCGATACACAGACAAGCACAATATACCACTGATGTGCAAGGGTACTTCAGACCCAACGAATCCACCGAAGGGGGTAGAAGCGCCTTCCATGTGCCACCTAACACAACAAGCAAACATCAACGAGCGACATAGATACTCAGCAAATAAACCATACCATCATTATGCGTAATCCTCGTCTGCAGAATCTTACGCCCCGTGAGCGCAGCCTCCGCAGGATTGGCCACCACGTTTACCATCGCTATACCATGCAACCCTGCAAATTTCTCAAAGTCGACGAAGCCGGCACTGTTCCTGTTCACGTTCTCGATGGACACTCCAAAGTAAGTTCCGTTTGAGTTGGATTTGAGGATATGACCCCATGGCGTGGGCCATTCGTTCATAGTTATGTGTAGGAAGATGGCCGTGGTGCTCGATTCAAGGATGGTGAACGCCTAGAAAACACGATTGAGCGATTCCAGCGTTTTTAGAGTTATGGAGATCCCGCCTACATGCGAATCTGGATGCATGCCAGGAGGGAAGGTCGCAGAAGTAAATGTCTGTCCGTCTCGTGAGACCTGGAGGTTTAGCGTGCCCCTCGTCTGGAGGTACTACAAATACAAAACCAACAATATTAAATCAACCAGCACGCAGCACAAAAGAACCACCAAAACAGACCTCCGCAACGATCAAAAACTCTGAAAGCTTGGTGAACCCCACGACACGGTCAAACAGCTTCGTTTTCTTCATGAAATAATTTGTGACAGAGACGAGCTGCAGTGCGTTCTCTTTCCCAAAAAATAACTGCGAGCCCTGCTTGTTCTCATACGACTCGCATAGGATCTGAGATGATTCGAATGGCAGGTGGTCGTGTCGCGCCCAGTCACAGTTGACGACATAGTCCTCCAGCAACTGCCAACTCCGCCCATGATCCGATGTGTACTGCGCCTGCGCGCGACAATTCTCGTACCCCATCTGGCAATCCACATTACCGATCCAGATGAGATGGGAGGACTTGGTCTGGAAGCGGAGCACTGCGGCCCCGAAGGTGTTGGGAAGCGAAGGCGCTTCATTGATATGCCAAAAGCGACCTGTGCTTGTTGTGTAATAGAACTTGTTAGTGTCGGTGATGAGATATGCGCGTTCGTGGAAGTGCGGGTGCATGTAGAACGCCAGGAAACGCTCCCCTGGGTACTTTTGCTCCCATGTGTAGCCTTCGTTGCTGGATTGCCATATTGAGAGATCGGCAAGACGGACAATGACGGTCTATGGAGGCAGACGTGAGCTGAAGTCCTGACATGGTACGATATACATGACGCTCACCTTCGAGTCCCTGAAAAACTCGCTCTGCAAAATATCACTACGGAATGGATGCTACGATATCGTAAGTTATCCACACTGAGAACAAAAGCGAGAACGGAACATACAATTTGGTGAATAATCTCTCCTTCGGCAGGTGGAGCTGCAAATGATGCATCAGACACAGACGTTCCACCACTTCTAAAACACTGACGTCTCAAACAAGGTTTGTATATGGGCTCGTCCTTGCGAATACCGCCCTCACACTTGTTCCCAGGGATCTTGCGATATCCCGATGAACCCATGTACGTCTCGTCGGTCGTCCCGAGGGTGCACTGGGTGCTGGGTATGCGCTCTGGACCCGAAGGTACACACATACCACCACTCCGTACGTAGTTGTAGTCGCTGGAAGGATCCGTAAGCGGGGGTGATGAGTAGAAAGAAGAGAAACGATGTACCATTCATAATCGTGGTCCTCGCATGAACACTTATCATCATGAACTTCTGGATCGTGGAATTCCTCGTTCATATAACAATCTGCATTAGCCTTGCGCCTGGTGTACCATTGCTTCGAAAGATATTAGCAAGACCATTATCATGGCAAGGATTGCATTAGCAGCTAACCTTGGCACCCATGATGCACTCGGAGTTGAATTTGGCTCTTGCATACCATGACTCCTTGTCGTCAGGACCACACATCCGGCGCCCGAGGCCGGCGAAGTCGAGGTAGATGGCAGCGTTGCGGCCCCTATTGGGTTGTTGGGACTGCCGCATCACCTGGCCGAGAATGAGGAACTTCTGAGACGTCGAATCTGATACCGTCGTCAGGCCCTTGGCACGAAATTGGATGCCAACATTGAACGTGTTCCTATAGGGCGGGGCATTTCAGTAAGGTCGCATGTATGCACACGCAGACAGTGGCGGGGCAAGACGTACCAGCTCTGGCCCATGTCCGTGGAGTACATGATGGTGTCGGTAGGTTGCTCGTCGTCGACGATGACAATAACGCTTCCGGAATCGCCGAATTCATATTGATATGGGCCTTCGTGGGCCATGGTCCATGTCAGGCCAGCGTCGGTGCTCAAGTAGGTGTTGCCCTCCTCATATGGCGCGAGCGCCTTTCCGACGGAACCTACGCCCATGACGAAGCCAGGGGCGGGGGACGAGAAAATGGGACCATAGTTGTGCATGTCTGTCACTGAGTGCAGGTGCAGCGAGCATGTATCGGAGGAGCAGGAACCGCTAGGAGCGAGAAGAGGATCCCACGAGCTGCCTGCGAAGATGTGAGGTTGGTCCACAGGAAAAACACAAATCGTTCCTCACCGTCATTGAATGTGATGACCGACCGTAATTGCTTAGCTGCCATCTGCCTCTCGACGTCTTGCGCATTTGCAATGACGTTGGCGATACCGACACCCTCAACGCCATAGATGTTCTCGTAGTCAACATACCCCGCCATGTTTCTGTTCGTGTCCTTCAAGCTCTCCACAAAGTAGGTACCGTTGGAGTTGCTGACGAACAAGGTACCGATGTTGGTTACATCGTGCAAGACGACATCTACTGCTAGGGAGTGGACTGTGGACTCGACGATGGTGTATGCATTCTCCCGCAAGCGTGCCTGGGAAGCATGCGGGAACTGTGCCTTGGCCCACTCCTTGGTATTCACAGTAACATATAAGAGCATGTCGCCCTCGCTGCCGAGCGTCAAGTCCTTGAGCGTAACCACGGCAAACTTGGACACGATCGCAAATGCCACGACACCCTTGGCATTCTCGCCGATGCCAATGTCTTCAGTCTGCTTGGTGACAAAGAAGTCTGTGCTGGAGTAGAGACGACTGCTTGCGATGTTGTGCGAACCAGTCATGGCAGAAGAGTCATAGGCGACGCAATAAATGAGGTCTTCGTGGGCGTCGTGCTTAAAGTCTTTGCTGCTGTGAGCGAATTGGCAACGGGAGACGTCATCCAGGAGCAGTTGTGGTGATGTGGCGAATCCATCTGTGGTGTAGTACGTCTACATAGAAATTTGAATGCGATTAATATGAATAAAAAGATGAGTGCGCACGACGTCTCGACACCGTTCTCCCCATGGAATGTTGTCACATTTAGTAGCCTGGAAGAGGATATGCTCCCACTTTTTGGGATCTGAGTGAAAGGAGAGTGGTTTTGGGACGTAGGCTACCGTCTCAGGGACGTCGAACGTGCGCCACGTCTTTCCGCGGTCATCTGTGCGGTAATGAGTGAAGGAGTTGGTTAATACGAATGCCTAGAGAGAAAGATCGAAAGCCACGTCAGCAGATGAAATAGACTGGGAAGAGGGGTATGAACAGTAGCGCACCACGCGGTTGTCGAATGGGTGCTCAATGAACATTGCAGCGTCGCCAGCTGGTATGTCATCTGCGAGGTTCCAGCTCTTGCCTTCGTCCTGAGAAACATATATCTCCCCGTAGATGGCATCATGGTATATCACACTCTAGAAGTTAATATTAATGATATTGAAAGTGAACAATGAGCCAGATATGAATGCCTCACAGTCGCATCATCGAAAAAGAACAATCGGGCCGGTTCATTGTCGAAGTAGGTTACGGCATGTTCTGGGTCAGTAGCAAACGCAGCACCAAAGTAAATAAGAAAAGCAAGCGTTGACCATATGAAAGCGATTGTCCCATGCCAAGAAGCCATGCAGGACGTTGTGGATGGAGAGAAGTGTAGCGCACGTTGTATGCCGCTGTGAGACTTGTGGGAAGTCCCACTGCCCGTAGTCCGTGGGTTAGTGATTGAGAGCAGTGTCTGCCAATAATAAGCTGGCATCTCGCCTAACTTGCAGCGGCGGCCCGGGGTGCGTCAGACTGAACTGTGGATTTGGAATCGAAACCTAGAGAAGGGTCCAATTGCAGATGTAGTAAGAATACATTATTGAGGCTGCGAAGAGTACCAGTAGCTGAGAGTAGCCCATTATGTAGTGGGATCCACTACTAGTACTACTTTGAGGAAATGAATAAGGGCAACGTATTCCGCTCGTTGATCCTGTCATCGTCACTCCAGCACCGAAAATCAAGTTCTGCAGGGGACACTTTGACCCGTGCTAAGACTGACTTGAAACTCGTTGATATTGGAGAAATCGCTAGCCGCACTGGTGTGAGGAAGAAAATGAAGATGTGTAAATAGAGGTAAATAATGCTGTTAGTCACTGCAACCGTCTCCTGTCTCTCTGGCAATTCACATGTACTTCTTTGCAAGAGCTCAGACGACTTCACAGTTACGAGCACTATGAGCACACAAGCAGCCGATTCAAGATAGTAGCTAGGTCCGAAATTCGAATTCAACCCACTGGGAGTCTGGGAGTCGGCGCTCCATTCCAAAGTTTGACCTAGGCTCACCTCGTCATCAAAAGCTCCAACACAAAATATACCTCCAAGATAACTGATTAAAGCACTGCTTTATTTGCTCACGAGGTACCTCGGGCCCACTATGGAGAGATGCCACCACTTGACTTTTACCGTACGTATCTTTCTTGGGCGAACCAGGTTATGAGGCTGATGTTCCGCATAGTTTAAGCCAGGCCATCATTGCGAAGAAGATAGCCCTTCTGGATTCTGTTTAGTCAAAAATGTGGTGATTGGCGCAGCTCATGGTAAGGTTCGCCAACCTCAATGACATCCATTTACTCATTCCCACTGCAGCACCTCGAGTATGGGATTCAATGTGTTGTTATACTGGTCATTGCTTTGCACCATAGCAAGTTCAAGGTCGTTCGTCGGGGACATTTTGCTTAAATGTTGTGCCAGGTAATGGCACGCGGTCAATAGCGTGGCAAGTCAAGATCCCAACGGTTTTCTTTGCCGATCTGCTCTTGGCACGTGAGTTTCTGCTGACGTTTATGCTCGTGGATGCCTTGTGAGCGTGCTACCAATGAAAGGCGGGTACAGTGATCGTGCGCTAATTAGCCCGGAACAGAGCTAGCGCTGGTACAATCTCCCATCAACATGCCAATTATAGGTACAAAAAACGTGCGGTTTGAGCACTTGGACCGAGTGTCTCGACATTGTTGCGTTCTCAGTCAGTGGATACTATATTTACTACGACTTAGAGCCGGGAACATCGCACTTTGATTCAGCGTCAGGAATCGTAAACGGTTCCTCAGTGCACATACTGACCATGATCAACGGTTGCGAGAGGTCTAGTTTGATGATGTGTTACTGAAGATTGAACAGCATGAGCGGGAGAAAATTGTGAAGGGGTGCGGGTTTCGCATCATGAATGTTTACCCGCTGCGAGCTCACACTTCTATTATTGAATATGTTGACACAGGAGCATTGCTGTAAAAGAATACTGGAACCCAGAATATCGAAATTTCCCACGATGTGAACTAGGTTCTTGTATTACAGGTATATGGGCAAAGATATATCACTTCTTTTCCCCCATGCAAATGGTGGCACATATTCAAATGGTGAATTCACCCTTTCCAAAAGCCTTCGCGTAGCCCTTGAGCCGAACAAGACCTTCATCCTGATTCCAAGCCACCCACAGCTCTCCTCCACGCGGGCTCACCTGACGAACATGCATCTCCTCCTCAGTCTTCTTCCCGAGCCGACTCGCCCAGTAAGGTACGAGCAACGTGTGCGCGCTTCCACAGACCGGATCTTCAGGGAGATCTGCTGCAGGTGCAAACATACGTGAGACGAAGATTTGATCAGCGTCAGGCGTAACGTGCGTGATGATGTTGATGGTATAAGAAGTCTTGCGCTGGCGATGCACATTTGAGAACGGGGTCTAAACGTATGTGACACCGTATGCTTACCAGGACTTCTTTATCTAGTTTCATGTCGCCTATGTTTTCATTTGGACCGACAACAATCATCAAGTAGTCACCCATCTTGCCGTCGCCTTTGGCAACATACGTGAGACGATGACTTGATTGGCGTCAGGTGAATATCCCGATACAAGCAAGGTCATCTTGATAATCAATACCAGACCTAGCAGAACAAAAAATTTTGACGGACTCGGGAACCTGAGGACACACCTAATGTTAAGCATGATCCGTATCTGAGTGGTTCAGCCAGACAGCTCGCGAGCGATTTTCATTTGAGTTAGCACTGGGTTATCGCATGCTAAGCATATCACTGGACTCTTGAATTCATGTGCGGTGTCCACCGGATCATCATGAAATCCATCCAGTGATGCGTGGGTATCAACTTTCGAGGTCACAACATAACGGATTGAGAGGTGGGAGAGTGAAATGCGGAAAACTCAGAAGTGTCAGTGCATAGATGAGTCAGAAAAATCATATTTTAGACACGCGTCCTCACCACACATACACCATACGAACAACAGACAGCAAAGACGCTAGATGATCATTTAGCATTGATTGGGAGCAGTGACTCAAATATCACGCAACACCAGTTCAGTCACAATGTGAATAAGACTGACCAAGACTTGTTCTCCACATGTCCGCACACGCTCCAGTATCGTGCATGCGTCACTGCTTCGGGTAACATTTCGAATCATGGTGTTAGTCCGAGTCATGAATAGTGTATCCGCTGATAGTTCCACTTTGTCGGATTATACTGGCATGACACCTGGCGGCAAAAAAAAAACAGGCCATAGTGTGCTTGCCTGTGCTTGCTATCCCCATACGGTGCGTATTTTCTTCAAGTCGAACGTGACAGTAGACTTGACACCGGACCTCGAGCCGTGCGCAGCGCTGCAGAGGTAGGAGAGCACGAAGCAGATGGTCGTCCAATATAGTAGAAGGAAAACCTGTCTGCCCATGATCTGCATGAGTGAGACAGGGTCAGACGTCGACCCCGGTGGACTTCCGACATCACAGGCGGTCTCGCACACGATTCGAGTACTATCTGCCTCGCCTGCGATTCAAGCACCACCCATTCGCCTGCGTCTCCTTCGCATGGCAGGCCCAGACCCAGCCTACGTCCGCAGCATATTCGGCCTCCACCACACCGCACGTGGCTCCTACGTGCATCACTGGACGCTGTTCTATGCCTGCCGTCGCTGCACACTTGGTCTGGGCGTATCAGGCAGAGAGCATGGGAATAAGATATGTGCTGATTGAGCCGCGCGTTCCTCTTGCTTGACGAATACCCTGCACGTCCAAATGCGAGTATCTGTGCTCTTCTGGAGGTGCATACCATCTGTGGTCGCACAGATATCCCTGTTTAAATGAACTATGCGAGGGCTCGAGGGCTCGAGATGACTGTAGGATATTAGTTGCTCAGTGCTCACGTTACCAGACACTTCTGGACTTGATACCCAAATTCCGGAAGTTACATGTGGTGCATAACAGCCTACAAGCCTGGGGAAATTTTTTAGACTTATCAGAACCAGCGAACGTGCCAGTGGATGCTACATGTAGACACACGGCCAACTTGAAATTGGTTGGAGCAGACCAAGTTCCTTTCTTGTAAGAAACAAAACACCCGTAAATAGTTCGAATAAGAAACTCCATTTGAAACCGCCTCTCCTCAATGCTCGTTTCTGTCCCTTCCCTACCATCGAGGGCAATACTACCTTGATTCGTTGTCATCATCGGGCATTTTCCAGGTATATTTAATGTACGTTTCAATGCATTCAACACTCAGTAGTACTGACCCAAGCCAAGACTGTGACAGAATGGACCTACACGAGAACGCCGAGACCGAGACAGTGACTGTGCTATTCAAAATTCCCGGTAACAGGATATCAATTTCGAGGTCCACGGAAACTGCCTGACCATATCTGGGGAGTCGAGGCACTCAGAACTATGACAAGGGCGGCTATGCGGTGCAGGAGCGCTCGTGCGGCAAGATCGCCAGCAGCTGCAGGACCCTTCAGATTCCTCAGGGAATCAATTTGAGTACTCTATCCGTCCACATTCCGTGAGATAAATTGATTCTTACGGCTATCTAATCGTTCAGGCTGAGGATCTCCATGCGAAGATGGAGAACGGAGGGCTCACTGTGTGCTTCCAAGTGCTGAACCGGACCAGCCACTGCAGCGAATTGCAATCACGCAAAGACGTCGTGGTATTTGCTTGGTTCAACCCATAGTCGTTTCGAATCTATCATTAGCGCAATAGCTTGAGCGAACACTGGGTCTACATGACTTTCTGCACTTGAATCACGACCTATCATGACGTGCCACTTGGCCCGTAGATATGGATGCCATAGACAACATCTGCATTGGTATTAGAGAATTACGCCCCAAGTTGCTGGCTTTGATATCTATGTGTATATAGTCGCGGATATGATGAATGACTAGGCGAAATAAAAATATCCTGTGTAACGTGTAACGTTTGTGCAACGACTAGCTATATAAGTCATAGCAATTAGGGCGACTGGGATCCACTATGACATCGAGGGAAGGGATAAGGGCAACGTATTCCGCTCGGTACGCATCTTTCAGCGTCGCATGACCGCTGAATATCAGGCTCTCCAGCGGACACGCTGACTGTGTCAAAAATGCCTTGAACCCATTATGAGGCCACTTGCTCCAAGAGCTAGTTTCAAGCACGCGCAAGTTGGGGAGTAAGACACTGTTAAACAGGCTCGCTAAATCGGATGTGTCGTTAAAAACGATGTATAGGGATTGGAGGTTGGTGTGCGTGAATGGCCGGAAGACCGGGAAGCTATCGGACGCCATCCCAATCATTAACGAGGAGAGGTTAGGACATAACTTGAGCAAGCGGATAAATGCGTTTGGTTCGGACATCCTCGTCACGACGGTTGTCAGGTGGGTCCACACGGGATTCGAATGAAATAGTAGGGTTTCGAAAGTGAAACATGACCATAAGATCTTGAGATTGGTCACAGTGGACGGCAGTTGCGCGATGGAATATTCAACAGATGTCAAGTCCATTGTGAGAATGTTGAGCTCCCGAAGTGCTGGAAGGTCGTCTAACAGAAGTTCGGGATGGTCCTCAGGGTCTTGTTGGGAAAAATGGATGGAGAGAGATGATATTTGGTGGGTGTAAGGCTGAAGAAGGCTTTGTATCTTGGTCGAGTCATATGGGCAGTCGTTCCAGCAGAGAGTCAACGAGAGCGGACGTCCTCGTGATCGCTCAAGCCATGAGCCATAACAGAAGGTTTGCCGCTCCCACTGGTCTCCGGGGCAGAATGATAATGATGGTCTGGACCATAGACTGGGTATGCCCACAGCAACCTCCCTCCATCGTTGGCATACTCTAGTCAACACTACGGGAGCGTCGAGCTCTGATGGCATCTCGAATTTATCGAACTCTGGGAGACAGAGGTGAAAAATTTTGGACAAGACTTCAATTGGCAAACGCCAAAGAGGCGATACAAGTCCCTTGTGCAAATTCAGCGACTGCGTGATCTTGGCTTGCTTTAAGACCAGTTGTTGCTGAAGATTTTCAATACTATCCATGATGGCCTCTAGGTCCGATATCTCATGCAAAACTGCATCCAACTGATGTTGGCGTTCGGTGATGATGGTGCCAATACCCATATCCCTGTGCATGGCAGACTGATCGGTATTTGGGAGCCTGGAGTATGGGGTGTCAAGGTCTGGAATCTAGTAATCATTATTAAAATGACAATTGATGTGTCGCAATAGACGTACAGTCACTTGTGAACGTGCGAGCTGATGCAAATGAATGTTATTATATGCAAACGCGAGCACCTATATAAAACTGGACACTCACGATGTTTTGCAGCGCACCAATGACGCCCAAGACTGGTAAAAACCCCGTTTTTGAGTGGGCTGCCATGCCCTCGGTTGCCTGCATGTTGGTTGGTGAACAATCGTAACTTTCCAAGGTTCCACTCGGAGCGAGGAATGGCTCGGATGTAATTGAAAGACCATGTCCGCTAACAGGGAACTCTCTGTAACGCTCGACTTTCCACAAAAGCCAATAGTACGGATATCGTACCTAACGACCAATATCCGTACCCGGCACCTCCCCTTACCACTTAGCCCCTAGTCACCTAGTCTCATTAGCACTTTCTTTATTCACTTTTGTTCCTACTTCACCCGAGCCTCTCCTCCCCTATATAAGCTAGTTTACATAGTACTGGAGAGGTAGTTGATCCTTCTACCCCCCCTTTTGAGAAACAGAGGTTTAGTTCTGACAGTTTACTCAGACTCCCTTAAGTTCTCGCCTCGAAATTCAACTCGTCTCGTGTGAACGTTTCACAAACGCCACATATTTTTAAACTAGAATACTAAGCCCTCCCATCTTCCCCACTAAGGCCGCCGTTGACGAGGACTTGATCACCCTCTGACCCGACGACCCCTCTCCATCTATCTCTTTCTAAAAAGAATTCCCCCATGTCGACAAAACAAACAAACGTACCCGGTACCTTCCCGCAGAGCTCTCCTGTCCTCGCAGACGGATCGAGTGTAGACGCGGGCGCCCTCGACTTGGGAGTCGAGAGCGCGTGGACTCGTGATGACAGGGTCATCACTGGAGTCGAAAACTCAGACAGCCTGAGGGCAGAGGCACCATCGAGTGATCATCTGTCCTCAGACTCGTGGCTAGGAGCCCTGGGGGCTTCAGCCGGACCCGACCTTCCGCTGAATAGTCTAGCGGAAGGTAACAAACACCTCGTTAGCAGTAACGATGGCGAAGGCTCTGCAGTGATGAGCATTAGCCCTATATTAGGTAGTGTAGAGGGACTACATACCTCCCACCTCGATCTACAAGCTCCTAGAGCCGTTGCGTTCGCAACGGGAAATTTTAGTGACACTAGCGTAGAGAATGAACGCACCCGCTGGTTTGACCTGCCTAACGACGGGGAACTGGGCGACGTGCCCGAGTTCCCGATTCTAGCCCCGCTAGTTCGATCCCCAGATTCCACTCCCAGGATACCGTACGAACTGAAAGGCAAGAATGTTACCCCAAAGGATTGGGGAGAGCAAGAAATCAAAGGAAATTACTTACCTCCATCGAAAATCAAACCCCTCAGAGAGGAAGGAGGTAGTGAAAAATGCCCCAGCGAGATTAAGCGGCTTGACGCGTCACTTAGCCGCTATCACGAGTTAGCCCAGGAGGTTGCTACCGAACGGTCTGATCTTATCGATGAGCTAAGGGAACAAGTAAGAAACCTAGAGAAGCAGGTTATCGCCAGTCAGTTGCGTGAGGAAGCGGCGCGAAAGATGGTCTCTGACGCTCACCGCGCGCCTACTATTAGCATCCAAGGGCCCAGTGCGAATACTCCTAAGGTAAAGAACTTGACTACGAGAGTCAAGCCTGCAGAGGGCACTCGATTCCTACGAGCGTCTTCAGTACTTCCTAACGAAAGTTCCGTTAAAAGAGCCATGAGAGGCCCTAATCACGAGGAACGCAGCTCAGATAGCTCATCCTCGTCAAGCGAGGACGAGAGCTCGTCTACTGATACGGACAATGAGCTCAACCCAGTTATCAACCTTAAGAAAACGACTCACCCACAGACCCAACCCGCACTCGATAACGACTTCGGGGCGGATTTCCTGTCGCTAGAGCCCGAGTCAGACCACGACAGCGACTCCCCTGAAGCGAAGCGTGCTAAAAGACAAGCTAGGCGCGAACATCGCGCCAAGCTGAATCTATTAAAATATCAGCAAAGTTTTATCAAAAACGAGCCACCATTCACCTATAATGGTGAAGCTAATGCCACTACCTTCAAAAAGTGGGTCAGGGAGGTTAGAGACTGGAAGGAGCGAGCTAGACTTACTAACGGACAATCACTTCGCATGCTGGGAAAATACCTTGGTGGACAAGCCTACCGGTTCTTCGAAAGGGACATATTGGACCTGCAGAAGAGGTACTCCATGACGGAGTTCTTCGAGCAGCTGTTCGACTATGTCTTTCCCCCTGATTTTAGAATGCAACAACGTCAACGGTTCATCGAATGCAGACAGGAAGGAAAACAAACCGTGAGGGACTACTTGAGACGACTGCGTGATCTAGCAGACACCGCGGGAGACGTGGGCGAACGCGAAATCGTCCGACAGTTCTGGACTAACTGTAAGCCCTACCTCAGAGCCTCACTCGTGGATAAGGGCTACGAACCAAACACAGTTAGCTTAGACGTTGTAGAAAGGAAGACGTTACGCACCGAACGAGCTTTCCTAGAGAACTCAAACGACCCCAACATCCTTCTTGCTGTCAACCCTACTCTTGCTTCGAGTTATGCAAACCACTACTCAATGAACGATCAGCACTCTCGTCGTGATACGAGGAATAGGAGGAATAACGTACCTCGCCCTCGCACACAATCCATCTCCGCAAACGCCGTTTCTAGCCCATCCCCTGCTAAACCGTCCAATGGAATGACGCCTAATCGAAGGGATAAACCCCCAGGGCCCAGTAGATCCCCTAGAGAACCTAACAAAAAGAGTACCGATCAGTTAAGAAAGCTGCGTGATAACAACCAGTGTTTTGAGTGTGAGCAGCCTGGCCACATCGCCAAGGACTGCCCACGAAGACACCGCTTACCTTTTAAACCTGGCTCTAAGGTTTCTTCCCTGAGCGCGAACTTCGTGGAAGTAACTGAGTCGGATATTAGGAGTGCGGCCATCGAAGAAGGAGTGGCGTACGGACTATATGGGATGGCTGTTAGTCAGGATAATGCCCCAATCGCACAATCAATCGCTCGACTTACCACCATTGAGCGTGCCTTATCCACCCTCCGCAGAGCCGTCCCACTCCCCACTGACGAGTTGCGAGACCCATTGTTTGACCCCTATGGAGTTGATAGATTCAGTATTTCCACTCACGGGGGCCCCGACACTTACTTGCTATCCGACAAACACAACTACGATGACTATATCATCTACTGGGAACAGATTAGCGACCCGTCCTTTGAAATCGTCCCCTGGTTGATTGACCTTAAGCTGCGAAACTTCGAAGATCTGATACTCACCAAGTCTTCATTCCAACCAACTTGGGGTGGACGAAGCCTATCCGAGACTGGTAGCTCGTCTGAGCAGATCGACGGTGTCGAATCAGACGATATTCCCGCCTTATTGGATGATGAGAGTTCTGAGGATGAACCTGACGGAGCTATTAGTAGTCTGACCTGCGCAAGTAGCTCAAGTAAGAACACGAACCCTCCCGATATCCGTTCCTTAACGAGACTGTCCGCTCGTCCAAGGACAACCACGAGAATCCTTCCCCGATCGATCGTCGTGATCGTATCAATCAACGACCGCCCGTGTCGTGCCCTCCTTGATTCCGGGTCACTCACAGACTTCATATCGTCTACTGTAGTAGATCAGTTGAAGTTGAAGTATGAACTACTAGACAAACCGATACCCCTCCAGCTGGCCGTCTCAGGATCTCGTAGCCTAGTGAAAGCTAATACAACTGTTGAGTTTTCGTACCAAGATATAAAAAACACGCGAACCTTTGACATAGCGAATCTAGACGCCTATGATGTCATTCTCGGGATGCCGTTCTTGTTTCAGCATCAAGTACTGATGGGATTTAATCCCTCGGAAATTAAAGTCCGAAGTATTGACCCCCTGCCTATCAGGGGATCTCAAACACAGGTCCTTGAGCTAAAAGGGTCAGGGATTGAGTCTAATGATATTAATGCTTACCGGGAGGAACTGCGCGCGTACGCGAGGGACATATGCAAAGATGCGGAGGAGACCCCTCTTCCTCCTTTGCGAGAAATCAATCATGTAATCCCGCTCCTGGACAATGGCCAGGTATACTCTTGGCGCCAGTCGCGTTGTCCTGAAGCCCTGCGTCCACTATGGAGGGCGAAACGCGAAGCCTACACCAGAACAGGTCGCTGGGAGTTCTTTAGCGGGTCAAACGCGGTGCCAATGATTATGATGAAGAAAGCCACGAAGGATGGAACCCTTCGTTTGCGAACTGTGCTTGATACCCGTCAACGGAACAAGAACACTCGTAAATTGGCGTCGCCCTTACCTGACATAGATACCATCCTACGAAACGTCTCGTCTCACCCGTTCCGGTCTCTGATAGATGGTAAGGACGCATACGAACAGATTAGGGTGGTCCCTGAAGACGTCCCAAAGACGCTGTTCGCCACCCCTGATGGTACTATGATTAGTCACGTCATGCAGATAGGAGACTGTAACGCCGGGGCGACTTACCAATCGTTGATGAATCACATCTTTGGTCCTCATATTGGAGTGTTCATGGACGTGTACCTTGATGACATTGTCATCTACTCTGATTCCGTCAGCGACCATGTAAGACACGTGAAAGTAGTGATCGATACCTTGCGCACCAATAGTTTCTACCTGAGCGAGCATAAGCTCCAATTCTTCATGAAGGACCTTAATATCCTTGGGCACGTCATTGATGATGGTGGAATCAGACTAGATCCGCATAAGGTAGATAAGATAATTAATTGGAAAACACCTACCTCAAAGGAATTGTTAATGCAATTCATAGGCTCGGTCGGATACTTAGCCGCTGGATGCGAAGGGGTGCGCGTCGATATGCAGCATCTCTCCAAGATAGCAGCAAAGTCCACCAGATGGACGTGGGATCCCACTGACCAGCGTGCGTTCGACCTGGTTAAGTCTTGCGTTGAAACGCATCGAAACGTACGCCGGAAGGCAATTGATATGGTTCCTGCCATAAACGGGGTGAATCCAGTAAATCTGACAACTGATGCCTCACTTACCGGTGCGAGCGGGGTCTTATCCCAAGGAATCGACATTCGTAAGGCCGACGTCGTCGCCTTCTGGTCCGGGAAGTTCAACTCTGCCCAGCAAAACTATCCTGTGCATGAGCAGGAACTGTTAGCCATAGTGGAGTCGTTGAAACGATTCCGTCACTTACTGATAGGCTACAAGTTCAGGGTCTACACTGACCACAAGGGACTGGAGTGGTTGAACACTCAGTCTAAGCTGTCACCCAGACAGATGCGCTGGCTTGAAGCGATCAGCGAGTTTGATTTTGAAATCATCTACCTACCAGGCGTTGACAACACGCTAGCCGACGCGCTGTCCAGAATCTACAGCAACGAACCTAAGGGCACGGTCCGGGCTGCCAGTGAGTATGTGAATGTTGAGGAAGAAGATAAAGCACGCACTTTACTGCTGAACTTCGTATCGGCTCCAGTCTACACCGGGACCCCACTGTTTCTGGGTGCAACAGAGGCCAGGCGCTCTGCACGCATAGCGAGTCAGTTAGTCATGGGCAACCGGGTGAATCATTCCCCATCCAAACGCCTAGTTAAACCCAAGCGTGTGGGGATCACCCCCACTGACACACAAAGCGGGGAAAGCGTTAAGATAGTGAGATCTCTCACTCACACTGACACACAAGAGGGCGACTTACCCACTATAGGTCATGCCCCTCCCAGCTCCCCTCTCCCTGATGGCAATCCCAAGGTCTCCATCGATAACGCCACCGTTTGTTCAGAGAAGGCGAGTCTGACTGGAGCGGCCCCAACTCTTAAGGCGAGGAAAGTCATCCTGAAGGTTCGCGATCCTGCACTGGATGAAGTGGTCGGCGTGGACGTCTCCGTGCGCACTGAACACCCCACCGAGAATAAGCCCGCTGAAGCAGAGATCAGTAGACTTGACGTCCCTACTGCGCCTGGGACACTGAACCTCATCGCAAGAGGCGGCGCAAACGGCAGGGTGACAAGCCCCTATCAAGAAACAGTCAATATCTCAGACGCTAACTCACTAGCAAAATCAGCAGGGAATCGCTCACCGTCTGCTGATAGTAGCATTGAGTCGACATCGTTGCGTGAAACAATGAAGTCGACTGATTCAACCCCGATAAGCGTACACATGGACCAACAAAGTCACATGACTAGTACACCTGCCTCAAATGCTAAGTTCAATCGTCCACCCAGTAGCTCCTTGGAGGGCGAAATCGCCTCTGACTTGCTGGGTGAGTCTCCACCACTCCTTACTGAGACAATCGCTCTTGGGGATCCGTCACTTGATATTCACGCCCAACTGGTGGGCCGGTACTCTGAAGACCCTTTTTTCGCCAAAATACTGGGCAGCCCTGGTGCGTTTAAGAATTTTGAAGTTAGTAATGACCGCGTCTTCCTTAAAGATAACGGGAAGCGCATCCTATGTATTCCCGACGTCGCTATAGGCACCCGGCGAGTGAGAGAGATAGTGATCTCTCACGCACACTCAATCCTCGCACATCTTGGCCCCCTCAAGACCCTACAGTATCTGCGGGAGAACGTCTGGTGGAAGAGTATCTCTACCGACGTAAACGCATTCTGTGAGTCCTGCCCTACCTGTCAAGTATCGAAGCCCACCAACCACCAGCCATATGGACTGCTGGAGACTCTTGACGTCCCCACTCGCCCATGGGAAACCATCGGCATCGACTTCGTTGGACCCCTCCCCGAATCCAAGACCCTTAATGGGGTCTTCGACATGATCCTGGTCGCCATCGACCATCTCACCTCGATGGTGCACCTCGCTCCTACTAAGCAGACCTACAGGGCAAGAGACGTCGCAGAGGTGATGTTTCACCTCGTGTACAAGCTGCACGGGATGCCGTCGAACATCGTGAGTGACCGCGACACCCTGTTCACTAGCACGTTCTGGCAGAGATTCCACCAGCTGACTGGTGTGGAACTTAGGATGTCGACCTCATTTCACCCACAGTCAGATGGTGCCACCGAGCGCGCTAACCGCACCATAACGCAGATGCTGCGTCAAACCGTCTCACCACACCAGCGTGATTGGGCTCAGAAGCTCCCTGCGATAGAGTTCGCCATGAATTCTGCATGCGCTGGGGCCACTGGGTATGCTCCATTTGTCCTTAATTATGGATTCCTTCCCCCTCCGCTGATCTGGAACTCATCCTCAGATTATCCTGGCGTTAGAGTCTTCGCGCAGCGTATGAAGGATGCCATCCTGGCGGCTCACGACTCCGTAATTGCGGCTAGGGTGAAAAGCACCACTACCGCCAACCGGCATCGGAAGGAGTCTCCCTTCGTCAAGGGAGATTTGGTATATCTATCAACGGCTAACCTCTCCCTTCCCAAGGGCCGTGCTCGCAAACTCGCGCCCAAATTCGTGGGCCCATTCAAAATTCTGCAAGACTACAAGAATAACGCCTTCCTACTGGATCTTCCCGCTGAGTTAAAGCAACGGGGGATCCACCCGGCTTTTCACGCCAGTCTCCTGCGTCTGCACGTTCCTAACGACGATCGTCGTTTCCCAGGCCGCCAACTCCATCAACTCGCGGATATTGGAACTCCCGAGGAGTGGTCAGTGGCTCGCGTCACTGATCATCATGGCCAGGGTAGCGGTGCCCTCTTCAAAGTAGAGTACACCACTGGTGACTTCGTGTGGCTCCCTTACCACTCTGTCTCCCGGCTTGAGGCCGTGGGCCAGTACTTAGAGGCCCTGGGGGTCCCTGGTATATTCCACCTCCCCAGAAAGATCTCGCCTATCCCACCTAATATTGGGGTTGCCGCCGTGAGTCACTCACCTGACACTAGTGATATTGTCTTCACTATGGTTGACAGGTTATTGGCCGAACTACCCGATATCCCCTGCCCCTTAAAAAGCAAGGATAGCAGGTCGCACTCCCCATCCTGTCCTTCACTCCCTTACCCAATGGTTGCCCCCCATACCATTCCCCCCTCGTCTGACGCTATGAACGTCGACGGACCCACCCCCCCTGGCTCTGAACCAGGGGAAATTCCCCACCAGAACGCCTCACAACCCCCGCGCTCTCCACATTCCCGTGGAGGGCGGGGCAGGCGACGCAGGGGGCGGAGTGGGCCTCAATACCACCCTCCGCGTCGTGAGTCTAACTCCGACGCGATGAACGCATTCTCCCGCTTCTTCCGCGCTGAAGCTCTCGCCAAAGAGCTTGCCATCAGGAAGGACGCGTACGCCTTTGACGCGCTGGTCAAGGCTGATAGAGAGGCGGAACGTGCGGAGCATCGTCAGCGCGTTCGACACCTGACCCTAGACAACAGAGGGCCACGACGCCAACCACAGCACACTCATTTTCGCCCATCCCCACCAAGGCACCGGCCCACGCAGCTCACTGCTCCCCAGATCATCGCGGCTGCATCTGCATCTACGCCCAGCACCCTTCCCCTGATCCCCAGTCCCCCTGCCCAGCCTGTTGACCCAGGCCGTGATGTCCTGGACATAATAGCCGCGTCTGAGCAATTGGACCTGGAGCGCGATGACCGCCTCCATGGTGAGGCGAACGAAGTCTTCTTCGGTAGAGTCCTCGTTGTTGGCTTACTCCTGACAAATGTCCTGACACTGGCATTTTCGCTAGCGGCCATGAACTCCATGGGCATCGCCTCCTCCTCCTAGGAGCTCTCGCGTACAAAAATTGTGGGTCTCCACGCGGAGACCCGGAGGGCGTATGTAACGCTCGACTTTCCACAAAAGCCAATAGTACGGATATCGTACCTAACGACCAATATCCGTACCCGGCACCTCCCCTTACCACTTAGCCCCTAGTCACCTAGTCTCATTAGCACTTTCTTTATTCACTTTTGTTCCTACTTCACCCGAGCCTCTCCTCCCCTATATAAGCTAGTTTACATAGTACTGGAGAGGTAGTTGATCCTTCTACCCCCCTTTTGAGAAACAGAGGTTTAGTTCTGACAGTTTACTCAGACTCCCTTAAGTTCTCGCCTCGAAATTCAACTCGTCTCGTGTGAACGTTTCACAAACGCCACACTCTCACGCGTACTGTAACAATTTAGTTCGAACTGCCAGTGCGAAAAGCTGGACAAACACCCGACTATGATGATTGTGTTTTTGATGGTACAGGAATTTGCAATGCCGCCAAGCTCCGAGTCCATATTGGATGTCCAGTTTTACTAGGGGAGCTCACAGTAGGTCGCTTCTGCTTCTGCTTTTGCTTCTGCTTCTGCTGACACGTGAGGGACAAGGGTTAGCGGTGTATTATGTAAGCAGTTAACTCCCTAGTAACCCTACTACACACGCCTCGCAGCTTGCTACATCAGCAATACTTAGAATCCGACATCTTGCGCTGGCCTTCGTCTCGCCAGATGTGTTCTGATGGCTCCATGAATTAGTACTAGCGACTCAGATATCCTCAGGCTCACGGTGCTCACCTCATGTTGATCTTTTTTACCAAACAAGACTTTGAAATTTGCACTTGCGCTGATTTCTGCAATGAGTTTCCACACACGCGAGTGCTCATTCTCGTTCCACTGAATGCTGGGTAGACTTTGTACCTTCTTTAATTTAGCTACGCGAGAGTATAAAGTAGAGTACAATGTGACTTGGCGCACTCTGAGCGGGATGGCTAGAAATGGTATATTCAATTTAGTTTCTATTTATTTTGCTGTATATGTGAAAATATCGATTTATTATGGACGCAGAAGCAGAAGCAGAAGCAGAAGCGACCTACTGTGAGCCTACCTACTATCGATGGTCGACAGTAGTTTATTAGAGATTCAAAGACTGATTTTCGTGGACGGTGCACGTCCGTAGGTTTACGTCTTTTCATTTCCAGCAAAATTCACACCTTCTACGGCACCTGCGTTTTCATTTGACGGCATCTTATGAGCGTACTATCTGAGCTGGTCTGTACTTACTCTGATCCTCGTACGACAGAGATTTCTACGCGAATCATCGTGGTCTCATGAGGCACGCAGGCGGATAAAAGTTCACCGCACGCTCACATTCGGCGAGCCTCTTTCAATCCGATCTGACTTTCACTTGCTCTAGAATTTTCCATATCTCATACCTGAATATCACCTCGACGACCCATCTAGCACCCTCGAATCCCTGTCCTCCACATTGTCGGGTATACCATCAGAGCCTCGATATGGTGCAGACATGAAAAAAATATTTCAAGGCTACTTCGAACATTTCATGACGTACACTACGACGTAACTTGCGAACAATTTATTCTACTCCCTGTAGAGTACCTGGCAAGTTTTAATCATATCAAGGATTTCTCGTGCTACACACTACTGCTAGTTGACACATGCACGCGCTCCTGGAAAGCAATTGAAGTCGTAATGCTTTCCGTATTGCAGCCTACCACGAGCTTAGCTTGATGTTCCCGAACGCCAAGGATCAGGCGTGGCCCCAGCACAAACATCTGGACGAGCGCGAATATTTGACAAGGATAAATCTGACTTCCTACTACGGACTATAGAAAGGATCAATTATGCCCGCATGCAAAGGTCAACAACAGTTCGGCATACCGTTGTGATTGTTGGAGATAAATAACTGAGGTGGAAGGAAGACGTAGCAACAAAGCTAGCAAGCGCGATTGACGAATTTTCAGCATAAAAAGACAGGATTCACATTATGGGCTCACCTCGCAAAGTAAACCACGTGAGTTCTAATTAGCACTGCAAAAAAATCCCTGATAACCCATCCTCTGGATCTACGTTGCAGTTCGCGGAAGTGTTTTGAGGCAATCCAGCCTGCGAAGCACAGCGCGAGGACCTCCCATACAGCGGTGAGCGTCCAATTCACGGCAACCAGAAGTTGGTCATTGCCATCAAAGCCAACAATGCAATTGTGGGTGCCGGAGAGAATTCGTTCCTCTGGTATTCATCGATGAGCCTGGCGCAATTGAGTGTTTCATCCATGATTGACACTTACCCCCTGAACTATGCATCGTTATTGTTGCGGTGATCACACCCGCGATGATGTTGACAACAAGGAAGATGACAATGAGAAATATCAGCACCTTTATAGATCGCTGATACATCACATATAACCGAGTGATCATGATGACTTTGCGTAATGTTAAATTGAAATCGATGTGACTGAAGTTGCGAAGCTTACCACCCAATATGGCGCTTATGATCGCACCCATCCAAGCTAGTGCGGTGTACATGATATGGCCTAGAAAATGGAGTAACATTAGCGATTAGCCCAGCAGGATCACATACTTCAAACAGACTTACAGCTATGGTTGTCATCGTATTGAGCCAAGAGCTAATAAAAAATCACACTCACCCCTACATGGGAGTGCGGTTAATTGGACGGAAATAGCAGGCATGGGTGCAGAAATCATACTCACTACATCGGTTGCCGAAAATGTCGGGAGGTATACTGTATGCCGCTGGTCAGAACAAATAAATACAGTAGATGTGAGGAGACGTACACAGGATATTGATACTGATTGTCGGTGATAACCAATTAGCACAGCGCCGGTTGCTTAGCCTTCCAGACTTACACAGAATATGATATTCCGAGATAGCGCACCTAAGATATCTTCAAGTCAGCAACACTTGACCGCACTTTTAACGCACGCTACATACCCCGAGATAAAGAATCGTCATGATGGACCAGCGTTGTCTCTGCATGAATCAATTGAATATTCACGTTATTATCCTAGCGCCGAACTCTGCTCACCCAAACCAGTTCGACCTATAAAACCATCATTAGCGAGATAGTTACTACAGCAATGAGATCAACCTACCTCTTGTGTGAACGTCAGAGCTGGAAACACCATAAACATACCGAGGTTTCTTGAATATTATTTTGCTCACCCCAATCGTACATCACGCCAGCAGATGCGGCAACTGCAAAACCACAGCCCAGGTTAGAACGAAGCATGCGGCACCGCCATCACCTGACTAGCTCTCCACGAACCTACAACATAGCTGCCAATCTGATATGAATTGATGAGCGGCCACCAAATTGGATCGTTTGAAACTAGGGTCATACTGTGCGAGGATGAGTGTAAGCGAGCCGCGGATTTCAAGTGGACGTTTGACAATGGTGTTCGTGTCAGATATATATCCAGCGATTCTGGGCTACTGGATTATATATGTCGCTGCCTTTGCAATTGACAATTAGCCGGTGTATAACAAAGTGACCAGGCAGCCTGGTCAATCTAGGGTTGAACTTTGATCCATGCGGAAACCGTATCAGAAACAGATTTTGGTTTGATGTGAGACTTGCAGTGCAATTTGTAAACACCGCACTTTTTGGATCAAAGAATCGGATAGGATCAATCCATCGAAGCTGAGCGATAATCCTGTCGCGTGGAATACGTAACACTGCCCGCCAAGGTATCAAGGGAATTGATTGACGGATCCGCAAGGCTGCACCAGAATCATCTCGCGGCCCATCAGAGAAGTTAGAACCGATGAATTAATTTCTGCAATCATAGGCGCCTTTACTATTTGCCCAAACCAAGTGCACGTGAGTCCGGGGTTGTCCGGGTTTCTGTTTCAGCCACGGGTTGAGGAACTCGAGGGCTGTGACGGTCGATGGAAGGATTGCTGCGGGCGTAGCTCAAAAGATGGTCTCTAGGAGCAAAGCCATGCGCTTGATTTGTCTGAACAAGAGAAGGTGACATCACTCTTCCTTGAGCGCTCTGAGCTCTCGTCGTCCGTACATATATCCTCTGAATCACAAGTTGTTCATTGATTGAATGTCTATGGTGCCGAAAATGAGCAGCGAAGAGAGATATGATCCTACGAGCATTGATAAATGACGACTAAATTGCAAAGAAATCAGGACGATTGAGATCCACTACTACGTGAAGGGAAGGAATAAGGGCAAGGTATTCCGCTCGCTGGTCATCTGTCATGGTCACTCCAACACCTAAAATCAGGGTCTCCAGAGGACAATTTGACCGTGTCAACAATGCCTGTAACTCCTGATGAGGCCACGGTTGTGCACCGCAAACTTCAAGCATATGCAAATTGGGGAGTGAGATAGCGTTGAGAAGGTCTGATAATTCGGATGGGCCCTGGACTCCAAGACAGTAAGGAGCAAGACGTAAGGATTGAAGTTTGGTGTGCGTGAATGGCTCCACGTCCAGAACGCCATCGAATAGTATGCCTATCGTTAACGAGCAGAGGTTGGGACATAGCTCGAGCAAGTGGAAAACCGCGTTGGATAGTATCTTGATCACAATATTTGTCAGGTGGGCCCACGTGTGATTGGAAGAAGGTAAGAGCCTGAGGCTGGCCCATGACCCTGTGAGCTTGAAACTGGTTAGAGTGGATGGCAGTCGCGAGATGCATTCTACAAGAGCTCGCAAATTCATTGTGACAATGCTTAGCTCCTGAAGTGCCGGGAGGTCGTTTAACAAAAATATGAGTTGGCTCGCTTCAAAGGAGGAATGAAAGGAGAGAGATGAGATTTGATCGACGTAAGGCTGAAGAAGGCTTCGTGCTCGCCGGGTCGAGTCAATTTCGGAGCACTGGAGTGCCAGAAAGAGGGGACGTCCTATGCTTCGTTTGAGCCATAACTCATAGCAGAAAGATTTCCGCTCCCAGTCTTCGGACTCGGCTCCCAGCCGCAGCCTGCACCATAAACCGGGCAGGCTCAAAGCAACCTCTCTCCATAGTCGGCATATTCTTGTCAACAGCATGGGGGCCAGATTTGATGCTGGCGACAAGTAGTTGTCTTCCGGGAGACAGAGGACAAAAATGTGGGAAAGGACTTCAGTAGGCAAACAGCAGCGCGTCGATCCGAGCCCCCCGTGAAAATTTATGGGCTGGGTAATCATGTCCTTCTTTTCGACGACCTGTTGGTGAAGATGATCGATCCTATCCATGACTGCGTTTAAGCCGGAGATCTCGTGCGAAACTGAGTCCAACTGCCTCTGCCAGTGGCGTTCGGTGATGATGGCACTGATGCTCCTGTCTTTGAATTCAATGGTGAAATAGTTGGTACTGAGATATCTGTGAGTACGGAGTTGAGAGGTCTGGAGTCTGGTCACATTATCAATGAAATCGCAGATATATATCAGAATAGACATACGGTGACTTGTGAGCGTGCAAGCTGAAGCGAATGAACATTATTACATACGGGCGCGAGAACATATAAGATCGGACACTTACTATGTTTTGCAGTGCACCAATGGTGACCGAGACCGACCAAAAATTGGTCAATGTCGTCCCATCAATGATTTAATGTAGTACATAAGTGATAAAACTTTGGTTTGAGCCAAGGCGGTCTGCTGAGTGATATTAATAATACTCTCCCACGGTACCATGACATACCTTAGACATTGCAGGCCCTTCGTTCGCAAAACACATCCTAGAAAACAGCCATGATTTCTCAGAGACCGAGATGGCCTTTCTCGGCGGTTCCTTTTTTTCAGCTGGATCCGAGATGGTGAGATTTTATTTGTTGCCTTGGAAAATATGTGACTGAAATTGGGCGCAAGACTCCTCTCATAGTACTAATGCACGGTATTCATGGCAGCACCATGTTTCCCCGAGGAGCAAGCTAAAATTCAGGCCGAGCTCGATGCGGCCATAGGAAGGCACCGAGGTCAATGGATTTCCGGCGAGCAAATGACACTGTTAAAATTGTGATCGTTTACAACCACCCTGCAGCGGTGACTATAGAAATTGTCGCTAACTCATCATAATCTGCACGAATGACACAAACGAGGCAAATGGGGCGGAAAGTCGAAGCCCGAGATGCCCTCCCTCATTTCGGCTTCAGGTTTCAAGCTAGGCTTGTCACGCTGTCTCAATAGATGTCCTGTCGCAGTCACTATAATGTCCAAGTTCTCCTGTGTGCGTTCATAAATCACGACTTCCCGTACTCGGAACGTTACTTACTCGTACTAATCTGGCATATCAGTGCGGCGTCTTTGTCCATGCCCATTAGCCATGATCCAGAACGTATTTAATCACCACGTGCCGGTGAGGAACTGACAGCCGCGCTGTTTATCTCCCCCTTAGTCTAACCTAGGCAGACCGTAGACATATGTCATTAAGCGTTCCTTCTTATCTCCCCGGGGCCACTTCTCTTTTTAGATTTTGATGTCTCTATCTCCGCGATAACTCGATGAACGAGTTGCGCTTTTTCGCGGAATTCAACTTGATTAGGTCGCGGGCTTCTCCAAGAGGTCTTTATGCCAGGATTCGAAAAGAAAATGTGTCCTGTTACAATTATTCTCGTGATTGTGAGTTCGCTTGTATCGTCTCGCTCCTTACATAGTCTGCATAGAAGACAGCTGACTCAAACATCATCTTCGATAGCTGCTTCAAATTCTAGAAATGTTATTTTGCGTTTGCAAAATCATGCTTCGGTCCGATTCCACGGGAATTGCATAACAAATTTTGTTCACGAGGCTTTACTTCGACCAACAGGATCTGAATATATGGCACAAGTTTGGTTCTTGGTTTCACATGCGAAATCTCCCCATATAGTACCCATTCCTTCATCCCTACTCGGGCCTTTCTCGCTCTCTGTACCACCATTGGTACCTCCAGTCTCAAAAGCAATCTCGACGTCACAGTACAGCTTATCTTGCCTACCTTTTGTCTCTTATTGAATGTCAGCTTCTCTCTCGTGTCCATCTTGGACCGAAAATAACAAAAGTCAAACACCGTGCGAGGTGGTCCAGGATGTGGATAATGCGTGCTCGTATATATGTGAGCCCTTTTTGATCCCATTTGTCAGCGCTCAAGCTACTCTAGACGCTACCATCTCCCCTCTCCCTTCCGAGGAAGCGTTTATTCCGGGTGGTTCAAACGTGACTGCATGCACATGGTAGGTTTTTCAGCGTGCATACATGACTTGGTAAATAACGGCGTCGTGATAACAGCTCCTGGGCGAGTTACAACTTATTTAGCGCCTGTATGCTCTGCGCTTCTTCGTCACCTTCACTAGTGAGGTAAGCCTTCCCACGTCATCAACGACATATTTGAGCCAATATAATGCAGTTGGGATGCATGGATAGCCAATTGTCCCACAAACCTAACGTCGACAACAACGTGAGTCTCTACTGGTATGGCATGTCCCCTGATCTGATGAATCTGTTAAAGATACTTCCCTTCATATGCGGGAGTGACGCTGTCTTCCAATACCTCAATACCTTGTTACGCGGGCTACGATCGTGCGTCCAGAAATTACTGATCACTAAACCACTCTTTCATGAGGATCATCCCACAGCTCGAAGCTGGCCGAATGGGACATTTAACGCAGTGGCTGCATCTGATGTTGCCGCCATATGTATGTCCACCTTGGTGAACCCGCGAACACACACTGACTTCAATAAGCATACTCCGACTTGACGGGAGCCGCTAGTTCCTGCGCTTCATCACCAAGCTCCCATAAGGGTGCGATTGCCGGAGGAGTCGTTGGGGGAGTACTTCTGCTGCTTCTGGTCTGTGGTTGTGTTTTATTCGTCATGCGTCGCAGACGTAGAAGGGCGAGATCCTCCCCCGAAATTACTCGGTCGACCAGCCCACACTTGGACGATAAGTCAGCCAAAGACGTGTATTCGTCCCCTTCGAGTCCACATGATTCGCCATCTTCACCAGCATCTCCCAAGACACCTGCATTGGCGTCAGTTCCTGTTGATTCTGGGGGGAAGCTCACATGGGCAGGATTTCCAGACACACATCCGGTCACAATGTCGACTGCTGGGCTGGGAATTGGCGATGCTCCGGCGGATGGCCTTTGTAGTGCCTCTGTCCCTGATTCGCACAATGCACTGCGAGCACAACCCGCTGGGGTAGACATTCTGGATGGGCGCGCTGTTATAGGCCGACAAAATGTACAAGCGATTGGCGTTCACGCGAGAGCAGATCACGCTGGCACGACAATCACTGATGTGTACAATCCTTTGCGGGAGCAGCCTACCGCGATGGGGCTTATGCAGGGACATGAAATCACGGTTCCAACTTTCGAGCGAGCGATCGGAAGCGCTCCCTTCGAAGCAGACCACAGTGATATCACAATTCCTGATGTGTATCACCCATCGCGGGAGCTGGTCGGCGGAGAGGGACCTAGAGAGGAACTTCTGACCATAGCTCCACCATCAGACCTAGGGTTTGTCGAATTCGTTAGGTCTATTCCTGATTCGTACGGTGCATTGCAAGCACGACCCGCTTGTGTAGACGCTCCGGATGGAGCCACAAGTCAGCAAGATGTACAATCGATTGACGCGGAAGCAGATTACGAAGGCACAGCGATCTCTGACATGTACTGTCCCCCGCAAGTAGAGGGACGCGAGATCATGGTTCCAACGATCGAACGGGCGATCGAAAGCGCTCCCTTCGAAGCAGATCATGGTGATATTACGATTTGTCATGTGTACCATCCATTGCAGGAGCTGACCGGCGGAATAGGACCTAGAGAGGTTCATCCGGCCATGGCTCCACCCTTAGAGCTGGAGAATGTCGAAGTAGAGTGCCCCAGCGAAGGCGGGGAACTGGTTTCCGTGAGTATTCATCAATATTTCTCAATTTCTTGGAAAACATCATCCATCACCCCCAGATCAACGAAGTTGACACTGAGGCTGCCCAACCCGAGGCCGAACAAGTCGGAAATCTCCTAGCGCAGCTTTACATTGAAAACAGCCCGTCCACTGACGTCATTCATGATCAATCCGTGGATCTCCAAACAGTATCTCGAGCAGAGGCAGAGGCCGTACAAACTTTCCTAGTTTCACACGCACATGACAGGATGATGACGCCCACTGTCTCTGGAGCCCTGGGATCGTCTCTACCGTTTGTGGAGGCCAGGAAAGCGCCTGTAGCTGAGGATCTGGTAGGCTTTTGTTGGTTGCTGAAAAGAATGCGTAGTCATCGGGCGTCGTTCAATGTCATAGGTCAAGCGCGTGGTGTACACGTATCTGATGGATCCTGCAACAAAGCAGAATGTACCTCCTTCTCACACGCATGGCTTGAAGCTGTGAGTGATGCTTCGTCGAATTTCTCATGGTTGAAGCCTACTTATGGTGTTTGTACAGTGACTTGCTGTTCATGCTCGATCTCACTGGTAGCCAACAACCCTACATAGACTCGGTCAAATCATCCATCAACGCAATCTGCGCGGAAATACTGGGATCAGATCATCTGAATTCAGCTCGGCCAGGCGATCTTCGTGTCGCATTTATTGGGTTCCGCGATCATTTCCCCCAGGAAGATTCTTTTGTTACCCGCCAATGGGACTTTGTGTCGGATCTCACTCGAATTCACGCAAACTTGAGAAGTCTTCCTGGTGCTGATGGTGGTGGAGATGGTCCAGAAGCTGCAACAGCAGCTCTAGCACGAGCTTTAACGATGGGGTGGAGGAATGACTGCAACAGGGTCGCTGTGTTAGTCTCGGATGCTCCGCCCCACGGTATTGGATCTCAGGGTGATTACTGGCCCAATGGTGTACCGGGTGGTGAGAACTCATCACTATCCGTCGTGGCGAACTCCAGAGTTCTGAATGCATCTACACATTCTAGTTCCGGACCCTCTTGATTTGGCAAGAGAGATGCTCAAGAAGAAGATCACTTTAGTGCGTGTTTCCCTTTCCAACGCATTATGTCTGCCGACATACAGATTTTAGCACTTCATCGCTTGCGAGCCAAGTTTGAGTCGCTTTCATGTAAGACCATACTGAGGTCCATGATAGATGTGATTATTAAACATGTCCCGCTTAGAACGCGCTCGATTTTTACCGTGGTCTGACCCGCATAACGGCGTAAGTCTTTGTTGTAATTACAGGGGCAGATGAATGATTCGACTGACATTTATTCGCTCAAGGGGCATCGTAGTCCCACTACTTGATTCCAGGGTCATGTCAACCTGTATCATCGGCTCTGCTCTCGAAAGTCTTGCGATTCAGGATCTCATCAACGAATACAGGGAAACCCTCGATGAATTGGTTGCTTCACGAGAACCCTCGTTGGTGGTGAAATACCTTCACGCCCTAATGCACGTCAGAGGTCGGACAGCTGACCAGCTGATTATGGAGAATATCTATGACATGTCTGACGACAGCAAGGAAAATGTAGAAATCTGGTCATCAGCCCGTAACCTCGCTGATGCGAAGGCTCGATTGAATGTAAGCTTGCGATGATTCTCTGGGCTAGGACTCACATATTCACATTTATTTACGTTAGTCCTACTATTAGGTGAATGACTGAACAGGAGGGTAGTGCTAGGCGCAAAATTGTGTAGGATACGTTTTGAAGTAGCCTGCGATCAGGTTTGTACATGTATAAAATTCCCGATGCAGAGATACAGATAATGTTAACAAAATTGACAAGTCATGTCACAAACGAAGCTACTAACTCAGAGCTGCAAGAAGAGATATACTACGGGGTGTACAGTACCAGTAACGTAGAGTATACAGAGCTGCACGAGTCTGTGAAGTCCACTCGCGAAATGCGTAACGACCAACCTAGTATTTACGGCACTTGGGAAATTGGAATCAGATGCACTACTTAGTACTTTGAGGGAAGGATAAGGGCGACGTAATCCGCTCCCTGCTTATCTGACATTAACGTGCTGGCACCCGAAATCAAACTCTCCAGGAAACAATTTGACCGTGTCAGGGAAAGAGAATTGAAAATGGAAGATCGTATGAAGGGTTGAAGTTTAGTGTGCGTGAATGGCTCTCGATCGAAGGTCTATACTCATGCGAGCTTTACGCCGTGACACGGCCCATCAAATGTATCAGAATAAATGTACGGTTACATTTGAACAGGCCAAGCTGCTGAAGAGATTGATCAAGTATCATGATCATTTGCAAACACGAGCAGTGCTAAGTGCTTAGTTAATTCGGAACTTACCACTCGGAGGCTTTGCAGCACATCAATGATATCCGAGAGTGGCTATCATCCCTTCGACTGTCTGCATTTCGTCTGCTGTCGAAGATCTCGATGAAGCTTGAAGACTGGTAGTAAGCCAAACACCCCAGACCTCCGAGTGGGTACAGTGTCGCAGATCGTCAGTGGAGGATCAAAACCTGCTCAGAAAAGGATGAAACCAAGGATGATTTTTCGCGCTCGTGGGGGTGGGACAACCTGCCCGCTCAAGCAGTATGTGGCTCGCGCGCTCCGGAGGTTACCTTGAATGGTTTGATTTCGCGGATGTGCATAAGAAATACTCTGATAAGTCAGGAGAACACTAGCAAGAACACGGAGGCGTTGGATAGGCATTTATGAATAACAGATACAAAACAACCCAAAGAAAAACATCTAGCGCATTAACATGTTGACCACAATACAGAAATCGCCCTAAGAATCGCCCTAAGGGTGCTAGGAAGATAAGAGCAGTGAGTAGTAGTAGTGCGGTAAGTAGAGAATACCACGATTGTGGATGTCGAAGTGGACAATAGAAAACGAGTGCAGTCTCGCTCGGCTCGGCTGGGGTGGTTGTGGTGGGCACTAGTAAAACGTGAGCCACGCTGAGATTGAAAGGAAGAAAATACTAAACAGGAGAGCTGGGGTCTAGGGTGTCAGCAGCGACTACTAGAGGACAGAGCCTTACTAACGTGTTTCTTTCATACATGGTTATCCGAATATACTGCTCGAGGTGACTGACTCATTTGGCCGAGGAACTGAGAGGGGATTACTGGTGTTGGTGTATCAAGGTTGGGGATTTACATGGATTCCAGCTGAGAATGCAATCGCGATAGCTATGAGGACACAAGGTAAGCCTGATATAAATGTCGCTGAACAAAATGGTCACCTCTCTGCGGAGAAATCGTTTTAGAACATATTCGTTTACTTACGAGCGGAGACTCACAGAGCATATTCATTCTCTATTGTCTGAATCCTAGAAAGCAGACTTTCTCCATGGTCACGAAGGCGCCGACATTCTGCCTTTTCACGCTCGCTCTCATCCTGAAGAACTTTGCATCGCTGGAAGGAAGCTACAGCAATTTGAAGTGGGACATGCTAGAAATGCCACATGTGAGGAATCAGAGAAGAATTGTGTGATGTATTGACAGCAAGCATCAGAAAACGTCGCGTTCGCATTGTGCCTGGCACGATGCAAAGGACTCACATAATTTGAGGCATCTGGTTGAGACTGCAGCAATTCTAGCGCTTCGGTGACAACTTTGATGGCATCCGCTTTGGGTGCGTCTTCGCCCGAAACTAGAGACACACACTGACGAAGGAGTCTAGCATGACGAGCGTTGATGGTATGCTGTTCAGCATTGTCTTGTTTGGGTGGATTTTCGAGGTAGAGTTTCTTAACACGATCTAGCTGAAAAGGCTCGCGACAGAGGGGACATGCCGTTGTGGATAAGGAGCGAAGACATCTGGGATTGAAGAGTCACATATGAGAGGAGAGACATGATTCCCAGGCACAAGCTGGCTGGGAGTAGCAACGCACTTGAGACAAAATATGTGACCACAGGCGATCACATGTGGAGAATGAGCAATTCCTGAGGAGATAGAATAGATATCAAGGCAGACGTCACAGTAACTTTCAGGATGGACAACAAGCATGCCGGTAACCTAGCTCACGAGAAAACCACACCACTTACAAACAGGCTTCCCACCACTACTGTGAGCCGTGAGTGAGGAGGTGTGGACTTGAAGAATAGAACTAGTGCAAAGTTCGAACCCAGCACAATGTTTATCGTGCCCCCTCACACGGCTGTGCGAAAGTCGTTCCACTAGGATCCGGATACACAGTGTTAGTGCTGCCGAAGGCCGGTTCAGTCCGGTTCTCTGGCAAATTTTCTGGATGCCAAACCGAATCACGGGTTCGGATTCCGCTGTTTGGTCGAACTCTGGACCGAACGTCGTTGAACACGTTCGGGAGCTCCGGTTCGCGTTCAAACCAGGTTTGACCATCAAAATATAGGGTTAGTACCTGCAAAAACCCGTACCCGCTCTGACGGGCACAGTTTTTTTTTTGGCGGGTACCACAAATAGCAATAGAAGCACGAACAAGACATATGCAGACGTCAATGTATGTGAACAAATGTGAACGATGACATCAAAAAATACCTGCAAGTAATGTAGATACATGTTACCCCGCAAATAAGATCGACATTTCAAAGAAGAAGTGGCGACCAGCACGGACAAGCACAACACATGGGGACAGTTGCGGATGTGGGGGCATGTGCTGACGTGCACAAACAAGCGGGAACGAGCGCGGGAACAGTTGAAGACAAGTATCGCAACATGCTCATGCTGACATGGTGGGCGTTAATGTAAGCGCTAGAATATTCATGAACAAGCAAGTCAAGCAGACAAATGAGTAAACCAGCCTGTGCTTTGCATAACTTTGATTTAGACAAACCGAGCGACTTCGCATATTTGTTTCTGTTTAGCAGGAACAAAAAAAAACAGGTGAAAATGCTGCGCCACTGCTGCGGTGCTCACAAACATAGAGTGTACTGTGGAAAGTCAGACAGCCGCAGTGACCAGTAGCTGTAGAATAAATGTATCAGTCCTTGTAGGTGACCGCGAAAAATCGGATACAATGGATGACTTTCTGTAGGCAAAATAATCCAGAATAAAATATTTCGGAGTCTAAAAAACATTTCCAATAGCGATAATATTTTAATATACTACAATAAGATTATCCCCCGTACGCTAAGTCATTAGATTTAGTCCGGTCCTTGATGGACAATCTTGCGGACCAGTACCTGCTTCTCAGCGACGATGAGGCAGAACTTTTCGATGACGACGAGGGTGCTGAAGGATCACGAGTGCGCCAACGCTAAATTCAGGGATAGCGGAGAAATTTTCGAGCAGGATTGGTCGAAGATAGACGCTATAACGGATTGGGCAAGATTGGTGGCAGCATAGTTAGAACTTTGGAAGAGCAAAGAAAATATGTGGTAACCAGGGGATACTACGATCATGAATGTCGAAGTGAGCAATGGAAAACGAGTGCGTATCTTCGTCTGAGACTAGAGACACGCACCGAAGGAGTCTAGCATAACGAGCGTCGATAGTATACTGTTCAGCATTGTCTTGTTTGGGTGGATTTTCGAGGTAGAGTTTTTTGACACGATCTAGCTGGCGACAGGGGGGACATGCCGTTATGGATAAGGAGCGAAGACACCTAGGATTGAAGTGTCGCATATGAGAGGACGGACACAACTGCAGGGCGCAAGCTGGCTGGAGTAGTAGCAACGCACTCAAGACAAAATATGTGACCACAGACGATTGCATGTGGAGAATGAGTAATTCCTGAGGAGATAGAATAGAGATCAAGGCAGGCGTCACAGAAACGTGCAGGATGGACAACAAGCATACCTAGCTCACAAGAAACTGCACTACTTACCACCAGGGTTCCCACCACTTCTTCGAGGGTGTGGGGTGTTGGGCTACTGTGGTCTGTGAGCCTTGGGGCATTGAGGAGGCATGGACTTTGATTGTTAGAACCAATGCAAAGTTCGAACCCAGCAAAACGATTACCATGCCCCCTCACGCGGCTATGCGAAAGTCCGAGTCACTCGACAGTATCCGCTCAGTTTTGGATTTGCTCCATCGCGTGCTTAGTAAATGAGCATCCGCGATGCAATGCATGCAATCGTTACTTGTACAAAATACAAAATGACTTGTGTTCATGTTGTCGAAAAGTTCACTCCCGCTCTTCTTGGCTAACCGGATGGGGTGTCGCAAAGTGAATCGGCGGCACTATATCCACCGAGGTAAGATAGAGGCTGGTGATACGGCGACGGTCATCATTGCCATCCGCTTGAACATTGGAGTCTTCTGGAAGTTCCACTCTAGAGTTTAAATGTGAGGGGCAGGAGCATTAAGTAAGATCAGATCATACCTTGCACTGAAGTTGATGTGAGTCAGACGGTGAGCAGGAGCAGCGCGAATGAGGAACATCATGCTACGTGTAACAATCAAAGTTCCGGCAACCACCGACGGCTATTAATAGGTGAATAGCAATTCCACAAGGTTGGGCATAGAAACTCACTTGGTCCGGACTATCGCCTGTGGAGATCAGGTTCTCCCAAGAGAGTGCAACTCCTCTGGTGGCAACTTTACGGGACGAGACGCTTTCCCTCAAAGCATCAAGTGTCGAAGGTGCATGGTTAACGCGGACCTCACAAGAGGGGGAGAATGCAGCATCGAAGGCGTTGGCAAATACCTCATCTTCACGCGCTTCATAGAAGGCGCCGAGATGAGATTGCGTCCAAGATATGAAATCAGGCTTAGACATGTATGGTGATTGTTGTGAATTCGAGCCCGATGCGACACTTTTGTGGTACAAAGCGCGATTGTAGAAGAGGTTGGTTGTAGCTGCTAAAAGAGTGGAGTACGTGGAAGTCTGGAGAATCTGACCTAAGATGATGATGGACCAGGTATGAGGTCTAAACTTGATCATGTTCTGTCAGAGCCTCAGAGGCCTGTGGAGCATCAAGTAGAAGAGGCTCCTAAGCTTTCCTATAAATATACCGGGTTCATTTAGGAGACACCAGCGACTTAATGTTCCACAACTTAAGTAGGATGCTCCTTCTAGTCCTGGCAAGAGATTCTGAGTCGGATATCTCGTCGGGGTATTTGCTTAGTTCCTGGCACCTTACCAGAAGACAGTGACAAGTCACAATGCATTAATTGTCATCATTTACAAAAACTAGGATGGGCAAGCAGCCTTTTTATATGCACGGAGCGATACGACTAATACACACGTCCAGAGTTGGCTCACCGCGTGGCCACTGACGCCTTCCAGAGCTCTTTAGATTTTGTTCCGGATGCAGGCAGACTTGACAGGAGCATAAGACATACATTTCGTGTTCAGCCTTCAAGTTCCCAGCTTCCGGGAATGATGATGTAATAACGCATAATGGCAAAGAGGATCGAGGATAGGCCAAGCGCTGGGTGGAATGAGTGGTAGGAGAAGACGGAGGTGGGGATATGGGGAGGATGGAGTTCGGCTGAGAGGGAGAGGAGAGGTTCAGAAGTTCAGGTCATGCTGCACGTGTATTTCCATGTTGTCGAGGGCTGTTCGAATTCGGCACGAAAGACGCTGGTATGAGTACACTAAGCGCTGAGACCAAAAGAAGACCGACTAGGGTTGGAGGAGGAAGAACCTGTGCTAAAGAAGTGGGTAATGTGGGTCATCAGCGAAAGTGACACGCCAAGGTTATGCGAAACTCGGAGCGTCCTGTAATGCTTGATGCTCCTGGACTGAGTACTGCTACCCATTTAGCACACTGAGGCAAAATGTAGAATGAAGTGTATTTCGCAAGGTAATAATGCAAATCGTGAAGGTTTGACAATAGTGTCATGGGGGGAATGTGATCGAGAGCGTTGCGAGACCATGGATGCACACTGTGTTCGGATGCACAGTGACAGATCGGATGCGGCGGGCGATACAACGATTGACAAAGAGTGCGACTGCGACCTGGAACAAGCCTGTACTAGTACTAGTAGTAGGCTAGTGGCGGGAGGTAGAAGCAGGAGGGCGAGGCATGATATTATTTTTAGAACAGTGCTAAAATTACATTGGCGAATACCTTAAATTTTGCCTCCGACTCAAACTAGTACTGCTGCCTGAGGTGGCCGACCCTGTGACATTTGCGACTTGAAAACTGATTGGACGTGCCAGTGTATCGCCCTATCTTTTGATTGCGGATATGTAGTAGGCCCATCAGTGAACCGGTGAGTTCTTGCTGGCGATTATGCTGATTGCGCATCATTGATTTGCGGTGCTTTTTTACATGGCCAATGATTTGAATAATTCGCGTCATGCTGTATGGCGCGAGTTGATAAGCACTAGTACTATTTTTCTGTGATCATGCCATATGCATGATGCATCGAATCTCAAGAGTGCGTTAACGCATTTTTCAAAGCTCACTGCATACTGCTTAGTGCCGACCGAACTTGAAGTGGATCGCTTGTATTGTTTTATATTCCAATGTGACGAAACTAATGCTAAAAGAAATCCTTTTATTGTTGTTGTAGGCTAACCTCAAGTCGACAGTACATTCGGATCCTTTCCTATATAATATCTTCTGTTCACCAGTTCTCTGATGCCATTTTCTGTTCGCCCATCTCAACATTCACGACACGAGTCCCACAACGTCCATGGCTCTTACCGCACCCTGCACCGTGACATCTTCAGACTCCGAGCCCGCAGAATTCATTATACCTGACTTTTTCAGTGATTGCGGCTACCCCATGCGACTAAATCCTCACTGTTATCCGGTCTCTCATGCTTCTGCACAATGGCTTTGTGACGAAGCACATCTAGTAGAGCCAGAAATTACTAAATACACCAGCGTGCGCGCAGGTTACTTCGCTGCAGCTTTATACCCTAATGCGAATGCTTTCCATCTGAAAGTCTGCGCAGACGTCCTGAACTGGTCGTTCAAATTAGACGACTGGCTCGAGATCGATAGGTTCGATGTCAACGACGCATGGAGAGTACGTGATTGTTGTATGTCTGCGCTCCGCGATCCCATCAACTTCCAAACGGAAAGATATAGTGCAAAGATGTGCAAATCGTGCGCCTATTTTTCCATCACACACATTCTGAATCTTATGGTCTTCAGATTCTTCAGCCGCTTTAAGGAGACTGGCGGCCCTGGCTGCACCGAGCGCTTTATCCACACAGTAGACTTGTGGTTCATCTCTGCTGCTAAGGAGGTAGATAACCGCGCCAAAGGACATATCAACGATGTTAAATCTTACCTGAAATTGAGGCGCGGCGTGAGCGGCTGCAAGCCTTTATTTACCCTCATCGAATTCGTAAATGGGATTGATCTCCCTGACGAAGTTGTCTCGCATCCGGTGATCATGGCTCTGGAGGAAGCTGTCAATGATTTTGTTTCTTGGTCCAATGTAATACCCTATATCTGTCATCGACGATAGTGTATCACTGACATTGCTGCGACAGGACATTTTCTCCTATAACATAGAGCAGTCTCACCATGGCACGCGTAATTTGGTTGCGGTGCTTATGATCGAACAAGGTCTAGACCTGCAAGGTGCGGTTGACTACTGCGGCCGGCTATGTAAAATTTCCCTTCAGCACTTTGAAGAAAACCTCGCTATCCTCCCCTCGTGGGGAGAAGAGGTTGACAAGCAGGTGGCTATCTACGTTCGAGGACTGCAGAACTGGATTTCCGGTTCGTTGCACTGGTCCTTCGAGTCTGCCCGCTACTTCGGGAAGGATGCACATATTGTCAAACGGGAGAGAACCGTCAAGCTACTTCCCAAGCGGCCTCTGTAAAGCCTATAGCTATGGCTCTGCTCTATGTGAGTTTGTTTTCACTTTTTTCCTGCGTTGCATGATTCTGATTGTGACGACCGGTATTATAGAAGGCTACATCATTATCTATGTCTTACCATGAAGCTGAATATTGATTACACATAACGTCTCACCTTCACTCTCCGCTTGCCATCTTCTAGCGACTGTGTACCATTTTGCACAAGTTGGAAACAATGTATCGTGTTCATTCGGTGTACATTATTCATTCTGGTTAAATGAGTTTGTATGCACGCCAGTGGGCGCGTGCAGGTGTCAAAAACAGACTCAAAATTGTTTCAGGTTTTGTAGACAGATTTACATTGATGATCATCGACCACTAGCGCTCTAGTTGCCAGATGGCACAAAGGATCACAGTGACCGAAGTCAAGATGATATCTCGCACTCATGGAGATCTAAACCACGGGAGTGGGGACAACCTGCCCGCTCAAGTGTTATGTGACTCGTGCACTGCGTCACCTCAAATTGCCGCGACAATTTGGCGGACATTCATAACAAAGATTGCGAAAGTTACAAGAACCCTAGCAAGAATATGAATAAAGGAAGATATATATCAATGACACATACAAAATCAACACAGGAAAGACTTCTAGCGCAATATGCTGACAGCAATACGTGAAAACGCTCTGGGTACTAGAATCATAGGAGGTGCACCGGTGAGCGGTGAGTACTACACTAGCAGTAGAAAATGTACCAACTTGGGATTCGTCACTCCATCGAGATCTCCAGCCATAGTCACCCAAGAAAAGACTTCTGGCGCAATGTTTTGATAGCAATACATGAAAACGCTCTGGGTACTAGAAGGATAGGAGCTGAGCAGTGAGTACTTTACTAGTACTAGAAAATGTACAAACTTGGGATTCAGAATTCCATTTCGAGCTCCAGCTATAGTCACCCAAGAAAAGACTTCTCGCGCAATATTTTGATAGCAATACATGAGAACGCTCTGGGTGCTAGAAAGATAGGAAGTGAGCGGCGAGTACTATACTAGTAATAGAAAATGTACCAACTTGCGATTCAGCACTCCATCGAGAGCTCCAGTTATACTGTGAGTTGCAATGCCCACAATCCAGAAGACAAATGTCAGAGACAGGCTACAGCGATTTGGTCAGCGATCGACTGTCCATGTCACAGGAGGTCCACTTACAAGAAGTTATTACTATCTGGAAGAAGAACGAAGAAAAATATGCGGTGACCAGAGAATAAAATCGTGCATGTTGAAGCGACCGATAGAAACCGAATGTAGGCTTGTTCAGCTAGACTGAGGTAGTTGTGGTGGTCATTGAATTGCGACACGAGCCAGGCTGAGATTGTGAGCTACCGAAGGGGGTCATTATTTCATCCGTTGAAATAAACCATGCACATACCTCGATGACACTGAAGAAGAAAACCAACGAGAAGGCAACTTAAATCACTGAATAAAGCGCGTCTGTGCCTAGGACAGAGACTCACTAGTCTGTCCCCTTTGCATGCGGCACTGGAGGGAATCTAAGGCATCCCGAAGTGGTATAGGCTAAAATGCCGCATGTGAGAAATTTAAGAAAAATGGAGTGATTTGTTGGCCACAACTTGAAGCACAGGTATACATCTCGTTGGTGGTGCGCACGCATGATGAAAGGGACTCACGGAATTGGGGTTACCTGATTGAGGCTGCAGCCGTTCCTGCACCTCGGTGACAACTTCTGCATTGGGTGTGTCTTCGCCTGAGACTAGAGACATGCGCTGGAGGATACTAGCATGACGATCGTTGACAGTAATCTGTTCAACATTGTTTCGTCTGGGTGGATTGTCGAGGTAGAGTTTCTTCACACGATCTAACTGGAAAGGTTCACGACAGAGGGGACATGCCCTTGGGGATAATAAGCGAATACACCTGGCATCGAAGAGTCGCGTATGAGAGGAGAGACATGAGTGTTGGGCACAAGCTGGCTGGGATTAGGGACGCACCTGAGACAGAATATGTGACCACAGGCAATTGCATGTGGAGAATGAGCAATTCCTGAGGAAATGGAATAGAGATCAAGGCAGACGTCGCAGCAACTTTCAGGATGGACAACAAGCATCTAGCTCACAAGAGAATTACACTGCTCACCACTAGGCTACTTCCCACTACTGCTTCGAGTGTGTGGGGCGTAGACTACTGAGAGCATTGAGGCGTTGAGGAGGCGTGGACTTTGATTACTTATGAGAATCAGTGCAAAGTTCAAACCCAGCATAACGTTCCTTGTGACGTCCACGCACGCACGATTTGTGCACGATGATCAACAAAAGATGGTGCATGCCCTTTTGATGCCCTTACAGTGCTTACAAATCACAGCAACACTTGCACGAGGCATAGGACGCAGCAGATATATCCAAAAAGAAACAAACGTCCACCGAAACGCAGGCTATACAAGATGTAATGACTCAGTACACGACCAATCTACACCAAAAGCACCTCTAGTCTCATCAGGCGCCATTCAAGTTTTACACCCACCATCCAAATCTAGGCCCTCACCCATCCATCAACGCCTGAGCCGCCTTCCTCGCATTCGCTTTCAGGCCCTCAACCTGCAACTCCATATTGCGAATTTTTTCCCGAGCTGCCCGGAGCTCACTATTGAGCCGATCAACTTCAGCCTCTAACACAGTCTTGTCCTGCACATCGCATAGCCCACACGTCAGAACTCGCGATCACGATTAATACCACAATTAGAATACGCACTTCATCATCGACTTGCGATGGCGGAGTGAGAATGACCGGAGACTCTGAGATAGGCGAGGCAGGTCGAGGAGGCATTGGTGCGGACTCGGATCTTGACACGACTGGAGTTTGTGGCACGGGTGCAGGCATAGAGGCAGATTTGGCGACAGGTGGGGGTGCACTGAACGCAGCGGGTGCCGGCACATGTACATGTGTCGGTGCGGGCGCAGGCGCAGGCGCCGAAGGCGTAAATGTCGATTGCGTACCATTAAACACAGCGCCATTCTCGAGACTAACGAGCTTCAAAGCTGCAGTCTTCCCAGCAAAGAACTCGCTTGCTGAGAGAGCAGGCTCTGACGAAGCCGCAGCTGGGTAAATGTCGGATTGGAATGAGTCCGACTGGTGATGCAGTCAGTGAGGGCTATCAAAAGAATTTAATGGACTGTTTACTTTGCGAGGCACAATGAAAGCAATCGGTTCCACGGATGAGCCTGATACCTTGTACGCGCGAGCAATCTCGCAATCCGACACGTTAAGGGCACGACGAGGTAGGAAACAGATTCCCCGCTGGGGATCTGGAGATTTGTGCTCTGCTAGCGCGAATAGCGAGTCGCTCTCGTACTCGTAATACCGGATATTTCCATCACTGTTAGATTTAGATTAACCAGGAAACAAACGCATCCGATTTCGTCTTACCCTTTGCCAGCTAGAAACAATGATATGAGAAAAGGAACAGACGGCATCCTAAGAACATGCAAAACACTCACCCAGGAAAAGAATGCCATTGTCGCTCCAGAAAGGCATAATGACACCAGCAGACTGATCAATAGTCATCGTCTTGACACTTCCAAGACCTCCCGTTTCCCAGATGGAGACCTGCCGGTCACTCATCTTGCTAAAGCCGGTAGTCACAATCTTGTCAAGATCGCCCATCCACACGACACGAGCACCCTTGATACCGCCATGCGCCTCAGTGACGCGAACAGCTTCGCCTCCAGCACGAGGATCGAACAGACGGAGTTTTTTGTCTCTACAGGTCGTCGCCATGAGCGTGCCGGTAGGGTTAAACGCAAGACACTGGATGGTATCGTTGTGTCCGGTGAGAACAGAGCGTGGGCGATCGGTATCAGCAAGATCCCAAAGCTTGACTGTGTGTTCTCCAGACGCACTGGCGAGGACGTTGGACGCGGTGGGGTGGAAGAGAACCTGGCCGATCTTGCGCGGCGATGCATCGATGCGGGCGACGGGGTCAAAGTCTTCTGGTACCCAATGATCCTGGCCCCAGTCTTCAAAAGCGGAAGACTCTACTTTCCAGATCATGACCTTGCCATCCTCACCAGCCGAGGCGACGATGGAGTCGTTATGCGGGGACCAATCGGTGTCGAGGACGGGGGCGGTGTGGCTGCGCGCGAGGGGAATGACATCGGGAAGTTTGTACGGGAAGTTGGGTACGGCTGCGAAAGGGGAGGGAAGGGGAAGTATTGCGAATGCGCCACCTCCGGATGCGTTCCAGTTCACGCTGATGTATCGCTGGGTGGGTTTATCAGCCGAGGACGGGCGTGAAGAGGGAAAGTGGTCACCGCAGAGGCAGAGACGAGATTCGTGTCCCATGCGCTGCCGGAGACCTTCACATTTTCGTATCCGTGCTCTTTCTTTGCCGTCTGTCCGAAAACATGGCTGTGGGAGACGCGATCAGTACCTCGGTGTGCTGCAATCTTGGGCGTGTGCTCACCGATACTTGGATGGACGAACAAATCGAGACATTGTCCAAGATTATCTGCAAACGACGAACAGTAAACGAAATGAGAAGAATGAAAGTATCCTGTGCTGTTGTAACGCAGCAACTTATGCCCCGCCGCTCTCGCCAATTAATGAGTTTCGCACAGATGTTAATGATAGCCTAGAGATAATTGCTCGGGAATTACCGAAGGGGGGTTTCTCCGTGCGAAAGTTACGCGTAGATTCAGAAGGGGGGTCGTATTCTGCCCTCCGAGTCACCCCTATCAATTTAACGTTTTAAATTGGACCCCCGCCGCAGCTAGGTTATCTCTTGCATCCTCTTGTACCTCGCTGAGTGCATCGATGTTGCTCCAGGATCTCCATACCACATGCATCCCCTTGTCATGAATGCATGGACAGTGCCTACTAGTTACGATACGTCCATGAGGATTGTGCAAAACGCCCAAAAATAAAATCGGCGAAGTACAATTACGCATGTAGATACGGCAACAAAACGCGGTATGAATTCTTTGTTGATTTATTTCTTAACCTCACTTCACAAAATGCGTTCTAGTCATAGAATACCAGAGCTCTCAGCTCGATGGATTCCCGAAACGGCGTTCCCTCTGGAGTATTCGGGTCTTGGAAGCCAGTATGAGGGGCGAGCCTCGCGACACTGCCATCTTGTATCGAGTCAAAGCTGAGGCCCTTTGAGCACGACGAAAAGCGCGACCAAGTTACTTCACTAACCATTTGATAAGAACAAACTCTTCTGGGGTCATTGCTTCCACGTATTTCCACTGGTGGTTTGGATTGTACGTGATTCCAAATGTCTCACCCTCGCGGTCAGGGAATATAAGAGCGACAGGTAGCAAGTCATTCTTGACATCGACACTCCGGAAGTCGCATAGTGCAAGCGGCCAGTCTACGGCTGCATGTGATATAGGACGCCAAATGTTTATGACTTGGAAGCGTCTGCGAAGGAGGGAAGGAGCTTCTGTTGGAGGGAGATGCCTATGAACACGAGCAATGGAAGACGAAGTCGTTTGGTCCACATGTACCAAGGGGAGTGGTTGACGCTTCTGTGGGCTATCATCTGGCTCGCCTGGGCGACGGCGACGAATAGCTGCGACATGAATTAGGCATCAAGGGTTGTTTAAAATTGGTGGTCAACGTACTGTGATCGAAGATGAAAATGCTACTTGCTCCCGTGACCCTCTTGATAAGGTCGATGCTCTCAGGATAGTATTCACGCTCAATCTCGGCATCATTCAAGAAGCTGGTATGCTTTGCCGGTTCTCGCCCATACTGAAATCCAGCATTGTCAAGTTTGTAAAGTTCCTCCTTTCCGCGCACGTTCTCAATGTGCATATCATGCTGGTCCTCGATCCAGTTTCGGGTGTGCTTTCCCGTGGTACTGTCTGCGTTGATGTTAGTGTAAGGCCGAGAGCCGTCAGTTGGAGCAAGGAAGTAGTTGAGGGTGCCGATGGTATCAGAAGCCATGGTTAGTTGGCGCCAGACTGCGTAAAGCGGAGTGGAAGCGTCTTTGGTATCACAGGGTATATATAATAATATATGTCCAAGGGCGCTTGGCTTACATATCAATCCTCCTGGCTGACTCAAGGCTGACCGTCAATGAAAATATGTCATATGCATGGCGTCACTGAACTGCAGGATGAGCGATAATGATGGCAGTCGTACATAGCTATAGAGGCCCACCCACCGGTTAATCGGTCTCTCCCATTCAAGTTTCGACACCAGTAATCTCCGTTGACTTGAGTTGTTAGCCCCAGAACACTGACCGAATTGAAACTGCTCCATACCACATGTACATCGGCGTTGAAAAATTTGCCTCCGCAGAGACTACCTATGAAGCCTGGAAATGGGTCTTTCAAGGTCAAAGAAGACAAGATCTCGCCAAATGCATGGTGTAGCAGCCTGTTGAGATCTGACTCAGACATGAGCGAGTCCGAGCGCCGTCATATATTGGTGATGGTCAAGATAGTGTAAAGTTAGTAATACGAACCATGGGCTCATTTGTCAGCATATTTGTAACCGCAATGTAAACACAAAACACAGCCGTGATATAAGCAATTCCGTACGTGTCATGATCAAGACTCTTCGATGCGGTCACTCGTCTGCCCGCCATAAATTCCCAAGTCCTCCATCCTCCCTTCGAAAGTAGCTTACAAGTACACAACTCATCCACGCAACAACACTCCAATTTAACTATCACCTCCACCAAACAACACAACATCGACAGGATGCACAAAGATAAGTAACGAAATCAAAAAAAGCATCTCAGTCCATTATGGGTAACAGTAAGCTTGAGGGGGTATGGTATCTACTGCATCTTCCAAATATCCAAAAATACCAAACATGCGAACAAACCAAACCAAAACTTTATGCTTGTGGAATGAACTTGAGCATGAGCCACACGACAAGCACGCTCAGGCCCAGTATGAGCACCATCGCGCCAACGACATAAGTCGCAAGCTCCCATGGGAATAAGTCCTGAGGCATGGGTTTGTTTCTGGGGTCCAAGGCAATGCGCTCTGCCGCACGCTTCTCTTCTGCTCTGAAGATGGCCGTTCTCTTGTCCGAGGTGTCGTATTGCGGCCCCTTTTCACCGAGTATGACGAACGAAGGGAAATTCTGTTCGTACCATTGTTCGATCTACAAGGACGTTGAGTCGATGACACAAAATGTAAAGGTGCGCATGAAGTACCTTGCAGCACATCACCGAAATTTTGAGAAAGTTCGGATCATGCGGTTTCGCCTTGTGGTGGATCTTCCGTGCGTACTCCCGGAAGATTAGGGCGACCTCTCTCGTATTCGTTGACCGCATGATAAGCTGCGGCGTGTGAGCATACCGTACCTTGATAAATCACAAGTGAAGATGACGTACATGAGCAGCCTCCGCTTTTCGAATCTTGATATTGCGTTGGAACATATCCGGGTTCATGAAACAAAGAGACAATGTAGCCATTGCCATGGCGACAGGGACTGCACAGAACACGAACACGCTCTGGTTCTTGAGCAAGCGCAGGTAGTCCAAAGAGTCGCATGCGTGTCGCAGAGCATCGAGAACCATGCCGCTTTGTATCCATGTGGCATGCTCAACATCACCCTTCTCGTACATGTCTTTCATTTCGTTGAAGCCATATTTAGCCCAGATTTCTCGGGGCCAGAAGAAACGTCTCTCCTCGACGTCTTCCCGGAAATCACGGATGATGTTGGTCTTTTGGAGGAGAAGGCCCATCGAGTTCGCTAGCTCAAGTTGATCGCAGAGGAAGGATGCCTCTTTACCTGAAGCTGACCAGATGCGAGTGAGGCCTTCACCTACGAGGCCTGCGACATAGTGACAGTAAAGGTCGTAGTCCGCAATAGTCTCGAGGTAAATAGTGCCGTTGGTTGCGGCTTTATGTGCGTAATCCGCCATGCCGTTCTCCATTTTCTGACAGATGTCAAGTATGACGGTCTTGAATCTGCCGTAGGGGTTAGATAGAAGAATGTGAATGACGATATGAGCGTACTGGGGTGGTAGTCTATTGACTTCTTCTACGACGATGTGGTATTCAAGCAGCAGGTGTCGATCTTTCTCATCAGGGCCGTTCTCTGTGAAGTTCCAGCCGGGCGTTACTGTCAAGTCGTGAAATTTGCGGAGTATTGGCTGCTTCTTTTCGTCGGGGATAGTCATGTCATCTTCAATCGTGTCCAAGCCGCGCATAACGAGGTAGTACATGCAAATCTGAAAAGTCACGGGTCAATCATGGAAGTTGAGCGAATGGGTTAGGACAATGATTGATTGGCCAAAAGAACACACGTAGATATATGTACAGAGACCTATGCAAAGAAGAAAGACAAAATAAGCAAAGTGCTTACCGTCCTTGCAAGGTCACCGTCAAGCTCCTTGATGACAGCTGCAAAACTTCTGCTTGTCATGTCAAGGAATTCCCAGCAGCGGCGCATAGAGGCGCGGTCCCAGCCTGACGTGGGGTGCTCTTGCTGAGCAGTGATGTCGCGTTTCGTCTCATGGTAAAGGTAGAAATGAACAAGGGTCCTGAACTCAAAAGGGTGTGTCAAGAGGAGACCCAACATTGAAGTCAATTTTCCCATTGCTGCAGACGGCGAGAAGGAGATGGAAATTAGGTCTTTTGGAGGTCGTGGTGTTAAGGAAAAAGAGAGCAGTTGCTGGCTGTTGCTTCTCCACCTGAGGTGAAATGAAACGCGGTCGAACCACAAAAATGTTGCTTGGCGCTAATATGAATGGCAGTTTCCGGGCCGTGGGGTAAGGTCGGCTTGCCAACACAAGTATAGCACTCTTGTCTAAAACTTGAGAACCATAGCTCCTGCAGTATGGTGCATACATGTTGAATAGAAACTACCTAATAGAACCCAATACTATTGCGCTTCCCCATCGACGCAAAGTGGAAGGTAAAGAACTTGAAGAACCGTGGAATTTGAATATGGATGGCTCATGGGAATGTCCCGAGTATGATCATCCAGGATCATCCACATCATATAGCCTAAGCTATCGGTCATCACCAGCGTCCATCGGACTCCATCCAACAAGTTTCAGATCATGGACGATATAGCCCGTCCTCCAGTTCGTCTGCAAGCTGCCTCATCACTCCCAATCTCCTCCAAACAAGCTCTTTCTCGTGTCAATAAGTTCCTCGACGATTTTCAAGCTCGCAGTACACCCTCCAAGGGCAGTGATACTTCAATCACTGCCCAACTTCAGAAGCTGAGTAAAGCGATTGAACAGGAGTGCATCCGACAATCAAAATAACCGTGTCACGAGGTGAGCTTATATATCCATGATACCACGGGCGGAATCACTGACGCATTCAAATTTCACAGATTAGGACAAGTATATGGGAGACGGTGCCAGCAGCCTTAGCCTGTAGACTAAAAGGAATATTGGAGCACAGTACTGGGAGACCATGGATCAATTTCAGTTATCCATGCGTTTAGCATGTAGTCGCATCAAATCAACGTTACACGGCCTAAAGAACACTTGAAGACCGCAAGTACATGCTAGGAAATCGGCAAAAACTGATCTACATCGGACTAAAATCCCCCCTTGGTACTGTCACGAGCTCCCTTCTTGGCATAAACTACAGTACCTTGATAAGATCACACACCAGGATAGAACTACACGGGCCTCCTTGAGATTTGGCTGTTCCGCGCTTGTCAATCAATAGCACCTGGTTCTCCAAAGAACAATGAATGTATCACACGAATGACCGACTATCTTCTTGCTTATCTTTCTCGATATTCTTAGATGCGGCTATGATAAAAACCAAGGCAAGCAAGCAGTATCTCCTGCAGTCTTACAGCTCTACTCGTTTCGTGTCTGTAAACATGTCTCAATCCATGGATTTCAAGCCTATTCTTGGTGCGATGTGATGATTTTTTGAGTTGCTCATCCACTCATTTGATGTATCAGAGCAGAGCGTTGGGTACGGTGTGGTTGTTGGTGTCGGGTTTTTCTTTGCCCTCGTCATGTTATGCTTGACCGCGGTGCAATCCAACTTCTCCCGATTTACCCCAAGTTCATCAGAAGAGTTCACGGTTCGTCGCATCATGCTCCCTGTGCACGCCACTCAATATCACTCCCTCTAGAGTGCTTCCCGTAGTGTCAAAGTGCGTCAGTCTTCCTAGACCATAGGACTTTCGCTGATTTACCCCATGTTAGCCCGGGTTAGTGTGCTGTGGCATGTAAGTCGTCTTTATCCGCACATATGAACACCTGTGACGCATCATCATCGCAGTGTCAGCGCCTGGACATGGAGCGCCACTCTCCTTCAGTCTAGCACTGCAGCTTATACATTTGGTATGGATCACAGCATGTGCTCGAGCAACACACGCTGATCGTGTCTAGGTGTCAGCGGCCCTTGGTCAGCCAATTAACACCTATTCAAGCTTTGACTGATCAACATTCCTGAAGGTGGTACGGTGCAGGCGGTTCTATCCAAGTAGCCATGTTTGGAATGGTAGCTGCCAAAGTCAAGATGAACGCAAATGGCGCTCACACATTCTTGGAGGTATGTACGTCCCACTGCACCTGAGACTAACCTGTCAACTTCTCTATAGATCGTCAAAGTTCGCTTCGGTACCGCAGCCCATATCGTGTTTACCATATATGCGTTCATCTGCGTCCTTGTTGTATGCGGATCTCTCTTGGGTGAGATTGCCGACTGTGTCGATATGGACCTTACTGAAACGTGTTTCAGTGGGAGGCGCGGCTACTGTGAACGCCCTCACCGGTATGAACACACTTGCTGCGTATTTTCTGTTGCCGATTGGCATCGCGGTGTATGTCGTATTCGGTGGATTGCGTGCCACCTTTATCTGTGACTGGACGCATACCATTATTCTATTCGCCATCATTTACATCTTCATCTTCCGTGCATAGTAGGTGAAGTCCCCATGTCACAGGGACGTGCCACTGAGAATCTGCGCCAATAAAGCGGGACATCGTCGGAAATCGGCAGCGTGGCTCGAATGTATGAGCTGCTCACACAAGCCGCAATTGATGTGCCTGTCCCCGGCAATGCAAATGGAAGTTATATGACCATGAAGTCGAATCAGGTGGGTGGACGGAATGGACTCATTGATTCTATCACATCTTTCCGTGCTCATTTCTCTCAGGGTCTCGTGTTTGGAGCGTCAGCGTTGCTGTCAGGATTCGCGGGCGTGTTTTGTGATCAGGGTACGTTGTGAAATTACCTCGTGTTTAGTGTTCTGACGTGACGTGCGCAGGGTATTGGCAAAGGGTAAATAACGCAACTTTGCACTGCCGTCATAGACTGATGTGTCTATCAACCTCAAGGCGATTGCAAGTCACCCCAGTGGCACAACTAAAGCCTATGTATTTCCATCCCCTTTATCGGTTGAGTGAAGCAGTGCTTACTTCAATGTCACAGATGCTCGGCGGTCTCTCTTGGTTCGCCGTTCCTTGGGCTTTCGGATCGTGCCTCGGTCTGAGTGCCCGGGCGCTTCAAACCAATGTAAGGTTTTACGCGCGCAGTCTTCTCGTCCTACCAACGCCAAGATAACGTCACTTTAGCCACTGTTTCCAACATACCCATTCCCTCTGTCACCGCAGCAAACAAGTGCAGGGCTCGCTGCACCGGCTGCGGCTGCAGTGCTGATGGGAAAGGGCGGAGCTGTGGCGCTTTTATTGGTGGTTTTGTAAGTCACACAAAACCTTGAACGTCAACCTTAATCATATTTCCCGAAGCATGGCCGTAACATCTGCTGCTAGCGCGGAGCTCATCGCGGTGTCGAGTATTGTGTAAGTTTGGCTCATGCACGATTTCTGCGCGCACGCTCGCTCACCCAATTGTAAGGTCATATGAGTAAGACCTGAACGCCACCTGTGACATTGTCCGTTGTCATGACTCGTTTGCATGTAGCATCTATCGTACCTACTGGAATCCACATGCGACGGGGGCGGAGATTGTTCGTGTTTCACACTACGCGATCGGTGCATGGGCTATTTGGATGGGGTGCTGGGCGACCATAGTAAATTCTTTTTTTCGGTCACTATCGGAAGGTATTGACTTGCGTCGCAGCTCCATCAAGTGAACATCGACCTAGGTTGGGTGAGAACGATTCCTAGCATTTATCATTATTCCATTGGGATTAAACCGAATTGCCCCAGATGTACTATGTTCAGTGCGTGTCATCTACGAAATTAACCTAACACGCTCACTCTTCATGGGGTGGCGCAGGGGAATTGTGCTTAGTCCCGCAGTCATACCTATCATCCTCACGGTATGGTGGTCGAAACTAACGCGGACCGGGCTTTTATGTGGGTCTATCATGGGGGCAATTCTCGGAATGCTGGCATGGATGATCGGGTGTTGGAAGATCAATGGAAAGGGCATTCTCGGTTCCGTCTGCAAAGATCATCGTGATGACAAATCATTCATATTACAGGTTCCATCACCATCGCAAACCTCGCATTGCCAATATCCGCTGTATGCAGTGGTCTTACCGGGTTTATGTTCTCGGGGCTCATTACCGTCTTCGTGTCTCTGTTGAGTAAGCGGTCTGTTGTAATGCGCCTGCATGCAGCTAATCTGATGATGGCCGTGTCAGAACCTGATAATTACGATTTCGAAGGGACCAGAGCTATAGCAATGCTGGATAGTCCGGAGAACAGTGACCCCGATTCGGACGTGGCATCCGCTGAGAAGCGTGAAAAATTGACGCCAGATTTCGAAGCAGGACCTAGTACTACGGATCAAGGAGCCCAAGAAGACCCCCTAGACCACGAAACCCTGCAGAGGGTGTTCAGGCGAGCAGCATGGTATTCATCAGCAATGTCCGCAATTGTCATCCTCATCGGTTGGTTCCGCCGCTTGCGCCGTCATACAGACTCTTACCCAGACCCTTCTAGTCCCGTTATCCATGTTTTTCACAAACTACGTGTTCAGCGAGCGGTTTTACACATTTTGGGTGACGTGTTCTATGTGAGTTATCGATCCATCAAAAAGTAGATGCATGGATTTGAATTGATGATGATGACGGTGAAGCGTGTGGGTTTTCTTGAGCGGGACGTTCAGCGTTGTTCTTCCCGTGCTGGAATCGTGGAGGGAGATGGCTGCGATCTTGAAGAGACTTGGGGGGCTTGTGTCCACGAAATTGTACATAAAATCGTGATGAAATTCGCGGGCTATCAGCTAATTGACCCTGTGTCGTTGTTCGCGGCGGGCGGAATATTTGTGGATATTATATAAGAAAATAGAAGAAGAAAAACATCCCCTGGATATCGCCGAGCCTGGGCCTGAGGTGTGCGGCTTTTCTTTATAAAACACAAAACAAAGTTCAAGTTCAAGTTCAACTGTTAGGCGTGTTCATTCATCAAGGTAATGGTGGACCCACAATTGCGTGCGCTTTACGTTGTCTGTCGAGTCGGAAGGGGCGCCGTGAAAAGGGGGAGTCATTTTCGAGAAGCGAACGGCATATTCCTTGGACTAATATCCAAATTGTACTAGCTGATTAGCACTGTCACGTCGTCGGTGGAGCGGCTTGAAAACCCAGATCCAAAGTAAGTAACGTTTCACAGTTTTGATCCACAGATTGACCCTGGTAGGGCCTGGTAAGGGGTTTTTGAGTTCGGCTGATTATAATAGATTTTACAAACATGAGGTTCTTCGGCTTCAAATCTGGCGCGCACCCTTATGGCATGCTCGTCAGGGTAGCCGTAGCCTATCCGTCGGGTCTTGGTCGCGAACCCTTATATCTTCACCTCTAAATGATCGATGAAGTTCGACACTTATTTCCTTTGACCGTCCAACTTCGCTCCGCAGCACTGGCAGTCTTGGACTTTCGTCTATAAGTTTCCCGTTCTTCCTTCCTTTCCAACTTAAGTCACTCCTTTACTTGGCGTTATCGGTGCCTACTTGCACCAGTGATGTCCCCCTCCACCGACCCTGCTGCACGCAGCATTATCATTCTCACAAGTGAGTTCTACTGCTGTCTGAACGTTCTTTCAGTTTGGTTTAGACATCATTAGCGACGTTAACCGGGTGCATGATCTTGGAACATCTTTGGTATTTCGGTATTGAAAGACGGCTGATCTGGTCGTGAGTACTTGTCCGCGTATTGATGAACGCTAATCATGAACATCTTCCTGACGAACAGGAAACTTCGGAGCAGCGCCGAAGCGAAAATCTATGTGTTGACTAGGTATGCCGGTTTGGCTGGACAAATGTAGGCGAATTAGCAACTCAAGAGGTCGCATGCTCACCCCTTTCGCTAGGTTTAACATCTGGTTTGCGTTTAGGATGGCTTCAGGGGTTCCAAACAGTACGCTCGCTTGCCAAGCATGGTACACGTACCAGACTGCCACGATCCAGTGTTTGCTATTCGCAGTGGAGACATTGCTCATGGTGCGGGGTACGTGGTTTTCAGTTTTACCTCTGGGCACGAGTGTTTATTCTTTATACTACGCCCTCCAGTGTACAAAATGTACAAAAAGGGCAAAGCTATCCGCGCCCTCTTGATCATGTTCAGTAGCGCGCAGGCTGTCGCCATGGCTGTCAATGCTCAAACCATTGTAACTGGCACTCATTACACTCCCACTTGCATCACCATCACTCCTCATCGCAATCGGATCTATGTCGGGTGAGAATTATCGTACCTCTTGTATATCTGATTACCGAGTCGAGAATCAGTGTCTCGATTATTGCGACCTTTATGTTTATCTCTTTTACGATGCTATGGCGGTACTTCAGAGACACGACTAGCTGGTCGGAAGCTCCACGTGCTTGGCGCAACCTTGCGGTCCGCGACGGTAGTATCACGACTGTTGTGATCACAGGTAGGATTGGTGTATTCCTTTGTACATATAGTATGCTTATCACCCCAGCGATCTTCATCTTCATGTTTCTCTGCACCATGGGTATCATCGACATACAAATGAGTAGGAATTTCTTCTTTTAGTAAGTGTTGCGTGTACCACAGGTTTCTCGGCTTACTGTGAATCCCACTAGCGTACTGCTGTCCTGCCTTTGGTTTGCTGTTGAGTGCGAGATCTCGGGTGGTTATTTGCTTGCTCATTGACTTTGTCAGGCTGGACGCATAGTTCTTCACCAAGAGAAATTCCGCGAAAACTACGAGTCCCAGAAGGGTAGCGCTCATGATTCAAGTCGGTTGACTACGATCGAGGTAGACCTTGATGACTTTGCACCCTCTGATGCCATCGATGGATGTCCTGAGAGTGCTTCCGACTTCAGGGTCGACTCGACGGAAGTCCCTAACTTGTCCGGCTCTGAGTTAGATGTAGGAACGAAGGATATCACTGACGAACGCATTTGCGAGTTGGATGACGATGACGACGACGACGATGATGTGTCGCTGTCGAGCTGCACACCCACATTCATACTCATGGAAACAAGAATCAGTGCTGAGGATTCGGGTTCTGGGACGTAAAGTACATCCATTCGTTTTATGACACGATCACGAGTTCCGTAGTACATACTTCATCATCTATATCACTAATACATAAGTAGTTACACCTTTGAACTGAGAAGTCTAGAATAGTTACCAGAGTTTCTTGGAATGCGGCCTGCAATGTGCATGAGGCATGATTCTTACTTTTGAATGATTTGAAGCATTTTAGTGGTGGCCGCCCAGGAGACATATGAACAATCATCACCGTGCCTGATTGCTGCGGTTTCGCCGTACCCTTGCGCTCGCCAAGCACATGCTTAGACATTCCTGCTGGAACCGTTGATCAAGCAGAGATTTACGATACATGTTTCAGACGTCTAGACCGCTGCCGCCTTCAAGTCGTTTGGTGACCGCAACTTGTTGCAGTCAAGGAAAACGGGAGTTCCGTCATCCGACGATTTTGAAAGGTAGTACTTCAGCGAGTGGCGCTGCAGCAGCTGCAGTAGCCGTGCGGCTTGTCACAGTGCTGAACTCGCAAGTCGAAGGTGCGTAACCAGAGCTGTTTCTCAAATATCAAATATCGATTAAATCACTCCAAGTCCACGATAAATTAATAGCAGAAGAAGTGCAAGAGACAGCCGGAAATTCGGGATTCACCCCAAATTACGACTGTTGTCCAGTCCAACTGCTGGGTCTACACGTTGCATGTGCTATAACACAGTCAAGACTCAAGCTACTCACTTGTAGTAAGTTACATAGTGAGTACCCCAAGATCTATGTGTCATGGCTGTTAAGACTCCGATTTTTATGTTAAATCCTCCCAAGATCCATTGACGCCGGCGATATCGCGATCAATTTGGTTCATAAAATGACTATGTCCACCCCATCTTTGAAAGACATGGTGGACGCTGCTCGACCAGCAGGACTTCCTTCTGCGAATCCGACGCGGTCTTTCTGGACTCATTCTTCTCCGGATGCCAATCCGCTTGCATCGCAGGGTAGCGAGGGTCTACTTACAGCTGACGCGGACGTCTGTATCATTGGGTCAGGTATCACAGGTGTAGGGGTTGCATACCATCTAGCTCAGGCTGCCCATGAAATCGCCCACGCGTCCGCACGCGATGGGCCTCTAAAGGTTGTCATCCTCGAGGCGCGAGACTTCTGTGAGTGTATTTGTTCGCCCAGGTCAGCAAGCGTTTTATAAAAGTATGCCAGGTTCAGGAGCTACCGGTGAGTGCTCTGTTGAGGAACGTAGGACAGTGCAACTAAAGGATATCTCAGGCAGAAACGGGGGACATCTTCGTGCTGCTACCTATACTGGTATGCCGCTCGTGAAGCTGCTTTCGGCCGAGCTGAGGCGATGCGTGCCTACGAGGTCGAAGCATACACTACTCGTTCTATTGTCTCAACCATTCAGGAATTTGGATGGGCTGATGACGTTGATCTGGTGAACGGTGGGCACATGCGGGTTTATTTCACAGAGGAGGCCGCTTGTGATGCAAAGAAAGACCTCGAATGCGCAACATCATCATCCTTAGATATGGAAGCCACACAATGGGTAGAAAAGGAAGAGATGCAAACTGTAAGGCTGTTATCCGAAGTTTGGATGGGAATGTCTGACCCTATGCATGTTACAGGAGTTCGGACCGCCATACCCAGGAGTGTATTCATCTGCATACAATATTTGGCCGCTGAAGTTTGTTACCAAACTTTATGAGCGAAGTCTTGAGCTCGGCGGGCAGCACTTCTCGCTCACTTTGCACACTCGGCACTCCTGCAACTGCCATCGAACAGGTTGCACTTCCATCAGATGTTCAGTCTCTGATACGCCCTTACATCGTATCGACTCCTCGAGGGACCATTTCATGCTCGAGGGTAATTCACGCTACTAATGGCTACGCTTCACATCTGCTCCCATTTCTCGCTGGTCGCATCGTTCCTACTAGAGGCCAAGTAATGGCCACTCGAGCTGCAGTCAGCATGGATCAGATAAAGACCTATGCGTGGGGAGACGATGGAGTGCGTGTTGCCTGCTTGCATGCATCTCTGTAGTCTTGACTGCGGCTTTTCCCATCCTGACAGGGCTCTGAGTATTGGTTTCCCAGACCTGTACCGAAAGGCTCAGATGAGAAACCATTGGTCATCCTTGGAGGAGCGCGACGTCTCGCTATTGCACCGTTTGAATTAAATGTGCAAGATGACTCCGTTGTCTGCGATGTAATTGGCAAATCCCTTCGTAATTTCCTTCCCTCGGTGTTTCCAGGTAAGTTCGACTCCGGGAGGGAGCCCGAGATGGAATGGGTGAGTTCCGCAGATAGTTATCGACTGTGACGGGCTTCACATCATATTAGACAGGAATTATGGGATTCACCGATGCCGGCGATCCGTTGGTAGGTGTGGCTAGCACTCTTGATCGTCACATTTAGCATGGCGTCTAGGTGGGACCTGTAATCGGCCCCGATGGAAACGTGGATACCTTCAAAGGCCAGTTCATTGCGGCCGGCTATTGTGGGCATGGTATGCCCCGAGCCTTCGGCTGGTGAGTTTTCGCGTCCACACTGTTAATAATACGGGCAGGACCTGATCATCTCTTCTAGCGCTGAGATAATTTCACAAATGATCGCCGCTGAGCTATCTGGTAAGGAGTGGACTAGGCCCGAGTGGATGCCCGAGAGATTCTTGACTTGGAACCGAATTGATGATTTGAAGTAATCTTTCCTGCAAGTAATAAGTTTGTTGTGCACAGAAAGTCTTGTAGTCCGCATAGGCACGCGCGGTCCTTTGAAATTTATAATTCAACATTGTATTGTTGATGTTCCCAGTCATACTCAAGACGATGCGCTGTACATATCTATACCTTGTGGTGTGGGAGTGAGCCTCGGGCTGTGCCATCTTCTTTCACGAGCTCCTTTCAGTTAGGGAAACGCTGGAATACATTTACACTAGCACTTAAGTTCATACTAGCAACACCACCGCATTGATCTGAATGCCCCACGAAATCGGCAGACGAGTTGAATGCTAGCGTCCAGAAGAGCATCCACATTCTGGGTTCATATGATTTCCGGTACAGATATCATCGCGCAAATGATGCTTTCTAATAAGTAAAGAGTGGAGGGACTTTGTCCACAGTATGTATTATCTGACAACGGAGAGGAGTTTTTGAGCGACATGTACACATAAAACAAAATTATACATCGCACAACATTGATAAACGGGGAATGAAAAGATACTTGAGGTCTGTAGATAACATTGAGAGCAATAAGACCCAGCTAAACGTCAACACAAAGAATATTTCCAGAGAAGGTATAGTTCCAGATGTAGTATGTTTGGGTCGTGCACATTTTCCATATATCATTACTTTTTACGTTTGGGAGCTACGAAGAGGCGTCAGGGATCAGCAGGTCACAGAGGGGTCGATTGGACGCTTACCACCTTCTTTCGCGGAAGAACTTGCCTTCCTCTTCGTTCCACCCTTGGTGTCCAGCGACGATGTGGTGCCCTTTTTTCCGGAAGATTTGGAGTCGTGACCTGAAAGGGCACCCAGCTCATCGACGCATTTAGGACAGAACCATTCACCTTCTGGAATGGCCTCCAGAGGAGGATCAAGGCAGCCCAGGTGGTATGGATGGTCGCACTGTTGCGCCAACCTCGTAAGCACTGACATCGAAAGTAAAGATGACTGTAACCAACCTTGTCACATTCCAAGGCAGGATCATCGTCTCCGTTATCCTTGTCGCAGACTAAACAGAGTTCAGGGGCATCGACCTCATAGGGATGACGTGGAAGATCAGAGAATTTAGCATTTGGTTTTGCCAGAAACAATGTAGTATGTTGACCAGCTGCCACACTGGATGGGACCACATAAACATCATACCAACACGCGAGCAAAAGATGCTTCACCTCATAACCTCAATCCCGGCGAGAGGCTGGTGGCGAGTGGGTTTTGTGGCGCTTTTGGGTTCATCGGGTCCCAGACCGAGTTCACCTGCCAATCCTCGTTCAGGCAAGATCAGCCATGCAGATTATTCTTTAACTCACCGTAGGATGCATTTTGTCCCCAAGCAACTGTCATGACACCGCCATCGTCATCAGCCGTGAGAGCGAAATGGGTCACTCCGCCGCAACTGCCACCAGATATTTTACAACCCCTGATGAAAAAGTGCGATATTCGTAAATCAACTAGCAAAGCAAGAAGCAGAGATCCTACATTAGATCTTGGATAAACCTGAATGAGGAGTATGGCGAGCCAGAGGATCCTGCCCAGGGTAGCTAAGTGAATGCGTAAACGAACCGAGCCAACAGTTGATGCACACCTTCTCCGCTATTCTTCCACTGCAAAAAAGGGTCAGAAATAACACACGACTGTCTGACGTTGACGGACCTTTCCGGCCATCCAATACAATTGTTGCTTGTCCAGAACCACGGTATTGGAAGGGCCGGCGATAATATGAGCGCCCATCGTTATTTCATTCGGCCCGGCAAACTAAGTTAAGCTATTTCAACGCTAGTTTGCGAGGGACAACCGAACCAACACGTACGTGTGGGACTGCTTTAGGGAGGAGCACATCCTGTTGATTGCCCAGACCAAGCCGACAGTAGCCGTTGTAACCCCACACGTACACGAGGCTAAGAGTACTTGAGTGACGTATCACTGAGTTTGGATGGCACGTACCCTTGGGAATCGAGGGCTACGCTGTGCTGCGGCCCGCACGCGATGTCTATGATGGTCTTATCGTCAAGTCCTTTCACCTGTACTTTACGAATAGATTAGCAAGTGATGTTTCCAAATGAATGTCGAAGCTCACTAGGTTCCGTCTCAATGTCAAACGCCGTCTTGTTTCCCGTAATAATATGTTCTCCCGTCCTGCCATTTCCTAACTGTCCCTTTTCGCCACTGCCGAAAGAAAAGACTGAGAGACGTCAGCTGGCAGGGGAACGGAATACGTCAAGGGGTACGTACCTTTGCCATCATCGGTGAGTATAATGGAAAACGTTATGCCTACTGCTGCCTTGATGACGTGCTGTCTTTCGCCATCAAGAAAAGGCCCTTCAATCGCTTCGAACGCGGATATTTGCGCAACGACCGAATGTCCGCACTGACGTATCCCAGCCGGTCAACCCACACAACAAAAACCACGAGCCAAAAGGATGACTCACTTGACCCAAGTTATTCGCGCCCGCAGACCAGACTTGTCCATCACTGCCTACTAATAAGGAATGACTACGCCCACACGCCGCATGCACGAATCTAGTGCCTTCTTCTGCACCCAGGTCTGTTGCAAGCACGCGTCGCGGGGTGTCTTCAGATATCGCGTCCTCTCTTGACACGCCAAGCGCAGAAGCTGCATTCCGCCCAAACATCCACGCTGCGCCGTCTACGTCAAGAAGGATGAAGTGGCAGCCGGAACATGACGCGTGTATGGAAGAAATTTTGATATTGCTGAGAGAACGGAGGATATGGGGCTCGAGCAGGTCCGGTCTGGGATATGGAAAACTGTTTTTGAGCTGATGTAGCTATGCTGGCTAAGGAATGACGCACGCATCAGGATTGCCTTCACCTTTTCCACCACGTTCTTTCCTCCCCAGTTTCGGCCTATGGAAAGCGCATAACATCCATTCATAAATACCCGAGCTCAAATGACTGGTTCGTCGCTCACCAGTCCGTCCCACCGCAAATTAGGACTGTACGCGTAAAAAAAAAACTGAGCTTCTATTGACAGAAGTGCGAGGTAGCGTTTACCTCTTCCCCACTTTGGGTCTTGTCCATCTGTACTTGTTGATGTTGCCATAATTCTTGGAGGTTGGTTGCTGTGAAGAATCGCGCTCTCAGCAGGCGCCAGCCAGTTGGAGTGTTTGGGAGATTTGATTGCTGCTTTCGGACTGCTCTAGCGCTCTAACTACGATGAACGACGAAGGCCCTTCCTCCCTTGTTATTCACGACCCCGAGAACAAGCAAGCCATAGTCTATCGTCTAATGACAATGCAATGTAATATTTGGTTAATCTGAAACTTCCAAGACGACCACCGACCGATCCGTGCCGATCACTCATAAGACCCAATGAGAACTAGCCAAGCCATGTCATTTAACTTAGAAACCCCAACTCAAAAATACTCACGAATCGTAGTTCCGCTGCGCTTGATTTGGTACTAACGTACTCATCAGCAGTGCATTAAACGCGGTCGCGTGATGCCCTCACCTCAAAATCATCTCCCTCCAGAATGATAGCATCGCCATGAACTAAGGTCATGGAAAGTTCTAATGGAGCTTGTTTGCTCTTCTTCCCACCAGTACCCTTCCCTTTTCCGGCCGCTGTCTTACCGTCCCCCACATTACCTGCCGGTTTAGATGCTTCCCCCACAGCAAGGCTCGCTGGGTCATGTTGATTCGCGGCGTTTTTGTCACCACCAGGTTGGCGGTAGCCATCTGGCACAATTACTGCTGCCGACGCAAGTGGTTCCGATGAACATACCAGCTGTGACGCACTTAAGATCCGCTCGCTATCAATCTCCATGCGGTTCTCCGCAGTTTCGATGGGTATCTCCGTGAAACCACGTTTGGGTACTAAATTCATGACGACTTCGGCACCCAGACAAATGATCGTGACAACGTGGCTCTTGGCATTGAAAACGGCGCCCTAGTCAATTTCAGGAAACAAACAACGTCGAGTATCCTTTCTGGCTTACCCGTTTTGAACCCGGATTGACCCATGCCTGAATCAGGATATGGTTGATGTTGGCGTCCTTGATTTCGCCATATGCTTGCATATAGTGAAGCAAGACTTCCTGGATGTTGAATACAAGTCTAGGTGTTTCGGGATTTCCTGCTGGATCCTCGGCATATGTATGTCCAGGATCAAGTTTCGTGGACCAGGTAAAATAAGGGCCTGAGATTAAAATTTCGCATATTTATAGAAGGCAAGCAGCAAGGATACATACTATGCAGGTCATTGCGAGAAAGAATAACATCTTTCTGGACATCGAGGAGTAGTTTTGTTGCATCCTGCTGTAATATCTCTTGGTTACCGGTGAAGACATGTTGTACTCTCACACCACTGTTGACTTCATACGTCAAAGTCCGCATCTTGTCGTCCCACGAGCAATCGAATTTGCCAACTGACGAAGGTGCGTCATCGAGAGGATCCCATATGCGCAAACGTTGTAACCCTCGAACTGCTTGTAACGGATCAACATGGCAAATTAAGGCATTATCGTTGGTTGTTTTTCCCCGCTCCATTTTACGCTGCCGTCATATTCAACAAGGTTCGACAGCGCCAAATGCAGAAAAAAAAAACCCACCTTGCACCAGGAACTCTGGCAGATCTGGTGTCGAAAACACCTTTGCGCATTAAGCATCCCACACTCTTTGCAATACCAGCCTCTTGGGAAACACTCGCTGGGTTTGAAGCCCGCCAGGAGGTCCAACGGCAGAAAGCTGAAATGCTGGATGCTCAGGTCTCTCGGACGATAGGGTGTCTTCACTGAACCAGCCCCCTTTTCGACAAGATAGTCGACAGGATCAATCCACCACGGACATGATGTCTCACTGATGTTTTCCGACAACGCATCTTCGCCTCCCGGAGCCCATTCCAAGGTAAGACGCCATCGTACGCGTCCGCTTTTCTGGGTTTTAGAAATAGCTATGACTGTGTTGTCTATATCTGCCTGTAATGAGATTAACAAACATGACCAGCAAAATGACCAAAGAAAAACCGACGTTCAGGTCAGATATGAAAAATAAACCCAAGCAACAGTATGTGTACTCAGGAGGGAGCTGATGTGGTAAGAGCCCGCTTTCTCGAGATACGAAGACAAGTAAGGGGTCTTTCTTCATGAGACATTGATCTAAGGCCTCGATCTCAGATGGCCTTGGTCCAGGCATTCGGGGTTGGATTTTAGGAGTTGTCGAGGAAGACACCGCCGTCTCTGGTGGTTGAACCAGAGATGGAAGCAATACCGGCAGCGATGGTGAATCTAGCAACGGTACTGGCGCCAACGTGGACAACTGCGACACAGTCGCGGTATTGGACGGCAACACTTCTCATAACCTAAGTAACGGAATAGAAGGAATATAAACGACGAACAGGCCCACCTTCGGATCCCGCAGCCAGCAATGGATTGGACAATGAGAAATTGAACTGGAGATCCTGCTTGATAGGGGTGAAGGAGGGTGCAGAATTCTTCACAGACCCACACTCTTCCACCTAAATTTGAGATCAGGACGTAAGCCTCGCAAATATGCTGAGTTCTTACTCGTGCTGCATGACTGTTATCGGAGGGCCTCTTATCATGCGTTTTGTCATGCGAATCGCTATGTACAAGTACTTCGGGTCCGCACTGATAAGTCCACTCCCTGTTTGGAGCACCGATCAGTGAATTGATGCTTCAAAGCCATGACAGAAGGAACTCACAGAACAACTTCCAGAGTATTTTTGTCTCTCCAAGAATACTGGGGGCGGTGATGCTCTAGGAACAATGCGGGCATTTCAAACTGCCGCCATAAGATACCCGTAAGAGACTTCGTGAGTTCAGGGAATATTGAAGCCACGTCTGCGCGAGACTATGTATCTAGTTAAACAATTCGGTTCGGATTCATGATTTAGAGGTACTTCACATTTGCCCAGACTCGAGGTGTCCGAGTAGGAGTATCGACTACAGGCACAGCTGCAGAGCTATCAATCACAAATTCAGTCTTTGGAGGCCGCACAAAAGTCCAAACCGGCGCTGTGGAGGCTGAAGAATCTAATTTGTGATGTGTCGGTTATGTGTATGAATGAAAATCTGACAAGGTACTAACCACCATTCCTAGCTTCCGGGTTGACTGGTTCTTTGAGTGGTTTGTTCTGAGGGGAGTTACCATCGACCTTCTTCTTATTCCCTCTGCATCCGGAAGTTTGTTTGGAAGCACTTTGGGGGCTCGAATGAGTCAATCTTTGTTTCTTGGGTGGCGGGGGATTTGAAGAGCTCGAATGGGTCGGTTTCGGATTCTTGGGTGACTGGGGATTTGAAGAAGTTGTTATGGATTGACTGGATCTCAAAGCTGCTGCCCTTTTGGAGGGCAACGCCGAGGACATTCCGGGTATTGGTGGGGGTGCAGTGATTGATGCATGTTTTCTAGGGTTGGTTCCCTTGGGCGGGGGAAGCTTCTGATAGCCTGGTTGAGTAGCATTACAAGGCCGTCCAGTCCTGGCGCACCGATCGCAGCTGGGCCAGGAACGGGAGCAAAACTGCTTTAACGTGCGACAATGGGTGCAGGGATATGAAACGACATAGATATATTCGCTGGAAGGAGTTTCACAAAGCTCAAAAATGGCGCGAGGATGAACACCTTCATGGTAGATCGCCGGATTTGGGGGAATGATAGGTCGACGAACTGATGGATGCCAGGCTCGTACAAAATCTGGGATATCCGAGTCGTGATCCGCGTCGATTTCCATCTCAGAACATGAAGAGAGTCAGGATTTAGTCGGGACTATGACAGTACTTACTTCAAACTTGGTACTCTCTGGAGTTGAACAAGCAAGTTCGATTGAAGGCGTCTGAGACTCAGGCTAACTCCGCGAATCAGCGCCAGCGGCCAACTTGTTAGGGTTGTGTTTAACTGTTAGGGTCGTTCATTCACCTCACCTCTCAATGGGCAAAAAATCAAATCTTACCGGCTTATCTCGTTTCCTGCCACACGATTTTCTCACTGATCCAAACGCTGCTAGCCTTCCAGAGAAATCACAAAGTCAGAGCAGGCCTGCAAAGAAATGCAAAACGGATACCCTTGATCCTGTTCGCGCAAGATACGATGCCACTGCCCTTGTTCCACACTACACCACCGCTCACGAGGTTCCGGAAAACCTTCAGAAATGTCCGTCATGCCACAACTCAATATTTGAAGGGCCTTTTGATTCAATCCCAGCTGTCTCTCAGATTTTTCGCAACGAAAACGTTACTTTTCTTTATACGACCAAGGATGTCTATTAGATGAAGAAGGCTGGTATAGCGTGACACCTGAAAGCATCGGCGTCCAAATCGCAGAGCGTTGTCGATGCGATACGATCCTCGATCCTTTCTGTGGCGTCGGAGGAAATGCAATTGCTTTTGCAAAAACCTGCGAGCATGGTGAGAGGCCCGTTCTACAGCTCACCACAGTCTTGCTCATTTCACCCTCGTAAACTAGTCATTGCTCTGGACATCTCTCCAATACGACTCGCTTTGGCTCGTCATAACGCTGCCATCTACGGTGTTGCAGACCGCATTGAGTTTATACTTGCAGATTATATCTCTTTTGCGAACGCATATCTTTCGCGACCACACCAAACGCGCAAGATTGATGTTGTCTTCTTGAGTCCCCCTTGGGGTGGCCCAGGATACATTTCTCCTTCCGAAACTTCCAAAAACCTTGTCTCTGCTGACGACAATGCGGACCAGGATGATGAACTAGAGACACGCTCACAGTATAGCCTCTCGAGGATACAGCCGATACACGGAGCTGATCTATTTCGCCTGACAAAGCGGATCTCTGAAAATATTGCCTACTTCCTTCCCAGAAACACGGACCTGAATGAAATATCCGCCCTAGGCCTGCTCGAAAAAGACGAACGCGCCGCCACCAATGACGAGTCTCGAATGATTGAAGTGGAGGAAGAGTGGATGGGGTCGAAGTTGAAAGCTCTGACTTGTTATTTTGGTGGTCTGGTTGCCGGGCAAGAACATGTATTCTGACTTCACATCGCCAGAACTGCAATGCAAACACATCCCTTGGCTGCGCATTCTTGTTGATGTATCAAAGTAAGTTGTGCAAAGTGAAGTGAAGTGCATTACACTTCGAGATTTCAATTCATCGTAGCCTGCGAGCTGTAGTAATTTGATTTGTGTTCAGCCTAGCCAAAACTACCACACCACAAGTACTCAAGATCAAGCACTAATATAAATCTGTTTAGCTGGGAGGCAAGCCCATCACGATGCACTGGGTGCACTATCACTTTTGAGGGAAGGAATGAGGTCAACGTATTCCTCCAGTTCCTCAGTACCTATAATGAGGCGCTCCAGGGGACAACTTGACCGTGCCAAGAATGCCTTAAACTTCTCATGAGGCCATGATCTGACACGGTCAATTGCAAATACGCGTAAACCGGGGAGTGAGAGAACATCGAACAGGTCAGGTAATGTGTGTGGGACCCAAATGGCAAAATGGATGTCCAAGTGTCCAAGTCTGGTGTGCGTGAATGGCGTTAGAACCTCTGGTCCATAGGGCTCTGGGGAAAAGCAGTTCATCCTGAACGAGGAGAGGTTGGGACATAGCTGGAGCACTCGAAGGAATGTGTCAGATAGGCACACCACGAGATCGACATCTGTCAGGTGAGGCCATGGGGAATTGAAAAGAAATATGTGATCGAGAGGGGACCACCCCATCTTGCGGTTGAGGGTGTGCAGAGAGTGTGGCAGACGCGAGATGAGTTGGTGTGGCGTATTAACACCATACCGGATTAAGGTTAATTTCTGGAGTGCTGGGAGGTCTTCTAACACAAGTCCAAATTCGTCGATATTTCCAACAAAATCGATATCGAGAGTCGAAATTTGATTGATGTAAGGCTGAAGAAGGTTTTGTAGCTTGGCTGAGTCCGAATTTGTGTGGTACTCGAGTGTTAACGAGAGCAAACATCCTCGTGAGCGCTTGAGCCACGAGTCACAGCATAAAACTGCTCGTTGCCAGTCCGTGTGGTTGACCCTCACAGACAGTCTGCACCACAAACTAGGCGTGTCGAGAGCAACCTCCCTCCATCGCCGGCATATTTGAGTTAGCAGCATTGGAGCTTGCGTTGGTGTGGGCAACAAGTGATGGGTTTCCGGGAGACAGTCGACATAAATTTGGGATAGGATTTCAGCTGGTAAGCGGGAAAGAGCAGATACAAGTCCCTTATGCAAATCCATGGACTGGGTGATATTGTCCATATTTTTGAAGAGTTGCTGGCGAACATTTTCCACACCACACATGACGGTATCCAGGAACGAGAGTTCGTTCCAAATTGCATCCAACTGCTTCTGTCGTCCGATGATGATGGTGCTGATGCTCTTGTCGTTGAGCTCGATGGCAGAGTGGTCGATATTGGGGAAGTTGGAGTATGGGGTATCGAGGTCTGGGATCTGGTCATCCTCAATAAATTAACTTGGTATCATATATATCGTCAAGATAGACATGCCAGAACTCGTGAATGCGTCACCTGGAACGCATTGTTATTATTTCAAGCCGTCGACGCGAGTGCCTATAAAATTGGGCACTTACAATGTCGTACAGTGCACGAATGATGTCCGTGGCCGGTAAAAATTTGACTTCTGAATTGGCTATCTGCATGCTGTTAACGCAAAAGCCAAGGTTGAAATGCTTGATGAAGATGAAGGTTTGAAGCTGATCAGGAGGCTCGTGGACAGGAGAGGCTCGGATTAGCTAATATCCGGAGTTTCAGTGATCGCACTAAACCCCGGTCCCGAATATCTCTTCGACGAAACGGGAATATAAAAAGCAGGAACAATTAATTACCTTCATGCTATGCAATCCGCCTACGGGAGACTAACTTACAAGGTCAGCGTATTCCACATCGTGCATTACCAGGATATCCAGATAGCAAATAGACCAGATAGGCCTCGTTGCCACTCATATGTTGCATAGGTGCAATGATACAGTCAAAAACGCACAGCATAGCATGATGTGGTGGACGTAAGGTAGATAGATATATTGTAGAAATAACTGGTGTGTAGCTGCTGTCTATATCGTCAGCTTTTCTAACATGCGATGATAATGCCACCACCTTGACAATTCAAGGCGAGTACGTCGAAAAAGTGTGTTCGCTATACCCAACAACATTAACATCGGACCTCAGTAAGCACCAAACCGAGCTGACTCACGTATATGCAAAGCCAACACGGTTGTCATGGCCATCAAAAACAGCGTAATACTTCTCCATGAACTTCTGTCCGATGACGAAATCGAATCCCTCGCCACTGTCAGTGCCGAGATAACCGACAATGCCGTATTGTACGCCATCCTGGCCTCCCCACGCAGTGTTCTGATCTAGTGGGATCAACTGTGCAGCTGTATCCATACTGAACTCGTGGCCGCCGATCTTAAAGTTAAGGGGTTGCATGCCCGCGACGGAAGAAGATGGAATGACAATGAGGCCGGTGTTGTCGTCGGTGTAGGCGCCAGGAATGGCATCCAAGTACACTTGAAAGAAATCATCCGCAAGTAGAACCTCTGCGACGTCGAGATTCAGTGATTATTGTGTGTAAGTAATACAAATGATGCGTACGAGTGGTGCCCGTATCGACGATGCCGGCGGTTGACTGAGGAATAATGGTGTGTGTACCATATGTCGAATCGGTGACATTGATGCCCCAGTACGCGGATGCTGGCGACGTCTCGGTAACTGGAACGTGGGTTATTTTACCGATGTACTGACAAGAAAATCAGAAATGGCAATATCAGTAAGCATGACTTTGTACGCACGAGAGCATGATCAATGCCACCATATGTAATCACCCCATCTGTTCAATCGATCAGAAGGGTTACACGAATGTCAAATATGATGTATACATACTAGTATCATTATAAGCCGTGGCCGGCGCGAATGAAACTCCCAAAATCTGCTTTTTTATTAGATCTTGATTCAGAGCGTTATCCATGATCGTTGGAATCAACGCATTAATATCAGGAGACAGAGTGCCCTGCGTAAGAGCAACTGGCCCGACGCCGATGATGCCGTCGACGCCTTCAAAGTCCGAGTATTGAAGAGCATCGCCAATAGACTGATTCGTGATGACGAAGTCAGCTGCAAGAGTTACCGTATCATAGTCTGATGGGTTAGACATATCAATTTGCATATGCTGGAGCTAAGTGGTGATGAAGACAAACATTCGACACCACTGAAAAAGCCACTCCCATAGGTGACATTGACATCCTGTCCAGTGGGGATACTAGTTGATGTACGGACATACTTTTTGCCCGTTCTGCACGTCATCATCAATCATTCAAGTCGCAAGGGCAATCCACTACAAATGTACTGACCCGACAAAAGTGATGGAACTACCCGTGTCAACAACCAAATTATAGTAGGTGGCGGGGCTACCAACGCCAACACTCGTGGTGTACTGTACGTATGCCAAGTTTGAAGTCGGGGTGGTTGTTCGGCTCTTCAGGAACGACGCTCGGGCACGATCAGCATGTGGAGCCCCTTGGAGGTATGACCCAGTACGCTCAAGCTTTGTCAACGGTATGCTGACCAAGGATAAGGTAGACCTGCTAGCCGTGAGGAGGACTGCAAACAGCAGGGCAGAAAACGACCGCATGACTACGAGGGAGGTTTCTGCCTGCTTGCAAGGGATCGACAACACATTTATACTGATGCTGAAGGGATGTGAGCACGCATGCCACGCACACAGGCACCGATAGGACGGACTACAAATGCATGACGCGTGTAGCCCTTGAACATACGTGACAGTGGCACTAGTAACAGGCTAACAGCAGCGACTGTCCCGCTTGGACCTGCAGCACATGGGCACAACAGAGAACCGGCATCCCATGGTCCATAGCCAAACTTGTAGAACAGATTAAGGAAGAGAGTGACCAGAAGGGCCTGCTGAACGGGAACACCACAAGGCTCACTTGGTGACCGAAGCAGACTCGAAAGAAGTCCCGTGTTTAGTTGCTCTGCAGCTGCCAACTTCATAGCGGAAATATTATTATCGCTTGTTTACATCAATGAATTCGAAGTCGGAAATCACATTTGAGAAGCAAGTGCTACGATATCCCATGGCCAACAACCGTGACGATGGTTCACAAAGGAAAATATTGACATGACGAGGGACAAAATCAGGCGCAAACGGCCGCATCGAAAGAACCCAGCGATTGTGTTTGCAATTCTTTCTCATGGTGACCTGCCACTACGGCAAGTTGGCAAATAGACTTGAGCATTAATCTCGGAGCAACAACGGATCCTTCGCCTCCAGCCACGTCAGCTACGTCCGAAACACGAACTCATCTTCCAGCATGGGTATAGATCCTCCGCATAAAACAAGCCAATAGGACGAATGCAAGACACATTCATTCTCAGCCAGTCATTCAACCAGTCTATCCTTACGGAAGAGCACACCACCTTCCATTGAAGAGTGACCTAGGTGAAGACCCAGATGAATGATTCAGCAGCGTGTCGGTACAGCCTCGATGGCTTTCCTTGTCGGAAATTCAAGCGCCATGAGTAATACTGCTCTTGTTCGTTCCTTGCCATGGGGAATATCTCGAGTCGATTGTTCGTCATGGTCGATGAGGAAGCCAATCACCCGACCGCCCAAGGTCTAGTATACCATGATACTGCGCGATACAGACTCCGTTTTGTCCAGAGAAGCCGATGACCTATTTTTGCGATAATATAATAGACAAGAAGGGGAGCAAGAAGGAACCCTCACAGACTACCATTTGCCACCATGCGGGCAGGAACTTGTCCTCGTTCAGCTTCGTGATTGAGTGAAGCTTTCTGAATAAAATGATGTTCATGACGCGGTTGCGAATACGCATTCAGCACTGTCGATTCCCAGTGCCTTTCCGATGTTCGCTGTGGATATCGCATGACCCCGATATTTGCGCTTCAAAGCTGGTCTCTTGGGCTGCACTGGTGAAGTTTTTTCGAGTGTTAACTAATCGTCTCGTTCAAGGAAAGATGTCGTATTAGTAATCTCACTTATGTAAGTGAGGCCGCGTCTGGCAGAACCCTATGTCAACTTTCTATCTGGCACACCCAATTCTACTCGCGATGTATTTATCCAATTTTCGATCTTTGATCAACGACCTATACGCCATGACGCAAACTTCCGAAAAAAACCAAAATCTAAGTCTGGCTTGAACTTGCTCAGACAGTCAGTAGTTTTGGAAGCCACCATGCAGGTCATGTGCGTCTCTATGACCCAGGTTCATTAGTCTGCACGCAAAAAGAGAGAAAGGTGCGTGGCCTACTAGTACCTGCACTAATACATTAACTGTTCGCTTTCCTCATCTTCGTTGGCAAAGCACGCTTCACCATCGACGGCTGCGGAGGAGAAAGTAGGGGCAGGGTTTTGGGAGGACTCGAGTGAGTGAGATTCAGAAGGAGAATATAGCGAGTTCACGCATTGTTGTTCTGGGGCTGGAGAGTCAGAAATGCGGATGATATCGCTGGCGTTCGGAATTGATTTGAGCTTTTTACAAGTTGATACAGGGACAGGTACATCATGATATATGTGGACGCATGGGGGGGCCTTTCACATTCACTTGACCTCTTCCTGGTGCATCGCCTCCTTTTGCTTCTCTTTGCTTGCGCGGCGCCATAATGTTCCCGGTGCTCCATCCCTCAATGATGCGTCCTCTGACTAACCACCATACCTGGCGTTCTGCATTACTCACAAAGTTCGTATTAAGTACTTCGTAGCTGATGCAGGACACTGGGTATTACGAAGGCGTTAGACCATTTAGTCAGGCAAGATCAAGAACCTTCTCGCCAGCAACAAGGAGAACATGCTTCGCCTATCGCAGGACGATTCAGGGCGCTTCATTACACGTGTCTTCTGCTTCCATCACAGGTATGTGTTGCGGCGGTCAGCTCAAGCATGTTCTTGATCCATTTATGAACAAGAACTGAACCCTGGCGTAGCACGGAGATATTTTGGCGCTTGGCTATCTACATGAGGTGTCTTGTGTCATGGTACGACAAGATCATTCCAGACACCTTTTGCCTGTCGACGGGAATGAAATGACCTTCAGATTCACTGTGACCCAAGCTGGGATCAAGCTCTAGGCACAACGCAAACGCTGATGAGAAAGATACCTCACGAACAGTGCGGCGCCCAATGTGGGTTTACATTCCTACTACTCTCTGATCGTGTGTCAATCACTAGTATATAGTACTGCTTCTCCTCCTTGACGATCGGGCAACATGCTGCCTGCCCTCGTACGAGTCATATAATGTCTACAGCTTCTTACGAGCTGCGAGGTCCTCGTCGGCGCCTGTGGTACATCAGAAGATCCGCAACAGATGATTCTTGATGCTCCACTACAACCGTGCCACTCCAAGATGGGTCGGGAACGTGTAGAGACTGCATGCTGTGTCACAGCCGGAGAGTCGATCTTTGACGTGTTGATCTGACTGATATGTGGCGTTCATTCATACCTCAAATTACAATGCTACTAATGTGGCACGATACATCCTTGCGCTTGCCATGATGCAAACACCAGGTAAGCTTGCTGTCAGGGTTTCATTGTACTGCCTTGAGAAGACGCTCGCCAGCAGGTCAAATACCCATAGTGAGCAGGATATACAAACCGCAATATCTCCACCCCAACGTGACATCCAATAATGCGCTTACTTCTATTCATGATCCTCTACCTCGCTGGAGTAATCCAAGCCGCACCTACTACCAATGCAACTACTATCAGCGAGGATTTTGAAGCACCGTCATTCACGAATCGAACCCTGTGGAACATCATCTCGAGCTCCGTTCTCACTCTCTTCGCATGTATATACAGTGCCATCCATCCTAATATTCCGAGTCCCAAGGACAGCCTATTTCGTATCCTATGGCGGCGACTCGGGACCATGATTATGGCACTAATCGCTCCTGAACTGATCGTCGTATGGGCTATGCGCCAGTGGATGGGCGCTCGTCATGTTACGAAACAGTTCAAGGAGTCAGGGTATTTCAATGTTCCTCGGCCGCAGGAGCAGTCTGAAAGTGAGTTGTGCTTTCTGAAATTGGATATGTTCCTCGGACAACTCACCACGCCCGTCCTTAGATTATGAGTTGGCTGAAGTGCCTGCAGAGCAACTTCAACGTGAGCTCGACATTTTATCTTACATTCTGAATATGTCGTGATTCACTTGCTTCTGAAGATCATGATAGAGCCCGGCTTCTCGTTGCGCCTGGTGAAGGTGAACCATCTGTACTGGTGTTTCTTCGGCAGTTCATAGTACTCCAGTGTCCACTTCAAGATACGGGGGAACTCATGCTCTTGCGAAACCATTCAAAAAGTTGATTGAGGCTTACATCTCAGATCAATCCGAAGGCACGCCTTATTTTTGCTCTCCCAAATGTTTGACTGATGTGTATCCTTAGATTACGCGTGGACTCAGACGCACAGCTTCTTTGTGCTGATGGGCGGGTTCATGCTTTATAAGGACGGGAAACCCCACCATACACTACTGCCTAACAAGGTTCTCGGGCTGATACGTAAAGGGTGTATTGATGCCCCTACCCTAACGGCAAAGGAGATCAACGACCGGAGCAAAGGCAATGTGATATCGAAAGGATTGATCATACTTCAGGTGGCCTGGTTCATTCTGCAGCTCCTCTCTCGCGCGATTTATCGCCTCGAAACGACCCAGCTGGAAACAGGGACGCTCGCTTTTGCGGTTCTGAATTTCCTGACCTATGCGCTATGGTGGAATAAGCCTCTCAATGTTCAGTGTCCATATCGGTTGTACTGGATGTCGACAGTGTCAAAGCCAGAGGACCACATTGATGTGTATGTCTGCGTCTAGATTGATTATTCCGTTATTTACTATCTACCTCAGTGTCTCTGATGATAATGAAGACCATGTGCTTATCACGATCTATAAGGCAACCTTCGCTCCATTTATGGAACTGATGAGCTTAAACGTTCCCACGCGTCAGCTCCGAGTTCCTACATTTGATGGCAGCATCAAACTAGAAGAATCGGACACGGATATTCTTGTATTTGCCGGAGTTCTGATTGCGACGATCTTTGGCGGCATCCATTGTACGGCTTGGTTTTTTGCCTTTCCTACATATCGGGAGCAGGTCCTGTGGCGCGTCAGTGCCGTCGCTATAACTTGCACACCCTGGATTGAAATTCTAATATATGTTGCAATTAGCATGGATGTTATAACGAATTTCATAGGTGGTATGATGACTGTTGTTGTTATGTACATATTTGTCCTGTTGTACATTGTATCTCGTGGCATGCTCTTGGTACTTATGTTCACGACATTACGCCATCTTCCTGTTGACGCATACACGACGGTGTCGTGGATTAGTGTTGTGCCGCACTTGTAGTTTGCTTACTTTCATACTTTTGTAATCATACTCAGGATTACAGGCAGTATCATAGTACGCAAAAATTGTATATCAGGAAAGAAAACTCTCAAGTCCCAGAACCAGACGAAATAGAAGAATGAATTGTGCTTGTAGCCTCCAAGACTCAACACGTTGTACAGGAAGAGAAGGACCTGGAGCGTGTCGATGTCCCAACGCCTCCTTCACCCACCCCACCTCCAAAGGCCAAGATCCACCAGTCATGCATGGCCTATCTGTCTCGCTACAACATACAACACAAAGTTTCTTCACGAGTTTGTGCCGTCTACTTAGTCTAAGACCGATTCAGAACACGTGCCACATTTTCGACATCCTCACTGGCCGGGCGGCACCTAAGTTAGCTGGCAATCAGCGCCTTATTACATATTCTTCGGGATACTAACAGAGGCAGAGAATAGCGTGTCTTCGAATGCGTCTCCAAGGAGAGGAACTCGACGTTTTACGGATTTGGAGGCTAATACGAGAGGAAGGCTAATACGGTCTTGCTGCAGGTTCTCAAGGCAACTGCAGTGCACGCAAAACCGAACCAGAACCACACGCACATTGCTCGCAAAAGATTCTTACACACTCACACCAACATTAGCACAACCAATGATTCATACACAATGATACATTCATCCATGCTCCTCACAGGACTCGTGGTAGTTCGAGAATGGCTTCATGAAACCGCCCCATAACTGCAACATCCAGGAGTCACCACAGGATACTGGAGGTTTACGAAACATAATGTTATGCAGGCTCTACGCACAGGCTCAGGAATCAGAGACGGTCTGGTGAAAGAGCTAGATTCTGATGCCATGAACAAAGGTGATGGTCGATCATTAACAGCTGATGACGGCTTGAGCCAAATAATAGCCTGTCGAAGCACTAACAGAAACGCGATCTTTTTGAGAAAAGCCTAGCACAAGCGCTCTATTCATTTGTTCGTGCCGGTAGATTGGATGAGGCAGTCGAATTATGCAGAAAAGCACATCAGTCTGCGAGTATCCGGTTTCAGGGCGAGAGTTATTGGTAAGTCAAGCTCTACGTATCATCTGTACATCTCTCATCCTCCAACAGCAAACGCGCAACGAGATGACGACGGCATCGATGACGCTGAAGATGCCGAAGGATGGCAAGGGAACCCATGTCGAAATCAACATGCGCAAGAGCAGCCCTGAATGTGCGCCATTCAACCGTATGTGTGCCATTTTGTCAACGTGTCCTTCAAGCCCCACCTCCCCGATCCAGAGAGCATTCTCTGTGCAGCTCTTGCGCCCTGCCCGCAAACATTCAGTGTCCTGAAGTCTGCATGTCGGACATGCGAAGACCACCTATGGGCGCAGATCAGTATCCTATGCGAGGAGAAACAGACCGCAGACATGATGAAACTAGATGGTGGGTTCTGGGATGGAGGCCTGGCAATATTAGAAAATATGCCTTCGCCACCGTCTAAAGAGGAAGGTGCAGCTGAGGAAGAAGAGTGGGAAGCAACATCTGCATTAGAACCAGGTAGCGTCCACGTGGAGGACAGGTACAGTGTACATACGCGTCTATTTCCTTGTGCTGACCGTTAGTCAGTCTCACCGCAGATCACGCATTCCACGTCTCTCAGCCGGTGATCATCCTTGATCAGACAAATTCCTTGCTCGAAACCTTCGCAACTGGACTCGGGGATGGAAACTTTGATCCGGATTCATCAGAGTAAGTCGAAATAACGTGCGCTTGACATTCTCTAACAAAGCAGCAGGTATCCCATAATGACGCGTTTTTCGCCCACCTGTCTTTATTTGCAGACGTTCGACATTCTGGTGTCGCCACTCGCGACTCAAGTCATTCTTGAGCCTTACCTACAAGTGTAGGAAGTGAGAGTTTGTCCTTAGTCGTTATGTTCTGCACTAATTTCCTTGTCAGGCTGCGGGCCAACGATAGTTGATTACCATGTATGCCGGCGCACCAGGAGACATCGGAGTCGCGCGATATGCGATGTTCTTGACTTCGCCCGAAATTACCACGGACATTGACTCGTGCGCGAGAGCATGGTCTAGACGTTCACAAAGTGGCGATCGTCACTGCAGAGCGAACAATTGATAGAGCGTTCGAGGTTGGTGTTACGTGTATCTCACGAAAATCATGTGCTGAACACTACTTGTCAACTTCTACCTCTAATGAAGGGACCGATCCTTTCTGTCATTGCGCTGCAGGCCACTCCCTCATATATCGAGCTCCTGCTGTTTCGTTCCATAGAGTGGATGACGTTCGAGGACGGAACGCATGGCACTGCGCCGGAACAGGCGACTGCCATTTTGCGATACTTCCCAGGTAAGCTTGTTCGCAAAGTTCTACTACCATGGCTTAATGTATGGCTTCAGGTGCGGGGAGGGTTTTGCTTGTAAAGGACATTGTGGAGATGCTTCCGCGTTAATTCGCCTTCATCGACCAGCCTGAGGAATGAGCGACAGAATATCTTCACCACATGCAAGTTCTTCACGATCTGGGATACGCATCTCAAGAGCATATCCCAGAGTAAGTATAACTCCGCGTAATTGCAGAGAGAGATCTTATCAAAGAAAAATTGCGCACAAAGTTCGGTGTAAACAGCTAGCTTATTTATATGTTGGACAAAGCAATATATATTTTATTCAATGGAACGGTGTACACAATGCAAAAACAAAAGTATCGTGAAGACATGATGCGAGTAACTGAGATCCAGGTGGGACAATAGGGGAATGAAAGCAATCAAGATAACAGAAAATGCAATTCATATGACGAATCAACCAAACTAGACACCTATGTGAACAAATACAATCTGCTGCTCTAGTGGAATCTTCTTGCGCAACGATTTCACAGCCTTGTGCAACGCTACCGCAGCCCGTGTGCAGTCCAATCTCCCTGAGTCATCAACCATCTTGCGGTAAAAAAGAGACACAACCTGCAGTGCAACCTCGTCGTCAACAGACCACATGGAACCTATGACACTGCGAAATCCGGAGAATTGCATTGCCGCAGCGAGATGCATCAACTCGTCGGGACTCTTCTCATCGCCCACGGTAGTGTGGCAGGCCGATAAGAATGCAAATTCCGGATTCTGCCAGTTGGATCGGATGATGTCCTTGATCATCAACGGTCCATCGCGCATCGCGAAGGAAGAGTCGAACGGTTGTGTCCGATCCGGCATTCCATGGCAGGCGAGATGGAGCCACTGGTTTTGGTTTAGAGCATCGAGTGCACCCTGCACTGTTGCGTCGCCGTCTCGGAGTGGTGTGAAGGATGACACGATGGGTAGAAGACACTGAGATATGGCGTCTAACTCAGGAGCGACATGTCTGAGTTCCTTCCCTCTGTCCGGATTCGCTTGACCAATTGCAACAAAATGTTGTGTTGACGCATATCGAGAAACGCGCTTTCTCGCACGAACTAGTGTTGCCAAAGTGGGGGTATAAGAGGAGATGTAAATCTGAGACAGGTTATCTCTCCCCCTCTCGTAGGGTCCTGCTGCATGTAGAGGAAGCAGAGTGAATTCAGCCGTGGGACACCACCAGATACGCGAGCCAGGGTGAACATTTGACACCCTAAGGGCTTGGACCACGGGGTCGACGACATGATGCCAGAGCTTGCGTAGGATGCCCACGAGCTGGAGTTGATTATTGGAACAACCGAATTGCTCTGCGACAGACTGAAACTCGGAGGACAGCTCGGAGACTTTGTTCTGCATGATATCAAGTGGAACGTGGACAGGATCGTGGCTGCTTGAGACGATTAGGGCGTCACAGCCGTACCGACTAGCATTGACAATGATGACCGGACCCTCTTCAGCGGCTTTCCGGAGGTCAGAAAACAGTGGGGGCAGGAGAAACCGAGAAAAGTCAGGCTGCATGCGGATGCGGGAGACAACATCATTCCATTGCATGGTCAGTTGTCGAATTTGTGGGGACTGATCTTTATTAGACTGATCGAATGCGCTGCGAAGGCCAAAGCTCAGCTGTTTGAACTCTTTCTCCAAGGCTGCGCCGGTGTCACCGGACAGGGAAAGTTCATCGAGCGGTGGGCGTAAGCGTGCCAACTGGGTCCAGAATACTGCACGGCCTTGCTCCACCATTTCAACAGCAGTTGTGAGCGCACCAAGACGAACACTGCACGAGAAAGCGTCCATGGCGAGCGAAGCTGTGGCCATCTTGACGACATCAAAATGGCGTGGAGAAGTCGACAATATAGTAGCATGATGATCTAGGAATTTCAATGCAGTTTGATAGGCAAGCAATGCAGAGTCATGGTTCATCTCGTCGGCAGAGGTGGCCCATGACTTGGCAGCAGTAAGATCCGTACGCGAGACTGCATGAGATAGGTAGGAAAGTTGCACATACAGTCTAAATGCTTCATCTAAATCGAACTGGGTGCCCCACTGCTTGAATCTGTCTTGAAGACCGATGGCAAGATTGTAGAGAGATGATGATCGATCAGAATGACCGGGGGGACGAAGGAGTAGTGCAGCGCGATAGAGCTCGATGGCCTCGTCAAGGTCAGACGGGACACCCCGCTGCTCGAATCTGTCTTTAAGGCTGATGGCAAGATTGTTGAGAGATAATGATCGAAGTGAATGACTGGGGGGACAAAGGAGTAGTGCAGCCCGATGGAGCTCGATGGCCTCGTCAAGGTCAGACGGGACGCCCCGCTGCTCGAATCTGTCTTGAAGGCTGATGGCAAGATTGTTGAGAGACGTCGGTCGATCAGAATGACCGGGGGGACGAAGGAGTAATGCAGCCCGATGGAGCTCGATGGCCTCGTCAAGGTCAGACGGGACGCCCCGCTGCTCGAATCTCTCAACAAGGCTGATGGAAAGATTGTTGAGAGACGATGATCGAAGTGAATGACCGGGGGGACGAAGGAGTAGTGCAGCCCGATGGAGCTCGATGGCCTCGTCAAGGTCAGACGGGACGCCCCGCTGCTGGAATCTGTCAGCAAGGCTGTTTGCAAGATTGTCGAGAGACGACGATCGAAGTGAATGACCAGGGGGACAAAGGAGTAATGCAGCCCGATGGAGCTCGATGGCCTCGTCAAGGTCAGACGGGACACCCCGCTGCTTGAATCTGTCTTGCAGACTGAGGGCAAGACTGTCGAGAGACGATGATCGATCAGAATGACCGGGGGGACGAAGGAGTAGTGCAGCCCGATGGAGCTCGATGGACTCGTCAAGGTCAGACGGGACGCCCCGCTGCTCGAATCTGTCATGAAGGCTGTTTGCAAGATTGTTGAGAGACAATGATCGATCAGAATGACCAGGGGGACGAAGGAGTAGTGCAGCCCGATGGAGCTCGATGGACTCGTCAAGGTCAGACGGGACGCCCCGCTGCTGGAATCTGTCAGCAAGGCTGTTTGCAAGATTGTCGAGAGACGACGATCGAAGTGAATGACCAGGGGGCCAAAGGAGTAATGCAGCCCGATGGAGCTCGATGGCCTCGTCAAGGTCAGACGGAACGCCCCGCTGCTTGAATCTGTCATGAAGGCTGTTTGCAAGATTGTTGAGAGAAAATGATCGATCAGAATGACCAGGGGGACGAAGGAGTAGTGCAGCCCGATGGAGCTCGATGGCCTCGTCAAGGTCAGACAGGACACCCCGCTGCTCGAATCTGTCTTGAAGGCTGATGGCAAGATTGTTGAGAAACAATGATCGAAGTGAATGACCGGGGGGACAAAGGAGTAGTGCAGCCCGATGGAGCTCGATGGCCTCGTCAAGGTCAGACGGGACACCCCGCTGCTCGAATCTGTCTTGAAGGCTGATGGAAAGATTGTTGAGAGACGATGATCGAAGTGAATGACCGGGGGGACAAAGGAGTAGTGCAGCCCGATAGAGCTCGATGGCCTCGTCAAGGTCAGACGGGACGCCCCGCCGCTCGAATCTGCCATGAAGGCTGTTTGCAAGATTGTTGAGAGACGATGATCGAAGTGGATGACCGGGGGGACGAAGGAGTAGTGCAGCCCGATGGAGCTCGATGGCCTCGTCAAGGTCAGACGGGACGTCCCGCTGCTGGAATCTGTCTTGCAGACTGAGGGCAAGATTGTTGAGAGACAATGATCGATCAGAATGACCGGGGGGACGAAGGTGTAGTGCAGCCCGAAAGAGCTCGATGGCCTCGTCAAGGTCAGACGGGAAGCCCCGCTGCTCGAATCGGTCAGCAAGGCTGTTGGCAAGATCGTTGAGAGTTGTTGATCGATCAGAATGACCGGGGGGACATCTCTGCAAGGCCGCTCGACACTTTTCCACCCAGTCCGCCATGCTATGTTAATCAAGTTACACTATGGTTGTCAAGCACACAGAGAGGATGAAGCCGACGGGCGCAATTGGGCGAAGACGTCACTGTGCCTTTCATGAGTACAAAATCCAGGTAACCAGATAAGTTTGAATTGCAATGCGCACGCAAATCGAAATTATGGTAGCAACCTGGACATAAAATGGGTGAGTGCTGCAGTGCAGTACCCAAAAGGAGTCTGGTACTTGATGAGAAACTAAGTATCCTCGATGTTTCTCATCACAGGTGTTTGTGCGTGCTTAGGTAATTGGTGCTATCCTGGCAACTACAGCGCTAGCGACTCATCAATGAAACCCAGTGAGAATCGGACATTGCGAGAGACGTTCGGAGAGTGCCACATCGTGCCCAGCCAAAAAAACCGCTCTCGCATGATCTGGACAAGAAATCTGGACGAATACACGATGCAAAAGGAGTCAGCATCGTGTGTCGTCGTGCGAGGTTAGTTTAAGTTGTATTGACACGATATGGCACTTTGTTGCATTTGCTGCGAGCGGTTGATATCATGCGAGAACAGTACATATGGTATTGTTTGTAGCTACCACAGAATACAATACATTCCCTCCTGTATGAACAATAGCGTGAAAGCGGTTGAATAGCAGCAAAAAACAGTTGAATAACAGTGCAAAAACGGTTGAATGATAGCAGGAAAGCCGTCCTGGCTGCAATACGAATCAATAGTGTGAAACGGGACTCGGGAGCGACGTATACGCTCAATACAATGTGCCATCGACGACGGCCTGGACAGTGTTCTTGACCCAAATGTTCGAGATACCTGAGCAGATGTTTGGATCAGTAGCGCCACTGTAAACATGCGAAACACTCACCAATTGCGCAGCGTCCGACTTGTAAGCCTAACAGAAAGGTGAGTGCAGTACTGTAGAGTGAGAAAAAAAGCGATGACATACCTTGCGTTTCGCGTGTCGAGCGCGTCCCAGTAGACGCGGAACTCTGATGTAGTCCTGTATTTTTTGACCTGTTTGGAATGATGTGGTCCCTGTGAATTTTCGGATCAGTAGTGGATGGTACAGATGTAGTAAAAAAATGCTACTTTTGTTGCCTCTGACTCATAAGACTACAAGTGACGGGGAATTGTGCATATATGCGCCCTATACCATACAAATACATGAGTTGCATACCACTGACATCAAATAAACTTACATTGGGAATGTATCCGAATGTTTGAGATCAGGGACATCGAGTGGGCCACATTGCTACTGGATTGTATTGGTAGGCATGATGGTAGGAAATGAACATGGTTGTAAGGGAACAAGAGACGCGAAGATGGTGAAGTCGGACTTTAGACTTTAAAAGTATTGCTCGTGCTTGGCTGGTACGCTGAGCGGCAGATACAAATGCTTGCAAGTGTATCGAGTGATCGTATGCAATTCACGCAAAGTGTGTGCATTTGCATGCGCTGCGCTCGCATAAAAATGCACGTCATTTTTCTATCAACTCTATCTACATGACACGGCATGACACGGCACTTTGCGTTGTACTCTCGCACGCCCTGACACGCCCTGGCAATGTCCGATGTTCACTGGGAATGAAAATCCGTCTACAACCTTGAAACGTTTTTGGTTTTGCAGAATTTCTGCTTTTGACAGTTGGCACCTGCACGCCCACTGACATCTTGTTTCGCCCAAAGGGAACCAAATGAACACGATAAATTGTTTTCAACTTGTACAAAATGGTACACAGTCGCAAGAAGATGGCAAACGGAGAGGAAATCAATATTTAGCTTCATGGTAAGACATAGATAACAATGGTAGCCTTCTATAATACCAGTCGCCGAAATCAGAATGCATGCAACGCAGGAAAGAAGTGGGAAAAAACTCACAGAACAGAGGCTTTACAAAGTCCGTAGCTTCACAATTCTCTCCCGTGTGACAATATACGCATCCTTCCCGCAATAGCGGGCAGACTCAAAGGCCCAGTACAGTGAACCGGTAATCCAGCTCCGCAGCCCTGGAATGTGATAGCCACCTGCTTGTCAACCTCTTCTCCCCATGAGGGGAGCATAGCGAGGTTTTCTGCAAAGCGCTAGAGGAAATGTTACAAAGCTGGCCGCAGTAGTGCACAGCACCTTGCAGGTCTAAACCTTGGTCAGCCACGAGCACAGCAACCAAATTATGCGTGCTACGATGAGATTGCTCCATGGTATAGGAGAAAATGTCCTGTCAGCAACGAAGTCAATATTGTCCAGGCGTCAACGACAGAATATGGTATTACATTGGACCAAGAAACAAAATCATTGGTAGCCTCTTCCAGTGCCATGATAACCGGATCCGAGACTACTTCGTCAGGGAGATCAATCCCACTTACGAATTCAACGAGGGCAAAGTAGGCCATGCAGCCGCTCAAGTCGCGCCTCAATTCAATGTAAGATTCGACATCGTTGACATGTCCCTTGGCACGGTTGTCCACCTCCTCAGCCGCAGAGATGAACCACAAGTCCATTGTGTGGATAAAGCGCTCGGTGCAGCCAGGGCCACCCGTCTCCCTAAAACGACCGAAGAATCTGAAGACCTTAAGATGCTCAGAATGCGTGTGTGTGTGATGGAAAAAACAGACGCACGCTTTGCACATCCTTGCACTGTATCTTTCCGTTTGGAAGTTGATGGGATCGCAGAACACAGCCATACAACAATCGCGTACTCCCCACGCATCATTAACATCGAACCTATTGATCTCGAGCCAGGTCTAATTTGAACGACCAGTTCAGGAAGTCCGAGCAGACTTTAAGATGGAAAGCATCTGCATCAGGGTGGCAAGCTGAAGCGAATCCACCTGCCCGCACGCTGGTATATTTAGTAATATCGAACTCTACTCGATGTGCTTCGTCACAAAGCCATTGTGCAGAAGCAAGAGAGACCGAATCACGGTGAGGATTTAGTCGAATGGGGTAGCAGCAATCGCTGAAGAAGTCGGGTATAATGAATTCTGCGGGCTCCGAGTCTGAAGAAGTCGTGGTGCAGGTTGCGGTAGGAGCTATGGAGGTTGTCGGACTCGTGTCGTGAATGTCGAGATGACCGAACGGAAAAATAAGAGATCCGGGTTATGAGACAAGTCGCTCTGAAAGAGTTTTTATAGCCATGCCAGTCTTGAAAGTGGGTGTGTCGTGCTCGCTCAGACCATCGTGTGCTTCTGAAAGGGAAAATCCACCGGTCAAGTTCGAAACCTGGGCGTAGACTCACCTACTCCAATAATCTGAATTGTGCTTCCATATGCAAGTTGAAACATTACTGCGCTAGGCAATACAGTCCCCCACGGGTCAAAGTCGAGATGATGGGGTGTTTAAACTTTAGAACAAATGACCCTGTTCATGTGCCTGCTTATGTAATGATACTTGGTGCTACCATAAAAATCATTTATCGTTTTAAAATTTATACAGTGCTAGTGAGTCATTTGCAATGGAAATCTGTCTACAACCTTGAAACGTTTTTGATTCTACTTTTGACAATTTGCACCTGCACGCCCACAGCTGACAACTCGTTTCACCCACAGGGAATGACATACACCGAATGAACATGATACATTCGCCTGCTCTAATGAAGCGTACTGAACAACTATTCTGCTAAAGGCTCGGAGATGTAGCCATGACCAGGGCATTGCGACGGCCGCATTGCCCCTAGCAGATTGTGCTCCTGCGGGATTATTGTGTACATCTCGAAGATGCAGACACTATTCATGCAGGGGCATGCAACGCTAGGCGGATCAACCGAAGGCAAAATCCTTTCGTTCTTCAATATGAAATGGAAAATAAGACGTGTTAAATTGAGGTTCTGGAACTTGGAGACCTCGTAGATTACCCTGCGTCTGGTTTTTATCAAAACGTTGATGGTCGTTTGTGAGTCCATCCTCTTCCTTCACATCAGTGGAATCGTCCCCTTGAATCAGTTCGAGATTCTCCACGGAGCGAACCTCTCCTTCCTCGCGTCTAATCTCGGTTGTGCTTTCTCACCCAACACTACATCTTTCATCGTCTTTCAGTTTCTAGGTACGTCACAGCACCCCCGCTGCCACAAGTTCCCTTACCCTCTCCAAAGCTGGTTTCGCGGGGAGTACATACACGTACGTCAAGATTGCCTCCTACTTCGGCAGCCCTAGCTGAATCGCATCTCTTTTAAAGCTTGTTGCAAAAAACGGAGGAAAGGGTAAGCCAGACATGCGCGTGCCCGCTCTTACATTCGATTCGGCTCGTCATTTGTCCCAGTGGAATTAATGTGAGATCATCGCTTTTATCTTATATGTTGTTCTTGATCTGATCTGATCTACATGATGCAGTTGGTACGGCTGGTCTGCCCAAGCCAAAATCCACTTCATGATGCCCATCATCGGCACCGCTATCCTTGGATTCGGATTATTGACAACTTTGTGGGTGTGTCCATATCAGTAACATAGCACCATAACGTTGACGGCTAACCTCTTGAAAATGTGAAGCCTCCAACTGTACCTCGTAGACACGTTTACTTATGCTGCGAGCATAACCGCAGCTGCTTTTGTGAGTTCTCCCTTCCCTCAATCGTAATCTTAATCTTAATTTTGTCGACGTGCACTCTCAATTCTCCCTGACGTTCACTGAACACATCAGACCTTCTGCTCACTCCTCGCATTCACATTCCCTTCCCTATCTGGATATATTACCATGGGGAACGTATGTGTCTGTATGACGATTTCTTTTGGGAAGTACCTGCGAAAGAGTGAATCCCATTCAATGTAACAGTGCATGCAGCATCATTTAGTTCAAAAATTGAATTATAGTGCAGACATGATCTGAATAACCGAGATCTAGGTGAGACAGCGTAGGAATGAAAGCAATCAGGACCACAGAACATGAAAATATAATCATACAGCAAATCCGAGCCTCAAACTAGACCCCTATGTGAATAAAGACGATCTGCTGTTCTAGTGGAATCTTCTTGCGTAACGATTTCATAGCCTTGTGCAAAGCTACCGCAGCGCGTGTGCAGTCCAATCTCCCTGATCCATCGACCAGGTTGCTATAAAAACCAGTTACAACCTGCCGTGCAACCTCGTCGTCGACAGACCACATGGAACCTATGACACTGCGAAATCCGGAGAATTGCATTGCTGCAGCTAGATGGATCAACTCGTCGTGACTCTTTTCGTGGCCTACGGTAGTGTGGCAAGCCGATAAGAATGCAAACTCCGGGTTCTGCCAGTTGGATCGGATGATGTCCTTGATCATCAACGGCCCATCGCGCATTGCGAAGGAAGAGTCGAACGGTTGTGTGTGATGCGGCATTCCATGGCAGGCTAGATGGAGCCACTGATTATGGTTTAGTGCATTAAGTGCACCTTGGACTGTTGCTTCGCTATCCTCGAGCGATGTGAAAGAGACTACGGGCTTGAGACGTTGAGCGACGATGGCTAACTCAGGAGCGACATGACGAAGTTCCTTCCCTCTGTCCGGATTCGCTTGACCGATGGCAACAAAATTCTGTGCGGATGTCTCTCGAGAAACCCGCTGTCTCGCCCTAATGAGTGTCGTCAAAGTGGGGGTGTAAGAGGAGATGTAAATCTGAGAAAAATTGTCTTTTTTCTTCTCGTACGGTCCTGCTGCATGTAGAGGAAGAAGCGTGAACTCAGCAGTGGGACACCACCAGATACGCGAGTGACGGTGAACTCCAGACACCTCAAGCGCTCGGACCACTGGATCAACAACACGTCTCCAAAGCTCGCGGAGGATACTGGCAAGCTTGTTTTGACAATCAATAGCACCAAATTCCTCTGCGAGGGACTGAAACTCAGAAGACAATTCGGAGACTTCGCTCCGCGCGATATCAAGCGGAACGTGGACAGGATCTTGTGCGCTGAAGATAATCAAGGCGTCACAGCCATACCGGCTTGCATTGACGATAATGACAGGACCTTCTTCAGCCGCCTTTTGTAAGTCGGAGAAAAGGGGAGGCAGGAGAAAACGAGAAAAGTCAGGCAGCATGCGGATGCGGGAGACGACATCATCCCATTGCATGGTCAGTTGTCGGATTTCCGGGGACTGATCTTCAGTAGACCGATCAAACGCGCTACGAAGGCGAAAGCTCAGCTGCTTGAACTCTCCCTCCAAGGCCGCGCCAGTGTCACCGGACTGGGACAGTTCATCGATTTGTGAGCTTAAGCGTGCCAACTGGGTCCAGAATACTGCACGGCCTTGCTCTACCAGTTCTACAGCAGTCGCCAGCTTGCCATGACGAACACCGCACGAGAAAGCGTCCATGGAAAGTGAAGCGGTGGCCATCCTGACGACATCAAAATGGCGTGGAGAAGTCGACAATATAGTAACACGCTGATCTAGGAATTTCAATGCAGTTTGATAGGCAAGCAATGCAGAGTCGTGGTTCATCTCCTCGGCAGAGGTGGCCCATGACTTGGCAGCAGTAAGATCCATATGAGAGACTGCATGAGATATATGAGAGACTTGCGCATACAGTCCAAATGCCTCATTAAGGTCAGCCGGGATGCCCCGCTGCTTGAATCTGTCTCGAAAGGCGAGGGCAAGATGGTTGAGAGACATTGATCGATCAGAATGACCGGGGGGACGAAGGAGTAGTGCAGCCCGATGGAGCTCGATGGCCTCGTCAAGGTCAGACGGGACGCCCCCCTGCTCGAATCTGTCGTGAAGGCTGATGGCAAGATTGTTGAGGGACGATGATCGAAGTGAATGACCGGGGGAACGAAGGAGTAGTGCAGCATAATGGAGCTCGATGGCCTCGTCAAGGTCAGATGGGACGCCCCGCTGCTTGAATCTGTCATGAAGGCTGTTTGCAAGATTGTTGAGAGACGATGATCGATCAGAATGACCGGGGGGACGAAGGAGTAGTGCAGCCCGATGGAGCTCGATGGCCTCGTCAAGGTCAGACGGGACGCCCCGCTGCTCGAATCTGTTTTGAAGGCTGTTTGCAAGATTGTTGAGAGACAATGATCGATCAGAATGACCGGGGGGACAAAGGAGTAATGCAGCATGATGGAGCTCGATGGCCTCGTCAAGGTCAGACGGGACGCCCCGCTGCTCGAATCTGTCATGAAGGCTGATGGCAAGATTGTTGAGAGATGATGATCGATCAGAATGACCGGGGGGACAAAGGAGTAGTGCAGCCCGATGGAGCTCGATCGCCTCGTCAAGGTCAGACGGGACGCCCCCCTGCTCGAATCTGTTTTGAAGGCTGTTTGCAAGATTGTTGAGAGACGTTGATCGAAGTGAATGACCGGGGGGACGAAGGAGTAGTGCAGCCCGATGGAGCTCGATGGCCTCGTCAAGGTCAGACGGGACGCCCCGCTGCTCGAATCTGTCTTTGAGGCTGATGGCAAGATTGTTGAGAGACAACGATCGATCAGAATGACCAGGGGGACAAAGGAGCAGTGCAGCATGATGGAGCTCGATGGCCTCGTCAAGGTCAGACGGGACGCCCCGCTGCTTGAATCTGTCTTTAAGGCTGATGGCAAGATTGTTGAGAGACGATGATCGAAGTGAATGACCGGGGGGACGAAGGAGTAGCGCAGCCCGATAGAGCTCGATGGCCTCGTCAAGGTCAGACGGGACGCCCCGCTGCTCGAATCTGTCATGAAGGCTGTTTGCAAGATTGTTCAGAGACGATGATCGAAATGAATGACCGGGGGAACGAAGGAGTAGTGCAGCCCGGTAGAGCTCGATGGCCTCGTCAAGGTCAGACGGGACGCCCCGCTGCTTGAATCTTTCATGAAGGCAGAGGCCAAGATTGTTGAGAGACACTGATCGAACAGAATGACCAGGGGGACGAAGGAGTAGTACAGTCCGATAGAGCTCAATGGCCTCATCAAGGTCAGCCAGGGTGCCATGCTGGTCAAATTTGACATGAAAGCTGACAGCAAGATTGTGGAGAGTTGTTGATCGATTAGAATGACCGGGGAGACACCTCTGCAAGACCGCTAGGCACTTTTGCACCCAGATCGCCATGCTACGGTAATCAAGTTACACTATGATTGCCAAGAACACAGAGAGGGTGAAGCCGACAGGGCGGCAATTGGGCGAAGACGTCCGAGTCACTGTGCCTTTCATGAGTACAACATCCAGGTTAACAGATATTTGAATTGCAATGCACGCGCACATAGAAATTATGGTAGAAACCTGGACATAAAATGGGTGAGCACGCAGTGCAGTACCCAAGGGGAGTCTGGTACTTGATGTGAAACTATCCTCGATGTTATAAAATCGTTCATATCACAGGTGTTCATGTGCGTGCTTATGTAATGATCCTTGGTGCTACCTTGACAACCACATCGCTAGCGACTCGTCAATGGGAATCCGGCTACAACCTTGAAATGTTTTTTTGATTCTGCTTTGACAGTTGGCGCCTGCACGCCCACTGACATCTCGTTTCACCCAAAGGGAATGGTGTACACCGAAGGAGCACGATACATTGTTTCAACTTGTACAAAATTCCTTCTATATTGCCAGTCGTCGCAATCAGAATCATGCAACACAGGAAAGAAGTGGAAAAAAACTCACATAGAACAGAGGCTTTACAAAGGCCGTACCTTCACAATTCTCTCCCGTGTGACAATATGCGCATCCTTCCCAAAATAGCGGGCGGACTCAAAGGTCCAGTGCAGTGAACCGGCAATCTAGTTCTGCAAACCATGACCTTAGCGGATCTGTTCACCGACGGCGATTGACGTACCCTTCTAGTGATCTAAGATCTGTTCGTTGATTTGTGTAGGCGCCATCATTCATGATACCATAAGTAGGGTACCAGAAAATCTATAGCGGATCCGCTAGATAAGCCGTGGCGTAAGGACAACTGGAAAAATACCAAGAACAAAGCATCCTGGCAGCAGGATGCATTAGTGTAATTTCCAAGTTTTAGTAAATCTTGGTGAGGGTAACGTACCGTACTACGTGGTACTTGCTAACTCATCTTGGGTGAACCAATTGAGAGGAATAGAAAGTCTAAGGTTAGCAGGTTTCTGAGTGACGTTGTCGATGGTTCTTGATGGCAAACGTCAGGGAGCGTATACATCCCTCGCACGATACCCATATTGACACTCTCATAAGACGAGGTGCACTGCTGACATGCACGCTCGCGCCGCACAGGTCGAAGTCGGAGTCCACATAGGTTATTTGTACTGTTTTTGAATGAAGACAGAGATTGAGTTGGAGTGGGATCTAACGGTTTAATTAAGGACGAAGCGCTAATGTCGAGTTGTCCGGCAGTAAGGGCTCAGGTAAATTGCCGCATCACTGCCGCAACTTGCCGCACCCTACCGCACCACTGTCGCACCCATACCAAATCATAAGTACTACACTTATTTTCAGCCTGCACTGTTCTCGTGCACCAAATAAATGAACTAGGAGTGTTTCTCGTCTGACTCCTTAATTATCCACTTCACACTAATGCATTTGAGAGTCTGAATTCAGAGAACAATTTTGAGCATGTTGCGGCACGGATGCGGCACTGGGTGCGGCAGACATGTCCCTGGTGCAGCTAAATGAATTATCAATTGGCTGAACTGTGCTACATATGCACATGCTTGCACTGTCGTAGTTTCGAAGCGCAAGAAAAACTTACTCCAGGAGCCAGCCCAAAATATCCTCATTGAACGTCGCTCGTCAGGACCTGACGTGAACTCAGTTCCTACTCCCGAAGAGCAAGAAAACACGATGCTCCAGGCTGCCTGGCTTGACCTCCAACTCAGATATGATCTGACCTCGATGGATATAGACGTCGACTTGGAGTGTCTTGGCGTACTGGAACAGCAGATGTTCGAGCTCTCGTTGGCTGCAGGAGCTGCAGGAAATGAACAATGGGGAAAAGATGCTGGTGCACACCAAGACCGATGGAATCCCTATGAGGGATTCCCTGAGCACTGGAATCATGGCGACTGAGATTCATACGCACCAGAATTTGAAGGAGAAGTAGACGTGCGTCATCATCGCTTTTCATCACAGATCAGTCTGACATGGTTTGACTAATAGTGTGGACCGAACTTCAGCGAGGGAAGTGAGCTTGACATAGTTAAGAAAGAGAAACACACCAAAAAAACCAAACCGCGGCCACGACCAAGGAAGATACACAAGGCTTCATAGGCTGGGGCCTCGTAGTAGTAGTTTGTACTCTGAAATGAACGAGACTCAGTTTGCAAGGACAAAAGGCCACACAGATATGACATACATACCTTAAAGCCCCGGTATCCGTTTGCGCAGGTTGCTGCAGAACGTGGTCGAGGAGATGTGTGACAGTGAAGTCAGGCAAGGCATGCAACCAGCAAAGACAGGTGTTGAATGATAGGCGGAGGCATCGAGGCGCCAAACCTGACAGGCGCGAGCCTATGTGAGGGGTCGTTGAGTCTTCTCACCAAGTTTCGCGCAGCTGCTCATAACGGTGCTGCAAGTGGACTTGATAAGAAGGGTGGTTTGGTGTCGGTGCAGTGGTGCGGTAGTGCACAGCCACTGCCGCACCCAACAACAGAATTGCCGCACCGTGCCGCATCACTACCGCATCACTGCCGCACCCATCAAGTACATATATCACTGTAGTACCACTGTTAGCCTTACACAAACACCTGGAATATAGTATTACTTATTCTTAAATCATATTTCAGACAGTTGCGTACGACTTAGACGTATTGTAGAGGCATATAAGACATTATTGAGTAGGGTGCAGCAGGGTGCGGCACAGATGCGGCAATTTCCTAAGGCCCCGGCAGTAACCGAGCAGATGAACCTCAGGTTCATTGGCGCAGACCCTGAACTGCGCTGATACAGTGGAACAGATAGAGGCCCTCCATTTGCAGATGCGGCCCATCTACATTCCAGTGTCACCGCTCGCCACTCAAGTCATTCTTGAGCCTTACTTCAAAGTGTAATAAGTGAGAGTTTGTCCTTAGTCGGTTTGTTCTGCACTCATTTCCTTGTCAGGCTGCGGGCCAGCGATAGTTAATTACCACGTATGCTGGCGCACCAGGAGACAACACAGTCAAGCGATATGTGATGTTCTTGACTTCTCTCGAACTCATCGCACACATTAGACGTTCACAAGTTCGAGGTTGGTGGGATGTGCATCTCACGAAGCTCGGGTGCTGAACACTGACTACTTCCAGCTTCTACCCCAAATGAAGGGATCACTCCCTTCCGTCATTGCGTTGCAATCCACTCCCTCAGATATCGAGCTCCTGCTGTTTCATTTCATAGAGTAGACAGCGTTCGAGGATGGAATGCATGGTACTGCGCTGGAACAGACGTTTTGCGATACTTCCCAGGCGAGTTTATTGTCGAGGTGTACTATCATGGCTTAATGCATGGCTTCAGGCGCGGGGAGGGTTTCCTGGCAAAGAACCTTTTGATATGCTTCCTCGTGAACTCGCCTCCATCAACCAGCCTGAGGAACGAGCCATAGAATACCTTCACCACATGCAGTTCTTCACGATCTGGGACAGTGTTGGCCGTGTCGTGGAGTGCCAGAGTCTAGAGGTGTCGATAATGAACCGGGAAACCAGGGTTGCTTGATTAAGTGACTACAAGGGACTTATCGACTAGGCTTACTTATGATGCAGTCGTAAAAGTACTTACTTCGGATGGGAGGATGCCGGATGAGACGGGAGACCGTCGTTCCCGCGAGCTAACTCGCATTCGGCAGATATACATCCCCGGGCTTATACTGCGGCTGCATATCATGCTCTACTCATCTTGAGAGGTAAGTATAACTTCGTATGCAGTACCTGCAGGTCTAACACATCTTAGACAGGAATCTGAACCGCGGATTGGAGCCTGCCAACATTGTTGCGGGTTCGAGGTACAGGCTGTATGATTATTTCTTACATATTAATGGCCGGAAGCTTGGGGAATGCTTTAATGCGGTGTGCCAGGCGACGATAGCTGGCTTGGAAGCGGGTGGATCGGATCCTTTCGAGATTATTCTGTCGTAATTGTAAGCATCCTCTTGATATTTGTTCACTATCGATAACTTAATGCAACGTCTTTGTTGGAATTTTGACCCTGTTAGTGGACTGCGAGGTCGTGGCTCGCCCCCTTCTATGTATGAAGGATAATATGTAGGTTGTAGGATGAAGCATGATCTCCCTGCATCCCGTATCACGCAAAGTCTTAGTAACCACGGAGAGAGATCTTATCGAAGAAGAGTTACGCACCAGCCCATCCCACTAAGTTCGCTGTAAACAGCCAGCTTATGAGACTGTATGTTCGACCAAGCAATATATATTTATTCAATGGAACGGTGTACACAATGCAAAAACAAAAATATCGTGCAGACATGATGTGAGTAACTGAGATCCAGGTGGGACAACGGGGGAATGAAAGCAATCAGGATAACAGAAAATGCAATAATATGACGAGACAACCAAACTAGACACCTATGTGAACAAATACAATCTGCTGTTCTAGTGGGATTTTCTTGCGCAACGATTTCACAGCCTTGTGCAACGCTACCGCAGCGCGTGTGCAGTCCAATCTCCCTGAGCCATCAACCAGGTTGCGGTAAAAAAGAGACACAACCTGCCGTGCAACATCATCGTCGACAGACCACATAGAACCTATGACACTGCGAAATCCGGAGAATTGCATTGCCGCAGCGAGATGGATTAACTCGTCGGGACTCTTCTCGTCGCCTACGGTAGTGTGGCAGGCCGATAAGAATGCAAATTCTGGATTCTGCCAGTTGGACCGGATGATGTCCTTGATCATCAACGGCCCGTCGCGCATTGCGAAGGAAGAGTCGAACGGGTGCGTCCGATTCGGCATTCCATGGCAGGCGAGATGGAGCCACTGGTTATGATTTAGAGCATCGAGTGCATCCTGCACTGTTGCGTGGCTGTCTCGGAGTGATCTGAATGATGACACGATGGGTACGAGACATTGAGATATGGCGGCTAATTCAGGAGCGACACATCTGAGTTCCTTCCCTCTGTCCGGATTCGCTTGACCAATTGCAACAAAATGTTGTGTTGACGAGTTTCGAGAAACGCGCTCTCTCGCACGAACTAGTGTAGCCAAAGTGGGGGTGTAAGAGGAGATGTAAATCTGAGACAAGTTGTTTCTCTCCCTCTCGTAGGGTCCTGCTGCATGTAGAGGAAGCAAAGTGAATTCAGCTGTGGGACACCACCAGATACGCGAGCCAGGGCGAACATTTGACACCCTAAGGGCTTGGACCACGGGGTCAACGACGTGATGCCAAAGCTTGCGGAGGATGCCCACGAGCTTGAGTTGATGATCAGAACAACCGAATTGCTCCGCGACAGACTGAAACTCGGAGGACAACTCGGAGACTTCGGTCCTTGTGACATCAAGTGGAACGTGGACAGGATCGTGGCTGCTTAAGACAATTAAGGCATCACAGCCGTGCCGACTAGCATTGACAATGATGACCGGACCTTCTTCAGCGGCTTTCCGGAGGTCAGAAAACAGTGGCGGCAGGAGAAACCGAGAAAAGTCAGGCTGCATGCGGATGCGGGAGACAACATCATTCCATTGCATGGTCAGTTGTCGGATTCGTGGGGGCTGCTCGTTATTAGACTGATCGAACGCGCTACGAAGGCCAAAGCTCAGCTGTCTGAACTCTTTCTCCAAGGCTGCGCCGGTGTCACCGGACAGGGAAAGTTCATCGAGCGGTGAGCGCAAGCGTGCCAACTGGGTCCAGAATACTGCACGGCCTTGCTCCACCATTTCAACAGCAGTTGTGAGCGCACCATGACGAACACTGCACGAGAAAGCGTCCATGGCAAGAGAAGCTGTGGCCATCTTGACAACATCAAAATGGCGTGGAGAAGACGACAATAGAGTAACATGCTGATCTAGAAATTTCAATGCAGTTTGATAGGCAAGCAATGCAGAGGGATGGTTCGTCTCCTCGGCAGAAGTGGCCCATGACTTGGCAGCAGTAAGATCCCTACGAGAGATTGCATGAGATAGGTAGGAGAGTTGAACATACAACCCAAATGCTTCATTAAGGTCAGCCTGGATGCCCCGCTGCTTAAATCTGCATCGAAGGCTGATGGCAAGATCGTCGAGAGACGTTGATCGAAGGAAATGACCGGGGGGACAGATAAGTAGTGCAGCACGTTGAAGCTCGATGGCCTCGTCAAGGTCAGACGGGACGCCCCACTGCTGGAATCTGTCAGCAAGGCAGGTGGCAAGATGGATGAGGGACGATGATCGATTAAAATGACCGGGGGGACGAAGGAGTAGGGCAGCCCGATGGAGCTCAATGGCCTCGTCAAGGTCAGACGGAACGCCACGCTGCTCGAATTTGACAAAAAGGCTGTTGCCAAGATTTTTGAGAGACGCTGATCGAAGTGAATGACCAGGGGGACGAAGGAGTAGTGCAGCCCGATGGAGCTCAATGGCCTCATCAAGGTCAGACGGGAAGCCCTGCTGCTGGAATCTGTCATAAAGGCTGATGCCAATGTTGTTGAGAGACATCGCTCGATCAGAATGACCGGGGGGACGAAGGAGTAGTGCAGCCCGATGGAGCTCAATGGCCTCGTCAAGGTCAGACGGGACGCCCCACTGCTTGAATCTGTCATAAAGGCTGATGCCAATATTGTTGAGAGACATTGCTCGATCAGAATGACCGGGGGGACGAAGGAGTAGTGCAGCCCGATGGAGCTCAATGGCCTCATCAAGGTCAGACGGGACGCCCCGCTGCTGGAATCTGTCATAAAGGCCAACGGCAAGATTGTTGAGAGAGGTTGGTCGACGAAAATGACCGGGGGGACGAAGGAGTAGTGCAGCCCGATGGAGCTCAATGGCCTCGTCAAGGTCAGACGGGACGCCCCGCTGTTGGAATCTGTCAGAAAGACTGCTGGCAAGACTGTCGAGAGAGTTTGATCGAAGTGAATGACCGGGGGGACAAATGAAAAGTGCAGCCCGATGGAGCTCGATGGCTTCATCAAGGTCAGACGAGACGCCCCGCTGCTCGAATCTGTCACAAAGGCTGGTACCGAGATTGTTGAGAGTGTGTGATCGAAGTGAATGACCGAGGGGACGAAGGAGTAGTGCGGCCCGATAGAGCTCGATAGCCTCATCAAGGTCAGACGCGACTCCCCGCTGCTTGAATCTGTCACAAAGGCTGGTACCGAGATTGTTGAGAGTGTGTGATCGAGATGAATGACCGGGGGGACAAATGAAAAGTGCAGCCCGATGGAGCTCGATGGCTTCGTCAAGGTCAGACGGGACACCCTGCTCCTGGAATCTGTCAGCAAGGCTACTGGCAAGATTGTTGAGAGCCGATGATCGATCAGAATGACTGGGGGGACAAAGGAGTACTGCAGCCCGAAAGAGCTCGATAGCCTCGTCAAGGTCAGACGGGACGCCCCGCTGCTGGAATCGGTCAGCAAGGCTGTTGGCAAGATCGTTGAGAGATTTTGTTCGATTAGAATGACCGGGGGGACACCTCTGCAAGGCCGCTCGACACTTTTCCACCTTGTCCGCCATGTTATCGTGGTCAAGTTATACAACGATTGTCAACAACAGATAGGATGAAGCCGACGGTGACAATTGGGCGAAGACGACACTGTGTCTTTCATGAGTGCAAAATCCAGGTAGATATGTTTCAATCCAATACGCACACACATAGAAATCTGACCACTGAAATGGTAGAAACTTGGAGAGAGAATGATACGGTGAGCGCTGAAGTGCAGTGCCCAAGAGTCTGGCACTCGAGGTAAAACTATCCTTTATTCAGCGTTCGAGGCTCATTCATATCATGCTGACTAGATTCCACAGCTGGCAGGATCGAGCATTTTCAATGATCACTGCTTCAAGCTGTGCTGGACAGATGTTTGTGCGTGCTTATGTAATTATCTTACAATGTAAATATACGTTGTGCAGCCTAAAACATTTTTCAGTCGTGCTTTTGACACCTGCCCGCCCACTGACATGCAATGTCATGCATGCAAACTCACTTCACCCAAAATTAATGAACATACATCGAATGAACATGATATATGGTTTCTAACTTGTACAAAATGGTGCATAGTCGCAAAAATATGGCAAACGAAGAGTGAAGATGAGACGTTTCATGTAATCGATATTTAGCTTCATGGTGAGACATATATAATAACGTAGCCTTCTATGATGCCAGTCGTCGCAATCAGAATCATGCAACGCAGGAAGTGGAAAAAAACTCACATAGAACAGAGGCTTTACAAAGGCCGCTTGGGAAGTAGCTTCACAATTCTCTCCCGCTTGACAATATGCGCATCCTTCCCGAAATAACGGGCAGACTCAAAGGTCCAGTGCAGTGAACCGGTAATCCAGCTCTGCAGTCCTCGAATGTAAATAGCCACCTGCTTGTCAACCTCTTCCCCCCACGAGGGGAGCATAGCGAGGTTTTCTTCAAAGCGCTGAAGGGAAATGTTACAAAGCCGGCCGCAGTAGTCCACAGCACCTTGCAGGTCTAGACCTTGGTCGACCATGAGCACAGCAACTAAATTATGCGTGCTACGGTGAGATTGCTCCTGGTTATAGGAGAAAATGTCCTATCAGCAACGACGTCAGTATTGTCCCCGCGTCGACGACAGAATAGGGCATTACATTGGACCAAGAAACAAAATCATTGGTAGCCTCCTCCAGGGCCATGATAACCGGATCCGAGACTACTTCGTCGGGGAGATCAATCCCACTTACGAATTCGATGAGGGCAAAGCAAGCCTTGCAGCCGCTCAAGTCGCGCCTCAATTCGATGTAAGATTCAACGTCGTGGACATGTCCCTTGGCGCGATTGTCCACCTCCTTAGCTGCAGAGATGAACCACAAGTCCATTGTATGGATAAAGCGCTCGGTGCAGCCAGGGCCGCCTGTCTCCCTAAAGCGACCGAAGAATCTGAAGACCATAAAACGCTCAGAATGCGTGTTTGTGTGATGGGGAAAAAAAACAGACGCACGCTTTGCACATCATTGCACTGTATCTTTCCGTTTGGAAGTTGATGGGATCGCGGAACGCAGCCATACAACAATCACGTACTCCCCACGCATCATTAACATCGGACCTATCGATCTCGAGCCAGTCGTCTAATCTGAACGACCAGTTCAAAAAGTCCGCACAGACTTGGAGATGGAAAGCATCCGTGTCAGGGTAGCAAGCTGAAGCGAACCAACCTGCGCGCAAGCTCGTATATTTGGTAATCTCGGGCTCTACTAGATGTGCTTCGTCAACAAGCCATTGCGCAGAAGCAAGAGAGACTGGATAGTAGTTAGGGTTTAGTCGCAGGGGGTAGCGGCAATCGCTAAAAAAGTCAGGTATCATGAATTCTGTGGGCTCAGAGTCTGAAGAAGTCATGGTGCAGGTTGCGGCAGGATCTACGGAGGTTGTCAGACTCATATCGTGGATGTCGAGGTGAGCGAACAGAGAAACAAGATATCTGAGTTATGAGACAAGTCGCTCTGAGATATGTTGGTCTTTATAGTTATGTCAGTCTTGAAAGTGGGTGTGTCGTGTTCGCTCGGACCATCGTGTGCTTTTGAAAGGGAGGGTCTACCGGACAAGTCGAGAGAAATCGGGGTGTAGACTCACCTGTCCCAATGTATCACCTACTAAAATAATAGCAAGATCTGAATTGCGCTTCCATAGGCAGGGTGAAACATTGCTGCGCTAGGCAATAGAGTCCCCAACATTCCTGTGGCTTGATCATTAACAAAGATGTGAGACTCGAATTCAACGCGCTATTCCATAGACAGGATGTACAAACGACAAAGCCCCACTACGTAACATGTCATTGTATAATTGTTTTTATTAGTAGACCTCTTCTCTGAATAAAACAGACCGCTCACCTCAAGTTTTTCCTTCTGTATTCCCTTTCTGGAAGTTAGTCGTGCGGTAAGTAGTAAAGATGGGTCAGGGCAGAGATGATGGAATGTTTGAACTTGAGGATAGTGAACTTAGTAGATGTGTTCTTTGACGGCGATTGACCTGTATGTAAATCAGGATTGACAGACCCTTCTAAAGATCTAAGATCTGTTCGTTGACTTGTGTGGGCGCCATGATTCATGATACCATAGGTAGAGTACCAGAACATCTATAGCGGATCCGCTGGATAAGCCGAGGTGTAAGGATGACAAAACTGAACACATATCAGCAGGTTTCAGTGCCGAATACAGGTTTGTGGGTAGATCGGTTAAGAAAGAGTACATTTAGCGCTCGTTTACACAGTTCGGAGACTGCTGCTCAGTCAAACACTCACTGATACACATCAGCCTTAGCTGAGCGACAGTGCCATATCAAAAGAAAATGACCGCGGAACACGAATCTGATCAGTGGCTGCTGGACGAATCTGTCTCGTGCATCCTCGTCCTAAACTGTTCAGCGTGGGATCTACTTCATATCTTGCGCGATAGCATCGATATCAGTTTTGGGATGTGTCATATGTCGCCATTGATGTTCTGCTCGAATAGTCCAGGTTATGCTCAGCAGGTATATGATGCACCCTTCATGAGTCTTGCATGTCTCTCAACTGCAGAATGCGTCGTGGTCGCATCAATGTTCAAATACGTGGTAAGAATCAGATTACTCATCAGAAACATCCCTTGTCAGACCTGTTTAGTCGCAAGGTCAGGCAAAATGGCAAGAACAAAGCATTCTGGAAGCAGGATATATCGGCATAATTTCCGAATTTTAGTGAGTGTCGTACTTGCTATGTCATTGTGGGTGCGCCATTGAGATGACTAGAAAGTCTAAGGTTAGCAGGTTTCTGATTGACGTCGTGGATGACTATTGATGGTAAGGCCGTCAGGGAACGTATACACCCTTGTCCGATGCCCATATTGACGCTCTCGTACGTCGACGTGCACTGCTGACGTGCATGCTCGCCGTCGGGAAAATGGGTCATGGGGGTTCACGACTCACGCCGAGCCGCAGGCCCGGCAGAGCTTACCCACGGGTCGACTTCCCAGAAAGAGGTGCACACCGTGGGGGTCGCATATTCTACCAAGGTTATTTTAACCACGTGACAACGACGCGTCGTGTATTGGCGTGTATGGCCACTGTGGCGGAAGTAGCCCAGGTTGGCATATGACCAAAATGCATTCACGTCAAAATGCCCAGAAAATAAATACAAAGGCAACATACAAAGCATGGACTGAATGCTGAGATCGAGCATAGTCATTTTTAAAGAGCAAGAGGAGTAACGGAGAAAGCCTGAGAGATGTAGAGACACACGGACATAGAGATACGTTGCAAAATTGGATGGTTATGAGTGGGATGTTGGTAACAAATGCAGCAGGGAATTAATCTGGAACAGTAAATAATAGGTAATGGAGATATTTATCAAGCGCGCGACCAGGCGCAGCAAAGTCCAAACAAGCGGCGCTCATTGCAGCGCGTTCAGTTTTCTTTCATCTCTTCATCGATAGTGCTTCCAAAATAACACGTATGAGCAGGGCTAGAGGAGATACCAGGCGACATATTGGATGTGAATTGCATCACAGAATCAGGACTGAGTAGCCCAGGGGTGGACACGAAATAATTCATAAGGGGTTGACGAGGAACAGGTATGATGAGCGCAGGAGGTGCGAGAGTACGCGTGTATTTTGCAGATGGAGATGGCGGTGGGAGTGCAGGGAGGGGGGCAGTGGGGGGTGGAGCGAGCGGGATAGTTCGCTTGACTGCACGACGCAGGCTGCACCGCATATGTTTCAGAAGTCATTCAAGTATATGCATTGGAACCACTCACCGTAGTGGAGCGCCTGCATTCAGACTGCCACTTCTCAATCTTCCAAAAAGACTGTTACTTTCTGAAGCGTTCTCGGCGATGCTACCTGCACGACTACGAGTGGGAGACATGGCGCCGGTGCGCTGAAGCGCGCTGCCGGCATTTCGCGTCGGGGACTTGATAAGAGCCATCGGGCTCGCAGCAATGTTCATGCTACTGCGACGCCTGCGCATGCGAGGACGTTCAGCATTCGCAGTGGGTACTGCAGCAACGCTATTTGAGTTGCCAGTGGGTGTGGGTGTCACGCTCAGATCGCGATCTACAGGCTGCATAGGACTGGACGGCATTGGGGAGGAGAGTGGTGCAGGGGTTGTTGCTCTGGGATGGTAAGGGGCGAGAAGGCCAGAAGAAAAGAAGGCAGAGTAGGTGACCATCGTTGAGATTGAGGAGGGTTTTCAGAAGCTGCTTAAACCTTGCAATAAGATGTTGGACAAAGAACAAGTTGAACCAACCAAATTTGAACTTCTCGATAAGGACACAGGGACGCCGGTTTTCATTTCCATTGCCACTTTGTCACCATGTCACTCATGTGATCTCCGTCGATTCAAGTGTCGGAGATCTGCAATGCATCAATATTCGCGACGTCGGCAGAACCTTGCAAGTATCCCCCAAGCTTGCATTTGCAGCTAACCTGAGCGAATAGATATGCACTCGACAAAGTGAGTAATCCAGTGTGACAAGATCGCATGAAACTTATCATGGCAGCGTGGAGTCTGGACACTTCTTTGTTCTCAAACTTATTACAGCAGCCCTGTTGTCCGTCAAAGGGCGCTGCTGTAACCTTGCAACCACAGCAAATCGGTAAAAAAAAATCTGGGATAATAATAATATTGAGCATCAGCGGCATTCGCCACGCAAACATTTGCTGTGCAAGATCATCAAACAAGGCCGACTAGCTCAGCTGGTTAGAGCGTCGTGCTAATACGATTCGTTGATAAATGCGTGTTCACTATTACTCACTTGTTTATCGACGGATTTGATACGCGAAGGTCTTGGGTTCGATCCCCACGTTGGCCAATTTTTTTTATTAATTTTTGTTGCTCTAATGACTTTATAATTGTGGGCACACCGGAATACCTTGACCTCATTCCTTCCCTCAAAGTAGTAGCGGATCGCAATCGTCCTGATTTCTTTACGATTTGGTCATCAGACTCATCACATACCAATGCCGCTATCAACTCGTAATATATCTCTCCTTCAAGTTGCTGCCGTAACTAGTTAATTCTTCACAATCGGGCCTCGGCGACCATAGATATCCAAGCAACGAACTTGAACAACATCTTGTCCCCCGGGTCCACTGGCGATCATCTATCTAGTAGTTGGACTTCACACAAGCAGCGACGCTTCCGCTGCTTCCTCGACGGTGGCGGTCTCGGACAGCCGCTCAACCGCAACGCCAAATGATGAATCATGCCCCTGCGCGGGTGCACGGAGCTCCGACATAGTTTTGAAATGATTCAACGTTTTCGGTGCCTTTGACTGATCCAGACATGTGCCATATCTCAACCCAGATGAGGAGACCCATTCAAATTAAAATTTGGCCCTGCATCCGGATAAATGTCTCACGTATGACCGGTGCAGTCTTGTCTTGCTGTGCTCTAAGACCCTCCTGCTGAAACGGATGGCGATATATATGTCTATCAATGAATTGGGACGAAAGTAAAATGGACTGCGGATGAAGCCTTGGCTCTTTCTGGCTGTAAATCTGTGGCGCAAAGGGGTGGGTGCACATGCTGTTAGAATTTAGCGATCATATATAACAACAGCATTCGGAGTGGAACGTGACGATGATGACTGTGCGCAATTCTCGTACTCGCATGTCATCGCTCCCCATAAAGACGATGCAGCACGTCAGCACAACTTGACCCTCAACGACCATTTCGGTCCTGTACACCTCCCGCGAGTGTCGCGAGCCTTGGGAGAATATATGATATCGGCTTTGGCAGTCGAGGGAAATAGGTGTGCGTTGTCATATATTCGAGTTGCTGATTGTTCTGCAGCTTATGTCCTGGTCAACACATGCCGTCCGGCCGTCTGCAAACATAGAAGTTCATATTAGATCTAGGAAAGAAACTATACAAGTAACAAGGCAAGCCACATTGCAACGTCAAGATGGGACCATAAGCTACCAACCTAGTTGGTGGTGCGGAGCATGGTGAATAATCGAGCACAAGTAGGAACTTTAGGATGTGAAGTGATACCTGCAAGCCAATAACCACATCTGGTCTGAATTGATGCCTCGTGAACTCTGTAATACGCGTCTTGGTAAGACATGGACAAGCGCCTCGCACCGAAAAAAGTGACACTCGAAAACCTGACCCGCCGCCTAAAGAAATTTTTGACTTTCCTATGTCTCAAAGTATAGGCACTGAGAATGTCAACATTTGGTCGCTGCCACTGGCTGGAGTTCAGTTCTCGGCGCCAGCAAATCGCGAACTAGGTTGAGGATATCGCACAGCTATACGAACTATCCTGACGTGCAAAAGGCTTCTCTAAGTGCGGCTGAGATATCGGGTGTATGCGTGCCTGCACTCACGGAGAAATTGGAGCGGCGTGTATTGAGACGCAAAGCGCATGCAAGGAAGGCTGGGAGGGCGAGTCTGTTTATTTTGTCCGGTACGTCAGTAGGGAAGGAGGCAGTTTGGCAGAAAAAAACAGGATAGAACAAGGATAGAAATGTGGCACCGCACGGCGCACGTGCACGAAAAATTCAAGATGTAAACTTTCCATCTCCGTGTAACTTACTAACACTAACATATGGCGCTGGATCTGTTCAACTATTCTTACACACAATATACACACATACACAAAGGATTTACATAACACAGAGTCGCGTACTGTTGCCGAGATGTATCAGGATGCTTTAGGATTAGCGTGACTTCCCGTTTTGGTAACACCGCACGACGACAAAATGCTCGAGCTCGCTGTCCTCAACAGCGAGCTCAAATAGTTGCCTAATCCTTCACCCCTTTCACTAGTTCTTTTGAGGGAAAAAATCACCTGTAGCTTAACTATGCTTACTTTTGGACAACACAACCCTCCTTCCCCACCTTCTCCTCCTCCCCCCACCCTGACCGCTTTTCTGGTATTTTCTGGACTCTAATTGAATACTTCTGGCTTTGTAGAAGTCCTAATATATTTATATAATAAATACATCATTAATTGAGCCCATAATAAGCCCCTCAGAGCGCCCAGCATAAATACATGACAGAAATGGGTGAATATTGTAAGTATGGAAGATTTATGGTCAAAATAGCACAATTAACTAGCTACAGTTGATTTTTTTCCCTCAAAAGAACTAGTGAAAAGGGTAAGGATTAGGCAACTATTTGAGCTCGCTGTTGAGGACAGCGAGCTCGAGCATTTTGTCAGTCGTGCGGTGTTACCAAAACGGGAAGTCACGCTAATCCCAAAGCATCCTGATACATCTCGGCAACAGTACGCGACTCTGTGTTATGTAAATCCTTTGTGTATGTGTGCATATTGTGTGTAAGAATAGTTGAACAGATCCAGCGCCATACTAACAGAGATTGATGAACAGAGGTTCAATACGGAGCTTGACAATGCTGTCCTACCGGCTACATTCATCCATGTTCAAGTATCAACCATCAACACTAACATAGTGACACTGGCTGGGGAGAAATAAAACCGACACTCGGTCAAGTGCCCGGCATCTGCGACCTTCCATAGTTGCCTGCTACTCCAAAGCCTCAGTTCAACGCCGTTTTTGCAGTACATTGATGTTCCTTCCAACAGGTCAGTGGGATGACCGTGGGTCAGACCGTGGGTGAGGAACATCATAATATTTCTCACCAATTCTAACCATTCACTTCCTAGAAGTTCAGCTACGTTCACAAGTGGCAAATATTGTATGTCCACTAGTTATCACATGGAGGTACCCGATTCGATATTGACGATTTGCAGATGTCGATGACAGATCTTGGAACCTCACAGGTCAGTACCAACTCTTCCGCCATCGAGATCAAAGATCAGAGCCTTATCGGCGCAATCATCACCTAACTCCAACAGCACATGGACCCAGTTTTGCACGATACCTCAGGCTTGCAAACAGCCGTCGCACAGAAGGGCAAAACGATCCAGTCCGTTAATTTGCACAAAGAACTGAGGCCGGCTCTCTGGCACTTAGACTTGCCAACTGAAGTCCTATCCCATATTTTTCGCTACTGTCTACCGCCATTTGTCAAGGAGGAGTTACTGCCTTCCCGGTCGAATATTCTGATTACGACTCATCGAGACGGCCCATTTTATGATTCATTGCGCCCATCAAATCTAGAAGCTCCCCTGCTGTTGACCAAAATATGCCGACGGTGGAGAGAGGTTGCCATGGACATGCCCGATTTATGGTGCAGGCTGTTTGTGGAAGTCGGTTGGGGAAGCTGGGAGCGAGCTCTTTGCTATGACTCATGGCTCAAGTGTTCCCGAGGACGTCCGCTCTCGTTGACATTCCAGTGGCCCAACTTCGCAATTGACTGGGCTAAGTTACGGAACCTTCTTCAGCCTTACTTCAATCATGTCTCATCTCTCTCTGTCAATGTTTCATTCGGCCCCAACACACCTACACTCATGTTCACAGACTTCCTGACACTCGAGGAACTGTCCCTTTCTGTGCATCATGCGCGTGAGGATCCTATACCAGCCATCGCACGCTCTATCTCACAACTCCCTTGCACGCTGCACAGTCTCAGTTTAATAGGGATGACGTTCAGGCATTCGCATTTCGCCTCCTTCAATCTCATATGGGCCCACCTAACGAATGTCGCGATCGATACTATGCGTTACCCGGCCGATGTTCTCCACTTGCTCCAGATCGCTCCCAATCTCTCCTCGTTAACAACTTGCGCGCACTTCGACACCTTTCAGGCGTTGGAGCCATGCACGCACATTAAACTTCAATTCTTACATTTCACTATTGGTTTGACACACTCGCAAGGATCCAGCCTGCTCTATGCTCTCTCGCTCCCCAATTTACGCACCCTTAATGTTCGCAGAGTACCACAGTGGCCGCATGAGGAGTTCAAGGCATTCCTGGCACGATCAATGTGTCCACTAGAGAGCCTGATTGTCTCCGAACGTTTTAGGGGAAGGAAGTCGCTAAAGGACCAGTTGGCAGAAACAGATGAGCAGCGACTGGAATATGTTACTCTTGTTCCGTCCCTTAAGTATGTAGTGCGAGAACCGAGCTAGTAATTGTCCTGATACTTTGCACTTAGAGCCTGTTCAGTAACTGTCATTTGAAATTGCTAATAACAACGATTTTGGTGTGGCCCAAGAACATCGGGATGCAAATGGAGTCTGAAAGGCTCACTGTGTGATATGATGGAATATCATATATAGTACCATATTTTCAATCGTTATTCACGCAGGCCTTGGTGTTCGCTCGACCGCTTATGATACCGCGCATCACCTTGTAGCTCCGCAGAATTGGCGCTGCTGATGATATCAGGGAGGATTGTTTGATAACCGCTCATGGTGTTGGATTAACGGCGGGACTCTTTTCAAGGCAGTAAGTTCAACATTACCGATGCCAGAAATGTACAACCCGTCTGCTGTCTTCACCGGCCATATCAGCAGTCAGCAGATTGGTTCGATGTGGGGAGAGAAGAAAAGACAGCATTGTTGAATGCGTTAACGTTACGTCAACGGCGCTTACTATGTACATTGTATACAGCTCTGGTTAGAAACGCGACCTACTCTTACAACCCAGAATGTTCATTGCGAACCAGTCGCGGTTTCATTGGTTCAACCACCGGAAGGATTTCATCTGTGACCAACGACAGACTTTGGCTGATAAGGCTCCTCCAAGTACTTAAGCTCTTCTGCGGTCAGAGTGATATCAATGGCTCCTAAAGAAGAATCAGATCTGGACATCTGCTCTTTGATTGGAACACACATACCGAGCAGATCCTGCAGGTTCTTCAGAGACGTGGTCCCAACGATTGGCGCCGTTACAATATCTTGTGCCATCGACCAAGCAAGGGCTATTTGCGCCATACTTGCGCCTCTCTTCTTCGCAACTTCCTCGAGGCTATGCATGTCTTTTCAGAATTCTGCTAGATGGAGGAGTGAGGAGTGGCGTTTCTCACCGGCTCATAATGTCTTTGTCAGACTCATGCTGGACGTATAAGTTAATGGACCTATAACATTATTTTTATGAATGTTTCCGCGTAAATAGACGGTGACAACTGACAAGTCGGTCTTTCCACGAATTGTTTGCTCGCCAAGAGGGCGGGTGAGCAGTCCTCGGGCAAGCGGTGACCAGGGGATGCATCCAACGCCGAACATCTACTATGATGATCAAGAGAAATAAAGAGACGAAGACGAATAAATCAAACCTTGAGTGTAGGGAACATTTCTCGTTCTTCTTCGCGATAGATCAAACTGTGGTGATTCTGCATAGAAATGAAAGGGGTGAGGTGGTTTGTGATCGCGTAGTCTAAACAGATTCATGCAGTTAATTTTCAACTTCCTCACGCCAAAGTTATGATCTCACTTTGCATTGCCTGGACTGAAGGCGCGTTTAAATTAGAAACATGCACAAAATAGATGTCAAACGTACATTGGTAGGCCCAGCATGAAGACATGCCAATGTACCGGACATAGCCAGCCTGGACAACGTCATGCAGAGCTTGCATCTAAGTATGACGCAGGTCAGTTGAAGACACCAAAGCTGAAGCATGATGCTGACATACCGTCTCCTCAATCGGCGTCTCTGTGTCAAATCGATGGCCTGGAAATTAATCAATCTTGAGTCTGTAGCACGCCGGATGGAGACAAACACTGTAGGACATCAACATAATCGAGTTGCAAACGCTCTAGGCTCTTCTTGATGGATGCAAAAATGTGCTGTTTGTGTAAGATCAGATAGTGCACCAAATCCACAGGAGCCAACATACCTTGCGACTCAGACCCCTTTGATTGACGTAGCCTAGTTGATCAGGATGTGCAGCTGACTTGAAGACCTTTTCGCTCGGGGTGCGGCCAACAACATTATAGACCTAAAAATTCATTTGTCAGGATATGTAAATAGCCAATACATCGCAGGGTCTGACCTTTGTCATGACTACAATCTCATCCCGAGGTAAGCTGAGCTTTTTGAGCGCGTTTCCAAGTACGACTTCAGAAAGTCCATTGGAGTACATCTAATTGTATAGATCAGAAATTAATGTCCAAGGTGAATAGGTGTTCCATCTCACGTCTGCCGTGTCAAAGGTATTGATGCCCGCGTCATAACTTCAATATCGATGGTAAAGACACGCTTTGGCATTGGAGTTACGCGACAAAAGCACTCACGCAGCCTTTATGTGGACAACAGCTTCTTCCTCTCCAAGAACCCAATCTTGCCACTCGCTGGTACCTATGTTGAAGAATCAGGCAAACTTCAGTTATTCGACGCGCGAGGAAACGCGCTACACACCGTACTGCATTGTTCCCAGAATGATTTTGGAAACTTTGAGCCCAGAGTTGCCCAGGCGGACTTCATGGTAGCCAGTCTATTAGCAGCCTCGATAAATGAAAGATTAAGAGCATACCATAAGGCATTCTCTTCTGCGTGGTCGACATGGTCGCTACGTCTGGCTGGGTTGGGGTGATGAAATTATTCCAAGAGCTGAGAACTGACGCTTTATAACATAGTAACGTTAACGTTATCGGCGGCAAGTTGCTCACGGGATCATGGTGAATATCCCAGTTTGCAGACAATAGCAAGAAAAGAGAGTGATCATTCGTATTTTTATTTGTTATCTAGCTTCAAGTTATTCCCGTCGGCCCGGCTGCTGTCTACATCATGATCGTAGTCACAGTCGGGAGAAAATAAAATGCACAGTTCGTCAGATGATCGTATCCGAAAGGCCTCCGAGAATTTGCACATTGAGTTCTGCTGAGTCCGAGTCCGAAGTCGCTGTGACTCAGGGTCAGTGGTGATGCGGCAGATGTCCCGTGCATGATAAAGAAGGAAAAATAATGTTCCTTCCATCTGATCTGCGTACATAGGCTGCAGCAAATAGATGACTGGTCACTGGAGAGCCCGATGACGCTGACAGTGGGCGGCATGATAGTAAAGAAATGACAGACGAACCTCAAAGTTGAGCCTCACTTCCCGGCACTTTCCGAACAAGTCTTACGGAGATAGCGGCTGTATTATGTCATCTACCGCATCTGGATAGGAACAAACATAGTACGCTCGGTCAGAATCTATTGACCCATCAACACGATCGCTCATATTTCGAGCCACCATGTTCTTCATCGTGAGTACCTCTCTCAAACAGCTCCAGTATCCTTCATTCCGACATAACCAAAATTCCACTCTCAGAAAGAATTGACCCACACAATCCTTCTCCATCCCTCATACTTTGGTCCTCGGATGCTCCAGTTCCTGGAGTCAAAACTCTACTCAGACGTAGAAGGAACGTGCTCAGGCGCATTCGGATACATCATTGCAGTCGTCTCCATCCTCGATATTGGGAAAGGCATGGTACTGAGTGGAAGCGGCCAAGCCGAATTCATCACCCGCTATCGCGCAATAGTCTTCAAGCCATTCAAGGGAGAAGTAGTCGATGGGGTCGTCAATAACGTCAACAAGGTGCTCCATGCCATGTTACGTCCCCACCTTGCATACTAAACACCACGTAGATGGGCTTCTTTGCTGACGTCGGGCCGTTGACAGTTTTCGTGTCACACCAGGTGAGTTTTGAATCCTGCTTCTGCCTCGCTCACCATCTCATACCCCCTACCATTTCCTAGTTGATACATCCAGACATGAAATTCGATCCGACCTCGAATCCACCATCTTTTGCATCAGAAGACCAGGTATCGTCCATCCATGTGTTGTCCCCCTAATGTCCCTACCTTGTCTCGAACAGATCATCGAAAAAAACACTCGTGTACGACTAAAAATCGTCGGAACCCGCGTTGACGCTACCGAAATCGTAAGCCTTTTATTTTTGGTATCACTGCTATAGCTGCTAAACACAAGGCCAGTTTGCTATCGGAACGATCAAGGAAGATCATCTCGGTGTTATAGACTAGTCAAAAGATCGAATTTGGACGATCACCCTATGTATACCTGCTATCACTGTATTCGCTGTGTTATTTACTGCAAAGTACTAATGTCATCCTCAGTGTCCAATTTATGCGCTAAATTACATAACATTAGACGAAGCCATCCCACAACATGGAAGAATAAAAAAACAGCATACATTGGAAAGCAATTGACTACGACTACCTACAGGGACAGTATGCCAAGTATGAGCTAATAATATATAGTCGAAGCTCCAGTCTAATTACAATCTCTGCCACGCTCACTCCTCATCCTCAAAATGCAGGACCTGCGCATCCTCGTCTACAGGCACATCCCTATATCCACGCCTCGCGCGGTAGCTCATCGATACAGATTCCAGGCTCGACGCAATATATTCGAACGCGATGCCCGCAAGCCCAAGCAAGAACCACGGCACAGATGCCAGCGTGTCAAGCGCACCAGACCCTGACCCACGCGAATAGTCGCCTCCAGGTAAACGAATCGTCCTGTACATCAACGATAAGCATACAACGCGCACACATACAGTGAACGTCACCCACCCTCTCGCCATTCCGCTCTTGCTGTACCACCACCATGCGACAAGCGCTGTGATCGCAAAGGGGAATATAATCACCATCATCCAGAAAAACGCGCTGTGGCCTTTGATGCCAGGGCACAGGTGTGCCGTGCCTCGGTCTATGCGGTCACCACCCTCACAAGTAGAGTAGGCGACCTTGCGGTAAGCTGTACCCTCATACCAATAGTCATCTCCATTGCGACATGAATCGTCGGGGGCTAATGGACTCGTCCCCGATACAAGAACGCATTCGTCATCACTGTTGCGGACATAGTTGAATTCGCTATTTCGTGCCCAAAGATAAATTAGCTGAGTGGTTATCATCACACCTATGACTCACCACTCAAAGTCCTCCCGCGTACACGTGCAGTTGTGGTTGATAGTATTCAGTGCCTTGGGCATGTCTCCGACAACACAGTTCACGTTTCGTTTGCGGCGATGGTAGAGCGTCTGTACATAATATGAGCGACGAAGGCAAACCTCGAGTACAAGCGGCTCACCTGTCGTCCGAACAAGCAAAGAGAGTCTCTTTCCTCGCTTGGGCTCCACAGCTCAAAGTCATCGTGTCCAGGATTTTCCACATCCACGGAGCCTAGAAGAAAGGGTTCAATGTCAATTATCGAGCACAAGAGCACCCTACTCACATTTTTTGTGCGTGAGAGACGAAAAGTCCAAATGCACGATCACTGAGCCAGTCGTCCCGGGATACTGGCCCAGGAGCATGAACTTCCGGCTCGTATCCTCTGGCACCGTCATGATATCCCTCACTCTGATCTTATCAGTCGTGAACTTGAATTCTCGCCAACTGAGTCCTTCGTCTGTGGTAAACAAGACGTGGTCCGTCGGCTCCTCGTCGTTCACGATCACGATGACAGACCCTGAGTCGCCAAACTCCCACAGATGCGCGTCCTTGTGTACTTCTTCCCATGTGAAACCGCCATCCCGGGATAGGAAGGTATCACTCTCAGTGTAGGTGGCGAGTGATTCACCCACGTTGCCGACTGCCATTACAACGCCAACGACAGATGGGCTGCTGTATGTCGCCCGGGCGTCGAAGCGTTCTGTATACCCGTGAACATGAAGCGCACAGCCCTAAACGCGACAAAATCAGTCAACTGACAGCGATGCACGGAAAACACAGTATACCACTGATGTACAAGGGTACTTCAGACCCAACGAATCCACTGAGGGGGGTAGAAGCGGCTTCCAAGTGCCACCTGACGCAACAAGCAACCGTCAACGAACGGCAGAAGATACTCAGTAAACAAAGCATACCATCATTATGCGTAATCCTCGTCTGCAGAGCTTTACGCCCCGTGAGTGCGGCCTCCGCAGGATTGGCCACCACGTTGACCATCGCAATACCATCCAACCCCACGAATTTCTCAAAGTCGACGAAGCCAGCACTGTTCCTGTTCACGTTATCGATGGACAATCCAAAGTAAGTTCCGTTGGAGTTGGATTTGAGGATATTACCCCATGGCGTGGGCCATTCGTTCATAGTCATGTGCAGGAAGATGGCTTTGGTGGTTGATTCCAGGACGGTGTATGCCTAGAAAACATAATGAGCAACACCAATTTTACAGGTAGGGCAATTCTACTTACGTGAGAGTCAGGATGCATGCCAGGAGGGAAGCTCCCAGATGCAAATGTCCGTCCATCAAGTGAAACCTGGAGGTTAAGCGTGCCCCTCATCGGGAGGTACTACAAACGCAAAACCAATCAATTATGCAGCACGCACAAAACGACCACCAAAACACACCTCCGCCACGATCAAAAACTCTGAAAACTTGGTAAACCCAACGACATGGTCAAACAGCTTCGTCTTCTTTGTATAATAGTCCGTCCCAGACACGAGCTGCAGCGCATTGTCTTTCCCGAAAAACACCTGCGAGCCCTGTTTGTTCGCATACGACTCGCATAGGATCTGAGATGCATCAATGCGCAGCTCCTCGTCGCGCGCCCAGTCACAGTTGACGACATAGTCCTCCACGAACCGCCAACTCCGTCCATTGTCCGATGTGTACTGTGCCTGTGCACGACAATTTTCGTATCCCACCTGGCAATCCACATTACCGATCCAGATAAGATAGTCGGACCTGGTCTGGAAGCGGAGCACTGCGGCCCCGAAGGTGTTGGGAAGCGAAGGTGTTTCGTTGATATGCCAGAAGCGGCCTGTGTCTGTTGTGTAGTAGAACTTGTTAGTGTCGGTGATGAGGTATGCGCGCTCATTGGAGTGTGAGTGCATGTAGAACGCTAGGAAACGCTCCTCTGGGTACTTTTGCTCCCATGTGTAGCCTTCGTTGCTGGATTGCCATATTGAGAGATCGGCAAGACGGACAATGACGGTCTATGGAGGCAGACGTGAGCTGAAGTCCTGACATGGTATGATATACATGAAGCTCACCTTCGAGTCCTTGAAAAACTCGCTCTGCACAATATCACTGGTAAATGGATGCTGCAATATCGTAAGTTATCACACTCTGGGAACGAAGTGAGGACAGAAACGCACAATCTGTTGAACGATCTCTCCTTCAACCGGTTCAGCTGCAAATGATGCATGAGATAAAAACCCTTCACCGCTTCTGAAGCACTCACCTCCAGAACATGGTTTGGACTTGGGCTCGTCCTTGCGAATACCGCCCTCGCACTTGTTCCCAGGGATCTTGCGATATCCCGATGAACCCATGTACGTCTCGTCGGCCGTCCCGAGGGTGCACTGGGTGCTGGGTATGCGCTCTGGACCCGAAGGTACACATATACCACTACTCCGTACGTAGTTGTAGTCGCTAAAAGAATCCGTAAGCGGGAATGATGACTGGAAAGACGAGAAATGACGTACCATTCATAATCGTGGTCCTCGCATGAACACTTATCATCATGAACTTCTGGATCGTGGAATTCCTCGCCCATGTAACAATCTGCATTAGCCTTGCGCCTGGTGTACCATTGCTTCGAAGGATATTAGCAAGACCATTATCATGGCAAGGTTTGCATTAGCAGCTAACCTTGGCACCCATGATGCACTCGGAGTTGGATTTAGCTCTTGCATACCATGACTCCTTGTCGTCAGGACCACACTGCCGGCGCCCGAGGCCGGTGAAGTCGAGGTAGATGGCAGCGTTGCGGCCCTGATTGGGTTGTTGGGACTGCCGCATCACCTGGCCGAGAATGAGGAACTTCTGAGACGTCGAATCTGATACCGTCGTCAGGCCCTTGGCACGAAATTGGATGCCAACATTGAACGTGTTCCTATAGGGCGGGGCATTTCAGTAAGATCGCATATATGCACACGCAGACAGTGGCGGGGCGCGAAGACGTACCAGTTCTGACCCATGTCCGTGGAGTACATAATGGAGTCGGTAGGTTGCTCGTCGTCGACGATGACGATGACGCTTCCGGAATCACCGAATTCATATTGATATGCGCCTTCGTGGGCCATGGTCCATGTCAGGCCAGCGTCGGTGCTCAAGTAGGTGTTGCCCTCCTCATATGGCGCGAGCGCCTTTCCGACGGAACCTACGCCCATGACGAAGCCAGGGGCGGGGGACGAGAATATGGGACCATAGTTGTGCATGTCTGTCACTGAGTGCAGGTGCAGCGAGCATGTATCGGAGGAGCAGGAACCGCTAGGAGCGAGAAGAGGATCCCACGAGCTGCCTGCGAAGATGTGAGGTTGGTCCACAGGAAAAACACAAATCGTTCCTCACCATCATTGAATGTGATGACCGACCGTAATTGCTTAGCTGCCATCTGCCTCTCGACGTCTTGAGCATTTGCAATGACGTTGGCGATACCGACACCCTCAACGCCATAAATGTTCTCGTAGTCAACATACCCCGCCATGTTTCTGTTCGTGTCCTTCAAGCTCTCCACAAAGTAGGTACCGTTGGAGTTGCTGACGAATAAGGTACCGATGTTGGTTACATCGTGCAAGACGACATCTACTGCTAGGGAGTGGACTGTGGACTCGACGATGGTGTATGCATTCTCCCGCAAGCGTGCCTGGGAAGCATGCGGGAACTGTGCCTTGGCCCACTCCTTGGTATTCACAGTAACATATAAGAGCATGTCGCCCTCGCTGCCAGGCGTCAAGTCCTTGAGCGCGACCACGGCGAACTTGGACACGATCGCAAATGCCACGACACCTTTGGCATTCTTGCCGATACCAAGGTCTTCAGTCTGCTTGGTGGCAAAGTAGTCTGTGCTGGAGTAGAGACGACTGCTTGCGATGTTGTGCGAACCAGTCATAGCAGAAGAGTCATAGGCGACGCAGTAAATGAGGTCTTCGTGGGCGTCGTGCTTAAAGTCTTTGCTGCTGTGAGCGAATTGGCAACGGGAGACGTCATCTAGGAGCTGTTGTGGTGATGTGCCGAATCCATCTGTGGTGTAGTACGTCTACATAGAAATTTGAATGGGATCAATATGAATAAAAAGATGAGTGCGCACGACGTCTCGACACCGATCTCCCCATGGACTTTTGTCACATTTAGTAGCCTGGAAGAGGGTATACTCCCACTTTTTGGGATCTGAGTGAAAGGAGAGTGGTTTTGGGACGTAGGCTACCACCTCAGGGACGTCGAACGTGCGCCACGTCTTTCCGCGGTCATCTGTGCGGTAATGAGTGAAGGAGTTGGTTAATACGAATGCCTAGAGAGAAAGATCGAAAGCCACGTCAGCAGATGAAATAGACTGGGAAGAGGGGTATGAACAGTAGCGCACCACGCGGTTGTCGAATGGGTGCTCAATGAACATTGCAGCGTCGCCAGCTGGTATGTCATCTGCGAGGTTCCAGCTCTTGCCTTCGTCCTGAGAAACATATATCTCCCCGTAGATGGCATCATGGTATATCACATTCTAGAATAGAAAATGAACTATAAAGTGAACCCTGAGGTAGATATGAATGCCTCACAGTCGCATCGTTGAAAAAGAATAACCGAGCAGGTCCGTTGTTGAAGTAGTTTATGGCATATTCTGGGTCAGCTGCAAACGTGTAACCAAAGTAAAGAAGAAAAGCGAGAGTTGACCATATAAAAGCGGCTGTCCTGTGCCAGGGAGCCATGCAGGACATTGTGGAAGAAGAAGTGTGTGGTGCACGTTATATGTTGTGTGCAGTGCTGTTGCACGCTGCTAGACCCTTGCTCCCGCAGCCCGCGCCAAAGTGACGACTGCGTTTCACAGCCACACAGCCAGCTCTACTACCATTTCGGGCGAGAGCCTAGACTCTGAAGAAGTTCTCAGTCGTTCCCTCTCATAAGACTATACAATCATTCATTAACATTCCTATAGCACATGGTATTGTACACGACCCAGATGAGTTCAAGCAGGTATCAAAGGGAAGCTTAACCTCGGTCTCTTTCCAAGTCTTCAGGTCCGAAACTATATGGAAGTAATTCCCCAAGAGTAGATTCTCGTACCCCATCTTCGTTCTCCTTGTAGGAAGATGCAGCCAGTAGGATGGGCATGTCGAGGGAACAGAATTCGCGAATTACTTGGCGACAGATCCCACAAGGCGCAATTGGCGATGCGACGTCGCTAGGAGATAATTGGTACAAAAACTCGCGCAAGGATAATAATGACATACGTCGTGACAGCGAGCGCCGCGAACTTACGCTTGCCTTCGCTCTGATATCGAGATATTTAGTTGCAGATCAAGTCGCACGAGCGCTATCATCAGATAAGGTGGACGCACTACTGCCTTTACGAACGCAGTGCGCTCTGCACAGATCGTACCACCTGTGTATGGCAGCAAGGTCGATGAGCAGGAAGAGTCTAATGAAATCTTGAAAGACGCGCACCATACGAGGCATTCTCGATATTGGCACCTTTGATGATTTCGCCGTCCTCAGTGAGAAGAGCAGCTCCCACACGGAATTTAGAGTAAGGAGCGTATGCAAACGTCTTTGCTGATAAACTATGCTCGTTCATGTTCCACTTTCAGGGCGATAGACTCGTACCTTCAACTGCAGCTTGGAGGAGGCGATCGCGGTTTGCAGCTACGATGTTTGCCATGGACAATTTGTTGGTTGGGATAATTCAAACCAGATGTGTGATCCGATAGCTATATCGCGGCGTGGTCAAAATATCGAGATCAAGATGATCCTGCCAGTTCGGAAACTCGATATTGGCGTAATTACTGGAGCCTCGCAGGCCGTGGCTGACTAAGCTTTGGAAAGCATGTACTCCCACGCGTGACCTTTCCTTCACTCACTGGGGAAACGACAAAATAACCCGATAGGGTTGACGTAGAATTAGTGACAATAAATAGACTATAACCAGAGAATGGCAAATGTGTGAATCCCCTCCGGTTAAAGTGGAGAATGGTGACCGTTTGAGAGCAAATCCCGAGGGGGGTTAGGCAATGTGGGCTTGTATTGGATAGCTGCCCCCACATCTAACCCGACATTAAATCACATCTGAAATGTTAGGTCTGCTGTCTGCTTTGCATCTGGTTATTAGGGCAAGCGAGGCTGGTTTGCTTCTGAATGATAGATAAAAAGAAGTCTGATTAATGTAGGGTTACAGTCGCGTCTTCTATGATACTTCCTAGGGATCTGCGCTCCCCATCGCGGGCCACCCCAGGTAATGAATCCCTTCCCTCCTTCCCCCCCTTCTAGCGCCCAATGTTTGCTAATAATCAACATACTAGCTCTCAGCGTCGCCCTAGTGGTGCAGTCATGATTCCAGGTGAAAACACTAGTACTGGGGGCTATGATCAGGATAGCGGTCAACAGCAAATCACAGAAGCTTACCGCAGACCAGCACCTCGTCCATCGCCGCTATTCCCTGGTAACCACATGCTGCCGCAGGTTGACGAGTTTTTTTCGGGCGGTTTACAACAGGATTTAGGCCAACAAACACCAGTGCCGCTGATGAGGGGCCCTCAACACGAAACACCGTACCATGGCCATAACTCACACACCCCATTCACAGGCAGCGAGCCATCGTCGCGGTCACAATCACAGGCTCCTAGTGGTTCTCGTGAGGGGGGCTACCAGCAAATCTACTCATTCCGTCAGCCTCAACAAGGAGCACCATTGCGAATGGATCCTTACCAGCACGTTCCAAATACACTTGAAGATCAAGTTCGGGATCTCAATGCGACCGTTGCACGCCTCGTCTCTGAAGTCGCCAGACTGACAGAGTCGAATGAACACTTATTGAACATAAGTCAACAAATCTGCCTCGATAATGCACAGATGTCAGTTGCCCACGAGAAGCTGACCGGTACACATGAAGCTCTCACCTCGCGTGTTGACGAACATGATGATGCTCTCAAGAGCTTGGCTGAGAAGCCGGCACAAAAGAAGGCGGCCAGTAAGCATGTTTCGAATGAACATCCTGCATTAAAAGTAAGCATTCAGAGACAACCACATGTAAAAGAAACTTACTAGTCGTTGTGAAGCGTTTGATACAGCCGATGTTTGCCGACCTTTGTGGCATTGAGTCGTCCTTGGGGAGGAATAAACGAGCAGATGCGTTAACACGTGTAAAGCCATTAGAGAGCGGTGAAGCTTACAAGACCGGGGAAGATGATGAAGCGAAGACTTGGCACCCAAACTGGATTGGCCACGTTGACGATGAAGTAAACGCTAAGTTCATAAAGGAAGTCATAGAGCGGGTCTATGACAATGAGAGGGTAAGAGAAAGTCCTCAGAGTTGGTAGTACTCACATAATCATATTTTGTAGATCCGCCGTGAAAATCCTGCGTTAAAGAATGACATTCCTGACGACGACTTCGATAAGGAAACCATCACGCTATGCACCAAAGACTACTTCCGCAACGTACACAAACAGGCCGTGACTCGTACTGATCCGTCAAAGATTGAAAAGGCTAATCACAAGAAGACTAGCGGGCGTCAGAGGGGACGGCGTGTCACAGTAAGTATTGTGCATTCTAATGCTATAATCAGTTGACCCACCATATAAAACAGGTGACCAGGAACCGTCGCGAAGCTGCAGTGGCCTTTGAGAAAGAGACAGGAAACTTGGGTGCGGTCGCAATGATCGACACTGATTACGCGTCAGATATCTTGACCACCAGAGACCTGAGTGAGGATAGTAAGGTTAGGAGGACGATGTCGGGAGCAGGGAATGCTGCGAAAATGGCCGTTGGATTGCAATGGCGTTCTCCAGACGTAAGCATCATATTGTCGGAACTGCGAACATAATTGTACTCACTTGATATTAATCACTGGCAGTACGTCGCATTTTTGCGATTCCTCACCCTCCGACATATGAAGAAGTATGACGCTGACGAGCATGAACCAGCTGTCAATGCCAGTACCTCGCGTCCAACGAAGCGCCGCAAAACCACGGAAGGGAGTACCAGGACAAAAGTCTATGTGAAGAAGACCTTTGATATCAGCCCCAGCCAGATGGATGAGGACGCACCACTGTCTGCAAAAAATAACCTGCCATTCAAGAATATGGTTGCGAAGCACTGGAGGAAAAATCATCCAGAGATGAAGACGCTTGACGGAGTTCCATGGTTAGAGGGATTCTGGACTGCCCTCCAAGACGACGACGTGATTAAGGAGGACTATACATATTTGCAAGAGCTTGAGGAGTGGCACCTGAGACAGGACAATGGGGGAGACGAAAGCGGGGGAGACGAGAGCAGGGGAGATGAAAGCAGGGGCGACGAAAACTAAGGAGGATGCGGGTGTAACGCGCTGTTAGCATAACGATCACTAGATTAATATTAACTCTCGTCAACGTCCCATGAGTTCAACAATAAAAATTTACCTTAGCGAGATCAATAGTTGCCCAAGCTTTCGTTCTCTCGTGACCAATTGAAACAACTGTCATTCCCAGCTGACTGATAATCCAGTCAGGGTCAATGAGGTGTGGGAGTTGTGTATCGTTGTTGCGATACTCTCCGAGTCTCCACAGCCGGACATTGACAGATGCGCTACATAGAAATCATCAATAACATCCTCGTAGAGTTTGAATGCGCTCACAAGGTTCTCCAAATATCTTCGCATTCTCCTGTCCAAGGGACAAACCAACGCATGCGGACAAACCACATTGGACTGCCAACACCACGGAAGTTCTGCGTGTACTGAAAAATTTCTAGGACCTCACCGTATGCATGTATTGGAGCGGCGTCAGTCTGAGGGATGAGAACATGCACAAATGAAGAGTTATTTGAGCCGGTGGTACGAGACGCATTGTAGCGCTTGCCACGAATGACAACATAGTCAAAGAAGACGGCCATGTGATCTAAGGGAATGCTGTGAGGGACAATAGGAGCATCATAGCGGCAGTGAACAGGTGTAAGAGGAAACCGAATGCAAATAGTGCGGGCCAGTAGTCGATATGTGTCTGACGACATTTGCTTTGTCTGGTGACGAGGGCTTAAAGTATACATCTGACTAGCTAATGGTAACGTAAATTAGAAGCTGTTTAAACAGTGATGACAATAAAAAAAACTCACCATCAGCGCTCGTATCGTCAAGATCCCGAGTTAAGGCTGTGAGCCCTGCGACGGTACCTCGTTCTTCATTGGTGGCCTTGAGCATGTGCGTAGCGGCTTGACGAGGAAGTGAATCTTCAGGATAGGTTTGTAAAGTGTACGTCTAGATAACAGATCAAAGTATAATAATATCAATTCATTTGCGATCTTACTTACCAGTCTCCCGATCTCACATGTCCTTTGGAATTCACGGAAAAATGTCGTTTCGAGCTCACCATTCGCGTGATTGTTTGTCTTGAATGATTTCAACACCTTATTGAGACGCTCAAATAAGAATGTCCAAAAGTCGTGCAGGGGGCCAAAATTGCGACAACAGGCGCTGATGTGGGTAGCGAAATGATGGTTAGGTTTGATAACACCAGAGCCGTAAAGCTATATACAACCTTATGAGCAACAGGGTTTAATGAACACTCAGCGACTTACGTGTATGAGCTCCACGTTGTACTCTCGTATCAAAGCATCTGCACGATCAATATCGTCATCCGATAACTTTCGTTGAATCAAGATACGGAGTGCTGCAGACAGCTTCAGAAAATTCGCCGGATCATCAGGATGAAGTGAAAATTTTGCGTCTTCTAGATCATCGGCTTCGTCTGCCTGAGTAGGTCCTGCAGATTGCGGAGGGGGAGGAGGAGGAGGTCGTGCACTGCCTTCACACAGATCATCAACGATCTGTGATATAGCCTTGCGCTTTTTAGATCCCTAGAGGAATAATCAGTAAGCAAGAATAAGTTCAAATATATAATTACCTTTCTAGCGCTCTTTTCCTTGGCCAGCCTCTCTTTTTCCGCCTGTTTGGTGAGTGCCGCTTGTAACTTTGCTTGTTTCTTCGCTTCGGCGGCAGCTAGCTTCTCTTGCGCTATCTTTGATTTGGCAGCTTCTAGTGCGTCCTTGCCTTGCTTCTTGGCCTCAGCTAAAGCCTTCTTGTCGTCAGCCTTACGGTTCGCCTGTACATCCTTATCGGCTTCGATTCTCTTGATTAGTGCAACACGCTGTTGAAGGACTTCGTCGTCAGCATCCGAGGGAAGACATGTACTCCAGAGCTGGGGGATCTGCAGGCGAACTGTAAGTTTATATGTATGTTGAAACATAAAGTCCACTTACAACTATCGGTCCATAGACGGTAGCCAAGAGTAGCCACTGGTCGGCGGTGAGAGAACCACCGGACGGCATCCCTATGTCGGTTGGAAGCTTGCCGCACGACCCCGGAACTATGAACTGAGAAAAGAGGTGAGCTATTGTAATAGTATGAGGTAGACACCTAGAGTACATCAGCGAGCATTTCGTGGAATATTTGTAGCTCGTGATTGGCGCGTAGTATCTTGGTTTGCACCCAGATATTATAAAAATGTGTTTTGACGAGCCCTGAGTACGATTAAGATCACGCAAATAACTGAAACTGTAGCAAGACATACCGAGAAAGAGGTTATGCATCGGATCTATCACAATCTGCTTGACAAGGTCAAAATAAGGAAGTCGAGCAAGTTGCGTGTATCGTGTGGCGAACTCCTTTACGAAATTCTTGCGTGCAGCTGGATTATCTAGCTTTCGATAGCGTTCGCCTAGTTCACGCTGTTCTTGATTAGTTCGTGGTCGAAATGCTGTTGTTCAAGGCATGATCAGACTAGTACTACCATACAATATTCTCTAAGTCTTGGACTCACCGTCCTGCTCAAACGCCTGAGGTTTAGCTTTGTGAGCGGATGTTATCCAGCAAGCTGTGCAATAACACGTATGTGAATGGGATGCGAAACCCCCTATTTTGTGCGCTGCGGGCTTATCGCAAACAACCGCCACCAGAATAACACGTACAACACGACCTGAAGAGTCATATATACCACATCAGCATTATATAGTTTGATGACAAAAGATGAAATCACCTTCAGGGCAAGATTCTGTTGGAACCTTAACACCAAACTTCCAAAGGCGTAGCAGATCGGACACGATTGGTCGAAGGTAGCGCTGAATTTGATCCGGGTTCTGTTCCTTCGGGCCTGGTAGGATGCTCGTGCACATTAGGTTTGATGTTCGGTAGCTAGGACTACAATTAAGTACTAGTATATTCAATGAAAATAGATAACACTCACCGATATTCTGGCGGTAGGTTGCATATGGAAAATGAGGTAGGGCATGACGAATGCGATGGTGCGATATTGCTCCGGATGTATGAAAACCTAGATATGTATTAATAGTGATTTATAGTTCACAGTTACGTGCCAGTGACTTACCAGTCAACGCCTAGGTTAACACCTATACGAAGTTCACCGTGTGTACCGTGCTTCTCGTGCGCAAGGTTCGAAAAGAAAGGTGCTCCGTCGGGGTCTTTGAGCTGGGTCTGACACATATCCCCATCAAAGATGTCTATATACTCGCCTGGTGTGCGAGATTTCAAGCGCCAGCCATCTAGCAATGCTTCAAGGCCCGGGATCCTTAGTAGCGACTTGATCTGATCAGAAATAGGAAGATATGGGTACTTTACGATCGGTGTTTTCGTAGCACGCTGGTTTCCGCGCTTCGTTGCATCTGGAAGGAATAGATCCACTCCACAAAGCGTGCAAATGTCGTGTGATTTCGTGGATCCAGCAGGGGGGAAGACATCGCGACATGTAGGACATACCGGAAGGACAAAAATGCTCTTTTCGACCCCCAGAACACGATGGCTTGATTGCAGTGTGATGAAAGGAGTGTCAATTGCTGGAGATAGGGCCACGAGGATACATCCGAAAATAGCCAGTAAAGTGTTGCACGCTGCTCGTGGAAGATGGAACTGTAGGTGTAACCATGAGACCAGCGCATATATCGTGATCAGATGAGGGGCAACATCTGTAAGGTCCCTGTCGTGTGCTGAGTTGAAACCGTCCTCCGGCATGAATGGATCGGGGTCATCCTCGTCTGGATCCATGGGAGCTATTACGAGATTGTCGTCGTCCTCGTTTTGATCATCAAACGTTCCATCAACGTCGATGTCTAGGTCATCGAAACCATGCTCATGCTCTAGAACTTGACCGTCATCTTCATTTCGGATCGCTTCAAAAGCATTTTCGATCTGCCGGTTTAATTCATGCTGTTCTGGGTGAGGTAGGATGTGATGCGCTTCGTGTGAGGTGAGGGGACGTGCGCCTGAACTGGTAGCTGCGTTATATGCGCTGAAATGTTCAACAGCATCGAGCAAGGCTTCAGGGCTATGGAAATTCGGTCCGAGATTGGGCAGAGCGGTTCCGTGAGTCATGAGGTCCACGTCTTCTCCAGTCAAAAAACCGTAGTCTAGCATTTCCTGTTCGACAGGGGATTCTGAAATACGACGTGGGTCCTGAAATTGAGCATCGGGAGACAACAGAGCCTGCGGCTCGTGCAAAGGGACCGAATATCCACGAAGAACTGGCCCAGTGTCCAGTGCAGCACTTGGCACAAACCGTTCTCCGACCCGCTTGAATTGGGCCTGCGATGCAACAGTTTGTTCTCGCAGATCACGCCGTGCATGAGCACGCGCAGTGTGCTCTTCTATGAGGGCTCCTTTGCACCTGAAAGCCTGGCAGTGACATCTCTTCTGTCGCATTTGATGGGAGAATTCCGATGAGCTGTGTTGAGGGCAAAGGGGCTTACAGATGATGGGATAAAGCTAAGGCAAGCTCAGGCTGGTGATGCGCTGCGACGTTTCGACGCGTCGAAAATCACGTGGTCTTTTTTTCATTTTTCGTCTCATTCGCATTTGATTCGCATACATATAGAACATTTAGTATTTAGTGATACGGGATTTGTGCGACACAAGGGGACTGCCAGGGCGTTTGACGCCAACGCTCGTATTTACAACAGTCTGAAAAAACGATCAGCCAGAACGTAGTAATATTTGTATAGCAACAAACCTGGTCTGCCGCAGCATCTCCTTGCTCTACTTCGGACTCCGGCTCCGTCACGCTATCATCTGGGGCAGGAAGGTCAGCGATGTGATTTCGGAGGATGGAAAACAATGTTACCGATGGGTTTTGCGGCGACAGGTGGTTTCACAGGAGAGTGGTCAATTCCCGGACCAATGAATGTTCGCGGGTGTTGGGGAAGCGCTAGAAAACATATCAGCAACATCTGACACTGAAAATATGTGCATATACCTTTTTCCTTGGGTGTCTCAGGAGATTTCGTGCTTGTGCAAGTGGATGGTATGAGTTCAATTGTCTAGCAAGATGAGACGCTAATTTTTCGATGGTAAGTAAAAAAAAACATACAAGGGGGCCAGGTACGTCTGGAATAAATGTGACCCGTATCGTTTCTGGGTACTTGAGAGGTATTTCGAGGCGTATGGTGTTGTCTTCGAACATGAGCATGATTCAGATGCGAAGTAGGTAGTAAATAAAAGACTTAACGATTTTTGTGGTGATTTGACCCTTTGGGCTATCTCGACGTCGGGATACATCTTTCGAGAATGCCTGTACCATGGTTAGTGTCTGGTTTAGAACGCTGCCCGGACATGTATGGTTTGGTGGTGAGAACGTGTGTCTGCGGTCTAGTTTGGGTCTGTTTACACCGTGTCGTTTCTAACCACGGGTCTGTTTTTCTACAAAGTCAAACAGCTACGGCCTCCAAATTACTCAAGTCTGGTTTGTGTACAGATACATTATAAGGCGCAGTTTGTGTCTGGATACACGACTCATCCACATCCAGATAGAGTCTGGGCAGTTTGTCGTTTCCCCAGTGACTGTCGACTCCTTCTTCGAATTATCTTCCTTGAACAATATTTCAACCACGATTAGATAACATGCAGACAGCCAATTAACAAGTCGCTTTCTTACCGGCCTCGGATATGCATCACTGCGCTGCAAGGTAAGTAGAGAAGCACGATAGTAATGAGTGAATAAGTCCGACTGTCCGACCCCAAGACTTCTGCCTTCTGCCAACGAGGAGCTCTGCCGGGTTATGAGACAGGGCCCTGCCCTTTAGCCACAAGGTAGAAATACTGCTGATGCTCACCCTTACACGAATCTCTCACACAAATTGACAGGTCCTGGCTCTTATCGAAGCCGCTAAATACTTCGAGGATCCGTAGTATGCCTTCATCAAAGGGAGCGAGCCATGTGAGAATGTCTTGAGCATGCATCACTCCGCACCTCGTAAGGCTCGAGACCGTCACCGAACGTGACATAGGTATAACACCCACCCATGCCTGTTCCCGAGAAGTCAAGCCTATGGGAACAGGGAAATTCCCTGTCGGGATGGGGTATAAACTAGGCGAGGACTCGGAGTTGAAGGCGCCCAAGTTCGCCAAATTCATGAAATATGTTCACCGAACGCTGGAGCGTCCGAGCTTGAAGCAAACCTATGATGAGGTATGTATACCTCTATGCGAAGTTGCGAACGACTGATAACTTACTCTGTGTATAGGGATTTGTGATCAGTGATCACATTATTCAAGACGATTTTCGCCGAGCGTATACAACGAACATGTACCTGATGACAGATGCTAGTTTTGTACGACAAAGCTTTCTAGCTGTCAGAATATCCAGCCGGATAATAGATAAACCACACAATTAACAATCTGCAAGAAAAGCTGTACGACAATGACCGTAGAGATACATCGAAATCTTACAAGTGCATAGCAACTCCTCCATCTCATCCCACTATCATCATCGCTGTCACTGTCACGAGACAATCACGAGAAGTCGGTGAGACGGATTTCATATTGGTGGCTTCCTCGATCGAGCACGGTGCTGCCAACGATGAGCAGGAGCTCTGTCAGCATCAAGGCAAAGGTCGGCAGATGCCGAACGTGTGTTCTCTCACTGCCTTCTCCTAGGTGCCTCCGCAACTCAAGTACTTATTCACGTGTTGGCTTTTTAGGTTCGTACATATCTCAGTCGGCAACTTGATGCGAACTACCAGGAACCAGCAGGCGCTAGATTTCAGTTAGCGACTGACTCATTCACCATGCCACCGGCATATTACTGATTAACAAGAATTCTGAAGATCCGAGCAGTAAGACCCGTTCCCGCAAGCAGCATGCTCAGATTTCTCCCTTCCTGATTACCAACAACTCTAGTACCAGGAAACGATGCGATAGCAACTGATCTCACAAAGCTCTGCTTGTCACGCACATAAATATGAGAGCTTAATTCTGTCCAAGTCACCTAACCTACTATTAAACCATCATGTCTGAACAGCTGACTTTTTACTTTAACAAGGTGAGTTGAACGATGGAGAGTGAATACTTGTCTAAACCTGTAACTCCTCCCGCAGTTCTCGCACTATAGCCACAAGGTGAAATTACTGTTGATGTCACACCCATTCACGAGTCTCTGATGCAAATTGACAGGTCGAGCTGGCTCTTATCGAAGCCAATGCACCCTACAAGGCCCACCAAGTCGATTTCTTCAACTTACCAGAGTGGTTCCTCAAAGTGAATCCCGTTGGCCAGGTATGTGTAACGATGGCCTGTGTCTATTGCAGGTGAATGTAATATCACATAGGTGCCGGCTGTGGCATACGGGGGACCCAGTGTCGAACCCGATGATCCTTCGCCCCTGTCCGCTAAAATCGCAGAATCCGATGTTATACTCGAGTTCTTGGCGGACCTCTATCCAGACTCTGGCCTCTTGCCAAAGGATCCTGTTTTGCGTGCCAAAGTCCGTTTCTTCATCAATGCGAATGCTAAGCACATCGAGGATCCGCTGTACGCCTTCATCAGAAAAAACGAGCCATATGAGAATGTCTTGAAGGGGATTGAATTTATACAAGGCCTTCTCGAGGAGGGTAGTGATTTCACAGTTGGAGATCATTACACCATTGCAGATGCGTGCATCACTCCACACCTCGCAAGGCTCAAGACCATCACCGAACATGACATAGGTATGGCGCCCACTCATGCCTTTACCCGAGAAGTCAAGCCTGATTGATGGAAATAGGGAATTTCCCTGTCGGGATGGGGTATAAGCTAGGCGAGGAGTTAAAGGCGCCCAAGTTCGCCAAATTCATGAAATATATTCAGCGAACACTGGAGCGTCCGAGCTTGAAGCAAACCTATGATGAGGTGTGCATACCTCTATGCGAACGACTAATGACTTACTCTACGTTGTGTTTAGGAGTTTGTTATCACATTATTCAAGGCGTTTTTCCCTGCGCGCGCACAGTGAACATATACATGATGACAGATACCAGTTTTGCATGACAAAACTTCCTAGCTGTCAGAATTTGCAGTATATCCAAGCGAGTAATGGATGAATCATACAATTAATAATCTGTAAGAAAAGCTGTACGACAATGACTGTAGAGATACTGAGCAACTACTCCCCCATCTCATCTCCGCTATCGTCATCGCTGTCACTGTCCTCGCGCTCAGGAACATCAATGGGTTCTTTAACAGTCTGCCCCTGAACACATTGGGCTAGCCGTAAACCTTGCGCAATTCAAACCACAGCAACATTCCGTACTGCCTCGAAGTTCTGATCAGGCATATGCGACTACCACCAAGCAGCTCCGGTAAGCCCAGCTTCTTCCAGACACGGCGCTCTTCATATTGATTGCCGCAGCAGTATATCCGTAGCTTTGGTTTTGTCATATGCTGTCCTCGTGAGCTTCAGTGCCAACTTGGGAAGACTGCGGAGACTATACACGTTGGTGATGCGTGGTAGGCGTCGCATGTACGTCCATGATTATTGCTTCAAATCCATAGTCATTATTGCACTTCCGACCCAACACCCCAAGAATATCGAAACAGTGCCAAGTTTTGCGTTAGGGGATATCAATAACTGTATGTACTGTCGTCCAATTACAATCGCAGCTCATATTCAGTTGTAGTGGCCGGCTGATCATCTAAGAGTCTGTTGCCGAAACGGTAAACTAGTTTGCTGATGGTCCGCATTGATAGTGTCCAGTGTCCTAGCGTATCAACTCCTAGGGGAAGCTGCTATACATGTGCTTTGTGCACGGTAGATGGTCATCGTAAACGGCGTCCCCACACGGTTGGGTGCTTTCCCAACACACTAGCATCTTGGTGTACATCGAGTCTGTATCGATGACTCATTTTCCTACGCGGAAGCCGGGGACTGAATGTAGTTCTATGTGAAGACCATATACGAAGAAACATTATCTTCCTTCGAACGGTCTGGCTAGGGGAGACTAATGACTCCTGAGAAGATGACTCCCGCGTGGATTGTAGGATCCGATAAAAATGTTTGTTGGTCATATGGTGCGGAAGCAGGTTTTGGCTCATCTCTTAATTACACTCACTGGTTCTTCGTCGTTGATCGATATATGATGCGACGGAGATCACACTTCGAGATCACTCAACAACATGATCACTGGCCACGGAAGAAGGGCGTTTACAAAGTACAAGAGGAAGCTGATCCCTCGTGAATACGAACGAGAATCACAGGATTTCTTAATCGATCTCTGCCATCACTGACGCCTTGGTCTTCGGCCCAAATCCTTGGTGTTCTTAAGCCGTCGTATCGTGGAGGAACTTCTCTAGGCCATGGACCATCTCTAGCCTTTGGACTGTATTTTCTTGATCGAATCCACCCCTTGTAATCGCCATTTAAGTCTTTAAGCACCCCTATTCCGCTCCAAAGTGTTACCCTCGGAGATCTGTGGACCGTTACTGGGTCATTTTCACTTTCTTCAGTTTGTGATATATTAAGCCAGCAGTGTTCGTGGTCTCAATGTATTGTGCAGGGGTATATTGGCATGGCATGACATCAAGTCCAGGCGGTACGAAGCAATTCAGATTGTCGTCCACATTGCATATCTTCTTGACATATGACAGACTCGGAGGCGAAATGTGCGATTATGAAGGGCTATGGACTTGCAACTGTAGTCAGGCATGTAATAAGTAATCCATTTGATAGCTTCGAATCACCTCTCAAAGTGAGCGATGTGTCGCTTCTGAGTCGACCGAATCCGATACAGCAAAAGTCAACCGGTGCACCATGTTTTCCGCGAAGTTAGCTTGAAGTCGACGTCACTTCACATCGACTGTAATGACGACGTGACCACGGCGTGACTTGTTAGTGTCAAGCTATGGGGTATCGATAGCTGATTTCTGAGTGGCGAAGTCTTTGCTAGACTTGGAGCCTCTTGGAGCAGTGTTGGAAGCCTTTAATACGGGCGTCGCAAACATAAGAGTCTCTCGAGTCTTAGCTGAACTCTACCATCTGCGTTGTCTAAGCCGCCAATCCAAGAAGTTATGCATTACTATCTTACATTTCATACATCTATGTTAGGTCGCAAGGGGATCACATTTCCGCCCAAATCACCGGCCCCATCACGATGCCTATAGTCCACACCTACACCAAAAAAAATCAGCTGATATTCTCCAAAATGGGAATCGAATGTCCTCACGACGTTCAGTGCCTTAACCAAAAGCAACGGGTACTCGTAAAATTGCGGAGTAGATTTCTTTCCGGGTCTGAGATGGGTGAACATCACCCAAATGGAGTAAAATGCTATAGCAAGAGAACTGCGAGCCAGAAGTAATGGAGAATGAGTGATCCTGGGGAACAAGTTCAGCACAATCGTGATGGATGATGATCAATATCCTACTACTGACCCGGCTGCTAGTGACATGGGTTCCTTGGAATATTCGGCACCTTTCCCGAAGAACTTGAATGCCCCTTCTTGCATAATGTCAAACGCCTCGCCTACGTACAAAGAGGGTCATGAGCATTCAGAATTCAACAGCTAATATCGGACGTACCCTCGGCTGCGAATATACCAGCCCAACTCATGCTCATAACATTGATAGTGGATGCGAGCGGTTTTCTCATGTGGTGCCACTTTCGGAGGACGGCTGAGATTTCATTCCAGTTGCCAAAGCTCTCGATGTTGGCCAGAAGATCAGAGAGAATGACTACGTCATTTAGAGCAACCGTCATTCCACCCGCAGTTAGCGGGTGGCGCATATTCAATGAATCTCCCAAAAGAAACGCGCCCGCTTTGCTATATTCTCCTTGTTTTGTGGGCGGAAGATAATAATGGGGGACTCGGCGTACACGCGACGTTTCTAGAGCATTAAGAATGGGTACGCGTACCGACGATGGAAGTTGAGGAACAATGTTGCGCGTTATATGCTCCTGCAATTTTGATAGTAAGTGGGGGCGATGACTCGACGAGGCAGAACTACAAACCCTGAGGTCCACTGGCGGCGGATGTTTCAATTCGACCAGCATTCGATACTCGTTGTTGGGGAGCTCGAACAGGATGACCGGTCCAGCGGCTTTCAGGATGGCCATGGTGGCATACTTGGGCACTGGCAGCGTCAGGTCTTTCACAATCAGACCTGCCAAGTACCCCTTGTGTGAAGGCTCATACGGCATGTGGCCGAGGACGGCGGTTCTGAACTTGGATAGTGAGCCGTCCGCGAGAATAACGAGGTCAGCAAAGTGTGACTCTGGCCGACCACCCGCTTGGGAGGCATGAACACCTATTACGCGATGTGTACTCTCATCCTCGATGAGACTTGTTACTGTGGTCTCGATCACGTCGACGTTGGGCGCCCGCCGTGCGTGCTCGCGCAAGGCCATAATAAATCCTCCGTGGTCAAAGGCTCGTGCGTCATTGCCTTCAGGAAAGGGGGCGCAGATGCCCTGCTTTTCTCGCAGAACATGATACCCTAACAAAGAAACAGAACCAAGGTCTGCGAGGCATGCCTCGAGACCAAGCTTCTGGAGCGAGGCAACGCCGCCAGGCTGGAGCAATTCGGCGACGATACGGTCTGGCTTTGACAAGGAACGCTCAAGTAGAGCTATGCGCAGAGGAGCATGACGCTTGTTGCAGGTCTTTGTGGCAAGGGCATAGGCAAGGGCAGGGCCTGCTACACCGGCACCCACAATAAGTACGTCGTAAGAAGGGGAGATCATGGCGAGATGGATATGATAGGTGACGCTCACCTGGTATTTATTAGGAGACAGTCCTGCGTAGATGGTCTTTCTTCGGGTCAACCAGCACCATGAATGGCGCGTTTAAAAATAATCGCACGTCAGATAACCCAAGCTGAAGATTGTTGGACAGTCTGCTACCCTAGTATTCACTCTCGGTCCAAACGTATGTTCTCTCTTCGGCCTAATACCTGCTATATGAGTGGAACGTTTCACAAATATGCAGTAGATGGCTTGCCTGAGTAACATTATTTTGAGTCTGTAGCAGCTGCTCACACTTTGGGGTTTTCAACATTTTGCCTCTTGCAAGTTTTCAATCAAAAAGCAGATTGAGACCTGGCTAGAGCATTCCAGACCTAGCCTAGAGTGTTCCAGAGCACTCTAGATTACCTTTCGAATGTAATTCCACTGACGACAAAAGGTGGTAAAATGTCAGTTTCCCCCCTGTGTCAAATATTCATTCTGGGTGCAATACCTTCGGTGCCTGCCAGTTCGAATACGTATTACCTGCATCATAAATGGGACGTTCCAAAAAATATTCGTGCGGCAGATGGCGTCTACCCGGAGATTGTTGTTTGAACAGTATACCCGAATATTCACTCTCGGCCCAATAGGCATATCACTCCTCGGCTTAACACCTGCGAAATCGACGGGACAGCGCGGTATAACTCAACTGGATGATCTGCGGTTTGGATCGGGACTAGCGCTAGAAGAACGTTGGCAGGAGGCTGGATAAGCCGCCTCCGCTCCAGGGAGTTCCTGAATGACGGTCAATCTATCATCTTCTAATCGATATCTGAGGAATTTGGCTAACGGTAATCGTCTTGATGAGCTTCCGATACCTCACTCCAGGGCGTGACGACATCTCGTGTAATATCGTCTACCTCGAGACCGGCCATGATGCGACGAGAGCGTCCTCTCGTAGTTGAATGAAGATTACGAATGGTCAAAGACGCCTGTATACCATAACTATCATGATGGTATCAGCCTACTAGCTAGGCTCTAGGAAGGAAGGAACGGGTACCTTGAAGCATCTTTATCGATGGGCGTTTGTGTGCTGATGGTGCGCCGACCTCGTTCTCTGAGTCTTCAGATCTAATTGTCAATCTCATCATTGGGTTTATTCCCACTCAAACCAACTCCATTTGGTCCATCACGACGGTATCCTTTATAGCACTTACTATGAACTGCAAAAACCATGATACACAAGGTAGAGTCAGCAAATGAGTCTGAGTCAAGTAGACTGATCAGACATAATGATGGGAATACTAGTGACTGAGTACCGACGTTGCAACCAGTACTACTAGTAGCAATGTGTGGCCTAGACGGAAGAACAAAATCTTTTAACAATACTGAAACAGCGATGATAGGAGTGGGCCAGTACCGTCGCAGTCAAGAACTCCGGGTCGTAAGCCTTCCACAATATAACACGGGCAAAGTACACTCGGTTCCATGTGGTGGCCCGCTGTCCGTGAACATACTCGTTGCTCAGCTGACGTTAAACAAACCTCTTGCTGGGCGTAAATTTTGCAAAGCAACGACGAGCTAATTGAATCGTCGACAACGGTCGGCTTAAGTCCACCGGGAATTTTGCGAGCGTGAGATCTACTGTGAGTACAGTATCGACTTGTGAATGTACAAGTTTTACGGCTGGACTGGGTGCAGGTCTGCGACTGCGACATTTAAAGTCTGGGTACACGCTCGGTAAGTCTTGGTGCCCTCCCCAAATTGAAGCGGAGTTATTATGAAGCTCCTAGCTATAGGCTCATCACTCCCCCACCACCACATCGTTGCTGCAAAGATGGACCCGACATTCATGGACCGTGCTCAGCGTGCCGGCAGGGGCGGGCAGCAGGTGGTTGGCAGTGATACATCATACGACGCTATTCAGCCCCTGGCGACTTTATGTAAACTCCGCAAACCGTGCCGAGTGTTCACCCAGACTTTGACACAGTCCCAGACCTAGACTTTCCGCAGACTTGCACCCAGACCGGCCATTTCAGACTCGTCCTCATCGACTTCAAGAGCTGTTCCTAACTCACGACTGTCAACCGAGTCCGGCCGAGTGTGCTGTACACTCATGCACCACCACAAAATCTGTTGTCGACGGCGCACGTACGACATGGCCTCGTGTAAAGCTTGCCAGTCACTTGCCGCGTCGATCCCACCAGTGGCCGCGGTATTTCTGGCATGTGCAGATATCGTGAAACGCACTCCATTTACATAAATTTCGATTGAAATTTGATTTCCTTTATTGATTCTGCCACCAGAGGCTGAACGTGTTCAACTACTTAAGACGGGCGGTACTGATGATGGGGTGCGTGAGCGGGCAGGCGGTAGTGCAGGTTGGGTTGCGGAATATGGGACGATGAGTCAGAGGTCACCGATCATCTAACTGAGAGATCGTCGTTACATAAAACTCATCGGTTACTTGTTTCTTGTCTTTGGACGACAACGCCCAACTTAACACAATGCATTTGCGTTCATTCCTGATTTTATGACTCATGGCCATCATCTTTGAAACAGAACAGTACGGATTATGACGATTTCTGGTGCGCAGGTGGGTATCAAGTCAGAGAACTCGAAATATACTATCTAATGAAATACGAAACTAGATCAGAGGTGTATGCTTAAGCGGTCAACGATGCAAGTTTGAAGTAGTGGTCCACGACCAATCCAATACAGACCATAGTCGCGCCATAACGGCTTGCCTGGAATACAACACAACATTAACATGAGCGCACGTGGATATGTCAGTTATCCGTATCGTGAATTTCTCCCAGCAATCCTTGGGATCATTATGGTCAAATGACCATATGTGCCAGAGACAGAGCAGGAACGGCGCGATGACACTGATCACGTAGTACAGGAGACCCTGGCCGTTCAAGTACCCGGCACACAAAAGGGATACGAAGAAGGTTAAATCAAATAAACTCAGTACAGGACGAATGCCGTTGCCCAGACGGACCGCCATGGATTTGACTCCGGCTTTCTCGTCGTCCTTCTTGTCCTGAAATAATAAGAATAATATGATCAGCACAAGATGAATTCCGCAAAACCTTCGGGTTGAGTCACCTGACACGCGTAAATGGTGTCGTAAAGACATGCCCAGCTACGGGGGCGTTGGTCGACAACTCTGAACCCATCCGCCGTCATCCGCACTTACCAGCAGGATGCGATTGAGAAGTTCAGGATCATGCCCCAATTGAACTGACCCGTCGTCGCGACCCAAGCGATTGGGACGGCCCAGCTAGCACCAAAACCTTGGAACCAAATAAGTTTACATGATCTTTAATATTAATAAACTTTGGCCATATCGAGGAACAGAGAAGGTCAGTGCATCCAGCGCTTCATTAACGGATACGCCCCGCCACAAGCTGGGAGTGAAACAACACCGATTGTGCAGCTAAAAACATTCAGAGAGATTTTGAGATTGTTAGACATAAATTACTCACGCTCTTGAACCAGTAAGCGAAAACATATAAAAGACGGTGGCAAGGAGAACCACCAGAAGAACTGAACCCTCGGTCCTGGTGACAGCTCCCGATGCGATTGGTCAGCCCTTCGTACGTTCTGTTTCAGATAGAACAGCATCAAGAGAGTGGCGACAGTCGGGACAAAACTGGGACTTTGCGGTCAAAGTCGCGGTCGAGTATGTCATTTATGACACAGCCAGCGCAGTGTATTAGTATGCCCAACAACGCATAGAACAAGGTATTTTTCACGACGTCGCTCATAGGCAATGCCACATGATAGGCCGCCGACAGGGAGCCCCAAGCTAGGGATCAAATGTGAGTTAGAATGAACGAACAAGTACGCCAGCTCATCGTCTATCTTACCGAAGGGCCAAAACGTGGAGTCGCACCCTACTGGGAACAAGTGAAGCCTGGTGAGCTCGAACAATGATCTTGCCTTAGAGGGCATGGCGATAAGTCTGCAAGGCGGAAGAAAGCAATAGGATCTGAACTGTCAGTGATGCTCATTTTTATATTTGGGCACTTCCTGGAACGATCCCAAATACATAGCCTTGGTGAGTCGGTTCCGTGGCTGCCGATGGGGGTCAGTAGATCAATTACCACTATTCAAGCTTTGGCCCGAACACGTTTGTGGGTCCGATTCCATGCCATGATCTTGGAACCTGTGAACCGAAAAAAATTAGTTTATTGCCTGTCAAACCTACCGAAGGGCATCCGCGCACTAAACATAAGGAAAACACATATGCAAGATACGTACGACACATACATAATGCTTGGGCTGGGGACATTGTCTCGGTACCAGACATGATGGAGCAGGTCTAAAGAAGTCTGGTCTGATAATTAATATCGGATTGGGTATGAGGTATTTAGAAGTATTCACCATATCACGTATCATAAGTATCATCATACTATGAGTATGTGGTGCGGATACACGGCTGCCACATAAAACTTTGTTACATGACAATAGCAGGTAACATTGGATAAGGCATATCGCATCATAGAAGAGTTCGCAAAGGATAGAGATTGACGCTAAGCAGTAGATAGATTGTTCCGATTGTGTTTAATTTGGGAACCTGCCAGTGAGGGATCAGATATCAAGGTTTGAGTCGAGAAGAACGGTGAAATGGAATCTAGCGTTTGTCGTTGAGTGTGAAGCGGCATGCACGGGAAGCATAACCTAACCTCTGTTTGGACAGGCAATTAGTGGTCCCCGACTCCACTTTAGTGGAAGAGGGTTCTCTGCCAAGCAAATGAAGATTTCTCTGCAAACGGACCCCACGGTGGGTGTGGGAAACGCTTATAGAGTGTTCTGGGCACAATACCTTTGGTGCCTGCCAGTTCGAATGCGTATTACCTGCATTATAAATAGGACGTTCCAAAAAATATTCGCGCGGCAGATAGCATCCACCCAGAGATTGTTGTGCTGCCTCCACTCCAGGGAGTTCCTGGATGACGGTCAATCTATTATCCTCTAATTGATATTTGAGGAATTTGACCAACGTCTTGTTGTCAGTAATCTTCTCGATGAGCTTCCGATACCTCACTCCAAGGCGCGACGACATCTCGTGAAATATCGTCTACCTTGAGAGCGTCCTTTCGTAGTTGAATGAAGATCACGAATGGTCAAAGACGCCTGTATACCATAATTATGGTATCAGCCTACTAACTAGGCTCTAGGAAGGAAGGAACGGGTACCTCTATCGATGGACGTTTGTGTGCTGACGGTGCGCCGACCTTGTTCTCTGGGTCTTCTGATTGTCAATCTCATCATTGGGTTTATTCCCACTCAAACCAACTCCATCTGGTCCAGCACGACGGTATCCTTTATAGCACTTACTATACACTGCAGAAACCATGATACATCAGCAAACGAGTCTGAGTCAAGTAGAAGACATAATGATGGAAATGCCAGTGACTGAGTACTGAGTATGCACTACCGAGTTGCAACCAGTACTAGCAATGTGTGGCCTAGACAGCAGAACAAAATCTTTTAGGAATACTGAAGCAGCGAAATAGGATTGAAGCAGTAAGTCACTGTCGCAGTCAAGAACTCCGGATCGTAAGCCTTCAACAATATAACACGGGCAGAGTACACTCGGTTCCATGTGGTAGCCCGCTGCCCGTGAACATACTCGTTGTTCAGCTGACGTTAAACAGACTTCTTGCTGCGCGTAAAGCAACGACGGTCGGCTTGCGTCCACCGGGAATTTTGTGAGTGTGAGATCTGCTGTGAGTACAGTAGCAAGAGCTGTTCTAACTCACGACTGTCAACCGAGTCCGACCGACTGTCAAGTGCAAGTGACAGGCCTCTTTGTGTACTGTACACCCATGCACCACCGCAAAATTATCGGATTGTAACACGTTCCCCCCGTTGTCGACAGCGCAGGTACGACGTGGCCTGGTGTAAAGCTTGCGAGTCACTTGCCACGTCGAGCCCACTTGTACTGCTGGCATGTGCCAGTGGATGCAGATATCATGAAACGCACTTACTCCATTTACATAAATTTTGGTTGAAAATTGATTTCCTTTATTGATTCCCACCTGCAGAGGCTGTACGTATTCAACTTGCTACTTAGAGCTTTTACGCTAGTACTTTCTCTATTTGCTTCAAGTTGAAACGTTTCAGTCACGACGCATGTTACTACTGTGATACTCATTCTACCATATTACTTTCTGTTTGTTCAGCCGCAGCACTTTTGCTTTGCTTACAGTCTCAGGTCACCGTCTAAACAGTACTAGGTCAACCTTGACTTGGCCCCGATACCATGGTTAATAGGACGCGACGATGGGGGCCAGTGCAGTCTCTGCTCGCACTAGCACCACTGCTCATTGGATTACCATGGCTTGCATTGAAGCACCAGTATTGTATGTATTCTCGTCATCAATCCAACAATTGAACCTAGTCAACTTATTTTCATCCCGACAGCGTTACCTACGCCCATCGTAGACCAGTGCGTTATTATTTGGGTCCCGACACGAGTCAATGCTAACTGACGACTTTTTGTCTGTCCGTTGGACCTAACTTGAATTTCAACCACCAGATATGACCCCGTGACCTCCTTGCCTCAGCTCTCTGAAGCAACAATCCTCCAATATGCCAAGTACCTGTCAGAGGATATCGGATACCGCACACCTGGCACCCGCGAACACGCCCTCGCGGATCTTTGGATGACAGAGAAAGCTTTCCAGCTCAAAGAGGAGTGTGACCGTGTCGTAGCCGCTCATCCCGACCGTAAACTCGAATGTGAGGTATGGAGGCAAGAGGGCAATGGGAGTCATCGGTGCGTCGCCTGCTTCATCACTTTTAATACCCTTTCGTGTCTTATATTGCTTCCTGGGTCTGCCCAACAGCTTTGATATGATGGCCGCGCGGTTATACAAACGTTATGTCAACCTGAGCAATATCATCATCCGCCTGAGCGATGGCACGGACGAGGGAAAAGTTGATGCCGTGCTTATAAACTCACATCTTGATAGTACTCTTCCCAGTCCAGGCGCTGCAGATGACGCGCTTGCAGTAGGTGTTATGATTGAGTGTGTGCGGGTGTTGGTAAATACCCCTGGGTGGGAGCCAAAGCATGCAGTTATATTTTGTGAGTTTTTGTCCATTTACGATACTATGTCGGTAGAATCTGTGCTAATGCAGCCGTAGTATTCAACAATGCCGAAGAGTCTCTCCAGGACGGGTCGCACCTTTACTCGACGCAGCACCCCACTGCGTCTACGTGCGTCTCACCGTTATAACTCATATTATGCACAACCTCACACCATTCTTCCAGCGTCCGTGCTGTCGTCAATTTGGAAGGTCAGCTGTTCACATATACGGCATATGATGGAGCTGACACGGGTCTGTAGCTGCTGGCACCACAGGCCCTGAACTTCTGTTCCAGGCGACTTCTCACGAGATGATTCAGGCGTATTCACATGTGCCTCGGTCAGTTTTCTTGCTAATTTTCTTTCGAACTTGTGCTAATGCAAATGCACAAAGGCCATACGGAACAATCTTTGCAAATGAGATCTTCAGCTCAGGCGTGCTACTCTCTGAGTATGTCTCTCGTCCTCTCTTTATTTTGTTGCACTAATATGCATGCCGGTATAAGCACTGATTTCCGGCAGTTTGAGTACTACTTGAACGTCACCGGGCTTGACGTACGTCCGTTCTCTCTTCTGCCTACTATTCTTTTTCGTCCGTGAAGCTTCCAATGCTAACTGCATTGTGTAGATGGCAGTTGTGGGTAACAGCTATATGTACCACATGCGCGGGGTATGCAGCTTTACTACCTAATTAACGGGATATACTAATGTGTTACAGGATCTGGTGGAAAACATCGAGGCAGGCGTTGCACAGGTCTGTTCTGCGGACCTCTCAGAATTCACTCCTACTGATCCTGAAGTGGATTCTCATTCCAGCACATGGCCGAAAATACACTCGCATTGATTGAGCACCTTACCTCATCTGCCTCACCGCTGCCAGGGCTCGCATCAGGATACGGGCGCCCTAGTACCGTCTTCTTTGCGTACCTGGGGGTATTCTTGGTATATTCGTTCCGCACAGCCGAAGTGATGTACTCGCTGCTTTTCATTGCCAGTTGTGTGCTTGTCAGAAGCGCTAGCGGGTCAAGTACAAGAGGTGCAACGATGGCGAGGGCATTGCTTTCTGTAACCGCTGGAGGGCTGGGAGCTATTATTGGGGCGAATGCCGTTGCATTCGTGATGCAGCAGGTGTTGGGCCGGGGAATGAGTTGGTTCAAGGGCGAATTTGAGCCGTTGATATTATATGGCCCCGCGGCTATGTGTGGTGCGTGTTTTTATTTGAGCACGTACCATGATTTTCTGCAACTCCCCATCCTTGAATCGACTCTGGTGTCACTTGTTATTTTGTGCTTGGAATCTGTCTATTTTCTTTCAATGCTTTCCTGTCATCGTGACTCACACTAACGTTTCCCCACAGGAGCCCTCTTAAGTCAATTGCCTTTTGCCCCGGTCCCTGAAAAAGCCCTCCTGCACGCACAGCTCCTTGCATATGCGTTCTTGGGTGCGGCGGGCCAGCTTGCTGGTATTGGATCCAGTGTGGTGTTCTTCCTTAGTGCACTCTCGACATTTGTGGCCTTACTTGTTGACCGTGTGACTGGCTATTTGAGTGCCTCCGTCAAAAATGACAAGACGGAGGGCAATGACGGCTCGGTGAGCCTATGGACATATGCTCTAGGCCAGACCATCCCGCTGTTGACGGGGACTCAACTGACGTCTGCGACTTTGGTTGTGTTCGTACCGCTGGCGAGTGATTTATCTTTCCTTGTACCTCCCTCCTCACATCGCCCTCACAGACTGGCCGTATTGGCTCTGAGGCTCCGGCAGAATATATCATTGCTTCCATTGTAGCGGTCCTGGGCTCCTACACGCTTAACCTCACTACACCATTCGTTCATCGATTTGGTCTGCCTGCTCTGCGTAAAGCAGTCATAATTCTGCTCCTTGGAGTGGGCGTAATGATGGCAGTGTTTGCCAGAAAGGAGGTATTTGATAAATATCATCAAAAGAGGCTATTTGTGCTTCACAAGGAGGACGTAAGTGCCAGTTCCCGTCCGTATTGTATAGGAAACTGAGCGCGTATGGTCTAGTTGAACACACGCGAGCAACACCTCCATCTTGCAGCTGCGGATGGCGCGCCCGGCTTTGATGACCTTGTGCATGACATCACGGCACGCTTTGGCGCTGATGGGGTGCCCCCCAAGGCTGTTGTCATGGACGACTGGAATGGTGATTGGGATACGTTGTATCCGTTCTCAGCGGTGAGGCTTTAATATCCGTCTACTTATATGTAATGGCCAGTGCTGACGTATGGTTTATATATAGTTCCTCTCCCCATACAAGATTGACCTCCCACTAGACCCGGCGTATGACGCGCCTTGGCCGCCAGCAGAGCAGTTCACGGTTTCAGCTGCTAATGATACCCTTGACGAGAGTAAGGGAACGAGGAGTCTGACGTTGAAGATTGATCACCCAGGAATAATGTGGACTGGTGAGTCTCCCTACTTAAGCTCGTTACCTTGGTATCGCATATACTGAACTCTTGTTACAGTGATTGCATTCGATGCGCATGTCCTAGAATGGACGCTAGATAACAGCCCACCTGAGGAGTATGCGCGCCACCACATCAAAGAAGCGTCGTTCTACGGAACTGACGTGTGGACGGTGGACATGACGATCAAATGGCCGCCACCCCCGAACGCACATCCCAGATCTTCTGATGCGAACGGGATGAAGGTGAACTTCATCGGGATACAGGAGAAGCGCATGTGGCCTGCGAAAAAGGCTGAGGCGGATGGAAGTCAGGCAATGAAGCTCTTCAAGGAGTTTGACGCGTGGCTGGATGAGAAGACGGGCGGTAGTGTCGATGCGCTGATGATGGGGTGCGTGAGCGGGCAGGCGGTCGTATAGATTGGGTTGGGTTGGGAAATGCGGGACGATGAGTTAACATAGATCATCATCATCGTTATAACCGCCGTTACATAAAACTCATCGGTTACTCCTTTCTTGTCTTTTGGATGCATTTGCGTTCATTCATAATCTCAAGATTGATGAATATCCTCTTTGAAACAGAACAGTACATATCACACGGTAAGTAACATTCATATGATGATTCCTGGTGCACAGGAAGACATTAGGCTGGTATTGGTGTTGGCCGTCTATTCAGAGAACTCGAAACATATCATCTAGTGAAATGTGAAACTAGATCAGAGGTGTATGCTTAAGCGGTGAGCGATGCGAGTTTAAAGTAGTGGTCCACGACCAATCCAACGCAAACCATCGCCGCACCGTGACGGCCTGCCTGGAATACAATACAATATCAACATTAGAGCATGTTGATATGTCAATTGTCCATACCGTGAATTTCTTCCAGCTATCTTTGGGATCATTATGGTCAAATGACCATATGTGCCAGAGACAGAGCAGGAACGGCGCGATGACACTGATCACGTAGAACGGAAGACGCTGGTCGTTCAAGTACCCCGCATACATCATGCACACGAGGAAGGTTACGTCAAATAAACTCAGTACAGGACGAATGCCGTCGCCCAGACGAACCGCCATGGACTTGACTCCGGCTTTCTCGTCGTCCTTCTTGTCCTAAAATATTATAATAATAATAATAATATGATCAGCACGAGATGTCTTCACAAAAACCTTCAGTTGAGTCACCTGACAAGCGTAAATGGTGTCGTAAAGACATGTCCAGCTATGAGGGCCTTGTCAACAACTCTGAACTCATCCGCCGTTATCCGCACTTACCAGCAGGATGCAATCGCCACATTCAGGATCATGCCCCAATTGAACTGACCCGTCGTTGCGACCCAAGTGAATGGGACGGCCCAGCTAGCAGCAAAACCTTAAACAAAATAAATCGATATACTTTAAAGTTTTAAATAAAAAAACATAGGCCATACCTAGGAACAGAGAAGGCCAGTACATCCAGCGCTTCATCAGCGGATACGCCCCACCACAAGTTGGGAGCCCGACAACACCGAGTGTGAAGCTAAAAACAGTCAGAGAGATGTTGAGATTTTGTAGATGCGTTACTCACGCTGTTGAACCAGCAGTTGAAAACATGTAAAAGATGGCGGTAACAAGAACCGCAAGAAGAATTGAAGCCTCAGTCCTGGTAACGGCTCCCGAGGCGATTGGTCGGCCCTTCGAACGTTCTGTTCCATAAAACAGCATCAAGAGACCGTTGACGGTCAGGAAAAAACTGGGACGTACCAACTTTGCGGTCAAAGTCCCGGTCGAGTATGTCATTTATCACACAACCTGCGCTGTGTACTAGTATGCCTATCAATGCATAGAACAAGGTATTTTTCACGACGTCGCTCATAGGCAATGCCACACGATAGGACGCCGACAGGGAACCCCAAGCTAGGCATCACATGTGCATTAGAATGAACAAGTAAGTCATCTCATTGTCTAACTTACCGAAGGGCCAGAACATGAAGTCGCACCCAACAGGGAACCAGTGAAGCCTGGTGAGCTCGAACAATGCTCGGGCCTTGGATGGCATGGTGACAAGTTTGCGAGGCAGAAGTAGGATCCGAACTATTAGTGATGCTCATGTTTTATACCTATGGGCAAGCGCTTCCCGTAACGATCCCAATACATAGCCTTGATGAGTTGGTTGCCTGACGTTCCGTGCCTGTCGATGAGGGTCAGTGGATCAATTGGTAGGCACTGGCAATAGACTAACTTACTAGTAGTAGTACTATTTAAACTTTGGTCCTAACACGTTCGTGGGTCCGATTCCGTACCATGATCTTGGAACCTGTGAGCTGGAAAGTTTAGTTTGCTACCTTCGAAACCTACCGAAGGGCGTCCGTGTGCTAGATACAAGGAGAACAGATATGCAAGGGGATTTAGCCATACTAAATTCCCGGCCGTTGGTGAGACCGTTCAACTGCCGGTGCATACGTCTGACACGTACATAATTATAAGCTGGGGCGTAGAAGGCCATATGGACTCGGATGCTTGATCACGGCGGTACCAGACCGGTGATGGAACAGATCTAGAGAACTTGAAAGTCTGGTCCGATAATTAATGTCGGCCCGATTGGCATGGGTTGGTTGAAAGTACTTGGCCACCGTATCACGCGCATCGTATAAGCACTTACTATGCATGGGCAATATTCAATCATTGGGGATGCCTGGGGAGGCTCATGTTGGGTCATGTGAAGCGGATTCTTCAAGCTGAAATTCAAGTTGATCCCCGACAGGGAAGTTCAACTGCCTTTTTTGGCACTCTACGTTCACCAACACCTGCGCCCTCTTCAGGGCCTTTCTCACAAGCCTGGACCTCATAGCTGCAGTGACTCCGTCTGCTCCATTTATGCATCTTGTGGCGTTGATGGGCGCTACATGTAACCAATTTCACAATTTCCGTTCTTTTCGCTGATCTTGATCAATGATAGGCCAATTTCACTAATATTAGGTGGGAATGGACAGGGACCACGGCTACATAGAATCGACCTGAAGGGAGGAACTACTTCCACTCAGTCGAAGAGATGGCTTTCGTCAAGTGGCACAACCCATCCATTCTCTAAATCCCCTGTAATACACAAGAACGTTCTGGAATGCTTGAGGGCCCGGCTAGATGGCTGGCGCTCACCGTTGCAACGTTCAACGCCCTCATCACTGTGATACCAACACATATGAGGCTATGAGGCTAGCTGCGACTGGTGAGCGCTGCCCTTAAAGCAGCCTCAGCGCCTTCGTTGCCTTGATTGCAAATTTCCAAAACAGGGTAAGTTAAACTCTCACCGCACCATGCAGCTAACATTTCAAGCTCAAGGATCTTAATGGCTTGCATTGGCAATTCATCACAGGCGAATAGCCCACTGACCGCCGGATCGGAGGCGACTGTATACCTCTGTGCGCTGCAGTTCCGCATGCAGGATGGGCCTGCCCAGTGAACCTTGATGACCTATCCCCAAGTAGGTAGGCAGCTTACACCAACATGCGGCCTCAGTATGGCTAGGGGGATATGCGACTGAATGCCCATATTTTCTCGCCTGCGATTTTAATCTTCGTCGGTTTTATATCATCGATATGATCAGAATGGCACAAGCTGGCGACAATGGATCGTTTGCCGTGGCCATTCGCTATTAACAAGGCTCATCAACAAAGAACACAATGCGTGATAGGCGTTCGTGCCTTCCAAGTGGGCGATCAGCCAGAGCCACACTTTGCTGACGTCATTTTTGCTGGGGCCATAATCAATGCTCAGAACGGCCGTCCTGGGACGGTTGGTGTATGAAGGTTGTCTGTTTGTGAACGCTGAAGCTTCCACTGTCTGAGTACAAGTGTGCTCAATATAGATGACAAGGATACACGGCCGCCACATGAAACTTTGTTACACAACAATGGCAGGTAATGCTCTGAATTATGGTAGAAACCACGAGCTGACCGACAATAAGTCATGCAGTTCCCTGTGCGGAAGAGGGAGGTAGTATTATCAATATCTTGAAGATCCTTTCGAATATTGTCTTCAAGGCGGGCGTACACGAGGTAGGTGAGTGCCGCTGTGTAGCCAGGATGGTCAATGGGACACTGGTCAAGAACCAACTGAAAATGCTGCACAGCATTGTTCAGGTGGGACTTGAGTTAGTGTTCCGTCAGCAAAGCTGACAGCAGAGGCCAGTATCACTCACATCAAACAGTGCGCCGTCCTGATCGTCGCAACCATGCACAGCAGCAGTCTTCAACGTGAGGGAAGGGTGGACACCACGAACGGGTACAAAGGACAGTTCTATGGGATGTGAGTAGATGTGCGGAATGAGTAGTAGTTACTCATTGAATGGCTCATCTCCATGATTGAGCAGCTTATAGCCTCATCCTGACTTTGAAGTTTTCCAATCATTTTACCATTTCCCAGCATTCAATCGACCTCATAGGACGCCCTGATCTCCACTGATACTGCATGTGATGATACGTAAATCGAGGATCAAGTACTCAAATTACGTTCAAAAGTTTCCATGGATTTTACAGGGTCATGGTATCGCCCCATGCTACAGATCCATCGGATAATGGGACTCGGATGGCTGACTTCCAGTGTCTCCAGTTGACAGTGATAGACACGTAGATTCTTGCGGTAGTATGCGCTTGGAAGGGACTTGGAAGTTTTTTGCGCTGATGACCATAGATAGAGTGTGAGGATCACAAAACAGATACGAAGGTGATACGGAGTGGCCTACCTTCAAACCTGACAGATTGGCATTCTACGCAGGGTGGTACGATTAAGCAAAACAATGAGGATCTGATCGAGTGGTAAGAGAAGACGGCGGGCTTGTCCTGCACGAGGTCAGTGGCATGATTACACTAAGCGCTGAGACCAAAAGATGACCGACTAGGGTCAGTGGAAGAACCTGTGCTAAAGAAGTGGGCAATGTCAAGGTCAGTCACTGATCAGCGAAAGTGGCACGCCAAGGTCAAGCGAGACTCGGAGCGTCCTGTGATGGTTGTTCCCCGTACTGCTCATTTAGCACACCAAGGCAAAATGTAGAATCGAGCGTATTTCGTAAGGTAATGTTTCAAACGATGAAAACCGCTGGAAACGACGCACACAGAAAATCTGAATGATTCTGTATGTTGAGCATGACTGCGACCTGGAGCGAGGGTAACACGCCAGTAACAGTGAGCAAGCAAAAAGAAGCACAGCCACCCACTGTTAGTGCTCAACCGAAACGGCGAAACCCGACGAATCACCTTCACCGCTTGAAGTCACTGGCAGGCACCCGTCAGCGTGCCACCACCAATTTTGCAGGTGACTTAGACAATTCATCCGTGTAGGTGGCCCCCTTGAAGCCGGTTTCATAGTGACTGTACTTGATCGTACAATTGCTTCCCCCATGACGTACGTTGGGATTGTAACGGTTGTCGGGATGCAAGGAGGATCCGGCTTCTACATAATGCTTCAAGACTGTTCAGGACATGTTAGAGTTCGAGAGAAGATATATAACGCACAGTCCCCTACAACCCCCGAACCGTAACTTTCAGTAGCTGATACTGGAACCGACAGGAACCTGCATCGTGGCAGTACTACTACGTCATACAGCTGAATCGAATTTAGTGCGCCGTGTTGGCTTGGAGGACAGCAGCGCAAGGGTTATCGTATCGGGCGTCCTCTGCTACAGAGCGTCGGCTACGCCGGTGTAGCGGTACGAAGGTATGTCCCTTGCTTAATATCAGTGAATTGGTTATTGATCAAGATCTTTGACATCATAGCAAGAATGGTGAGTTGTCGCGAACATGACTGACTGTGTGATGACCTTCGATGGAGTCCCAGACTGTCCCAGATCGACATCATTATCATACAAACTGGCAGCATCGTGTCACCTGACCATACTGGTCCTCTTCCTCCGTGACCGTTTCATGCCATTGTTCGCTAGTAGTAGTGAGTCTTGCTCAACTACTGCCACATCAAGCTAACGGTGCCTGCTTCAAGCTACATATCACCCCTTGGATACTTTTTAATCACACAATCATGTCCACTTCATTTGATATGCGGTATATCATATATGATGTATCAGCCCGCCGGAAGAGCGGCGCACAAGCTGCTAAGGTTTCACATCGTGCAGTTTAGTTTCACAATGTTTATTCCATTGGTATTATGCTGTCTTATGGAATAGCTTCATACTGCAACTACTATCCCGTAGTGCGTCACCTGTCGTCATCTTTTCGACCTGTTCCGTTTCGATCCAGACCAACTGACCTCTACTGACCTGTACAAAAGCCAGGACATGCCCAATTTCACAATGTACACTGCTTGTCTTCTTGCGCATCATTTCCAGAGTAGTCTGTGGCTCTAACGACCCGAAGGCTCCGTCCGTCCGTCGACTTAGAACGCCGCCATCACACTCTTGTCGCTAGATCCAATCGCGGCAGATATCACAAGTCTGTTTATGATTTGTCTATTCTGTTACCTCCGGGTTGATCTCCGCGTCTGTTTCCAGGGTTTAGTATCATATTTTATCTCATCCTGCTCATAATGTTTCTCCGTATCGTCCTCGCCGGCTGTCTTCTTGCCTCGTCACACGCAGGGTCGGTAACTTCAAGATCCGACTCTGATCCCTCGCCGTCTAGCGCGCTCCCGTCCACCATCCAGCCTGTCACTGAACTCATTATTGCTAATAAAGTAATTGCGCCTGACGGCTTTGCACGGTCGTGAGTTAATGCTTACATGTTCCTCTGTGCATCTTCATCGTTATACTGCACAGGGCAACACTCGCAGGAGGGATGTTTCCTGGCCCTCTCATCAAAGCGCAGAAGGTTCGCGCGAGCGTTTTGTCCACGGTCTGACGCTGATTTTCTTCGAAGAATGACAACTTTAGCATCAATGTCGTGAACAGATTACAGGACAAAAACATGGCTTTGTCGACGAGCGTAGTACGTGCTATACCCTTTCTGTCACCGCATCGTCTCTGACAACCTTCAAAGCACTGGCATGGCATCCAACAAAAGAAGACGAACTGGGCAGATGGTGCCTCGTTCATCACTCAGTGTCCGATCCCTCAAAATCGCTCCTTCCTCCACCAATTTACCGCACCCAACCAGACTGGAACTTTTTGGTTCGTGCTCCTATTTTATGTGGAGGAGCAAGGCTAAAGCATGTCGTACGATAGGTATCACTCGCATTTTTCCACCCAGTATTGTGAGTATCCGTAATTGTCTATGCGATCTTTGCTATACAGCTTTGCTTCCAGGCGACGGTCTTAGAGGACCACTTGTCATATATGACCCTGACGATCCACATCAAGAATTGTATGACATAGATGATGGTTCGTATCTTTCCTTTCATGTTTAGACTGATCATTGACCAGCATTGGCACAGAGAGCACAATAATCACGCTTTCCGACTGGTATGAGTTGCCTTGTCAGCCTCTTGCATTCTAAATCTTACAAGTTATTTCAGGTACCACGATCCTACGACTAAGCTGAACAAAATCCTTGGCCCCGTCACCTACAACTCCACCCTCATCAATGGTCTGGGGCGCTACCGCGGTGGACCCAAATCGCCTCTTTCTGTCATCAATGTCGAGCAGGGCAATCGTTACCGGTTCCGTATCATCGGTCTTTCTTGTGACCCATCATATAACTTCACTATCGATGGCCATGTCATGACGATCATCGAAGCTGACGGCATCGAAACTGTCCCTGTGACTGTGGATTCACTTCCAGTGCTCGCTGGCCAACGCTACTCTATCGTCGTCCACGCGAACAAGCCTGTGGATAATTACTGGGTTCGCGCACCATCCAACTTTGCAAACCAAACGTTTGTAGGTGGCTTGAATCAAGCCATCCTTAGGTACAACGGTGCGCCCGATGCAGATCCTACGAGCTCTCCTGGACCCTATATCTTGCCATTCAACGAAGCGAATCTTGCGCCTCTGATCAGCGTTCCGGTTCCTGGTTTCCCTGAGATCGGAAAAGCAGACGTCCACATCAACTTGCTTGCCGTCACCATTAATAACCTCTTCAGGGTTAACGATGTTCAGTACCACAACCCTCCGACGCCGGTTCTGTTGCAAATGCTCAGTGGGGCGCGGCATCCCTCAGATTTGCTGCCGAGCGGAAGCGTATACGAGCTTCCCTCGAATAAGGTAGTGGAGATCACCTTTCCCAACACAGGTTTAGCTTTCGGAGGTCCAGTGAGTGCGTCCTAGTGTTTCTCCCCTCCTGTGACTCAGCATCATTCTAGCATCCTATCCACCTTCACGGAGTACGTCGTTCTTTCGTTTCTGTGCAATTCCCCGTTCTAATGCACCTGATAGCACAATTTTGCCGTTGTTAGAAACGCGGGCAGCAACACAACGAACTTCGTCAACCCGGTCTGGAGAGACACGGTAAGTATGGGATCGACAGGGGATAACGTCACAATACGTTTCGTCACGGACAATTCTGGACCATGGTTTATCCATTGGTGAGCGAGTATCCTCGTCACATTCCATGATACGCCTCTCATGGTGTGTTTGCCAGCCACATCGACTTCCATTTGAACCAGTACGTATGCACAGGTAATGTTTGAGCCACGAACTGACTCCTCTGTAGTGGCTTTGCAGTGGTCATGGCTGAAGCTCGGGATCAACTTGCCGATGTCAACGCGACTATTCCAGGTATGAGTTCCGTGCTAGTTATCCCAAGCAAGCTAATCGAACTTCCTAGAATCTTGGGCCTCGCTGTGTCCTTCAAACGAGCAATCACGCCTGGTTTCCATCAACACGACCAGACACACATGATTTACGCTGTCATCGAACATTCAATTCTTCAGTTCCGATTTCTAATGCACACTACTTATACCCGGTTATACCCCTCTTTTATTTATAAAACTATCGTTGCATCTACGCATCTCTTCACATCATGATGATTTGCTGTTGTCGAACATTTAACTTGCATTTTTTATTTATTTCTCTGCTTAATAACTTATCTTTGGAGACCACGGGAGAGGGGGCGTGTAATGTGGCTGTAGAGTAATTGTGTTGTCTCGAGGGGTGATGCATATGCATTAACCTATCGTTGTTGTTTCTTCTCATTGTTGGACTGAACATTCAGACTTGTGCCCAAGGCAGTGCGTTCATGAGAGGCTACCAGCATAAACATAAACCTTATTCAACAACAGTTTATTTGCTGTTCGAACGATAAGCGAAGGGATACTGGCAATAGTACTACTATACGACCAATGAACTGCAATAAATCTATGGTCGCTACGGGAAGCTGCTGTGTTGGCAAGCTGACAACGGCTGTCAGACAACCGCGCTACCCAATGACTCACTAGAGCTCACTAGTCGCTAGTCGCTGGCCCAGCATGGTTTTGACAGGTATATATGCGGTTTATTGGAACTCAAATGAAGAAGGCAAGCTAGTAAACTAGTCTATTATTACTTGGCGATCTGGCAGGACAGTAGATCAGATCAGTCTCATCAGCGTTGACTACATAGTTGGCGAAAATCCCATCCGTTCGCGTAAAGCATCTTTGATTGATTGGCGCTACCAGTGTTAGCCTGTGTTAGCGCAATGTGTATGCACCATTGAGAATCGCACTGTCAGGTGGACAAAGCGCTCGAAATCAGCAATCCGGGACCTACTAGGACCTACTCAACCAACTTTCGCTAGTAGTCATCTATCAATGATGCCATTAATATTGGATCAGTGCCTTGTGGGAAGGCCCAGGCTCGTACATCGTACTCCAAACTCCGAGATCGGCATTGAACGGGGGCAGGTAGAGATAAGTAAAGGCCTGCTGGAGTTCAGACATGAACTATGTAAAAGGCTGCCAGAAGAGCGATCACCGCGCTACAACTGTGAATGCAACGTATTCAGTCACTGGTGTATATCTCAACGTGCGAGGAGGAACGCTCGTCACTATGAAAACACAAGTACCAGTCACCGTGACTAGGCGGCAATACAGTTGGTCTCCTTTTGGCCATTTGTGACTTTGTCGGTTGATTGACCGTGGAGCTCCGTAGAGGCTGTGGCCTGTCACCCCCCGTCGGGCCGTCGCATGAATGGATATGAGTGGGAATGGGTTATTATCAAGAAGCATATACCTGGTACCGGCAACCCGAAGCCTGATCGAATATTTGGATGTAATCAGGGGAGGGTTGACCCGGGATAATATTTGGCAAGCAAGGTGATATGACCTGGGTGTCCATGAATATACTCATAAACAGAACACATCAGTACAGGACAAGTGAGAGCACTAAGCACTGAGCAGTACACTGCAGTACAGCACTATACTAGTGCAACTGCCAAGTGGTCGTCGAAGAAACGGAATTGATGGATTAAGCTAAGTGTTGTCTTGTTGTGCCATGTTATGACCTCGCCATATTTGGTTGAAGTTCGAACTCTTCCCGATCACTGCAGAGTCCTCTTGCTCAACGTTCGTCGTTCAACAAGTACGCAGACGCGCTCAGAGCTGAGTATCCTTGAATCAACAATTTCCTTCTTTTGGTGACTTCTGGCTTTGGAGGCAGCCGATCTGTTTTCTGGATACGGCTCCTCTACCGAGGCTCTACTGCCACTGGCTCTGTCATGTCCGTCGTCAAAAGCATGGCCATACTATAGCCGCACGCACTGCATATAGTACGGTCCTACGGATGAACGTTGTGGCAGGGTGGCTTCACTCTACCGGGGTCCCCCCGTCGCTTCGTATCTCAAATGCGGCTTAGTGCATTATTGTCATGTTAATGATCAACTACTTCCCCCTAGTGGCGGTCTATATTTCGTGATAAACCGACACGGCAACATGTCACAAAAATCCCCGCGAAAAGTGTCACTCATGAAATGGCGGTCCGATATAATGATTAGACCGTAGGGGATAGTACAGCCATATGCGAGGGCGGCCTGTTCCCTCCTGTTCCTGAGGAATTAGCGACATGGAGAAGTGATGACCTCTGATGCTGACTTGGCATGTGAAGCCCAGTGTCGCAACTTAGCTTCAGGTGCTATAAAGCCGATGGCTAGGTACCTTGTGCTTGGCCTCCTTTCCATATCTATCGTTCTGCTTTGTTGCGAGCCCTGTTTTATGTTGTAGTATGTATTTTTCGATATTGATTGCATTTACATTACTTTCAGCGACGCATGCTGCGTCCATCGTCTCCCAATCACGATCATATCCCCTCACTTCTCGATCGCTGAAACCTACTACTAATCTAACTATCTCCAATAAAGTTATTGCGCCAGATGGTTTTTCACGCTCGTAAGTGTGCTCTAGATTTGTTTATGTTCATCAACAATCTTATGATTCACAGGACAACACTCGCCGGAGGAACATTTCCTGGTCCTCTGATCCAAGCCAACAAGGTACCAGTCTCTACTTACATCCTCCACATGTTTCTCACCGTTCGCGTACAGGGAGACCACTTCGCTATAAATGTGGTGAACAAGCTGGACGATAGCTCTATGTATAAAAGTACCAGTGTTGTGAGTGGTGCAATCTACCTGTAATTTTCTGTATTTCAACGTCATTACAGCATTGGCATGGGCTCTTCCAGAACGGGACCAACCATGCAGATGGTGTTTCATTCGTCACGCAGTGCCCCATCGCACAAAATGGCTCTTTTCTTCATTCCTTCGATGTTCCGAATCAGGCTGGCACTTACTGGTACCATAGCCATTACTCCACGCAGCAATGGTTTGTCGATTTGAACTCCTTGGCGAGATGTTTCTGAGACTCTGATATCCAGTGATGGCCTCCGCGGCCCTTTAGTCATTTACGATCCACATGACCCCCTGTCTTATTTGTATGATGTTGATGACGGTGAGCGCATGAAGATATAGTGATGATAATTAACTCAAATCGTTGCCAGAGACCACAGTTATTACTATTGCCGATTGGTAAAATCTCAAAATCAACTTCTAGTTGCATCCTCGTCATCCTTTTCCACAGGTATCATATCATGGCCCCGGTTCTCCGTCACATGATTGGCGTCAGCGCAAATTCAACGTTGATTAATGGCCTTGGTAGATATACCGGTGGGCCAAGGTCTGAACTTGCCGTTGTCAACGTCGAGTATGGAAAACGATACAGACTGCGACTCATTGGAATGTCCTGCGACCCCTCGTTCAATTTTACTATCGACGGACACAACCTCACTGTCATTGAAGCAGATGGCCTGCTTACCGAACCACTCTTAGTCGACTCACTCCAGATCTTTCCCGGACAACGGTATTCTGTCGTCCTTACAGCTAATAAGCCAGTGAACAACTATTGGATACGCGCGCTGCCCAGTACTGTCAACTCCACTTTTATCGGCGGCCTCAACTCCGCCATCCTGCGATACAAAGGCGCACCAGCTGCAGATCCGGCCACGATCCACACGAATAGCACCATGCCGATGCTCGAGACCAACCTTCATCCCCTCATCAATCCTGGTGCACCGGGGATTCCTGAGTATGGCATGGCGGACATCAACCTGAATTTGGTGGTCAACAACACTGGTGGACTGTTCTATATTAACGGTGTCAACTACAAGCCTCCCACCGTGCCTGTACTCCTGCAAATCCTTAGTGGTGCGCAAGATGCGACGGATTTGATGCCTAGTGGAGGTGTTATCGTGCTGGAGGCTAATAAAGTCGTGGAATTGACCATGGTTACTAACGGCTATGGCGCACCCGTAAGTAATATCCTTTCCGTGATTACACGGTGGCTGATTGAGTTTAGCACCCAATCCACTTGCACGGTGTTTGTATTCAGTCTTTTTGGCGCTGAAGCACACTGACAGACATTCAGCACGCCTTTGATGTCGTACAATCAGGTGGCACCGGTACCTTCAACTATCTAAATCCTGTGCGCAGGGACGTTGTCTCTAGCGGTGCGCAAGGTCAACAAATGGTCATACGTTGGGTTACGGACAACTCCGGACCTTGGTTCTTGCACTGGTAAGCAACCCAACATATCTTTTATACTGTTTTCTCATCCTCTGACAGTCACATCGACTGGCACCTCGATGCGTGAGTCATTTGGAGCCGAACTGGGTATCTACGAGACTAACTACTTTAGTGGCTTCGCAATCGTCATGGCTGAGAGTCCCTCTGAAACCCGGCAGCACATGAAGGGAGTATCAAGTAAGCGATCCGTGTGATTTGTTCGTCCTCAGCTCATCACGATTCTTTTCCAGCCTCCTGGGCAAACCTTTGCCCTATATACGATGCATTGACACCGTCACAATTGGGGGCGGTTGACTCGTATGAACAAGCAGCTAACATAACGACTCTGCTTCTTCCCAATTATTAAAAGGTATTATTTAGCCAGCAGGGCGGGAAAGGGTGTGTGCATATTGCTGAGAACAATCACTACATTTTATATACCAATCCTAATGTCACTCGAAGTTTGCGATTTCCGTAGAGGCAGCCATATGGCGTCTGGTTCAGAGGTGCAGCGATGCTGGAGAGAAAAGGCGTGATAATGTGCCTGGATAAATGATTTCATCGCTGCTGCTCTGGAGTCTGGGCTAAGTATCCTTCCACACCTTTTTCATGTCTTGCCAGAGACTGTGATTGCGGACCCGAATGATGCTTCCATAACGTTTAACGTTCGACCCTTGATGCACATAAGCGCCCAGGCATACCCTCGAGCCGTAATAGCGATTTATCGCGAAAGACTTCCTGTTGCTCGTGACTCGTCTCAAGCTTGTCGAGTTGTAGTTGGCGGTGAAGAAGCAGGTTTATTTTAATCACGTACGTCATGTGACTTAATAAAACGCGTCGAGACTCGACATTGATCCTCGCTTGACAAGGAACCACCACATCTCACCCTGTACCATCGATGGAACCTCATCAAGGACACAGAATGACGCCGTTCTCCAAACCGCGCAATAATCAACCCGACTACATTAATAGTCAAAAGCCTCTGTACATGACTCCACAACCTGGATACACTGAAAAGCAATCGGGAGTCTCAGCGTTTAGCAACGGCTCGCAGCGACCATTTGCACCCATACAGAGCTCCAATCTTGCAAAGAATGCAGCATCCAGGAATGTGGCTGACTCTAACTTCCATTTGCCCAGTTTCAAGTTCAGCACGACAACCTCCCGCCCGGAGTCGCACAGCCCAAGTATCCAGCACTCCTCTTCCTTTTATGGCACAAATAGTGGATTTTCAACAAGGGTATGTCACATATATTCTCAGGTTGGTTCTGAAAACTATGTTTTTGTAGCGCCCCAACGTGGAGATGAATAAAGAGGACCACGGTGGTGATTATATGCGCCTGATATGTTGTTGTTTGATGCCATTTTCCTAGATATCGATGAAGACAAGAAGTTTACGATGCTCGGGCAGCAACTTTCTCAACAGTTTCCTGCAGATTATCGACATTCCCCATTAAAGGCAACCACAGAAGAGATTGGTTCCCGATCAAGTTTAGGTGTCCTTGACAGTGAGATGACCGAAGAAGACCTCATCATCACAAAGATGGCTAGCAATCGTCGTCAGGCGAAGGCTGAACTAGCGAAATTGGTAAGCCGACTCACCTCAGTTTTCTTTGGTAAAACGTCCATCAACACCTCTACAGCGGGAGCAAAACGCCGAACTAGAATCCCAGCTTAGTATTAAGACCATACTCATCGCCGATCTCTCGCAACAGAACACGGAGTTGTCTCGTCAGGCCTCGGACGCCTCTCATCAGAACTCAGAACTATCCCGACGAATTGCTCAACTTAAATTGACAACCAAGGAAGCAATCGACAAGGCTAACGGGAGGTTTCTAAATATCTCGTGTATCCGTTTCCCATTCGCTCATTCCATGTTCAGTTGCATCGAACTCAGAGATTCTTATGAGGCGCTACGAATTCAGTTTCAAGCGTCATCTACCTTGGTGGACGATGCCCGAAAAACCATGGAAAGCCTCGAGGAGCTTCGGGACGCCGCTCGTACCGGCCTCCAAGGTCAGTCCATTCTCTGAACTATCATTTTGCTGTTGTAACTTCGAACAATTGAAGTATTTCTTGACGATACTGGGCATTTGTCTAATGTTAACGAGACAAGGACAATTGTAAACGAGCTACAGACTGAGCTTACTCGGAGTGAGTCATCTCTTCTTGTGGGAAAACAGCACGGCACATTATGTATGTAGCTCAACAGGTGGCCGATCTTCTGCGCGAAAAACTGCAAAATATGGGTTCGGAGCTTATAGATGCCCGGACGCGCGTCACGGAACTGGAGGAACATTTTGGGAACGACAGAAAGTTGATTGCCTCGACAACGTCAGGTCTTGAGCGAACCTGTAAGTTTGGTTATTGTCATCTTGATGAATATCGATTCTCATGGCCATCTAGCCGAGCGTGTTACAGAAATGGCTGAGTACCTGAAGCTCCAGAAGCATGAAACAATTGATGTCCTCAGCAAATTTGCACAAGCGGAGGATCGGCTAGCTCACAGCCAGTCACGGTAATGAACGCATCTAATCGTCACATTATGTTTTACCTAACTCTATGTGCGATAGCTTGCAAGAACGCGAGGCGATGGTACATGACATGCGGCAAGAGATGGAGTCTATGAGACAGGAGTATGCTTTTTGCGTTTTTGGCAATTCATCTGCTGGTAACACCGCATTCTTAGAATTTCCGAGTTTGAAGAAGCTATGAATGATCGTAAAACGCAAACCCGGATCCTGCAGAACACTGTAACGTTTCAGGAACAACACATGAAGGACCTAGAGGGGAGGTGAGCCTTGCCAAACTTTACTGATAGCGCCTACTAAGTCTTGACACAGGTTGCAGAAGGCCGAGGCGGAGTTGGTCCATGCTCACAACAGATCGCATGACTTTGAATCACGTTTGGAAGTCTCAAACGATCTTGAGAAAACTTTGGTTCAGCAGAATGCGCGCCTCACCTCCGAAGGCGAATCCACCAGGGAGCGGCTCCAAATTGCTGAAGCGGGGCTGGCAGACATCCGGAACCTAGAAAGGGAGTTATCAGCACAGAGTGCAAGACTCGTGTCGGAGCGCGACACACTCCTCGATAAACTCAAAACTGCGTACGCACAACTGGCAGATGCGAAGCGAGAAGAGGAGAGCTACCGCGAAAGGTAGTTCAAGCACTCTTCTCACGACGAAATTTTGACCATTACAATTAGATTCGCAGAAACGCGAACGTCGCTGAAGGTCAGTTTAGCGTAATCCGGTCTTTCGTGCTTACCCTGGCCCAGGTTCTTCAGGAACGTTTCGACGACCAGTCCGTTACTCTCAGGCTCACCAAGGAAAGCGTCGGCGAAGCTCATGTAATTATACGCTTTCTTCGCCTTGCGCTGAGCTCACCTGTCTACAGGATCGTCTGCAATCCGTGAATAACACAATCTTGGTAGGTGTGCTCCGATGTCATGTCCGCCAGTGCATTCATTGCGTGACGTAGGCTCTGAACGAAACCCTGGCAGAATCCAACAACCGCGCCAGTGTTGTGGAGGAGCGCGAACGCTCATTACAGCGTAGACTTGATGAAGCCAACGTCGCCTTATCCGCGGAACGGGACTTGGCTGTCAGCCTTCGGAAGGAATTGTTAGACTGTCAGATAGACCTTTCCCGACAGCAAGGCATTCAACGAGCCACGGAGCAGATTGCAGAACAACGCGCTCGCGATGGCGGGCGACGAATCCAAGAGCTAAACTCTAAAACAGACTCTCAACGCGGCGAGCTGGTTGAGAAGCAACAAGTCATATCCGAATTGACCCAGCGCCTGGCTATTGCCGAAACCCCTTCTGATCAGCACGAACAAGAGCTCCTTGTTCTGAAAACGCGCATTCGCGACCTTGAACAATCCGAAACGCAACTTCTCCAAAGAGCGACGAATATAACCGTCCGCCATGAACAGAATGACTTGGTAAGACGGGTGAAATTGTTCGATAATTGTTCACTTCGTTCGCTTTAGAATGACAACGAATGGACGCTGGTCCAGAGCCTTGCCCAAAAAGCCAGAGAAGTCTTTGAACGCGAGTTAGTGGAGAAGAACAATGATATCCGAAGGGTTCGTCTTCGCTTCTTCCAATTTGTCACTGATCCCCTATGGTTTCAGAGAGACAACCTCATCAAGCAACATGAAGCTCGTATCGTGCAATTAGAAGCCAGTCTAGCCCGTCGCATTAGGGAAGTTGTAAGGAACACGCCCTTGATAAACAATGTGCAGCTGACCTTAATGTTTCGCAGCCACAAGTCGGAAGCTCAAGGGACGATAAGCAAGATGAAACTTTCTGGAACGAGCCCCCATCCGGACTCGGGAATCAACATAATTCCGGTGCTTTGCCATGCTTGGAAAATTAGACTTAGCTAAAATATTTCCGCAGGTGTGCATGAGGCACCGAACCATGCAGTAGTCAAAGAACCTCGGCATGCCGACCGTGCTCCACTCGGAACGTTAGCGAACGGGGATTCCGATGTCGAAGAATTTGAAGACGAGAAGGACCTTGCAACGCGCCACGTGAAACGGACGATCTCTCTTGATGATGAAGAGCCGAGACCGACTAGGCGACCGGTAAGTACTTCAGCCGTGCCGTACCGGTCCTCAACAACAACCCTGACCGCGATAGAAAAATTCAAAACACCCGGAAATGGAGAAGACCACGGACAAGGTTGGTGGTTTTTCTCATCGCCTGTCATCTCACCTCGAGTCAGTGTCAGGCCTCAGGCCCGTCCAAGAAGAAGCCGAACAAGCGACAAATCCGGTAGTCAGCATGAATGGACTACACGGCTTCTGTTTATGGTCGGACTTGTCTGCGGTGATCCAGTGGACGCTGATTGTATCAGCATTGTTATTGTGTACCAGTAGTACTTCCCTTGCTCAGTTTCAAAGTCGTGGAGAGGCGCGAGATTGTTCGCGACTCCTTCGCGCGTGTCATAGCAATTCTTGCGCTGGACTCTGCCGTCCGATGTACCATAACGCATGCAGTGATGCATACAACACGTTGCATTCAAGAAAATCAGCCATGATACAAAACGTCGGTGGTATAAAGTGAGATACACGTTCGATGCAATTGTCGTCGGTGGAGGTGAACAAAAAATCAGTATGGAGCGGGAGGTCATGCATGCAGAACTAGCAATAGATAACAGTGAGTGCAAGTCCAAGAAGTTGTGGAAATCGGAAAATAGGTATACATATATGCACAAAAATCGGAAATAACAGCGTCCGGAATCACCCGTTAGTCCGGAAGGCGTAACATGTCGCCTTCAAAAATGATGTCACCACGGTCCTGCAAGGCGGCCGCAGCTTTGACGACTTCGGCTGTGTCAAAGTCCTCGTGTTTGTCGGCAGGTATAGCAGAGTTTAAGTAGGTCAACAAGGAAGATATGGTCATATCATCCGTGCTGTCATAAGTGGTCATAAATAGGTATGCGATTGATGAAAAAATGAAATCCATCCTGACAGCAGGCTCATCAGTATCATCATTTGGAAATAACCAAGTCAGGCTAGTGCGAGAGACGTACCTGCCAGGAACGTTGTTTAAGTCAGCCAAACCAAGCACAAGACGGCGGTTCAGGCGGCTCGTCGACCCGGAGGCTTCCGTCACTAGCGCATGAAGGTCGCTATCAGGCCTTCCCTTTGGGCGGATAGAGCGGACACTTTGCAACGATCTCTTGCCAGTGGAGGTATGATCAGGGACAGCCCAAGCGGAGCCAGTGCGGCCGCTTCCATTGTCTAAACGTTGTTTCTTCGCAGTATGAAGAGACCGGAAATCAGAAATCCTAGCTTTGCGCTTATCATCCGTGGGTAGATCCTGCACTTGGACATCATAAGGTTCCTCTGACTCTAGTTCGTCTTCGGCGGACATATCCTCGTCTGACAAGCTTCCGTCGTCTGGATGGGATGTGCCGCCTTTTGCTCTCAGCTCTGCAACTTCTGCGGCTTTCTGAGCTCGCCTCTGACTAAAGAAGCCGGTGGTGTTAGTGAATAATGTGTGGGACGCGCGAGAAAGCAGACATGGTGAGGATGGTGGAAATACTCACTGTCGGGCTAGACACTTCCCCCGATGCTGTATCCATGGATACGCGCAGTAAGAACTGTCTTGTCGAAGCTGTACCCATTTCTTGCAAAGAGAACAGAAGACTCTGTTCGGCTCAACCTCTTCAACCAAGGGGTCAGCCTTCAGAGTTGCCGCTCGTTGTTCGGCGTTTCGTCGGCGAGACTCGTGAGCTGGAAAATTGGTGGGTGTCAAATCCTTGAAGGATGGAGACGGTGAGCCAGGTATTGCCGACGGGACTGGGGTTTTTCCATGTACTGGAGAGTCGGAAGGACGTCTTGAAATTGAAGACGCATGTCCAGGGTCAGGTTGACCTTCTCGAGCCGCTGGGCTAGATTTTGGCGGCCTGGTGAAAAATATAGGAATGAGAAAATGAAATAAGCATCAGATCGAATGGCTCACTGAGATGAAGACGCTTCCGCTTGAGAACCGGAAGAGTGTGCTGCGCCCTTTTGACAGGACGACCTATGTTGTAGCCACTTTTGAACCGCCTGCATGTGGTTTTCAGGGCTGACTTGGATCCAACGGTCGCAAGTGTTGCACAAGACCCGCTCGGCATCAAACTTGCGAACGTCTGGATCTTTAGAGAGCAATGAATTTCTCTCTTCGAGGGCACACCCATTCTTGTTGTTACTGGGGGTACATGAGTATGGAAAGGATAAGAGAGGGTACGGATCTGCTCACATCTTTTTTGACAAGCAACTCTTGCGGTGAGCATCCCAAGGGATGGAGCAATACGTGGAATTAGGACGGAGCCGGATCCACTTGTCACACGATGCACATAATACACGATATGCCTCAAACTGTGCAACGTAAGGATCCGCCCTGAGGTAGTCGATGCGTTCCTCTTCAGTACGCTTGGCACGCCGCCGTTTAGCGGGTGGGTTGGCAAGAGCCTCGGCCGTACTCTCCGGAGTATATATGACAGGCTCGGGGACGGCCTGAGTAGTGTTGGCACTGGCAGGGGACATCAGAGAATTGAAACCAATATTGATCAAGGTAAAATCAATACCATTGTTGGCGATGGGCATCCCAGTGTTTCAGGGTAAATCCGCCGGTTGCTTCGTCACGAAACGAAACACCCTCACCGCAGACTTCACACATGACACGACCAGTTTCATATTCGCCTTTGGGAACGGCGACTGAGTCGTCAACACTCTCGCCCTCAGCGTCGGCTGAATCCCCCCGTTCTGGAGGGGTTTTCCGCTTTCGGGAATTTCTGTGGAATAATTGGTGAAAGTGATCTGAGGATGGAATAAAATCGTACGGAGGAGATGGATGAAGTATCTCTCGAGGAGGAGAGGCGTCTGACCTGATGTACATGAATTAGCGGTGAAATAAATGGGGGCTGGGAAGATGGAGAAATACTTATGGTCGTCCAGGTCCATATCCTCTGCCATTAAGCAATAGGTGGACGATTAGAATAAGAGGAGACAAGAGTTGGGAGAGAATTAGGTATGATGTTGGGGGAGGGTCGGGAAGGGTTAATATGTGTAAGCTGCTGTTCGGGTGCCAAAACGTATTTACAGAAACTAGCAGAGAAAATATATGTCACAGATCCGGCACTTCCAGAAACATAACAACATTTCATTTCCCACGGCCGGCGAAAAACATCGAAAAAGGATTTGTACCTGAGTAAATTAACCTCGACGAACAGCTGATTCTGCTTCCTCTCCGACTCGGTGTCAAACTTATTATGACATATAACATGGTATATGTATATGTATATGTATATATAAATATATAAATGATATATGTTTTAGATATTATATTCGGGGAGAGGTTTGTTACCATTGGCATCGACATCATCGATGCGATTCTCTCGGTCATGTCGCTGCATTGCAATCTATGTCGCTTGCTTTAACTAGGCTAGACAAATGACTAAGACGGTATCTTCCATTTACATGTACGTATCACTTCGCAGCACTCACCCTCACCGGCCTCACCGCTTCGGGCCTAAGACGGAATTTCTCTGTTTGCTCGGCTCAGTCCCCAGGCCTCGCCCCCGTGTGCATTCCTCATTATCACCACCTTTTCTCACCTGTACAACAAGCTTGTCCCACATTCATCCATCATAGCATTATTTCGTACCTTGGTCATTGCGTTGTCTCTTTGGTTTACTCGGCGATCTCCAATCTCATCGCATCCGGCGGCATGTACGGCAACTGCGGCATTGTTGAACCTTGCTCAGTTTGGGAAATCCACCGAACCCATGTGGACATCGTCTATTCAAATGTTTGTTTTTCCAGTTTCCCGTGTGAAGAAATCTTATATGTTCAGGTATAACTGCGTGTTCGGAACCCAACCGCCACGTAGTATTCACATCTATCGCCGCTCAACACATGTATCCATATGGTAAGTTTTTTCGGCCTCCTGAACCAATTACCGAGAGGGTTGGCTTGTTATTCTTTGCAAACCTGCCTTCCAACCCACGACCACTTCCCCGCAGATCTCAAATACAGCACAACACAAAGTTGCCGTCGGTTGATTTCCGAAACGACCTCTTTCCTTTTTTGATTATCCACTTGTACGTACAATCTGGCCAACTAGGTGTCGATCACGATACCGTGCTTGATTGAGGCACGAAGACTCCCCCTTTAGGGTCTTGTTGGCGCTTGTGTGCTATATTTTGGGCACAAGATATTCTAGCCGCCCCTGTTCCAACATGGACGGTGACATTACTTGTGTGGTCTTCCCTGGTCTTCCCAATGACCCCCTGAACCTTCAATGGATCATTCCATAAAAGATATGATAACTGGTACTGAAACCTTGTATACAGTTCGTCAATATCGGCATCAGTGACAGTCGAGAACGGGGAGCGTATCGAGGACAACTTCGTTTCCGCGGACTCTTCATTCGATTAAGTAACAAATACACTTCGAGAGACTACACCCCAACAAGGCGCTTAGATTCTCTGTTAGGTACTTATAGGGGGCCTCATCTGACCCGGCGGCGTCCTGTCCTTCTTAATTATCAAACTTGGAGCTAAGCTCCCAGCGCTAAAGTGGCAAGGTTATTCTTCGATATCAATGAAGATTCTCCAAGGAATTACCATCTCATCATATCCTTCCATATCCTTCTACCTCGATGAACCCCTTGAGGCGCTTCACAATTACATCAAGTCCGGACAGCCATTTTGCTAGCTCCGCGTCTAATTTTTCCGTGGGCGCACCTTGCGATATACGAGTATAGAAGTCACGGCGATACGGCGCAGCCCGAACAGCAACCTGAAAGTGCCCAAAACCATCATGAGCCACATGCACAGGGAAGCAGGCAGTGACGTACGGCGGCAAGAGACCGTACGAAAAACGTATGATGGTGTTTCAACACTTCGTCGTATGAACGCTTGAAGCACACGTGGAGCTCTATCGAAGGCTCATTCTGCATGTGCTGAAGAGCTAATTCCTCCGTTAGTAGCCTTCTTTGACTATACAAACGGCGATAGAATGACCTCTACATAGGAATGTCAGACCACTAGAGAAAGTGACGGTACTGATTAGTGATACCCTTGATATTAAAGGGTCGAACATACCGGGTCAGGCGTATCAAACAGCCGGTCCCATGTCGGTCCTGTAATGATATTTCGCTTCTGACGAGATTCTCAAGGGTGGAGCAACTCGAAGAATCCGCCTGGTATCGAGCCCGTACACCCTATAGAAAAATAATGAGGGTTGGTATAGGGCTGAATAGAACAGAAAAGAAGACTTTCCCCTATATTCCCCTTTATATCACTCTGAACAAAGCCGAATACACCTGAGCCAAGCAAATCTAGAGCGACAGCGCATTTGAAGGGAAAACTGATTTCCGAACGTAATTTATAATATCGTACCGAACAATTGAACGAGCCCTTCAGAGGCTTCGAGAAAGACCGAGGTTTCCACACCATTAAGGGTGATGGGAACGTCTGCAAATGACTAGTATGCGAGTGTCAGTGCTACGAAATGCGGTAAGGTGAGTGATAATGATACTTTGACGGTCTCAAAGTATGGTCGAGAAGACTCGGACATGTTGCTGGTTAAGGAGAAGGTTCTACGTTACCTGGGGGGTTTAGTGCCGAATACTTGTGCAATGAAGCCTCGAGGCACCGCGTGTTTACAGCATAATGAAATTTGGCAAAGGTCAACGTGTAAGTATATGTAAATATTATTTTTCCACGTGTCTAGTAATCTTATCCTGCAATTGCGCAAAACACCATGTCTTTAAAACGAAAGCCACGTATTTGTGGGACCATATGTTTGGGAGCTTCATGATGTCGGTTTCCAGGACGCAAGTTAACAAAGGGACCTATTGACATTGAGGCGGCATGGCATGCGGACGTTCGGTACCAGTAAGTACACTGGTTGATAAGTACGGTATGCTCAAAATTGTGGCCATTAATGCTCACTCACTGTAATTAGGATCCAACGTCGCCCAACATCTTCTCCATGATTTCCTTCGTAGTGGTGTACCGGTACGCCCATGTCCCTTCTCCCCTTTTCCACCGGTCGTTATAGAACTTCATGTTCAATGCTAGAGCTGGTGGTGAACAACAGCGCTTGCTCCCATTCAGGACCGACTTACTGCTGAAAGGAATATGATCCCGATCTCCCACTTTCAAATCTTCCCTGTCCAACAGTTCCATTTGTCCCGAGACCTTGTACTCAACAAAGTTCGCCGCTCGCGAAATGCCGTCAGCTCGGGGATCATCTATCTCAAACGAGCTAGTGCCTGTCGGGCGCCGTTCTCGATTCGACCGACAAAAACCTCCACTTCTGGCGAGTTTAACTTTCTGTTTTAAAAACAATTGAGTTAGTTGGTTACTCGTTTTATTAGGAGAAAATTAACTCGCCTCTATTTTTTGGATACCTGGACATTTGTTTCTGTGCTTTGTCCATAATCCGGGATAGTACCTCGAGCGCTTGTCGAGGCTGATATCCTTTTTGCACCCGCGACACCTCACGGATATGGGTCGTACATTGTAGGTGTACCCGTCGTCCTCGAGCTCTTGTTTCCGCTGGCCCTCGTTTCTTCTTTGCTTGCTACAGCCCACGATGTGACAGCCGTCAGTGACACCCATGTTCTCGGTAGAGTCATGTGGAGGACTCGGTGCGTTTCGTGTGTCATGGGTTTCAGAAGGAGGATGGGATGGTGCAAGCCCATGAAAGTTGAGCCGGGATGGACAGGTGGCCCAGTGCTCATTGACAAGACGGTTGACCGTGGGCCAATCGGCGTGAGCGCCATACTCAATAACCGCTGGACACCTCCCGCACTTTTGCGTGTAGGTGTGGTTCGCAGCCGTTTGGGTTTTGGTGGCTGGCTGAGTGGCGGCGCGGACCATGTCTGTCTAGTGCACGGCGGCTGAGGGACTCGTTTCTTGATTTTTGCATTTTTTTTTGTACTCGGAAACAATACCCTTTCAGACGTTGGCGCAGTGACCCGATGTATACGCCTGCCTCGGAGTTGCGTTGTTCACCCTTCACCCACCAAACCACCGGTTCTCGAATACACGTGGTATTCCAAGGCGGGCAAATCACTCTGATGAAATTCATTCCCAGCAGGCTAATGTGCTCTCTAAGGCTCTTGTCACTCTTCTAGATGTTGATGCACTCCAAGGTTTTCCGAGCTGCAGGGTACATCTCTACAAAATCTTCTCGTTGTGAGAGTAAACCTTGTCTGAAATGATCGTTCCAGAAAAACATATCAGCACAGAAGTCAAGATAGGCCATGGATATCCACTCTGCTCGCTACGAGGGCGCTCTTCAATTTCGCCATATGTATGTCTGGAAACTTCTCCATCAACACAGCCGCCACAATAAACGAGACTGCGCTGCGATTGCGTCCCCTGTGTTCTTAGTTCCATTCTGTACGTAACTGGGGTCTTTCTTTCTTTTTTTTTTTTTTTCGTTCTTCACGTTGACAGGAAATTACCGAAATTTCCCGGTGTGTTGTCTAGAATGCGTGGCCTGGGTCGTGGTTCATTCGGCAGACTGATGATGGGCCGGAGAGCCTGTGTTCTTATGACGTCAAAAACTCCACTCTATGAAAGCTGTGGCTACAGTATTCGGATCTTTTTCTGGTGGGTGGTGGGCTATCATAGGCTTCTACCGAAGAATTCACGCGGCGTTGGATATAAAATGTAGGACCATCAGAAAATGAGCGATCGAGGAGTAAGTTGCCTAAGCTCAAGTCGTCAGTACGAGCACTTTGTTACTTCAGTATGGATGAAATGTTTAACTAAGCGGTCATGACCAGTCGTGACATTGTCAAGAATCATTTTCAATCTGTCCTTCCCACAGCAAGTGTGGTAAGTGGTACCATATGGTTTGTATACAGTGCGAACGTCATCACAGGGTGCAGGAAAAAATTCAATTCAAAGAGCATGGCCGTCGGGAACGGACGTGTTACGAAGTATTCAGTCGGGAGCCGGCATAATACAAGTATAGCTGTTACAACCATCAACACATGATCCCGAGGGTTTGAAGCTGTCTGAGTCTGGAGAGTAACCATTTGAGGAGGGATACCCTGGAGCCAAGAGTCGCCACTTACACGTACTGGACGCCAATGTACGTAGTGTAATAGAAATAACTGACGCTCGTAGGAACAGCAGAAATGGATGCCCAGATCCCCGGTAAAAGTTCCTGCGCCCAGCCAGGGACAGGAAGGCAATACTCTTATGCATGTGAGCCGCTGACTGTGAAAGCAGGAGACGGTTGAGCTGGGGATCGTTTCAGATAAGGATCATTGTGGAACTGATGGATGTTCGTCGTTGGGATTGAGGTCTAGGTGGTCAAGTCACCGTCAGTGATGATAAAGACTTTTGTTATCCTGGAATTACTGTTTTTCAGTGGGTTGGCAACTGCCAACGGCACAGCCAAAATGATTGCTTTCTCACCAAACTTGATCACGGCATAGCTCCTGACTAATAGTAAAGTATTTGTCTCAAAGTTCCCATCCCACCCAGAAAATACATTTGATTCCGCGAAACCAGTTTCACTTTTCTCCCAGCTTTATCCACATGCCGCCGGACACAACGAAAGGCAAGTTAAAGCGCAAGTCCAGTCGCAGGGAGGGAGAAGACTTCCGTTTCGACGGTGGCCACGCGCGCGAGATCGAGCAGAAAAGGAATAATGGGCAGATCTCTTGCGCCGAGTGTAGGAGGTGCGACCTTCGCACAACTCTTATGGAAGTTTCTTTCGGTCAATTCTGACATGAAGCGTGTGTGTGTCTGTAGGCTCAAGATAAAGTGTGACAAGCAGATTCCATGCCAGTCGTGTCAGGCGAGTGCGCCACGCCACTTGCCGTCAACGTTGAAACTTAACAGCATTCCATCCTATTTAGAGACGAGGTTGTGCTGCTTTATGTCCCAATGGTAAGCGCTTTTCTATCTCACGTCTATTCTTGCTAACCATGTGCTTGTCTCGTTCACAGGCAGCTTGGCTACTGGTCAGGGAACTCGGTATGCGCTACCAAACCCCCGCTAGCTGTCATTGTCTTAATTCTTTTCACAAAGCTTTGTTCTGGCGGCAACGGAGCATCTTCACCGCCAAATAGCCAATATGAGTGGTCGTATTCGGCAATTAGAAGACGCGCTTGGACTCCTCCAGTCACAGCATTCAACAGAACCCCACCCCCTCCTTCGCGACGACCTTCGTGGCGCGGATCAAAAGGATGAATATAACTCCATTGCTCAGCCTGGAGATAACGCTGCGGGACCGTCGAATCCTCCAGAGATTCTAGATGCATTTGGAACACTTTCCATCACTGATCACGGCATATCGCGCTTTTTCGGCCCCACAGGCGGATCTGAGGTCAGTATCCTTCTTACTTGGTGAAAGACATGTATTCATTCCGTTTCACAGTGTTTATTGATGGTGCGCATTTTGCTTTTGGTGTAGCCGAGCTTACGCAAACTTTTTTTTTTCATTAGTCGGATAAAATCGCACAAAATGAGTATACGGATGCCTCTAGTCCTGATTCTGGAAGGGATTCAATGAGCCCCGGGTTGCCACAAGAATTTCGGATGTTTTCGCAGGCCTTCCCTTTCACCCCTATGGGCCCAGTAGCAGCTGTTCAAGAGCTGATAGAAAGCCATCTGCCATCTTGGGATCGGGCCAAATACCTCGCTCAGACTTATCTCGAGCAAGCTGCCTGGCTGTTCCGCAGCGTGTCTCAAGAACAAGTTATGGATGAGTTACTTCCGATATATTACTCAAATAACGCTGCGACCCCGCCGGAAGAACCCAAAGGAGCTCACGATCTTGGTCTTCTTTTGCTTGTTTTTGCTGTCGGAGCTCTCGTGGATCTTGCACAGGAAGCGTCCAACCCGGAGGCTGAGCACTACCATCAACTTGCCCGTGCTGCCATCTGTTTGCAGCCAGTCTTGGAAAAGCCCTCCTTGATTACTATTCAGGCACTTCATTTGTTGAGTATCTACAACGCTATGAGCGGCAATGAACTCGCCGCCAAAGAGACCAGCATGGAGACGACATGGTCATTGCTTATCCTGGCCGCGCATCTTTCCCAAACTGTGCGTAATCTTTCCATTCATGTATTTCTCTCCTGATCAAAGGTCGTCTAGATTGGTCTTCGTATGTTTGTCCATGTCTGTCAAGGAACCGTTTAATCTCACTCGGCTTCCGCGCTGTAGATCGGGATAGTGCAAAGTGGGGTCTTCCTGCCAAAGTCGTACAAAGGCGGCGCATTCTCTTTTGGGATCTCTTTGTTGCTGATGCATGGAATGTAAGTGCACTCTTCTCTTCCATATGATGGTTTCATTGACATTTCTGATGTAGAGCTTAAACACCGGACGCCCGCCGAGTTTCTCCTTGCCTTACGTGGACTGCCGTTTCCCTGAGGCAGCTTCGGCCGGAAACGATGGAGATTCTGACCATCACGCAGAATGTGAGTCTGCAAGTTGATCGTTTGTCTTTACCAACTAGATCTTTTGGTGCAGTTGCGTTATGGGGTATCAAGTATGCGGCTGAGTGTGTCGCTGAAGTTGCTACGCGCACATTGACGGCTGAAGCGCCGAGTTATGCGGTTATCATGGAAATCGATCGCAAAGTTCGCGAGTTTCCGATCCCTGATCCTGCCGCTCTAATTGCCTCTTCGGCGTCCGGTACCTCGCCACCTCCAATTACTGAGGAACCATTGAGCCATTCGGAGTCAATGGGCCGTCTTTTGATGTCTCACTCTCGGGAAACCCGTAAGCAAACCCGCTTTCGTACCCTGGCTGGCCATCGTGGCTAATCTGTTTCCCAGTACTACTTTACATTCACCGCAGTTTCTTTGCGCAGGCTATCATCGAGAACTCTGTGAATCCGTTAAAGAGTGCTTATGCACCATCATTCCTGGCTGCTTACCGGGCGTCTCAGACGATACTGAGAACCATCCAGCAAGCGTTTCAGGAATATCCTAGTCTATGTTCTCGCTTTTGGACTGTATGGACTTTCGCATTTTCTGCTGCTGTAAGCATTTTGTTTGGTCTCGACGAAGATTACAGCTGATAGCCAGATAGATCGTCTTTGGGACAATTGTCACCCGAGGTCCACAATCTCCACTGGCGTCTAATGCTATGAAGGAACTGGATGACGCCTGCCGTCTTTTCTCAAAAGCAGCTGCACATAGCAGACGTGCTGCTCAAGCTCTGGTCAGTGTTCGTTGTTATCACGCTTCGTACACTATGTGATGGAGACCATACCGCAGCCAATCCTTACGAAACTGAGCGAAAAGGCCCACGCAGCCCTTGCTGCTGCTCTGAACGAACGGCCATCACAACAGCTTGGGCAGCAATGGAGCGTAAAAGTGGAGCAAGACGACGATGAACTCGAAATCTTTGCTGGAAGAACTAGATTCGTTTCAACGAAGCGAGCTTCAGGACTGCCTGTAGACTATCCGGAGGCATCTGCATCTGCGTCGTCTTCTTCTAATAGCAACACATATCTAGTAGCAGGTTCCACCGAGCAACAAACCGCGCAATTATATCACCCGGAGCCTACGGCTGACTGGGTTCATTCGGCTTCGAACCGTGGTAGTCGTTATGATATGCATCATTCGGACAATTCCGGTACACCTAGTGCAAGCACTAGCGTTCCGACCCAGCTATGGCGACAGCCCCAGAGTTCTGATTATGCATATGCTCCCCAGCATCATGTATCTCATTCAGCTGCACCACATGCGCACCCTGCGCACCATGCCTCCACGCCTGTTGCAGGTTCATCTACCTATCACTGGAACCCACCGAGTGAAACCTCTCAGCAATATGGTCAGCCTCCGCTTGCAGCTCCTCACCCCCAGTCGCACGCTTTCCAGTACAACTCGCCTTCTACGGCCCCATACCATGGTCAACAATCTCGGCCGATACCTTCGGAGCTCGCTGGACTCGGCCTGGTATCACAAGATTCAAGACTTGATGAGCGGTGGACGTCCTTTATGCGGGATTCTGGTTATTTCGATGGTGTTGGGTACAGAACGCAGTGAAACGAAGCGCGGATGACTTTCGTTTTTCGTTTTTCTATTCCTATGTTGTTATACATAAAGCCTTTTGTAGTGATTTTTTCTTGTTTATTCTATAACCGTCACTTCTTACCATCTTGATTTCTAGACGAGACGATCTCAGAGGCGCTGCTAATGCAACTGCGGATGTTTTTTTAACAATCTTATATCCATACAGAAAGGCATCGATATTCAACATATACATAGCTTAGTTCATCGGTATATAGCAGTAGTTCCCTGATATACTTTTCATGTATACATACACCTCATTTTTTGGTGCCTTGTTGATGGCATCGTGTATCCACCATCATGATGATATTTCACGTTTTTGCAGCCCTGCTTGTTCGAATTCGAAGTGCATGCATGCAGCTGACATGTACCATTGCTGCCAGGGCGCATGAAATTATATACAGAGTTTGTGATGGAGGCACCACGGTAGCAGTACTAATATATAACATAACAACACGCGTGGTCTTGACCGTCTTGTGCCTTTTGCATTTTGCAAGGCCACTCTCCCGGAATTCGGTTAAACGTTCCTTTTCGCCCCCCATCTCGCCCCGGCCAGGGCCATCACGATGAAAATCACCTACTACTATGATTGACCGGAATGTGCCGTTGCATATCGATGGGCGTAGTTGTATTTGTTGGTTGCTATGTGCTATCATCTATGAGCACAACCCAGGTTGAAGGTTCTTTGTCTTGTCCTCACCTCGGTTTCTACGTGTCCTCGGTATTCGTTTTGGTTACCCCCAACACGAGGACAGACAAAGACTGGAGACTAGCTTTCGAAGTTTCCGTCATGACTCGTGGCAGTGATCGCGGGGATTCATTCGCTCTTGGACTCGGAGCGCTCCGACGATCACGATCACTCGACCGCGCGCGCCGCGCGAACCCTTTGGGCCTTTGATGCACATTGATCATATCTAAATCTACGATGAGTCTCTCATCCATCATCAATACAGCTCCCGAGTACTCCGGGAACTTACAACGGTAGATATGTTGCACTGTTGCATTAATCTCGCAACTATCATCCACCTTCACAGTACTATGGGGGGCCCACATTACGAATGTTGAGATCGCCATATATCGAATTACAATCTTTCATCCACTTGCTTCAGCTATGTATGTCCCGATCTCTCTTACGAAACGTTAACGGTTTGCGTAGCATTATACCACACATAGCCTGAAGGCCATTGGAGCCAGCCACGCTTGTTAAACTTCAATCCTTCCGAATCGCTTGTGAATCCATAAGCCGATTTCTTAACTATTACATGGTCTCTCACTCCCAATTTACGCGTGCTATGTACCACTGTGACCTTGAGCTTTTTTTGGCACGGTCACGTTCGAATCACCCCCTGCAGAGCTTGATTTTGGGCGCTGGAATGATGTCACAGTGGGAACTGGGGTCATGATATTAGCTGCGTAGCCAAGCATGTCTCTCTTCGCAGCTCCAACCTAAATTAGCGACTTATTCTTCGTCAATATCCTCTAGATATCCACCAAGTGATCTATCGGCATCACTGACATGCAACACAGGCGACGTGATCTCGAAAGATCTTATCTCCTCCAGCAATCGCTCATTCTGATACCGGTTAACATACCGGACAAGTGAGAGTCAGCATTGAACACCCACCCTTGCACATATTAAGCGCTGTATGTGGGCCTCCACGGCGTACGTGTACGCGCAATTGGTGCGGTTTGTTTTGCTGGGTCGGAGTAAAGGTTTTTGAAGCGCCCGAATATCGAGACGTGCGTCAAGGACTTGGAAGTGTATATCTCTCATGGTCTGTGAGGTCTGCAAAAGCTGCTACGGATGAAGAGGCTCTTGCGGAGCTGTTTACTCGGTACACTAACAGGTGAGTCAACGTGTTGCCAGAGTTTTGTTTGTCTCGCCTTTCAATCTCAAATATGCTGTGTCTGACTTGAAACGGGAAATCATCAAGCCCCAAGTCCGCGACGATACCATCCACCCCTTGCTGAAGGTGAAACATTCATGTTTCTTCACAATCTGCTAGTGTTAAAGAAGGTTGATCCCTAGATTCTCCGTGTCAAATCCCTGCGCATAGATGCTGAAACGTCAGATTCAAATCTTGTTATGGAATGCTATCGGACAGAGGATTCTACTGCTGGTTTTAAGACCCGGTCTAGTTCGTGGTACTCTGTATTCGCTATTGGGAAACTGGCTGGTATTAAAGAAGCTTGATCCTGCCGGTGGAACACCTGTACCAACGCCGTAAACACCGACATATAGGAGCGACTCGCCATCTATTACCCCAACGATCTATACTGTTTCTCGTACAATATTGACGATGACTACGGCCGGTGAGCCAAACAAAATAGACTCGGAATTGCAAAGCAAAGCCGACAGTTCTTGTTCTTTCTCAGTTATTGAATTAGCTCGCTTTAGAGAAATGTGGCCCCTATAATGCTCATCATAAGGAGAACTGGATTTGCCTTGCATCGTCATCAACATACAGCCGCACATGCAATATCGCGTTAAACTGTACATGGAGTACGAACTCACTTCTATCGGTGACTGTAGATGATGGGGAATGCATCGATATCTCGCGAGCGGATCAACGCTCCGCGGTCGTACTTCTCATCATACTGTTGAGACAAATCAGCTCGCCAAGTTAACGACTGTACAGGGCACACACACCACGGCCATCTTAGCTTGGCCGCTCCGAACGAGGCTGACTTGCAATATTCTCCTTTGTCTCGTCAGTCTCAGGGAAATGGTGCAGACGTCATTCTAGGAAATGGGACCAGTTTCATGAACTACATCGTCGTACAATTATTACTGGGCGGTAACGGCTTGAGATCTGGGACCTACTGGCTCTGTATCCGCTCTGCCACGCAACAAGGTCATTTACTGCTAATACTGCCCAAAGTTCACACTACAAATCCTTCTCAAACCTTGTAAATGCCCGCGATCAATAGCAGGCTGCTGGCGAGTGTTTCCTTTGAAGCTTGATTGACTTTTAAACTGTGTTAATTAGTTGGGATGCATACACGTGAGATGTTCCCTTCACTGAACCTGGACTTAAATCCATATGCTTCCAGCGGAACAGTCGTCGTATCTACAGAAGACGTGGCAGTCTTAGTTTACCCATAGTGAGTACCGAGCACCGCGAACTAGACTGGGTCTTAAAACCAGCGGTAGACTCCTCTGCTCTGTCCAGTAGCATTCTATCACAAGATTTGAACCTGACGTTTCAGCATCTATACGCGTTGGGCTTTGACACGGAGGACCATCGTGTCACCATCAAATTAGTTCGTGACATTGGTCGTGAATATTATCGTCACTCTGAAAACATAAGTTCACTGGGAGTCTGGGAATTTGCATAGGAAAGTACAGGTATCATCTGACCGTATGATGATATCGGGCCTAGGGAAAGTACCACCAACACGAAATGCCCTGCAATGCCCTCAGTATTACAAGGCGAGAAAGCAGCAAAAACCGACGACTCGATGAACCCATGAGACAAATGCCACCAACGGCAAGGTCAGGAAATAGGCCAATAGCATTAGCGTAACTCTAAAGGCGTACCAGAAGGCGTATGAATTGTGCTAGAACATAGCCCAGCGCTCAAACTGAAAGGAAGACGACGAGAAGCGCAGCGTATCCCTTTTGGTAGCATTCTACGTGCATCATGCAGAGGTGTTCGCTTCCTGCCAGTGCCCGGTAGGGTTCAAGGAAGACATCGTAACCCCGCCGTATAATGTTACAGAGATGATTTGTGAAGGAGGCGAACCACTCAATTGATGAATTTGATCAAGCTAAAAGACTGTCAGACAAAGACTTGCCGACATTGTCATATGCCCATAGGTGGGCATGAAGGGGGTAACTGGATCACCCGGATGAGTTCGTTACGCCGTTCGATTCTCAGTTTCCCCTGGGCAAAAGAATTCGGGGTAGAAACACAACGAGACGCAGACATGGCGAAAAAAACGCGGCCGCTAGGGCTCACCGACTGGCTGCCCCGTTGCTGCATCCCACAGCCGAACAGTGGTATCCAAAGAACCAGTGACGACGCGAGTTCCGTCCGACGAGAACGACACTGAGTTTACATCACTAGCGTGCTGTGAGCACGTAGAGACTGACCGAGCGATGTTCAGCAACCCCAGGCCACAGCAACCCACAGCATGAAGGTGCGTACAGGAAAAATATGAGTGCGCTTGTGGCAAGGCGACCAGCTGAATCCAGTGATCTGATGAACCGCCAGGTTTGCCAAGAGGCATGCTGAATCATGCAACTATGGCAGAGTAAGGACCCGGAACGTGTATCGAAGCGCAACCCTGACAGACGATCAGATCATACTTCGCGAAATATGAGCGTACCGACCTTGAGCGCAGTCGACTCGATACGTAGAAGTACTCGAAGCCCAAGTCATCCAGTCTTCGGTGGATGATAAATGCTGCGTCGTGGTACGGTACAGCTTGATCGTCAAATTTGTTAGTAGTTACAAGCAGCGCCTGATCATGCTGGTCTCCTAGCCAGGCCTTCATAGAAGGAAGACAACTCGTTCCTTACCATGCAGGGCCTAGAAAGAGGCCACCAACACCCAACCGATAGCTGGGAGAGTTTGGCTACCAGGTAGCAACGAAGCATATCAGCAGCCAATGTCCTCGGACTGTCGGACATACTGCTCTGCAGGGACGTTATCAAATTTGAAGTGCTGTGGGTGCCACAAATTATAAAGGATAAACTAATTCACATCGCCGTAATTCTAATAAGGCAGCTGGGCTGCAAAGAAAATCAATGACCGATCTGATGCTTCAAATGACGTCGACGATGCTGGTCCACGATTCGTTCTGTCGGTGACAAGGCGTCGTAACTCGAACATAACTGCTTCCATGTACCTAGATACGCAGACATTAGGTCAGGATATCAGATAACAGTTATGAGCCTCACTTGTTACGTTCAGGGCTGATGCAGTACCATTGGTGTCCTCTGCGAAGACCACAGCCATACCCCTAAAGAAGTTGAATCAATTAGGTTACCTGATGTGATGAGACAACACCTACTCTTCCATGTGGAAGTCAATGTGGCTGGAGGAGCGTCATTTGAATTAGCAAGGCACAACAACGGTATCTTGATCGTACCAGTGAAAAAACCATGGCCCTGGATTATCGGTTCTAAAGCGGATGGTCACATTGTCGCCGGATCCACCATTGCTCGTCGTATCCCGACGGACAGGATTGGCGTAATTGTAGACGTCACTTCCAGCACTTCTTACGACAGAGAACGTGTGCTGTGTGAAATATGAACTGGGGAGAGAACCAGATATAACAAATGATACCTACTCCGTGCAAGTGGAAAGGATGCTGGAATGACACATGAGGAACGTAAGGTGATGAAGTGTAACATTGCTTACAGGTCCCTCAGGTTGTCCGCCGGGTATAGACAGCTCGATCGTTTTGTTGGCAGGTAAGGTGTAAACAGACCCATTAGGTTGCAACTCGGATGCGTCCAAACTTCCGTTTAAAATTTGCAACAAGATTGGAGTGGACGGTGAGGTATAACTGTAGCCATTGATGAGGAATCTCAGGTTATCATCCCATACGCTGACTAGATTTAGCGACACGTCTGCGCCACCAGACTCCGGGGCACCAGGGGCTGCGGGGTCGATCAGTGGATGCAAGTTCTCTTCCACCAAAGGGTCGATTGAAGTCCAGTTTCTGAACTCAGGATCCAGGTCGGGAGCTCCTTCATATCTAAGTATCGCAGAGTTTTGACCTCCTGCAAAAGTTGTATCATAATTGGGCAACGCATGAATCCAGTAGTTGTCGACCGGCTGATTTGCATCCAGGATAAAAGAGTACCGTTGCCCGCAGAAAATTTGGATCGAGTCGACTATTAAAGGCGTCGTGTATTCACTGTCCGCCTCAATGACTGTAAAAACGTGGTTGTCAATCGTGAACAAGTAGTTTGGTCTGCATGCCATATTCATCAACCGAATGCGGTAGCGTTTACCCGCCGTGACGTTCAGGACAGAAAGGGGTACTGGTGGTCCATCTTCATAACGGCCTACACCATTAATGAGAGTCGAAGCGGGGTTAGTGCCAGAGGCGATATCGTAGGCGTTCTCGTGGTACCTTTGGCCAGATGGGTTCAGTTAAAGCAGTAAAAGAGCTGATCATCCTACCAATCTACGAGAGAAATGATGGTCGATTCTGTATTGTCGTTAGCACGTTCAAACTACACACGTAGTCAAGGCTGAGACTGACCGTTGTCAACATCATACATAGGGAGGTAGGGATCTTCTGGGTCATAAATGACCAAGGCTCCTCTCAAACCTTCGCCTGCATCAACGGTGAGGTTTATTCACTCCAGTGAAAAATGAAATTACTTACAGTACTGAAGCTGGAAATGTGAATGATACCTGATACACCAGTCAACAAATGGAAATGTTTGCAAGGCACAACGAGTTTCTTTTACCAAAACGACCCGCTCTGGTTTACCGGGGTGAAGTCGTACATGAAAGAATGCCCAGACGCGATTGGACACTGTGACACCATGGCTGCTCCATCCATTTCGGCGGAGCCATACTGATTGATCCCATGCCAGTGCTGGAGCTAAGTGAGCGCAGTCCCAGAAAGAAAGAAAAGAAGATACAAACCATGCTCGTGCTCTTGTTCATCGACTCATCCTCCAACTTATCCGTGACGTTCACTTGAAAGCGTTCGCCCTTGATGAAGTAAATCCTCCTGGTAGGGACAGCAACATGAAACAGACCGCTACCTTTTGTGCAAGGAGGACTGGTCCGGGGGTTTGACCATTGACCACGATCGCACTGAAAATTTTTGTGAGTTCAACAAATCGCGCGTCAATCACGATCACGTACTCCATCAAAAACCCGTCCGGGGCGATCTGGGCATTTGTGATGACTAACTCAGCATTGAGTGCCGCACAAGAGGACACCAAGGCCGCTAGACACCAAGGCCATGTAAATGGAAAGCGGAAATTCGCCATCATACGAACAATGCTGAGAGTCAGTCCTAGGCTCTTTTGCCACTACGTTGACAAAATTGTTTTATCATCCTTCTCTTACGTATTTTCCGATTCATTACCTGGATAAACATGTCGCGGCGAAGTTGCGATGACGAACGCAGTTACTCAGCTAGAAGAAGGTGGCGTGTTCAATCACGAAGGGCCTAGGTCCAACGTTCTCCAGACTGGCACCCATGGCAATACTACCAAGTTGCGGAGAGAGAGATTCATTGCACCTGAGTCGACTGATGGCGGTCCAACATGAAAGACCAGGCCAATGATCTATCCCGAAAGCAAAGGCTGCTGACAACCAGACCTGCCCGAGCAAGGGGCCGAGTTCGATGGAGAAATGAAATGATCGGGTCCCAAAATCCACTGACCAAATGGCAATAATGGCATCCTATTACGTAGCACTACGGTCATCTCGCCGTGAACCCCATCGTCCACCAACTCGATTTGGTGGCTACGATTTTCCAGGGATTTTCCACGTTCGTCAAGTGGAACGATGCAGACGACATCAGGGTCCAGTCGGAATGATGGCTCTGTCGTCCGTCCACGCAAGAAGTTGTTGTCATCCCACTTCTAGGACAGTCAACTGAGTGAGATGATGTTGAAATCGTACCAAAGGTTATCATTCTAGTCCCAAAAGGCTTACTATATAAGTCACCATACAATAGCAAGCCCGCCACGAACCGGCATGCGTGGGAATAAATCGATAACAAGGTGGCATTAATCCCGGCATGTCCAGACAAGCCCATATACGTCATCAAGGTAGTACCATTAACATTGCTCTGCAAGATAATCAAAGAGTCCAAGATAATCATAAGGCATACAGAAACTATACTGTTCGAGAATTCATTCATAACACGGTCACTTGTCTTGCTTGTCTATTCCACTGCTGCTCCCAGGGTCATGCATCTTATCCTGACCTGAAACAGCTCGCGCGCTCGGTGATGAGCGTTTCTCATCCGCAGCACTAGAATCAGCACGCGGCCGTTTGCGTGATGAACGCGGCGACATCAGAGTTCCTCCATTGGACGGCTTATCCGGATGAAGGTCTCCACCGCGTTCGGCGGAGTAATGCTCCCCATCACGATCTCGTTCCCATGAGAGTCCATCTCGCCCATTAGCGGGGGGCAGTGTCATATGGAGCTGTTGCGCGCCTGATTGAGATGCGTTCTGCGACAGGAAATCAAGCCAACTAGGATCTCCAGGAGGTCCTAATAGCCACAGTCTGAGAATATTATAACCAAACAAGCAACGAGATTCATACCTGATTCTTGCTGTGAAGGTTGCGAGGGGGGTGGCAGCGGCGGCTGTGACGGTCCATGGGAGGGCCAATCAAGCGGGGCGTATTGTGGGCCCGTACTTGGCGGCTGCCGATGCTCATCATTATCAAGAAATGTGGATAACAAAGAGTCTGGAGACTGCTGGGAATGCAAACCGCTGGAATGGGAGTGTTGACCATGCGGGTGGTTCTGCCGCATCAACTGGTGATACATTCCCTGTAATTGGGGGTCTTGAGGTTGAGAATATGATGACCGTTGGCTGTAACCATTATTACGCGGTAAATTAGAGCCTCGGGACGACGAGGACGGGAAGTCAAAAGTCGATGGTAGGAAGGACTGTGGAGGACTGTTTGACACTCCTCCCATATATCCGTTATACGGAAGTTGGTGGGACGATGGACCGTTCGATCGATATGCAGTAGAATGAGCCGATGTCGGTGAGGGGAGATAACCATTATACATGGACGACTCGTCCCCCGAAAGCTTAGAGCCGTTGCCTCCATGACCGCTGGGCGCTAAACGGGGCTTCTTTTGAGATCCAATTTGACCGTTTGGAGGGAGTAACCGACCGGAAGACGAATGGCGTTCTGTGGAAATGGGAAGTGCAGATCCTCCACCAGCTGATGGAAGCTGTGAAGAGTGGTGAAGTGGCATAGGAGGGGGAGGGATGGTCATAGGACGGTGATAATCAGCCATCTGTTTCAGGGTGAGCGTAGGCGAAGATGACAGATGATAGATTATCTCACATCGACGTTGAGACCCATATCACCTCCTGAAGAAGGGATCAGAAGTTTCGCGTTGTTGCCATATTCCGCCTTTAACTTTGGCTCGTGGCGCCTCTTGTTTCCACGTGTGGGAACTGAATCAGGGTCATCGTCGTCGTCGCCCTCGTCATCGTCAACATCGGCGTCGTGATTAAGTTTGGCATTGGCATTGTTCGCGAAATCGTGGGGAGTTCGGGTGTCCTTTTCTCCGTCGTACTGTACAGAAAAAAAAGTTGGCGAAGAACAGGGAGTAAAATGCAAGAAACTACTTACACGAACGTGGCGCTGAATGATTTCATGGATGTCGCCAGAACAGTATTGATAGAGTTTCAAGTGATGACCCGCGCGTTCCTCTGATGATAAGTCTTTATGTTAACAAGGGCAGGGATATGAGAGAAGAAAAAGAACTCGCCAAAGATAACGACGGCAACATCGACAGAGCAGAGCACGCCGAGCTCATAGGCCTTTTTGAAGAGACCATTCTTACGCTGTAAAGGAGGTGAGGATAATTATAAGTTATCAGCTGCCAAGCTATTAATGGCAAAAATAGCCAAAGGCTTACCTTTAAAAAAGTTACTGAACGATTACGCTCGTGCTATGTTTAAGAATTACAGAGAGGGACGTTAATGATGGATCAAGAGGAGGTCAAGTAAAATTGGAGTAAGGCGCGCTGGCACAACCGCGACCGAGAATAGCAGCAAGACAGTACCTAAGAAAAATGAAACTTACTGTGATCGGTTGAATCTCAATTTTTCTCCTTCCCATTTTTCTGTCTTGAGGGATGAAGAGAGGATGAAGGGAGAGATGATGGGGGTAGAGAAGAGAGATGGCAGTGGGCGAGAGGATGGGAGCCTTGTCTTTGAAGTTTGGATCTTTCACTGGCGGCAAGTAATTCCGCGAACGGGTGCCGAAACCCAAGCAACTGCAAACGGCGCTCATCAGATTCACAGATCATTCTCCGGGATTAAAGCCACTGTTCCGGATCTCACCGGATTCTATCATTATGACTAAATTAGGAAGTAAAGTTCATGAAAAGATCAAGCTAGATTCACTGGAGCTACTAAATTAGGTTAAACGTCTTTTGTTGAAATGTCCATGACTTGTCAGTTGCCAGCTTATGCCAGCATTGATTCATCCAATGGTAGCTTTCCTATGTATCATCATCCATCATACGCAAGTTACTTCATCCTTATTCTCACACTAGCTCGCCCTCCCGCATCTCCCCCGCATCTCCGCAGTCTAACCTTGATTCAACCCAGCGAATATTTTATTCAGATGGTCCCTCGGATGATATCTGTTCATGTCCGCGTAGTAGGGTCTGCACCCGACCGCGAATATTATATTCACACCCCTTATCGTGCCTTGTGACGGATACAAGGGTGTCCGCAAGGTGTTCGCTTCACTTGTCCAGGCAAAAAAAAAATAATGTACGTGACGGTACGTCTGATAACAACTCGGCCGGCATTCATACCGAAAGTCCCTGATCGAGTTTGAGTGCTACGCTGCGAAGCGACGTCACTAACCGCAAAACGATCGCTGAACAACCCAAAATTATGACATGGCCCAAAATAACAAGCTAGCTTGTTATTTTGGAACATTCATATTCATGTGCGTATTTCTGTCCATTAATTATCCCCTCTGAAGCTCGTCCATAACACCAACACTCCAACAGCAGCGAACTTACCCTACTGTAAAACCCTGGCGCGTTCAACCGGCGTCCAGACGTGCGTTCCATGCCCCATATTACTGTGTGTGACAATCACGCAATCCCTAACCAGGCCGCCGCTCAATTTACTTCCACGACATACCTATGCGCTTGTTTGTCTGCCTCACGTCTCCATCATTCCCGGTCTTCCCGTGAGCCTCCTTCTCGCCGTCCGCAGCTTCATCTATAGCCCTTCTGATTCCAATTGCCACCGTATGTTCTAATATGGCTATTTCACTCTCACCCAAATCCTCGAAAAGCACCGTATCGACGAAACTGTCGTTTCTGTCCCCCCCCGCTCAGATATTTCAGGATTAACATGTCCTCGATCACTCTATTCCTCAAGTACAGAGTACCTAATGATTCTCCCCGGTTAGCGAAAATTATTTTTGTCTCCCTTCGAAGATAACTCAGCGAGCAATACTTTGATTAAGGCATACACTGGATAACCCTTCAAAAGCGCTGTCAAATTGCGACAGTCTGTTATCGCAAACCGAGTACAGAACGTCACGCATGCCCACCTGTGCAAATCACTATTTCCTATGTCCGACATGAATTATTCAGCAGCTTGCCCAATCCTCAGCGGCTTCGCTCATTTACTCCGTCTTCGTTCCGACTTCCCGGCGGCATGCCATGGGGTCAATCATAGGTGACAAAGTTCGTTGCTTACCCACTCCACAACCCTAATGATACCTTCCAATTTCCTTTCTTCGACATCCTCTGTATCGATGGCGTTTCCGCGATCTCTTACTGAACATGTGTCTCATGCTACTGACTCGTCCCGTTCGCTCTCACACACGAAATCATAAGCTCTTACCCCCTCGGAACTCCGTGCAGGCGCCTGCCCGTCATACGAACGGCAGTGAACGTAATCCTCTTATCTTTTGCCACGGAGATATCCCGGTGATTTCCTGTCTTCCTTGAGGCTTCCTGCCTCTTGTCGTACTGTCTTTTGTCGTGCTGTCTTCTGTCATATCTCTCTCCGGATGGCGTGCCGTGACGAACCTCTGGATTCCCGGTATATGTTGGTTTTCTATCCACTCTTCAAATCAAGGCTATCCAACCGATACGATCTGGTCACATGGTACGCATAATGTTTCACGACATCACCTTCGGCGATTGCCTACTCGGAGGGATCATCCTTGGGCGGGCGGAGATCCTTAAACGTGTGCTCGAAGCTCCTGACTCCACCATCCCCTTGACGCATGAGATATCTTCTCTTGTCATATGGACCACTAGGAACTCGACGATCAAAAGCGATGTCTGGCCGATCAATCACCATGTCGCAAAGTCCCTCCTATCTCGACATTTCAGGTGCCCCATGACGGACGCCACGCCAAGGTGCAAACGCCACGATCAAGCCCACGGGAACGTTCTGATTGATACTATCGGGATTGGAAAATTGGGAACCATTTATCGACCGACCATGTTCCAGACACCTCGACCATGGAGGGATACCTTGGCAAAGGGCTACCACCACATCACCGGCCCGTTCCCGCGAAGCGAGACGTGGAAAATCAGTCCACGATGGGGGCACGTCCTTGCGATCTATTGTCTTGTCTAGCCTCAATGTACGCTTCTTCTGTCGGCAGAATGAAACCTCGTAGTTCGCACAGGTTACACGCATAGACGATGCCTTCGAAAGCTTGACGGAATAGAGTTTGAGAATGAAGCGGTTCCTGGGTTGCATCATGACACTTGACTCAAACGAGATTCATTGGCCGATAGAAGGCCGCATGAGAAGAGTTTGGCTGCTTCCATTCACGTGCCTCGTTAGTGCGGGGGACTCGCGGCCACCGATAATTAGTGTTGTTCTGCCTGCATTCATTGGTGTTTCAAGGAAAAACCCAGGGGAATGGGAGCTGACGCCTTGGCACTGAAGGCATGGTTTAGTCTCGTTCAATGAGAAGCCATGTGTTTGTCAGGAAGAGGTTAATTACTGGAAGATGGCCGATCGATGACCGCCGGGTGGTATTTTACACACTGGCATCCGCGAAGCTCGTGCGGACTCAGTAGGTGGGATAAATGTGTGTGAACGTCTGTGCCAACAAAAGACCGAACGTGTATACTAAAAGATGTGATTGAGTTGGGATAAGCAAATAGCTCTGTCTGTATTATACACAGAAGACATGAGGGTTGGAACAGTATACCATTATTAGTAGGGTGATCATGATGTCTGGAGCAGAGCAAGAATAGATGCCGCGGAACCATTCCGCAATTCGAGATCCGTTCCTGAAACCTCATACAAAATGATTGTTCTCTCGCTGGTCGGAAACATGATCAGCATATAGCATTTTCCCTTTACAATTAATGGCTCACCGTATGTGCAGCCGGCGGGGGACCTGGAGGCTATGGGTAGGGAAATGAACATGAAGTAGTGTCACGTTAAATTGTTCCACTACTCACCGAGGAGTAATTAGTTCCCTGCGGCTTGCTGACGCCTTCTCCTTCTTTCATATACGGAGGGGGAGCGGATTGTGATCCAGGATACGCATTATATTCATATGGGTTCGAGGTCGCAATATGGGATGGGTGACCAGGCGGAGGTCCAGGTGGAGGTGCATACATCTGCGACCCTTGCCATAACGGAAGAGAATAAGGCTGACTTGGTTGAGTATTCAACCCAGGTACATTCGGCTGAGTGACGATCATCCGTGACGAACGTCGTCGACGCAAAGATATACAGCATAATGTGAGGAAGAATAGCGCAATCAAGCTGCCTACAGATTAGAATAATTCTTAACATTCAGATAATGCTCCTAGTGAGAGTGGTCGAGAATAGCTCACCGATCACAATTCCGGCGATACGGCCACCCCAGTTGTTGTACGGATAATAGTTCTGCGCATAGGCAGAAGATGATAAGCAGAGAAGAACAGCTATTTGGGTTGGATTCATGGTGGTGAAGATACAGAGCGGTTTCAGACTGCGCAGTTTCAACCTTTGGCCACCGTCCGAGGTGTAATTACGTCATTTGGTGGTCCAGGTTTAATGACGCCACCCGAGTAAGCCAGAAAAGGAGATTTGCAGGAACTACTGGAAATGAAGACCCGCAATAAATATTTGGTCAAAAATTCTGTGCACCACTGAGGTTGACGGAAAGGGGTGATTCTATGGGCTTTGAGAGCCTCGGATGACGGTGGAGAATTGGTTCGACGGGCTCCTGCCATCAAGCTCATGGCTCAAAGTTGTGGTTCCAGAAGACCATATAACTGAATCTTTCTGCTTCTTCCGTGGTGATGGCAGCAGGAGGATCAAGGCGATCCCCCTTTCCACCCGAAACACATATCGAAGGCTATACTGTGCGCAGTCCAGCATGCAGGGAGACATCTACACTGTCTTGTTTAGTTCCAATCATGAGACCACGGACCGCGGTTGGCCAAGCAAAGACAGCGCCAGTACACTTCAGTGCACAAACGGAGGACCAGAGGAATCAGATCCGCATGCCTCGTGATTAATGCGACAAATAGTAAGTACAATGAGTTCGACGACATACAGTTCGTTACGACGAGACACTTTTGACAACCATCAGCTGCCTCCACTGCGACATGCACGTGCGTGGTACGAAATTCAAGAAACGAGAAACCTAGCGAGTCAGGCCATCCTTGTTCAGCTGCTCGTTTAACGTGATGTATTTCCCTCCGGCGGCACGCTTCAAGCCCTCGTAAGAATCGCTCACGACAAAGGCAATATGCACTACACCGAAAGTTCCTCCTCATGAGGATCTTCGCTCGACGCAACCGCGCGTAGCCGCAACACCTGTCTGCGTCCTGGAATACATCGATCGAGCGGGGCTCACAATCAAAATAAACACCTTGTTGGAGCAACCAGTCTGGTCCAGTCGTCTCCACGAGTCAGACGTCCACAATACTTCACCATAAGCTCCGTTTTGCTTGAAGGAGAATATCAGAAAACTGACGATTCTGACGCATGTACACGTGCTCACCCAGTTATTCAAGTTCAAGCAAAGCTCGAACTTGGGCATATCGCAAGGCATATCCCGTTTACCTGGTGGAGACCAACTTTTTACACAACACAAGGACGAACATCGCGTGGTGTTGTGTTTGTCTGCTCGATGATCTTCCTCAAGTTAAATACTAATCAAACTCGCTTTTATTGGTTCGTCCTCAAAATTCTAGCACACCTACCACAACGCCATTGCCCTTCGCGCAGCTCCGATGGTATTTGCTACCACGATTAACCCTCAACCGGACATCTCCTCCCTCTGTCCACCAAGCCCTCATCAGCGCAAGCCTACCATTTAGTTTCAGTGCGGAAGAAGGGTTCCCCCTCTATCTCCACAGGGAGGGTGAACCTGTCTTGCGGTCCATGCATTGGTATTGTGCGAATGAGAGGTTGGTGGGAACGCGATGAAGAAGGGGATGATCTGGTTGAGCGTGTGTGTCGCCTCTGTGCGCGTGTACTCGAGGAACAAGTGACACGTGGCCAGGCCTGTCAGGTTGGGCGTTGATCGGGAGCAATGACTCGTGTCTTCTCATCATCCAGGTCGAAACGATCTGAAACCCCAGTTGCAGCGGATTGCAGTCAGCCAATGCGAGTAGATGCAAATCAACCAGGATGGAAATGGACCATCGGAAAAAGATAGACGCAATACTGCTGCCTGCACCCAGGCTTCTATGGTGCGAACCTGCAAGTGCTTCAGCCGGTTTTACGTTCGCTCTGGCGTGAGTGTAGTAGGGTGAGGTTTTGTGTCCCATTATCAAATTTTTGAATGTTTGGGATACAGTATATTTTGAGACCAACAATCAACCAACGATGTCAACAAGACTGATAAAGCTGTAGAACTTCAAGCGCGCATAAACTAGGAAGTGAGTGCATGGAACAGGTAAGGGAGTGGCGGTATGATGTGAGCCCTATGAAAATACTATAGCCTGCGCGCGAGTGTCGAAGCTTTGAGGGCTCGAGTGCGTGAATGGCTCCTGTGTGACGTCTTCGATTTCCGAGTAGATCTTAAACGACGTGAGGTGGGGAGCTAGCCAAAGCAAGTGGAGGATTTCATTTGATGGATGTACGGTGAAGTCGAAATTTGTTAGGTGGACTGGAAGAATACAAGGGAAACCATGGGAGGGCGGATAGTTCCAAGATCGTTTGGGCATAAGGTGTCCATTCCAAGGCCCGCGCTCGTTCTATGATATGCCAAGTGTAAAGGACTGTGTTAGAGATTGAAGTCGATCGGCTCAATGGTGAGCTCCTGGCAGCACGGGAAAAGATTCCCAACATGAAGTTGCAGGTCGAGGGCCTGGAAGCGAATACGAGGAAGGCTGCTCAGGCATTATTGATGGAAGGGCGAGGGCTGGGCGGTGGGTGTAAAACCTGAATAGCCCTTGATGGGACTAGAGGTACTTGTGGTATAGAATGATGGTCGGTCGTGTACTTGGTCATTACATCTTGTATAGCCTGCGTTACGATGGACATTCGTTTCCTTGTGGATTTATCTGCTGCGTAGTTGTAGATCATGCTGAACAAGCTGCTCCGAGAACACCATGACGAAGTCGATTTGATGGTCGCCACAGCTGCGCAGATGGCCTGTCGCGTTCTCGACAATTCATATACTACCTTCAAGGGCTTGTTTCGGGATCGATGCCGGGGTTCACTAGTGATCACTGGGGAGTGCCAGTGTTTCCCGTGCCACAAATCACTGATTGTTGAGATCTAGATGTCAGTTCGAACACTAAGAACGAGATGTGGTCCTAGTGCAAACGACTGTACGGCAAAGACAAAGTAATAGAAACATTTATAATAAATCTCAACTTCGGCGGGAGATAAATTCTGTAGAAATGATGGAGGTCAGATACAGAAATCAGTACGACATGAACGTTGTGCTGGGTTTGAACTTTGCACTGGTTCATGATCCAAGTCCATGCCTCGAGGCCAACTCGAGGCTCAACGTTGCGCTCAACGTTTAACGTTCAACGCCTCAAGGTTCACAGTAGTCTACGTCCCACACACTCGAAGCAGTGGTGGGAAGGAGGCTAGTGATTAGCAGTGCAGTTTTCTTGTGAGCCGTATGCTTGTTGTCCATCTCGCGAGTTGCTGTGACGTCTGCCTTGATCCCTATGATTCTATTTCCTCAGAAATTGCTCATTCTCCACATGCAATCGCCTGTGGTCACATATTCTGTCTCAAGTGCGTCCCTACTCCCAGCCAGCTTGCGCCCAACAATCACATCTCTCCTCTCATACGCAACTCTTTAATTCCAGCTGTATTCGCTCATTATCTCTATGGGCATGTCCCCTCTGCCGCGAACCTTTTCAATTAGATCGGGTCAAGAGACTCTACCTCGACAATCCACCCAGACGAAACAATGTCGAACAAGATGCTATCAACGATCGTCATGCTAGTCTCCTTCGGCGTATGTCTTTAGTCTCAGGCGAAGACACACCCAATGCAGAAGTTATCAAAGTAGTCAATGAGGTGCAGGAATGGCTGCAGTCTCAATCGGGCAACCCCAATTCCGCGAGTCCCTTACATTGAGCCGGCGCACCGCCAATGCGACGTATACCGGTGCTTGAGGCCAATTAATCACTCAGTTTTGTTTAATATCTCACATGCGGCATTGTAGCATATGCCACTTCGGGATGCCTTAGCTTCCCTCCAGCGATATAAAGTTCTCCGAGGCCAGATCAAGCGTGAAAAAGCAAGATATCACCGTCTTTGTGAACGGCTAGAGTATTTTGATACCCGCATGCGAAGGGGACAGACTAGTCAGTCTCTGTCCTCTGCACACCCGCGCTTTATTCAACTGACACCTTGGATTTCAGTTGTTTTCTCGTCGATTTTCTTCTTTAGCATCATCGAGGTATGTGCATGGTGTATTTCAACGATCAAATATTGACCCCTTCAGTAGCTCACAATCTTAGCCTGGCTCGTGTCGCATTTTAGTGCCCACTCCAACTACCTCAGTCTAACTGAACGAGACCACACCTGGTTTCTATTGTTCACTTCAACATGTACAATCGTATTCTCTGTTCGCCACATATTTTTCTTTGTTCCTCTTCCAGATAATAATAACTTCTTGTAAGTAGACCCCATGTGAAATGGATAGTCGAGCTCACTGACCAACTCGCTGTAGCTTGTTTCTGACATTTTTCTTCTGGATCATGGGCATTGCCACTCACGCTATAACTGGAGTTCTCGATGGAGTGCTGAAGCGCAAGTCAGTACATTTTTTACTGCTAGTATGGTACTCACCGCTCACCTCCTACCTTCCTAGTACCCAGAGCGTTTTCACGTCTTGCTATCAACATATTGCGCTCAAAGTCTCTTCTTGGACGACACTAACTGGACCTTACGATGGAATTCTGAATACCAAGTTGGTACATTTTCTACTACTAGTATAGTACTCACCGCTCACGTGCTCACCTCCTGTCGTTCTAGTATCCAGAGTGTTTTCATGTATTCCTGTCAACATATTGCGCTAGAAGTCTTTCCTTGGGTGATTTTGTATGTGTCATCGACATATGTCTTCCTTTATTCATATTCTTGCTAGGGGTCTTGTAACTTTCGCAATCCTTATTATGCACATCCGCCAAATCCTCGCAAAATTTGAGATGGCGGAGTGTGCGAGCCACATAAGACTTTAGCGGGCAGGTTGTCCCCGCTCCTATGGTTTAGATCTCCATGTGTGCGAAATATCATATTTGGCTTCGTCCCTATTAGAAGTGATTTCAAGTCTGCCGATGTCATCGGTGATGGTGAACAACTTGAGCTCAAAGACCATTCGGCGCCTGCACTCACTGCGTTCAGTGCACCTCCACCTATCACTAAAGCTGTCTCTATGCCTGCGCCTGCGCCACATACTCCAGTGGTGTTAAGATCTGAGTCCGCACCAGTGCTCACTTGATCCACCTCAGTCTCCGGTCATACTCACTCCGCCGACGCAGGTCGATGATGAAGTGCGTACTCTTGGTATTGATCGTGATCGCGAATTCTGACGTTTGAACTATACGATGTGTAGGGCAAGATTGTATCATCTGAATTCCGACTCATGCTCTCACAACCGTCCCTGGTGTTTCCATAACACTTTCAATCATCCTTTTGGCCAGCTCGATCATACTCACATATGATCATTCAGCTTTTTCTGTTTGCATCGTTTTCACCGGTTTGTATTTACCTTAAGAAATAAACTCGATTTTACATTTTACCTTCGTGTGCTAAATGAGTCGTACCGTCCAGGAGTAGCAAATATCACCGGACGCTCAGAGTCTCGCATAACCTTGGCGCGCAATCTTTCGCTGATGTGTCTGAAGTTCTCCCGCTAATCTCACTCGGTCATCTTTTGGTCTCAGCGCTTAGTCTAATCGTACCAGCATCTATTGTGCTGAACAGCCCTCAACAACATGATCCAAATACACGTGCAGCATCACCCGAACTCCGAACCTCTTCTCCTCTTCTCGGCTGAACTCCATCCACGGTCCACATATCCCTACCCCCGTCTTCTCCTACCACTCATTCTACCCACCACTAAGCCCATCCTCGATCCTTGATCCTCATCGTTTTGTTTCATTGTATCATCATGCCCAGCAGCAACACCGATTTGCACGAGCGAGGGACGTAACGGCGGCGTCCTCGTCAAGGACCACTTGGACGGTCGGTTTGCAATGGGGAGAACAGGAAGAGTCTCAAGACTACAATCGAGTTCCAAAGAATTTGTTGTGAACTGGTAATAAACGTGAGTCTATCTAAAATATATTTATAGGGTCAAAACAGAAATAGGTTTCAAACTTGTAAAAAAATATCTTTTGGTGGGCTGGTACATATCATGGAGGGTACTTCTGGGATGGATATGAGCCAACAATTAAGAAAATCGGCGGTTCGGTTGTGGAGATATGTCCATATTACTGATATTTGAGCCCACCTCCCATATCACATGAATGCCGACCTCCGGAGGGTCTGGGACCATTCCCAATCGATTCAGAGGCCTCAAATACCCTAAACATAGGGTCCGGTCAGTTATACCCCCATAACTTGCGCGACTACGCGACTGCGCGACAATTTTATAGGGGGGCATGCACGACAATTATGTCTGACCATGCGCGACTGCGCGACAATTATGTCTGACCATGCGCGACTGCGCGACAATTATGCTGACCATGCGCGACAATTATGTCTGACCATGACCGCGACTGCGCGACAATTATATAGGGGCAATGCGCGACAATTAATGTCCTGACTATACGCGACTGCGCGACAATTATGCTGACCATGGCGCGACAATTATGTCTGACCATACGCGACTGCGCGACAATTATATAGGGGCATGCGCGACAATTATGTCTGACCATAACGCGACTGGCGTGACAATTATGTCTGACTATACGCGACTGCGCGACAATTATATAGGGGCATGCGCGACAATTATGTCTGACCATACGCGACTGCGCGACATTATTA